GAGACGATCCGTCTCCCGTCAGGCGAGAACTGCGACCGAATTGACCCAACCCGCGTGACCGCGCAGTGGCTCACCCACCGCATCGCCCGTCTCTGCATCCCACATCCGGATCGTCGAGTCATTAGAGCCAGAGACGACGTGTCTCCCGTCAGGCGAGAATGCGACGGACCAGACCCAACCCGTGTGACCGCGCAATGGCTCACCCACCGCATCGCCCGTCTCTGCATCCCAGATCCGGATCGTCGAGTCTGAAGAGCCAGAGACGACGCGTCTTCCGTCTGGCGAGAATGCAGCCGAAAGGACTGTACCTCTGTGACCACGCATTTCTTGCTGCGTAGCAGGCCATTTTTCAGCATGCCCCGCCAGAATATGGGGTATATGAGGAAACCGACCCGCATATAAGGTGAAGAGGTGCGATGCCTTAGGTGAGAATGCCAATGCTGACAGATACACATGCGGAGCTGATTGAGAGATAATGGCCGCGAAGACTCGAATGAAAATCTGCGCATCCGATAAGAAATCGATGATGAGGCCATGGATTTTTGACCTCTGCAATATATAGCATAGGCTCATCGTTAGAGTGCTGGTTGCAACTACAAAAGAGTTACAAACATACCTGGGTCAAATCTTCCACCCATCGGCCAGCAGCCGCGATGGAGGCCGGCACCGTTGAGACTGTTCCCATCAGACTTTGTGCTTCGATCCAGAACAAGAAGAAACCGTGAAGAAAGGACTTGAGCTCATCCAATAGGGCATCACAACCCGCTGTTGTCGCCCGAGACGTGTGATATGCCCAGAACCGGCAAGCGTACTGGAGTGTAGGCGAGATGTTGGTTTTAACCCGGTTCGCAAGTTCAGGGAGGTCTCTGTTTCTGCGGAATGATGAGGGAAATGAGCAGATATTGAACCTCAACCCTCTTGTCATAACTCGTAGCAAGCATAGAGCAAGTGTATCATGCGCTTCAGTTAAATGAACATAGAATCGACCACCACGTCCGGGAGTCGTCAAAAATTCGCGCAAGGAAGTATGTAACGGTCGTAGGGGAGCGGTCTGATCTGAAATGCCACTGAATAACGAGCCCATAGCCGGAAGGATTGCGTCGACATCCTTGGAGCTACTCTCGATGCCCGGGATCTGCGAGCGAATATCTTTCAGAGTCTCGATGGACACAGGCTCCACGCAGGCCAAGACTTGACCAACAACAGATTTGAAGCGCGTCATGGCTCGCACATCATCCGGGACTAGACTATGAAGTATGTTCATGTACAGTCTGTCGAGCGGTGCCGCATCTCCCAGGTTAGGCGACACTTCCAAAATGTCATCCAGTCTCTCCTCGAGAAGCAGGCCAATCTCATTGTTACCTCTTAGATATTTGCAGACCGTAGAGGCCCACTGAAACAACCCTTCGGCCTTTGTTGCAAGCATTTTGCACTGCTCGCTGTCAAGATGTTCCTCGTAATCGTCGGAGTGCATCATCTCATGACGGACATAGGTAAGGATATCGTCGGTGGTGTTGATGACTTTATCCATGAGCATGTGCGAAATGGGGTTGGCGTCTTTGTTGAGGATACAGCGACGAACATCGTCCTCTAAGCGGGATGTAACGACGATGCGTACATTGCGTGGTAGATTGGTAGCACCGTCTGTCAAGAGCGAGAGAAGATTTTTGCGACGACTTAGATCGCCGCTCTCGTCTAGCGCGTCGAGGATGATGACGATAGGGCCACAAGTAGAATCAGCTAATTTCGTCATGGGTTCACATAGCAGCTTTTTCCACTGCTGGGGTATATCAGTTGTCCCAGCAAGTGTAGGATCTTTTCTGATAACAGCGGCTAACTCTCGACGGAAGTGGGCATCCCACCCAGCAAGATTATGTGCAACGGTGAGTAGAACGTGAGTGAGGCGTTCCTCTCGAGGCGATGCATGGTCGAATCCAAAGAAAGCACCTAGACGGCCTATGGATTTGAAATGAAAGCCGATGGTATGTGCGATCGAGGACTTGCCCGTCCCTGCCTGGCCGCAGAGGAAGAATACGCGTCGAGGGTCATCTACGCTGTTGATCCAGTGAGTAATCTGGTCAATGACCTGGACGCGTGTCCCATCCAGACACTGGCGATCGGTAATCAGACCGGCACCGGAAATGTGCGTAAGCTCCTGTAGCTTGACATCGTCCCCTATGCACACAACAATGAGCTATTCTGTGAGAACCTCGTCGACTGACGAAGACATACCAATGGTTTCGACAACTTGGAGCACACGGAATACTTGCTTCTCAACGCTAACATTGGTGTGCTGGTCAAACGCGACAATGAGCGCGGCGATCGTGTCTTGGTACGCTTTGATCTTGTCGTCGATAACAGATAGTACCCCCTTTACTGCTCGGATAACTAGTGCATACATGGTGGTCAGTCGAGGACAATAACGGATCGGTAAAGAACACACAAAAGCTGTTGTCCAACGAATATTCGCGAATGAGATAGGCGCAGTCGATAGTCTGGGCGACGATGTCAGCCAGTATACTTCTCCGACCAGACTCCATGGATTTGATGCCCTGGGCTGCCAAAACGAAAACTAAACCATCATCGATAATACCGAGGAGAGCGAGGACCTGCTTGTCGCGATTTGACTGCTCAATGAAGGGCTACAAGCACGAGGAGGGTTGGGATATTGAGATAAAGTCAAAAAGGTACAAGGATTAGAGCAATCGTACTTTCATGGCGCCCGTAAGGACCGTTGTCACCATCTTGACGTACGGATGGATCTGGGAGAATTGTGATCAGTGTGCATCACATGTGTCGGGTCTAACTGGACGAACCTCGCCAATACCATCCATGACCTTCGTCAAGGCCCCGAGCTTCTCCAACAGAGGCCCCCAGACTTCTCCGACTCCTTCTAGGATTTCGAGACGGTCGTGGGCGTTACCAACAGCTTCCATAATGTCGTCCTCTCTCTGTGAGGGAGTCTTCATCTTTCCGTATCCCTCTCTTGCACTACGGATCAAGGCTGCAGCCTTCTGCCCGAGACACTGAGTGCAAGGATACAAGACTAGAGCGCAGCAAACAACGAACCTGGACCTGAGTCTCTTCTGCTTGATCATTGGTGGGAGCGGCTACAGGCTCAACCTGTGACAGAAAACCCGATACACATCTCAGCATCTCTTCCCGTCTTGTAAACACGAATGTCAGACGTACCTCCGGCGCCTTCAAAGAGTCCTGGGCAATGTCAACTGAGCCCAGTAAGTCTGCAGATCCAATGCCTTGAGGGGGATCAACGGCCTGTGCTTGGATCGAGGCAGACGTGGCCTGGGGACAGAAGATCGTGTGAGCAAGTGCGCGACACCTATATATATATATGCAGTGAGATGAGGGAGCGAACCCTCGAATCGATGGCGCCCATCGCGATGGAGGGCGCTTCCACGACACTAACATCTTGTCGGTCTGTCTCCACTACGTTGCCTGAGATGCTCGCCGAAGTCTATTGAGGGTCAGTTAAGGGGGTGCAGTCCGCTAGCGAGCGAGCAAGAGGGAGAGATGCGCACGCTTGAGGCCTCCTGGGGAGGCGATGCGCGGGGTCCAGCCCCTCCAAATCGGGCATGTCGCTTCACAGTGCCCTTTGCCTTCAGATACGTTTTCTTCAAGTTCTTCATAATGAGACTTTGAGGTTATTGATTGAGCTGAGACGAGAACAAGTTTTTCAGTGAAGATGGGGGACGTTGGTGGAGCAAAGCAGAGGTTGGGGGTGCCGCTGGTCTGATGTGCACGATAAGACAACGAGGATCCTGAGAAAATCCCACGATAATAGAGTGGGAACTACTAGGGCTATTATTGTCTCTCGGCGGACAACGCAGAGGAATGGCTACTATCTGATACCATGGTAGTACTGAGGACTACGCAAAGCTTTCGGTATACGAAAGCGGCACTCGATTGGAACATCAACGATGAATACCGTCACGAACCCCAATAACACTACAGCGAAAGACAAGTCAACGCAGAACTGTCCTCGCAAGAGCAAACATTCTTGCCACTCCCGATATGTATCAGGAAACAGCCACTTTGCATCAAGGCACCCTAAGTGGATACACATACTGCGGAGCATTTCACAGCTGAGGACTGATAGTCGCCAATGGATTTGGCGGATGTACCATATACTCTGTCGCCCAATATCCAACACCATTTATTCCATACGTTTCGCACGCACTCTTCATAGTCTGCATAGCGTTGCGGACTGCTGCGAAGGAATTTGCGATGCCATGGAGTCTCTGACTATCGGAGATCAGGGCTTGAGTGCGTGAGCGCATGAAATCAGGGGGCTCTCACGACGTTAGTAGGTGACCAGTGGTCGAATTTTGCGTCAAATGTAGGAGCGCTCTAATGTGCCACAAATGTTGCGCATATATTTAATAATCAACGCATCCTGGAGGATAGTGGAAGGGGGCAATAACGAAAGACATACCTCGGACAATCCCACCCTAGACGAACATAACGTAGACCACGTACGTCACAGTCCGGCTCTACATCAGCATCCTCAAATGCGCATTTCGATACAGCCGAAACGGATGGAGAAAACGTCCTATCTCATTCCAACCTGTGATCCATAGTAGTCAGTATTGTGGATAGTGCCAGACGATCTGAAGGCTTGTGAGTGCGCGCACTACGGCGCGAATAGAGAATTTTCGCCACCCAGAATCTGGGAAAATATATTCTGAAGTGGCGAACCCAGATTCTTCCCCTCTACACTTACTCCGTGCACGTAACATTATGAACGTATTTGGGCGTCTCCTATACGCGATGCTCATCACGTCCTATCAGACTTGCCAGAGGCAAGGACACGATTGTCGCCTTGTGCACGCATTCCGCATTCTGGTAAATCTGAGCGTTTTCCGCAGATTCCGGGTGGCGAACACTCTCTAATCGCACTGCTATAGAATCTAGCGCGCTTGAAGAACAAGAAACACTTCCTCTGATGGCAAGAAGGAGGGTAAGAGAAATGAAAAGTCATCGTGTACTGTCCACTAAAGGCTTCGCTCATTTTTGTGGACGAAAGACGGCATGGACATGACAGGCAGATGATCTAAAATGGACGAGAAAGGTTGCCAAAAGGACGAGAAAGGTGCTCTGAGTGGAACAAGAAAGTTTGTACGTGTTAGACCGCGTCAAGACATCGCTTCATAGGCCCGCGTTACTAAGAAGATATAGATGGGAGTATTGTTCTCATATGACATGAAAGGATGGAGCGTCGAATGGGGGAGATCAAGACCGGGTAGTGAAGGTCTCATCGCAGCCACATAGGTCCCCGTCACGTCTACACTACAGCAGCGCGCTGTTCACTCATCTCTGATTGCACTCGAAGGAAAGCCGCCAACGAAAGCAGGAAGAACAGTGAACCAAAGCGAAATACGACTAACCGTGCATATTGAATCCAACATTGGCGTAGGCTGATATCTGCCAATACCCTACATCGTCTCACACAATCTCCGCCACGTCGAGACTCAAGTTCAATCCTTCGGTGTCGCCGTCCTGCGTGCGAGAGATCGTTCGATCGTTTGTGGGGCTTGACGGTGGTCGGTTTGGTTGAACAAAATGGAGCGGTGGTAAGACTGAGGGCAAGAAGGGAATATATCGGTGGAGTTCGAGGCCCCTATCCTGGTCAAAACTGAGGAATCGAAGAAGCAAGAGGAGTTGACAAAAAGTGTTATGTATCGCGCCGAGTACGACTGTAGTGGGTGGTAGTCCAGAGAAGGGTCTGAGTGTTATTGAAATGGCTCGTAGTAGCACTCGAGGGGACTAAGCGCGCCAGAGCTCTGCTTGTGGGAGACTAGCAGAGTAGCCAGGTCAAAACCAGGTTCACTCGCACTGGCAAGCGCGAGGACCTCAGGAAGATGGACCAAGAATTGAGTGTTACGTTCAACGCTATCTTATCTTATCGCCACCCAGATCAGCTGTGTGTGGCGCTTACTCTCTTTCCTCCCGTCACCAGCCTGAGCAAAAGCAAGGTGTTGAGCATGCAGCAAGGCTCAAACATAACAGACGCAGCCCATGTCATTTCGTCTTTGAATCATCTTTTCGTATCTCGTGGTCCCATTCTGCGCTCGACAACGCTTGGACAACGCTCAGGCTCTTCTCCTGACCCCCGGTTCGACTGTACCCATAAAGCCTTCTTCTTTGCTTCCCCTCCCGTCTTCTCGACTGTCGTCGACTCCCCGATCACCACGAGGCTCGAAGCTTTAAGCATCCTTGTTGTTTTTTTCCTCTTCCTCTTCACACATGCTCTATCGCGAAATTCAACCAATGTCACCGCCCTCGAGCCGTCCAAACACGACTTCATCACCTCCCGGCGCAATTGCCTTCCTCCATCTATTGTGTATAGATGACGATTACGAAGTATTACATTCAAACTTCCTCTTCGTGAAGGACTTGAGATGTGTGAGACGGCGCCGGGTGTTGGGCATCTGAGATATCTGGATATATGGACGTTGGGGTCAATCTGTTTGTGGTGAGTCCTGTATCTTCGTGTTTGGTTTTTTTCGTGGTATTTTTCGAAGCTTGCAGTCAGTGCATATGAGGGAGACAGAGTGGAGATGTACTGCTATGCGGAGGATGTGACGAGTCGTATCTCACGGCAACGCGAGTTGCGCACACCTCGTTCCGCCCTCGTCCTGCAAATCCCTCTTCTCTATGTTCTCTCCCCTCTTGCCCTCCGATCGCATCACCCTACCCACCCGTCTCTATATCCCTCGCCTCACACTACCCCTTATCAACCTCTACGAATACCGTTTATTCTTAGTTTTACCATTTGGCTACGTACGCACAGTGATATGCATCAACCAGCTAATCGGCAACGCCTTCTCTTTTGAAACAGATACCGTGATGTCCATATTGGCAGCTGCTCCGGTTCACTTTAGCTGTTGCTTGAGAGCAAGAATTCTGCGAAGTTTCGGTCGAGAAAGTGAGTGAGATTTTTTCTCTATATATATCATCCGCGCTTGTGGGCTTGCTGTGCCTTGGGATGTGCGGCTCCTTTGGTTGGTGAGAGGGAGGCAGAGTCTGAATATCGTGTTGTGGACAGTGTTGGAGGTTGAGTAGGGTGTACACTAGATTGTATCCCCAACTCCATCTTCGAATCACGACTTTGACCCCTTCAGTCTATTCATCTTGCACCCTCGTTTCTTTTTTTTCACATCAGCTTCACCCTTTGGAGCTGGAGCGGAACGCGCCATCCGATTTACTCACTCATCGTCTCCACTAGTGTTTCATGCTCTAGGTTCATATTCGCAACCAAATCCTACGGCAGACATTACGGGCCTGCCTGTGTCACGTTCTTCGACGAGCAGAACGCGTTGATAGATAGTTGTGAGACCGAGGGCGAGAAGATCGTGGTTAGTGCGTTGATGATCAACAGGTACGGATTCTCTTCATATTTCCCTACGACTCTTCATCCCATCCCCTCCACTGCCTCCTCTCTCGTGATCGTATTCAACCTACGCTTACATTCCCCTTCCGCTCCCCTCACTTTTTGCTCCATCACCACCTCTCACTCCACGCCATCCTCACCCACCCAGCGGCTGGTATGAACCTCTCATCCAACACGAAGCCTACATCCTCTTCTTAACGGAGAACCCCCGCCCCCCAGGGTACACCCCACGGCTGAACGACACCGAACTCTCGGCCCTTAATACATCTATCTTGGAGCCTGCGGGCTGTCGGGATCAGGAGCGCGCGTGTGGTGCGTTGAGGAATCCAGATAGTGCGAATAGGACGGTGGTTGAGGTGTGCATCAAGGCGGACGATTTTTATGTGAGTTTCGTTTGGTTTTTTATGACATGAGGTGGGAGGCGTAGCGTTTCTTGGTGACGGTGATGTTCGATGGAAGGGACCGAATGTCGATATGAATGCTAACGTTGTTGATTCCATAGGTCGAAAACGTCTTCGTCCCCGCTTTTGGAGACCGGGACGTGGACGACTTACCACAAGACTCCTCCGCTCTCTTCCAACCAGACTTTTATCTCGATTTCCTGGCGAATGAGACGGTGAAGGTGTCAATGTTTATTGGGGCTACGGTGCGGTTCCTTCTTACTTTTCGATTCCAATTCCCTCAGTGGTTGGTCTGTTCATGCGTCTGAAATGATAGCTGACGACTTGAATATTATTGTATGTGGCGTGTGTGGCGTGTGTGGCGTGTGTTGTATATGAAAGAGCACGTATAGCGAATGCTCTGACGCGCCGGACGAGCTGTTCGAGAGGACGGGTGACGTGAGTCTTTCCCTTTCCTTCCGCTACGCGCCCTCGCAGTCGACATATTTCTAATTCGCAGATGACGATATGGATATTGTTTATCTAGGACGCACGAAGTTGGCTGAAAGAACTGGGCGACCTGGCGAATTCAGGGTTGAAGCTGCTTTGGGAACGTTCACCCTTTCGAGTCCTTTTCTTCTTCTGTGTACGAGCTATGGACTAGGATGTGCTAATCAAGTTCGTGGTACACTGCAGGCCGGTGATGCCGACGTCTACCGTCCTCTAGTGGATCCACTCTTTCTCCCGTCCCTTCTCTCTTCTCCTTCATACCCACTTCCGAGTCTTGGATTTACGCTGATCTACCCGCTCCACCTACACAGCTCAACTGGATAGGCTGCAGCAATTCCGTCCTGGCAATGGATAGGTTCGGTAACGAACAGCTACATGCGACTCCTCTGAGAAATGTTACGATCAGCAGGGTGAATGGGGTCCAGGGTGAGCCTGTCGCTGCGGTGCTGAATGTTGGGAATCTCAGCTTTGCGTACGTTTACCCTCCTCTTGCTTCATGGTGATATTCAACATGGGAGGCTGATGAGCGCGGTTTGTTAGAGTGAGAATATATTGGAGGCCTAGGGTGTATCAGTCGGGACATGAAGTGGTATGTCCTGTTTATCGATTTCTTCTCACACTCGTTGTCACATCTCGATCCTCGGTCCTCAAAGGTCACTCATTCATTTCATCCGTACCTTGCCCTATATCCTGATAACTGACATGAACTCCCTGGCTGCGTTCCTTTTACGAAGTCCGCGTTCCAACCTAACACTGCGCTGGAAGTCTTCCACCAGGTTATCAATATGGAGCGGTTGGATCCTGTTCGAGGTCTATCACGCGAGGAAGTCGATCACCAAGATGGTAACTATATAGATGTGTGCATTGAAGACTGCTTTGATAATGCGCTATCGCATGGCTATGTATTCATTCTACTCCATATATGCTCCAGTCGTTGTCTGTCATCGTCTCATTTCCCTATGCTCTACGTTCGGGCAGCTCGAAAACGCGCCTGCGTCTACGCATTGCTTCAGGTTTTCTCTCTGTCTTTTTCTCCTATCAACTCGCATTCAGAATCTCAAGACCTTCTCCACCACAGGTTCTCGCCATCCATCCTTATTCTCGTCTCGCCTGCGAGAGTCTCCTGCATCGATCGTGCTCGCTATAACAGTCTTCCGACATTATCGATAATGTTTCGCCGAGGAGCCGCGCATATCATGCTATACTTCTTCGTCTCGGTTGGGCTCTGTCTAAAAGACGGTTGCTCGTGCTGTAGCGAGCGCTGAGACCGCTCTTCTGCCATGAGCAGGTGCCCGAACTGTATCCCATACTCGGCTGTAAATGAGCACATAGCCAAATTACATATCTGTGAGAAGCATGCCGCTGAGATCTTTAAACTTACTCCGGGAACATCGCTGAAGTCGCGCGGCGCTCTTCCCATGTATGCATGTGGTGGAGTACACGCTCCGGGGACATGTGCCGTCTACTCTCCACTCGCTTCGTGCTCCTGTAACGCGGATAAGGTGACTCGGGGATTTGGCATGAGTGTACGTCAGTGTCTCCCCTTGATACCCATATTCTTCTCGGCAGCTGCAAGTCGCTGCTACGTTGCTCATGCGCAGGCTATCCGTACAAATTGTGCCCACTGCCATAATCCCTCAACATCTGCCGCATTTCGGTGCATTGTACATGCCATATTCGAAAACGCGTTCGCCCTTTCCGAATACCCAGTGTGAATGTTCGATTCAGCGACAAACACAAATCACGTTTTGTTGCTAATGGGAACGGAAACCGATCCCAAGTTCCTGTTGCCGTACATGTACTGGCAGTAGTTTTTCACACCTTATCCCTCCGAGGACATCTCTCTCAGGCCTGCACCTATTGTCCTACGTATACGTACTACCAACACCCGCTCACGGTCACTTGGTCAATGGGAAGAGCTATCATACATAAGGACTTCACACTTCTGGCTACACCAAAATCAACACCACTTACTCCGCGCTCTATTTGACGGAATGTACTCTCTGACTATCCCAGCGCTCGGGGTCCTCGCTATCATCGTGCTATACGTGTGGCCGGGTGTGGCTTCCACGGGAAGTAAAGCAAGAAGGAAACTTCCTCCTGGACCACCTCGCCTTCCGTTCGTCGGGAGTCTTTTTCATCTGCCGAAAGGCCATGACTGGTTAGTGTATGAACAGTGGGGGAAGAAGTATGGTGCGTATCTTCAGCCGTATACAGGACATCTCTGGTTCCGCGCGGCTAACTTTGATGATTGAATCAGGCGGCGACCTCGTTCATATAGATGTTCTAGGTTCAAATATCTTCGTCGTGAACTCAGCGAAAGCTGCCAATGAGCTATTCGAGAAGAGGTCCTCGAAATATTCAGATCGGTGAGTATGTTCTCTCGCTCTGTTGATTGAATCGTATTGACATGACGAATCGGTGGAATAGTCCCTCGTTAACAGCGTTGACGCAACTGTGAGTCGTCCTTTATGAATCTTTGTCTGAAGCGATTGATGAACCTGGTGGATTGATGTCCTAGTCTCGGGTTCGATTGGACACTGGTGTTTTGTCCTTATGGAGACAGATTCAGAGCGTTCAGGAAAGGATTCCATACATATCTCTCCCCTGATGCAGTCAAAGTCAGTATTCAGCCTCGCATATCAAAACTCTTGTGACTGACCCAGATTTCATGTACGTGAACGGTCTGAAATAGGATTATCGCCACATAGAACGCAAATCAATTCATCGACTCCTTTGTAATCTCGCAGAAAAGCCGGAAGAATTTACGGGGCATCTCAGGCAGCATGTCATTCCGGTTTTCTCTGTCTTCCTGGGCTAACGAGTTTTGATTACGATTCTAGTATGGCAGGCGCTATCATACTTGCTATTGCGTTCGGTATCGACGTCAAGGCAGAGAATGACCCCCATGTCGAGACGGCTGAGAAAGGTTTGCAGACGGTTACAGCTGGGAGCACGACTAGAGCGGCTATGTATGATTTCTTTCCGATATGTACGTTGCTCCGATCTGTCTGGCTTTGTACGGCTAATGGAGTGGTCTTTATTGGTTATGGTAAGTGATGCGAATTCCATCATGGATTCCGGGAGCTGGGGTGAGTATCGTTTCTTTGGGAAGGCAGGGTTGACAGCACTGATAGCCTTGTGCCATTTACTTGTAGTTCAAAAAGGAGGCGAATTCGTTGCGTCGCTTTCCAAGGGCTATGTTGGAGGACCCAATGCAAGCCACGAGGGAGGCCATGGTGAAGTAATTTTGCTATCCAATACGTTTCGTTATCGTTGATGTACTTTCTTTCAACCACCATACCGCAAAGGCTGAGGGCAGGGCTACCTCTTCGGTGGCGTCTGCAATGTTGGCTAAGCTGGAGAGTCAATCAACTCTAAAATCAGAGATTGACGTGGAAGTAGCGAGGCAGCTCCCTTCTAATATGTGGGTACCCGAGCACACCCTTTGTAGTGTCGCATTACGATTAATCCTCTTCACAGGTATTTCGGTGGGCATGTTAATATTCTCTGTCGTATGCTATGCGGTTCTCACTACTGTCCTAATTTTACATCTGTCTACTCAGGTGGCGCCGACACAGTAAGTTTCCGCACACCGACACAAGATTTTACAGCTACTCGCTTAGTATCCTGATTGAAATAAATTGGAACTTGTAGACCGTTTGCGCCCTGCAAATATTTTTCTTGGCCATGACAACTCATCCGGAGATCCAGAGGCAAGCGCAGAGCGAGATTGATGCTATCATTGGTCAGGACAGACTTCCTGACTGGGATGACGAGACATCGCTGCCATATGTGGGAGCTTTGGTTAAGGAGGTACTGAGGTACGTTCCCGGAGTGGCCCTAGTACCTTCGCATATTTGCCAATTATTGGAACGCAGGTGGCGTATTGTAACACCGTTGGGCGTCTACCATCGTCTAATTGAGGACGATGTCTACGGTGAATACTTCCTACCGGCCGGCTCTACAGTCGTCGGAAACATATGGTGAGATGGCAACTTTCATTATCCCTCATGCAGATATCCTCAACCCAACTTATGCAGGGCTATCACGCACGACGAAGCTGTGTATCCTGATCCTATGAGCTTCAAGCCTGAAAGGTTCCTCGAATCAACCGTTGACTTCCCAGAGATGGTGTTTGGGTTCGGCCGTAGAATTTGTCCCGGGAGGCATCTAGCACTTGAGTCTCGTAAACCCATTTCATCATCGTCTTATTCATCACACTAACTCGTTCTAATGGCGTGCGGTTGCTCTCAGTCTGGCTGGGTGTGGCGTCCATTCTGGCCACTTATGATATTTCGAAGGCCGTCGATGAAAATGGAAGGGAGATAGAGCCTGTGGATGATTGTGTGTCTGGTATTGTTGCGTGAGCGATGTCCCTATCCTAACTCCTTGTCTAAACTCTGAACCTGTTTTTGCTGTGGGACACGCTAGGTACCCGTTACCCTTCAAGTGCAGCATTCAACCGAGATCGGCTGTCACTGAAAGGTTGGTCCGAATGACGGATAACGGCTATTGATCAATCTCCAGAACAGATGATACGAGCTGTCATCGCCGGGTTCGAGACGAGTTAAAGTGTATATACAACAGACGTGGGTGTTGGTAATGGTGCCAGCTTCCGCGCGCTTCCCCCTGATAACGTCCGTATTGTACTCGGCACAGATTGCAGCATACTTACATAGAGATTGGCAAAATCTTTCGTCGGCGGCCAGAATTGATTCTGCGTTCCTGAATTCCATGAAAGTCTCATGCAAGTAGTACCTCAGGGCCTGAGAATATGTGCCGTACTTGTGAGGTCGTATGCTATAATCACTAAGGCTTTCCCGACGGTCTTCTCAAATGTCTTACGTAATCTGCATTTTCCTGAAACATCCGACTTGTCCCATGAATACTGCGAGGCGGTTGCTCCACTCGTTTGGAATAACTGACGTGCATCCGATAAGCAGAGTCAAACAGCGTAGTTTCCCCCATATGGTGCCACAGTGATCCCCGTCTACTCCTCGAAGCTGTCGCTAAGTTCACTCGTTTCATATATCGCATGAAGTTTCTTCTGCCCGAGATCTTGCGAATATTAGAATGGTCCCTTATTTACTCTGAATACTTTAGCACTTTCCCTACCTTTTTTCCCTCCTTGACCTCGTCTCGTCAACCCCCGCTACACTGACACTAGGGTGCGCATCTTTGTTGCGTTGCGATGGGTGAATATGACAAGGTAGTTGGTAAGTCTTGAGCAAGACCTGGGTGAATGTGTTTCAATTCAATCATTCAAAGCTGATGTTGTACAATATTCTATTTCACTGTCTCGGGACTGTATAGGTGTTCTCTTGATTGGCCTGTTCTGTGAGAGTAGCCTTTATCGAAGTATAGAATTTCCATCCTGATTGACACGTTTTCATACAGTCAATGTGTTTTTGTATGGCCTTGTCTGCTATCAATTCCTGCTCTACCATCTTACGCGTAGGTTTTTCATTCTCTACGAAGAGGGTCATGCACTGATATACATATTCTTCGTCAATAGCGTTCGGCGATCGATTATATATCAGGTACGTTTCATATCGGCTTGTAGTGGGAGGACATTTGGTGGTAGCTGATAATTTGATAGGATTGTTGTCGGCTCCCTCTTTGTGGTCGATACTGTGCATGCTTTCGTGTATGTCGCATGTTCATCAACCGTTCCGTCGTTCATAATTTGAATCTTCTAGGAGTGTGTACGCGGGATGGGAAACTTGGTCAGCAAATTTGACTGCAGAATCTATCTTATTATTTCTGACTCGCCCCCCAGTGTTACAAACTTCAATAACCCAGCCTTCCTCGGAAGTGTGTACTCTCCATGTCGTCCACATGTCTCCTGCATGCTTACCCTTCATAGCTGTCAGTTGGACAATCCCATTTAGTATGTTTTGTTTCCTTGACTGTTCCGCACGAAACTGATTATTGATTTATTTGTCGGACTAGCGGCCGGTGCAAGTGTGTAATATCGTTGTATCATTGATGTGCGATGCAAAGGAGTGACCGTCTACTTCTGCAGCCGGTTTTGCGGCCTTAATTACCCAGGGGTTTTTGGGCTGGCGGTATGCTGTATCCTTTATTGTATGAAAGAATGGCCCACTAATATACGTCATATCCATGGGACGGTTCACAGCGTATATTTGCTCACCAAAAGCAAGCCTCTTGTCGCCGTTGTTTTCACGTTGTCGATCACTAGCTTCGTATGTGCAGTTACCGCAGGAATACAATCTGGTATCATCGGAACGTACGTTGCATTCAAGCCGCGTCCCATAAATATCAGTGAGGGCATAGCATAACTTTGGTTGACAGTGTCTCGGGTTTGTCAAGAATTCAAACTATTTCACTCTTGTGGCTCAGCTTTCAGACCTGCGCTGACATTGTTCTCACCGGTGTGCTCTCTCTTGTCAATTGTCCTCCTTTGTTGGCTTGATCTCATGTGTCCATTGATTCACGTACCTCTTCTGGTGTCACGCTCAGTATCCCTGTGCTGGACACTGTGGCGTTCTCGCACTGGGTTCGGCCAGACTGATGGCCTCATCTACCGGCTCATGCGCGGTGCCATTCAGACAGGATCCTTTGTCACCGTATTCGCACTCAGTGAGATGCTTACCTTTCACTTGAATACCGACACGAACCTGTACACGATGTTCGCGTATCCTATTGGCCGGATCTACAGCAACGTATGTCATCCATTCTCATTCTTTGCTCTGCCGTTTTCGTTCATTTTCCATCATCAATTCCCTCCATAATCACAGGTACGTGAAAAGTCGACAGCTTCAGCAAGTCATGAATACTCATGATTTACCTGCCACCTTTACACGTAGAACGAAATTCGGCAATCGGCAATGTATTGATGTAGAGGTATGAAGTATCTACTCGCCTATCTACACTCACAATGAGCCTTTGCTCTCGCTGATCTGTTGCCAAATATACTAGAGCGAGCTGCGAACTTCCATACGTCTTGGCAATATTGAAATGAACGTCCAAGTTAACCGCGAGATCGACTTCCAGAGCGACAGGGACATCGTTATTGGCGGGACTAGTGCTAGTGGAGAAACTAGAGTAGCGGGATCGAACTGGAGTGGCGATAGAAAGCCGGTCAATATTGGATAGGCATACTTCAAGTACTAGCTACGCATCACTCTGTTTTTCCCGTTGTCCCGGTGAAATTGAAGATCCTAGCTGTGAGGGCGGTGGCTTGGTGGAGGCCACGCGAGCACGATCTATAAATTCCCATCTTATATTATCTTCCTCACCACTCACACTACTCTCCTCGTCGCGTCCACGTTCTGCGCTCGATTTGCGCTCGATGGCGCGATGATACTAAGCCGACTGCCTCATAAATAGATATCATAATGTTCTACAGAGGGTAGTTCGAGGGGCTACGGACGTTGATCTCAAAGATCGTAGAGATAAGACAAGCTCGTCTCTCAACATAGGACACAAGAACCGGAAATGCCACCAATCTTCCAGTGCTCCACCCATCATCGAGATAAATGATCGTTGAAGTTTAACTCTCCGTCAACTGACATCAGCGAAACGAGACGTGGTCGTTGAGCCGCCATTGCAGTTCCAACGACGTAAGATGATTTTTTATTTATTTAAATACCACTCCCGATCGTCTCATAGTTGATTTTATCCTGTGTCAATTCTAACCACAGTAAAAGAACGAGTAGCCGACCCAGTAAAAAATGCGATTGTAGCATAGGTCATAAGAGCTGTTCAATTGATCTCAAATTGCCACCAAGCCTACGTGAGCCCGAGCACCCTGTTCTCCAGCTTTCCCCAAGATCTGACCAGCTCAATTCCAGCTGATCATCTTCGCCCGAACTCTCTTTACCTTACCTTACCTTACCTCTCACTTTCCCCTTCGGAGCCATCCGAGCAACTTGCTCTCCATGCCATCAACGGCGGTCAATATAAAGCCCCATAGTCTCACTGGGAAGCTGTTCCTAACACCGAAGGTGCGTAGTACGGCGTCCACGAATCAACGAACGCTACCTCCTCCGCAGGCACTTTCGATGTTTCCATCGTCCAAAGCCAAAGGGGGCCTCTTCGTGCCCTCTCCTCCATCGTAGCTGGCAGCGCTCGCGCTTTCGAGGGTTCCGCCTGCAACAATGCGCAGGCATGCATATGCATTGGCCGTACGGAAGGTTATTCGACCTGGGGTACACCTGATTACCCGGGTTCGCCAGGGCAAGGTTTCTACTCTGCGTGTGTCGTAGTATGAGCCCCGATAAAGCGGGCGGAGATAATGTAAGCGTCCAACTTAGATCTTCCTGCCTCTGTGTCGGTGATTCCCTGAACTATAGTCGTTGACTCTCAGCTGTATCGTTGCTACCGTGTGTATTCGTACACATTCATTGGTGCGCAGACATATTGATCGTGATATGAAGCGCTTTGCAGAGCGTCTTGCCAGGACTCGTGCTGGTAGACTTCGTACATCGCGGCGACACGGAGTTACTCATTGTTACACCCTTCAATAGAGGTCAGGGTTCGGTGCATTACAAATGAACACCAGAGCACGAGCAGCAAGTCGATTGACGGTGCAGTTTCGATACTACTACAGAACAGCGAGCGAAGTCCTGATCCTCAATCGGTTCTCTAATCCGACTGAAGGCTGGATGGAGACCCTTTATGAAGGGAAAGAGACTTTCCACCCAGTGTCATGATACACGGGAGCGCAACGTGCATGGGTGTCTGATCCCCAACGACGCTGAACGAGCGTGAGCGATCTATACCCGCAAAAAAAGAAGCACCGAAGTTCTCCTTTCAGTGCCAAGGACAGTAGGAGAACTCATCCTCAGAGCACAACTCGTGTAAAAGTCACGCGATTAGACTTGGATCCGTAATTCGTCCAGCACCAAAGAGACATCAAGGGAGAGGAGTTGCACAGATTTTACACGCAGTGCAGTACGTACTTATCGGGTCGCACCCCTACGCTTGGCTGAATGGAACGAGTCTCTCATGGCAAAGTCGTCCAGGCGAAGTCCAACGAACACAAAAGATGAGACAAGAGCCATGAGCGAAGGCTTACAGAGGGCGCACCTGGATTTACTACGAAAAAGAGAGAGGAGATATCGCATGGAGTACTGATGCCTAAATTGGCGTTAAGTTTAGGTGGGCGGCCTTCAAGAGGCTCTGAGTCCTGGAGTCGGAGGAGGTACAGTAAGAGTGGTGGTGCAAAGCCAACCAACAAACGACGAATATGCTGATTCGACTTGACCGGGAGTTTCCGAGTTCTTTTCTCAGGGCACAGGGCACACGTGGCTGCCAGCGCGCGCTCTGAGTCTCAACGACTTGAACCCGAGCCACAACTGCGACTTCGTCCAGTCGCCTATTGCTCTCAGCTTGTTGCCTCCACCCTTGTCTCTCACTTCTCATCGTGCCATGGCCTCTGTGAACGAAATCCCTCAGGAACTTCTGGATCATATCATCGACTTCGTAGACGAGCCCAACGCGACGTCCCTCATATCCCACCTGTGGCTCAGCCGCTCCAAATATCGCCAATTCCGAACCATAAAGCTCACTTCTCCCCCTCGTTGTCATTCTTTGCGGAAGCTACTCGTGTTTTCCTCTCCGAGTCATCTCGCTGGAATCGTCAGGACCCTTCACGTCTCGGGACATTCCGTCGATGTCTTTCGATGGCAAGTACACGATTCAAGCGGCCTCGTTTTCGCAGCCGGGGCCGCATGTTCGCGAATGGCGAATTTGAGGAGCCTGAAGTTGACCAGCATTTCGCTGGATCTAGATCAGCAGGCTACGTTCATCTTAAGCCTTATCGAGCCCTTCCGTTTGCTATCCAGCATCTCTTTCGATCATTGCACACTGTCAGCTTGTCTACTTCCCCACATTCTTAGCCTCTGTTCGAATCTTCAAAGGCTCTCGTTTTGCTTTTGTCATGATTCGGTGATAAATTGGATGACGCCGCCAGCAGAGATGACGGTGGCAGCGGACTCGCCACTCAAGCTCGAGTACATCGATTGTGATGACCAAGCACCTACAGCTGCGTTGTCACTAGCGACGAAGATCTCTTTCGCTTCCCCGGGCGCCCATTTGAGCCTCCGCATATGCATCCGTCGCACGTCTCCGAAGGATGGGTTCGTATCAAGCATGATGGTGGCCACGAAGGAGGTTCTCGGGGAGCTCGAGATCATATCGGATACGGCTCATCCGCATCGCACAGAAGACGGTATGTCCCACTCCCGATTTCGCCTTTTCCTTGATAATTTGTTCTGACGCTGTCTCATTGTAGAACACATTCCCCAGTGTCCTTCTCTCGAGAAACTTACGCTCGACCTTGACTCCGTCGAGGCCTATCTCCCTCACTTCCTTCCAACACCGCCTCCATCTTCGTCCCTCTCTTCCTTCCCAACACCTACACCGGCCACGACACCTGACGTTGACGACAAATCTCTGGAAACGACGGGAAGTTCTCGCACTCCCGACATCACGGTCCGCTTTCGTATACATGTCCAAGATGACTCGGACGCTACCGATTCCCACACTCCGAAACCACTCGATTCATCGCTCGACACTGCAACACAGGACAAGTTGCTCTGTCTGCGCGAGATCGTCTTACAGAGATCGGTCAAACGACTCACTCTTTGTCCAACCATCCGTAATCAGACTGGCACCGACAACTCGACGGCGTCAAGTGCGGGTGCGTCGAGCACCGTGACGGCGGAAAGAGAGGATGCGGAGGCGCGAGCGAAGATGATGGTGATAGAGCGTGAGGTGTCCAGCGTTCTTGGATTAGAGCGGGGTGTTTGTGATGTGGCGTTCGTCTGGGAGAAGTAATGTGGAGGTTCTGGTTTCCGTAGGCGTGTACTCGCACGCTGAAATATCTCAATAAATTGGTCGTCACTTGTATAGGACTAGTCGTTTTCCGGATGGATTATGGACGTGTTTTTCGCCTGAGCAGCATCCGAATAGATGTGACCAAACAGGAGGAATAAATGCAGAAAACCTTTACGATTGAACAGTTGAGCGAGTAAATAACGAGACGTCAAGGTCCAAGAGGATACATAACTAGAGCAGAGATCGAGAATAGCGAGATCTTAGGAAGTGGCTAGAAAGAAGCAAAACAACAGTAATACTAGCACAACAGGGTCATTTATGTGAGGTCGCTGGCCCCGCCACAGTGTCATGAGTTGTGTGGCGTATCACAACAGCCACTACGGCGATCGTGCTCCGGTGAAATGATGAGGGGATCCATTATAAGTACAACGAGCCCGAGTCGAGATGACACACGAAATGAATGAAGACAATAGACCTTATATGTTTCAAGTTTACTTGGAACTCGTTGGCGGAAGATTTGTCCGATCCGCCAATGAGCTTTCGTAAAAAGTTCCAAGTTTTGACTAACATATAAGCCCTAATCTGAACATCTGGATTATAGTATCTAGAAGTGTCTCTTTCATATGAAGGTCCTCGCCGGACAAAATTATTCGCATGAGAACAGTGGTTTCCGGACCGGTTTTTAATCAAATCGGGACGTTCTCGCACTGTTGACAGAAACCGAACCATCATTTCCATATTTCAACTCGTTCTTGATGCCAAAACTGGTTTCCATTGTCAGAACTCATTCTCGTTTTCAAAACTCATTTATAATACTAAAACTCCCAGTTTGAAAGGCCATACAGGGATGGAGAGTGCCCGACTTGACACGTTGAACATCACCAAGGTCTGTCTGTGGGAGACTAGTGCCCGATGGGGCCACCAGTGTCCCATATTGGGCATCAAAGGTGCCGGTTGCCGGGGCCACATCTTGTCCTGTAGCCACTGTGGCGCATGTATTGCCCGTGTATGCCTTTAAAGCGTAAGGTACTCCACTGAATATCAGTTCTACATGCCAATTGATGCAAAGAAAGTGTGCAAGACTTTAGGACCCCGCAGACATACCCTCACCAGTCGGGGAAAGAATTGCCCACTATAGGCCTATAGGCGGACTTTTCGGACTCCAGAGGTGCGGAACTTCAGGTGTACTTCAGGTGGCGAAGGTGTCTATACCCAACAGGAGAGCCTGTTGCAGCCGTGGAGGCGCATCAACTAATAAAGACGAGAGTTTCAGGTGACTCAATGCTGGAGGATATTGGCCACCGGGACATTATTATTTTTCTTTTCTTTTCTTTTGCGTCTCCTGGCTGGCGTGAGGGTCCCTTTCGGAGATGCAACTGCCCATTTTGCATCTCACCGCGCACTGATTGGCCGGCGAGACGATTCCCAACGAATTCTGAGGTCGAGAACGAGTTTGAAAACGAGTTTGAGTTCCGAATCGAATTTTGTGTGGGAAAACACTCGCCAATGAGGTAGGTCTACCAAATAGGGTGAGTATCGGGTGCCAAAATGGCATCTCGCACGCGAGATATTTTGTCCGCCTGGGACCTTGAAACTTTCAAGCTACTCTTGTGCCGGTGCCAGCGGAGTGTGTCTATTCTAGAAATACTAACAAGTCTTCCCAGTCAAGGTGGACGTAGGCGGCCTTGCAAATCAAGTTGTTCTTGATTCGAACCAAATAAGGACACGATCTGGACCGACCACCGGAATCTTCCTCTTTTTGATTTGTTCATGGGGACTCTGTATCCGATTACTCCGTTCCAACTTCTTCCCCTTCAAATGCTCGTATCGCGAATGTTGTGTTTCTTGGTCAGGCTTCTTCTCTTTACGTGCACTTGAATGTGCTTAGAATTATGGACGCGGTACTGACGGTGACACATTTTTGTTTACATGGAGGCGAGGCAGCTTAGTCCATCAGTCGAGGTGCTGTCCGTGTAACCCGTTCAAGTCTACTAGGTGGTTTCCGAGGGCCAATCTTCTCGTCATCTTTCATTGGTCGGCTCTTGTGGCGCACTCAATCAGTTTTAGACCCATCACATCTCTGATTTTACGATAATCACGTCGAGATCCCTTTTCATAGCTTCTGAAATGACATAGGGCACTTCCCATTTAAGGTTGGATGGCGCACAGATGTGCTTCCTTTGTGATGTGACCCCACAGACCGCGAGGGAAGAGTAGTTAACGTCAACCGTGGCAGACCGTGTGGCATGGTATATAATAGGTATGCAGAGTGTATTACCTTGGCAGCGCGAACCTGAAGAGCAGTTTCATGCTCATGGTTTGCTGTTATTATGGCCCACGCTCAATGTGGGCGTACTATAGGTTACTTATTCCGAGCTATCAGATGAGGCTGCTTCCGTACATCAGTACAATCCGATTATCAAACTGACGTGAGTGTCCTGTGCATCAATCAGAAGTTCCCGGGGAGCTTGTGTTGCAGTTCTTTCGCTCTCTGGATTATATATTTGACTCATCGTTGTGGATATCATATCTGTGTTCGCGACCTCAGAACACGATTGTCCTCAACTGCACCCGCATTCTGTGGGGCCGGGACCATTATGTCGTCTGCAAACTCTACTGTAGGTTCCTCTGCCCTGGTCTCTGGTGAGGTACTTTCGCTCGTTCAGAACTTGTTAGGTATGACGCGACTTAGCTTTCAATAGGGGAGTCCACGATAGCGTTTAAACGGACGTTTAAGCCAAGTTTAAGCCCCAAAGCCGCGCCGCGGTCTGAAACGCGGGCTTAAACGCACGCTTAAACGGCTATCGTGGACTCCCCTAATGTATAATTGGTATTGACGATGTTTTCTGCTTCATTACGCATAGGTACAGCATTTGTATGCGGAGCCGCTATGTATATGCTCTATGGAGTAACGACTCTACAGGCAAGACATTCCTGTCGGCTGCATTAGATTTCAAGTATTTACACTTGCCGTGATATCGCAGACATACATATACTTTTCCGCATCATTTAAGGACCCTGTCGTGGTAAAACTCGTGGTAAGGTCCAATTTATCTTGCCTGATGATCACTCCAAACTGACAGGCTCCAAAAGGCATATTCCTTATGGTTAGTGTCCCGTCACAGCACCATTCGAATACTTTATCGCTAATTACGGTAACTCATACAGGATCCTAGACACTGTCCACATGGGTCTCGGTATGTTCGATCTTTTCCGAAGTCTGGCTCAGTGAGCTTCCTTGGACTCAAATTTTCTGATAGTGAGCCACGCGCTTTACTACTGGCTGGTAAGACCTCTGGACATCTTCTCTGCGGTCTACTGCTTAGATCTTCGTGCTTCGTAGATTGGAAGTTATTCTAACACCGCTGCTCTTGGCGGTGGACTATGGTGTGTGACCGACTCTCGCCAACTATGGTCTTTAAATAAAATGATCTTACTACGCCACCGAAATACAGGTCACTCTATGTTTGTAGAAAATATCATTTAACACCATTTCCTAGTGCTAATGGCTCTATGAATACATCCTCTGCTTGCAGGCATCAGTTGCTATCAATGTAGGTCTTCCTTTTCTGGATGAATTGAAGAGATTGTTGATATTCAGAAAGGTGGTCATCGGCTTTGTCGTGCAAGTGTACGCAGTCAGATCCGCATCATGAGTGGCTCAGCACTGACATTTTCAACCTAGATACTTTGCCCATAAAATATTTTGTCGTGAGCGCAAAAAATTCTCGTTGGTGCCAAACGTCAGGCAGCTAACGATCATTAGTCTGCAAGCCCCGCTGGCAATGGATAGTAACGGGTCTTATTGTGAATAGTAGCTTTCTTCGATATGTTCAAGTTAGATGACTAACCTGTCGAGGTAGATTATCACAATTTTGATTAATGCAGGTATGCCCTATTTTCTGTACCTGTATATTTATTTCTCATCAGAGTGTGTCCTTATTTTGGTGTCGTATCAGCATTCGCCATTCGTGAGTTACCACGCAGCAATCGTCCACCTCACAGCTCATTCTCTGTATATGATCATATCTGCAGAAACGACTGTGCTCGTGTACGCTATCATCCCTCCTATTCCCATCAAAGTTATGACCAAATGCACTGACGAAATGAGACAGGACACTCCGTTGGGATCTCATTTATCTTGCAGATGGGACGGTCCGTACTTTGATTACCTGAAACGGTTTCCAGGCTCATGCGCCCTCCTCAGAGACAAGCACTTCTATCGTACATTGTTGCTGGTATAACGGTCAATGGAGCGATCATGGTAGCTCTTACGATACTACTTTACAACAAGAAGACATCTTTTCGCAGGTAATTTAGGGTCTTGTTTGTTTAAATCTCTCATATTCATTTATTCTTACATCAACTTTGTTGCAGAACAAATGCCATGATCCACGCATTAATCATCTATGCAGTTGAAAGATTTTTCTTCATCACGTACGTTGTCTTTCGTTCTTTGTACGATGGCGACTACTCACGATGATTCAGCGCGGTGGTATTCTCCCAACTCATCGGGGCAAGTAACTTGAACGTCATCGACGTGTATCACGGCTCATATCATAACAGACATTAGTGAACCCGGCTGCTCTCTGGCCGCTGGAGTTGAACTTCATAATTGGACAATGTTCGTGCCCGGACGTTGCTTTTCCCAGTTGAGAATTAACGCCTTAGCTTTACAGTGGAGGCAAATTCTCTCCTCGCCACACTAAACTCGCGTACCCAAATGCACAGCGCATCATCCAGGGACTCAGAAACGCTCTCCGGAATCAACAGTGTTCGTATCGGACGCCTGCAAAATTGGAACCAGCAGCATTCAATAGTTGTGGACGTCCATCCAAGATTCAATGTCTCGGCACAAGAGGCTGTTCATGGTTCTAGGAATATCGAATCTGGGATGGATGTGTCCCGCACTGAGTTAGTGGAGATGAGCGACTTTACCAGAGGGAAGGAATCGGGGGAGCATTGATATTTTGAAGCTTTTCCTGTTTTGTTTTGTGAAGGTAAGCATCTTTCAATAAAGATCGTAAGCTTGTGCTAATCCATTGAGCTTTCTAAGTGGTCCCGTCAGATAGATACCTATGAGTGGTCGCAGTACCTGCGTCTAAAATCGGACTGAGATGATTATTTATGACACAATGTACTGGATGCTATCAACGGAATCTTACGTGAAAAAGGTCTCCCCCGTTCGCAAGGATTCGACGTGTCATAACATCGCGCAGAGCGATAGTCTGAGTACACGGCATCACACTCACTGTACGATCAACCATGGCGATAGCCACACCATCCATCGGCGAATGCCACACAAACGCCACACATACCTCCAAATATTGAGCACATGAGCCTTTCGTGCTCTCCGTTTCTTCTCAATGAGAGATGCCACATTCTGTTTATATGTAGGTACTGGCAATTTGTCGGGTAAGATTTCGGACCTGTGAGTGGTTTACAACGAAAAGTAAAGCAAGGGCCATGATGGAGAAGTAAAAGGAATGGTCACGTATTATTGTAGGAAACGACAGCGTACGAGGTGAACGATAGCTACAGCGTAAGTAATCTAGGGAATATTTGCAAAGGATACGAAGAAAAATATAGCACTTCTATGCCTCCCAACCAGCCTGTGACTGGTACTCCGGTGGGGCTTCATGAGACTCCATCCGACTGGCCGGGTCTATACGATGTGCTACAAGTTCTACAATACGCTCTACATCCTGGTGCTGGAGCTGTGGTTCTTGAGAGCTAGATGGTAATGATCCGTCTGGCGGAGAATGGACAGGGTCTACCTCTGTGATGGCCGTCGACGGACCTGGGCTCCCCAGAGAAGACATTGAAGATTGGGTGGCCGTGGAGATTGGTTGGTAATGCTTATCGTGAGTTGTGGAGGTGAGGAAAATGGGTGTGCTGACAATCTGAGACGTGCTCGTCCCAACCCCTTCAACTTCGTCTATTGTGGTCACAACCCCTTGCCCATGTCGTTTGCCTCGGTTACCCGTCGCGTTGGGCTCTATGTCCTCGCAAGATGACTGTGCATTGACCTCCGTAAATGGATCGACCTCGAGATCGCTCGAGCTCTTGGGGACGGGTCCAGAGGATCCACGCTGGCGACGTCGAAGGAGTAAGAAAAACGCAGCTGCGAGCGCAAGCGCGATGACGGTGACGGCAACGCTGACACCTATGCCAGCTTTAGCACCCGTAGATAGGTTCTTTCCGGATGATATGCTAAGTAAGACGAAAAGTCTGAAATCAGCGACAGTTTCGCAGAAAAATAACAATACGTACGCAGGTTGGTCGGTTTGAGACCGGGAGTTATACAGAGTCACAGAATTAAGCGTGAGGTGATTTTGTCCCTGTAGGCCAATGTTGGTGAAATTGAGCGTATGATTGGAAGCCAGGTCCAAGCCGCCTTGGTAGAAGATAACTTCATTTCCGACGAGCCAGTTCATGCTGCCATTGAACACGAGGGAGGCATCATTGTCAATTGTCTGTCTCACGAGTAGGTCAGATCATTGGATACTTAACATGTAACTGAGAAACGTACTACTTGGTATGGACCATGACCAATATTCAGACTAGCATTGACTGCCACCGACGTTGCGTTCGAGATAGAGAAGGAGAAGGTAGAATTGGGGTTGACTGTCGACTCAAACGGTGCTGGAGTAGCGGCCGATGGGATATTGGAGACGCTCGTGGTCTGCCACCCGGAAGAATAGCGGAAGAAAGTGGTGTTCAGACTATCGTAGGCGGTTGATGTAGGGGATTTAGCGCTGCATCAATGTTATTAAAATTGTGCGCCCTAAGATACTGACTGCATGATATACGCACCCATTGTTCAAGGTCGACTCCACGAGAGCGCGGTCCAGGGCAAGGATTTGACTCGTATCAGAGATATTCGCGGTCAGCGTGATATAGTGGGTATTATCTACACCCAGTTCACCATCTGCAAAAAGCAGGGTCTTGTTCTGATTTATACCAGAATCGAGTACCACACGGTTGTCGAGGGTTACAGTATAAGGGCTGGTAGTGTTTCCGAACAGATAGATGCCAGAGCCTGAGAAACAAGATCGTATCAGACCACATCTCCCGAAGTTCTGACGCTACGCACCGTAGAATCTGAGTGTAACGCTCGCCCCATTGAGTCGAGTTTGGTGATACGAGTGTCCCTGTGGAGTGTCTCCCAGTCTGTGCGACTGGCTATCGATGTACCCGGAGCCGGTGTACCATGTCTTCCACCCGTCCGATATGTTGAATCCGTCCGCTGAGAAACTACGTGGTCAGTATTTATGATACACGTCTTGCATTGTGCGGTACTCACAATAAGGAGTGTAATTAAAGAGCAGACTATTGTCATCGATAGTAAAGTTCCATTTCGAGGCCATCGAGGAAGTGGTGGTAAGGGGCTCCCGGAGTTGTGTTTTCATTGTGGGAACCGTATTTTATATCAATGGCGCGAATGCTAGCTCGGCACAGTCAAAGCACCGTCCTTTGGGTGGGCGGCTCTAATGCTTCTATCGCAGATCACACTGCATTGAGGTACATATCTTGCCGTGCCATGAAGCAAATTTCCCATCATCATAGAAATTATGGCTCGACGGTCACACCCAGTCGCGTGGAACAGAATCTGCCAGTGGCCAACACGAAGTATTTGATACTCTTGAACTGTTGTGCAAGTAAATATCTCCTTCTCGTACGAACTCTGGTGTATGCCAATCGATTCGAGTCGTTCCAGACGGAGCATCGCATGTTCCAAAAATACCATAGCTCTACGTCATTCAGAGTAAGATCAACGAAGCTGACGACGTCAGGAGCCGCGAACTCTGCTGAGAACGAACTCCGAGTGTGGCCGTCTCGAAAGATGTACGGCCCCGAGACGGAAACGAGAATGACAATCGTATCGTAGAGCTGCATAGTTGGAAGAGATAGTATAGAGGTATGAACGAGACTCCAGTGATGTATTTTGGAGTATGTAGAGCATTTGTCTCAGTGGAACCTCTTACCCCGCTATATACCCAAATCGCCGAGAAGAGGCCTGGGGGCTGCGCGAAGGCGCCCATGATTTCTCGTTCGTAAATAAAGTCACAGCAGTCCGGGCAACAATATCAAGCGGCAGTCATCTGAGGCACGATGTAAATCAAGGGCAGGAGGGATCGCAAGCATATGGAGAATACAGAGCCCCGATCCTCCGAGTGTCAGTGGATCGATATTCTCAGCCTCAGAAGTTCATAGTCCCGACAGATATACTTCGATCACTTGAAAGCGCAAGGGCTCTCACAGACGCGTTTGGGTCTGCATGAGGCCTCTTTGCATTAATTGTGGAGCGCATCCCACGTCAATTCTCAGTTGTAGACAGAATGTGACAAGTGCCGTACGAGAGAGGGACGGAAGACGAAGAGGCGGTTGGGAAGAAGGAAAAAACACGATCGCGAACACATGCCACGCTGCCCGATACTGTTCCCACGGGCTCAGCTTGTGTGGCACAACGCCGTCGAGTGGCCCTTGCCCGTTCTCCCTGGTTCAAGTGCGGATTTCGACTACGTACGATAAGAGTCCGGGTAGACTGAGTGGAAGCTCCGAATAGGACTCCATTACTCGGACAATACATAGCAAAAACGAAACCCAAAGACCCAATAATGCGTGAGTGGGCGCAGGCTCAGACCAGTCTAAGGGTTAACGATCAAGCAGATGATATTACTCATATTAGAGGCGTAAAAAAATCGGTGACTGTTACGAGTAACAGAGTGGACATCTATGGATTTATGTGTCTAAATTCTCATTCGAAGCTCTGATAATTAGAGAAGTAAGAATTCACGAAAGTTAGGATACACATTTAGAAGCGACGAAGAACTAAATGGACCTACTGATAGCTCATGGCATTAAAAGTGTTGTAGGTTATAGATGATCATGCAGGGAAGCGACTGTCACATTGGAGGCCCACACTAGTTGGCTGACAAGCTAGAGATGAGGTACCGTTATTCGTTCAGCATCATTTCCTACAAATAGCTAACAAACTCGACGTACTTCCGTTCTGAACTGGTCCGGCGGCGTTGTCGATGGGGTGAAACATGCATGCGTCATTCTGGGCCAAGGGGGCGGCTCCGTTCCACTCGTTGCAGGCAGCCCCTGTGGAAACGTTTGGATCAGCGAGGAAGGGGGAAAAGGGGACCAAAAGCGAGGCGTACAAGGGCCAACGGCGACGCCGTCCTGAGCAACAACACCAGTGGCGAGCAGAAGCACCGCAGAAGCGACAGTCACGCAGAGAGAAGAGAATTGCATTGTGAAAAGTTGAAGCTGTTGAACGGGAGAAGTGGGAGAGGTGGTGACGATGAGAGACGAAGCAGGCGTAGATTTTATACTCGGCGAGGAAGTAGATAGGTGGATTCGAGGTCTACCCTCTTTACGTGCCCTCGGGGCAACGATGTTCATGTCGCGTATTCTACGGCCTTTTTTGGCCACATAGCTCGCTGAATTGTGAGTCTGAAGGCGGTGCTCACGGTGAGCCTGAGTACTCCAAGAGGGAGCTGAAACATCATGAAGATGGTCTGTGCGTCGGCACACACGAAGAGATGGGCACTGCCTTAATCATGTCGCCGTCGTGGGGACTCCGGTTCGAACTTCGAACAGAGGGAAAGCATCGATCATATTTATCTTTAGAACAAGCCATGCCTTACCAGCGACTTTGATCCCTGTAGAGCAAGCCCAATGTTACAAAGCAAAGCAATATAGCTCTTCTATTTCTGTATATGTGCGACTAGATAAAATTGTTCTAAGAGCTTTATAGGAGGTGAACATCACGTTCAGACTGTATCGCGCAACTGCAACAGATCATACATCTGCATGCTGCCTCTGTCCGCTTCAGACAAAGCAGCGCGGCGCTTTCGAGCCCCCGAGATGAAGCGAACAATAAATAAGTTGCGTAGATATCTCTAGCCGAGCACGGGTGTGAGTGATCAGTGAAGACACGCCATCCGCGGTGAACGGATAGGCGGTGACTTGTGGCCTTGTTCTGAGTGGTCGGATGAGTGAGAATTCGTTGACTGAGATCGACGAGAGCCAAAAAGGGCAAAAATAAGGTGATTTGGGTGTTTATGGGAACAGGGCTGACGAGAACCAAGCAATACGCTGACTATCCTCCATTCTGAGGAAGGTCATAGTTCATTCGCTAGCTAGCCGAAGACGTGTGAGGGTTGTTTCGTCAGTTGAATGGCGGTATCAGCCCAAAGAGGCGTATACTCGGGGTATTGCCACAAAGGACATAGGGTCCAGCAGTCATGTCGTGGTCAAGCCCGAAGACATGGTTCACGCAGTTCGAGCCCTTCGACGCTCCAGGCGCAGTATGATCGTGAGCGACGGAGTATGTTTTCTTTTTGTGGTTACCGTCATGCTCTTCTCTGATGACTATATGGTTAGGACGAGGATACGGGAGAAGCTGTGAGTGCATCCGATTCTCCCCATACCTGAGACCTATATTTAAGCATCCACACAGGTGACAGTGAGCAGTCGCATACCGCAGGCGGATCTGGAGGCTAGTACGACGTAGCGACGTCTCATATACTTGTCTGACGGACTTTGTTGGAAGAAGCCTCTGATAGCGACGCACAAATTAGGCGCCCCAAGCTCAAACCGAAACGGAGCATTGTACTCAGTAGCAGCAGTTCGGAGGAAAAGGTGGGAGACAGTTACCTAGGCTATCACGGTGCTTACAAGGAAAACAGAGCAATGAGGGGCCTTCATCGTCGCTTTCTTCACCGACGAAAGTCAAACCCACGACGCATAGCAAAGGCAAGGTAAATTGAGAGTTGTTCTCTCCATCGCGTTCAGCTGACCATTGACAATTGCCTTATTCTAACCAGCAACTTGCCAGCAACGCGAGACCTCCACTACGGTCAATCCTAGCGAAAGCTCCTCTAGACAAACTCGTCGAAAGTCTCGCCGAATCAGTGCAGATTGAGCATAGGGATCGTTGTCTAGCAAACAAACACTCCTATATTACGACCACCATCGCATTCTACCCATATGAACCACAAATATCCTGTACATATGTAACACTGTACAGATCAAATGTGAGTGCCGACAAATTGCACTCCTGAATGCTTGGCAGCATCCCTGTCAAACACTTTAACATCGACAGGACAAGTGATGAGAGTCGATGGCCGTTCGCCATTGCTATCGCTGAGGATGATAGCTGATAGCTTTACCCGCCCTCCTCAACGCACACAATTCGTATTTTAGAGGTCGATCTAAGGGTAGACGGGCCTTGGAGCGATGGTGTAGGTTCACGAACATATCACGCACTTGGGATGAATGCTTTCTGTCTTCCTTCTTCGCTAGTACGTATCTATCTACGCTTTCTTCAATTTTTCTTCATTTTCATCGTAGTATCCTTCGTTTTCTTCATTGTGGTCGCCGATCGCTGCATTGGAGGCTGTTTTGTTCGCCGAGGTGGAGGTGGGGAAGAGGTTTCGGATAACGGAGATATTACTGTCAGAGCCCTGGGTATATTCTGAGATAACGTCAATGGTAAAGACGTAGCGCATGGTGTTAAAGAGACGAGGGTAAGCAGTCAGAGTCAGGGCAAATGCTAGGAGACATGATTGAGAGAGGAAGAGGAGGGCGTGCAAAAAAAATATGTGACTGGATGGTCATGTGTTTGTGACCCAACGCGTTCTTGTGGCGAGTTGTGGCGCTCCTCGGCACAGCTGGCTGCTGGCTCGAGGTTTTTCGCTCCTCTCCCGCTACCTCCTGTGCTGATTTTGACCTTCGTTATTCTAGAGACTCGAGTCAACACTCCTGCGATGAACCAGCGATGTATCGCGTATTCTCATTATTTTCAAATCGGCGAACCGACCTGCAAGTGCCTGATGCAGCAGAACGAAATGTCAACCCCATATGTCGAGGCTGCCCGTAAATAACTATCCACTTCCCGTCTAACCCCCTCGCTGCTTAAGGTCTGTATAACTCACATTCCCGTGCTCATAGGACTATGTCCAAGAGAACCCAGATTCTTGCTTTGTATTACACTCGTATGTGGAAGACAGCAGTGCAATAGTGATCAACGACGTACAACAGCTTAACAGTGTCCCAGCCTGTGATGTGGTTTCCATTTCCGAGTCCAAAGCCCATTCGGTATCTCGCACTACTCGTGAAAAAATTAAAGTCAATCAAGTCGTTCGACAAGGTAAGCGCCAAAAGGGGAGAACTTCTTCGGGTTGAACGATCCTCACCTAACACGACTAAGACTTCGAGATCTACTGAAAGATGGAACATTCTGAACTTCTACCTTTATATCGTTGCACCATCGCTCGACATGTCTATTGCAACAATCACGGCCATTCGTCTTCGCCACAGCAAAGAATGTATCTGGATCCACAAGGACAGAGATATCCCTTGCCAACCGTTCGATGAATGGACTGCGACGCTCTTTGGCCCAGTAATCGCACTCTCCGTACGAACCATAGTGTGTCTCCACACGTTGAATCACTGAATCTTTGACCACGACCCAGAGCTGGTACCATTTTATCTGAGAAAATTTCAGATACTGATGACTAGGGAAAGTCTCAACACGACAACATACCCATAACACAAGCAGATGAGGCGGGAGAATTGTTGCCATCCTTCCAAGTGGAACTTTCAGGGAATGAGTCGATACGACATCGAGCACCATCGGATAGTCGTGCTTCGCTGCATAAACAAGGACCTCGTCGGCATGTGTCGTGATGTTCTGCCTGGACGAGGGCTACATCAATACTCATATTCAAACAGAGCAGCACCAGGAAAAGACACACCTCATACACATCTCACAGTGATTCATGGCAGGGAAAATCCCATACTTCTCCGCAGCCTCCGCAACCTTGGCCATTACTCCAAACTTCACGTCCATGAGGTAGAGGTACCTCTGAGGGTACACGAACTGAAATAGCAGGTCCAGAGTATCCGAGTCTTCGTCAAGAGAAATAATCTCGTCCGCTGGCGCATGGGCGTCACAAGGAGGGAAACCGCCGCTGCTATTTTCGAGAAACTTCTTGTGAAGACGGAACTGGACCCCGTCACTGGACTGAAAGACGACATCAGCCTCGTAGGCAGAAACTAGAGCGGAGAACGGATCAGCCGGTACAAGATCATAGACAATCGCTACAACACAATAGCCTACACCGTTTTGAGGAACTGCTGCTCTGCTGGACATTGCAAGAAAGGTAAAACAGGAAGGACACTTGGACTGGCCAAGAGACTAGAGCAGGGTTGGGGAGGGTCAATGGTAGGTCATTGACTCTTGACCCGGTCAAACGGTCATGACGTGGGTCAAGTCGGTCTTGACCTAGGTCTATCGGTCAAGTGGCGATGCAGTTCGGTGGCGTACGAATATTGTTGGCGGCCGAAATAAACGTAATGATTTCTATGAGATTCTGGAAAGCCACCAACTGTGCCGCCACTTGACTCTTGACTTGGGTCAAGACCCTCGGTCACGTCGTTGACTTAATCATTACCCAGGTCACTGACCCGGGTCACCCCAACTCTGGACTAGAGAGAGTCGAAGTTCAAAGAACATCGAGATGCGGGCAGCTCAGAACGCAGCATGTCACACTGAACGCATCGCGTCACGGTCTGTAAGTCATGACTGTGGCGAGGGGTGGCGTGGCGACAGTAATTACTTCTAAAATTGCCCGGCGTGGTTTCGACGCCACACTTCGATCAGCATCTCAAGTAGTGACCGAGGAGTCAGTCATCTTGAGCCATACGTATACATGCAGAAGGTTGTCTGTGTCCGAATTGAAAGTCGGGAGAGGATTGTACTGAGTCTCGCGCTCAGCTCGCGGTCGCATTCGTCAAATCGTTGACGTAGAGGCCCTCCCCCATTGTTGCCACCTGAGCTGTCCATAGGCCCCACGCCCTTCCAAGTCTACATTTGCAAGACTCAGTATGAGACATTTTGAGTTCATAGTATGGGTTGGAACTTACAAAGACTCGCTTTCGGTCGTGTTTGCCCCGTCAGCGGCTTCCCGCGCAGAGAGACCAGTACTTCCACCAAGCATCGCGGCGTTGAGTTGTACGATGGCATCATCGCGAGTATAGACCGAGCGAAATACCGCATCCCGGACTGAGGAGCCTCTCACAGACATTCCGTGGCCCCTCATGAGCACTACCTATTCGAATGACGATAGGGAGTGAACGTCAGAAGTGACCCATCCAAAGATGCAGTGCCTTATGGTGGCAACTCACCTGGCTTCCGTTCACGAACGTCTGAGCCAACGCCTCTCCAAGAATCGCAGTACGGATCAGTTGGTCGTGGGGTGCATTCTCAGGCAGAACGGACGTTGGAAGCATGGATGTGTCGAAAATCGGTGTTCCTACCGCGCCAACCGAGCCTGCCTATGAATACGGTGGATGAAGTTGACAAACAGCTCCACATCTATACAGGAATGAACGCACCGTGTGCATCTGCGCAATGAGTGGTACACGGGCGATGGCGAAGGGTAGAACTTCTGTAGTGTGGCTGTGGACTACCCCCATGACATCGGGGAAGGATTTGTATATCTACCTTAAACAAAAGTATGAGGTGGTTGAGAGAGAGTAAACGCTATGAACATACCTCGGAGTGTATGAATCTCTCGGCAAAACCTGATGGTACAGCGTCTCCGGTGACCGAAGAGTTGAAAGTGAGCGCAAGAGCGGTGGCGTTGTCGATCTCGTATCTGTATCTAGTGGTCAGACTTTTTTGGGACTGATGTTGGTATAGCACATACGTTACGAGGGCCTGCGATGTTACGAGAGCCGGCGCGAGAGAGAACGACCTAGTATCGTGGTCAGAACACATAAGTACCTACAAAACGGTGCGACATACAAAATAAACTGGCTCGAATTGTCTGGATTACGGACAGAAACATGGCCGAAGGCGTCCACTACGCTCAAGAAATGCAATATGTCTACCAAGGTGCGACCTCAGACCAGATATATAGGAAGATGACGAAAAGGGCCCATACGATTAGCATCAATGAGGTCCAGTGATACAGTGAGAAGCTCTTGGGACACGTTAAATATGCTCGTTTGCGATCTCGCGGTAGTGAGCAGTCCCGAACCGAGGAGAAGGCATCGTAGAAGGCTAAGAGCGCTGGTCATGACGTGTAGCGTGCCTTAGGGAGTACCGTCCAGATGGGAGTGCATTGAAGATGAGCTCACTCAGTTTTTGTTGGTGGAGGAAAAAGCAAAAATATTGCAGCCAAAAACAGAGGGCGGAACGGCAGACCGTCGAAAGCTTCATGGTGTGGTGGTAGTGAAAGTGCGCCCGTACTATGACATGATGTTGCCCAGCTGATCTCTCGACTTTAAGATAATTTCACCCAGGAAAAGTACGCCTGATTGTTTGAAGCCGAACTCGGCGAAAGCTGCACACGTCTAACTCTGCTGCGAGGGAAAGATTGGGCCATGGAGGAAGAACGTCGATGTGAACATCGGCAGCAAATCGGCAGACTTGTCCGGCAACGTCCGGAGAAAACCTGTCACGCGCCCGGTTTGTAGCGTAGTCGGCCTATCAAACTTGTTTCCTTGTTTCCCGAGCGCTCGCCTGCGCTCGCCTCTTTCACGACCCCACCTCATTCTCATCTCACTGCGTTGTCTTTCTACTCTATAGGTTCCCCGATTCTAGCTTCTCGAAACGTCCATACCAGCTTAGGTCTCCTTACAATATCTGGCAACCATACTACACGCCTTTCTTAGCCCCCTCGAAACCGTCCAGGTTAACAATATTGAAGGCCTATGTGACCAACTCAGCCTCAATAACATCTTTAACTCTTCAATCCCGAAGACCCTCATATCATCTGAACTTCAGGTGCGCTCGCGAGCGCATTTTATGGTAGTAAGAATCTTCGACATGGGCACGTGTTAGCTCCCATTTTTTCACGCTCTCTCGTTTTCTCAATGCTTGTAGAGACCCGTGATGTGATAATACCTTGCTTTCGATGCCCTATGCCGCCATCTCGCCATAGAAGATCAATTTTGGTGTGTACAAAGTATCCACGCCACAAGATATAGCCCCACTACGGAGCCCAAGGGTACGTTACTGGACTTTTTCGTGTGTCCATTCTTTCCAACTCAGTGGTATATCAGAAGATTCGAAGGGCAGTCCAGCTTGTGACTTGCATGGGGCCTCCTCATTACACTGCTCCTAGTGTCCCTACTCTCAGCCCTGACGCTACGTTAATTCAACGCTATACGATAGGGGCGCTACCGATATATGAACATACGCTTCTACTGCTTCTTCCCTTTCAACTCATCATAAGGGTCAGCAGCCAGTTCTGCCGTGTGGTCTGCCGCCTCTAGCGCCATGGCGGAATTCCGCGAAGACTTCTTAAACCCTCTTCTTCGTGATCACTACAACTCGTTGCACACCTACAATGCGTCCTATCCGAAGTCTGGTGTCTCTTTGTGGTCTCGCATTGACCGCCAATGCTCAGCGTTTCGTACGATTCGTCGGGACGGACGGACAAGTTCATTTCGGTGATGCTATTCTGCCCGATAACTCCACCGACGCTCGCTTCAGCACTTCAGCTCGACTTATCGACGGAGATATCTTGGGAACTTTCAACATCACTGACCAAGTCGTGGTATGCCTCTGCATCGTTTAATCGGCCTTCATCCACGCTGAAACGACATCGCGTTTCACGTTAGCCCATTGTGTCATTACTATCGCCTTTGCCAAACGATAGAGTCCGCAGTGTGAGATGTGTCGGGTTCAACTACGTGGCTCATGCGGCTGAGGTATACTTTGACTCCTTTTGTTTACCGTCCATTATCGCTCACAAAGTCTCGTGTTTCAAGGCCAATGTCACAATCCCCCAATTTCCCATCCTTTTCTACAAGCCATTCACAGCCCTCAATACCCCGACTGGACCTATCCCGGTGACGGCAGGCTACCAGAACCAGACTAACTTCACCAGTACGCCGTTCTTTGAGATCCTCTTGTCCTTTTCCTGAGCCTGTGTACACGTAGGTTCGATGGACTATGAGAGCGAGCTTGTAGTCGTCATGAAATCTGCCGCCTTCAATATAACGGAAGATGAAGCTCTCGACCACGTCCTCGGCTATGCAGCGGGTCACGACGTCTCTCACCGTGGCTGGCAAATTGATCGTGGCGGGCAACCTCAGCCTCAATACTCTATGGGGAAGGATGCTGACGGCTGGGGCCCGTGGGGTCCCGCGATTGTTTCAACCAGCATAATCCCTGACCCCCAGCAGTTGGTCGTCCATACGAAGGTAAATGGGGTGATGAAGCAGAATACCAGCACGTCAGATATGATCTTCGGAGTCAAGCAGCTGGTATCCTTTTTCTCGATGGGCATCACGTTGCAGCCAGGAGACATCATCTTTACCGGAACGTAAGCTTCTTTCTTGTTTGCTCTTTGGCTTTTGTTGTATGCTAAAGACTGGTGTGACTCCGTTATAGCCCTGAGGGTGTTCAGTTGGGTCAACCAAATCCAGTATGGCTTACAGACGGAGATGTTGTGGAAGTTGGGACCAGTAACGTAGGCCAATACATATCTTATGATGTGCGCACACCGCTCACCTATCCACCCTCCGAATAGATTGGAACTCTGGAGAATGTCATCACGTATATGTAATGCTCGTTGGATAGCCTTCCTGTGTCCTGCTGTTACCCACTGTTATCATGTCGGAGCAGAAACAGTCCGCGGACACTCAGACGTACGATGATCTATGGAATCTATTTGTGACGAAGCATCTCTTCCACGATCGTTTCATCCGTTCTTCCACTCTACCACTCAATTCAGGCTTAGATCCGCCTAGCCCCTGCGCATCTTCCCGCATCACGATGCGAATCAGGGGTGAGCGGAAAGATTTACTTCGACGCTGGACAATAATGTTTCGTTAGTTACGCTCCCGGGCCAGTATTCGGGAGGTATATCAGGAGTCTCTCAAATACTTCAATTCATCAACAGCCAAAGGGATGACTGATTCTGATATTCGGGCGCCTGATCAGGTCCCGTTATATTTTGGACAGGGACACCTATGGGCGTCCTTGACCCCCATCCCACCTACTCTCTCCCGCCATGGTGGAAAGTTGGCTGGCATCTTACAGCGGGCTGTATGTAGGCGCATATGCAGCTGGACTGTGAGCATACTTCAGGAGTAGTCCGTTATCTTTTTACTGATTCATGATTGTAACTTCAGGTTGTGTGGTTTGGTGACTTGCCAAACCTACATATATTTTGCGAATTATCGAGACGATACTTGGAGGACCAGATTGCTTGTATGTCCGTCTCTACTTCGTCTTCAAATGTCGTAGCTGAATCTGCGTGTCCCTGGATAGGTGTTGATATTATGGTGAGCTTCATGTCATTGACATTCGCCTACCGAACGAGCCTTGATTTCTGACCGTGCGACTAGGTTGATGGACACGTTGTCTGCCGTCTTCGCCGGCATAACTCTCTACAACATCACCATTCTATCCATACGTGGTTTGGTCGACATTCTGAACTGGCAGGTCCCATGGTACGAGTACAGCTCTCCGCGTCGAGCATCTTACCCTTTACGCTTACACAAATCGACAGGACGATATCGGTAAGTCTATCGCGACATAAGTCAACCTTCGCTGCTCCTGAATGCCATCAAAGGCTGCATTTTTCCTCGTGGTACGTCGTGGCCCATCGTAGACCTCTATGTGCGTTATTCACTTACGCCTACCGAAGTCCCTCACAGACGCTGGAGTCAAGGGGTGAGTGCATTTTTCACCGTAATGCACTGTGAAATAATCATTCGCAATGTAGATTCTACTGCCACAGGATATGGATATGTGGGCACTCTTCTGGCTTTATACTGCACGAGCTAATTCATGATATAGTCAGTGGAAAGAATGCGCTACTGACAGGAACAGCGGTATGTTATCAAAGAACGTAGTTACTTCTCGTATGTGACCGAGACTTTCCTCTCAAGGCCGCTTCGTCCCTTATCGCATTGGGTGAGTGTACGCACTATGTCTACCATTTAAATACTGATCACAGACTGGCCAAACCTACACAGCCGCCGGATTGTGTGAGTTGACGTTGATTCAACGTGTCGATATCTCTGACATACTCATACCCTGTTCAGATGCGACATCAAGAATGTGAGCGACAAGAGGTTTATCTCGCTGTACCGACTCACGAGGATCATGCTCTAGAATAGACAACCGGGCTCAAAAGGGAATTACGATGTTCACGGAGGTATGTTTCAGTTCTTCAAAGTGGGCGCGTGGCACTCACCTGAAAACTGGATAAAGCGTGCTATAGACATCTTCCTACTCACGATGTTCATCTCGGATACAATAATTGCATGTTCTCTTTGTGCGCTTTTGTGGAAGAGAAGTATAAAGGTGGTAAGGTATGTGGCGACAAGAAGTGCATATAGACGATAGTAGCTGAGATATTGTGTAGAACCGCGTCAATTACGAGGACCCTGATGGTGTATACGGTCACGACCGGAATGCTGACAAGGTTACAATTCCTTGACTTCCATAGTTTGCACTCTATCTGACCTTGCGACTCGTCGACAGTGTGATTGCGGCCATAACACTGATACTAGTACGTCACTATCTTTCTACCTCTTCGTCTCCCTCGTCAGATCCTTCACGTAGCTCATACTACCTCATCAAGTTACTTACAATGGGCTCGACCTTGGCGTACTTGAGCACGCTTCTGATTCTCAGTAAAGGTATAGTCCTCTCATACTCTTACCCCACGCTTACCCGGACAATCATCCGACATTGACTCGATTCTACGCTCAGTCTACTTCAGCTCCATGCTGGCGACGCTTAACCGCCGAGAACGACTTCGAAAGCAGATAGCCGTAGGGAACGGGGCCCTCTTGTTCCCTCCGTCTGGAATGGGAGGAATGGGATCCGCAAGTTATCGAGGGTTCCTACGCGCCCAACCTCCGGTATGTTCTCCCCACATAGACATACCCCTTCGTTATACCGCAACGGCTTATGCACTGCATCCAGGCGACCTACCCATCGATTGAAGGCCGAGAGTTCATTCGCTCTCGATCGCGGACGGCCAGCCTACCGATACTTCCGGGACCATGATGCTCGTAGAAGATACCCTGCATCGTCTGCCTCTTCCGGTGTGTTCTAGTTTTTTAATACACGAAACTATGCCTGCATACTCTATTGTTTCGGATAATTTGCCACGGTACCTTCAGAGATTGCTTCAACACCGGTCACTGTGACATCACCGGGATAAGTCGCTGCTGGAGTGTACGTTTTAGCGGAGTCCAGATGGAAGATCGAGGGTCTCTCCAATAGATTCCTCAGTATCCTCATCAATAGTCAGGCTCGTCACGCTGAGTTATTTTTGAGCAAGTACAGCATGATGTTTAACTACCTCAGAGTATGCCAAAAGGGCACGACTCGCACCTTTGCGACTTACGCCTGTGACTTGACGGGGTTGAGTCTGAAGATGGTGTTCCAGTCTAGCGTCTTGGCGATCATGATAGACGGTATGGCTAGGCTCTTAACGTGTAAATCGTAAGAAAATAATTCACAAACGGCATTTATTCTGCCATTTCGCTCTCTTCATAACGACAATTTCGTACTGATCAACATGATACTTCTCTTGCGAGAAACCAAAGACGTCTAGCGGAAGATCATTCCATCTCCGGCCTTCAGAGCCACTCTTTGTTTCCCTAGATATAGTGCCACGAAAACATGAGCGTCCTGTTTCCCTGTATAAACCGAGAAACAAACTCGCCTTATGACTGATAAACTTTCCGGTGTCCTCAGGCGTGATTTTGTCGAGAATATTCAACATGAGATGAACCGATTCGGAGGGCTCCAGAGGCACGCCGCTCCACTCGGGATACGCCGCCTTGAACGCTTGCATCATCTCCACGATCTTGGGCATCATCTCGGGAGGGGCTAGACATGGAAATGGTTAATTTGAGTGACGAAGGACATTTATGTATAGCGAGTACTTACGCATCTCTTGGGTGTTGACGACTCCTGGGCTTATAGCGAGACAAGTGAATCCTTCGCTCTTCAGTGCCACTGCAAATGTCGTCGATTAGACCTTCTCAGTCAACACAACTAGATGAAAGGAGGTGCTTACGGGCGAACTTGACATTGACCATATCTAAGGCCGCTTTCGACGCACAATACGCCGACTGTTGCCATGTACCTGCCTTCAAATTGAACTCTTCGTCTCCGAATCCGGAAGACAAGGTCAAAACTTTCTTAAGGGAGCCTTTCTTAAGGAGAGGGAGGAAAGCATTGGTAGTGAGAACTGGGCCGAGTACGTTGGTGGAGAATGCAGCGTTGAAGTCAGTCAAAAGCGATTTAGTGTCAGGGCTGGAAATATCGTTATCATTCGTAGTAGCGGTGAGTATCCTCGAGTAAAACGGATGGGGCAGGATGAAGCTTACAATTGAGTGATGTCGAGGAATGCTGTGGCAGCATTCATGTATGCTGCGTTGTTGATGAGCACATCCAATGATCCTCCCGTAATCTTCGCTGTCTCTTCGGAAGCTGCCTATTCACACACGCCACATTTCAGAATTGGCCGTTCCTCGAGAATTAGAAATGGTACAGTACCGTCAACTCCTCCGCATTGGTGATGTCGGCCTTCAGGATATGCAAGTTCTTGTCCTTGATTGCAACCAAAGATTTGGCGGAACCTGGGTTGCGGGCGAGAGCAATAACCGTGTTCCCTCCGGCAAGGAGTTGCACGACGAACTCGAGCTGTTTCACAGACAATTTCAAGGCGTTTATCGTCAGCATATTCCTCGGTTCGAGCGTAGGTTAACTGAGAAACCTCGAGCACTTACCCCAATTCCGCGAGAAGCTCCAGCAACAACGTAGGACGGCATGATCAGATATTTAAGGAGGCGTTTGTGAGGCGAGGGTCAACAGGATCGAAAGCGACGAGGTTGTCCATGTCAAGTGTTTGGCTTTGAAGCATTTATACGAATCCGCGACAGTGAGATCGGAGGCCGACAAGTCTCAATTCCCGAAATGGGACGGAAACAGAGCCATTGTGTTGACAGAAAAGTGATGACTCATTCCTTGAACATAGAGGATGAGTGATCTGATTCTGATTAAGCAGTAACGAGTCTCTTTGGTAGAGAGAGAGGCTTGCGTGTGTATGTACACACTCTGTACCCTAAATATACTACTTTCTTCTATGTGGCACAATTAGGATGGGCGTCAATGGCCAGAGCATGAAGGCGTTCACTTTCAAAAGTATCGTCCTCTAATGTCGATCAACTGCGTATAGGGACACCACAGGGGCCAAACTTTGCGAGCCCCGAACGTCGCTTGAGACAACCGTTATACTCGGAAGCAAATGGGGCGCCATGGACCAGCATGGACCAAACTCATCCTTCCGGCCGTCAAGGAAAGATGATAAATCACGAAGATATTCTTCCTCAAACCTCATATACATCCACAGATCCGTCCTTCTGATCTTTCTCCTTCGCCTCAGCCCCGCCACTCGCAATCTCGCTTTCATCGTCCTCGTCCCTCACCATTACACAATCCTCGTCGTCTGGATATATGGCTTTCAACCGCATCCCGTCTGCCTCCATCTCACCCAGATATCCCGGGCACACCTTCCAGCAGGCCCAATAAACAAGCGCACTCACGCCGAACCCAAATACCCACCCTATGTTACTCGTCGGGATCGGGTTGTTCACTTTGCTCGTGATCGCATGCAGGAAACCAGGGAAATCGGGTCCGAAACCGCATGCGAACGCGATGAAAGCACGAGGGTTGATTCCGAGGGTACGAGGATAGGAATAGGGCGAGGAGGGTGAGGTTGTGTAGAGATCTGGTGTCGAGAGACGTTGCTTTCGAATGATGTAGAGGTCGGTTATAATGATACCACCCATGCAGCCGAGCCACAGAGAGTAGTTCGACCTAAGACCATAACGCGTGAGAGAAGCTAGCGGTGAAGTGAAATGGACTTGGTCGTACAGAAATGCAACAAAGGCGGTAGCACCAGACCAGTTCCACGGAGTGAGAGCGACAGCCAGGATCGCTGAAAGTATCGCACCACGGAAGAGATCTAAGTAGCGAGGGCAGAGAGCCATCACGTCCGTTGCAAATGAGACGCTGTTCAGGACTTGTGCGTTAGCAACCTTACTGAACATGAAAAAAGGGGACGGGACGCACGAGTTCGCGGAGATGTTGACCCCAACAAGCGAAAGGCAGAACGCGAACCCGGCGAATACTCTACATTCCGAAAAGATGACGGTCAGCACAGGGCGACGATTTGTTAGAGGCGAAGTCGAACGTACTGTGCGGCCCTGGAATCAAAATTCTGTATCAAACTCGCAGGGTCGAACACCGTCACTCCCCAGAGTTGTTGAGCAGCATTCGCACATGCATACTATAAGAATCGTGTTGTTCACCATCAGAAATAGAGCAAACTACGGTATACCAGTGGAAGAAAGTGCATACTGCGCAGATGACGGGAATCGTCCCGCTAACTGGGATGATCAATATTTGCCAATATCCCGCACCAACCGTCCTAAGTATTTCAGAATATCAGACGAGGAAAATGTCGTAAAGTCCGCAGAGACAATGAACGCACTTTGAGAACCTAGTGAAATCGGGGACATTGATCGAGAGCTATGTGTGCGGCCTGGTAAGCGCCTATCGATCACCACTGCGAAGGGACACAATGCCCTTACCGTCGAATACAGGCCTGAAACAGAACGCAGAACCTCAGCATCGTGGAGCCATGGTAAAGGAGTGAGACGTACCGATGCTTGCATTCAAACCAGAGAGTATCGCAGTGGCTTTGGAGTATCCAGACGCGGCGACGACGGGCCCACTGATCAAGTCTCCGCCTCCCTTAGTCACCACAAATCCCCCTGTAAAACCATAAGTTGAGATGGCCTTGTTAGCAGTGCTGACGGAATCTACAACGGGAAGCGGGTTGATAATGCGGTGAAATACGTACAAATACCCATGGCAATGAAAGAGGGCGGGACAATTATTCCTGATCAATGGGGTTTACAACGTGAGACCAAGTGAGAAGGGTATGGGCCACAGGTGCCAGACCTTTGAGTAGGAATAGCCACTTGAGTTTCGGAACAGGAATTGTGGAAAGTGGCGTCTGAATGATCCCTGTATTCCCATGGACACCAATTTAGTCCCCGAGTGAAACGGTCGCAGGGATACATGTACTTGAACGTACAGTATATGAAGAACGACAGAAGCAGCGCACTGCTTATATTCGAACTTTCAGGGAGATGATTCGGAAAATTGGCGAATGACGGCCAAATTGCGGTGGTCATGACTTGGATTAATTGCCCTCCGTTGAGCGTAAGGATCGAGAGCCTAGAAAGCCCTGTTCGCTTAATACTCAAGATAAGAGGACTGTGCGGAAAACATACCACATGAGAGCAAGGAATGACCGGGAGACTACTGCGACTAAAAGGTGCAAAACGTTCAAATGTCGATCGTGCAATCACCGTAAAGAGGTACGAACAGTATACGCCGTTGACTCCCCATGCCGAGCGGTTAAGAACAGGGAATGGAACATGGTAGATCGAGCCCATACGACCGTGAAGAGTGATCACGAAGGATATGATCAAGAAGCCCTATGGCGCATGAATCAGAGAGACGAGACGACTTCTGGCAGTCGAATCACTCACAAAGAAGGTCAAAGGGATACCAACACGAGCAGTAATACCGAGGCCAACAAGTGACGATCCCACCTCCCAAGTCCTGCGGAAGAGGCGAGCGTTATACGGACATACAAATATCAACATAACCTTCAGTACTCACGCAGGGCTGAACTGATCGGAAGTCCAGTACCAAATCTACCGAGTGGCGCTAATCATGAGGCCTCTGGTTCTTCAAATGCAGATACGCAGAACATACAACATCTGGTTCAGAAGTATTATATGAGCGACTCCTGTCCGTGAGTTGATGTAAAGAATAGCGCAGACGTACCCATCCCAGTCCAGGTTCGGTCCTCAGGCTTCACAGGATCCAGATCTGAAGTGCGACATTGTCATCAACACCGTCAGATAATTGCAGGAGTGCCAACATAGAATAGTTCCACGCACCATGGTTACTCAACCTCGAGTTGTTCGAAAGGCTCCCCTTCGCAGGACGCAGACGGATCCGGGCATCGAGTCGTCTCAAGAAGTCCATCGTCAATGCGGTGAAGGCAAAGTACCAGGAGAAGAAGAGAAGGCGGTGACTCGTTCTCCACCGACGACGTGTAATCTACGCCGGTTTTTTGAGCGAGTGACGTCCCAACCTTATCTCGAGGAGTACTTCTGTCGGGTCGAGAAGTCGCTCGCTTCTCCTATTCCCACTCCGCGAAGATAGAGTGGTCGACATAGAAGCGAGCCGGAAGCGAGCTCCTCCATCGAGGCCTGTAAGTCCCTTGCTCAGTGCCAAGTTCTCAAAGATATCATGACGCGGATGCCGGGGCAAGCTTTCCTAAACTCGAACTAATGCCGCGAGCGAGCGCGTATGGCTTTGAAGACAGTCGTTCGGCGGTTTGTCTATTTTGCGGCCTGTTTGGCGAGTCTAGAATTTCCTCTCCTTCATTGTTACCCAGGGCGAAGAAGACGCATTGGACGAGGTGTTCGAGATCATGGTGGAGAGATAGCAAGAGAAGCTGACCACCGCCTCTTCGGGAAGAGACGGAACGCCGCGCGCAAATTGGCGGGTGCTTTGCGAAGCTGCTGATTGGCCGACGGGCAAGATAAGATAGAGCTCGCGATATCACGGATATCGCAGACTCGTTCGTCATCGCGGAGGTAAATACTAATAGCAGATAGACTCACTCAAGCTTCAGCAGTCCGTTCTAGTTGTCCTTGAACTTTTCGGTGGTGTCCTCAGCTTTCTCGGATTATTCTCGAACACACTAGGCAACGGATCTACTACCACTTTGTAAACATTATGGTTCTCAAGGCGACTGTGAACTGTGATATGGGCGAAGGCTTCTCGCTTTATAGCATGGGTGGGTACAGCATGTTCAATATGTCTACTTCATGCTATCGGTAGTCGACCAAGGTCTGTTATGGGCTGAATACCGTGCTCATAACGATCCGTAGGTGATGACGCCGCATTGATGCCTCTAATTCATCTTGCGAACGTTGCCTGCGGATTCCACGCAAGGTAAGTCGTTTTAAGTACATGAGATCAAGACGTCAATTCTAAGATCTGCCTTAGCGATTTCACCGTCATGAGCGAGACCGTGCAACTCGCAAAGACGCACGGCGTCAGAGTAGGCTCACACCCTTCCCTACCAGGTTCGTCTCCTACTTTTCGTCTTGACTCTCGTCTGACGTGAAACGGGTAACAGATAGGCAAGGATTTGGTCGCAGAGAGATGAAAATGACCCCACAAGAGTTCGCTGACTGTATAACTTACCAGACTGGTGCTCTATACGGCTTCTTGAAGACGCACGGAATGGAGATGTCGCATATCAAACCTCACGGGAGTGCATACGTATGTTTATCTTCGCAGCACTTTAAGGCATGATGTTCGTCTAACACAACCGCTATAATATAGGGCATGTGTGCGCGCGATCCCGAACTGGCAAAGGCAGCTGTAGGTGTCGCAAAGATCTTTGGAGTTGCTTTTATGGGTCTTGCGGGGACTCAGCATGAGGTCGCTGCGAAGGAGCTTGGGGTTCCGTTCCTGGCGGAATGGTTTGCTGGTACGTGTTCGAAAGTACCATGCTATCCGGAGTTCCGTTCCACGTGAGGATCTCATCGTCATTCATATATCCTTCACTAGATATGGAATACACACCGGAGGGTCAATTGATTATCACGAAGTGAGCAGCTCTCGATATCCGGGACGCCTGTGGTAGATATTTCTGACACTTGGTTTTCGCCCTCGGGTTTCCAGGAAGCATGACCCAGTCCCGGCAGATGAAGTCCGACGTCGAGTACGATGGATAATCTATCACATCGTCACAGACGACACTCTCATACATGAACTTTCCATTCACAGGTCATCAAGTGTCTAATTGACGGTCAAGTCACCACTACAAACGGGTTCGTCCCTCTCGGCGATGATCTATCCGAAGTTACCATCTGCGTCCATTCCGATACCGTTCGTCAGGTTTCCATTGTCTGATATTCATTCAACGAAGACTTACCGGAGATCTTTGTTTATAGCCTGGGGCGGAGGACATAGCCAAGATCGTCAAGTCGCTCGTAGACGAGATCAATACGACTGGGAAAGCGTCAACAGCATGATCCGCCCACTATTGAGGAGGACTCACAACCTCGTCTGCGCCTCTGAGTGATTCTACGAGATTTGTCTGATTCAGAATGAGGAATCTGGTAATGAACAGATTTGTGGCCGAAGAGATGACCAGAGCGAGATGAAACAGAGAACCGGCGAAGTCTGGGAGAAGTTGTACGAGCATGATCGCGACCTTGTCACTATGGATTAACCAGGGCTATGTTTATTATTTGTCGCCAAATCAGCATGGTACTATTCACAGGAATTGCCCGTAATCGCCTTTCATCCCTGGCTACAAGTGAACAACATTTCCGAATGTCCGTGCTCGCCGCCACACTTGCGCCACTGGTAAGGTTTACACATTCACGTAACACGCATTTTACGTGATGACTGTTGAAGTTCGCGTCTTGCCTCCGTGCGCGTCGCCTTCGAGGTTTCTGTCCGACCATCACACACCTGCTCATTCGATAACCAGTTCCACGGTTTTATCGAACTTCATCAGCCTAACTATCCATGCCTTACATCTACATCGTCGAGACCACATGTGTCGACTCGCAGAAATCCTCCAAACCCACGAAACCGAAAACTACCCAAACCTACTACACAACCCTCCGCTCCGCGAACCGCGCCGCGTATAACACCACCGTAGAATGCTATAAAGACAACATCGACGAATACGATGAAGAGTCACTCGACGATTGGAGGGCAGAATGGCGTACCTTGAGGGAGAGCGACAAGCCGTTCATTGCGGAGGGAGGTACGGACGAGGATGACGGGAACTTCGAAGCGGATTGGAGTGTTGTTGTTAGAAAGGTGGAGGCAGAAGGTCCGGATTTGGAGAAGGGCGAAAGGGACGACGTGAAAGCTGAGGAAAGTAGTGACGAAGAGGAGTTCTTGGAACGAAGGCAACAAGTCGTAGAGCGGAAGAAAAGGGTGGTGGCGTACTTTGCGGACCTGCAGAAACAGGCCCGCGGTAAACAGGAGGAGAAGGCGAAGAAGTCAAAGGATGGCGTGGATGACTCAGAGAAGCGGATGCCTAAGAGGAAGCGGGATGCTTGATGAGCCGTTCCATGGTCCTGTGTGGACGAGGAACGGACGCTTTTTCATGTACTTAGCAGACGTGCAGATCAACATCTCGACCGACCGATATCAATTGAGGCCGCTAGGACAAAATACGCAGTGGATGTGGGTATAGATGGAAGGCTAGTATGGTAGATGACAGATGCGGATGCACTCGTCAAGGGATATTGCTACATGGCCCTCTGAGAAGCGAACATGGAATGAAAGCTCTCACAAAAAGTCGCGCAGAGGCTTCACGCCCGCAAGATCCTCCGTCGTCTGTTTCTTCCAACCATTCAACTGCTGAACACAGCATCCAAAGTTCGTGTTCTTCCGCGTCTCGTATTCCGCCTCGAACAGCCTTTTCAAATCAAACAGCACAGAGATGTCAGCGAGTAGTTTTGCAGTAATCGGGCCGCGGTATCTCTCCTCCCAATGTCGACATATTAAACCAGTGTTGTTTAGAGTAGAATGGCATCGGTTGAAGGAGTTGTAGTTCAAGGCGGTGTTCCTGATTGAAATATACTGCTCGTGATATTGGATCTAAACAGTGGCTGTTAGTCGTATGTCTGAGAGTTCAAAGCGAGGGAGAGGAATTATGTACCCACGGAACGACCAGATGTTGAGGAAGGGAGGACACCATCGCGGAAAGAGATTTGCTCAGAGCTTGTGGGGCTGCGACATCCAAAAGGTACGGATAATCATGCTTTGCCGCGTACCCTATGACTTGCTCTGCATGGTCGTGGACGTGTGCTCTATCATTAGGAGGGTCCCTCGGTCAGTGTGTGTAGATCGTCAACCTATCAAGGAGCTGAAGCTCGCACCATCACGGATATGCTGCTTCATGGACTTACTTCATGCAATGAAGACAGTGGTTCATCGCAGCGTATACCTCATACTTTTCTGCAGCCTCCGCGACAGGAGCTAGGATCTCGAAAGCAACATCATCGAGAATCGGGTGACGATTAGGGCAAGTGAACTGAAACAGCAATTCCAGTGTTTGAGAGTCTTCCTGCAGTTGTATGACCTCTCCGGGACCAGGACCAGCAAAATCAGCGGGTGGAAAGCCACCTGCGGTGGCGTCGAGGTACTTGCGATGTATCCGAAACTGTATCGAGTCGCTGGATTGGAATACGACATCGGCGTCGTAGTCTGAGACTGGCAACAAGGAGTTATGTACATGAGTTCATAACATGGTGAGTACTCATCAGTTCTGCTCTGTACTTACAGCGTTTTGAGCATATCGGAGTCAACGTAGAGGCCATTGATGGTGGTCAGAGTCAGAAGCAACGAGATGGAGGAACGCCACACAGCACCCTGATCACTCATTCGGCAATGGGCGTGAATAACCTTTTCTCCGCCACAAAGGTCCATCCACAAAGATCGCCTCCTTATCGGACGACGTTACTCGCCAGCGACGACCGGAAACGGAACAATGTGCCCGTCTACTAGGGGTTATTGTTATGACACACAAAGGCACGGCCGAATTTGGTACCAGGACAATGATTGGCGGCACTCCCGTTGTTACGGTCTTGTTCGGTGCCACGATATCGCTCAGGCCTGGATTTCGCATTGTTGCCATGTTTTGCCTTGCCGGAGTAGCAAACCACATATAAAAGGGCGCCCCTGCACCCCTTTCACTGCATTCCACCACATCATCTCTACGCCCATCTTATTGATTCGCGAATTACCCAACCCACGCCACATTCATATCTGCTCACAGTACTATGACTGAACAGAACCACGCCACTGACTTGAACGCCGTAAGTCTCCTTCATCCCGACGTGTCTATACAACGCTCGTATCGACCCTTCAGCTGACAGGTCAACTCCCAGGTGCAGCAGCGTCTGCTCCGAACGACTCAGGAGCTTGAATCAGAGGTAATCTTCTACAGCCTTTATCCCTTGTTCATGTCGCTGATGTCGCAAATTCTGACCACTCCATACTCTATCGTTGACGGCTCTAGCACTATTGCACTGACCTTACGCAGTGGAGCTTCAAGGAGTTGAAAGAGGCCAAAAATCGTCTGCGCGATCATAAGGCCGACCTAGACAAGCTGCAATGGGCTCGACGAGAGGCAGGCATGTTGAACCCGGGAGATAATTCGATTATTGACTCAGAGAAATTGAAAGTGGCTCTGATGAAAGGGACACTGACTACATTGCAGCTTACCGCCATGAGAACTTCGGATTCAGACGACGACGACGACAACAACAACGACAGTGATGATGGCGAGGAAGAGCCCGAGAGGGGGAGGTCGAGACACAGGAGGGTTGAGGTAGACCTTGACGGGTAGAAGTGATCACTATGCTTACCGACTGATTTCCATGAATAGAGAACATAGATGATATGGTCGGACTGGAATAAGAACTATAGTTTGTCATAAACATCTGCATAAATGTTACCCATATCTTGTGCTTTCGTGTCTCCTGGGCACGCCCGGTAGGCCTCAATCGAAAACGACCAGCCGATCGCCACTCCCAACCACATCCCCCTCCTTAACAAGCACCCTCTTCACTTTCTTCCCAACGAACTCCTCCTCCGCCGGCACGTCGATCTCGGTCTTCATGGCCTCGAGCGTGACGATTACTTGGTCTGCGTCCTTTATGACATCCCCAGGTTGGACGCGGATCTTCCAGATCGCGGCAGCCATGGTTGAGATTATAGTGGGCGACGTAGAGTCTGTTTTTAAATCAGTACCATAGATACCCGGGCACATGAATGAGAGACGCAAGGGAAGAGTAGTGTAATGCGCGTACCATCACCTGCATCGCCACCCTGCGACGCCACTTTCCTCGTATCGGCAGCCTTCTCATCCTCCCACTCCTTAAGTAGCTTGTCCTCTCTGTATGCCGCATCACATCGAGACACTTGATGGTCAGTACAGCATTTGCGACCGAAAGGGCTGCGAGCAAGAGCAACTGACCGATCTGACATCTCCTTGACTGACCGTGCCTGCTTCTCCCTAAAGACTTGGGTCTCATCCTTGATAGACTCTATGAATCGAAGATAATCGTTCACGACAAATGGCTTGTCTTCAATCTTGAACTTATAGGTCCCTGCGTCAAAGTCACGTTCGAGCTATTACGGCAAGAACATAAAGTGAGCACAAAGAAGCTTAGTGAATGTGCAGCCACAAAGGGGAGTAGCTCATACCTTCTCATACTCTTCCTCTGTGACAGGTTCGAAGCGAATCTGCTCTCGACGATATATGAATGAAAGGTTGAATATTCAACGAAGTGATTCCGTAACGATTATGCAGCGAAAGCTACGAACCTGGTCAAAGAACCTGAGCAACCACGGAACGTCCTCACTGAAATCCGGGCCCTTGCCCCAAGGCGACCACGGCGGGAGTGTACGACCAAAGAGCTGATAGCCACCTACATGGTGACAGAAGCCAATATTTCATGAGCTTTCAGTACGGAACGAGTCAGAGAGATCATACGTACCTGGTGATTCGATGGGATATATAGCAGCTATAGGGCCAGCGATCCCGAGCGCACCACGCGGAGTGCTAAGTGTATGGCCAGTTCAGCACCTGTTGCCAGAATCTACACGCCGCAAGAAGGTATACTCACTATGTCCTCGAAGGGTTGTACTTCGACCCCGTCAATCTGGCCCTCGGGTCTACGGGTACCTACGCCCACACGCACCGATCAGATCACCATTGACTGAAGGAAAAAGTGCGGTAGCGAATATACACACTAAGAACGGACAATCGAAATAAAACCCAGCTCCGACGGTGATCCACTCCGAGCTGATCAACTTCTGAAGAGCTTCATCCGCGCCACCTGCAAGACCATTCGTCTCCGCAAGGTACTGAATGTTGCTTGGAAGGTCTATGAACTATGCCTCAGTTCCAGTACGGAAATGTTGAAAAGGAGGACACTCACAAGAAGCCTTATTCCTCGCAGAACGCATATATCGCTCCACGGCCTCGCGGTTCCACCTATCGTCAAGCACGATGGGTAGTGTGAGAAGACGACCTGTATGACAGATGAACAGTCAATGACGAAATGCACAGTGAACAATGGTAAGACGTGAGGATAAGAAATGTACCGGGGAAGACTACATCTTTCAAGCTATCCGGTAAACTCTTCTCTATCTCCATCAATGTCTCCAGCAGGTCGTACTGATCCACCACAATCGGGTCCATACAGACCTAAGACATGTTGCGAAACAGAAATCCAGCATGAGCTTCAACGAAGTCGAAGAATCAAGGTATCGAACTTACCATCGTACTCCTGACACACGGCGCCAAACTGACCACGCCACTCAACTTCCTTCCTTCCTCCCCCTCTCCGTTGGCCTTCCGTCGCTCCACCTCCCTTTCAAACAGATGTATCCTCGCCCTGACCTCCAAATCGACCTCGTCCTCTCCGTACTCTATCAGGATGAATCGATCGCCCGCTTGCCTATACACCACTTTCGGTCTCCTCGTCTTCGGATTGAAAGGTATGACGGCCATTATAGGTGAAGCGGGGATATCGGAGTCGTGTGCGGGCACGAACGAGTCCACAGTCAACACCTTGGCCTTCTCCGAGTCTGGATCTCCAGACAATCCAGAAACGAAGTCCGCGATAGATCGGATATACGCCACATTATGCTCCTCCAGTCTCTTCGCGTCCTTCAGACTCACCCTCCTAAACCTGACCACATCGCCGGGCCTCAACTGTCCCAATCTCCATAAGTCTCCAGTCGTCACTGTCGCGACGCAGACGTATCCGCCCATTGAAGGTCCTTCCGCAGTTAGGAGGACTGGTGTGTCGCCGTTCTGGACATGTATGCAAACGATTTCGTTTCAATGAGTAAAAAGAACGCAGGGGAAACGGGACTGGGAGGAAAGGATGGAGCGGGACGTACGATATTGACAGCACCATACGCATAGCCATTATCGAGCAAGTTACTCGGATGACTCCCTCCCATCCCTCCGTCTTTCCTCGCCCAATCCAACTTCGGACCTTCGAGTCGAATGCCCATTCGGTTGCTTGATGGGCTGACCTGTATAAGACGCCACGACACGTGTCACGTAGCGTGAGCAACAGTTCCTCCTGAGCAAGCAAAACACGGACGAGGAAAACAAATGTATAGATCAAAAGCAACAAAACGAATGTACCTTCCACCCAGTCCCGAAAAATGCTCTTAATCCTTCCTCCGTCAATATACTCTCGTCCGCATGTGGGCCAGCGACGACAGTCAACGTATGTTCTGTCGCATATGACGGTCTCATCTCCTCTGGGATCATCACGGTGGCGTTGGTCGAGAGCTCATCCTCCGTCGGGCCACACGAAGATGAAAGAGCGAGTTGATCGTTCGGCGCGAGGTTACGGCCCTATGGATCGAATTTATCAGCATGCGTACAAAAGCACAAATCCAGGATAACAGCCTGAACGAAACACAGCACAACATACCTGATATCCTCCAACCCCTAAACTCGTACTCTTACTTCCCAAATAACTAGGCACCTCCGGGAACCCGCCCCTCACCGCCAAATACGCCCGATACCCTCCTTCACCTCCACCTCCTCCAATCATTCCCATATGCAACGTCTCCCCCGCCCTCATCACCAACCTCGTCCACATCCCGACCTCCCTCTCCTCTTTCCTTCCTTCCTCATCCTTGCCACTAACCTTCATCTTAACAGAAGCGCCACTAACCGCCACAACCGCATCCACCCAGAAATACACCTTCGGCCCTTTGAGCGTAACCTCGATCACCTCCACATCCGCATCATTCCCCACCAACAAATTCGCCACCCTCGGCGCCAACGTATCCAAAGGCCCCGACTTCGGGATCCCAAACACCCTCTCCCTCCCAGGCGCCTGCTGCACCGAGCTCGCCAACCCAGGCTCCAGGATCGACAGCGCGTGCGGCGTGTAGGAAAAGGTGTCGAGGGTTGTCGTCAGTGCGTTGCCGGCGCGGAAGATGGGGGAGGAGAGGACGGTGGAGAGGTAGTGGAGGTTGTTTGGGGGTCCGTGGAGGTCGGTTTGGGAGAGAGCGGTTAGGGTTTGTTGGAGGGTGATGTCGCGGGCGGGGATGGAGGCGGAAGTGGAGGAGTAGGAGACGATTAGTTTGGCGGCGAGGGGGTCGAAGAAAGGTGTTATGTGGGTGCCGCGAGAGACCTGGTGATCGACGTCGAGAGGAGTTTAGTCGAAATCTTCGAACGTATATACGCATGTCAACCCAGACGAGAAAGGCTTGCGTACGCACCCATCCGTCGACTCTCACCCCATCTCCATCATTCGTCTCGGGCCACACGACCTCCTGCAAGATTCCTGGACAAGGAACGAAGCCTCTTGCCGCATCCTCACAATATATCCTGCATTGTATCGCATGCTTATTCTTCGGCACTGGTCCGTATTTCGATTGATCAAGGACCTCAGGAGCCAGGCCGCCTTGGTTTCCTATTGTTTAAGGAATGCGTCAGTATCTATAACCAACTGCGTAGTTTGACTGAAAGGCATGATCGACAAGCAAAATGCACGAGTTCATACCTTGTGCACGAGCCTCGAACTCTGCCACGCCCTGCCCAATCATCAACTCCACCAGATCCAGGCCATGTTCGGAATGTACGGCCTCTGTGATCGTATGCTCGACCTGCAGGCGCGCGTTGAGCTCCAGGAAGAAATATGCGCCTGTCTGGTTGTCGACTATGAATTCGCAAGTACCTGTCACAACATACAATATCAGTTTATTGATCGTACTTGAGGAAGGAGAATGACGCACCGGCAGAGGTATACTTGATTTCCGAGCATAACCTCGCGGCAGCCGTACACATCTCGTGTCTGATATCTGTGTCGGACGGAGAATGACAAGCGTGTATATCAGTATTACTCTTGGTGGCAAATGACGGCCCAAGGTTTTCGGAAAATGGAACGAACCTGGGTGCCTCAACATGAACGGACTCGGGGTCTCCTCGATGACTTTCTGCCTTCTTCGTTGGACGCTGCATTCGCGTTCGCCGAAATGAATGCAGTGGCCCAGCCCGTTACCAAATATCTAACATCAAATAATGAGCAAAGGGAAGGGCAAGTCAGTAAATCGATTATGTTCGAGTATAAAGTTGGAAGGCAATAGAACGGGTTGGGGTAGCGCCACACTCGTAGCGCTACGCCACCCAATTCGCGAGCTCAACTCACCTGGACCTCGACATGCCTCCCCTCCTTGACGAACTTCTCCACAAATAAACCTCCATGTCCCTCGCCAAACGACACCTCCGCTCTCTCCCCCGTCTTATCAAACACCTTCCTCATCTCCTCCTCCCCCTCACACACCACAATCCCCATCCCGCCGCCTCCACCCGTCGCCTTCAACATCACAGGCCAACCAATCTTCCTTCCCCACTGCACTGCAGTCTCGACGTCGTGCACCAAGCCTTCGCTGCCCGGAACGACCGGTACTCCAGCCGAAATGGCCAACTCTCGAGCTAGATGCTTCAATCCCATACTCCTAATCGTCTCCGGTCGAGGACCAAGCCATATGATCCCGCTATCCACGACTTTCTTCGCAAACTCGGAGTTCTCGCTCAAGAAGCCATAACCGGGTATAAGCAACGTCGCACCCTCGGCCTTCGCGATGGCGAGTATCTGGTCTCCATCGAGATACGCACGCGAATTGGTTGTCGGGTCTGTGACGTGTGGCGAGAGGGGTATCGAGACGGAGTTGGGGCAGTGGGAGGGCGAGGAGTAGAGGACGTGTGGAGATGTGGCGTCGGTGTGGGTGTAGATGGTTATAGTCGAGAGGCCGAGACGGTGCGCGGTGCGAAGAATACGGTATGCGATCTCGCCGCGGTTGGCGATGAGGAGCTTGTGTTTTCTTAAATCGAGCTTTGGGTTGGACATTGTGGACGCTCACTCGAAGGTAGTTTCCGAGTCGACGATAGCCTGAGCGAAGTCTGAGATGGAATCGTCATTGTGCTCCTCCCAAGATGTTTATAGCACGTGTAATAAGGCAGAGGTGGGTTATCATTGCACACGTCAGGAGGTCGATAGATATCGACGTATAGCAGCGGCGGTAGATACAGTACCAGAGGAGCGTTCTCAATGTCGGACTTCCGTCGACTCGAGTGCCGTAGGCAATCATGAATTGAAATCATGAATTGAAAACGGCTCGGGTAGATAAGATCAGTAAGCGCGCGGCGATTGCCGATCTACATCGAAGCGACCTTACCACCTCACCGCGCGATTTTTCCTCGTTACTTTCTATCAAGTTCGTTATTAGAAGTTATCTGCTCTCTGAATTCTGAGTGGAGACCCACTGAGAGCCAAGTGTCTGATTGGCTAGTTCGCTTAAAATTCAAGCAGCAGACAACATCTATTTCCGCACCCGGATCCGAGTCCTGCTCCCCTTTGGCTCCCCTAATTTATCACTACGTAGATTCTATCTATTCCAATAACATTTGGAAAACCTAACGGGCACACTCTCCGCCTGTGCACATCCAGAGCGAGGGCCACTGAGACACCGACATCTTCGATACCCTTTCCTACCCAGTCCTCATTGGTCACACGTGGTCCTCATCTGAACCTTTCGGGTCGCCAATATTAAGCCTGCGATAGTTTATGCCAGAAAACCTAATCAGATTACTCCCCACAGAAGAGAACACGATGTCCTACATTTCTCTAGGCTGTTACATGCGTTCTGGCAGCGTCTACACCATTGGTTCCGCTTCTGCAAAGTGATGTCCATTATCGACATCTATCTCCTCGTTGTCGTGATATTGGCTCTCCCACTGGTTTGGGTCCAATGGCTCTCCTATACTGCCAAGGCAAGGGTTTTGTGCAAACTTGATCTAGGAGTGATTATTGGCAGAGCGGTCATCAACGGTGACACCAGTAGCGTCGTCGTTTCGGTAGCGTAGGTTCAACATGAGACGAAGTTGATGCGCAAGTTCGGTATACTTCAATAGGCTATGTCATGGTATACGCAATGGGTAATTTTTTAGTCCACGAGGAGAGTTCGGGGAGACGGTATACAAGGCGTACATGATGAAGTAAGGTGACAAGAGAGATCTGTAGTCCTGTAGTCATATCATTATGTGTTTTTCTTGGATACGGTCGGTGCAAGACACATACAACACCGCCGATAGCAATTACCTATGCATTCTTGAGTAAGTATTTCGCAAGCAACTCGAAAGTTGCCAAGCACCGAAGATTCTTACGGTCGTCGCCGTCGTTGCAGCTCCAATGAGAAAAACTGTTCTAAGAAAAGCGGGCACTGAGAGTTTATACTCGAAGCAGCTGAATAGAGTTACAATCCTTACAGAAAGTATAGAACGCTTGTATGTGGTGCGATATCGATATCAATGCTACTCGAAATATGGTGCTCTCGAAACGGCTTACCGTCGCGTAAGAAAATTGAAGTTATGCCACTCTGTCCACGCCTCCGCATCTCAATAACATGGCACAGGGTATTTTTCACTGTCAACGCAAACACAAGCATGTCGAGTATAAGCCCGATAATGGGCGTGGATAATTCTGCTGTGGTTGGGCCTTATGATCAGGTCAGTGTGTGATTCGTAGGATAGGGACATACATCTGATGTTAGTCGCTAAGATAATGCTTGTGTCTCACTAAAGAGGAAGAAGAATACACCGACATGTTATCGAGGTGCTGGAAGCTTTCCTTCACTCCATCGCCACATCGTGAGAGCCCGAAAAAAATAGTGTTTCGCGTAGAGACTCCATAAGTAGAAACTATTTGCAGGAAAGTAACAAATCAGTCCTACGGTAATCAGTGGGTCAAATTAACTCACAATTATGTCGAAGGCTAGCCTCGACATTATCAAGACAGCTGACACGCCAATAATAGTCGTGCTTTGATTGTATATTGTATACACACGGAAAGCGAATAAGACTACATGTTGTAAGCATCATAGCCGTCTCGTCAACTCTCGCGTATTAAATGTACATCCAGTATTAACTGTAAGCAGTACTCCGAGGAAACACCATACTGCATTCGCGGATTTACATCTAGAGATGATACATCAATAGCTTATAGGAGTTGAATAGTTCTAAATAGTACCCACGAATGATCAGACAGTGTACCAGGAAGTACGAGGGCGATCGAAATAATTTTGTAAATCAAAAAGCCATAACGGTTGACTAGAAGCAGCATAGCGGTTCCTGTTAACTTTTGGGACCACACAGAGCCAATCTCCATCGGAAGCGTTTGGATGAAGTCTATGATCCACAGTACTACAAGATAACGACGGTCAGAGCCTATTTGGTATGAAGGGAAAGAGCCTTACCGCTGGACGATATTTGCACATAATTTACCACCAACCTATTCATGCATCACAAGGATAAGCAAAAACTGACAACCTGTGTCTAGCTCTATGGGGAAGCGTACCACGAATCACGATTGAAGAAGTGACAAGTCCTCTGAGGATAGGGAAGAGTCCGACATGGGGCGTGGGGAAATTTACACTGCGATCAGGTGAATGAATGCTCCGGGAAGGATGAAAGAAACTAGAGCGCGGATCCAGGGTAGAAAAAGTGTTGCAAAGTGTATGAGGTCAATATTCAGCAGTATATGTGCTGAACAAATGCTGTACATTTAATATGAATTTAAACGATCAAGGAGAACGGATCATCCACCTCAGATACAGAACTGTTCTGCCAAGTAAGCCCGAATAACTGAGACCCTAGCTGTGCAATGAGTGTCTTGTGATTGGTTGAACACGTTCTCAACTGCCCGAATAATGAAACCCCATATAATGTTACTGATCCTCGTAGAACATCAGAGAAGATCCGCTCAGGGCCCTCATCATACGAGTAGCCCAGATCACAATCAGGCGCTAACTAAGGATGTGACATGTGTAGAATTCAAATGGAATTGCATTTGGGACCTTTGCTCTGCCGTTACCGTAATAAGAAAGAATGACTACGAATAGGGGTATGAGCTGCTCTTAAGTTATATGGCCACTCCAAGCGCACTGCATTCCTTCGATGAACTTCCTACATTCCTTCCTTCCTGGAAAGGGGATTTTTTTGTCCAAATCATGATCCTCAAACATTTCATAATATCGGTAAGTTTGGGATATTACTGGCAGCAGGTCGCTAATCAGAGCTTAGCTCGTGCCACTGCCAGTGGGCGCTGAAGCTTTGAACCAGGTTCGTGCTTCAGCGTGTGCGGAACTTTCGCAGTCTCGCGCCTAGGGAATCTGTCTTACAACCATCAGTCATCCACCCCCACGCGGGACGTAGCACCTGGCGGGACGATCCCACTAAAAATGCGGCCATCACCGTGGCGTGCACGGGCAACACTGTCAAAGAATTACGAAACAAGACAACTATCCCGCTAGGTTCTACGTTCCGCGAGTGGTGGGATGATTTTTCTCCATCACCTCCTCACAACATCATCTTACTTTGTGCGCTGTTTCGATCCAACTTCCAATGTATTTCCAATCCAAAATCTTTACCCTCCTCGAGGTCATGTATACTTAATTAATTGTGTATCGTTTTACATCCGACCTTCCCGCATATCACATGAGATCACAAGAAGTATGGACATGCCAGATCCTACGAGTAGTAGACCTTATGAGGTTTAAAGTTTACTTGGAACGCGTTGGCGGAAGATCTGTCCGATCAGCCAATGAGCGTTTGTTGAAAATGTCAAGTTTCCACTCATATGTAGGCCCTAGTGTTCTCGTTCAGTGCTAATGTTCTAGTCTGTTGGGTGCACCGGAAGGTATGGCACTGATATTTGGGGGAAGTGAGTGTGTACGGGTCTTTATCTGGGCTATGCAGACGGCATGATGTTTATGAATGGGGAAGATGTGATGGGACATGATCATCCACACGACTCAGGAGACCCGGGATATGAAAATACAGGGTTTGAAGACAAAGTTGTCTTCTGTGCTTACTGTTAAAATTTCGGTGCTTGCTGTAGGATGTAATCTCCAGGCACTTGCTCAATACTTTTATTTTGTACTATCTTTATGGTCCATGGTGGTCCATGGCGCCTTGTTGACCATGCACTGCTCACCCCGATGTCTCATAGATTCGAGGACTGTCTTCACATCGGTAATCGTCCCCCTTTTTCTCCTTCCATAGTCGTAGTTGACGGGTAGTCAAATTATAGGAAGGTATGTGCGCTGATATCTCGAGGTCACTGGTACCCATTTCAATCACGCCACAGGGAACGCGTATGCCTTTCTCTTGGATAGCGCGGCGCATTTACCGCTTAATCAGCAGCGTCTCACTCATCACTCGGCGACGATGAGTAATCCATGCAGCGTCAGCGCACAGATTGTCTCGTTTTCTCCTTTTTGACTGATCAGACCTGTCGTGTTCATTGTCATGCATCTGTATAAAAGCATCGAAGGCATCCATCTGAACTGATTTAGCATCACACCTTGATCAATCTTTGCACTCAAGCCAATCGTCTCATCCACGCCTTTCTAACTAGTAATTTCTCAAACATGCCGTCGTACGTTGTTGCTGGAGCTTCTCGGGGACTGGGAGTAAGTCTAGTATTTTTCAGAAAACCTATGAGGGAAATACACCGTTGCTGATGATAAGGGATTTGGTGCTTTCTGTGAACTCTAGCTTGAGTTTGTCGTGCAGCTCCTTTCTGGCGGAAATACGGTGATCGCGTTAGCCCGTGACCCGTCTGCGAAGTCCTTGGTCGCGATCAAGGATAGTAACTTGCATATCTTGAAGGCAGACATCACCGACCCCGATGCATTGAAGGTCAATATATTATCGTTATATTGGTCATTTGAAGCTCGTACTAAGCGTCTACGTGTGTAGGCCGCTGCTGAAGAGACAGCGAGAATCACCGGAGGGTCCTTGGACGTGCTCATCAACAATGCAGCATACACCAACCGTTTGACTGCGTTCCTTGACGTGACTCAATTGTAAGCGTTGAAATTCTTCGCGCCTTCCCTATCGATTGTCCCCTATCGTTCCTTTAGTTGACAACGGCATCGCTACTTAGCCCTGATACCTCCGCACTTCTCGCCGACTTCAACACTTCCTTTTCCACCAACGTTCTCGGCCCAACCCTCACGACCAACGCCTTTCTGCCCCTTCTCAAGAAAGGCACACTCAAGAAAGTTCTAACCTTGTCTTCAGGAATGGGTGACCCGGAGATGAACCTGAAGGCAGGAATATCGAACCAGGTGGCATACTGTGTGTCGAAATCGGCTCTGGAGATGATTAACGTCAAGTTCGCTCGTGAGTGACTCCTTCTTCTTCGTTTTGTTTCGGAAGGTATGAATACAAAGGAATGAATTTATGCCTTGACAGTGGCGCTCAAGGACGAAGGGTTCACCTTCCTCGCCATCAGTCCCGGACTCGTCAACACACAAGAGGGAATTCGTGAGTAACTCATGAACCCCTAATCTATTCCTTCGTTGTGTTCTGGCTGAGATCAGTTCCGCGAAATCCAGCTCCTCCGGAGATCATGCCCCATATTGTGAAGATGGTCCAGTCATTCAAGTCGGTGTACCCTGACTGGAGTGGCGTGCCACTTGAAACTCCCGAGTCGGTCGGTTTCATGCTCGACATTCTCGACAAAGTCACGCCTGAGGACAGTGGGAAATTCATCAGTCACAAGGCGAGTCTAATTTAAGTTTCTGTCGTTCGCAATACGGTGGATAAAGGCTTATCAAGGTTCTCATGGCATGCAGGGGAACAAAGAGTGGCTCTGATGGCTTCAGGCTTCATGGTCTTCTGCTCCATTGTCGGGCTCTAGATGCAAAGAATGTTATAACTAACGGCATTGAAGTATCAGAATGTTGTAGTTATAAAGAAGGATAGATATCAAAATAAATATTATCTCCTGAGAATAAAGAAGTTCTTTATCGCGACGGGACCTCCTATCCACCCGTACATCAACGCATTTAAGGACAGAAGACAATGTTGATCTGCGTGATAGCATATATGTCAGGGAGAGTAGGTTCAAAGATCTGAGAAGATGCGTACCCCAACGTCATCGCCAAGGCATTGGACTGGGGCGCCGTCTGCAGTATCTGAACCGGTATACGCACCAGGGCAAGTCGCGGAGGTGCAAGTAGCGCTCTTCGTGCATGCTCCCAAGTAGTTGAATGCCATGTTGTACTTGCTACAAGTATCGTACAGCATGATCAGATCCACCACGATCTATGATAATACTAAGGCGAACTGGGAAAGGGACCTACTACAGATGATTGCCCTGCGTCTGGAACGAGAAGTCCGCGGCGTTCTGGAATGGGTCGTCGTTCCGCAGCGTGAACTCGACAACACCACAGTTCACACCTGAACTCTGGCAGTCTGCGCCTGCGAAACCGTCGAGCCAGGCAATGCCACCAAGAAGTTGGCCTTCAATAGTGGCTGGGCCTTGCGGAGTACCGTCGGCTTCGTAGAGGAAGACAGGACTGCCGGATGCGCATTTGTTGGTCATCTGTGGAGAATATAGATGTGAGAGTGAGTAGAAAATAGAGTAAAAAGGCGTCCGGCAAAATCGTACAGTGACTTGATGAGATTCGGCTGAGGCGTAGCTGACAAGGGCAACGAGGGCCGTGAAGACAGGAAGGGCAAACATCGTAGTGTTTATGAGAGCAGTTGAGGTGTATAAGGCGGGTTGAATGTGGTAGAGGCTGGTCGACTGAATGATTCTATAACTCGTCAACGATAGGTCTGCCTTTATACTTCAGAGTAGTATATCTCTGCTGCCTCTGAACGCTTTGACTTCGTCCATTCAGACGACTCCTGCACTGTTCCGACGGCGCAGTGTATCGGAATATTATGCTAGTAGTTTGATACCAATTAGTGCACACCGTCAGTGCACTCTCCTGCCGAGGACGATGGCACTGAATATTAGCTGAATCACTGGATGAATCCTTCGCCTTGGACGAGTGCCCCAAAAGCGCATGAGGGTGAGGAGCATACCTGTTCACAATCCTGCATTTTAGGACAAAGTGGTCTGTTTTGGCCGACAGGTAGCACATGTATCGCAGCCCGGGACGCTCATAGAAGAGGGAGTATCAAACAATGTCACGCAGCACCGCTCAGTCTGTCGACAAGCAGGAAGCAAACCACCGGCAATCAAGACTTACATAGATCCACATCAACGACGGGGCATTTGTGCTCCAGTGTAGCCTCATCGCATGACGATAGTGCCAGTATCACCTGCAGGCGCCGATGGATACTGTCCAGCGTGAGGCATCAACACATACGGGCCTGGTATACATCGTCGTACTTTCGAAAGAGATCTTCAGCAGACGAGCCCAAGAAGATTAAATTGATACGCTTGAAGGCGTATTGCAGCAACTGTAATAGGGCATAGCTGTGGCCATGCAGATTCAAAACTCCGCCAGTCAGGTAGTGGCTGGTAGCGGGTTCTGGAGGAGCTCCAAGTGGTTTCACCGATAGATATCGTACTAGTCTCGGCAAAAGTGCGCAAGTGCGAAGCGAGTGATGGTGCGCGCTCAAGGAGACCCATCAGGCGGAAGTCCGAGTCTCCTATGACGAGGCGGTGCTGCCATCAAAGCACAGAATCAGAGGTAGTTATCAAGTCATCGAGAAAGAAGGGTCTGTAGAGACAAGCTCTGCTTGTTGGAAGGATAAGACGACAGAAACACTTTGCCCCCAAGGATAGAGCCCACATGGAACACTGGCCCAGTGGGTTCCATAACGAGCGAGGGGACAACACGGTACATGGAACGACTGTTGTTACAGTCCAACTCAGAGATGCACGCTAGACTCAGTTCGATGACTCCAGCAGTGATTCGAAGTTAATCGACGCTCTAACACAGTAAGAAGAAGAAAAGGAACATCTACCTACAGTAGATCAACTCGAAGTCCTTAGCACACTTGAGGAAGATCAACAGTGGGCGCTTTCGGTTCCCTCAGCACCTAGACATTGTACACCATTATTGATCGGTATAAGCAGAAAACTTGAACGCTACCATATGCTCGTAAACACCCTCTGGTATAATAAGGTCCTTTCATTGGATTGATGATTCGTAGTTTAAAGAGCACGAGAGGCACCGTGACATGGACGACTGAATTGCTTGCATCGCAATTTGCTACGGAGGTTGCCGGGATCATTCAAAGCTCAGCTACAGTCGGAGCTTCGGCCAGCTTTGTGAAGCCGGCTCCCGAGCGCCATTCTTGCCTGACTCTTGTGTGTTCAACAGCTGCGATTTTCTGTACGCATGGTGTCCACAGCTAGATATATGTCAGCTCGTGTATAGAGGGTGCTTGTGTGTTCATGGCCACCTCGACTTGCCCGAAGCCATCCGTTTCTGGAAAGACGTCGACTCTGCCATCGAAGCCCAGTGAAGAGGGAACGATAGGGCTCAAGCCAGACACCGTAGGCTATACTCAGTCACATGCTGTCAAAGGCTTCCTAAAGTCATATCCTATAGGCACGAATTATAAAACTACGTATTATAAAAGACGGGTATAGTAGAAACGAGAGTCCACGTTTGCTTCTGCCAAATACTCCCACATCGTTAGACGACGCCTCTTATCCGACAAGCAACTTTGCCTCAAGCCCTCCTGCCTTGAACTGTCCTGATGAGCCTCTCTATTCTTATCTTCTCTTTCTCCAATACGAACAAGGCCCTAGGCGTGAGGAAGTCAACTCCTTCGAGGCCCTCCGTCATAGTATCGACGTGACGACGATAACATCTCAAAACGTGCTCCTGGCGGTCGAGGTCGGCTGCATCATAGCCTGAAGCGGCACTTTCGGATTCACAAAGCGCAATCTGTATGAAAGCGAGTGACCTGCTAATGAGTTTGTGTGTCTTGACCAGGGCTGTGATAATTTCTTTGGAGATGGTTCTGACTGGGAAAATACGTACCCAGGTTTCTGTGTGATCGATTTGTTCCGTCAGGTACTCTAAGGACTAGAGAAGAAAATGCCATTAGAAGATAAACGAATACAAGGATACATGAATCGTAGAAAGAGGGAAACAGGGCGTACATGGCTGAGTCGACTACGTTCACGTGGGACTTCTTCGAGGGAGTAGCCAGGGTGCATGGCTCCTGGATGTGATGGATGTGATTGAGGATGGAACGCTCACGGACAGTTGTAGAAGGAAAAGTTGTCTGGATGTGGACAGGGACGATGAGAAAGCCAGAAGGAGTTACTAGCGTTAAAACACGACGACAAGTTGCTTTTATATGCACGGTTGGGAGATACAAAGAGAAGGGAAGGGCGGATGGCATTGAGGATCTTGATCAGTAATGGAAATCAATACAAAGCGTCAGCGCCTCTACACCCAAGGCAGAAGTGCCATTCGATAACCTATTCTTGTCAGGACTAGTGAACTGTGAACATCCAACCCGTCAGAGTCAATTGAAACTAAAAATCCAGGCCGCAATACGGTTTAAAAAGGGGAAGAGCGACATAGTCACACCAAGTCGTCTTGTGCATAGGACGCCACTCGTATGGCATGGCAACGATGCAGGAAGCAGAATATGCAAACGCCAGCCAGGACAAAGACAAATTCTGAACGCGGTTAGTACCCATTTTGTACAGGCCCACGCTTGATCGGGGACAATGCCACATACAAAGCTACGGCAGCCCTGGCTGGCCACAGCGATGCAAATGCGGCCGACGCTGAGACAGTCCCATCGACGCACGGAGACAACCAATTAGAAAGCATGGAACGCACACGCGGATGGCTTTGGTCTTTACAAGGCTGGAACATATCGCCACCATTAACATGGAGCGACACAGAACGAGGCGGAGGCCAAAGCTCTGAGAAATACCCACGGATGTCGAAGTCCCAGATCATCCGCGATCCTGAGCCATCGATTGCCCAGTCCCCGACCGATGAATATGACCGTCGCCTGCTCGCAGGCGACGGTCATATTCTTCGGTCGGAATGCCACACTTACGCCTACCAGCCCCCAATATCACAGCATTCCTCCCAAACTACATCGGAGGTCCACCGATCCACCTCGTCCCATATGCAGCCCGATACGCAGGCCTATGCTCTCCTCTATCTCTCTACTCGTCACCTCTCACAGTATCTACCCGCCATAACAATGGCCTTCGCCAACACTTCGACCTCATTCCTGCCTCCTCCCATTCGCCATCCGCACATCCGCCATCCGTAGTACGTTCACTTTGATTTCAGCGCCAGTCACTTTCAGCCTCCACGTCGACCTTCATGTCGGCACCATTCCCAATCAGTGGTTTGCGGTTCACGGCGCCATCTAGTCCAATTATCCAGAATACGGGATACGAGAAATACGGGGCCGGGGATGAGGGTAGATGAGGAGCAGGGAGTATAAAGGCATATATCAAACGCCCTTTTGAGCGCGTTCCCGGCTCGAAGTATGGAAGAGGAAAGGTTGGTGGATTGTTCCTAGGACCGTGTCGACGCGTTCAAGGGAGAACGTGTACCGTAAGTAAGATCCAGATGGTGGCGAAGAAGGTCAAAACTGTAGGTTTTGTGGGGAGGGGGTCGTTTAGGGGTATCGTTTGTGACCGCAGGAGATCTAGAGAGCGCGATCGAAGGGGAAGCGGTGAGTGTGAGTACGATAGGTTTCTTGAGCGCGCACTCTCGCATATCGGGGCGCACATCCGACCCAACAATAGCCATAAAGATACGCAGCATGCATTTGTCCACACGACAGCCTGCAACCTGCCAGGACACGGAGACTTCATACAGATTCTTCAGTACTACTCCTGCTTCGGATTGCTCGAGGGAGATGCCGCACTGTTCTGCTGCAACAAAAGGTACATAACTTCAGTTTCGGGGATCACTGTGGTTGAGAGGATCGGAAAGAACGGAGGAAGGACACGAGGATTTGGAAGCAAGGAGCATGAGAAGGGAGGGGTGAAGAGGACGGCCAAATGGCTCAGGTGCAGAAGTCAAACAGACGGAACGAGGCCGAGAGACGTACCAGATAGCCACGCATCATGTTCAGTATTACGCCCTGCCCAATCATCATCCCCACCAAATCAAGTCCATGAGATATCCTTCTGTTCGAGTGCCGGCTATTTGTATTCGCATGTGTGTAGCCAGTGTTGGCACGGCCGTGCCAGACCCGCGGTCAGACTGACGGGTCAAGAGGCCGAGCCGGGTCAGGTCAAGGTTTTCTTGACCCCCTGCAGCCTACCTTTTATGGTGGTCGCCAGCGTCGGCTCTGGACCAAATGCTGGCACATTCTGGAAAATGCCTTATTTTGGTATATTTCGGGGCCACATCACCAAGTGGCGCCGCAGACTAGACTGGGTCTGACCGGTTCTGACCCCGCCGGGTCGGGTCGGCTGACCTGACCCCGACCACTGCTGGTCAAAGGTCGAGTGACAACACTGCGTGTAGCGGATAGATGGGGAGTAGGAGTCAAGCCAAGGTTCGAGACTTCTCGGGGGAAGTTGGTCGGCGAGGAGTAGGAGACGTGTGGCGATATAGTGTCAAGTGGAGATGGTTATGGTGGTTATGGTGAGGAAACCTAGAAGAACGAAGTAGACAGCTTTACCATGGTCGGAGATGAAGCTTGTGCTTAGTTCGAGAGGCTCTGGATTGCACACTTTAAGCTCGTAGGATACAACGAAACCAAGTATATCGATCCTAGTATGGTGGTCACAGATATTGATTCAGACGGCAGAGGATCGCTCTCAGTTGCAATGAACGTTCGACTTTGGGAAAGTCGACGAGGATCAGGCGTTGCCCCTTCAGATACGATAAGATCCGAGTCATCCCGCGGGAATGTCCGGCGTGGTTTGACAACGGCCGAACTTTTGTGTAATCGATCTCTCACTTTGCTCTCACTCCGAATCGTAGCTTTTAGGATTCTACCAGCGTACAGCTCTCTGACCGCCTGTACGACGCACTCATCGGTGGTAGACCTCGCAGGCGTCTTTCGACATCATCATTGTTCATCATATTCGGTGCTCTGTCGTGCTCTACTTATTCATTTTCTGAGAACCTGTCGTTGACTGCCCCACATCCTGAAACGATGCCTTGGTGGTATAAGTATCAATCAACAATAACTTTCTTTCATCAGCGACCTATCTCCAGTTACCTACCATGGTGACTTGGAGCCGCGTCCATGCTGCATCTCGCATGCTCAACATCAAGAGACTCACCTCGGCTCGATTGACGCCTGACGATCTCCCCATCACACGGCATGTTCAGTCCGTACACTTAACCCCTTGCCCCTTTGGTTATAGACCCCGGTGTACAGTATATAAAGCCTGGACAATGTCCTAATAATAATATTTCCCCCTTCCTTTTTTCATCTTCAAAGCGTTTGCGATGATGATGCACACCATCAAATACGCATTCGCCGTCCTCGCAGCGTCGGCGGCCGTACAAGCCCAGCAGCTAGGGTTGGTCCAGTAATATGTATGTATCACCACAGCTCACTGCGCTGACTGTGACTCTTCCTCTAGTCCATCATGCACGAGTACCTTGTTCTCCCTCACGACATCTACGTTTTATTATCCTGGTACAACCACGACTACCACTGAATCGGGAGGTGCGTTATAACTCTCATATTCTATGTCGCCATATATTTATCGGAACCGTGACAAACCCTTGTTCCAGTTACAACCACGCACCCAACAGTCTGGGTGATGATTACCACGACGAAAGCCACTACCACTGCTACACAGGCTCCTGCCAGCATCACGACAGCGCCGATGCTCCAAGCGCGCGAATCGCCGTGTAGCGCTACGACATATGTACCAAAGACCATCGACGTCGCTTCAGCCAACTCGAGTTCGACTTGGACAGTCACAGCGTGGGCGACGACCGTTACTGGGGATCCGGTGACTGCTACGACGTACGACTGCTATCCTACAGGATACTGCGGTTTCTAGAGATAAAGAGGAGCGAAACACGGGCGGAGTAGTAGACTGGTATATGAAGTGTGGTACATTTTTCAGATTTTTGCGTTCCGAACATGCAAGATCGCATGCAGACTGAAGCCTAGACGTTGTAGGGTCAGAGGGCGCGCAAAACGACCAAGATCTAATGTGGCCCAAGTACACGCCACAGCAACGTGCTATGATACTTCGCAAAAAACTGATCGAGCTTGTAAAGAGCCCATATATTGAGACAGTACTAGCATGAAAATTACAGACAACAATTTGCTCGACGATCATAGCTAACACGAACACAGAGGAGTCCCTTCTAGCATAACACGCCAGTGTATTTGCCTCATCCGCGTCCACGTCTTTGCTCGTCACCTCTATACCCGCCGCCATCCCTTTCTCTATCTCCTGGCCTATCGTACCTTCCACCACCACCAGAGCCTCTATTGGAGCTGCCTTCATAGCCATATCCAAATCCGCTGCCGTATCGTCCCTCAGTCACCATTCGTTCATATCTTCGCTCACGGGAATCTTCCCTACCGCTCCTCGCCCTCTTATTACTACCATTACCGTTTCCTGCCGGAGGTGAGCTAGAAGTCCCGGCTGGAGGGGAGCCACCAGCAAACATCTCGTAGTCGGAAGCTGCAGCAGCGTTCATCGACATCGTCGAAGAAGATAATTGGACGAGAGAGATCGAGACGGTCATGAAATCGTAGGCGGCGATTGCTCGTGCGCCGCGGGGTGGGCTTAAGCTTGAATTTGGTAGAGGGGACGAAGTGGTGTAGCCTTGTTGGAGGACTTCGGCGGCGTTGGCGGCGGAGGCTGGGAGGATGGAGTCGAGGATGTAAGGCGTGGAGTGCCATGCTCGCGTTGCTTGACGTTCGATTTCTTCCATGATACGTGTACGATAATGAGTACCCTGTGGGTGTGCGTTCGATGGTGCTGGAAACCTAGATTCCGACACCGAGTCAGTATAATCTTACTGTTTGACGTGCCTTAACTGTGCAACAGGAAAGAAACGTTGTGCCATACCTCGCCCCAATGTGGTTCAACACCAACCTCTCCGCTCCCCACATTCCCGCCACAGCACCCGCCTGTTCTGGAGTCGAATGACCCCTCTCCTCGGTCTTCGCCTTGACTACCTCCGGAGTCCTCTTTCTTGCCGCCTGGGCATCTACATTCGCTGGGATGAAGGCATCGGTCGCTTCGTGGATGAGGAGGGAGACGCGGCCTGGGGTGGAAGCGATCAGTGGAGTGAGCGATGTGGCGGAGGAGCAGTCTCCTAATACGACGACTTTGCGGGGTTGTGGGAGATGTGGAAGCGTGGCTGGTTCGTGGAATACGTAGCCGATGCAAGGATCTGAAGAGGGCGATGGGATGATTAGTTAGCATAAGTAGTAAATGCATGAGAGGAATGAAGTGACGCAGACCACGGTGCTCAATGGGTCCTGCGTGGACTGTAATCTCGGCCCTGGAGGTCCTTTCATGTTCCAAATTCCTCCAGAATCCGTCGCTATCACACATCACATCTCGTCCTCTGAGTTCATTCGAGTGGAGCACCTCCGGTGCACATGAGGTCACACGGTCGGACGGAGTAAGTAATTCGTGGACGCAGTATTTTTCGGCGCTGCGAGTATGAGTCAGACTTAAGACGGTGCGAATGAGAGTACGCAAGCCAGGGGGACCGTAGATCTCAACTGTGGGCTGCATTTGTATGTCATTGCAGGGTAATAAGTATACGGCGAGAAAGAGTACTTACCGTCCTAATGATGCTAGCGTCCACGTGTGGATGAGGAAACCCTAAGGTGTTCCGAAGCATGGTTGGAATGCCCATGATATGGTCGGCTGCGTGAAGAGACACATATTATTCGCGAGGTAGAATCAGCGGATTACTTATTGTATGAGAGTTTAACGCGCACCATGCATGTGTGTGATGAATATTTTCGTGACCTTGCCTATTTTCCAGGCGCGTTCTCCGGACTGATTGATACGGGTGGCGTTGATTGCAAATTGACGAACTGTGCCTTCAGCACAGTCTACCACTGAAGTCGAATCATAGTGAGCATCTAGTGAAGAAAAGGACGGAATATATTGTTCGCACACCATAGGTTACCGTCTCCGGTAATGTCCAGCGCGAGGGAAGAGCAGTTTCTCGACTCGACTGGGCCACCGCCACTGAGAGGTGAGACAAAAAAAATGAGCATCGAGGATATCAGTAGTAGCTTGGAATGGATGAAAGCCAGCCTTATAGGCTATAAGCAGACGAACCTCGAAGTGCCTAGAAAGCAGACGTCCATCCGTTGCGTCGACATGTAGACCAGCGACTGTTGAGCAAGACAAAAGCAAGACGGGCTGCGTATCGGGCCAGTACACGGTAGACCAGATCGAAAATGAAGATTTCAGGTGAATTTTTGGTGTTAGATGCGTATCTTCTTTGACTCACAGTATTATATGTGGTCGAGATGCGGGAAGATAATAGACCTGCAGAAAGACAAAAGGAAGTTACGGTGGCGCACGACCTCCGCTTGCAGAGCCAGTTTCAGCGGTGGAGTCGAAAGATCTACTATTATCACACAGAATGTGCAACGCAGATTCCAAGGAAAGAAGGGGGTTGAATCAAGAGAGCCCGGTACTGCTTGAAGCCTGCCAGAAGTTTGAGAGGTGGAAGTGCTTGTTCAAGTCGTTGATTGTGTCCGGGGTTGACACGCACGTGCTGCACTAATTTCAGACTCAGATGAATGGGGTTAGGGGTGCCGCCACTGCCAGAAACAATAATCTCTCTCTGAGTCTCTCGGAGTCACCTCTAACCACGTCTTCACTCTGCTCTCATCGTGCATCTGAGCATTCCCATCCTGATCAACTGGGCCCGAATTGTTGGACGACGAGTTATAACTGTGAGGGTCGCGCTGGAGATCTACATATAACTCCTCGGCGTTGCCTGAGGCATAATGGCCTCGGTCCCGGAGCCCTGTCCTCCGAGCTCTCCTTTTCTTATCTATGTTTTTCTCCTCGGGACGTCATCTTGGTAACTTACAGGAGTTGCTGTTCCTGACCCAAGGTTGAAGTTGTGAAGAGTTTCATGTCGACGTCGGGACATTGCGGAGCTGGTTGACCGCCGCGGCCGCACAGCGAAACCTCCGGCCTGCGATAGCGCTCGATCTCCGTATGTTTTTTAATTCTAGTCATTTTACTTCCGAACTCGTCCTCGAGATTGTTGACTTCAGCATCTACTTATGTTGTGACATGTCTTTCATTTATCGCTCGTGGGGTCTCACGAGATGCGGAGTCCCACGGGGAGCTTTTTGATCTCACGGGCAGCTTTTACTGCAACAATTTCGCAGATTTTGAAATGAACTGTTGCTTTTGCTGCCGATGTATAGGTTTGTTCGACGTTAGTAGAAAAGACGAATACGTTGGACACGGCCAAATGTGGCGATCGCCCACCAGTATCAGCCTCCGCTGCGCACGACTCATTTGACTTCGTAGCCGCATGGCCTTATCTTTCAACGAGCCTCTGCTCAGCAGGTTGGTCAGAATAGCCGGCAAACACGACATCCTTTCTCCAAATGGTTCCTTTCATCCAATAACGAGTTCCCCCTGATCTTAGCATCGGCAAGCGCTGGTATTTTGGGAGCGATTATCATCGGACGTAAACACATAGATGGGCGATATAAAGCGCGTCTGTTCGTACCTGAACGCGTCGGACTTGACGCCCTCCTTACCCTCGTTCGTCCTGTCTTGCTGCTTGCTGCGATGCGTTCTCTCTCGCTGCTAGCTTGCATTTCTGCCTTCCTTCTGGCCTCTTCCGATGTCGTCGACGCCAAGGTCTCACGCGTCAGGCATCCGAAAATGAAGCGCCCTCATCACCAGGCGCGTGCCATCGGCGCGTACAACGACCTTGCTCGCGAGTTGACGTCACGGAGCTCTGGGTCTGCGTCGAGCTCTGGTTGGGATTCGAAGGCTCCTAAGACGACTGCTCCGAAGTCAAATGTGTGGAAGGCTTTGAGCAACGACGAGGCGGCTGGTGTGATCGAGTTGTTGCACGCGCAGGACTGGTTGAACTTGACGAGTGCTGAGGATGCCGGAACGTATGCATCATTCCTATCATTTTTGTGGCGTGTAAGGTGCTGATTAATTTTACTCCTTGTAGTTGGGACAATACCATTTCGGTTGTTGAGACCCTCACGCCGAACAAGACTGACGTTCTTCCCTTCCTCACCGCTGGAGCTGAAGCTCCTGAGCGTTGGTCGCGTGTTATCATCATGTTTGCTGCAACGGAGGAACCATATCTCCAGGATTTCCAGGTGCGTATTTCATTGAACACATATTCGCCGTCGTTACTAAATTGTGGTTTAGGTCGGCCCACTTCCGGTCACGAACGATACCACGATCACTCCTCTCGACTGGTACAGCACCAAAGGTCAATCTATCCAGCGCAATTATGACGCAGACAGTGATCTGGTCTATGAGTTCATCGTACGTCTCTTCCCATCCCACTAACCGCTATTTACATACGACTGATCTTTGCGGTACCTCCAGACCAACGCCACCGAGACTGTTCAGGATATTCTGGATGATCTCCTCGACGGAGTGGGTCGATTATCTCTTCTATGCCCAGTACACTCTTCCTAACGGGTATATTCAGGTTGACTTCGGTGACGATGACGCTGACATCGTAAGCCCTTGTCGTCCGTTCCTATCATCACTCCACCTGACAGTGTCTTTCCTCCCTACAGGACATCTGGGGTGTCGACCCTCTTCAACACTCATACGGCCGTGTCATCCAATGGGTCACGATCTGGCAGACGCCCAGCACCGTCTTCGACGGCGAGACCCTCATGCCCGAAGGTATCTACTTCCAAGTTGACCAAACCGGCCGCGATCCCGCCGACTGGGCCGTCCTCGGCTGGTTCTACGACAACATCTACTACAACTCGACGCAGGCCTTCCGCGACGCTTGGGAGGCGGGCGAGTTGAGCAGAAATGTGATCAACAAGCAGGGTGATTGGATTGGAAGCGACTGGACGGGCGAGAAGATGGAATTCGATGAGAAGGCGCCGCCGGTTATGGTTCAGCCTGGTGGAGATGAGGGTTTGAGGTATAAGGTTGATGTCGAGGAGCAGTACGTCGAGTGGAGTGAGTTTTCCTTCCCTTTCTCCTCCTTTTCGCCGTTATCGAGTGTGTGGCGTGATGTGGCGCGATCGTTGACCCCCGATAATCTTGTCACTCGTTTTACGTAGTGGACTTCTCCTTCTACATCGCCTTCAGCCGCGACACAGGAATGACACTATTCGACATCAAGTACAAGGGCGAACGCATCATCTACGAGCTTGGTCTCCAGGAAGCCATCGCTCACTATGCAGGTCACGATCCTGCCCAGAGCGGTGTCGCGTACCTCGATACTGTGGGTTTTCTTCGTAATGGGTTCTATCTCGGCGGCGGACTCATGTCATTCGCATTCCCTACAGTACTACGGCTTCGGTCCCTACGCTTTCGAGCTGTTGTCTGGCTACGATTGCCCGACTTACGCCACTTACCTCAACTCGACCTTCCATGTTGATGAGCTGTCGAAGACCCACAGGAACTCGTGCGTTCTTTTATGATGGACTTGTCGACTCTCCCTGGTGGACTTACTTTGACGACTTCTTACGATTATAGGATCTGTTTGTTCGAAGCGGACATGCCCTACCTGTAAGTTTTCCCCTTGCAGAGCGTAGATCTCAAAGACTAACGTTCATCCACTTGCAGGATTCAACGCCATGCGAGCATGAACTACGTCTCCGCCAGCAAGAACATCGCCTTCATCGTTCGTTCCGTCTCTACCGTCGGCAACTACGACTACAACGTGAGTTCCTGTTCCTAGTTCCGTAACTTCTTAATTACTTATGAACGTCTTGTGATCGCAGTTCGACTACACCTTCTACCTGGATGGAACTGTCGAGGTGAGATTCCCACCGACTCCGGGCTTCGTGATCCTTCGTTTTAAATCATGTCACGTCTACGTAGACCACTGTTCGTGCCTCTGGGTACATTCAGTCCGCACACTACAAGAACAACGAGGACTACGGTACGTCGAAAGGCCCTTCGTTCTTCTTGAGATCCGTCCCTTCTTGTGGCGGCCAACTCACTTCCTTTTTTTGGAATTATAGGCTACCAGATCCACGACGGCCTGTCCGGCTCCATGCACGACCATTGTCTCACCTTCAAGGCCGACATCGACATCGTCGGAACTGCCAACACCCTCGCCAAGCATGCCGTCGTTCCCGTTTCGGTTGAATATCCTTGGAGCAACGGTACCGTCAGGAATACGATGAAGTTGGAGCGGAGCTACGTGGAGAGCGAGGACGAGGGCAAGCTCGTACGTCTGATCCTCTCGTCTTCATCATTCGTGGGTCGGTCTTGGATCTCGACGCTGATGCTGGATTTGTGCTGTGTAGATGTGGCCCACAAACTCCCAGGCGATGTACGTTGTCGTGAACAAGAACGAGACGAACAAGTATGGCGAGCCGAGGGGTTACAGGATCATGCCCTGTACGTCTTTTTTTGTTCGTCACTATATTATTTCATAGACTGAGATGATCCTTCGTTCAGCTTTGGGTGGAGGCATGCACCTCACCATCACGAACTCGACCAACCTCCTGAACTCGCAGAGTTTCGCTACGCATCAGCTCTATGTTACGAAGCAGAAGGATACCGAGGTAAGCCGTGGTCGTATATTCTTTATTCTCATGACGTTGACATTCGGTATCTCGAATAGCCCAAGGCCGCGCACGCCAACAACAATTACGATGTCGCCAACCCGTGTGTTTCACTTTTTTTCATCCAAAAGATATAAAATCTGACTCCTTTCCTCTAGGATCGTCGAGTTTGACAAGTTCTTCGACGGAGAGTCCCTTGACCAGGAAGACATGTGCGTTCATCTCCACATTTGGGTCCCCTTCTTTTGTCCCGTTCTGACATTTTCCCTCTGCAGTGTTCTGTGGTTCAACCTCGGCATGCACCATGTTCCCGTAAGTTCTATTCGTTACACTATCTCTTCGTATTCCAAAACTAATGTCATGGCCTGCTTGTAGCACACCGGCGATCTCCCCAACACCGTCTTCACCACAGCCCAATCCTCCATGCAAATAATGCCGCACAACTACCTCCTCGGCGACCCCTCTCGCAACTCCCGCCAAACCGTCAGGCTGGACTACTCCAACGATGATGGCGTCACGGACGTGAAGACATTCGGCGCGCACTTCGCGAAAGGCACTGCGAACTTGTCAGCCACTACGCCCGATTTCTACGCGTATCAAGGAGATGTGGCGGTCAGGAAGTTCCCTTACGATCGTAAGTGATCTTGCTTGGTTGGTTGCTACCGACCATCGTTACTAATCGTTGTACGTTCTCTTTGCAGCTCAAGATCCTTTCAACGACAGTGAGTACTCTGTGCTATTCTTTATGGACAAGGAGCGTGACTTTCTAACATTTTATTCCTGCACAGCTGAATCTATTGTTTAATGCGTGGAGTGATGGGAATCAAAAACTTGCTTGCGCGTTGTCGCGGGGCAGCGGTGACTTATTGCTAATGAATGTATCGGATGCTACTGCTCCTATGTGGCCTACATCTAATGATAGAACTTGGACTACGAGTAAAGGCGTGTGTCTCTTGCGTGAGGTCGGACTACTTGTGTCCTCGTACAATGATTATCAGCGTGTTCTCCGCTCAGTGCTTTGTAAGAGTCGAATGGGTCATTTGAATTATTCGAATTTCCCCCATTCAACAAATAACAGCCATGGAAATAGAATCCGCTGGATGTCAGTAAGTGGCAGGACGCGTCCGAAGCTCGGGAGGAACGCGTCCGGTCACAGCACGCTCCATGTGACACTTCGTGTGAATTGGTAATTTGAAGAACTCGGGCGGCCTCCGTACAGAAAGCGTCCATTCCAGTACCCAACCAATACCCTGCTCTTGCCCTGCTCAAATGGAGCGTATGCGACTTCGAAACAGCGATATTCTTGTTTATGGTCAAGATAACCAGACTATCTATACTCAGCTCGCACTACGACTTTTTGACACCGTGACTTGGAACACCGGAATTTTCGTGATTCAAAACACTAGCTGAGCAGCCTACACTTCGTCGTTCCGCCCACCTCAGTGATGGCTTTTGCTATATTTATCTTTGGAAATCGCTCGGTACTGGTACTCTTGCATGCTTCACGCCTCCGTTGGCTTGAACGAATCGCGGATCATGGAACCAAGATGAAGGTGGATCGCCTAGCTCCGAGGATCTGCCATTAACAAGCCATTAGACACTGTATGTCGAGGAACATTGGTAAGTCACGTTGCGCTGCATTATTGCGTCCTTGTCCTCTTGTACCCGCTGTGACCCGCTATGAATGACCCGTAAATTGAATCCTTACGGCTGCGACTGTGCCCATTCGTCCATTACGGTCACAGGGCCTTCCCGGTGGCATTCATACGCACTGTGCAAGTGCAATCAGTTTCGACCATGATCGGGACGTATCTGCGTCTAGTACGAAACCCTCTCCGTTTGCTGATGGTTGTTTCATCACGGGTGCGGCAGGTACATGGGTCATACGGTCTGATCGGGGCCACTGTTTGCGCTTGTACTCAACGCATAACTGACCGGTGAATGCTGGCCAGTGACAGTGTAGTGAGCTCTGATCACAACTTGTCTCTGTGTATTCGCTCAAAATAATTCTGACAATTCCTCTACCTTACCGAGGAGGAGGTCGAGCGAGCTTCATAGACACTTTCAACATCACGCTCGCCTCGTCCCTCGCCATCGGGTTTCACGGGCATAACCTCAACTCTGTATACAGTACGGCATGCTTAACTCAGAGCGTCATCCAGACGTTTGCCGTGCCGCCTGGAATGCCGGCAGAGTGCTTCTTAATTCAAGCAGTGATTCGCGGTGTCTTTTTTTGGTCGGTGGATCCGTGTCTGCAGCGGGCGGTTTGCCGAGTAGAAAGAACTTGCGAAGCAGGTACTTAGACGACATCTAGACAAGTCCTCATCTCGAGACCATATACTAGACATGCGGGCAAGCATCCCCTGTCGGGCGATCCTCGCAGGAATAGAACGAATCGTCTTTGTGGCGTGGGCGGCCACAAGTACTACCTTCACCTGCAGCTCGATAAGCCATCCTTGTTATCCTTCCTCGTTGGCCAATAGCTACGTCTTCGTGTGGGTATAAGGTCTTCCCTTCCCTCTCTCCCTGCGTCTACGCTTCTCTTCCGTCTATTTTTTCATGCGCCCCAAAAAACTGCTCCTCGGGTTTCATCGATTTCGTCTATCGTGCATAGTCTGCTAATACTTACCCGTCTCCTGCAGTCTCCTCGGTCTTTCGGACCGGTCTCACCAAAATCTCCTGAGGCTTATGTCTTGACAAGCAGCCAAAGTACGACAGGAACGTATCACTTACACTTCTTGCATTTCATCATGCCCTCCAGATATGTACGATACCGAACAACGTCGCTCAGGGTGGACGTCGTTTACTGCGGAACAGGCATCCGAGCGTAATATCTAAACGACGGAGTTCTGATTTTGCGAGGAGGGTCATGGGTCAGGACGTTCTCTATGAAGGGCATCATGTCTGCGCTGCTGAGTTCTATATCACATTAAATAGCGGAGAGACTGCAATTGACTTCGTATAGGGGGCTGTCTCGCGAGAAACAAATGCGAAGACTCTGATCTCGAGGGGCTGCTCTTGTCTATAGTGCATCGAGTCCCTTCAAAGTTCTAAGTCCTCGCCCGCACGAGTCATCAATGGTTGGCCCGGCATCCGGTCTCAAATACTTCCGTCCCACCTCGTCATTTTCCCCACCCCCTTCCCCACGCCTCATCCCCGCAAAACAGCGGGGGACGACTGTTGATTGTGGGGTGATCGCCTGCTGATTCGTCAAGGACGCGCCGGAATGTCCATCCAATGCGGCAGGAGGAACACCAGACCTACCCCGGATCTCGCGGCCCTGCGGGCCGCAGCCATGTTTGTGGCTTCAGGCACTCGCTTTCATTAGAAGTGGCTTCCCTGCTTCCTTGCGTACACGTATATAAAGCGGACAGTCATGCGCTGAGTACCCCAGGCTGCCTTGCTCCTTTTTTTGAACCCACGACAACCTCCAGTCCTCAGCCATGCTCGCAACTCAGGGCATTTTTCAGAATATCCGAGTCTACTGTGCGTCATCATTTGGACTTTAATAAGACGACGAGAGCTCGAAGCTGATGATGCGGTCTTTGCAGGGCTGGCATTCACTGCCTACTGGGGTATCACTCTTTTCGGTTACGATACGTGCGTAACAAGCGTACTTGCTCCACCCTTCGCGCACTCAGTACTCAGCTCTCTGCTTGCAGCGGTGTCGCCGGTGGTGTCGTTTCTCAGGAGTACTTCCAGCTCCAGTTCGGCTTGCGCACGGGTGATACAGTCGATCAGGCTCGGGTCGACGCGCTTTCCTCCAATGTAGTGTCTGTGTTGCAGGCCGGTGCGTTTTTTGGAGCCTTGGGCAGCGCTCCTATTTCCGGTGAGTCTTGTGCTTCACCCCTTTCCGCACCCTGGTTCCATTCCTTGTTCGCTCCTTCCGCCCCGTACATACGAACCCGAAGTCACCGGAACTGATTGATGCGGCTACAGCTAGATTTGGTAGGAAATACACTTTGTTGGGATTTACTTTGGTCTTCCTGCTCGGCGCGGTGCGTTGCTCTCGTCCCTCCATGTGTCCTCCTCTCTTGGGTCAGTATTGATGCTAAGTTTTATCCATCGCCACAGATCCTTCAAACCGTCGCGAACGGCTCTACTCGTGGTATCGGTTACATCTATGGCGGTCGTGTCGTTGCCGGTTTCGGTATCGGTGGAATCTCGGCTGTATCTCCATCTTTCGTCTCAGAATGTGCGCCTAAGGAGGTCAGAGGTCGTATTACTGGGCTGTTCCAGGTCATGGTCGCGATGGGTGTCATGCTGTCGTACTTCATCAACTGTACGTTTCTTTACTACTCTCTGTGGCCCATCGGTGCTGAAATATGCGGTCACGAATATCTCAGACGGCGTCAGTGTGCATCTGAATGACTCGGAAAAGGTCTGGACTGTCCCGTTCGGTTTCCAGATTGTTCCAGCAGGAGTGATGGCTCTGGGACTCTTGACGGTTAAGGTATGCACTTCTCATATCTTTTAGATTATTCCTATCGTTCTGAATCTGACATTTCTTTTTGCCGGTAGGAATCACCTCGTTGGCTCGCATCTCGTGGTCGTAATGAAGAGGCACTGGTGAACCTGGCTTATATTCGCAGAGTTCACCCGGATGCAGAGTCTGTCAGGTCGGAGTTGGCAGAGATTGAGGCCGCCATCCACGAAGAGAACGAAGCCAAGCGGGGACTCCATTGGAAGGAAGCTTTCACCGGAAAGGGCAACTGGCCACGATTCGTTATTGCCTTCGTTATCTTCCTCCTCCAACAATGGTGCGGACAAAACTCGGTCGGTTATTACGCACCCCAGATTTTCGCCTCTGTAAGTAATTTATTTGTCGATTTTGGAACCTTGCTAATTATGTTCGCTTAGATTGGCTACAGCAGCACGACCAGTGCACTGCTTGCCTCAGGAGTCTACGGCATCGTCAAGCTCGTCGCAACCGCCATCTTCGTGTTCTTTCTCGTCGACAGTTTCGGCCGTAAGGCCTCGTTGCTTGTCTCCGCACTTGGAATGGGCGTCCTGTTCTTCATGTATGTTTCTCCGACCCTTGCTATTCTTTGGATACATTCGTTGAGCACGGTTCTGGCTGATTTAGCATCGGAGCAATCCTCAAGACTCACCCCCCACCTGCTTCTCTCGACGGCGCTGCCCCACCTACCACATCAAAGGCAATGGCGGCTATGCTGTATATCTACGTCTGCTTCTACTCGATGGGTTGGGGTCCACTTCCATGGGTCTACGTCTCCGATATTTTCCCTACCAGGACACGGTCTTATGGTCTTGCTACGGCCAGTGCCAGTCAATGGCTGTGGAGTACGTGTTTTATATCTGCGGCTCATTCCCCTCGCCATCCAAAATTGTTACTAGCGCGGCAATATTGATCTCGATCTTGCTCCCCCTAGACTTCGTCGTGTCGAAGACTACGCCACAAATTCATACAAACCTTGGCTACAAGATGTTCTTCATGTTTGCCGCTGTCAATATTGGCGCCATGGCCATCTTCTCTATGTACGTCTTCGTATGCTCTTACATTTCCGCATACGACTAACCATAATCGCCGTTTATAGACTCATCCCAGAGACCAAGGGGCGCTCTCTGGAAGAGATGGACGTCATCTTCGGTTCAGTCACTGCCGAGCAGCGCCAAAAGCACATTCAGCAAGAGGAGCGAGGTCAGTCCTTTTTCCCTTTTTTTTCGTTTAGTTTCGGATCTGATCCTTTTCCACCCTTCAGTCCTTGAGCACGAGCACAACGACACGACGTCAGACAGGTCCCTGGAGCCCAAGGTCTGAGCACGAACTCTGTTACTTACTTATCACGTCCGCGCTGTACTCTTCTTTTCCGCGTGCCCCCTTTGTCGTGGCATACCCTTGTCTTCGATGGGATATGTCTAAGGGCAACAGCGATGATCATGCTTTGTTATGTCTTGGTTTCTGTGTATACCGTCCCATCTGTAATTCTAGTCAAGTCTGTTCCCTCGACGGTCGTAATGCGGCTTCAACGTTATCCTTTCGATTGCATTTCGACGCACTGCTCAATCTTTCGGAGATCACAGTCTGAGAATGACGGAGAGAAATAGAGCTCGATATATTGGGTAATGTCAAAATGATTTGTAGATGGGAACAAAGAGATCGGCAACTGCCGTACAGGTCTCTCCTTGAATTCCCGATCTCGCCCGAACCTTCGCGTGTTACCGCCATCGACGAGGCCTCTGCTTGGTCTCTGCGAATCAACTGCAGATCAAACGTGCTGTGTTCATCGTTCAGTGCTATACGTTGCAGTCACTACTAGAAACTGGAGAGTCCCGTCACATCTTGGTTACATAGGTACGATCATTCTTATCGCGTTCGTAGTACTTCCAACGGGATTTCCTTGGGATTTTTCAACGGATGACGGCTGACTGACGACTGCGTTCAACATCTGTCCCGATTTAAGGCAGGTATCGTTTAGGTCGCTACTCGAGGGCATTCTCTCGTTGCGCTCACTAGAAGCCACTATTCGAGACATCATAGTGTTCGAAGGTAAAAACTGCTCCAGTGATACATCAGCCTCGAAACAAGTTTCTCACTTGTGCTCAGACTTGGTGTCAGGTCATGACCGCAGCACGTCTCCCCGACGAGATTCTCCTAAAGATTTTCAGTAAACTGGATAGAAGCTCCAATGCTGCGAATTCTTGCGTCTGTAAATCGTGGACGGAAGCCGCGACAAATATGACATGGGAAAATTTGGGTGATTGGACGCAGCCGTTGACCTCCATAGTCGGGACTCGTAAAGTGGACGACGGGACAGTCGTACGTGTCTCATATTAGCTGTGAAGAGCAAAAGCTCATCGGTGCTGCTCAGGATTTGATAAGACCACTTACCCGGGATGACTGGGATCTATTCCTTGCTCATACTCGCCGTGTACGCAGTATCAACCTGAGTTATTCGCGCACCATCTACTGGAGTACAGACGCCCGACGACAGTTGTCCGAAGGTCCACCCGGCCTCTTCCCTTGTCTTCGATCTCTGCGACTTCCGAGTGATGGTTTGTGTCCAGATCTTCCAATTATGTCGGAATCGGTGCATAACCTAGAAATCCGAGTCGGGCAGGCCCTGTGGCCTCCTCCAAGTCAGTACAGTTCTCTGCTGGGTGACATCTCCCAGAAGATGCCAAACATCGTGGAGCTAAAAATCGAAACCATGGACCTCTCTATGGAAATATTGGAACAGGACATCTGTCGGTTGATTGCGAGCCTCACTTTACTAGAGAAGATCACTCTCCCGTTCTACTGCCTCCTTCCTTCAATAGTCAGTCAGCTTTCCCACGTCAAGAATCTGCGCAATATCGAAATGGGGAACAACGCGCTGTCGTATGGCCGCACAGGAGACGTTGACGACTTTCACTCCATCCTTGAATCGTCCTCCTTCCCTTCGCTCAAAAACCTACACTTTTGTTCATCCTTAGAAGACGCTCGGACGTTCCTTGGAGGGGCATACTCTCCGGCCTTTAGATTGACCTCCTTGTGGCTACGTGTCACTTTCCCTGGAATGGACACACAGCATCGCACCTCTCCTCGATGTTTTCGCTCGCTTCTCGAACTCCTTGCGAACGCATGTGGGCCTCTGGAGCGATTGGAAATCACCATGTCAGCTCCAAATGACAGCGACGAGGACGAGATGGAATCCCTTCCACGAATCACCTACTCCGATTTCAGCTGCGTCGCTCGCTTCCGTTCATTGAAAGCATTCTCCATTCAGCATGTCCATCCCATTGAAATCACCGATGCAGATGCGGAGACACTTGCTTCGCAATGCCCGCGTATGGAGGAGCTCACCCTAAATGCTTACCCGACTTCCATTCCTCAAGCAGAAGATCTCGATTTCGCAGCCACATCTTTATCTGTACGATCACTCGCATCCTTTGCTACCCACTGTCCCCACCTTAAATCTCTAGCCCTATATCTTTACATCGATGACGACATCCGACATATCGACTCTTCTGCCTACTCCCGGTTCAAGAGTCTTGAAGTATTGAATTTTGGGTACATCCACGCCCCTCGTCTAGCGCGCCAAAAGGACATCTGCTCGATTCTATTCAGCATACTTCCCCGTGGTTGCGAGCTCAGAACGTACGTCACGGGCCAAGTCGACTATGACAGGATTGGTGTAGACCGGCCGAGCTGGGGAGGGAGGAACTATGCAGCAGCAGAGGCGGCTTATGCATATTGGAAAAGTGTGGAAGAGGTCTTGAATTTGATGTGGCGTACGAAACAGGAAGCCGAAAGGATGTCACGGTCAAGAATACACGAGTTGGAGGGCGAAGTGGCTCTGCTGAAGCGGGAACTAGCGTTGGCTAGGACGTAGAAGTGATGCTCTATTGCGCAGGTAAGCTCAGTTAATTTGCTTTCCCAGTGAACGTTGCTGTTGTGCTTATGTCGACAACAGCTTGGCGAACAGATTGGTCACGTCTCATTCAATTTATTGAGGTTCAGAGGCAGCAGGATTGCTAAGAGAATTTATCTGGAGTCAATTTTGAAGCTACGGTTACCGTCGATGTGCACGGGTAAGATGGAGATGTTTTCTTGTGTTTTCTGTATGTTCCTTTGGAAATGAGCGTAGCTGGTCGGGCCCTTACTTAGGCAGACTTGTGGCGGTAACATGGGGAGCGAGTGGCGTGAGTGCGTTGTTTCATTTGAGGATCAACCAGAGTGTCTTGTATAGGCCATTGATTGAGGGTGAATACTTCGCTAATTCTGCAAAACTTCGTGCAAATTCGCGTGCAAATTCATACAGACACATTCTTGTTCGTACACCACATCATTCTATCGCGGGAAAACTCGTCTGCGGGACTTTGGGTGTCGATACGACAGCCTCTATTTGATGATAAAGACGGTCTTCGTAAATGCGTCCTGCTATATATCCTCTAATGTTCGGCATGAACTAAATGGCACATTACGACGACGGAGATAGCGAGGACTCTTGCCCACCGTAGTATAGATACAGTGCCATATGCCTTGACGGGACAGGGCCTTCTAAGTTCTCAATCATCGAAAGGCGACGTTGTCGTCCTCGTCTATACTTTTGTAAAATTGCAACATACTTATACCTTGCCAGTGTACGTAGATGGTGATCTTCTCAAGTATATTTCCACGTAGCCGCAAGCCCTCGATTAGGACACTTTCTCCGCCCTCTTCACTCGACTTATCAGGCAACTGAAATTTTCCCGAACCTCGACGAAGTACGACGGATATCGTGCCTGTATATGTGTCAGAGGACGCTTATGGGGAGAGCTGAAAAAAGGGAGATTTGGTGGCATCTTCTCACCAGGCAAACAAGCGAGGAGCCATCCTTCAGAGACCATATCACCGAACTCGGGGAAAGAAATATCTTCAGATGTGGCTATTCTCTGTTTTGGAGACTAAAGCTTCAGGAAGTAGCCTTTGACGGTACGAGCGGTGACTTATATAGAAAGGGTTACAACAAAAGTAACTTGACACAGTCGCTTTTGCCTGCGACAAGTAGCTTTAAGCAACTTGTGGCAGAGCCAGGGACTCTGTCAAGTTACTTAAGCGAGAAAAAGCTAAGCAAGTGACGAAGTAACTTGGTGCTCACCCAAAGTTGCTGATGACCACTTGGATGTCGTGAACAATGTTTTTCCATGGTCCATGGGCGAGGTCTCCTGTGTGGTCATAGACACTGAGTATTCTATGACAGTCCAGTGTATATTTACAGTGAATCAATCAATTGAGCGGTCTACTAGACTTCATGTCTGCTGTACCAGATCTGTCAAGGGTGAAGTAAAGATAAAATGCAGTAAATAGCATGAAGTAGTTCAGCTGTTCGAACCGATCTTTCTGAGCACAGAAACCGCAGAAAGATGGATGATTGTCACTGCACCACCAGTGAGCGCCATCCACAGTACAATATTGAGGGAGAGGACGTCGAACTTTGTCGGTGACAGTTTGGCGAACAGACTGAGTCCCAATTAAATGTAGCCTTGTACCGCTGGAAATGCCTACTCTGCGAGAAACCAGTTGCAATGAAACATCCACTGGGGCCAAACGGCCGGATCAGGTCGCCGTCTGGTGTAGCTCTTAATAAATGGTTGAGCGTAGCGAAGGAGCGGAAGGATGACGGTTTGAGATTCGATAACAGAATGACATAAAGTTCAATGAACACTAAACAGCAGCCGGGCTCGTGAGATTTTGGCTTGACAGCGAGGGCGTGTCCTGGTGCGACTGAGCTCATCGGCGGGGCACGAGATCACACAGAGAGAAACTTAACCTAGAGGACCACCGACGAGCCTGTCAATGAGGTGAACAAGACCAGTGTAAGTAAACCAGGCTCTTGAATGTAAATATATGTCCAATAGAACCGTGGACGGATCCAAGGAGAGATAGGCTGTGGTAAATATGCAGAGTGACAGAGATGGACAAGGTACAGTCGTCGACGTCAGTGGAGGATTTCCAAGGGGCGCAAGCAGCATTATCCAAGCGTGGGAAAAGTAAACGGGAGATTGCGGGCGTCACTTGGCGCGGAAATAAGTGAGCGAAAAGGTACTTTATGCGCACTCTATAGAAAGAATTTCACATACCCGGCCAAGGAAATGGTCCGTCCGCCGATTCCTGGATCGCTTGGTGCAGCAACGAAATTAAACCATCACTGCACAGGGAAGAAATGGCACGGGGAGGCATGTCAATTCGTTTCGATATGAAAAGGACTCGATGACTCAAAATCCTTGTGAGGGCGTTATGGTCATTCGAGTGAAAGCAGTGTTCTACGAGATCCTCGACCTGATGTCTGCGAGTAAGTAATCCGTAAGCGAAAGGGTTTTGAGAGAATTGATTGGAAGTTGATAGAACGACAGATATAGAAGGAATCCGGGAAGAAATTTGTAGAGCCGTTCGTTCGTTGGATAGGTTACGAGTATTTGGTCGCTGCGAGTTGACGGTGCTCGATGTGATTTCACCTAGCCATGTCAGTCCGACGATCTTTATTTGTCGCCACACGGGATCTTGCGCCGTATTAGATTTGATGAGATAAGGCTGATCGAGGTGAGGCGCATGTTCGAACCCGACAGAGGGCATTATTCTGGGACATTGTTCTTCTTTATTTAAATCCTGGGTCACAAAAGCTATCACTCACTGTATGAACATTCGGGAGCATCAGGTCCGAAGCAAATAACACACATATTTCAGGAACGTAAACGTTAAGAACTTCATTTACAATATCAGTACACGGCTTAGTACCACCAACCCTCATTCTCAGTGAGCGGAGTACCCGTCGGCGGAATATCCCACAATATCACCAACCTATCCATCTCCCTACTCGAGACCATAAACCTCCCATCCTTCGACATCGCCACCACTCCAGGCACCCTCCCCATCTCTATCGACGGCAGCCACTCCCCTCCCGTATCCGGATACCAGATCCCTGCAACGCCATTAGGCCCGACGGTAAACACCCTAGCGAAGCCATTCTCACCGATGACGATTGACTTGGTACGATCGAGGTGCTCAGAGCCTTTGAGAAGGAGATCCGGCATTTTGTTGGGGTAGGTTTGGAACGGAGGTATAGAGTCCTTGGTCTGTAGCGGGACGATGCGAACATCAGGGCCACTCGAAGCACACAGAATGCTTTGGCCATCGAAAGTGAAGGTTATAACATCGATCTTGACAGAGATGGGCTTGGAGTAATCGATATATGGGGAAGGGATACATCGTTCGGTTTGATAGTCGAGGTCGAAGATGTGCATAGAACCATGAGCGTCCCCAGTCGCGACGACGTTGCCCTGATGAGAGAACGCGACGGCGGTGGCGGGACCTGCCAGACGAAATATCCTAGGAGTGCGGAATCGAACAGGCCTGAGCGTCCAGATGTAGAGCACGTTCGTGATGAGGATACATGCGAGGTAGGAACCATCGGGAGAGATGGCCATGCCTCGCACGCCAGCGGAGTGTTTCATCGGGTAATAAATTTTGACATTATGTTTGACATCCCAGGTCCGGACGGTCTTGTCGAGAGAGCAGGACAAAGCGTATTGGTAACCGCGGTCTGCGTAGGACGGGTCGAAGCAAAATCCCGTGACTGGGCCTGTATGGCCGGAGAGTCGTCCTGTGACACCACGGGAGAGAGGTTTCATGGTTTTGGTGTCGCGTATGTAGATTGCGCCATCTGTAGAACCGGCTGCGATCATGCGACTGTCCGGGGAGAATGACAGGCAGTAGATGGGTACATCATCGAGCAGCACGCGGGCGTTCATGGTATCACTATTCATCTGAGTGAAGGGTGAGAATCGATGAATATCCGGGAGGGCGTGTCAGTACAACGAATATCAATGCTTTATATACAGAGTGAATATCCTTACTGTGCGAAAGCGACGGAGAAAGATGCGGGACAGAGTTGAAGTGTAAGGGAGAGAAAGGTGGTATTTATATGGGACTGGCGTTTCGCTTTGTCTTCTTTGACACAACACGTGTGGCACCTTTCATGACAACGAACCGTGCCGTCGCTTTGTTCCTTGTGTGTCAGCACCAATAATGGTACCACCGAAGGATCTAGAACGATTTGAATATCGCTGACACAAGGAAACAAAAGATAAACTCACAGACGACTCGAGAACCCGATCGATAGCTCGATCTAAAGAAAGGAAAATCGATGAAAGGGACAGCGAGAAACAGCGCTTTGGCCATTTCTGTAGAACAAAGCACTCGTACATAAGAGGGAGAAATCCGAGTCGACACATGACTGGCCAATGTACCTGGCATGCCTACAAAAAGTGCATGGAAAATGCAGAAACATTGAAATGATAGACGATTGCATTCAAATAATTATTGCATATATCGTTGGTTAAAGAGACGCTGCGGGACTGATTGCTCCAATCTTTGCATAATAGAGTTCCACACGACAGGGTTGTGGTATTAAAGGCGACATCAGTTCTGATAGTTGGGAATTGACGAAGGTCTCTGAGAGCTCCAGCGTATATTTTACGCTTCGATAGGTGTCTAGGACTCTCAGCAGGAGCTTTTTATAGGTGTCATTCGAATGAACTGACATCCGCACCAGACTGTAAGCCTAGTGACCGAGAACCACTCTGTGCAGTCATGATGGCACGGGTCGTAATCATACAGCGTCATCTTCGCACTCAGATTTGGTACGGGTCTTGCTCAGAATTTGCGCCCGCGTTGCTCATTTGACCTTCTGGTACTACGGCATCCTGCCTAAAATATAAGAACATTCTCTGGATGGGCGCGATCTGTGCCACATCTCCGCTAGATATCAGAACGAGGTCGGCGCTGTGGAACTGAACATATACTCAAGTCCTACTAATTAGGATCTACAACACAGATGAAAAAAACAGGAGATTGCAGAACACCTGCTTCATGCGTCGTGCGTAAATATAGAGTCCAGCCAGCATATGTATAAGTGAACTCGGACCCAAAATAAGTAGCTCATGCATCCACTGCGCGATCGAGCCGGACTAGCAAGTTGGGCAAACGAAGATCCTTGGTAATTCAAATCTCAGCGCACAGAAGAGCCGCAGCCATATACGGATATGCGGTACTCATTAAAGGTTATCATATATGCGAAGAACGAGGTCGAATTCAGTTGGAGACGGTACGAATCCGATATTCGTACAAATGCGAGGGACCCCCAAAAGTGTGGGGTGTATCTGACTACCCCTGGGCCAGAAGACACGTTTCAATCCACTGTTCGATTCCCAAATTAGCTGAACTCCTGATTACATACACTGAGTGCAACGCAAAAATGCTAGGAGATCATCGCTCGTGAGTCCCTACGGACTCGACCGTCGAAGAAGTCCAGCACTTTGCAGTCGCCCATGATGAGCCCGCCGATGAGCCCTGGCGCCTCGTATAAAATTGGGCCCCCGCCCGCAGAACATCAATCACGAGCCCTTCAAGGTCCCTCTTTAAGAGCCCTGAAAAGTGCTATGTATGTATTCGTGGAGTCGAGCCGGAGTAAAAACGTTTGTGAAAAATTCATTCTCTGAACTGGAGTCGAGCTGCCATCTCTGGACTATTATCTATCTGAACAAGGATCTTCGAAAATCGATACACTTGCGCAGGTTTGCCTGAAATAGACGCAACTTGGCTGTTTCTTTGGCTCCGTCTAATGCAATGAGATATGCAAACATCGTTTGCGCTGCCAACATCGTTTGCGCTGCCAACATCGTTTGCGCTGCCAACATCGTTTGCGCTGCCAACATCCCATGTTTCGCGATGCTTGCTGGGCTCGTCGCCACCGACACGTGAAGTGGCGCAGCCCACAAATAAACGACCGATTCGGCCGGACCCGCAACGCGGACGAGAGTCTCTTCTGCGTCTCTCTATCCTCAACGGCTTGTCGAGTGGCTTCAGGAAAATTCACATAGAACTACAGAATACATGCCCTTTAAGAAAATTGCGACAGGGTATCACTATTACTGACATGATACGAACGCTGTCCAAAATGGAAGCCGCACATTCGAAAGATACATCGTGTCAGATTCGCGCATCGTGACCTACTGCTCCATGCTCGAAGTGGAGAACTCGTGGACCAAGCAAGTAGCGGAACAAGATCTCCAACTCGCTGATATATTAGTGGATATCATGCGCATATATCACTCCTGACCCGCATTTTAACTTAACTGGGGATAACTGGGGCCCAACTGATGGGCTCTAGGCAGGTATGCACCGACATACTTGAAATACTCCGCCAATCAGGGAATGAGCTCTAGTATATGTTGGAATTTACATCCCTGTAGATATGCCCTGAGATAAATATTATCGAGTACATCTCAATTGGCGGATTACACGACGCGCACGGGACACGGGATCGAGAGTGCGAAACACAACTCCTGATGCTGGGACTGAACAGTCGCTGGCCTGCGTCGGTGTTTGCTGCTCATGATCATGAATGTGTTTCGGAATTATGTCAACTAGCGCTCAGAGAGCGTGGAATAAGTATCGTTCCGTGTATCTTCCAATTGTCGAATCTCACAAGGCGCAACGCATAGGGTCTCGACTCGCAAAACCACGAGCGTATACAATAGCTATATGAGAGATCGCCGACACTGTTCTGCACCAGAGAAGGTACACGCGTTTCGGAATTACCATATCTCTGAGGACTAGCGCCCATAGAGTACGGATTCGTGGCGTTTCTCTTTTCTCTCAAGTCCACGACGGGTGCAACCGGACAGACCGAGAGCATAAACGCAACTGTTCCAAACACGACTGATACGAATGACTGGTTTGCAGACACGAGCAAGAATACCCTACTCATGTCGATGATCATAAAAGCGTCTCGGAATTACGGTGTCTCTGAGGGCTAGCGCGCAACAAGCGTAGAATATCATTGTGTATCTCTCGACGAGCGAGTTTCACGACGCCGAACGCGCACGGGGTACACAAAGACCACTGGTATTGGTCACTGGTCCACATTACAAAAAGTGCATGCGTTTCGGAATTACCGTGTCTCTGACGACTAGCGCCCAACAGGAATGACATATTCACGATCAGGGACGGTATGAAGGGATGGCATGACGTGCTGCACTACCCGTCTGACGTTCAGTGCGATTGTGAAATACACCTCTTGCAGGACATCCTACAGCGACCAAACTGAGGGGATCCATACAGTCCGCATATATTCGCATATATATGCCGCTTACTCTTTCTTTCTGACGGAACACCCGCCGTTCGATATGCGATGTGAAAGGAGGCGCACGAAAGGAGATAAACCTTTTACCGAAACTCACCGAGATTTCGCGCGATACTTTTGGGTGCTGAGAAGTTTTTCAAAAAAGAGAAGATGGCGATGGAGATGGGGACAAAGAGGGCACGTAGAAAACCAAAACCTAAAGCGAGCGCCCATAGAAGACTCTTCTATTTCTGCGACGCGAGGCCCGTTGATCCGCGCTTTAATCGTACTGTATGTGACTGCGAATGACGCGCTGCGAGCAGGCTTTTGTGCACGAACAAGAACAGCGAGTTCGAACAGGCACGACGATCGTGACGTGGCAAACAGATCGACAAAGAAAAAAAGACAGGGACGACGAGGCAGTTCTCACAGATGGGATGGAGGTCGTAAGAGAAAGAGAGGGATACGAGTGATTTTTCCCACGATGATATTTGGTGTTGTTTACAGGGTCGGAATAAACTCGAGGCGCAAAGTTGGAACTCCTCTCGCGAGCACTCCTCTTCTTTCCCCCGATCGCCTCTTTGCCCCTCCCCTGCTTCCTCTCCCCGCCCATTTCGCACTCTTCTCCCCATTATTTCTCGGCCTTTTCGCGCGATTTTCGTGATAAATAGGCCGCAGCGATGTCGAATAATCGACAGAATGGCAGCAGCAATATGAACAACGCCAACGGTTTCTCGCAGCCGTCTTTTGTCCCCGCTTCCTTTCCCTCTTCCGCCGCTTCTTCGCACTCCATCCCGACCTCAGCCACCGCGCCCTCGACCTCGTCGTCTCCCCCGGCGCCGCCGCCCCCGCTCCCGTACACGCAACACGAGCTGCCTTATCGCCAGCAGCATTATCTCCCAAATGGTGCGTGCCCGTTCCTTTTTCCATTTTCTTTTCTATGATGGATCATCTAATTTCTGTTTTTTCGTTCGTCGGCTGATCGCATCATAACACACCACCCACCCATCAATTTCACATCATTCCCCTTGTCACATTTTCGTCACACAACAACAACAACAACACGCGCGCCTCGCTCGTTAGACTACGTCTCGGGCAGCGGCAGCGGCAGTAATGCATACGCGAATGGAGGGCCGCGTACTGCGTTGAAGACCGGTTGGAAACGCAAGGCGGCGGGCATCGACGCGCATTCTCCTACCTCCAACAACAGCAACAACTGCAGCAACAACAACCTCGGTCCCAATCCCAATCCCAACGGTCACGGTAATGGATACGCAGCGAGTTCGATGCCTCCTAATCCCCACGCGAAACATTCTACCTCACAAACTCCATCGCACAGCCAGAATGGACACGGACATGGGAATGGTACTGGGAGTGGTGCGACGGCTGGTGCTGGTGTTGGTGCGATGAGTAGTGGTGGTGGTGCCGGTGGAAATAGTCCGAATGAACGGCCGTCAAAACGCGTGAAGATATTCCTTCCGGCTTATCATGCGTCTGTCACTCCCTCTCGCGACTCGAATCCCAATCCCAATTCCACCTCGTCCACCACGGATACGAAGTCCAATCCCCATTCGAACGGAGCTCGACCCACGTCCCCTACAGTCCCGCCGCGTTATACATCCGGTTCGCCGTTCTCGAACGGGAATGGTCTCGGTAGCGGTATCGGTAATGGTGCGAGCGTCAAAAACGATGATGGCAATAACAATAACAATAACGGTACGGGTCCAGCTCCCGCTCCGAGTTCTCGTACCCGTTCTCTTCCTGCTACCTCCACCGCTCCCGCACGCAACACCACCACCATTTCTGCCTCCAACGCGGCCCCGACGAAGACGAACGGCAACAGCAGCACGAGCACCGAATCCGTCAAACCGCCTGCGAACCCGTTCTCTACTAAACCAACCGTGGTGCCCTCGTCTTCTCAATCTACTAAAGTCTCAGTGCCTCGTAGCACTGACACAAGTACAAGCGTCAGTATCAAGAATACCACCAGACCGGACATCCCCCCCATTCGTCAGAAGTCACCGGTACCGGTATCGTCTTCGTCTGCGCAGGCTCTTCCTCTCTCTGCGAACGCCAGCGCTAACTCCGCGACGAAATCGACTTCCGAGAACAACACCGACAGCAAATCGTGGCCCAAGCATACAACCACCAAGACCAGCACCCAACCCAAACCCAAACCCGCTCCCGACACCACCAACACCAAACCCGCCCCCGCCGTCAACACCACCTCCACCAACACCGCCAATCCTACCACTCCCACTCCCAACGTCCCCACCACCACCGCCAACACCTCCTCCTCCTCCTCCTCCAACACCAAACCTGCTCCCGACAATACTACTGTCAATAATCCCTCCCCTCTCCGCGTCCCGAAACCAGCCCCACCCGCACCTCGTGCTCCAGAATTCGGAAGAAGCCCAAGTGGAGGCCATACGATTATTATACCGCCACGGTCGAGTTCGAAGGGTTTGCGTTTGAATATGGTACGTGCTTACTTTTGATTTTCTACGCTTTCGTTTCGCTGACGATGATCATGCTTGTGTTTGCGTTACTAATTTTTTTTTTCGGCGCGTTTTTTTGTGAGCAGGACTCGGAACAGAAAGAGGGAGACGGTCAGACGGGGACGATGCTCGACCATAGATCTCGACCTCGTTCGCCTGTCATTCGGCGTACGCCTATTTCCTCTACGGAGATCCTCGCTCAAGCTCAAGCGAGAGACGCACCGAGCTTCACGCCGCTTACGACCGGACCTGCGAACGATCCACAATCTCTTCCTCAGCCTCGTGCGGCGACGATTAATAATGGGGCGTTAGGGGATGAAGACGATGATGAGGACGATGAGGATTATATGGATGAGGATGAGGATGAGGATAGTGATGAGAAGGCGAACGGGGCTGGGAAGAGGAGGAGAGTGGGAGGGGAGTCGGAGTTGAGTTCGTTGAGTGATGAGGAGGACGAGGAGGACGAAGATGAGGAGGAAGATGAGCTGGAAGAAGAGGATGAGTATATGGATATGGATGAGGATGAGGACGGACGGGCTGAGACTAGAGCGGGTGCAGGCAAAGGCAAGGGTACGAAAGAGGGAGAGGTAGGAGCGGGCAGTACGACGGGTGCGTCTAGTCAGAATCACAATGCGTCGCTTCCAACCCCGGCCACTACTCCCGCCAATCCATCGACCAATCCCAACCCCGGTGCCACAACTACGACTTCTGCTCCGGCGGTCCCTGCGAAGAGACCGAGAGGCCGTCCGCGGAAGATACGGCCTGAGGAGGGTGCTGATGCTAGTAGTACTGCTACGGTCACGAAACCGAACGGGAAGGATAAAGGCAAAGGAAAGGATAAATCAGTACCAGGCGCGATCGACGCGTCGAAGTCGGTGCCCACTAGTTCCATTTCGAGAGACCAAGAACGTCAACTCATCGTCATCCCCGACGTCTTCCTCGGCCATACATCCTCTTCCTCCTCTACCCCCAACCTCCATACCAAGAGCAAGAAAGCCAGTACGACGACGAACATGCTGACGACAACGACGAACGCGAACGGCGAGATGGTGAAGAAAAGAGGACCGGGCAGGCCGAGGAAGGTGAAGATCACGAGTGAGGTGGATAGGGAGAAGGTGAAGGAGGCGAAGGTTAGGGCGGCGGCGGTGGCGAGGGCGGCGAGGGCGCAGAAGATCTTGGAGAAGCAGAGGGCGAGGAATTCGACGAGTGTTGGGGCTGGGACTGGGGCTGTTGAGGGAGCGGTGGGCGAGGTACCGAAGAAGAGAGGACCGGGGAGGCCTAGGAAGATCAGGCCTGGAGAGAATGCGGTCTCGGCGCCGCCAGTCAGGACGATTCAGAAACAGCTCGTCACTCCGGCATCGTCAGCGCAGGCAATAGCTGGAGGACCTAATAGTCCACCTGAGGTGCCGGTGAAGAGGAAGCCTGGACGGCCGAGGTTGGTCAGGCCGGGCGATGTGCTGACGACTGGGTCTGCTTCTGCGCCGGTTCAGAGTCAGAATAACACTGTGAGTGCGGATCCGAGTGTGCCGGTGAAGAGGAAACCTGGACGACCGAGGAAGATACGTCCTGGGGAACAAGTCGTTTCTGCCACTCCCTCTGCCGGCACGAAAGCCACCGTTTCTGCCGCTGTGAATACCACGTCGGCCTCTGCACCTCCTGCTCGTATTCCCGCTCCCCCGGCCGTAAACACCACTCCAATCACCCCCGTCACTCCCTCCGCCTCAGCCTCCGCGGCTCCCGGTCTTACCCTCAACACCCGTCTAACCCCCTCCGCCTCCGCTTCTCCCGCCCCCCAATCCCTCTCCCTCTCCCTCTCCCAAAGCCAGACTCCGGGCCACGCGACCCGCTCCATCACCACCCCCGCCTCCGCCCGCGCGAAGCGTCTGAGCAGCACGCGCACCCTGACGCCGAAAGCGCCGAACGCGGCGCCGAGGAGGTGGGTGCCGCTCACGGAGCCGCCGAGTAAGTTGACGGGGGGAGAGTATGGGAGGGTGGGGGCTGTTATTGTGGAGGATATGATTTATGTTGGGGTGAGTGCTTTTTTTGGATTTTTTGTTTGGTGCTCGATTCGGGATTTTCAGGGTCTGGGCTTGTGTGTTGTGTCCGTTCTGGGGTGGTGCCTCTTTTTCTCTCTTGGTCTCCCTGGCTGGCTCGTGCATGGCGCATCCACGCTCGATCTTGGTGATGGCTCGATATATGCGTTTTGGATATGATGGAAGGTGGCGAAAAAGCGCCACTTTCTGTCATGCTCTAACGCATATATGCGCTTTTTTGGACGTATTTTGCACTGGTGCTTGGACAGATGCGCATGATTTCCATCAAACGCAACCGGAATACCGGGTTTTTAGGACAATGATAATCCACGAATTGCGTTGATTGTGGTTGTTCGATGGCTGAGGACGTCGCTATATCCGAGCATTCTCTTATTTCTTCTGGAAGATTTTGCGTAAGAAACGCAATTTCGTCCTTCGCTGCACTAGTTGATGGTGATTCGCTGGCATGGACTTTTGGCTTGCTAATCCCAGGGGAGTTGCTCGAAGAAATATTGCGGTTCGATTGATGCGCTGAAAAGATAACGATGGGTCGCATAGCGACTTTCCTTCCGTGATCGGGCGGCGCGTAAATAAGCCGCGTCTCGCTATCGTATTGATTTGTTTGCCTGCCGGAGTCATCGCACGCATGTCGTGTATCTTTCTCAAATTTGTTCTCAGTGTGCTCGAGTTGGGCAATGAATTGTCTTCGCTCACCACGTCAAGTGGGCTTACATTTCTCGCTTGGTCTGGGCTACCTTAGGTTCGTTTTCATTGATACGAGACGTGGGCTACCACGCCTATGATCGATTCAACTCAGCTATGGGATGGAATCATTTGACTTGAATCTTGATCTCCAATTTTGGGACGTGATCTTGGATGTTTCCATGCGCATATATGCGCCTTCTGGTACGGACGATGCTTTAGGCCCATGAAATTGTCAAATTATCCTTCCATTGCGCGCCTCCGACCGTCCGGCGAAAGCTACGCTTTTTGACACCGAACCTCCATGTATCGTCGAATCCTATTCTCAGACATCCCCGATCCACTAATCTAACCTCAACCTTTCCGCACTGTTTCCATTTTCCACGAAAACCGACGCTAACCAAAATCACTCTTCTCCCTCACCCGCTTATCAATCCACAGAACAGCATCGTATGGATGCGCCCGCCCTGCACGCGCTGCGACGACGCCGGGGAGAAATGCTCAGGCCTGCCCGGCGAGAAATGCGGGCGCTGCAAGCGGAACCACGGGAAGTGTTCACATGCGACGAGGGGCAGAGGGGGAGCAACGAGTGGCCCGACCACCGCCACCACTTCTGCGCTGGGAGAGGCAGTGGCAGGTGGCGAGGGTACGGCTGCTGGAGCGGCTGGAGTGGATGCTGTGGGTGGAGAGGGAGAGGATGGAGAGGAAGAGGATTCGGACGAGGAGGACGATGATATGGTGGAGATGTTGGTTGCGAGTGGGTTGTCGGTGCAGGAGGGTCAGAAAGAAGGTGAAGATAAAGGAAAGGAAGGCGAAGAGGACGATGGGATTAGTGGAAAGGAGGGCGGGGCGATGGACGTGGACGAAGAAGCGGAGGGCGTTGCTCCGGCTGCGGAGATCTCGGTCGTAGCTGCATCGCGATCTCAAGCACCAGCGAAGGACTCCGCCCGCGTCGCTAGCAGCAAGGGAGATGGCCGTACTCAGCGCGCAGATATCGAGATGGGAGATCTCAGCATGGAGAATTTGGAGGCGTTGAATCTGGACGAAGACACAAAGAAGGTGGCTGTCGAATTGAGGGGTCAAATGCAGGGCATTGGGATGGCGAGGACGGCGTTGGATAGGGAGCTCGAGAAGCTTAGTGAACGATTGAGGGAGGTGCTTGGGAGGGCTAGGGTTTAGGGCGATGGGGACGGCGAAGATAAAGTCGCTGCGTGGTCAGTGTTTGATGTGCCCTTGCCAGGCCGGGGTATGGAATTGGTCGTTTCCTCGTGTTATATTCTCCTCTCCCTCTCTCTTTTATTGTGTAAGTAATTATCGGTGTGAAGATGTCTTCTCCCGATTATTTTTCTTATCCACTATGTTTTCATTTCGATCGAAGTATTATTCTACCCTTCCCATTTCTGCGCTTTCACTTTCTTCGACCGTGAAGGTGTCTTCTCTTTACTTTCTTTACCCTTATGTGTCCATTTCGAGTGCGGTTTTATCCTAGCCCTTCCCTTTTCTCCTTTTTTACTTTCTCCGACTCGTAAATATACGGAGATGCTTGTAGGATGTGAGGCGGTCGATGTACTTCAGTGTGCGTTATACGGTATTACAAGCCAGTGTGGCAGTCCATATGCAATTGTCCCTTTTCTCTCCTTTTCTCCTCGTTTTCTCTATCCCTCAGTGTCCTTGCGTGTCTTGTCGTCACGGTGGTGACTGCTGTCGAAATAATACATACTGTAAATATGATATATTCTTGGAGGTTTGGGTGCGTGATCTGACGAGTGGTCAATCGCGTGCTTCATAGGTGCGTCTCTAGCGAGTTTTGCAATCGTATATTTCTGAAGTCGCTGCATGCTGATCCCAGTACATTTTTGTGCATCCAATCTCTTCTGAAGAGGAGCAAACTGCTACCGCCCGCTCACCAGTAAAGTAACTCCAATGTGAGACGGTGAATACTTGCTCGTACTCTGTGCATCCTCCTAATCTGAGTTTACTATCAGTCCACTCTAGCTCTCGCGGCTGTGCGATATGTGCGTCTCGTTTAATTCGAGTTCGGGAGCTCCCAGGGTTTTTGCCAGCGACATCGTCGATGCAACTTTGGGAAAATATTTCGCTCCTATTCCTTGAAGTCGAGCGTTCTTGTTGCTCCAAGAAGAAGGCGGGGACGCATTCGTGCCTTCACACTGCTTATGATATTTTCACGAAGTAAGTATGTTGAACAATGTGCGGTCTCTGCCGTCTTCGCCGATGATTTCTTTAGCTTCTCGAGCGATGTTGTGTAATTCTCGTATTTTTGTCTCCCACCAGGGATACGCCATGTATATGACTCGCTAATGATTCTCTGCAAAGAGACCCAGGAACTCTGTCTCGGTCATCAATTGTGCATAGACTAGAAGTCAAGAGCCTGCGTTTGAGAACGTAGGGCCTCGTCGAATTTTGCCTTAGACATGCACGACATAAACAGCTTTTCAGAGAGTTTGCGGAGCCCAGATTCTGCACAACGCGGAATTATCTGGGCAGCGCTATAGCCTAAACCGCGCGGATTTTCCGCTCGCTCATGTAAGAAAATCTTTTCTAATGAGCACAGAGAATGCTCTCGAATATCTTCAGAATTTTCCAAACGAGAACGTCGTGTGCCGAACACGCTGAATGCATATTCTCCTCTCCGCAATCTCTCTATTGAGCACAAAAGGAGATCGTTGATAGTGCATGAGTAATGGTTAAATCGATGCGCAATTTGACATTCATTGGACATGATAGCGCTCTCTTGATTCTTCTCGTTGTGCAGAGCCCGATGGTCTATACATTCATGGGCATCCCGCGGGGCGTTTTCACGATGGCCTCATTGTGCGGTGGGATGTGCGAGCCTATCCGATATCCATTGATGGCGTATCGAACTTCTTTACGCGACTTAGTATTTGTTCATCCGAGGTGTGTGGTCGTTCTTGCCATCCCTTTGTCGAATGGATTGCCTTTCCCTTTATGGACGCTCTGTTGTTTGCCACGTGGTTGATCGAACCTTCTGTGGGGCACTAACCCGCAGTCAGAGGATCTGACTCATCAGCGAGGTTTCTATGGCATTCTCTTTGTTCGTGCCAGTAGGCTAAAACCGGGCACACGTTGTTTCAGGCCGGCAATTAATTGATGGGACACTGATACAGCTACTGGAATGAACAATACAAAGGGTCGGCACGATCATGGTCCGTTGCCGTGTCACGCATTCATAACTAGACGTGCCAAACGTGTCAAAGGGCACTGTCTGCAGAATATAAATATCGCCTCTCCTTCTCTCCCTTCCCCATCGACTCTGCCTCGCTCCTTTCTTCATCTCTTTCGCAGTCAGTATCTTCCTTCAGATTTTGGACGATTGATACTTGTGTACTGACTAACTTACGCAGACTTGCATATATTCTCCCTGCACACTCAGATATCTCGCGACAATGAACGCTCGCACACTGCTCGAAGGCGTACCGGTATCTTGCCTCTCTTTCTCCCCAGATAGTCGTATAATCGCTGTCGGCTCTTCATGTGGCCCTATCCGCATACGTGACACCAACACCATGAAACCTCTCTCCTATGGAGTCGCAGGAATACTCTCTGGCCATACAGACTCAGTTACCGGCATTTGCTTCGACCCGTCCTACGCAGATCGCGGTTACCAATACGCTCTGTCCTGCTCTCTCGACAAGACAGTCCGGACCTGGGATGTGAAGAACAGCGCCAAGATTTATTACCCAATGGAACACCCCGCCGGCGTACGGGGCATGGCGATCTCTGCTGATGGCTCCTACCTCGCATGCATCCTTGTCACGGATCTACTCTACGTTTGGACCCTCAGGCCTGGTCGACAGCCGTGTCCCAAGGTTATCAAACTAATTGCTCCTGCCACCGCCGTCGCCTTCTCCCAAAAGGACCATGCCCTCGCGACAGGTGATGCTGACGGATCCGTATACATCCTCGACCTCGACTCTCAGTGGCAACGACACATCCTTCCACCACTTCCTAGTATTCCCAAGTATATGCCTATAAGGATCGATGTGATGATCTTCACGGCGGACGATCAAGAGCTCATGTGCAGCTCGACTGGTTCCAGAGTACGCATGATCACGATACCGTCGAACGACCCGCAACCACCTTTCCTATGTGCGAAACCATCGATAGACGAACTACTCACACCAGCTTCCGAGCACAACTCCACCAAGGCAGTTTCGGTTGACGAACACGGGGTGGTCAAAGTACTGACGACTACGCCCACTGGTGAGGCCGGAATTTGGACTGTGGGACGTAGAAAGGCTCTTCCACTTATACATACGGGGATCGTTGGGGTAGGGGCAATATCGAGGGACGGGAAGTTTATGCTTACGGCTAGGAGTGATGGCGCGTTGATACTTTGGGACATTCCGCCGATGTAGACGATATACAGAACAGATGCCCTGGACTCGCTGAGAATTGTACAGTCAATACGCGCACGACGTTCTTGTAATCTTTTCTCGATAGCATATTTTCCTCGTTATATCTATAAGTAGTCAACATATCTACACATCCGGTGGTCGTAAGTACCGTTTCGCCACAGTTCGATGAACCGGAACCCCCCTCGCCACATTCAAGACTGTCCGCGGGCCATAGCGTTAGACATGGCCTCGCATGCTAACTCCGCCGACACCAACCTCTCCTTCAAGTTCTCCATCTCCTCCTTACGACTCTCGATCGCCGCCGCCCTCGTCTTCTCCATCAACTTCAAGGTCCCATTTACACCACCCCAAAACGAGTAATTCTCCTTACTAGAACTGTCAAATCGACGATCCATAGCCCACTCCGGCTCGTCGGCTAAATATGTTCCATCCTTTCCGTCCATCTGGGTATCGTAGGCTACCTTGACGACACAGCCTGCGGGAAGTACGGAAAAGAGGAAATCGCAGATGGGAGGGATGTCGCGCGGGTCGGTAGTGAAATGGCTGGCATGACCGATGTCGAGGATCTGAAGACTCGTGGAATTGGCACGCACGGAGGGACATGGAAGCTGCAGCGAGCTGCGGGAGCCATGAGGGAAGTCTGTCTTCATATATAGACCGAGCCGCGTGAGACTGGGGCAATGGACCGCGAAGGGAGTGAGGGAATGAAGGGTGAGAGTCGGCGGTGATTCAAATGAGGGGTAGACATTGAGACAGAGCTCTTCGATGCCTGGCAAACAAGACGCAAGATATTCGGCGTTCTCGTCCGTCATTTTGATAGGGTGGAGGGTATGGAAGATAAACACCTTCAGATTTCGCATGCGAGTGAGGGATGCGATATCGGAGAAGGTCACAGGAGGTAATAGGTTCATTTCCTCCGAGATATCCTCGTCGAGCTTCGTCGCAACGGCAGCAATCTCGAGACGTTCGAGTGAAGTGCATACTTCGGAAATTGAGGTCAGGAGAGCCCGGATTTTGTCGTTGGTTTTGTCGTCGAGGAAGACAGTGCGCACGCACAAAGATGTAAGGTCAATGGACCGGAAGTGAGGCTGGGAGATGAGGGTCGATGCGTCAGCGGCGGTGGCGGCGAATTGTAGCTCTTTCAATGCGGGGAAGGAATGCTCTTCCAGGACAGGTGCAAAGTGAAGAACATCGAAGGGGGATCCACATATATCATCATCATCCGCCCCCCGCCACTTGATGACACGGACGCTCTCGTGAGAGGACAGAGCAGAGAAAGCGGATGCTAACAGACAATAAAGCGAGAGCGTGAGAGTTTCAAGTTTGGGAAGATACTGCAAGAGACCTTCCAGGCTGTGTTCCACAGACTCCATAGGCTTTCCAGACGTAAGGTTGAGAGTGGTAATGTTCGGCATGCGAGAGACGATATGGGGCACGGTCCAGGAGAAGTTCTCTATACATTCAATCTCAATATCTATCCCTGAGACGGTATGGTGCATGATGTACGGAGTGAAGTGCGGCTTCGGGTGTGTTCCAAGGGTGAGCATCCGTAGGTTAGGGAAAATAGGGTCTGTGGGACGAGTCGACGCAATTTCTAGCATGGATTGGTCGGACCAGACGGTGTCGTCGTAGTAACGAATACAGCGCACTCGGTGGCAGTTGTGTAGAAAGATGGACCACTCTTTCGGACTGATTGGGCGAGAGAATTTCTGTATCACGAAGCAGTGTCAATAGAGAGAGTCTATAGCTTTCTGAGATATCGACATGCTCACCCTTTTCTGCTGTCCAAAGGCAGTGGACTGGCCTTCGAGGGGCGTTGTTCCAACTAAGGCTGCCAAAGGAGCTGTCCAGTCGTGGAGGGTGTGCCAGACGAGGTCTAATGCGGGTTCAGACCACGCATGACAGACCCTCGCGTTGGTTGCATTCGACGCAGCGTTCAAGTTTGCGAATATGCGTAGAAGGATCTCTGGGGGAAGATATACTTGATATTGCATGTCGGCCATCTGTTTGGGGTGTTTGAGCACATAAAGGACGATACCATCGATTGATGGCTATTGTGAGACTTCCAAAGTTACTCACTAATACGACACAATACCAGTCGCTCAGTTGGTGTAGCCAAGATGTTTGCAAGGTATAACGAAGGAGCCGACTTCGAAAAATGAGACACGCTCCCGAACCCGGATTTCTCCGAGTGGCACTGTTCTCTTTCAGTGTGGTAGTGTGGCGTGATGGAGTCACCGGTCCAAACTTAGTGTTGTGATACAAATAAGGCGTATATGCGTCATAAGTATCACGATAAAGAGCAAAAGCTACAGCCTGTATGTGTACTACTGCTGTTTTTCGACCTCGAGTCCAGGGAGGCAAGATGTCACGAGGACCTCTGGATCTGTAAAAGATTGGTGCGTCGCCCGCACCTTGAGTCGGTCCTTGACCATTCCTTCCACTTTCCTCCGCACGTAGCCTCCGCGTATTCTAAGCATTCTTACAATTGCAAGATATCATCCTCGGCATAAGATGATGTCAGTATGCTTCTAAATATGCGAGTTTTATCCGTCTACTTATGTCGCTCCCAACAGTATTAAGTGCCAAGCTGTCGTCAGTGTGCTAGCAGTCGCTTGTTGCTATCAAAAAGGGTAATTGACGGGAAATTTTGATATGCACCTGGTTCTCTAGTTTGTTTTAACCCTTTTGGCGCGCCGCGGTACGTGCTTTCGTATGACAAAATGTCTTCCTGTGAGAACTTAGGTCTGAGCTTTCGGCCAGAGGCTTCCCCAGATGATGCTCCCGAGATTCCCCAAGGGAATCTGGTTTAGTCATTGAACACACTTCTCATGCCAGCTCGTGGATTGACGGTGTGTAGGAGCCCCAATTTTCACGCACATGATTGCGCGTGTGCGTGTCGAAGAGAAGCGATATACGGTCTACTCTCGGTTGAATACTTGGATGAGTGCGAGATTCTACCGGCGCTCAACCTCCATTGATCCGTCGACTGAAGGAAGACAACCTTTAGCTAAGCACATATAAAACGCTATGGATACTCCAGCAGATACCTTTCATCTCCAGATCGTCTATCTCTACTGCGTTTACGATGATGCTCCTTAGTGTTACCGCTGCCTTGGCTCTCGCACAGCTTACCTCTGCTCACTGTAAGTGTAACTGCAGCGCCTCTGCTTGTCGTTATCGTCTAAGATATTGTTCTGCCTCTAGACATCTGGAACACATTAGTTACCAGTACGGAGACATCTACTGCCGCTGTTCGTATGCCGGTCAACAACTCGCCTGTGACGGACGTCACTTCTCCCGATATTACCTGCAACGTGAACCCGACACCTGCGACAACCACTGTTCCTGTCGCCGCTGGTGCCATGGTCGGGTTCGATCTCGATAACACCTTGTATCATCAAGGACCTTCCGCTATCTACCTTGGTCAGTATTCCTTCCAGAGTGTACATCGTGATTTTACTCAGCGACGGCTTACGCATTCGTGTGGCAGGCGAAGTTCCTTCTGGATCAACGGCCGCTGAGTGGGATGGGAGTGGCGCCAACTGGTTCAAAGTTCGTCTTCTACTATCGTTATCTTAAAATTCGTTACTCAGCTGCTGGTTCTATTCAGATTGCTGAATGGCAGGTCTTGTATACGAACAGACGGAAAGTTTATTGACCAACATTTCAACCACCAGGGGTGCAACCTTCGACCCGTTTACATTCATCGATTTTAACGCAGCCGCGCTCAACACGACCATTCCGTCCGACGTTCCCGCGGGTCAAGTAGGCTCTTTAATTACCTCAATGAGACTGTGAGGGGGATATTGAATATCGCGTTCTGTCGTAGTACCTGGTCCGCATTGAGCAAATCGCTCTGTATGTTCCTGATCGTTGATCTCCCTTAAACCTCACAACCCACTAATAAATCATATCAGTCACGTCCCCGGAGCTCCTCAATGGTACATCTCTTGCGCTCAGATCGAGATCACAGGTACGGTTTTGTTGTCGAATTTCTTCTCGGTAGACTCGCTCTCATTGTCCTGCTACAGGCGGAGGCTCTGCCAACCCCTCGAAGGTGTCGATCCCCGGATATGTCCAGCCAGACGGTGCGTTTTTTTGAGTTTGTCACTTGCAAAGACACTCATGATGAATTCAATAGACCCGGGCCTCACCGTTGATATCTACGACCCCATTCCTACCGCCTACACGGTGAGCTCGTTCTATCCGCCCGTTCGTTGCACGCGAGTCTAAATCTCCATAAATTGCAGGTCCCCGGACCGGCTGTTTTCAGCGGCTGAGCGTCGGTACTGAAAATCAGCCTTCCTGATGGTGTTTCACCAAATATTATGCAAGCCGTGCGAAATCAATTGTATACGAGACTTTGGGACACTGTTTTGTCTGTGGCTGTAGCAATAAAATGCCTGACCTTATCTCAATAGTCTCTGTGCACCGTCCGATCCCGTATGATTTCTCACAACCCAACCCAAAGATATGAACTGTCCATGGGTCCACAGATTTTACTGTGACTTCTCGGCAGATATATCATGCTAAACATCATATTGACTTTTGGGGCAAGAGAATCCATGCCCGGTTATTAGATACGTCACCAGTGTGAATGTTTACGCTAATTTTGAGACATGAAATTCCCGGTCCATGGATCGAGACAAGTAGAACACGCGTATATTAAGGGAGTGTGCAGGATGCGAGACATCGCTGTAAGGACATAATCTAGAAGGGGATAGTCGAGTATAATTGGCTCAATCTACTTTGGAGGGGCTCCCGAGCTCCGTTGGACGTGATCATCATGATACCAAGGACAAAACAGATCCTCTTCTAATCTTTTATATTGAACGCTGGGCGAGACGTACCGAAGAGGTGCGTAGCGAGTGAAGCGGGTAGCTGGATGTTTGATGATCTTTCAACAAGAACTGTTCCATGTGGGTGGATTTCTCGATCACTATCATAATGACGAGTATGGCGTGCGGGCTTCGTGGGATGCTCCTGAAATGGCGGGGCCTTTATGATAGAAAGCAGTGTGCTTTGCTTACATGTTCATCATATGTGTTCCGGACCGTAACAAATAACGGGCGCCAAAAACATTCAGAGTATCCTCAGCAGTTATAATTACGATTCAAGTAAAGGAGGGCGACCAAACGGATAATTATAACAAACCCGGAGTCCCGTCATCGAGCAAAAGTATAGACGGTACGTTCACGTCTGAAAAAATAACTCAAGAAACAGTATGAGAACTGCTAAGGTGACGTCGAAAGGGATAAAAATTAAGTATAGCGAGCTGCAAATGAAGTCTGCAGAAGGGTCAAGAAGAGATTTTATGGACTCCAAGAAACGGAAGACTGACCATAGACCCACACGTTAATCCTCCCTGGACACCGTATACACTACAGTGGTACCCGTCGTTGTTTCCTCTTCAATGTCGTAATAGTCAGAGCCTTGGACGGCGATCCGGCTGAGTTTCGACTCGGCACCGTACTTCGTGGTCCGGTCGCCTGCGCCACTGACATCGTTTGGCTATAAGAGTACGCGAAAACTTCAGTCACGGAAAGCAATCAAAGATGAGAATAAATATGTACGAAAAATGTCCGCGCGCTATTCGGTGGTGTGAGCAACACATCGCTTCCTGGCGTCCTGGGAGATCTTGGGGATGTCTTCGCGTAGGACACTATGTAAGTAGCGGCACCGTAAGGATATGAAGCTGTGCTTCTCACAAATTGAACGCTACGAGGAGATATCGGAGACCGGCTTGCACTGAGAATTGTATTACTGTAGTACTCTTCACGTAAGAATCGACGCATGACAAGCCTTTCAATGATTGCTTTAGGATTAGTGGCCCAGATCGACTGAGAGAGGATGCAGAGGAGACGTACGTAGACAAGACTCCGCAAGTGTACACTGCAAAAGTGATGTGTTTGGAGGGCGATGAGTCCACAGCAGTAGAAAACGGAAATATGACGTACACTTTCCAATAAGGAAGTGTGTCCCGAGAAAGACCAACGTCCCTCTGAACGCAAACCACTACGAGATGTTGATCAGTTGCAAATGACACATTAAAAGTCTCGACTACCCACACTAATCAAGGACATCAGGGCTACAGTACTACAATGACTTGTTAGAGCATGATCAACCGCCATGAGAATAGCTCCGCCGCTCACCAGGTAATCAATCCGTTATTGACAGTATATAGTGTGATCTTGTCCAATATTCCTTTCGCACTGTCCATACAACATCACGAGTAGGGAACAATGCGCAGTAGGCAGATATTATTTACTCACGCAGACAAATTGGTAGACGACTTTTCATGCTGCAACAGCAGACACAACATCGTCGATATGTATATGTCGATGGCTGCTGAGGCAGAGTATGACGTGTTCATTGACCACTGAAAATCATAGGAAAGGTAGGTGAGCCAGATCCTGCAAAAAACATTGAAATAATTACGCTGTAGCGGTGGATGAAGTGCGTCCAGCTCTTCAACTGTAGACTATATTATGGCGTCAGTCGCCCGCTAGTTCAGATAATGAACGTCCGTGCTGTTCAACGTACGTGCGTATAGTCGAATCTATTCGGACACAGGTGCATGGGCTCAGAGGTCACTTCATCTTGGCAGGGAGATGACTCACTTATACCAAGAGCTATACAGGGAGGACTGTCAGTGCGTATCTTCATCGTATGAACTCATTATATACCTACAAAATCGCAAAAGAGCAAGGAGGACCTTTCACCCTCCTAATTCAGTGAATTTTCTAAACCGCTTGGAGAGTTAAACTGACCAGTGGCACAGGCAACCACGCTCTTTTGCTTGGTAGTCTTCGACCCACTGAGAAGATAGTGAATATCAGTCACTGCTTATCTCTCACGGTAGTGATACGTGCATCTCCAGAGCATCGATGCGTAGAAACTGATCGAACATATCAGCTAAACAATCGGCTCGGATCGATGGTCGCAGAGGAAACATACATGTGTGCTGTCAAGCTTGAGAAACACTGAGACACAATCAGCAATAACCCTGTATCATTCCAGGAAGTGATACTATACCGTGAAGAGAATAGTCAACTATATAGCAAGAGGTAATTATAGCTGGGAAGTTCTGAGTCTTCACGGAAGAACTCACTGATGTCGTCCTGTGTACAGTATCTCTGTTCTCAACGACTGATACAAACACAAAGAAAATGAGTCAAAGCTACTCACGTTGGAATATAATCCACTACATCCTCGTCCCCAAAGTATAGAATAAGGTTCCTCCAGTTAGATGCGCTGATGAGACATGTATGGGTTGCATCCAGAGCCCTGTTTGAGCGTTATCTGTCGTTTGAGCCGTTGTAGAGCTATTTCGGTCGACGGTCCACGCACCAGAGCCATAGAACCTTTACAACGAGATCATTGGGACGCACTGATGATGAAGGAGGAGCGGACGTACCATAGCCTTTCGATGCCAAGGGTCGTCAGAATACAGGCGGAAATAAAGAAAGGTTAAAATGGCCGAAACCCCGGAAAGACTGAATCGGCGTGTAAGTTATCAGTAAGAACCAGACGATTTCAGAAGATGTAACCACGTACGCAGTAGCAGCCATGCCTCCCAATAACAAGACACCTAGAGAGCCTTTCACGCTATCCTCAATCTGCGACATGACAAAATGGTGATGTTAGAGACGAAACGGAGGGAAAGAAGCAGCTGCATCAGCCAGACGCTCAAGCCGTCATTGCAGACTTATAAGAACTAGACATGATAACCCCAACAAGGATGATGGGTGCGGAGAAACAGGCACGAATAGCAAGCTCTCGTGAAAACCCATGGACATGTGTGCAGCCCCACAGATGAAATAGAACACTGCCTCGGGACTCAGGAGCCGACCTAACGCCCGTGAACTCTGTATGAGCAGAGATGTTTGGGCCTGTATGAGGCCCCGAACCTTATACCGGACTGAACATGTTGGGCAATGGCATACGTAAGCAAAGTGACAAGGATCAGAGGCTCAATGTGAAGGGCGTACCTGACTACTGTGTTTTGAGGATACTAGTATCGATTCTGACGATACGCACAGTGATAAAATGTAATGAGGTAGTGTATTATCAGTGCTATGCGTACAGATTACCTCGAGGTTGTTATGCCTGGATCGTCCCGGAAGATCGCAGTCGATGATGAGCATTGGAGACGTGGGCCAGAGGAGCGCTTACAACATAAGGACCGGAAGTCGAAACGACCGTTATGGCCAGCTAGAGCTGATGGGAGCCTCGGGTGGGTGGTTCTGCCGTTTCGAGCTTGAGGCTTTGAGGGTGAGGCGCAAGATCAGAACCAGTCCTTCCCGATAAGAGACACAGCTGAGAATAGGGCTGGATATCATGAAACTCGTTAGAATGGCGATTCGTAGCTTCGCTATCGATAAGCATGCTGTATATCTTGAACCATTCACTACAAGGAGAGAAATAAGCCGAAAGATATACTGTAAAGCACTCGTCGACGATATAGCAAACAGTACGAGTGTGGTTCGTCACCCTGCGGAAAAGTTCGGCGCCTCCCGAATCGTTGCCGAGACCGAGCCGTCTCGCCGGGGCCATTCCACGTGCGTGCGCTTTGATCTGACACACTCGCACGCATCGTTCTTTCATCTTCTCCACAAACCATCATCTCCCATATCGTTTCTCTCCTACGTCCTACTTTCCGCCATTACTGGCATGATCTGGCTTACCCTCATCATACAGACAATAGGGATCTATGTCGTATCTAGTCCGGCCCGCCACGATCTCCTCAACGTCCTGAACACCGCTGTGCACGCTGCTCTTGTGCCGTCTGACTATACTCCGACCTCCTCACATCCATTCTATACGTCCAAACCTACTCAACACGAGCCGAAGCTTGGAAGTTCATTATCTTTCTCTGGGTCCCGATCGCTTCAGCTTGAAGAGCATGAACGTGAAATTCTCGACGAGGAGATTGACGACATCAATGAAGCCCCGGATTCCGACATCGCTCTTCCCCATCCTCCCGTGGTGCAAACGGATTCTCAACCTTATCCCTTTTTTGTTTCTTCCTCTGGTCGTTTTATGTTGGATTTTCAGTGCATCTGCTCGTATCCCGTAGAAGGCGTTGACGCTGCCCTTTGTCGTCCGAATCCCGAAAGCTACAGAGCTCATTTCTCGACTGCAGTACGCGACTATTTCTGCTGGGCCTCCTCTACGTTCTGGGAGGCTATGCGGCGCTCGCGTGAAGGGTCTTTCCAAGGATCTGTTGCTCTCATCGTCATCGCTTGGGAAGTTGTCGTCCGTCGATTTTCTTCTTCTCATAAAATCCCATACAATCCCTCTGAAAATGTTTGTTGTACAGGACCTCACTCTCTTTGGTGGAACCTTGCCCACGGCTGCGCTTTATGCCTGTGTCACTCGCAATGCAGTATTCCTCTGTGTCCGGGCCATCGCCTTCCTGTCGTTCTTCACCAAATGTTCCGCTAGTACACCCAAATCCTCACCACACGTTCGACCCTATTTGCGTTGGCGCCTCCGCTTAGCGCACGGTCACAGGATTCTGCGGAGCAAATGCACCATGTCTGCATCTAAGACGACGGGCTCAGGAATCAAGCTCAAGCTTGTGTTGGCATCTCGGTGTCGTTCGCATCTTGTCGGGCTCAAGCACCGTCGGCCGACCTGGTTGAGTTCGGACGCGCGTTTCGTGTTCTGGGAGCGCAGGATGCTCAAGTGGAAGGCCAAACATCTTAAGTGGAAAATCGTAGAGGTCGGCCCTTGGACAGGCGCAGCATCCTTGTCGTCGGAAGCTACCCTAGTCGGCAAGTCTTTCTATCCCTGTCTCATATCCTTTACAAGCAGTGATAAGTTTGATAACCATTCTTTCATAATTTCTATCGATTCAACAGATTAGGTCCGCGACAAATTCGGTCCTTGATCAGAATAGATCAAAGGCGGTACACAATATCCACTCGCTCAAGGACACGCCCTATCCCTTTTATATTCTCTTATTATCTGCGATACCTCATACTACATCACATCTTATCATCAACGCTCATTCACGAAGTAACTGCTATCATCTTTCTCCTGCGACACCCACACTTCTCTCGTGGACATCGTAACTATTGATTCCTTCAGAGTCTTGGTGCACTCATTATCCACTTACCTGCGATACCTACTACATAGTTTTCCTCACTGCTCTCTTGGCTATGTTTGATACTTGTTCTTGTTTTCCAATTGCAATCTTATTTGTTGCGCGATCGCCGCGCCTGATACTGGAGGATTAATGAATGAGTCCCCGGATTCTCAGGAAAGGAGGTTCATCATAGTCTGAAAGAATGAAATCGAAGTAATAAAAATATCCACATCCCTGCGCACTCGCCCACGTAATTGCTCGTGCATCTCTCACCTTCCAAATCAAACATCATAATTAAATCTCCACGCAGTTCCACCACCATTCTCATGCGCGTCCACTCCACCATACTCCGTCCGCTCGCGATCGTAAGGGTTGTACTCCATGATTACCTCCGCCTCCCTCTCCCTCTCGCTCATACCGGTGTTAAGACGGGAGTCGGTGTCTGTGCTTGCCATCTTACGGAGTGGGATCAGAGGCTCGTCGTATCTTACCGTCCGTTCGACACTGACTTGTACTGGCTACAGGTTTGCACAGGTGTCAGTTTATATCTCAGAGCGAAGCGTGAGTCATAGGTTGGACGTACTAGGTTGTGAGGTGAAAGTTTGGGCGATAACGTTCCAACGACTGTGGCTTCGGAGCTCGAAGATTGTGTTGGATTGGTGCAATGATGCTGAGTACGATAGAAAGTGTCAGTTAAATGCTTCTGGGAGAAAGAAATGTGACCAGAGAGGGCAGAACCTTCGAGTCTCCGCTCGCCAGTACGGGCCGCATCAGACCTCTTGGGTCGCTTGATTGTCTGTTGTGGCGCTCGCGAATGAAACGACGGGTGTTCAGACTGAGATGCAGATTAGTGTCAATCATCGACAAGTAGAGCGATCACGAACTTCGTCAGAAGGGCCAGCGTATAGACTGTGTCGAATGTGTGTTATTGTCAGTGAAGCGAGTGCGATATCGCAGGGAACGTCTAGCTTACATTTTCCGATAAGGAAATGCGTGCTCATGAAGATAAGAGTGCCTCGTAAGGCGAACCACTGCCCATTTCCAAACCTCTTCAGATTGTTAAGCACCGTAACAAAAGGGACGAACAGCACGTACACATATCATTGACGCGAGTGTCGTGATGCTGATCAGAATCATCAGTTGAGTGGTTATTCGAAGAACGGGAAAAGCGTACAATGTCAGCAAGCCACTACTGATGGTATAAGCCACCATCGTATCGATCAGTTTCTTCGTGCTGCAAGGTGAAGGTCATCAGACTAGAATAGAGACTTCTTAAACAACTATATACCTAGATAAGCCTCCTCTCGACCGCGACCGCGCAAAGAACCAGCACATTGAGACAGTAACCAGAACGTCGATACTTATGGAAAGAGAGTAACCCAGAGTGATCACAGGCTGTGAACGGGAGTATACGTAGTTAGATGCTGCGTAGCGGGAGGGCGATTTGAAGGAGTAAAATGTACTGTCTGGTGTGGGACGAAGACCGCCCAGCTCCTGATCTGTACGCTGAGGGAAGCGACATTAGGAATGGAGTATAGCTTTATGTGAAATGGAAACAACGTACGCTTTGATAGTAGAAACTAAAGATAGAAAAAAAAGAAAAATGTCAGCCATTGTTTGAACGAGAAGACACGCAATGCTGTACCTAGGCCAGTGGCTAAATATCACGGGGTCGATATCATTATCATCAAAAACCCTCCCGATTAGCGAGGAGAAGAATAATCGAAAAGTACCTAAACGGGCGAACGCCAGGATCACCTGTCCGAACCGGAAAAACATATATTTAATATGGTAGATGTGCTGACTATGTTGCGTTTGCTTACAACTGGAGCAGCGAGAGACCACTTTCTTCCGCTCACTACGGTAACAGTTATTATCACTATGTGGCTCTCCTATGAGATGACGCCACGTACGTTTATAGAGAACTTGAGCGTAGTAGCTATACGCGACAAGTACAGTGAGCTGACGGATCTTTCTCGTAGATGTGCAAAATAATCACTTCTGCACGCTAAAGCTCGCCACACACTAGGCCTGTGTCAGTTACGGTATGAAACAATGCTTGCACAGGACACTCACAGTAAAGAAAAGCGTCAACTACGCATATCAGAACCACACAGATAATCAGTGCGACATCCACCTCGGCAGAATGATAGCTGCTTTACCGCGGTTGTTCTATTAAATATGGTTAATACTTCACGGTCATTTATTCATAAAAAACTATGGACACTAGACCCACGTCGGAATGTAATCCCCTCTCGACCTCTCTCCGTAGTGAATAGCAAAGTTATCCCAGTTTGACGCAGTGATCACACATGTATGGACCGCGTCGACGGCCCTACACCAGACGTCAGTGGTCTCTACTCATGAAGACCCAAAGTTCAACTTACCACAGCCACGCCACCTGGACCATAGAAGGATGATCAGCGAAGATTGGGGAGAAAAATAGCGGCTAACTTACGAGTATCTTCAGCGTGACGTGATCGGCTGGATAATACAAGCGGAAGTACACGAACGTTTGCAGCGCTATGACACCTGATAATCTGCAAGAGTGATTCTGGCTATCAGTGGTTGGACGCTGGGGAACGACGGGAGAGTCAGGGCGCACGCAACAGATCCAAATCCTCCCAGAAGGATGGCGCCGATCGAGCTCCGGATATCAGTCTCGTAGGAGTTGCTCATTGTGAATCGTGACTGCTCGTTATCCCGTGTTCGCTAGATTTCCGGGGAAAGCTCAGGGCGGGGACGCTCCTTGGTGGAAGCAGAGAGACGAGCCGAAGCAGAGGGGGAGAAAGGGACGAGCGGCAGAGATATCGGGACCGGTCGGTATATATCTCTCACTGTATACCCACCAGTGTTAGCGAGCACACCACACACGCACAGCCTTCGACTGTCTGAGCACGAAAGACATACACTTCACCCCACAGCGCTCGAAGTCAGTGAAACATGATCACAGTACCTTGCGGCTCCTGCATCAAGAAGAGTAAGAGAGGGAAAGAAGAAGTAATAGGCGCCACAGAAACTGCACCATGGGTACTCGTGTTGATGTCGAAGCGGGAATGCAGACCAGCAGACCTGAGTTATGCCTGAAGCGTACGACGCACTGCGCTCTGATAACGGCGAAGATCCTAGGTTTTTGGACCATATAGAAAGGGAGTAGCTCGATGAAGATCAGGATGAACTCGGGGCGCAACACGATGGAGACTTGGTTCTATACGCGGTGCCGCACGGAAACCCAGTAAGTATGTGTGGCCGGGTCACGGCGACCGAACATGTTTCAACGTAAACAGGCCCATCAGGTGTGAAGCTGGTGGAGATCGAAGATGGACGCCTATGAGAATTACGGGTATCAATATGTCCCTGGAATAAGGCCGGTCATTATTGCCGAATGCCCTCAATCGATGTGCGAGCATATGGAGGCCAACGAGGTGGTGAATTCCCATGACGAGGGTGCTTGAATGTATGGATTCAGGTCGAATGGAAAGGGTCAAGCTTAGATCGTGGCGCACGGGTATCGATCACACTAGGCTCAGGCGGAGGCTCGGGACGGAGTTTGATGCATTGATGATCCAGGTCCTATACTGTGGAGATGCGGGAAGTACACGGAGGTCTACAGAGTGTTCCGAGTCTGAAGACGTCCTTACTCGTATGCTGTCGTGGTATCGTGGAAGAAAAATTTAGTTAATTATGCCCGAGACACTTTTCTGCAAGCAGGTAAAATGCGCCTCATTTTTCATTCATCATGAACATGAGCTGACAGGGACTTGCAGACGTCCGCTGCAAGCGATTCTGGCATGATGCCAGGGTCAGCCAGACACGCGTAGAGATTCGGGCCACGGCAAAAGAGTTTCAGATAGGGAGAACTTAGTCGATACAAGACTAGTTCATATGCCGCGGGTCCACTGAGTTCTTGATTGAGTCTTCGGATCTCACGACGATTGCAATGAGAAAGCTAGTGCGAGCTGGTAGAGTGAGAGTTGACATTCAGCGAGAATGGTCAAAGTTTGAAATTCCTCGTGCGGTCAGCGGCGGGCCGGTTGATGTGGCCCCCCATGTGTGGCACATGGCATACGTTCTTTTTGACCTTAACGACCTATCTATCCTCAGGTTATATGTGGAGGACGCTCGCCTACCATAGTCTTGCATCTATTCCTCGAGCATATTTCACAAATCCAGGCAGACGACACGCATCTATCCAAGTGAACGCCCACAAGCCTCAACGAACCCGGTCGAATCCTCGCAACATGGGTAAGAACAACAAGAATAAAGTCCAAGAATCCGACCTTGTCCTCCCACCACATTCATCCCAGTCCTCCACCCCCATCATCGACACCCATACACACCTGGTCTCCACCTTTTCCGCCTATCAGGCGAAGTTCAAGGGAGGGAAACATACGACCGTACACGAGTTTGTCCGCAGGGTCTATGATGCTGAGGCGGGAGAGATCGTTGAAGATGATGGTGAAGCCGATGCGAATGGGTTGATCCCGACAGATCGGTCGAAGGTAGAAGCTATAATCGATGTGTGGTGCGAGGCACCTGTGCAGAAGAAGATCTGGAAGGAGATTGCGGATTCAGCGTTGACGGAGGAGCAGAGGAAGAGGGAATGGGGTGGGATTGAGTACTGGTTTGTGATGGGTGCGTGTATCCTTCACTTTCGTTTTATATTATTTGTTTTTTCTTTCAAAATATTGGAACATAACACGTCTCTGCGACGTCGGTTGGGAGAGGGCTATATGTCGCTGTGGACCTTGAACAATCATTACTCCCCACGTATTGTGGCGTCACCGTCTTTGGTTCCATGCTGCTACTCTCAAATTATTCTCGGTGGATCATTCACTTCCGTTACTGACATCACATTCATTCCAGGCGTCCATCCGTGAGTCCAATACTCGTAACGCCACCCATCTCTCGCTCACAAACCGTGCGCCACTAGGCACGAAGCTAAAGTCTACACAGATGAAGTGGAAGCAGACATGTGTGTATCTCTTTCTCTCCCCTTTCTCCATCGCGCCGTATCGCCCATCCTGCCTGCATCCATTTGCTTAATTAATGTCAAACACACTGCTGATTCACTTCTTACGCTAGCCTGGAAGCCATGGCGCATCCTCGTTGCGTGGGCTGGGGTGAAATGGGTTTAGACTACCACTACGACAACTCTCCCCGCGAAATCCAACAAGCAGTGTTCCGTCGTCAACTGCGCCAAGCTGTGCGTCTGGGCAAACCGCTGACAATACACACGAGGGAGGCAGAAGAGGATACGGAGATGATATTGAAGGAGGAGGTGCCACAGGACCATCGGGTAAGTGTCTTTTATCACGGCACCGATCACTGCGGCGAGCTTGTACAATGTCTGATGGGTCGCATTGGTTTCCTGTTCGATAGATACATATACATTGCTACACAGACTCGCCGGAGCTGGCGCAGCGGCTCTTGGATCATTTCCCCAATCTTTATGTCGGTATCACAGGTCTGTCTTCTGCCCTCCCTATTGCGTACGCACACTACACATCTCTTACGCTATGCCCGGACGAACCCAGGCGTGATTACTTACTCAACAAACCTCAATACCGCCGCCCTTGTCCGTCAACTTACCTCCCAAGACCCAAACCCGCGCCTTATCCTCGAAACCGATGCACCCTACATGATCCCGTCTAACCTTTACGGGTCACTCAAAGGCGTCAAAGGGAGACTACCGCTGTCGCATACAGCAATGATACCGTGGACGGCGGAGTTCGTTGCGGGTGTGGCGAATGGTGTCGGTGTGGATGGTAAGGAGGAGGGGACAGAGTGGGACACAGATAGGGTGCTAAAACTCTGCAGGGAGAATGCGAAGAAGATGTATGGTGTGTAGAGTTGCAGTGCATATCTGCATGGAATCATAGGTGAGTAATCGCTCTCTTCCCATTTCGTGAGCCGTGGCTAAGAAAGAACCCTTCCGTGTTTATGCCATAAACCTAGAACGAGTTGGTGTATCGGCGATCTCTGATGCTTTCGACTTTGACGATGTGTTAAGGGAGCCATAGCGCTATATTTTCCGCGCTAAATAACCATATATATTTCGCTGGTGGCACCAAGACTGAGATGTTCGAGTTCAGTGCAATGCTCCAGATCACTTTTCTGGGTAGAATCAAGGCGAGAAGCTGCCAGGGTCGTGCGGTCAGCTTCTACGTCAGGAGTGAAAGATGGAAGTGCGAGCACTCGAAGAGGAAGTCAACGAATGAGGATCCTCGCTGTATCTCAAGCTCCGCCTGAATCTCGCGCGACGTGCAGAAGGTTCGCGTCGCGATTGCGAACGCGTTTCTATCCCACTCCCCTCTACCTCCCTCGAGAAGAGCCCAGCCTCTCGCCCATCTTCTATCTGCTACATTTTCTGAGTTTATTTCTTACGTTGCCACCACAGACTTTGAATGAGCTTCCAACTGGTCTACGCTCGAGGTAAGTCCTGTTTAGAACGCGCCGGACTCGCATTCGATGGTGTTGCGTTTGAGGCAAAGACTAATAATACCTTCAAAGTCAGTGATAAAAGAGCAGCGATGTACTCTGTCCCCACCGTCGATACCGATCGTGAAGGTACGTTCAGACTTTTTCCTTTCGAATCAATACTGACCGCTCGGTATTCTATTCCAGGGTGCAATGTGGCGTCCGAGGACTTATCTCTGGCGTTCGATGGCGTGGCTGCGTTGGGCCTGTCTGCTGCCGCAATTACCGGAGAAAGTACACCACAACCTTCTCATCTTCGAGAATATCTATTGAAGCTTTTGATTCTGGTAGCAGATACCGTCGAGAACGGGCCTATCAAGCAGGTGGTCACGATACAAGAAGGGAAATATCTTGTTAATGTTCGTCAATCGTGCTCCGTAGACATACGCTATTGCATTCTAACATTGTTATGCGTATAGGGAAAGGAGGTCCCGTCTGTTCCTCAGCACGAACGATGTACAGCTTGCGCCAGACGCCACCAAGAGTGCTCTGGATGGGACGGAGTCCCATGTGCTGCTTGCCTTTCCTCTGGTGGACGGAAATGCTCGAAGAGTCAAAGTGAGCTCGATTCATCCATCTACTAGCTGTTTCTTTGGGCTACTGTTCCTAACCCGTGCTTGTGGCTTATAGTCACTGGCTCAACTGGAGCAACGACGTACAACGTGAGTCTGATTAGTATTGTACCCATGTTGAACAAACACTGAGCATACCTTCGTCCAGGGGCGACCAGTATACGCCGAGCCACCGTGTGGTCACTGCCTGAAGAAGGGATTTGACTGTACCGGACTTCCGCTCGGACGTTGCGATTCTTGTAGAGATTTGCGTCACCGCTGCTCCCGGTCCATGATCCAAACCCGTCTCCGCCAGAAAGGTGACTATATGCGCATTTTCCTCGGGTGAATCATCTCAATATGTCCAAAATCTGTCAGATTCTTCGACTTTTTCAATCGTCCCCTACCTCAAATCTCAGATATCGCTCCTGCCGGAAGACATCAGATATCGTATCACGTATAATATCCGGGGCGTCGACATTTCTGTCGACATCCTACCGCCTAATCTACGACCCCAGACTTCCGACTCCGAATCCGATACGAGTGTCGTTCCCCTCGGGTGGATCGAATTTCAATCTACCGACGTGTGTCCTGTGGTAGAACTCGGACGCCCGGGCGATGTATGGATACGCTCGCCCAGCGAAAACTCCACACAGCCGTCCTCAGAGGTGGTATACGTATGCGGAGAGTTAGATGGGAACGGTGCTGCGCAGTGGTCCCTCGTTTCATCGGAGCAGCTGCACCAATCGACGAGGAAAGATCCGCTCAGACACCCTCTTGTTCGCGGGTGCGTTTTTGGGAGGTCTGAAACGCTAAGATACTGCTGGAGAGAAATATCTGACGAACCGAGTGAACCGGGTACATATGTCCTATAATATATATTCCTTAACATTCGCTAACGCTTGCTGCTCATATTCTCCTCCAGAACCCATCATAGGGAATAAAAGGGCATTGGATACCATTGCTGATACGGCGGACATAACGATCGCTGCCCCACCTGGAGCCAAGCGTAGCCGCCAATCGCAAGATCCTCACAGTCACCACGTCCACTTCTCCCCATTCGTAATCGTTCGACATTGCACCCCTTTGTCTCCTCTTCCATCGCGCTTCCAAGAATTTGCCACCCAAACCAAACCAAAGAAACGTTCGCCTCGCAGGCCACGAGGGCAAATAGTCTCCTTTGATGGTGATGGTGCTGCGACCGCGGTACCACTCCCCTCCGGTGAAGCGCAGAATATCAATACTCAAGCGATAGCGTCTACCGAGGGCAAACCATCTCTCGAAGTCGAGCCGCGTGGAACTGTTTCCGCAGGTGCTCCAGCGGGTATCGACTCTCCCGGAATACGACTTTCTGACTCAGACCACATCATAACTCCCTCAGAATCCAACCCCTCTGATGTTCCTCGCGATATGTCCTCGGAAAATACAGCGAGGGTCGAGCTTTCCGCTGGCGGTGACCTCAGTTCCTCCGAAAGTAGCCTTCCCGCCCGTCTTCCAGTATCAGACACTACAGCATCCCTTACATCTTCTCCCAACGACCAACCCAACTCTGGAACGATCACTCATACACCGACTTACGTTCCTTCACCAACCGACTCGAACTCACGGGCAACAACCGAGGACGGACCACAGACAATCATGGCATCGATGGAAGGCGGCGTCACAACCCTTTGGAAGGTCTTGAGTCAGGTTCATGGTGGCGACTTCGATGCGGTGATGATCGATACGTGTGAGGGACTTGTACTGGTGTTGCAGCAGCTTCAGGGGAAGTATCGCGCTTCCATCGCTGACGAGAGTAGTAAAGGTTCTTGATGTAGATGAGGTGATTCTTGTGTGGCTCGTGCTCCGATCTTGAGGGTGGAAATCTTGTGATGGAAATACGGACGGTGTGTACGAGGGAGGGTGTTCGGAGCTGCTTGTGCGATTTTTTTCCGTGGACAATGGGACTTGTGCCCGTAGGACTTCTTCCGGCCTGTTCTTCTCTCTCTTTAGTCTTCTCTTCAATTTAGTCGATCTATGTCCCTACCGAGAAAGACGACATTCCCCAGAGAGGACAGGAAGAGCACGTCCCGACCCGCAGCAGTGAAGTTTGTCATACATCATACTTATGTCGAGTTCACTGCGTCGAGAACTCGGAACCACGCAAAACTCTGGGCGACATCATCCATGCAGACTCATAAATAACAATTCATTTCATCAAATACATCCATGACTTCGAGCACGACTGGGGACAGCTTATATGACGACTTGAGAGTAAGAGTTTGTCCCCGATTCTCTACTGGCATTGCAATCCAGCGTTGGTGGCCTTGCAAGCTACACAATTATACACAAAACGTTATCGTCAGAGTCTTCGCAAATGTTTACATGAATGTACGACTTACTGCCCGAGATGATGGGTCCGTTTGAGTCGCCGTCGAGGTAGTATTTGCACGAGTCGCCAGCGACGTACTGGTTTCCGCCGTTGCAAGCGGCCCCTATAACAAAATAACGCGTAGTCAGAGGGTGTGTTGTTTAACAGATATATCGGTGAACAAAGAGATGGAGGGAAAGGTCGTACAGGGGTCCTTAGCAATGGCGCTGACGCCTGAGACGAAGAGGAACGCAGAGGCGACGGCGAAGAAGAGCTGGGTGACTTGCATTGTGAATGAGAGGAGAAGTAGGTGTGGGTGCAAGTTGGTGTGGATGGTCTGTTGAGTGCTTGAGTGAGCTACGAATGATGAGTAGACGACGAGAGGCTGAGCCTATTATATAGATTTTGGCATCCACTTGACAGATATGACTTGTGAGGAGGAATATACGACGTTCGGCTCAGGCGACAGAGTGCTTCGTGATGGTGGAGAAAAGAAAGTGTACTGCATAACAACGCGACAAAATGGGGCCTAGGTTAATTGGGGAGACCTCAGTTGAGATGTGGCTAATTTGCGTCACTCGTAAGATGTTGGGCGCAGTCGAACGATGGCATCTCAATGTGCACTTGTTCAACTCGGCCTATAGTCACAAGAGCATACACCACTAGAGCGAATACATTCAGTCAACTTGAGAATCAAGGGTATGGATTGTGGAATGATACTCCACCCAGATTACATGGACCGTTGCGAGCCGACATTGACACCGTCTGATACTGGACGTATCCCCCTTCCGGCAGGATTCTATTGTTCAGCGCAAGCGAGATCAAAGTGCGCCGTTCCGCATCATGGTACCAACGATATCCAGATTTGCATTTGAAACGAGGGTACGAAGAGGGTTAAGATCAACGGTGACGATTGGGGCTGTCCGACGCGATAGATTGACCACCACGAACAACAGACTCCACAAGTGAATAACTAGGTGAGCATATCCGTGAAAGTATTAAAAAAAACAGAGAACACCCTAAAGCATGGAGGAGGAGCTGCTCGCAAACTCAGTATACGCCGACATCGGTTTCTCATGAGTTGAAGTTTAGTTGAAGGTCGGCTTGACGTCCATTGACGACTAAGAGCTACGATAGACTTCCTCGCTCGCTGGGTAGACTTGGGGTGGACAAACGTGGGTGAAGTTTGGCTCGAGAGTATGCATGGCTCACAGCTTCAAGTAGGGCTAGGATGGTAGAAGGGAGTTCAGAGGTTAACTTGACACTGGACGGTCCACCAGAAGCCTTCAATTTCTCGAGGGGAAATTTGCCTCGGGCGGAGTTTGGCGGAGCTGGAAGTCTTTCCGGTATCAGCCACCGGATTTCGCATTCATCCAACCCTTCACCTCGTACGCATTTTTTATGTGAGATATGTCACAAGAAGGGCTCGTTTTCGTCAAATTTGCGGCATATATTACCGCTGAAGACTCCATCTGCGTACTGACCACGCAAAAATCCATAAACGAAGAGTCCATCGCGGATTCAGATCATTGCAGTCCATCCTACATAGACCTGCAGCCTGAGCTCTCCACAAACATCCTAGGTGAGCGTCCATCAACTCCACAAAACATCGTCGTACGCATCGAGACCTCGATCGCCTCCTATTTTTAGAGCGTCGTTGTTCTGACAGATATTTTGCATGACTGCTATGCGCATGCCACGTCACGACGCACCGTCCATTCAAATCTACGGAGAGCATAGAGCGTTGGCGACCATCGTGATTGCCTTCTGATCCGCTGTAACTGGACTGACTCATGTCGCGATCTCTTTCTTCTCCTCTCGCACTGCCGTAGTTCTCCTGTGTGACGCGCAATCTCATCTTCCCTTAGATGTGGAGGATCAGCCATTCTCCACATCGAGTTCAATGGGATGGAGCTCACTGATCTTTTTACCCTCGAAATTTATCACTCAAAGTCAGGGCTAATTGTTGACATCCGCTCCTCCCTCACGCAGAACCCCCCGTTCTATCTCGCTCGGAAGTTGAGATGATATTCAAAACTCTTGGAGAGACCCCAGTTTCCGCGCGTTCATCTACAAAGAAATCATGAAACAGAGGTTCGAAGGTAGCAGAGCATGACGAGTTTCGCGGTGAACTGTTCTTTGGATACTCTATACTTTCGACGACCTACTCGACTGCGCCCTCAATCTCGTCTCTGGGGAATTCCATGCAGTAGGCGTTCCAAACCATATATAAAGCCCACAGTCTCAGCCTTCTATCTCATCATCCACAGCTCACTCTCATCTTCCAGCGTCCAACCACTCAACACAAATATCTGCTCTACCCAACCCAACTACCTTCAGCTCTCATCATGCAGTTCACCCAGCTCTTCTTCACCGTCGCCTCTGCATTCCTCTTCGTCTCAGGCGTCAGCGCCATTGCTAAGGACCCTTGTACGGCCTCTCCGCTCATTCTGTTGGGCTGAATATGACTCTGACTCTATATGGTTTTGTAATAGGGGCCGCTTGCAATGGCGGAAACCAGTACGTCGCCGGCGACTCGTGCAAGTACTCCAACGGACCCATCATCTCTGGAAGTACGTGTGAACCATGGGCTACCATCTCGTACAGGGCTGGATACTGACGTGCGGGTGACCTCATTGCAGCTTGCAAGTCCACGAACGCGGGCTTGCAGTGCCAGTAAATTTCTCAAAGGACCACGTTCCGTATCATAACAAGGTTAGTCCTCAAAACAAGGTGCTTGCGGATTATTTACTCATTATTCGTGCTCTGTGATATTTATGGTATCCAGGATTTTGTCTGCTGCTGTACGATAGTTCTGTGTTTCTGTCACCGAAGTACTTACTACGAGAGACATTGAAGTTGATATTTATAAACTATGACTTGAGAGGTCCCGTCAGCCATGTCTGTGTTTGTGCGGGAGACGTCCAATTATTTGAAAAGTACTACATTTGCGCCTACCTCTAGAGCTAGCGCATGTGGTTGATCCCACGGAAAACCTGTTGAATGCGAGGGAAGGTGCGCTCGCAAGAACAAGCAAGACCGCCTCGCGCGCCACCCTGGTGGCCCAGAAAGGACAGTGTTGTTGTTGAAGCCACGCGAACATTACGTAAGATGACCGTCGCGTCCGCCTTGGCCTGCCAACCGAGTTCCCAAGAACGGATGCTCTTTGTCTGCAACATCTCTCTGTCTACATATCTCTCAACGGCCACAAGGACAAGGACTGAACCAACAAGGGTTTTTGTCTTCAATATCCTGGACAGTAAGGATAGCTTCGGATTTCATGACGGCGCAGGTTATTGGCGCTCAATCCGAAGGTGCGTTTCTTGTTCGATGCTGGAGTACGTAGTGAGCACGTCGCGTGCGGGTTAGTCAAGGTATACATGCTATTGAGACGATTCGTAATGCGATATCAAACAGCGAAAAGCTGGACTATTTTGAGAGGACTTTACAATGACCAAGTCCAGCACAACCATAAGCTATGCTCTAGAGCGTACAGCTTTGGCTCGTTCGAGCTGTAGTAGAGAGCCACAATGTCGAACTATCGGCACAGACTTAAACATAGTCCAATAGTCTCTAAGAGCAATCGCCCAGATACTGGGACGTCTTGGAAGGAAGTTGTAATGGGCCTAGTGTGGCGCAGTATCGGAGTTGGTTCACGATTGCATGATACTTGACCAGCCGTTCACTCCATTCTTACTCTTTCTCACTTGAAAGGGTGTTTCATAACGCAGACTCGAACTGACAACTATCACATGTTACAGATCTGGAGGAAAATTGGGACGATGAGTTCGCCTTTGAAGGCAATACAAACGGCGCAACTACCACCCGCTCTCGCAGATCCAAGGCATCGGACGACACTACTGTACGGGTTCAGGGGCACAATGGTCAAAATCAATCGCGACTGACCGAATGGGCGGAGCCTGGTCCCTCCACGCCACCCAAACGCCAACTCATCCCGGAAGCAGAAAACTGGGACGACGACTTCGAAGACCGCACAGACTCTCCCGTCAAGCGCAAAAGCGCGAGCCACGCTTCCCCCACAACGACAACGACACCACCCCGCCATATTCGGAGACCGCAACAACAGGGGGACCAGGAACCGGAGAATTGGGACGATGACTTCGACACGGATAAGTCTCCGAGGAAGGAAGGTCCTTGGGAGAGCTCGGATGAGGAACTGGAGGGTCTTGGGATGGGATTCTCGGATCAGGAGGATAAGACGGTCACGGCCAGGTCACGAAGAGGCATGAACGCGAAGTATACACCACCTCCAGTCCTGCCCCTCCCTTCCCATCTTCACCAATTTAGCAGCCTCGATCCTTTCCCAACGTCACCCACCCCATCAGTCTTTTCCGTCCCCCAGTCCGGCAGGGATTCTGTCGCGTACTCTTTCGCATCTTCAGCACCTCTTCGGCCAGGCGCCGCCCTCGCTTTACCGCCCAGTCCACCCCAGAAGGAGCGAAGACGACTAAGAAAGAAGTCTCGTCCTCCCGATCACAATGTCTTCGAGCTCCTCGACCGAAGTCGCGACGGCGTTCCACCCGAATCCCCACAACGTTCCATCCACGATCTTCCATCGCCACAAACTCCACCCCACCTCCCCCTCCCCGACATGAATCCTTCCTCATCTCCACCGAACAGGACGCCACTCCTCTCTCGCATCAACTCCGTCAAGAAATGGGGCGTTTCGCGGAAGAAACGTTCGAGCACTACCCCCTCCGAGGTCGAACTCGACGACAACACACCGCGTCCTCCCTCCCGCATATCCGACCAGTTCGCTCCCCCTCTCGTGCGAAGCCAGAATTCAAGTGGCGACGCGTCGCCGTTCAAAGGCTCCAACGGCAATGGCAGTGGTGGCGGCGGCGGCGGTGGATGGTTTTTTCGGTCTTCTGGCGGGGGTGGGCCTGAGGCCCCGTCAGCATCAACGCAACAGGCGTACGCGGACCTGAACCTGGATCCGAACGTGAAACACCAACAATCGATCGGTCGACTTCGAGCGTTCTCTGATGCTCTGGACGATCCGTCTTCGTCGTCAGCATCTCCTGCGGCTGCGAAGAAAAAGAAATCGATAATTGGGTTTTTGGATCAGCGTCCTTCGAGTCCGTATCACCATCAGCAGCAAGGAGGAAGGTCGACGCCGGATCCGGATCTGGATACGACGCCCCCGCCTTCGCCGTTGATGGGTGGTGGTGGTGGTGGTGGTGGTGGTGTTGGGATGGGAAGACGGCCGGCTTCGATGCAGGTGGTGGGTATGAAGCCGTTCTTTCCTAGAACTGTTAGTGATATGCATTATCACCATCAGCAGCACGGATTTCACATTATGGGAAGATCAGTCTCACGGTCGACGTTCGAGGGAAGTACGGACGACTTGGGCGGCAGGGAGAAGAGTGGCGAGAGGGGGCAGAGTAGAGAGAGGGATAACAATGGCCGAGAGAAAGAGGGGTTCACGAGGTGGAGGAGAATCTCACTGGTGAAGAAGCACAGGAGTTCGAAAAGTATTCCTGTGCAAGAACTGGAGGGACTTCCGGGGCGACTCAGCGCGAGGTCGTCGAGTACGGCGTTGCCTTTGCCACAAATCTCTGGGCTTCCAAGTTCGGGATCACAGATGCATCTAGGCCTACTACCGCCAATACAACTCGATCCCCCTTCGCCGAACCATCGTCGTAATGGAAGTGGGACGGAAGTTTCGCTTTCGTCACCGATGGAGGAGCGGACTACCGACTCGTTGCTTCTTCGCCCTTCCTCGTCTCTCAGTAAATCATCGTTGACGCAACTTCGCCCATCTCCTTCAATTTCACCATCGTCCTTGAAGTCGACCGCACCGGCGTTGCAACAGACTTCATCTCTTGGTCGATCAACACCTGTCCTTGTTCCGAGTCTACCTGGCGGCAGCAGCAGCAGTCATGCTCTGAGCGTGGCTCCTAATGTTTCGCCGTCCGCTGGAACGATTGTGCCAAGGCGGAATTCGTTGGGCGATTTGAAGATCCCTGCGAGGATCAGTCAGGCGCAGGTCGGGCTGAAGCGAGATCTCGGGATGGTGAGGGAGTTTGCCAGAAGTGTGGAGAGTGAGTGTCGCTTGATAACGAACCTTCACCTCGTATTCTCTCTCTTTTGCTCAGATGCCCACGGTTTCTGACTCGTCACTGTTAACGATAGGATTGAAGGAACTGTTGAACATCTATCATAGCCTCGTGGTCGAACTTCAGGCGATCATCCTGACCATTCCGCGATCCCCCTCCCGCTCCGGCACCTCCTCTGCTCTGCCCATACCTGTCGCCATTCCCTCAAGACCTGAAGGGTTCTTGAACGTAACGCATCGTCGCGCACGCTCGAACACGAACCCTTCGTCAGCGCCACATACCCCTGCCGATGACCCACAGCAATACTTCCTAGGCCTCTATCACGCAATCGACGCCCGTTACCAAATCAGCTGGGAATGCGCCGAGCTGCTTATTGAGCTTGGAAGTGGCTCAGTGGCCACTGCAGGTCCTTTGAGCTCAGCATCCGCGTCAGCATCGCCTTCAGCCAGGTTGTCGCCACCCACGAAAAGCATCAGCGTTCCTCCAAGCAGTGACCATCGAAAGATCGAATTTGGTGACACTGTGCCCAGGAAGCCTCCTTACCACCGCGAACGCGCTATCACATTGACTGGAGACGAGTCCAAGCCAGCTCCGCCTACATTCGCGAGTCAACAACACCTTCCGCCGGCATCGATTCTCGTGAACCCGAATTATGCAAGCGTGACTACTCCATTGAAAACACCGAATCCGGGATGGAGAGCGTCGACGGGACGGAACGATCTTTCGCAGAGACAATTGTGGTTGTTGAGGGACATGTTGAATAGTGGGAATAATTCGTCGGAGGGGTCGCCTTCGGGTGGTGAGAGTGTACGGATTCCGAGTGAGACGAGAATCGTGGAAGAGAATTGCGGCACTAGTGTCAATCGTGGGTGGAAGTGGGGCGCGGATCCGATGGGCTCGACTGTGACGCTACCTTCCGAAGAATCGGCGATGACGGGCTTGCCTTCGTCGTATAATTCTGCGACGGGGATTCCTGCTGGTGCTGCCCCCATTGTGACATCTCTCGAGAAGAAGCAACGAAGGATGTCGAGGCTAGGAATGAGTGGCTTGAGGGATATGTTGAAGAGTCTGACGAAGAATGTTGGGACTGGAGGTGTGATGGGACTTCCTTCCGCGGCGATCAGTACCGAGTCCTCCTTGGACAGTCACGGACAAGGTGTACGTCCCCCTTCGCGATCGGGTGGTCAATCCATCTCTGGCAAATCGTCAACACGTCGACGGGCGAGAACATCCACCGGTCCTGAGTTAACGTCTTCGTCTATCAGAGCCACTTCCCCTCCGTTTAGTCATTCCTCGTACACGAGTGGGTCTACCAGTACACCTCGACGGCCCTCTCTCGCCTCGATTTTTAGGTTCTCGCAGAAGTCGAAGTCAGGCTCCGGGGACTCTACACCTAGTAACCCCGACGCCCCTCCAGTCCCTCGAACTCATGCCCATACACAAGAGTCGTCGGGGAGTGAAAGCAACTCCGGTAGTAGTGCGTGGGACTTGAAAGAGGGTAAGCACGGGGATGACGAGGAAGAGGAGGAAGATTGGGATCGTGTGGAGTCGTCGGAGGATGTGGAGATGGACGCGAAGATGTTGGGTATGAGCCCCAGCTCTACTCTCTCGGGCGGTGGAGGTAGTGACGGGTCCGCTACGATTCGAGGGCGCAAGTCTATGTCTCCTTGGAAGAGGAAGAGCAAAGCCAAGAGCAAGGACCAGAACTCGCTCCAGGAGCTGGCGAATGTCTATAAGAGACCAGAGCAGGCTTCTTCTTCGTCCTCTTCGCTCGCGATGTGGGCAGAATCGGCTGCAGCCATGTCACCTTCTACGCCACCTCACATTCCACACGGATTGCCGGTACCTCCTCCTTTGATGACGTCTGGGTCGTTGTCTCATGCGAGTTCGCTCTCACGGCCTACTCGGTTATCGAATGTTGAGGAGACTCCGGGTGAATCCAGCGGGAGTGGACTGGATCTGCATATATCCACTCCGAAGTCGAAGGGTGGACGACAAGACCGATCGAGATCCCGACACAGTCCTCATCGACCTTCCTCTCGCACCGGCGGTGGAAGCGGAAGTCGAAGGAGCACAGTCACTGGTTCGGTACGGTCAGCACCTTCAGGCTTGCAGGATGCGCTATCTTCGTCGACGTCCACGGCCGTCGGTAACCCGAAGCTAGCGATGACCCCAGAGAATATCAAACCGTTATTGGAGAATGCAAAGGAGGTGCATGCGAGGTGTGAGGAGTGCATTGTGGAGATAAAAGACCTACTGGCCGCTAGCCAAGGTGAGGTCGGGATAGGTATAGCGTCGTGAGTGGTGAGTGTGGTGGTGGTAGGTGTGGTGGTGCAAGTGGGGGTGAGACTGGAGGCGGTGTCGATGTCAATATTGGGAGATATCGACACTCGCACTCCATGCCGTCGTTCGTTCATTTCATTCGTTTTCTTGCTTTCGTGGTCGGTTGATCGTCTGCTCTCCGCATGTATAAATACGTTGCTCTGCATCTTCTTTCTCTCATCTATCTCATCTCCTTTTTCTTCTCCAACGATCGTGACCGTCGATTCCCAACCTCTCGTTTCTTTTCTTTCTCTCTCGTTTGCTGTGTTATCCGCACAACCATCGGGACTTATATCGCATACCCTGCATCGTATAACTCTCCTGACCGTACAGATACACGCGACATTGACCTGCACACACCATCTGGACCTCCTGCTACCCACTCCTTCATTCGCGACTACTTATACAGCTCCTCGGACTCATTTCTCGTCTCTCACGCACATGTACATTACGCTCCGATGATTTCCGTCAAGACGTCCTCCATGCCCCCGATGTACATGCCGTTTACCCCTCTTGAGGAGGCACTGACTGTACGTACTAGGATTCGCAATGGCATTGACTTTCGATATCTTTGATGGTCCGTGTTGCGAAGTTTAATCTTCTTAGATCTCGGCCATGAAACGGATGCCCACGGGACCAATTTTGCCATGTCGGGAACGATGCAGAGTTGCCAGTGCGGCGAGCACCACTACGATTATGCGATATGGCTCCCACTACATAGGAGGAAATCCTTCACTTTTTTGAAATGTATTATCGAACTGAGAAATTGGATAGTGAATGGTCTGATGAGTTTAGTTGGCAAAAATGAAGACACCGCAGCGAGTCCAGCGACATTGCCAGATAAAAAGCGTCGCCACACCAGTGGCACCGAGTGGCTGACTAATTTTTGTTTGCGCAATTATATATAGCTTTGTCTTTCTTTGAGTCCGAGTCTTTCTTCCTTCCCAAGTCCTTCCCGCTGCGTTCGGCTGCTTCTCTGACGACTTTCTCCAAGTACTAGCCCCTTACTCGATTTTATATCTGCTCAAGATCAATCATAAATATGCTTTATCAAGCTCGTTTGAGTATTCAGACAGCGCTGAGCGGGCAGCAGGTGTGTGCGGTCCCAGTACAAATCCTGCACAGATCACGACAGAAGAATGAAGGAAGGTGAAACCAAAAATCGAATAGGTGTATGAGCTCGCGTTTGCGGGCCTCAGGTCGTCTATAGGTTATGAGGCCTATATGCGGAAAGACGATGACAGAAGCTACAAGCACTATCACTAAACCTTTCTGAGAGTCTGTACAGCATCGGCTGTGTTGGAAGTCTTCTTGTGTATTTATAGGTGGTGAAGCAGGTAAAAGTTATACTCTTGGCTAATCTATACCCCTATGGAGTGTCGCGATGTGTTGAAAGCGCTGTCCTGGTGTCCTTGTTCTTACCGTACTGTCAAATGCGCTTGCCCGCCTTGAAGCTTGAAGCCTAGCATCATGACCCCACCGTCACGTTGCCCCCAGCGCTATATGGCCCTCAGCTGAGCCCGCACCGTGGCAGCCATACTGCCATCACGCAGGATGCATTTACCTATATAAACGCTGTCTTTCGCCCAATGGCAATGCCCTCTCATCCTCTCAGGGGCCTAAGCTTTCCTACACAGACAAAGCATTGGCTCTCGTTACTTGCACGGTCGTTATTGTATTCGTCCCGGACCTTCTTTGCTACCATCGAAATGGGCGATGAGTACACAATCCAGGTCGTAGAAGAGATGCTTTCAGAGCACGATATCACAGAGTAAGTGCATAATTGTCCAGACACAGTTTTGCTTCACTGAAAAGTGTCTTCCAAGAACCGTGTCTGCTCCCTTTCTAGACCCCAATCAATACGCAAACCTCAGCTCGCATGATAATTCTTACAATCCCCTGTTCCTTCGAGTCCCCAACGGCCTCTCAGATACTTCTGAAGTCTGCACATATTCGATCTCATGAAAGACTATGTCGGAGACTGATTGTTACCGTATTCCAGACTTCCAGCGATTACGAGGCCTCCCCCACTCTGACTGAAGGCTCATGGAGCAGTGACGACTTCTTCTCTTCTCCGGTACCTGTCATTCCAATTACTCTGTCCCTGGCACTGCATCCGTATTTCTGAGCTAGAGATGACTTTCCAGAACTCCAACACGCACAGCTCATCACCTCTTCTCAGTGAAGGTTCGTGGAGCGAGGAGGACTTCCTTGAACTTCTCTCGGTAAGGACGTCATCCTCAAATCTAGAACTTTGTTTTTAACTCATCTATTCCACGCTCTGGCATAGGATCTCAATTTCGACAGTTGGGAAGGTGCACCGCTTTCGTGGTTCCCACCTGTTTGGGACGGGCATACCGGCACCTCCGTCCTTGATCCAGCCCCTGATGATCCCAACTTGGCTGTCGGAAGTACAAGCAATGCTCACGAAAGCGATGCAAGTACCGCATATCCTTTCGGCGAAGTCGAGCCTACATATTTCGACCCACACCTTACTTCGATGGTTATCATCAATCAAGACCGCCACGTACATCCTACGAAAAGAGGCAGAACTCGATATGGTCAAGCAACCGAAGGTTTCGTCTCGTTCCGCATGCTTAGTGCCCAGGCCGACGGTATTGTCGTTCGAGCCGCTCTTGATGGCGCGACGCTCGTAGGAGCGGAAGATATTGTCACACAAGACCACGCAGTCAACGTCATGCTACACATCCTGGTATGTCTGTGTCTCATGTGACTGTGCGATGGTCTACACGATATTCAGTGCGCATTTGTTTCAGTGGCCCGGTTACAAACCGTGGAAAACGCTTCTACGGACGAAGAACTGGGCAAAGGAACCGCAGCCGATATCACGCACTGAACTCGCGAAACGTCTTGCGAGAGCCATAATAAAATTCACCGGTGTGCGTCTCTTTCCAATTGTATTTCAGTCCGGATCTGATTTTCTTTAAAGAATGCATCACTCAAGGTACAGGTATCCGGTTTGGAATCATCATCGGAAGCGTCGACTGTTGCCGCCCTTGCTGATCTGACGGCGGATAGCATTGTTCTGCGGTCATTCTACCCAGTCACGAAAGGAGGGTGGCAGGTTGAGCTCGGTGTTCTACCACTGTTTAAGGAGCAAGGTTGAATCCTGTAGCTGGTGTTTCCTCTTTTTTTCCAGACCTATTATGACAAATCAGTGACCCATCTCTCAGTTCCATCTATGGTTGCAATGTATATCAACCACAAGTTTTTACGCACGCCATGTATTGTTCATTTGTTTTCGTTTGTTTTGAATATTGCTATCATTTCGTTTCAGCTCCGCAGCAATGACATCCTGGTCCCAGACTGTCCCTCCTATGGACGTAGAATCTGAAACTGCAATTCCTGTTGGGTTACACCGATCTCAGGCCCCATATCGTCACCGGTGAAAAGATGCAGTGACCTTGATGGCCTGTACGCACGGAACATGTTATCGAGGGAAGATATCAGGTCTTCTTTGTGAGTACAACCGTCTGCTATGCAGTGAATGGTTCTATCTTCCATTGGCACTCATATTGGAAAAATTTATTCCAAATGAGTATCGAGGCCAGACAGCTGTACGTCAGGTGGCTGCTACTCCGTGTCCTTCCTTCATTTCGAGCACCTCAACATCGAAACACCGAGGACAAGTATTTGGCTATATTCGTCACAATCAGCTTTCGTACTGAGTTACCCGGTTGTGGCTATTACAGAAAGGTGTGTAGTATAAAGTGGCCAAGCCTCCGAAGGTCCCACCAGAAATTCTGCGTTCCCGCTCTGATCGGATGAACGAAGCGCTCCATTTGCTTCTCACAACCTTGCGCGCCTGTAGCTCACAGCAGTAAGCTATAACCTCTTTGAAATCACTACCAAAGGCGGTGTCATTTTTTTCGCTGGGCTAATACTATGGATTGTATCCAACTCAGATCATCAAGACCCCCGCTTCCTCACCGGCACACCTCAACCCGACCATGCCAAGACCATACCAATATTGCGAGTAATTTTTGGCTTACTGGGGCATAAGAAAAATTATGTAGACAACACACTGGATATTGAAACAGACTAGTAAACAGTCAATATCTATATGATGGCTGTTACTGGACGTCAACCGAACAGAATGATTCGTAGACAGAGTTCGCGCTGTGGCAACGCCACACAACTTACGCCACATTCAATCGGCCAAACCCGGTCGTTCGTCGGCAGCCGCACTCAATTTTCTTTTTTCTCAACAAACTACCACAACAACCCGACTCATGCGCTTACATTCCCCCGTTCATACTATCGAGCTCAGCCCCTATGAAGCATTCCGTTTAGTACAAGTACCTCTCATGCTCCCGACTGCCAACTATGGTCAAGGCTCCTGGTGCTTGTGCCCTCCTGCCTCGCACTAGTATGGACTGCTAGTCTGAGGTCGAAACTCTCTGGCTCAAACTAACGCTTGTTCTTGCTCTATACCTGATTACCATACGCGTACTTGTATCAAGGTGATAGTTACCTTGTGGTGGAATCAAGCTTAGTATGACTGTGATGGATTATCCTCGTCCGAATGCGTCGCTCGCGTGATCGTCTACGACACGGTTCTTGCGAGCTTTAATAGCTGCAATATATTCCAGATATGCATAGACATAGGGCCACTGCGGGGAAGTAGGCGACTCATCCTTCTTACAAAGAAGGTCCATCCGGGACCACGACATTGTCGACGTCGACAAGGAAGACTTCGTGTTAGTTCGGAGATCAACTTGCTCTCGAAGTTCAGTCTAGCGGAAGATGTTTGCAGAATCCCAGTGACGTTTGGGTTACACTGCGGGTCTCTTGATTCTTGGCGCGTGACCATGTCTACGGTATGTATGTCATGATGTTCTTCCGAACAAGCAGCGTTCGTTCATGCAGTAGCTTCCATGATTATTGATGTTGCATACAACGAAGGTATCGTGTGTTCTTCAACATGCGTCGTTCTTGCATGGTTGATCCTTATTTTCCGTTGGCAGATGAACAATGCTCGTATTCTCCCTGTATGTTTCTGTCGTGCTCTCTCGGGTGGCTCCGGGGGGTGTGTTGTTGATGTCTTCGCGTTCTTCGTTGAATGTTCAGCACGCCTTGACCTCGAATTCACAACATCATACTCCCTTATTTTCCCTCCCTTTCCTCATTCCTCTCCATCCTTGTTACTTACTTGTCATTTATCACTCACACTTTGTCCTCCTCTAGCGAGCATGACGATACCTTCGCTACACACACATTTAAAAAGCATCGTTCTTCTCCCGAACTCGCTGCTTTTGTATCTAAGCTTAGCTCAGGACTTCCGTCTCGATGACTCGACATATGTTTCTTCTCTCCCTTGCTGGACCGCTTCTCCTTCTGATTGTCCGGCGGCAGAGGTCGATGACCTCTCTTTTGTGCTCTACACTCAAACTGGTCTGCGTACCCTTCCCCTCGATATCTCCTTCGAGAATCCGCATCGATGACCTGCCTCCATTCTCTGAACAAGCCCTGGAAGTGGAAGTCCATGGGGACTCTTTTCTCCGGAAGCTCAGGACACTGGCACGCGCTTTAGAGCTACCTCGTACCCTCGTCACGGTTCATACATACACTGCTCATGACTCAACTCAATGTTTTTTCTTCTCTCTCTCTCGCTGAACTCTTGCTTCTCCTTCTGAATATCCGATGGCTGTATTCGGTATACTCCACACTCTACGGTCTGCCGTCTTGAGTCCATGTGGTCCTCCGCTCTCAGCCTACATGTCTTTCAAGAGCACTGCTACTGATGACTCGCCTCTATGATTCCGGAAGTGTGTGGCGATTCGACGCCTTTTAAAAGCTCAGGACATTGACACTGGCATGAGCTTTAGAGCTGCTTCGGACCCTCGTCACGACTCTACGAACTTTCATCTTTCATTTCTCATCTCAGACGCCGTCTTCTCCCGTCCTCACTGATTTTGGATCCATTCTTAGCTTTTGACGACCCCGGAACGCACACATGACTGGAGTCGACGTCTCTCTTCTCCATCATTGGGCTCTCGCTTCTCCTTCTGAATATCCGGCGGCTGAGGTAGATGGCTTCTCTTTTGTGCACTCTCCAATCGTACGCGTGCTCTTCCCTCCGGCATGTCATTCGAGAATCCGTATTGGTGACCTCCCTCTACGATCTGGGCAAGCAAACGGAGGCAGAACTGCATGACGCTTCTTTTCTTCGGAAAATCTCAGGACACTAAGGCTGACATGAGCTTTAGAACTACTTCGTGCCGTTGTCACGACTCTACGCTTAGCTTTTTCCGACCCTTGGTCAACCCCGGAACACACACGTACATACAGAGCGTTATGACTCGAGTCGATGTTTGCTCCTTCTTCCTTGTTGCACTTTACTTCTCCTTCAGAATATCCGATGACTCTATTCGGTAGAGCCTACAACCTACAGTCTATGTGCTCTTCCCCTCCTTCGAGAATAATGCTACTGATAACCTGCTGCTATTTGTCAGGACGTGAACGATGGCGCGTTTCTTCGGAAACTCTCAGGCCGATACAGAGAAGAGGACACTCGTCACGACTACGAAAGTTCATCTTTCCTCTCTCATCTCAGACACCCTCGTCTCCCGAACTCGCTGCTTTGGATCCAATCTTAGCTTTGAACGACCCCGGAGCACACGCATACACATACACAGCTGATGACTCGAATCGATACTTCTTTTTTCTCTACCTCGCTGGACCGTGCCGCTCCTTCTGAATATCCAGCGGCAGAGGTCGATGATTTACTTCCCTTTTGTGCGCTCTATACTGGTCTGCGTGCTCTTCCCCTCGACGTGTACTTCGAGGATACCGCCTGTACATTTCTGGAAGTGTACGACGACTCTTTTTTTTTCGGGAAGGCTCCGGACACTGACACCGACACTGACGCGAGCTTTCGTACCCTCGGCACGACTCTATGAACTTCGAACATTCATGTGCCATGTGCCATCTCTCATTCATCGATTACTCGTTGTCCCATCTCGCTCGAGGTTAACTTCTTGCATGCATACGTGGTGTATTACCCCGCACGTAATGTGCTCTCCACGTCTACTTGTCTAGCTTCTTTGCCTGTGAGCTTGACTGCGATCGTGGGTGTGGGCGCTGGGTTCAGACTCACGGTCAGTTCGAATTCGAAGTTGTGGCGGGTATGAAGTGCACCCGGCTCGAACTTCATTAACAGTCTAACATGCATATGTGCATATGAAAGACGATGGGTGACGGGCCTTCAAGGGCCTAGTTTTCAACCTTGTGCACGACGATGCGACGGTCCTTGACGCAGAGGTAGGCAGGTATGTATGATGGGGTTTGACTGGATTCTGTCTGTCTGGGTGGGTGGATGGGTGGGTGGAATGCATGTAAGTTGCAGGTCATGAGTGAGTACTTAGTTCTCACCGTCACCGTCATCGCGCCGAATATAGACATCGAACCGATCCGCCTCATTGTTCGTGAGTCGTCCTCTTAAGCTTCTTTCATTGAGCACACACTCGCGGGATATTCAAGCTGAAAGGCTGATGCACTGGCAGTGTACTCTACATACGTGTCATATTAGTATTACCCCACACCTGCCCCTGCCCCGCGCACTCTAACGTTTACTTCTCTCGAGTAAGTTATGCATTCGGGCTCACGGTCATCTCGACTCTGAATCAATTCGACGCCTCGGGGTTTCTTTACCACTGGCGTGAACTGTGCCACACGGTCCTTGACAGTTCAAATTGTGCATACTCATGCCCGTTACTAACGATGAACGGGGTCGACGTTCACCGTCACCGTCACTGACAGTCCAGGACCGATCCGCATAGGTCCTCGAACATTTCGACCACAGGCAGGCGGCCACTCATCCGATTCGAGATTCGACATCGCTCGGTTCATTCATTCTTCCCCGGGCCCTTTTCTCCCTCGCTTTTGGTTCGGTGTGATTTTTTCCCATCTAGATGTACATCTCATGAGAGTGTACTAGTACACCTTTGAAAAGTTATGGCATAAGGATCTGCTAGGGCTCCCACATTCATACCAGTACTCTACGCTTGCTTGTAGGATAGGATACGCCCCTATTCCACTTCGTCTCTCCTTACTCTCCCTGCTCTCCTTCATGCTACTCGCTTACCGTAACACCAGTTCCTCCATCCCCCAGCCTACGTCAACACATCATTCCTTCTCCTTCCTACCAGCCTTGACCGTCGACGGAGACCCCTATTCTACTTATAAACACGTCTGACAGGCCGCCACAACACACTTCCTTCCTTCCTTCCTAAATCGTATCCATTCTAAATATACACTGACCCCACAACTTGACAGGGAGGAAGGAAGTCATGCATTCATCGGCATGGGTGCAAGACTCAAGTGGAGAGACTAAGTGCCGGCCGAGGGGGGGTATGTGTGATGATGCTCTCATGTCTACGGCATGTCGATGCAATTATTCGCAAGAGTGAAAATCCCATCGAGGTTTGGTTGCTCGTCTGGTTGTTCTTCGTCGTTTTTACTGTGAGATACTACAATACTGTACCGTAGTGTTCAACGTTGAACGTTGCGAGATCCCGCCCACTCAACAAATCTCTAATACACACAGTAGCCCCGGCGATCCGGAACATTGCGAGCCAGTCCAAGCCTCCGGATTGGCTCGCGGCAAGCTCGCGGCTCCCGCTCGTCATCACGAATGATCACTCTCCTGGTTACGCGGAACGCTCCTTCCTTCAAATCATGATCAGTTTCAATTGCAAAAAAAAGCATTCATAGATCTCCGGGTTTGTTTGCCCCAGTGTTTGGTTTCGCTCCACGACGTCATTGCTTGTCTAAGGTCTGCACCCCGTTCCAAGACTTCCAAGGTTCTCCGATTCGAATGACAAAAGCTCGCGCTCCGGGGCCGGGTGCGATTTTCATTTTCCGGAGGGCAGGTTCGGCGCGCAGGGACGGTTGGAATGGGATGGGGGAATGGCCGCCGCAGCATGGTGTGGAGGAGCCTGTCTGGGACGATGATGAGATGAGGTTCGAGACTGCCGGCGTACGTTGTGAACGCTGGTTGGAGCCTGTCGCGTGTTGTTCCATACATAAAGAGGGCTGCTCGTCCTCGTTCCCAGCGTCGACCGACAACTTCCAAGGTATCTCAAAGACGAAAGGCGCAGTCAGAGCCTAGAGACGACGAAAAGCCACCGACCGACCGACGCCGCACCGCCGCCGCCGCCGTTGTTTGTTGTTGCGAACGCTGGCAGCTGAGCCGTGTCAGTTGGCAAAAAGAAACGGGAGCGATCGAGGGCAGAGTCCGCTCGAGACCTTCCTTGATATACATAACCTCCGCCTGTCCCACTTCTGCCCTTCCACAACCACCCGCCCGCCTCCTTTCCCTCCTATCCCTGCCCTCTCCTCCCTTTTCTCTCTCCCTTTTCCTTTCTTTTTCTTTGTGACGAATTGAAAGTCCGCGGGGACAACGGACTGCGAGCGAAAGTCGTGTCGCAAGTGAACAACGTTTGTGTGTGTTTTACCGTTATCGTCCATCTTTACATTCGCCTCGCGCTTGAGACTTATATAACCACTCCATGTGAGCCCTCTCTCCGTTTTTTTCTCTTGCTCTCATCACCGCGATATCACTCTCCTTTTCTCACACCCTCCTCCCTCCCTTTCCCTTTCCCTCTCCTTCCGCCTCCGTTTCCCTTTCCTCTTCTCTTTCTATTCCTTTTTATACCCCGTTACAATTCCAACCCGTTCTAATTTGTAATCCAATACCTCAAAAAATCAAAAAATCAAAACCTCCTCCGCACTCGCCGAATGTCCTCCTACCGCCGCCCCGTCCTCCAATCCACCCTCTCCATCGCCAGCGTCATGGCCTCCGCCCCCTCACCCCCCTCCGCCTCCGCCTCCACCAGCTCAACCAGTCCCCTCACCACCACCACCACCAACGCCGCTGCCGCACCACCATCTGCCGACGATCTCTCCCTCGGCCAAGAAATCGTCGTGCAGGACCAGATCCCCATGCCGAGGATTGTGTTAGAACCGAGCACGCATTCGCAGGAGTCGGGGAGTGGGGGTGGTGCGAGGCCGTTTATGGGTTTGAATTTGAGGGCGCCGCCGCCTGCTATTAGTCTTCCTACTCTTCCGTCCAATTCAGCAAGTACGAGTACGAATAACGTCGCCGGGGGAAGTGCAGTTGCGGGAGGTGCAGGTGGTCAAGCGGGCGAAGGTAGTAAACCGGGAGGAACGGCGAGAGGAGGAACGAAGACGCCGCGGAAGGTGCAATGGGCGACGGTCGTGCATGATGATGGGAAGAAAGGGCCGTTGGGATCGGAGTCGGGCGCCGGGACGGGGCAGCAGCAGAGTACGCATGCGTTGGATGAGCAGGGACTTGATGTGAGTGCTTTTTTTTTTGTTGTTTCGTTGTTGCGTGCGTGGTTTGCGTGGTTTGCGTGTGCAGGCCTTTGTGCGGTTTTTGGGCGCGGTCATTGCATACCGCATACCGCATACCGTGCCTCTCGTTCCGCGTTTATGCCTTACGTAGCGCAATCATCTATCTCAATCTCTCTGCGGCGTGGTATGGCCTCGTCCATAACCCCACCTCATATCCGAATCTAACCACCCACAAACCAAACAAACGAACTGACCACCTTTTACCCCTTCCCTCCTTCCCTCCCCACCGTCCCTCCCTCCTTCCCCCTCCTTCCCCCTCCTTCCCTCCCTCCCTCCACCTCCCTCCCACCACCCAGCCAATAGCCTTCCGCACCCTCTCCCACGCCCTCGAACGCCACCGCTCAACCTCCTCCTCCCCCCTCGACCTCACCACCCTCTCCACCACCCACGCCAACACGCACTTCAACGCCGGACCCGGCCCGAACTCGTATTTCGCTGTTGGTGGTAATCCTAGCAGTCTCAACCGTGGCAATCCAAGTAATCCCAACCGCGGCAATCCTAACAATCCCAATCGTGGCAATCCAAATAATCCTAACCGGGGCAATCCTAATAACTCGAACTTCAACGCCAGCGGTACCAACCAGGGTTTCAACTTCAATGCGAGGGAGAACGCGTCGCATTTCCCGCCTTCGTTTCCTTCGTTCCCGCCTGGCGGCGGCGACTCTGACGCGCCTTCTTATTTTACGCGGGCCACTGCAGGAGGAGGTGGTGGCGGAGGAGGAGGAGAAGGCGGTTTCCCCTTCCCCGACATGTCCAACCCCAACCCCCTCGCCTCCGCCTCCAACCCCAAATCCTACGCCAACTCCCAATCCACAACCGCCGACCCCACGCCCTCCCATTCTCCTCCCCTCTCTCCCTCAGGCATGGACATACAAGGCACGCACGACGTCCCAGGCGAGAACTATATAGATCCAGATGAGAGGGCTGGATTGCCTGGAGCGGGGACGGAGATGGATGTGGATGAACGGGCGGAGAATGTGGTGAAGATGCATAAGAGGGGGTTGTTTGGACGGGGAGGCATTTTTGGGAAACCGGAGCGGAGGTCTGGTGGTGGTGGTGGTGGGGATGGAGAGAAGGGAGAGAAGGGAGAGAAGGGGAGGATGAAGAAGAGGACGAAGAAGAAGGTTAGGAGGAGGAGGGCGGATAGTGATGTGGAGGCGGATTCGGATTCTACTGGTATGGGTATGGGTGGGCTGGGTGGATTCGGGATGGGGATGGGGAGGAGAGGAGGGGGTGCGGGAGGTGGGCAAGGGAGTTCGATGGGGACGGGCGTGTTGAGTGCGTTGTTGACGCTTTATGATCATCCGCAAGCGGGCGAATCGTCCGCTTCGGGGTTCACGAGCGGGGTATCGACGCCCGGGGACGAGTTTGGACCGTCGGCTGTATCTTCGTCACGTCGACAGGCGCGGTCAATCTCGAATGGCCGTGAGGGACGCGAGGGACGTGAAGGAAGAGAGGGAAGAGAGGGGAGAGAGGGGAGAGAGGGAAGAGAGAGCAGTACCAGTCGTCCCTCGTCCGGATTCTTCGAACGCACCTTCACCCATCAATCAACCCACTCCGTCGCCTCCTCCACAAAATCCCTCCCCTCCAACCCTCCCTCTCCCACCTCCAATTCCACCTCCCAGCCCCAACACAAACACCGCACGCCCGCCAAAGCCGCCAAACGCGTCGTCTCAACCGTAGGCCTAAAAGGGTTCAAAGACGACCGCCCCTCACAGAGCCGGAACGCAGGGGGCGTATTCGGCGCCCTCGTAGCGAGCACGGGCAATATCAGTGGTGTGGCTGCGCCGACCGCATCGACTTTGGCGCCGAATGTGAAGAGACCGGGGTATCATCTTTCGAGGTATTCGCTTGATGCGACGCCGCCTGCTGCGAAGACGCTTGCGAAATCGAGGAGTACGCATTTTGAGACTCAGACTGGGCATCGGGGTGGGGGTGGGAATGCGAGCGATGGGGAGGCGGTGGGGACGGGAGGGACGGGAGGGACGACGGCGTCGAATGTTACGCCTGGGGACGATTCGCCGTCGACCGCTACGGGACATGGATCGGGAGGTGTGAATTGGCCTGCGCATCCTAGTCACCTCGGTCCGGCTACTCCCAATGGTTCCACGATGACCACCACCAACAACGAAAAAGGTGGAGGAGGAGGGCTGCATCATCGCGAGAAATCGGATACGTTGAGCGTGACGACGCCGGGGGGGACGTCGCATTTCGGGAGTAAGTATAAGTGGACGGAGGTGTTGAAGGATTTGCCGACGGCGTGGACGCCGAAGATGGCGCCGCATGGGAGGGGGATGATGACGCCGAGTACGCCCGGGACGCCGAGTGCGGATGAGAGCTTTGATGAGAAGGAGGAGATGGTGAGGAAGAGGGAGAGGGAGAAGAGGAGGAAGAGGAAGAAGGCGGAGATTTATGTGAGTGTTTTTATGCGGTTTTTGTCTTTCTTGGGGGTTTTTGGAGGAGGATTGCGGTTTGCTGATTGAGGCTATTTTTTTTTCTTTTTTTGACATGGTGACGTCGCAACATTCGACTACGTTCAACTTGGACAATCGCCGGCGCACTTTCGATTACCTGATGGGGTTCGATGACCTTCTTCTTTTGCCTCACCGCATCGCATACAACGAACACCCTCGATCTTCTCCTCGCCACCCCTTCATACTTCCACCCATCCACCCACCCACCTACCCACAGATCACCCGCCACGTCGCCGAGATCATCCAACGACAAGAATTCATCCTCAAGCTCGCCCGCGCGCTCATGATGTTCGGCGCGCCCACGCATCGTCTCCAGTCCCAGATGCAGTCCACCGCGCGCGTGCTCGATATCGAACTCTCGTGCATGTACTTGCCCGATATCATGCTCATCTCGTTTGATGACTCGGTGACGAGCACGAGTAATATTAAGTTTATCAGGCAGGGGTCGGCGTTGGATTTGGGAAAGCTGCAGGATGCGTATAAGCTTTATTGGAAGGTGCGTCTATTACCGCCTATCTGATTTGTGTCCGTGTGGGAGAGGAGACTGATTGGCTGTGTGGTGTGCGATTAGGTCATCCATGACGATATTTCTGTCAAGGACGCGTCGAGAGAGCTGGACGGACTGATGAGGAAGAAACCACAGTATCGGGGTTGGATGGTGCTTTTCATCGGAGGCATGGCTTCTGCGTCGATCTGTAGTGTCTCGTTCAATGGGTCGTTCATCGATTCGTTGGTCGCGTTCCCGCTCGGCGCCCTCCTCGTCGGGATCCAGCTGTTATCCGTCCGGAACGAACTCTATTCCAATGTCTTTGAGTGCGTCCCCTCTTAATCTGCACTCTATGAGCGTTGGCTCATCGATTTCTTTCAGAATCACCATCGCCACCCTCCTCTCCTTCATCGCCGCCGCCCTCGCCCAGACTAACCTCTTCTGCTACTCCGCCGTCGCCTCCGCCTCCGTCGTCCTCATCCTCCCCGGCTTCCTCGTCCTCTGCGGCTCGCTCGAGATCTCGTCCCGCAACATCATCTCCGGCGCCGTTCGGCTCTGCTTCGCGATCATGTACTCTCTCTTCCTCGCGTTCGGCCTGGCAATAGGAGCGGAGATTTATCAGCAGGTGACGAAGAAGACGATCGTGGGCAGCGAGGACTATACGTGCTCGATCAGCCATCCGGAGGGCGCGCCGTGGTATAGGAAGACGCCGAGTTTGTGGTGGGCGTTCTTGACGGTGCCGATGTATTCGTTCTTTTTGAGCTTGAGGAATCAGGCGCCGTGGAATAAGAAGGAGATGGTGCGTTTTTTTACGGTTGTTTGCTAGAGTTGGTGACTGATTGTTGGGTGTAGTTGTTCTTGGTGTTGTTCTCGTGTTGTGGATGGGTGGTTAATCACTTCACGAGTACGAAGTTCGAGAATCAGAGCGATATCAGCGCTGCTGTCGGGTGCGTACTATCTTGCTATCCTCTGTCCATCGCTCATCCCTCCAATTTTGTACAGAGCCTTCACAGTCGGCCTAATATCCAATCTCTACGGCCGTTTCTTCCGCGGCAACGCCTTCGTCGTCATGATCACCGGTATCCTCTTCCAACTCCCCTCCGGTCTCGGCAACGGCGGTCTCCTCACCTTCGCCTCCCAAACTACCGCCGGCGAATCGTCTTCCTATCTATCTGGCTTCCAAACTGCGCTGCAGCTCATCTCCGTGTCGATTGGGTTGACGGTCGGGTTGGGGATCTCGTTGGTCTGTGTGCACCCCATACAGTCGAGAAGGAGGCAGGGTGGAGTGTTCAGTTTATAATCCCAGGAGCTAGAGGAGGCCACCGATCTTGTTTCTGTTGTTGGAGCGGTTGGATTGGATCGGAGTTTGACGTTTCTTTGCTGTGTTGTTTTTTCTTTCCCTTGGCTTTGTTGTCTATCCTTGGTGTCTTTGTTCGTCCGTCCGTCGTATCTGGTCTGGCTTGGTTCGGTCTGTCGTCCTCGGTTCATCAGTTTCGGTTCCTTGTTCTCGGTTGTGGTACGCTCTTGGTCGTCCACGTCATCCTTTCCTCATCTCTCATCCCTCACTCACTCACTCCCTCGTTTATAATACCTCCCGGCTTCGTCACCCGCTTTCTTATGCGCGCGCACGTCTCTCTCACTAACGCACTCACGCCCCCCTCATGTGTCATGAGTCTCACCACGTCCTGTTCTTTCCACGTCCCACGTCATATAGACTCGCCGTGTAATGGCTACCCTACATATGTTCCAGTATTCCACTCACTTCCTCGTGTTTGTGTCTGTGTCCGTGTTTGTCCTCGACCTTGTCGTTGTCATCCGTCTAGTGTTACCTTCATCTTCATCATCTCTTCATCTCTTCTTCCATTACATTCTCGACGTCGACGTCTACTCACATCAGTACCTTTACTCATTACTCATTACCCTTTGGCAAGCTAAAAGTATTGTCGCTTTCTTCGTACACATCTCTTTTTAGTTTCATAGTTTTCCTACCTTGGTCTCCTCGAAAGACGAGACACAAAATGTACCATAGTTGTTCGATTAGCTGATTAGATGGGGACATTTTTCAACCGTTTTGTTCATCTTCAACATCAATCATCGCTAGACGTGCAGTGCTTGTCTCTTTTTTCTAGTTCTCCTACCTAGGCCTTGTTGTTTTGTTTTCTTCTTGAATCACTTTGGTCCTGTCATTCGTTATCTTCTTTCTCTTCAACATATTTTCACACACATATACATACCTCAGCATCATTAGAGCCTCGTCCTCGAGCATTCTCCTCAACTTCATCACTAGATATATTCGCCCCTCTACTCACATATACCTGTGATCTCTCTGGACATTCACAGCGTTTTTTTACATATATACATACTCATATACTGTCATGTCACCTTGACGAGCTTGTTCTATCCCGTACTCTATCAGTGTTTTTATTGTACAACTTGTGTGGCGCGCCACACCACGTCGCCTGCGACGTGAAAGTAAACAATTACATAAGCAAGTAGTGTTTGCCTCATCGCCAACTTGAACATCCAAAAATCAACCTCTTGTCTTGTTCTATCGTTCACATCAAATGCAGCATCGGATTTTGTTCCTACCGTTGTCGGAATCTGGCTTTATCTTCTCGACCTACTTGCCCACACGAAGAAAGGTCAAGTGGGGCCTGCTTATCACTTCTCTCAGGCAACTCAGCCGGCCTAACGTTCTCGGATGCCCGACTTTCACATCTCCAAGAGGCCCATCGGTCAGACTTCTCTACATAGACAGGATAAGTGCGAATAAGGTCTTTCGGGCCCACGAATGCACTATCTGTATCTTATCTCTCACGGCTGCAGCAATTGGGTGTTCGAGAATCGTCATAAGGCTCAGGCTGAACAACGTCGAACAGAGCATCCCCTTGAGCATTCACTGCTGACTCTGCCTACGGTGTACCATCGTAAACGCACTACTCAGGAACTTACACCTCTTATTGACGCAACACAGCCAGTCGAATCCAGGAAACACTGACATGGCAGCTAGCAGCACAAGGGATTGGAAGCTTGGGATCGACGTTGGCGGTACCTTCACGGGTATGTCGCTCGTCCTAAACCTGCCAACATATTCCTGACTGGATGCTTCCGTCATAGACGCACTGCTGTACAATTCGTCAACGGGGGAGTCCTATCGTACCAAGACTCCCTCGACGCCACCGGACCAAGCGATAGGCGGTACGCGTCGCAGGTCCTCACACGCCGTGCTTTGGATTATACTGAAACATATATTGTTGAAGTCATGAACGCTATTTCGGAGCTTCAAGCGCTACTCCCTGAGGATGTACGAACAAACGTTACATTCACAAGTCTGCACCATGGCACCACTGTGGCGACGAATGCGATTCTCGAAGGCAAAGGGGCCCGTGTAGCTCTGCTCGTGACCGAAGGCTACAGGGACATCCTCAACGTCCGTCGTAGTCAAGTCCCTGGTGGTCTCTCGGCATGGGTACGGTGGATAAAGCCTGACCCTCTCGCTAGTTTAGAGCTGGTAAGTTGTGTACAGTCGCCGTCGTATACTTGCGGATACTGACTTCTGTGGCCTGGGACAGACGATTGAGACTCCTGGGCGTATATCTACGTCTGGAGAAGAAATCAGGCCTTTTGATGAGGCCTTGCTAATTGAACGACTTCAACATCTGAAGAACCTTCCCGACGAGCGGAAGCCAGAAGCAATCACAGTCTCACTTATCAATTCTTTCGCAAACCCTGAGCACGAGGTTCGTGCCATTCGTTTTGATGTCCTTTTTGTGAGTCATTACAACTGAACGGATCGGCTGTAATGACAGCAAGCTGCGCTTGCAGTCCTTCAGCGCGAGTTTCCAGACCTTCCGATCTCTCTCTCCTCTCAGATACTGCCTGAACTCATGGAGTATGAGGTGAGTAGTCTCGTTCGAGCCATCACTGTCCTTATATCTAAGGTATCTCCACTTTCGACTTCCGAAGCGTACTTTGACCACTGTGGCGAACGCGATGGTCAGGCCCCGAGTAGAAACCTACTTGGACTCCCTCAAGCATCGTCTCAATACCGAGATAAGCGGTAAAGTCGGCGGTCAGGACGTACAACTCCGAGTCTTGAGGAGCGATGGTGGCCTCGCAAGCGTAGAACTGGCCAAGGAGTACTGCTGTAATCTGTTGTACAGTGGGCCAGCAGGAGGGATAAAGGGAGTCGCGGTCAACATCGCTGAGATGACAGAATTTAAGGTCAGTACTCTCTGCTCCTCATTACGAGCTTCTATACTGAGACTGAAACCTTTCAAGAATCTACTGAGCTTCGATATGGTATGTGATAGCATAACTCACTGTTTCAATGTGCGGATGACTGAAGACGGATGCTGCTTGATGGTTGAACGTAGGGTGGTACCTCGACCGATGTCTGTCTGATCCAGAACAGCACTCCTCAAATCCGAAGAGAAACCACAGTGGGCGATTTGACCATTCGTGTACCCTCCGTAGATGTGCGTACAGTAGGCGCCGGTGGAGGTAGCATTGCCTTCGTCCCAGACATCACCAAGTAAGGCTCTTCCCCCCTTTCAATATGTTTGATTGACATTGCCGCGACAGGGCTCTTCGAGTGGGACCCGAAAGTGCTGGCGCAGTTCCGGGTCCCGCTTGTTATGGCAAGGGAGGTAATAAAGCGACTGTCACTGAGTATGCTTCACGTCTCTATACATCGACTTCCCCCGGTGATGACCCGATGTTGTTTTAGCGCGAATGCCGTCCTAGGCTATCTCCCGCCTTCTCTTCTGGGCGGAACATTCGCACTGGACATGGATGCAGCTAGGAAAGCCGTCCAAGAAGTCGCGGACGCCGTCGGCCTGTCGCTCTATGATGCTGCTGAAGGTATTTTAAAGTTGGCAGACGAGAAGATGTTCGGGGCGTTGAGGAATGTGAGTGTCGAGCAGGGCCATGACTCGAGGGATTTCAGGTTCGTACATTGAGCCACGATTTTCAATCAAGTGGTTTGACACTAATATGTGATCGCTTGGATGGTCAGCCTGGTTGCATTCGGAGGAGCGGGCCCGTTGCATGCATGTTCGTTGGCGAAGTTATGCCAATCTTATCCTGCAATCGTTCCACCTTCACCAGGAGGTAAGTTCAGCCCTGAATCAAACCACTCTATCTCCTTCATTAAGTGATCTTTTTCCTGCCTGCTTCGTTTATGTTAGTTCTCTGCGCATTTGGCGATGCTATGACCACCCTTCGACACGAAACTTCTCGTACCTTTATCTCAGACCTCTCGTCAATCTCTTCCATCGCCTTTACTTCCGCTTGCTCTGAATTGTCGTCGAAGGCTTCTTCCGTTCTCGAACAGCAAGGAATACCTCTCCAGAGACAGAAAGTACAGTTCCAAGCCGACATGAGGTATAATGGGCAAGCATTGACATTACCGATCAGTTTTGAGCTGGAGGACATTGGCGCGGACAAAGAGAAAGATGAGAGCAATTTTGAGGTCTTGAAGGAAAGGTAATCGTTACTCTATCAATACATAGCTCATCGAGTGCAGAGGTGGCTTACGAACATATACAGGTTCTCTAACTCACATAACCAGCTTTTCACGTACACACTTGATCTTAGTGTGGAACTTATCAATCTCCGTGCGTTGGTAGAAGAAATCGGTCACCCAGTAAAGATCAAGGAACTTGTCCAGGCTAGCTCAAGTACACCACCGGAAGACTGTATACAGTCTACCACATCCCTTGTGCGTCTTAGACCTTCTGTCTTGAATTTTACATGCGTAGATATACTCACAGTCGCACCGGATCACCCTCCAGTATTGGAATGGGCAGACTTATGTGGCCGTCCCGATATACAGTCGCGCTTGTTTACTATCTGGTCACTCGATTCCAGGCCCCGCCATCATCACTGAAATGGATTCGAATACCCTCGTCCACCCTGACCATCGTGCAGAAATAGATCGTCTGGGCAATATCTTGTTGTGGCCCCTGGCACGAAGTGGAAACAACGACGAAGTGAATGAAGTAGATACACACTTGGAAAAGGAGAATCAGGTTGTAAATACACAGATCATAGAGGCTGCGTTGGCGAATGCGAGAGCAGAAATGGATGCGTTGATTGTCCGGGTGGCAATGAGTCCGGCTATGAGGGAACAGCTGGATTATGTGCGTGACTTGATTGTTTTCTCCGAGTCTTTTTGAAGTTACTAAAAGTACCTCTAGTTCCCCATGATATCAGCTGCAAATGGTAAGATGGTTGTCGGTAAGTACATCTGTCATCGGCATATATGCATCGACAGGGTTGGGTTGACCATTACCCAGGCCAATTCGGATCATATCTCTCCAACTTCCTGGAGAGGTGGAAAGGAACGATCGAGGACGGTGACGTTTTTCTCACCAACGGTATTCGAGTCGTTCTTCGGATATATCTTCTCCTCACTGACGAGACATATAGACCCGTACTCCATCGACGGCGCCATTTCTCATCTGAACGATTTGCTCGTGATCCTTCCCGTGTTCTACCAGGGCAAGAGGGTCGCTTGGACGGCAAACCAGGGTCACTTTACAGAGTACGTGACAAAATGACTATCCCGTGGATACCGAAAAGATAATGATCGTTTTTAGTGTTGGAGGCCAAGTTCCTGGATCACTTCCAATACACTCGCGTACCATATTCGAGGATGGTATTCAGATCCCAATATGCAAACTGTATAGCCATGGCGAAGTGAATGAGGCCATACGAGAGGTACCCGTGTACTTCCATTCCATCGTCCACGACGCCGACTGACGTGTGAGTGCAGGTCATAGTCAGAAACTCTCGCCGTCCCGATTTTGCTCGAGCCGACCTCCACGCTTTAACAGCAGCCTGTCGGATCGCAGCCAGCAGAGTGATGGAGCTATGCGACCGGTTTGGTGTGGCACAGTTTGAAACTGCATTGGACCATCTACTCGAACGAAACAAACTTGCGTTCGCAAAGTTGCTGGAGACCAGCATTCCGAACGACAAGATGTACTTTGAGTGTGTTATTCTCTTCGATTCGAGTTTGTGGGACAGTCATGGCTCATGTAGTTATCAGAGACTTCATGGATGACGATGGCACTGGAGTTGGCCCTTGGAAGGTCTGCTGTACTATGTTCAAAGAGAAGAATGCGGCGGGAGAAGACATGCTTGTGTATGACTTCGAGGGTACTGATCCGCAAGCGGATAGCTCTATCAACTGGTTTCTCAGTCCTAACACCTGGAAGATGTCCGTCCGTTTTTTTCGAGGTACTATGCCACACTAATACTATTGATTCACCACAGGCGATCTACTTCCTACCTCATCAAAGCTCTAGACCCCTCCATGAGTCTCAACGATGGTGCCTACGATCTGATGGACGTTCGGATACCTCTAGGGACAATACTCAATCCTGTCAGGCCTGCTGCTCTCTCTTGCCGTACACATCTGCTGGGACGGACGCTCGACTTGATGATCGGAACATTGGGCCAGCGACAACCGAAGTTCATGACTGCTGCGGGGTATGGCGATAGTAGGCTACTTCACAAACAGCTTGCCTAATAACAGATATTGAAGCAAAACATGTTTTCTCCCAGGCCCGCACTTTTTCTACAGTGGCTATCGTGATGACGGAACATATTACCAGGTAGATATCAGCCCGTCTTCCTCAGGTTCGACTCTCATTTCTTCAACCTATCCAGCTGTACCAAATTGGTTTTGGTGGAGTCCCAGGGCGACCAGTCGGTGATGGAATGGACGGAACCTCCATGTTTCCAAGTATGCGTTCAGTTCCCAACGAGGTCAGTATATTTCATGGAAGGTCACTTGTGATGGCTCTCATCCTCGGCCACAGTTCCTTGAACTCTACTATCCACTTCGTATCGAACACTATTCGACCATACCTGACTCAGGCGGCGTTGGCTTCCATCGCGGTGGAAATGGGATACGCATCGGTGCGTGATTTAATCCTTTGGATGTATGTGATTCATTACAATATTGAGAGCATCACTGTAGATTATAGGTTTTTGGCGCATGGAGAGGTGTCGCTACATGATGACCGCTGGTTAACGAAGCCATGGGGTGTCAACGGAGGCGAACCTGGGCAACGGTCACGGAAAACGCTGATTCAGTACTCCATGAACCCAGAGAACCCGCCTCGTGTGGCTCTACCTTCGAAGGCCGACTACATCCAGGTGGCGCCGGGTGACGTCCTTGAGTGGCGTACGTGGGGGTGATTGATTCTTTTCCATCTCCGTTCATCCGCAGCCCTCACTGAGTTTAACTCACGTTTAGTGGTGGAGGGTGGGGCGATCCTCTCCTACGCGATCCGGAATTAGTAGCCAAAGACATGCGCTCACATCTCATCAGCTACGAGAAGGCCTTACTATATGGTGTCGTCTTGACGGAGAAGTTGGACGTCAACACTGCGGCGACCGAGGCTCTGCGGACAAAGCTAATGAGTACTCGACCTGAAGCACTACCTGTATTCGACCGAGGTGGTACTCTCAAGGAGCTATTCACTAGCTGCGAAGCAGAGGTAAATCGTCCTTCCATCCTCTACGATGACCCTGCGACCAACGTAGCTTGAAAACCTAGACAGGGTTGAAAGCTCCAAAGCTTCCTAGTGGCCGTCAACTTCGTGGCCCAGTCGTACAGGTTCTCACCGTCGCAGCATTGCATGAAAGGCGTCGTCAAGAGGACATCCACGAGTTCGGTGACGCGTACGACGTACACGCTGACCATAGTGCTCTTGTTACCAGGGGATCGAGGAGCGCATGTTGTTGAGCCTTGTGTAGGTAAGCCTGGAGTCGAACATCGTAAAGCTGGAGTATATACATTTTGGAGTCCGGACATCTTTACTAGCACCTTCCAGCTCGCGGTAGATGTCTGTCACTACATATTTTACCGTTTGCACGTAAGCAATCGTTACCCATTGACCATCGTCCATGCATAGTAACGTGACTGAACAGAGCAGCTCTACTATGTATCGCGACGTCATAAGAAACATTCCCAGTCCATTGTTAATTGAAGGTAAGGTAAGGTAAGGTAAGGTAATTTATTCAGGGTACAAAACGGGCCCATGAGGACCAATACCCCTATCCGTAGGAATACATGTAAATTACACTACGGAAAACAGCACAGTATCCTTTACCGCTGTGATACCCACAATGCGCCGTGATCTGCACAGAAGCATCAGGCCTCTCACGGGATCCAGAACAGGCTGTAAGTACTATAAGTCATGTAACATGCCTTACCCAAAGAGAAAAAACAATGAAAAGTTTCGACCGTATAAAAACCCATTAGGGAAAAATTGGTACGTCTCAAATGGGAGCATGATGCAGAGCTCGGAGTACTTGCAAGCGTACCTTGTACTCGGAGGACGCTGAGAATGATGATTTTCAGTGGTGTACACACCCATAATCAACTGTGTCGTTGGAGGTCGACGACACAATTACGCCACCTTGGAAGAGCCGTGTGGCGCGTGCCGGTGAATCCGGTGAGGACCGGAGTGTCTCGGGAAACATCGGACGACGCCAACGACACTCACAAGGATAGCAGATTTTTTGGAAATGAGCTATTAATTACCAAGAGCAATTCTAGCAATCTAGTTTGTTCCAGGGCCAAAGGCAACATTCTGTTGTGACACGGTACAAAGACCAATGTCTGAGAGTGTCGCAATTGGGTGGATGGATCGCAGCGCAGGCCCAACGGACGCTGGTCTGTGAGTGAAGTTTTCGACTGTGGCGAGCATCAGAGCACGACGATCTGTCGTCTCCGAGCACCGCGAGCCTTCGACAACGCTGAGAGTGAGAGATAAGAGACCGTCTGACTGTGGCATGCGTCTGAGCGAGGAATGTTCCATCACTTCCGTGCAATGCGAGCCATGAAGAAGAATATCCGAAGATCAGCGAGTGTCATCCGAGCCCACAGTGATCCTTCCATCCCATATTTTCGCGCAATCAGGCTCTGGACACTCCTCGAAGGTATGAATACCCTCTCGAGGGCCTCTGGCTCTTTACAGTCGTTCCTGTACGAGTCCGTTGCCGTAAGGAGCTCCTGAGAGATGGTGATCTATTACCGCAGTCACCGAAAACGTAGACCAAAATACATGAAACGCAGTCCGAGACATACTGAAAAACATCATCATAGCCAAACAGTCCATACTCGTCAGGAGTTATGAGCTCAAGACGATCCGTCGACACCTCCGGTTGCCCCCGTAGCCGTAATACGGTCTTGAGCATCCGTCTGAGTCGTGCAGGCGACGGTCTGAACGACAGCAGTGAATTAGCCAGTTATAGCGAAAAAGAGGGAAAAACCAAAGACGTGGCAAAGAGCGGAATTCGTAGAATGGGAACCCATCCAGACGGCAAAATACAAGGGACTGAATAATAGGAAACATACCGTTCCATCTCCAGACGTCAAAGGAAGCGCAAAGCACGATGTCCCACTCCCGCACGCGGTCGTGACCAAGGCACCGTTAGCGCACTCAGCGAACGAGGCACCTGCACACGACACCTCTCCATCGGTACTGCACGTCGAGTTGGCGGAGGCATCGATCGAGGCAAACTGTTTGTTAAGCTTCTGAGCGGCTTCACCGTTGGCTACAAGCGAGGGAGATCGTGACGATTGTAATAAGCCATTAGACTGCAGAACAGATTAGCGTGGTAAAGAGAGACATACCTAGACTTCCGGCACCAGTCGTGCTATTCCCCGAACTTGTACTCGTACTAGAAGAAGAGCTGGCGCTGGAAGTAGTCGTTGACGTACTGTTAGAACTCGAGGAGCTAGTGCTTGTGCTGGTAGCAGCTGCGCTCGTGGCAGAGGTGTCGGTGCTGTTAGAGGACGAAGCAGTAGAGGTACTGGAGGAGGACGCGGCCGCGCTCGTGGCGCTGCTAGTACTGTTTGAGGATGTACCAGTCGCAGCCGAAGTCGAAGTCGCATTGGCCGCGGATGAGTCAGAGGCGGTAGCAGAGGCAGAGGCAGAGGCAGAGGCGGCAGAAGAGGTAGCGACGGTGGCAGTCGCAGTGTCCGATCCTGATATCGTTACAGACGATGCTCTCCTTGCAATAGCAATAGCTGATGTTGAGCTGGAGGCAGCAGCCGAAGATGACTTCGCAGCGGCGCTGGTCGCCTTGGCCGTACTATTGCTCGAAGCGGACGCAGCAGCCGTCGCAGTACTATTGGCTGACGATGCTGAAGCAGTGGCATTGCCGGACGAAGTTGCGTTCGCGTTCGACCTGATAAAGGAAGCGAGAATCATGCCTATAGACTCGAAGTAATTCAGTGTGTAAGAACTCACGTTATAGGCGTCCCTGGGGATGAGACCAATGTGTTCAACTGGACACCATCGTCGACCGGCCCACTCGGGTTTGCAGGGCAAGATCCGGCTGGGTCGACAGCGGATAGGCCGAGAGGGGTGTTCCCAGTCTGATCGCCGCTGAACTTGGTGAAGTCAGAGCTATTGAACTGGCAGTGGAAGAAGCCGTTGAGTTCCGTATTGTTGGGGGCGGTCTGACAGTAAGGGACTTGAAGGCTATCAGGCTGTATAAACGGGATGAGATCGCGTAAGTATGGCTAAAATATGGATAAAAGACAGAGGAGGTATTTGGTCGGAAGACAAAGTTCGAAAACGAACGGCGTTACGGGGTTGTTGTGCAAAGATTTGAGCCAGCGTAATCATTTCCGTGCTGTTCTTCAGTGTCTTTGCCAATGAGATCATCGAATCGGCCGCGTTCTGCTGGTCGCAGTTGCTTCCCGCGGCAAGGAGGGTCGTGAAAGCAGTCTGTGCAATTGTCTGACATTGGTCGCTTCCTCCTGCCGCTTGCTAAATGCAAAGATCAGAAGGCATCGCGGACACGTGGTAAGGGAAAGGACGTACGCAAGCTGCGACCCACTTTGTGGTTGAGTCCGAGATAGTTTGGGAGATAAACGTGTTCACAGGAAGTGCTGATATTCCTGTGGCTAACGCAGATGCAATGAAGAAGCTCGAAATCTGAACCATGATGGGATTGGTCAAATAACACAAGGACTGGGAGAAGAAACGAGAGGAGCTCAAATGAAGGGATAAAGAAACGAAAGAACAATGAGCGCCTCGAAGAAAGCCAAACAAAATCGAGCACCAGGCTCAGGCAAACGGGTCAAAGGTAAGGGGGGATGGCTTGGGAAGACAAGCGTCACGAACCGGATTTGTTCGAGATGTCGAGGGTATATATACCGCTTCCGTGGCGACTACGCACGTCGACAGCGAGACGAAGGAAGTACCGAAGTTCCATCCTGGATCAATTGTAAGCTTGTCGGCAGCACAGGGCTGCAGTCGCTTTCCTAGCAACGAGCAATGCTGGGCGATCAATTGGGGTCCCCGTTGCGCGCAGCCGCCATCTGCCAAAGAGTTGCGACAAGGTTCAAAGAGCATTTGCGCAGAGCGGATGCACCGAAATGACAGAGAGTGTGCGTCCAAGACACTTTCTATGTACACGAAGTGACATACATAGAGCATTTTCACTGTCACTTGAACGAAGGCACAACATCAGTGGGAATGACTCAAGGCAATGTCGACGCTGACAAAACGACTCTCTTTCCAGAAGTTCGAAAGAAGCAAGAACATGTATAGGCTTGGCGGACAACGAGTTGCACCCGGTTACTCTGTTCAAATGCTCATGGTATGATGAATGATGCGAACTGATGACGGACAGAACGATTTCATCATGGATCATGGAGACAGTCCGGCTGTCTAGAGTTGCCACAATCCACGATTGGCATCCACGATGTCCGAACCGGCGTGAAAGCTGCAAGAAGAATGACGATAGTTACTGAGCGCATCGAAGATGCGGTGGTCGGTTAGCTCATGAGATGATATGGACATTCAGAACTCAGGCTTTGAGTGTGATGCATGTGATGGTAGCAGGTCTCAGTGGGATTAGTGGAGCCATACCGTGCAGACCGAGTGTTATGCTATACACCTTACTACGGTGAAAAGAAAGTATAATGCAACTAGGCCCGTTTGTTTTCTTTATTTGTCACTGGATGCGCTAGAGAGCCTTCGCATATGTCCCACCATGAGCGAGCAATGAAGGAGAACGAAGGGAGCACGTACTGGGCCGTGACGCTATACCGTTTCGATGATGCCTCTGGTGGGTTTCTTCCGCAAGTGCGATGTCAAATGGGTATCAGGAAAGATGGCACCTCATCGCTCGCATCGAAATTGCATGCTACTGGAGGCCAAGACAGCCATGGCTCGAAGAGAGAGATCCGGGTAAGCGATGAAGACAGCCCATTCACAGAAAGCCTCACGGACTACGCTCATGGTAGCCGCATGGGATAAGCGTGCCGTGACGGGGAATTCAGAAAGAACGGAAACCCGACTGGTGGTGGTAGTGATGGTGGTCGAAAGTCAGAAAAAAAAAGACGAGGGTGTTCTTGATGACGTAAGTTTGCCACAAAAATGGTTCGGCGCGCCTCCGGTTTGCTTCGTTGTTACTTGTATAATGTCTTGTTTCCTCTCACACGACAAGAGATTGCGCAATCTTTAAGAGAAATTAAACAAAGGGACTATTCTATCTAAAACCTCTTGTCTACATTATCTGCAACCTACGAAGCCCGCACCGGCCACGCAGGCTCAGGCAACTCGACCCCCTCCCAATATTTCCTGAGCCACTCTTCAACACCAACAGGCGTGATCTGTGGCAGGAGTTTGTTCAAATTCGGCTCATAGTCGCCCGATCCTGTGGCCCACGAGGCGCCGACCTACATAGGAGGAACGTTTTGATGTTTAGCACATTGACGTAGGAAGATTCAGAACTCAGGATGCTCTCTGACTTGACTCGGGAACCTCCTGAACGGGTCTGTCTCTCCTTCAGTCCTATTCCTGAACTCTTCGACACTGGTATACCTTCTCAAAAGCTTTCTATTCCCACCCGTGACACTCTCCGTGATCTCCACAAGCTCTTCACAAGTCTTTTTATCCCCCGCCATGGCACTCGTAGGTTCCCAACGTTCCAGGTCTAAGCTCCCAGCAACAAACTTGCCGATGTCCTGCGTAGACGTGAAGGAGATTGGAGTTTTCCCGTCGCCGAGGATGTCGGCGGTCCCGGCGGGGATGTCGATGATATAGTTGAAGGGATGAAGACCTCCTAAAGCTTCGGCTTCGTTCCTGGGTGTTCCGGCGACCATCATGTTGAGGAAGACACTGTTTCAACCAGTAAAGAAGACGTCGTTGAGCATCTATCGAGCGAGAAAGAGATAGGCCGTGCATACCCGCAGACAAAACGCGTGCATTCAAGCCCAGAGACTTGGCAAGCTTCCCAAACCTTGATCTTCGGCGCAAAGATATCCACGCCCTCGTTATCCTACAAAAACATCAGTCAGTTCCATTTTCATCGAAACGCGACTCTCATACTTCGACCCTCGCTTCGAAAGGGACGCGCGTACCATACCAACAAACTCCGAAGGCGCGAATCTCTTCACTCCGGCTGCCTTCGCAGCTTCCAATAGCGCTATTTGTGATTTGAAGTGCTCTTCGGGAATGTGAGCTGAGATGGCGGAGATGACGGTGTGTACGCCTTGGAGCGCAGAGACCAGACTGGAGTGGTCTGTGTAGTCTACGATCTGGACAGCGACGCCTTTTTCGGCTAAGGAAGGTTTCGGGGCGCGAGAGAGGAGGACGACGGAGTGTTTGTTTGTGGCGAGGATGCTAAAGAATGTCAAAGAAGACAGGAGTGCGGATGGAATGATTGTCAGTTAGGCTGCAAGTCCATTTGGGGATGCATAATAGAAAAACATACGTTTTGAGGATCTGATACCCGAATCCGCTCGCACAACCTGCCAGAGCAACTTTGACCATACTGATTCAAGCAGACAGAGATACAGTGAGGATACGGAGGATAAAGACGCAAACGTAGTTGTTGGATTAGGACGACGGTATATCGCATTGTGGGCTTATAACTGTAGCTCGAAAAAAATGAACAAAGTCAAGTCCTAAGCCGCGAGCTTGCGCGGCCATCTCGAGGGAGAGGCGGCATTGATAGTCAGTTCTTAGGTAGCAATGTACACTATCAAGTTCGTGCGTTCGTTGATTCAAGTGCTGAACGCACACGAATGACGCTCCACGAGTAGCACGCTGCTGATTTCGTGCGAACACTGGAACGGTTAATATTCAGGAAAGAATCCGCTGGCGCTAATTGACCCACACATACAAGTTGAACAAACCAGAACTCACCGAGAAGCCGATAACGAATATAATCGCTCCTCGACAATGTCCAGGCTACACACCACCCTCGATGCTGAGAAGAGCACCCAGGCAGGCATTCGAAGTAAAAACAGAGATATGCCTGCTTTTATATACTTTCGCTTATGTTTTTGGTGGACACGAAGACAGCAGAAGGAAAAGACGTACTGACACAAAACTGACCCACACGAGACGAGACAAAACCGCAGCCAATTGCGTGAATGGATTTGCCGGTGCGGCATCTAGGGCCCCACTTGAATGCCGATGAAGGCCTCCACTACATCTTCAAGTGGATATTTATTCTCTATCGACAATTCTGAACGCCTCGCTGGCGTGCAGAAGGAAAGGATGAGTATCTCGGAGCCCATTCGACGAGCCTGGAGGCAAACGGCAGGATACTACGACCAAAGGACCTGCCTGCCGGTTTTGGAACCTGCTCTATCCTGACTGCCAGAGGTTGCATATATCATGAGTAGTCTATCTTTCTCGAGAGTCCGAGACGAAATGTAAGTTGTAGCGAAGGAGCAGAAGCAATGATAATAAAATCATCGACCGACAGACGAAAACCGCTCGCCGGCCGATGCCGGACAGTTGAAGTACGAAGTGGCACGGTAGCCCAACCGTCGCCCGTCCCTGGGCACCGTAGTAGATCTCACACAAGATAGTAATGTTTTCTGCTTAATAACTCTTGCTAAATGTCAACATCTCGTTGCGAACAGAAATTATTTTATGCGAGCACACTTGACTCTACGTACGAAAGCTGTGAACAATGCACGACCTTAGCTATGGTCGGAGTCGTCAGTTCAACGTTGGTTATCGTGAACGCTGCGAAGCAGTCGTGAAGCATGCATGATGGTGTATCAAGTCTCCATAATAGATCTTATCGCCACAGGGTGCCATACAAAATGCCTTATACTATGGATATCTTAGCCCGGTATGTGACTGCCTTCTGTCGCATTACGCACCCCACGCACTGGCAGGTTCAGGCAACTCAACGCCCTCCCAGTACTTCCTGAAAAAATCTTCGAGACCAATAGGTTCGATATGCGGGAGGAGTTTGTTCAGATTTGGCTCAAAATCTCCGGATCCATCGGCCAGCACGGCACCGGCCTATATAGGAGCAACGAAACGTTCGAAATCCAGCAAAAGCTTTAGCTAGACGAGAATTTGAGTAGTACTAGACCAACTGACCTGATACGTAAACCTCTGGAATAAATCCGTCGTCACCTCGGCTTTTTTCCTGAACTCCTCAGCGCTGGTATACCTCCTCAAAAGCTTCCTCTTCCCACCCGTAATCCTCTCCGCAATCTCCACCACCTCATCGTACGTCTTATTATCGCCTGCCATCCCGCTTACAGGTTCCCAGTGTTCCAGATCAAGACTACCAGCGACGAATCGACCAACATCTTGCGTAGAGGTATATTTGACAGGTGTCTTGCCGTCTCCTGGGATGTCGGCTGTTCCTGCAGGGATGTCGATGACGTAGTTGAAGGGACGGAGGCCGCCGAGGGCTTCGGCTTGGTTCTTGGGTGTGCCCGCAACCATGGAGTTGAGGAACATACTATGTCGAGGTAAGAGCCATGGTTATTGAATGTTCCTGTATACTACGCCAACTGTCGGGAAATATCGCGTACCCGCAGACAAACCGCGTGCATTCGAGTCCAGAGGCTTGACAAGCCTCCCACACCATGATCTTTGGCCCAAATACATCCACTCCCTCATTATTCTGCGACACAACACCACACCAGTCATTGGCAAACATCAGTTTCCTTGTAGCTCTCAGTACAACACTCGATCCGAGTAGATGTACGTACCAAGCCAGCGAATTCAGAAGGCGCGAACCTTTTTGCTCCAACCTTCTTCGCAGCCTCCAAAAGCGCTACCTGCGACTTATACAACTCTGGAGGGTTGTGAGCCGAGATGGAAGAAATGACGGTATGCACGCCTTGGAGGGCGAAGACGAGACTTTCGTGGTCAGTGTAGTCGACTACGCGGACATCGATGCCTTTATCGGCGAGTGAGGGCTGGGGGTTGCGGGTGAGGAGGACGACGTCGTGTTTCTTAGTGGCGAGGATACTATTAACGTGAAATAGAAATGAAGAGGGAGGACGGTTGTGAGTTGTGAGTTGGTTTAGGGACATGCCAAAAGAGCGTACGCTTCGAGGATTTGGTACCCAAATCCACCTGCGCAACCCGCTAGAGCTACTTTGACCATACTGGTTCAATAGGACAGTGATAGAGCGAAGATGAAACGGTGATTTAATTGTTTGGATGTGGAGGATGATGCCAAACATCGCAGGTTTATAGCAACTCCAAAATGCCCAATAAAAGCAGTAACACATCTCAAGCCGCGAGCTTGCGTGTCAACTTTAAGCAACATCAACAGAATTCGGCACCAGCATTCAGTCCCCATCGTACGAAAAAGTATCCATTCCTTGTGTCCATCATGGTGCATGGGCATGGATACTCTGCTGTTTCTGTGCGCTCCTTCGGCAGTGCGCTATAGATATTCGGGCGAGGGCCCACGGGCGCTGATTGACCCACACATGACGAGGGAAACATGGAAAGGTGGAATCCACCAGCATTCCGATAGCAATGGTTCTGCCATTTCTTACCAGAATGACCTCGACACGGACAAGAAGAACACCACCGCACGAATCACAAAGGCGCATAAAGCTGCATAAAGACCGTCTGCTGCAATCCATCCCATTGCGTATTTCCGGAGGATAACAGGACGACATAACAGAACAGGGAGAAGGGTCCAAAAAACAGGGATGACCAGAGACGCGCGGCTACTTACGTGGATGGACCCACGAGAAAGCCGTTGAACGGCCATCAAGACCTCCGTCGTCACATGGACGACGCCCTGGACAGGATAAAAAAATTACTCTTGTGATATCCGACTTGGGAGATCTCGATTGAGGCTCGAGTGTCTCTAGACTCTGCATTGTTCTGATTTATACCTCCAAAAGGCTACGTGACCGGAAGTGTATCGTTCTTGTTTCGCCTCGCAGATTCGGGTGTGGTTGGCTTCAAGTCTCCACTATTAGAAAACTCTTAAGACGAGATCTAAGGCGGACACAACTAATGGTTTAGAGTATACACATATGTGAGTTGACTATGGGTGACGATGCTCACCGACTTCTCCACCGCCAGCGCCGCTTTGATTGACACACTGAATTCTTTCCCTCATCATATCTTACCTACTTTTGTTTTTGTGCACGTAGCTTGAATTGATATATCTTCTAGCTGTTTCCGCACGCTCCCAAGCTCGAGACAATGCTAACGTATGGGCTGCTATGTAGCGCAGGGGTAGAGATCGTAAGTAAATGGTAAAATCAGCAACCGACGAATGAAAACTCACCCGGCCGATGCCGGGCGGTTGAAGTAAGAAGTGGCACTGTGGCCAATGCATTTTGAGGCATGCTGCTCCGACTGGTAAGGCTTACTGGCATTGTACCCATGTACAGTGCAAGTAGCATCCCAACAACGTTGTGAGGGGTTATAAGATCATGGCCACCGATGTCTCGTTATGCAACGCATTCTGTGGCGCACTAATGTTTTTTTGCCAATATTCACGCGAACGTGAGTGACTGTTCATACTCTGCATGAGTGCACCACACGATCCCACCTCTGACTTGTATCGTCAAGGCAATAAAGCAGGCATGTAACATGGTGGTATCTTAAATCTCAGACGGCGAAAGTTCAAGGTACTGCCATGACGAGACGACCTTTTACACAATACGATACGTGGCTCCCGTCTGCCAGAGGTCTACTTCGTCCACGCAGGCTCAGGCAACTCGACACCCTCCCAATACTTCCTCAAAAATTCCTCGACTCCGATAGGCCTGACATGCGGAAGCAATTTATTAAGATTCGGTGCAAAATCTACGGATCCGTCTGCTACCATCACACCCCCCTAAGTTAGGGCATCACAACCTTCAGCGCAAAATTCAGGACGGCTCGTATTTGACGCATGCACTCACCTGATACAGAAACTTCAACCACCTATCAACCCCATCTTCTTCAGCCTTCTTCCTCAACTCCTCAATACTCGTATACCTCCTCAATATCTTCTTCTTTCCACCCGTAACCCTCTCCGCGATCTCCACCACCTCATCATACGTCTTCTTATCGCCTGCCATCCCACTAACGGGTCCCCAGTGCTCGAGATCCAGACTCGCAGCCACGAACCTCCCTACGTCTTGCGTCGATGTAAATGAGACCGGCATTTTGCCGTCGCCTGGGATGTCGGCGATGCCGGCGGGTATGTCGACGATGTAGTTGAAGGGACGAAGGCCTCCGAGGGCTTCCTCTTGGTTTTTCGGGGTGCCAAAAACCATGGTATTCAGGAAAACGCTATGTGGAATACGAGAGGTGTACGTCAAGGGTTTTGATCTGATAGCAGGTTGAAAAGGAAATATTGGCCCACCCGCAGACAAAGCGCGTGCACTCAAGCCCCGAGGCCTGACAGGCCTCCCACACCTTGATCTTTGCCGCATATAAGTCTACGCCTTCGTTACTCTGGTTACAACAAATGATCAACGTCATCAGCCACCCCCGAGCGTTTTCTCTTCTAAAGTGCGGAAGACATTACCTGTCCAGCAAACTCCGAGGGCGCGAACCTCTTCGCTCCAGCCTCCTTCGCGGCTTCCAACAGCGCGAGCTGAGACTCAGGACCGTCTACAGAGATGGTAGAGATGATGGTGTGTACGCCTTGAAGGGCAAAGACAAGACTTGCGTGGTCTGCGTAGTCGACTATGCGCACGTCGACGCCTCTGTCGGTCAGGGAGTGCTTGGCGGTTCGGGAGAGAAGGACGACGGAGTGTTTGCCTGAGGCGAGGATGCTATTAGCGTAGAGGGTTATTCATGAGTGGCGATGGAGTAGAAGAGAGAATGGTCATCAGTTAGGGCGTAAGTTATTATTGGAAAAGCGTGAAGGGAGCGTACGCTTCGAGGATCTGAGTCCCGAATCCACCTGCGCAGCCTGCTAGTGCGACTCTGACCATGTTGCTTCAATGGGATATATGAAAGGAACGGATAACGGTATGATTGTGGCTGTCAAAAACATCATGGGCTTATAACAGTTTCATCGTCGCTTCACGATAATGACTTGTAACAAAGCAGGCTTGAAAGACTCCTGGACAACATGCCATTGTAGGAAGAACACACCCACATCGCGGCCACAAGAACTCGCGCAATTGTGGATGCATTTGCACGTCGTGTTATTGATATACGACACTTGAGCACCGGTGTACGCGAAGGACCCACTGGCGCAAATTGACCCACACACGAGACGGCCCGGAAGAACAAAGCTGGATCCACCAGGATGCCGATAACTGTTCCCCAAGACCAACACTCGTCAGAGACAGCAGCACTGACGGCTTACATATCAGGAAAGGCGACACTGTGACCCATTGCTCTCTAAATCCAGGTTGAAAAATACAAGCAGAAGAACCCGCAAGCTGGGATCGCGTTCCCCGAAGCTCTCGACAATTACCTTACAATTCCCCGATCCCCAGCCAGACGAGATATTGCCGCGGCATTTCTACCCCACCGCCAATCAGCTCGCCTCCAAAAGGCTACATGACGAGCAGGTTATCATTCCCAATGGTCGAACCTTGAGTACGCAACCCATAAGCGAGAGCGATGGTGCGAGCCCATCGCAGGTGCCCGATAGTCGTATAAGTACAATACATATATATGTACGGCCTGATACAGTGCTAATGACGATCGAATCGAGGCCACGTTGTTAAGCAACTTGGATCTTGATGGCCGATGAGCGACTGCTGTAACATGTCAACACAGAAAGTTCAGAGGCGACAAGAACTGGATGGCCATCGGATCTAGTCCACCGTCGTTGAGAGCTGAAGGGGGAACGTACGAACGCGGAAAAAAAGACAGGTCCTGCTCCTTGTCAAACTGTAACAAATGAAAATAAATAAAGTTATGGACTGTCTGACAGCCCCCCACAAGTCGTAGGGATCGATCGTCCAGAGAAGAAGACCCTGTTGTATACAGTTCTCGTCGGTGCTAGTGTAAGATCGAAGACGGGAGGGTGATGGGGATGGAGACGAAGACGAGGCACGCGGAGTTCCAAGTCGGGACCTTCGAATGCTTCCGTCGAGTCTCTAGTTCCAGAACCATACACTGGCAGGGATAATATCCCAGCGGCGCTCCGACGATCTCATACTGTGGCGCGCCTAGTCCGCGACGAAGACAAAAGCCTCCATCATATGTAGCTTCCCAAAGCAAGCCGAGTGGTCAATCGTCAGGGACGATCTCACTAGAACGAATAACGAGAGAGAAGGGCAGTATTGGGGCATGCAGAGCATCACCAGGTCGACGCTAACGCCACTAGCCTGCGATGTTAACAACGCGTCCGTTTGCAGTTCCTTTCAATATGACCATAATCCGCCACTCAAAGCCCTCAATGTGACGAAGGAAAGCAAAGTGCACGGACGGCGAACGTACGGTGAACGTGTACATACAATGCATCAGCATCCGGCTCCGAGTTTCTTCGGTGTATGTGTGTGTGGTTCTTGATGGGGATTGCTTGCATTTGATCTTGAACGATTTCATCTGGTTGGAAGTACAAAGCATGTACTGATGAGGGGCGCGGGGCTCGCGGAGAGTGGCGGAGAAGCAAAACACGATGCCGGGCTGTTGGGCATGCGGAGGATGCGTGCCCTCGAAGGTACCCATTTAAGCAAAGTCAACACAGGAAATCAGCACGGATCTCGTCTTCCAACCCATTTGAATGACCGTCCTACAGGCCATCATCCCATTAGCGACAAGGGGTAAAGCTCAACTCTCTACGTACACATTCTCGAGGCTCGAGACTCGTTCCGAAAACTTGGGCACGGGGATGCTATTGGTTTGGTTTGGGTATGGCTGAAATCCTGAATGGAATGGTCGCACGTCACAACGCAGGCGCTATTTCGTTCGCTCCTTTCCCTCCTTGATGCTCGAATGTATGGATTGGGCGCCTCCTCGGTGACGACAAAGCTTTTTTCTTCTGTTCGAACGAATCTGGATTAAGTAGATGAGAGATCCTCGAACGCGTCTCCGCCTTTGTGCTGTGCCGCTCAGTATAAAGACTGTATGACCTAGGACGAACCTTCCGTTCATCTCGCATATCAGCCCCTTTCTACCCATCCACGATCCCCAGCCTTCTTCCGAAATGGCTCCTGTACCATCGTCCTCTCTATTGAACATAACGTCCTTCCAGACGGAATGGATCCACTCTTCTCAACACAACTTCTCCGCCTCTCCCTCATCCGACCTCTCCCCAAGTCCCTACCAATCCTCATCGCCCTACCTCATCGACGACTCACAAGATCCACTACCATCCTACATCCCCATACCCAGCACCTCCGCCTCCGGCACCTACCCCACTCCCGACCCCTCTCTCCCCCGCAAAAAATCACACGCGCGCCGTCAACCAGAAGGGCACGTCCCGCGCCCGCGCAACGCCTTCATCCTCTTCCGCTGCGACTTCGTCGCACAGAAGAAAGTACCGGCGAGCGTGACGCACGATCATCGGAATATATCGAGGATCGCGGGGGGTGTGTGGCAGGAGATGACTGCGGTGCAGAGGGCGCCCTGGGTGGGGATGGCGAAGAAGGAGAAGGAGGGGCATAGGGAGAAGTGGCCGAATTATAGGTATCAGAAGGTTGGGGGCAAGGAGGGGAAGGAGGAGGCGAAAAAAGAAAAGGGAAAGGGGAGGGGAAAGGGGAAGAGGGGGAGAAGGGGGGCAGGGAACGGAACGATGAAGGTGGAGGGGAGTGGGGAGATTGGGGCTTGGGAGGTCGTGACGCATGAAGACATGGAGGAGGGATTGAGGAAGCTTGAGAGTGAGGCGGACGTGGAGGAACTGAGTCCGGCGACGACGGCGTGCGAGGGTCCGTCTGCTGGGCCAACCGTGCTGGGACAGCGAAGATCATTGTCGTGTCCTCCTCCTACGACGGAGCCTACGTTCGATATCGGCTATGGGCTTTGGCCTACCGCTGTACCTCAAGACGATGTTTTAGGCCAGCACGGTTTTGTGAACAACATCGGGACATCTTCGTCCTTACCTGCGGACTCAATGCTGCTCTCAGCAGACCACACCTGGGCCACCTCATATTCAGTAAGAATCCCTCGTCCTTCCATCCACGCCTCGCTAATCGGAGAATATTCACAGATACCTCCCAGAGAAATGAACATACCTTCTCCCACACAGCCTCTCCCCGCTTCTTCTTCGTCCTTCACCGACCCATTCGCTTCAACGTCTCTGTGGCACCCCGTACCCTACGACTCTACCTCTTCCCTTTCTCCACATGCTCCCCTTCCCCTCCCTCCAGATTCATCCTCATATACCATCGACGACTGCCCTCCACCTCCACCTCCACCTCCAATACCAATGCCCGAATCACAGAACTACACGCACGCAGCGTTCGACTGGCACCTAACAACAGGCGTATCAGATACGTACGCGTGCTCACCTATACCGGGGCATTATCTTGACCAGCTTCAAACGCCACACGAGCCTGAAGCTTTGACCTATGGCGATGGAGGTGGGGTGTGTTATAATTATAGTGGGATGGGTATTGAGGAAGGAGCCGAGAGGTATACTGCTTCGACGGGACCGGGAGGTGAGTTCGTGGGCGGAGGTGGTGTTGGTGTTGGTGGTGATGGAGGTGGTGGTGTAGATGGAAGTGGGCAGTCAAGTTTATGGGCATCCGGGTGTGTCGCTGGTATGCCGTTGCCAGTACCAGTGCCAGCGCCAGTCCCGATCGTTCAGGCATGCCACGAATTCATGTACAGCGACATGCCGGTGTCGATATCGGACGCGGAGTTGAGGAGTATACAGGGGTTGTATATCACTGAGGAAGATGAGGGAAGGTTTGGGGGCGGAATCTACTGAGAGCATCGGTGGTTGTTTTATATGGACAAGATACACATGCATTGGTACTTTTTCTTGGTGACCGCTTCTAGATTATTCGATGTTGAACTCAAGTTCAATTGGACTCCGAGGTCGTGAGTTACTTCAATACGATACACGCGTATAATTTGTTTCGGAGCACGTACTTGTAGTAGCAGTATGATTTTCTGTATCATCCCGCATGTTTTATGGACTGAGTGGGTGACTTCCCGTAGAGAAAAGATATGTTTATTCGGGATTGATTCACCGCGATCGCTGCTCGGCAACGCTCCGAAATGAAGATCGCAGCTCAATGGTTGGCTGCAGCTGGCTGCCGCCTTCATCTCCGAGCGTTGCCGAGCGATGATTGCGTCGAATAAACATATAATTTTGTCCACGGGAAGTCATCCAGTGTCGTCCGTGAACACACGAATAATATTGTGGGCCAGTTAGGGTCCGGTCAGGACGGAGAGCGTTAATTTGTTGTGAGGCGCCGTGTTGTTGGGTTCATGCTCCGCAGAACTCCGCGCGAATTTCAAACTTGTCTTGCCTCAGTTCGCACCGCCGTCCCTACCAAGTCCCTACTGGATACCCCTTAGAGTCTTACTTTTCAAAGTGGAGGCCCCACATCAGTTCTTTCGTCAGCACTGCTTTGATTTACCTCGCGCACCCTTCGAATCCAGCCCGTGGAAGTTCAATACGAAACATACAAGGCTTGTCTCGCACGCCACATCATCGCAAAATCTGCTTCAGCCTCCTCAGATTCCTCCGAATCCCCAGATTCAGAGGACGACCGTGACGGTTAGCAGCTCTCCGACATTTCGTCCTACATATCTCTCGCACGAAATGTAGCGCATCATCTCAGGTACTTAACTTGCAGTAGCGAAACACTCTGCCCGAAGTCACTCATGGTCGTGGTACATAGACTCCCTCGGTGAGACTAAGGTATATCTATTAAAGTAGAAACACGAACAGTATTGTCCCAATTGATCCTAAAAGTTAAAACCCAACACATTCATTGAAACCTCCCCGTAAAGCCTAAAGCCTAAACCACACTCTTCGTATCCACATCCACCTCCCCCGTCTTCCCCTCCGACTCCTCCCTCGGAAGATCCGCAATCTTCTCCAACCCATGATCCGTCTCGATCACCTCGTTCTCATACACCACGCCTTCTTTATCGTAATTCGTGTCGATGACGGTGCTGATGACGAATGCGGTGAGCGGGAGCGAGACGAGGAGCATGAGCCAGGAGGAGAGATGTTCGCTTAGGTACTGTTGCCACCAAATTCAAATTCCATTCGTATACGCCGGTCAGTAATGGGTGGTGGGCATGGGTTGATGGATGGATGGATAGGAGAAGGACGTACGGGAGTAGCGACGGCATCAACGCCGAAAGAGACGGCGGCCCCGGCGGATTGAAGACCTTTGTAGAACCCTGCATACCGAGCGAGCGTGAACGGGTCGTTGGACATCGCGCCCATGATCCAGTCTGTAAATTCATAACTTCATCGTCAGCCATCTGCATCTACCTCCCAGAAACGCCACAAACTCACAAGCGAGAGCCTGATACATCGCATCGCCGAAATACCCTACATCCCGCCAAAAAAACACTTCCGCATCAGCATCATCAAATCTACAGACTCAAGAATAAGGACAGGGATAGGTGATAGGCGCAAGCTCACAGAAAAACACCAAAGCAGCCGGCTTCCCATACGCGCTATCCTTATACGAAATAACCGAAGGCGGATCATTACGCGTAAAAGTAAGCTGATACGAAAGACCTCCGCCCCATGAAGCGATGACGAAGCAGGAGACGATGGCTAGGCCGATGTAGCCTCGGGTGCGGCGGTGGAAGGGGAGGGAGTCGAGGATGGGGCCGATTACGAGCGCGCCTGGAGTCCGACCAGCAACAAGTAATAAGCAACCAAAGTGATTAGGAATTAGGAATGTGATGAATGGGATTGAGAGGCAGGGAGGGAGGGAGGGAAGGTGAAGGTACGTACCGGTGATTTGGGCGGCGGCGCTGAGGACGGCGGTGACGGCACGGGTGGAGGAGTCGAAGAGTGCGAATGTGAAGGCTCCTTGGTACGCGTCTGGGGGTAAAAATGAGCTGGTTTCCGCAAAATCCAGGATGCAAACGGAGAATATAATCACTCACAGAAGTAGTTACTACCGAAGAACATAGGCACCAAGCTACAATCACGTATAAACATAAAACTGGTCAGTACAAAACACTCGTCGTCAAACCTGAACATCTAATAAATGACCATACAGCAGAAGTCTCCTATCCTTGATGCTCATCACCAAGTTCTTCGCCTCGACCCTTATGGTGTTCGACTGCTGCAGTTTGACGAGTGTTCCATCGCTACGGACGATCCTGCTTGGTGGCAGGAGCGTGAAACTCAGGCACATACCGAAGAGGATGATGACGACGAAGGCGATGTATGTCGATGTTGTGACGGCGGAGAGACCACCCTTGTTGAGATTGATTACCATTGCGATGAGACCACCGATCTGTAGGAATGCAAGAGGGCCATGTCAGATATTGGGCCTTCCGAGAAATTGATGTATAATTCTGAACGTACGAAGGAGCCCATTGAGAAGATCACCCAGAAAAGGGAGAACGAACGTCCCTTGTCCTTCTCTAATGGGTACGACATCCTATCAACAGCGAAGTAGACGTCAGATTCACTAACTTAGAAGAGTCAGGAATCGACAGAACTGACATGATGGCCCCTTGTGCCGCCCAGAGGAGTGCTGCAGAGACACCGAGTATGGCTCCAGCGAAGACTGTTAAAAATCCAATCAGTTCCACACATTACACCCAGTATGAAAACATTTACTCACTAACGAACCACCGAGTGCCCTGGACTTGGAAACACCAAAGCGAACCGACGTAAAGCCCATAACCGGTCGTGCCCAGGAACATAGTATACTTTGGTCCGAGGACGTTGTTGATGGAGCCGGCGACAATACTCATGATAGCAAACATGCCGTACAGGACACTGCTAGCCGTATCAGTGAGCGCGATATCTATGGTGAAACAGGCCGTTAAACGCTGTTGCATGTTGTGAGTGAGGTACCGTCTCAGAGAAAAACGGACCTTGACTGCCTCCAGCTCCAAGATTGCTCACGGCCGAGTACATACCCACAGTGCAGAAACATACGAAGCCGACAAGCGCGACCTGAATGGTCGGGGAGTCTAAAATGCGAAAAAAACGAAGAAACGTGAGTGGCTCTGTGAGTTACTGGAGTCAATACTGTGCTTACTGTAACGGAGGAACTTCATATCGACTCGGAATGTCGCAGGAGCGCGGACGGAGGACAACGACAGTGGGCTCGACGAAAGAGAGCGCGAAACTTCACGACGTGTGCACCTTCCCTCATTTTAAGGAGGGACGATAGGTGGCCATGTGGTCTTGAGCTCCAGCACTAGTATGGCGTTGGTATCTTGCCCGTGAGGATAACCAAATCGGGGTCATGAGGGTTATCGCCAGCGTCGGCAGCAGGCGTTGTTGCTATCGCAGATTGAAATGTTGGCAATGGCTGTACCTGAATGAGTTACATCGGCGATCCGCATGTGGGGTCAAATAAGTCGAATCTTGTTCGTTGCAGATTTCCGAAGTGCAATCTCTCGACACGCCCCGAGGCACTCCAGTTCAACAGTATCGCGCTCGGCGGTATTCCTCGGATAGCGGATCCGAGACGGGCGGAAAACAACACAGGCAGAAACATACCAAGTTATCTGGACGACTAGCACTCTCTATTGAGAACAGGGCCATTGTCGCGTCCGTCAACCTCCCGAACAGCATTGACACAAGCGACATCACGGTTCTTTATTCGGCGCAAAGCAAAGCAACATGAAGCGAACATGGCCAACGACACAGCATGGCCCTCTGCCCTTCTTCGTTCCAAAATTGCCGTAACCAGCGAGCCGAACTCCCATAAGCACGCGCCGCGATCAAAATGGTAGCCATGCCTCTGTTTGTGGCACAAGACCTCTCATAAAATTATGTGTAAAATGCACCAAGCAGCATGGGGTGTCCCCTCCATCCAGGTGGATTGTGAAGGAGACCATGCTTGCTGTGAAAGGGTGCATAAGGCAGAAACCCTAATCGTTTACTCTATTGTAGGCAATCGCGAGTGCCACATTGTCGAGGGCGAGTCCACACGCCAGCAGGACGAACAGGGGAGACTGAGAGGTGCGCGCTGTATGTACCGCCTGATCACGACCTCCGACGACACTCGGTTTTCCCGGAGCCACTGGCACATACGAAGGACCTCTCCGCACGAGCAAAAGCGCAGTAATACACAGCCATACCTCAGACTATAGCCTGAGCACATGTGAGAAGCATTGAATGAATGGCTTGTACTAGCGGGGCTCGTTTATAGACAGACACAAACCGGTGGTTGAAGCCCGGGTGAGATGAACGCCGCGGTGCATGCTGCATGAGGTACGGCTTCACGACATCCTCGCAGGGGGTGGAGCATCGTGTACAAGCGCTCATCACGCACACATGAGGTGCAAATGAGCTCGAGACGCCAGGTGAGGTACGTTCAGGGCTGGAGGCGTGATATACATAGGACGAGCTGGAGGACTAGAGCTCGCGGATGGGCGCACAAGTCAAGGAACGTATGGAATGTGGACCTGCTAGTACTCCGCCGGGCACGATGTTGCCTACATACCTGTCAAGACGCGTACGATAAGACATGGTGTTAGTTAGAGTGTGTATGTTTCAAAGGAAGACTTATCGGGGCCGAGATGGTTTGCAGAGCTATGGACTCACCTCAATGTGACTAGGCCTATCATCGACGGGTGGCGAGTTAGGAGTGAAAGATTCAGAGACATCGTGAATAGGTGGTATTGGTAGAGTCAAGTCATGAGAAGTAATACACGGATTATGCGAAGAGAACAGCAGGACAGATCAGAGCTAAGCACTAAACAATGAACGGACTGTAACGTTAACAGGAACACAAAAAAGACCCAAGAGAAATTCAGAGATTCAGACAGGGAGAGAAAAACGGTAAGTAGCCACGGGATATGGATATAATACGGAGCCATGAACGATGAGCGACGACGGGCGATCCGGAGAGACGGAGAGATGATGTACCACTACATACATAAGTATTAACAAACAATCATCGATGAGCCACGGAGGAGGAGTGCAGTGGGTATAACAGTACACGGCGGAGCGGAGTGGAGAGGAAAGTAGGTTCGTGAGAGGTGGGAAGTGGGAGGTGGCGTGGGGCTATCGGAAGACGGCTTGTTGAAGTCTTAGTTTGACACGTTCGCCTGCAAGTTTTCCGATGGAGGCTAGGAGATCGCCTCGTCGAAGTGGTTCTGGAGGTAAAAGTTGTCAGCAGAAAAATTGAAGTATGCAGCGGCACTGAACCTACTCGTAATATGGTCATCCTGAAGGTCGAAGTACAAGTCAGCAATGTCAAAGCGTAGGCGATGAAAGGACGCTACTAACCATCCCTCCCTTCAAACAACGCTCACGGTCACCAATCACTAAAGTACGTTCAACAATTAGACGTGTAGTGACGAGCAAAAAAGCCTACGAGCGCGACTTACTAGCATGGGCAGTGAGAGCAACGATAGGCGTCCGTGCCAAGGAATTGTGCCGCTCATACGCACGGATCAGTTCCGTCGCCTCCATACCCCCCATAAACGGCATCGACACATCCATCTATCGCCCAAAATCAGTTTATTCACAAAGAAACAAAAAAACACCGACTCCGGAGGAAAGAACGCACGAGGATGATATCGAAAGGTTGGCACCGTTGTGTTCGTGTTTTGAACTTATCGACGGCCACAGACCCGTTCTCCGCGATCTCTACCGAATGGCCGTATTTCTGCAAGATCTGCGTGGCCAGACGTTGGTTGACTTCGTTATCTTCCGCGAGCAGGATGTCGAAGGTGGTGTCGCCCTTCGTCGCGGCTGGACTGATGGTGCTGGATTCTAGGGCGGACGCTAATGCGGAGGCGAGGTCTTGTTGAGAAACAGGCGTCGACACTTGCGAGCTGATGCTGTTGTCGAGACACCATTTCACTGTAGGTATGTGAGTTTGTTAGTGGTCATGGTCGACACAAAGGCATCACTGAGAGACATACAGTTCAACGGGGCTTTTGCCTGCGCAACACAACACGAATTAGTCATGAAAACATGAATGAGGACCGATATACTTACGGGAGCCAGGAGAACGATCGGAATATATCTGAGATGTTCATACTCGCGAATCTTCTCTGTCTGGAGGCAAAAGAGACAGTCAACACAGATGCCCAAAAAGCAAACAACACCAGAACCACACACCCATTCCGGTGAATCAACCACGACCGTATCTATATGCGGACACGACTCCCTATCCGACACCGACGACATATCATGCACGACGTGCGTATTCAGCCCAAGGCTCTCTATGCGGTTCGCCACTCTCGTCTGGTCGCGCTTCGTATCCAAGAACAGGATATTTCGGTTCGCGAACGGTGACATCTTCGACCGCAATGCGCCAAGAGACATGTATCCCCGATGTGAGGTGAGCGTGAAGAAGAACTTGCTACCTCTTCCGACCTCACTCTCGACCCACATGTTACCGTGCATAAGAGATGCGAGACGTTTGGAAATGGATAGACCGAGGCCAGTACCACCGTACTCCTAACGAAGCCCGAAAAGGGCAGGAATCATTAGCGAAAGCACTACTGAGAGTAGGATGCATCTCACCCTAGTCGTTGATCCATCGGCCTGTGCGAACGTGTCGAAGATGAGGTTGAGCTTATCCCGTGCGATGCCAATACCCGTATCCTTGACGCAGAATTCAAGTGTCACAGCTTCGTCATCCAGCGCAAGCAGACGACAGCTCAACGCGATACGGCCCTTGGCGAAGGTCTTCGAAGGCGTGAACTTGATCTATCACGGCATCCGTTTGTGTTAATGGTAGATGCACGAATAACATTGAATCGAGCCTACCGCATTCCCGACCAAATTAGTGATAATCTGGCGTAGCCTCAACGAGTCACCAATGAGCAAATCCGGAATATCCGGGTCAATATCATAGGTGAGGTCAAGGTTGCCTTGCGTGGCTCGTACGACCAAGGTCTTGAGGATACCGAACACAGTTTGACGGAAGGAGAAGAAGACCTGCTCCATCGTCATACGGCCAGCCTCGACTATGTCAGCATGGAGGTAAGCATGGAAGTCTCAAAGGCCATAAATTGGACCACGACCAGAGGTCGCAACGTACTCTTCGAGATATCCAAGATGTCGTCGATGATGAGTAGTAGTGACCGGGCGAGACTGTGGACGAGTAGCAGACTCTCGCGTTGATAGCGTTCCAAATCGCTGTCTAGCGTCAATTCAGTCATGCCGATAATGCCATTCATGGGTGTACTGGAACAAGATCACAGTCAGACTAGAGAAGCGACATCTAGAGATGACAAGGGACTGACCGAATTTCGTGCGACATATTGGCCAAGAACTCCGATTTACTCTTGTTCGCCAACTCCGCAGCCTCCCTCGCAGCCGTGTTCTTCTGGATCGAGTCCCGCAAGTTAAACACCATCTGGTTGATCTGTGTTTTCAACGAGTCCATCTCGCCGCTCGCCTCGACGGTGATGAACCGCGTAAAGTCTCCATCCATAGCCGCAGCCGAGATCTGCGCGAAACCACGGACTTGGGTCGTCAAGTTTCCTGCCATCGTATTCACGGACATTCTATCGTGCCAGTACTCAAGCGTTAGAGGTTACCCTATCGAAATACGAGAGGGTGAGAAAGCGTACGTGATCTCCTGCCAGATTCCTTGAACGTTGCCGACCTCGGCTTGGACTCCTAGCTTGCCTTCAGTTCCGACTTCGTACGCGACCTTCTTGACCTCGGAGGCGAAGATGGCCAACTGGTCAATCATGTCGTTGATGGTGTTGACCAGGCCGAGGATCTCTCCGGACACAGAGACACCTCTGACCTTCTGGGTCAAGTCTCCTCGTGCGACTGCCGTCTATTATCGGTAGAAGAGTGAGTATGTTGCAGTTTCTAGGAGACTAAGCCTGAGAACGTACAGTCGCCACGGAGATACTTCTTACTTGAACCGTCAACTGGAACAGAACACAATCATCAGTATCAGGATAGGTAACCGCAGGAGCGCATATAAAGGGCGTACATTTCGAGCCATAACGTTCACGTTATCAGTCAAATCCTAGATTCCGCGCCCAGTGAGTCCCCAAGTTCATGACCATCCAAAGAAAATAAACGTCACCACCGTACCTTCCAAGTCCCCCTCACCCCCGACACATTCGCCTGTCCCCCCAAGCGCCCATCCGTCCCCACCTCCCTCGCCACCCTCGTAACCTCATCCGCAAACGTGCTCAAACTACTCGTCATCCCATTCACCGTCGCCTTCAACTCCGCCATCTCGCCCTTCACATCCACCTCTATCCTCTTCGTCAAATCCCCATTCGCCACCGCCTTCGTCACCGTCGCGATCGACCGTACCTGATTCGTCAGGTTCTCCGCCATCAGGTTCACGTTGTTCGTGAGCTCCTTCCACGTGCCCTGCGCGCCGGGAACGTACGCCTGCCCGCCGAGTTTGCCTTCGGTGCCGACTTCGAGGGAGACTCGGGTGACTTCCTTAGCGAGGGATTTGAGCTGGACGACCATTGAGTTTACGGTCGATTTTAGCTCGAGCATCTCGCCCTGTGCGTCCACGCTGACGAATTTCTCGAGACTGCCGCTCGCGACCGCCTTCGTCACCTCCGAAATCGACCGCACCTGGTCCGTCAAATTCCACGCCATTTTCTGCAGTTTGACCAATCCAGGTCAGGTGAGGGAGTCAAATGAATGTCAGCATGAACGAACGGAGGGAAGCCGCGAGCCAGAAACCCAAACTCACGTTCACATTCGTCGTCAAATCCGCCCACGTCCCCTGCACCCCCTCCACCTCCGCCTGTCCGCCCAACCTCCCTTGAGTCCCCACCTCCAACGCCACCCTCGTCACCTCGCTCGCAAAGTTGCTCAACTGGTCCACCATGCTGTTCACCGTCTCCTTCAACGTCGCCATCTCGCCCTCGACGGGGATCTCGATCTTGTGTGTGAGGTCGCCTTTGGCTACTGCGGTCGTGACGACGGCGATGGAGCGCACCTGGTCCGTCAGGCTGAGACACATGCGGTTTACCTGTTGTTTTTGTTGTTGTTGTTGTTGTTGTTGTTTGTGGCGGTGGGACGGAAGAAATGTGTGAGTGTGAGGGCCCGGCGATCGAAGTCTGCAGGGAGGAAGAGGAAGAGGGAAAGAAAAGAAGAAAAACCCACATTCCGCGTCAAATCCAACCACACCCCCTCAACCCCAGGCACCAACGCCTGTCCCCCCAATATCCCCTGCGACCCCACTTCAAGCGTCACCCTCGTCACCTCGCTCGCGAAATTGCTCAACTGGTCGACCATAGAATTCACCGTCGTCTTCAACGTCGCCATCTCGCCTTCTACGGGGATCTCGATTTTGGATGTGAGGTCGCCTTTGGCGACGGCGGTGGTGACGACGGCGATGGAGCGGACTTGGTCGGTTAGGGAGGAGCACATGCGGTTGACCTGTTATTGCATTTATTTGAGGCAGAGGTACAGACAGCTAATGTTCAGGCGGTGGATGGAGAAAAGAAAAAAGAAAAACCGACTCACATTCCGCGTCAAATCAAGCCAAACCCCTCCAACACCCGGCACATTCGCCTGACCCCCCAATATCCCCTGCGACCCCACCTCAAGCGTGACCCTCGTCACCTCGCTCGCAAACACGCTGAGCTGGTCCACCATCGAATTCACCGTCGTCTTCAGAGTCGCCATCTCGCCCTCGACGGGGATCGCGATCTTCCGTGTGAGGTCGCCGTTCGCTACGGCGGTCGTGACGTCCGCGATCGAGCGGACTTGATCGGTCAGACTTAGACACATCCTATTTACCTGCCTCCCCAATTTTTTTTCCTTCTCATTGAGCTTCTGACATTATGATATGATAGGCAAAAGAAAAAGAGGAGAACTCACGTTCCGCGTAAGATCCAACCACACGCCCCCAACGCCCGGAACATCAGCCTGTCCGCCCAATATCCCCTGCGAGCCCACCTCGAGCGTGACCCTCGTCACCTCGCTCGCGAACACGCTCAGTTGGTCTACCATGGAGTTTACCGTGGTTTTCAATGTGGCGAGCTCGCCCGCGACGGGGATGTCGATTTTGCGCGTCAGGTCTCCTTGGGCGACGGCGGTGGTTACTATTGCGATTGAGCGTACTTGGTCTGTTAAGCTTAGACACATCCTATTGACCTATGCATGGGTTTCCACGCCGTTAGGATACACACCGAACAAATAATTGAGAAAAAATGGGAATGAACTGACATTCAACGTAAGATCCCGCCACACCCCATCCACATCCGGAACATTCGCCTGTCCTCCCAACCTCCCATGCGACCCAACCTCAAGCGTGACTCGTGTAACCTCCGCCGCCAACGTACGTAGCCGAATGACCATCCCGTTCACCGTATTTTTCAAGTCGAGGATCTCGCCCCGGGCGTCGACCGTGATTTCCTGCGACAAGTCACCCATCGCGACTGCCTTTGTGACCATCGCGATTGAGCGGACTTGGCTTGTCAAGTTGGCAGCGAGGTGATTTACGACGTCTGTTAGTTCTTTCCATGTACCGCCGACGTCGAGGACTACGGCCTGTCCACCGAGTTTCCTATATCATAATGAGAGCCCGAATGATAAGAAACCCGTTCCGCGCCACAAATGATAACTGTGCGAAAGCTATAGAGAACTCACCCGTCCGTGCCGACTTCCTGACTGACGCGAGTGACCTCCTGCGCAAACCTTGCAAGTCTATCGACCATAGTATTGATCGCGTGCTTCAGCTGAACCATAACCGCGCCCTGGACCGTGACCTCAATCTTCTGCGACAAATCGCCATTCGCGACGGCGGTACAAACCCTCGCCACATCCTGGACCTGCTCCTTGAGCAGCATCAGCTCCGATACGGCATCGATCCCGCTCTCGAACGCGGCGGACATGAGGGGACCATTGGATGAGACGACGGCGGGCGAGCCGGATCGGTTGGTAGATGAGGACTGGAGGTGCATTACTCGGCCACAGGATCGGCAGGTGTGATCGTGTTCGTAGGAGGACGGGGCGGGGGCGGAGATGGAGCGTTGGGGGTTCGGACGGGTGGGGTCGAAGATGGCGTTCCGGATGGCGGGGAGGGAGACGTTGTTGTCGATGTCCATCTCGTCCTCTTCCTCATCCTCTTCCTCTTCATCATCGTCGCATTCGTCGTTGTCGTCTTCCTCTTCGACCGGCGTCCCGCCGTTAGCGATGACGTGCGAGCTTGCATTGGACTGCATCGAACGGGCCGTGACCGGCGCAGGCTGGTGCACGGGCAGACGTCTCGGCTCAGCGTCCGGAGATGGTGGAGCCATCTTCTAAGTAATCTGTATATGAGGACGCCAATAACACTCGAGAGATTCAGTAGCCGTCAAAGCACGCACGCTCCGCCTCTTCTTCGTCTCTGGGCCACTGCCGCCCCATTTCTGTGCCGCACGGTACGCGGCGAGTTCGTGCTCGGCCGTATACATCCTCCTCACAAACCCCGACATGATCCGCAGTACGTTTTCCGTCTGCGCCGTCGAGGGCCCAGCATATTGTGGAAGAGGTGTGTTCGGCGGGCCACGCTCGCAGGCGGAGAGCACTCGGTCGAGGTGGGTGATGAAGGGAGCGTTCTGCATCGCCACGGTGGCCATGTTGGCCGATTTGTCGACTGAGACGACGAGCAGAGGGATCGACGACGACGTCGACGTCGAGGCCGGGTTGGAGAGGATGATAGCAGTTGCGGACAAAGCTGGGTCCGCACAATGCCCGCCACTTTACAGCGGCATCCCATCCACGTGGTTTTGCCTCCGGGACTCCGTGCCTGAGCCGAAGGCAATAATCCAGCAAATATTCATCTGAGCTCGAATATATATGTAGCTTCTCAGGTCGATGGAATCGGGGATGTAACCACCTGAGCAGGGGGTGGATACCATATCCATCCTTACCGGCGGTACGACGTTCATGGGTCGGCTACTTAGTACAATTCATTATCGGACCTCCTCCTACGTTCGCAGATACTTGCGCGCACGTGAAATCAACAGCAGTCAAGACGGTCAGACTCAAGCATTCGCATCCACCACGACCTGGCTAGCATCAGGAAACCACCCACACTCCTTCAACAGCACATTCAACTCCCCCGTCCTCCCAGCCCTTACATCCACCCCTTCCGCCTCCAAGGCATCTTTCTGACGCTGCGCTCCGTCCGTACCTGGGCCTCGAGAGGATATGGCGCCCGAGGATGAGACGACGCGTTGCCAGGGGACTGGGGGATTCGTGTCGGGGGAGAGGAATTTGAGGGCTGGGGTGGGTGGGACAGGAGTAAGTTCAAACGTTCAAGGACAGTTCGATTGGCATTGGAATGGATGGGTGGATGGATGGATGGATGGATGTTGGAGGGGATATAGATGCTTACCTTGACCGACATGTCGCGAGTGGTTCGGCATTCCGATGACTTTTGCGACGTGTCCTTCAACACGTCCAACAGAGGTCTTCAGTCTGCATCGCGTGCAAGTCCACATCCAAGTGAAAGAGCACGTAGGATAGCTATAACTTTAAGATGACTTACCATACGTCGTGACCTTCCCCTGCGGTATCTGTCTCACGACTTGGTAGACCTAGGTAGGCGCAACAAGAACCTTGATCAGCACCAAAAGACGGGTTCTACCTGAAAGGCCAGAGTGGCGCGATTTTACCGCCGCATGGAATTCAGCACTGTCGAGCGACATAGTTCGCGCGAGGTACTAGCCAAGTTCACAACCAGCAGAAAAACAGAAAGCAGATAATAATGTCGGCGTTAGAGCCCCCGGAGGAAGAACGAACGAAATACCCGTTCGGCTCGAGCTCGTTCAAGATGGTAAAATCAAGACAAGACGACTCGGAGTCGAGTGTGGCAACGACGTCGACAAGTTCAAGTTCGCGCGGAGTTCTGCGGAACATGAACTTACATAGAAACCCGGAAACTCGGCGTCTCACTCTGTCCTGCCCGTCCTCTCCGAGAGCTCGAACGTCGAACGAACGTCCAACCACAATAATCGTGTATTCTCGAACAACGCTCAATCCATACATCATGCAGGACGATACAGCAAATACTACTACTTACTGCTACAGGTATATATTTTCAAAACGAATTATACGCGTGGATCATGGAACACTTATGTAGCTCACAACCTCGGACTCGGAGTCCAGTTGAATATCCAATAAGTAAGTCGTCTGAAAACGCTCATTAAGAAACAGTCCTGTCCAATATCTCGAACGAGAAACCACCCTCCCCAGTACGTCATACCCCCAAAACTACCCTCGTCCTCCCCTTCGCAAACATACAACCCCTGAATACTCCTCAACTCCGGCTCCGAAATCGACACCGGCATGCCACCGCACCCGTACTCGTATTCGTAGCTTGCTTGAACGAGCGGGACTGGCACTGGTATGGGCATTGACATTGGCATACCAGCGATGAATCTGGACGCCCATAGTCTCGACTGCTCATCTCCTCCACCCTCCACCTTCTCCACCGCCACCTCCACTTCCACCTCCGGTGCCCACCCGCTCCCTTCGAAACCGAATTACCTCCAGTCCCTCTGTCCATACCCATAGCCATACCACTATAACTCAGGTGCCAGTCGAAATCTAATGCTGCGGGGTGTTGTTTTGCGATCCGGGCATTAGCGTTGGAGGTGGAGGGAGGCAGTCGTCGATGACGAGTGAGGGATAGGACGAGGACGCAGGTGGATGAAGTGGAAGTGGGAGGGGGAAGTGGAAATGGAAGTGGGAGGGGAGCACGATAAGGGGAAACTTGAAGGCAAGAGGTGACCTCGTAATTGTATGGTACGGGATGCCACAACGTCGTTGAAGCGAATGGGTCTGTGAAGAATGTCGATGAAACGGGGAGAGACTGTGTGGAGGATGATATGTTCTAGGAGTTCTGCGAAAGTTGCTTCATTAGAATGAAACAGTACATACAAGACTTACATTACGTTCGCAAAGTCATTCATCCTCTCTTGACACCATACCTCTGTTTCGCAGCATACCGCCTCCATCTCTGTATGTCCTCACGTTGCAGCAGTAGATCCAACGTGTAGTAACTCCGCGCAAGCTCTTCGTTACTCGCGGCATGGTGCACCGCACTATGGCACGGCCTAATAGTATCGAGATAACACTGATCAATGCTGCGTCCTACAATCTCGCAGAGTCAGTATCACAGTATGATGGAAGCTTACCGACATAACCAAGCAACAGAGCCCAACATCGACTCGGGATGCCATTTCTTCTTCAACACTCGCGTATGCATCGAACGCGGTATCAAATGATGATACGTCAACGGCACCTCCCTCTCACACATCTCACATTCCTTATGATCTTTCCTCGTCGCACTCCATACCGGTGGCGGTTTACAAGCCTCGTGCATATAATCGACTACGACCTTTCGTAAGAATTCGACGGCCGAGTCCCAGTCGTCGCAGATTCCGTAAGAGATCAGAGAATCGGAGAAGGAGGTGGGGATGTTTTCGAGCCTGAGCATCGTGGACATCGAGCCGGAGTCAAGGTCGGTATCTAAATCAGGCAGTGAATGCCTGGTCTCGTAGGACGCGTTGTGGAATGAGGAAGGAAGGGTGGGCCACACTTCGTGGGAGAGATAGGAGGAGAAGTCGGAGAGCTGGGAACCGTCGACGTCGTCCTCTGGGGAGGCTGAGGAGGCTGAAACAGATTTTGCAATGATGTGGCGTGCAAGGCAATCCTTGAATGTTCCGTATTGAGATGGCAGCTCTTTCATGAACTGGATAATGGTATCGAGGGTCCGGGTAAGCTCAGAGCAATGCTAACGAAAGGACTGATGTGGCGCCGTAGGAACGGGAGGTGTGGCGAGAGATGGAAGTGAAGTATTCGCAGCTTGGGAGATTGTTCGAGCTTGAGGTAAATGCACCTCCTTAGACTGAAAGCAAGTAATTCGATGTGAATGTAGTAGGGTCAAGATTCACTTCAAAGAAGAGCGGTAAGTAAAGCGGCAGAAGCCGGCGGGGCCTTGAATACACCTGTGGCGCATGACTGTTGGAAAGAGCTCGAGGACAGCACGACCTGTCGTGACACTGGGAAAATATTCATTCTACCTTGTGGAGTAGAGAGAATATCGTAGCTAACATATAGATACGGAAAAACATGTGAGGCCACTTCAGTTAAGAGGTTAGTAATTTGGACACGTTAAAACACAACGGACTGATACACCGAAGCCAAGAAGAAACACAATGAGACGGCATCGTATCGCATTTGAATCGACACCCTACGAACAAGCTCTTTGCTCTCGCCGACCCTGTCGTCTGAGTTCATTCATCAGCGATAGCGTCGTCTCGACGTTTTCCCAAAATGTTGAAGCCTCGCAAACGTCACTATCGTCCCTCCATCCCCAATCCGGCTGATCCAACATCTCTCTGTCGAGCATATCATCCAGAATCGCGTGAGGATCTAACCTGCAATCCGCGGGAAGTAACCGACCAAGGAATCGGCACAGTTTTTCGTGGCAGCGGTCCGGCCGTTCGGAGTACCCCACGTTGAATAAACAAAGGCTTTTGAATGGCGCTTCGAAGGACGGAGGCTCGAGGAAGTCCTCGCAGATTCTTACGGACAGTGATAGTGAGCGTAAGCGTGGACAATATTGGGCAAAATGAATGAGGGAGCGTATAGTGAGGACCCTCCAGCGCGCGTTGTAGAGGGCAGGATGAGGATTGAGTGCTAATTCCTCGATGTGGGGCCAATGCATTGCGATGGACTTGGCTTGATCGTCGTTTATGTCGAGATCGCGAATATGGCGGATGGCGAATGCTTTCATGTTCCGTAACCGAAAGATAGGTAGAAGGTGACAGAAAGCAATGGGGAGGAATTTGTCCGGGTCAGTTTCTTTGGGCCAATCCCGAAGCGGTGTCATGACGATTTCAAGACGCTCGAGCGAATGACACGATTGAGCGAGGGTGTTGAGAAATGATGAGAATTGAACAGGGGTTTGTTCATCGATTGAACTGACTCTGAGCCATAGCGATTTGATAGTCGATGCCGGAAAGTGTGGGTCCGCGATGAATCAAGAAGCGCATAGTAGTGTGCATGCAAAAGAAAAGCGCTCGAGACACGCAAAGGCGCCCTCCCTGAGAGACGGCTGGAAGCATTGCGTGTCAGTAGGCACTCCATGTTGAATCCATGACTGCTGTGTATTGATAGCGATTTCTCGGAGACCTCGACAGGTAGACAGATGACTCGCTAACGAGGGAGTCAGCCAGTACAGAGGAAGTGTGAGCTTTTGGAGTCGGTTCAATTGACTGAAGAAGTGTTCTAATCGATCGTCGGGGAACGTGGTGGACAAGGGCTGGATTTCTTCCAGACGAATTTCGAGCGATGTAACATTCGGCATGCGCTCCTCTATGCGTTGTAAATGCTGACCCAGGTCGACATCAGGCCCATGCTTTGGCAAAATGACACATAGATCCAAAACTGAGTCATGCATGATCATAGGATTGAACTCTGGAGAATCCATGGGTGCGTGGAGTGACGAAAGGTTGGGGAAGAGACGAATCAAAGGACGCGTTGAAGCGATTTCGAGCATAGCTCTCTCTGAAAAGCGTGCATACATTTCGAAACATTCAATGCGCCTGACTCGAGAGGAATTTGCGACAAGTGGAGCCCAATCCTCTTGAGTGAGATTTCGAGCGAAGTCCTGGTTGAGGGGGTTTGTCAGCTTCAGTTGGGATACTTATACTACATGGCAAGGAAAAGTTAGAACGGAAAGGGTCGCTGGCACGAACTTTGATGACCCCGACCTGTGGCCATCGAGCAGGGGTGTCCAGTTTCAGAAATAGAGGTTGCGTCCATTCCTCCAATATGCGCCAGACTTGGTCGAGCGCTGCTTCCTTCCATGCTTTACAAACGCGAGCGTTCCGCGCATTGTCGCCTTGGTTGCATACTAAGGCGAAAATGCGGAGAAGTATCTCTTGTGGTAGAGCCGAAGCACGGCAGCGTTTCATCTATCAGCCCAAATGTGTTCAATACATGTATATCCAATCCCACTTAAAGTGTAAGTCTTACCTGGAATCAAACCGAATGGTTTGGATAGGAGCTCGGTGATAAAAGTCGTGGACCCGGGCTTGTGAACGACAACACCCGGTGTGTTGAAGGCCTCCCGGCTCACACTGACGCGATAGAGTTGGAACTCGTTCTATTGAACAATTAACACTATGGTATGGGTAACTAGAAGGACATTCACGTATGCAAAGAGAGGCTCGGATCCGGGTGACTATTACGGACAGCGTGGGAGGAAAATACATAAGTACTGTACAGTAGCCGTAAGTGGAAGCCCGTTCGCCTTATGCGGTGGTGGTTGGATTACAGATATCCACCAACAGCCGTCAGTGCTCAACGTTCTGACCGTGTAACACACCGAATCACCACTGCTTCTACATATACACACTGCGAGACTCGGTATAAACTACCATTTGAGCGATAGCTGGTTCTCTAGCCCCGAGGTCATTGGGAAAGGCGGGAGATGAGGCAGTCCAAAAGTATATCATCAGATAACCCACGACAAACTCACTCTCACGAAAGAAAGAAAGAGGGAGGAAACATGAAACCATTTCATTCTGTAATTCCAAGGAGGGAAAAAATCGCACAAGTGATCAAAGGACAAGGGCAAAGCAAGTAGATAGTAAGAAGACAACCAGACGCAAAGGGACCGTTCAAGAGACATAACACGGAACACGGAACACGGAATGCGAGAACCTGAACTCTGGCATTGAAGGCGCATACGGGATAAACACAGAAGATAGGTCTGGACAGAGAAAGAGGCAGAAGAAGACGTGAAGACACTAGAGTGAAGGAGAGGACGGGATGGAGACTGAGGCCTGAGGAGGGTACATAATGGCGGGACGAGGTGACTCGGAGACGAGTGGCAGCTTTGGGTGGGTGGTGATAGTGGTGTGTTTGAGGGGAGAGGATAGTATGTAGTAAACAGGTGAAGAAAAAAGTCCTTTGGTGAGATAAGTACAACGCCACACGATCAACGAAAGAACTCTCGAATGTATCCAGCCAGCTTCGACTCTAATTGACCAATGCCCCAACGCCAACGCGTGTTCTCCCGGCAAAGTTGGAGCATGTATATACATACGCGTCGGCAGGGCGAAAGGGACCTACAGAGACAAGAAGGGAAGAGTCAGTGACAGATGTCGAAAACGGGAAGTGATGGATGAAGATGAGAGAAAGACGAGAGGAAAAGTTCAGCTGGCTGTTCTTAGTTTTGTTTATACGAATCTCCGCACCGCCCATAAATGAACCTCGGATACGTGGTATTGTTCACATCATTATTTCCCCTCGTCACTTACGGTTCATCGTGGCCGGGCAAGTGATCGCTGAGATAAAGAACAAGAACTAGTCGCCAACTCACCCAGAATGCCGCTCTACCTCCCTTTAATCAACGCCTCCCTCTCTTCTAACCCACCCTGCTCTCCCCTCTCTCCCCCACTCCCCTCACCGCCCCCATCCACCCCATCCACCCCATGCCCCTCACCGCCTCCTCCCCTGCTCCGGAAGGCTATACTGCGCCAACCGAATATTATCATCGTACACGTCCGTATTGAAATCGCCCGACTCACTCTTCCTCGGTGCGCTCCTGTATCCCCCTTCGACCCCGAACGCCTCTTCAAAGTTAGGGCGTATAGCGCGTCCGCGGGCTTCGCGTGAGGCTTGGTGCCGTCCGAGCACGGCGTTGATGAAGAATGAGAGCGATGACCAGATTTCGACTCCGAAGTCGGCTGTGGGGTGTGTAGAAGGGCGTGAGTGGGTGACGGGGATGTGTGGGTGGTGGAGATGAAAAAGGCATGAGGGGGAGGGGGGAGAGGAAGGAAGGAAGGAAGACGTACCATAGTTAATGCTTGATCAAAAGTGCGTTTAGGAGTGGTTGAGCTCGACGTCAATCTTTCAACAGACAAGGCCAAGACGTACCTGTCCAAAATCGGCCTCCAGATACTGGTGTTGTGTCCATCCTGAGCGACATACTCTTTCCATGTATACGCCCACATCATCAAGATCGAGAAGAAGATCATCTGCGTAGAACGATGGTTAGTACACTGAGTTGCAGTATTTCTCTGAGCGAAGCCAGCGACGGAACGAAAAGGAAGAAGAGCAATCCGCAGAAACAAGGGCAGTATCTGACTGACCTCAATACAAGTAGCGAGGGCAGTCAAGCCGTCCGCAATATTGGTCGCGGTCCAGTACTGTGTATCTGCACACAGTATAAAAAACGAAAATCAGCTATAGGCTCTCACTCTACACCGTCTCCACCTTCATAACACGCCGATACTCACCCTTGATCACATTCCCCTCCAACGCGCTGAACTAAAAACCATCCCAGCAACCTATCAGTAGGGGAAAATCGAAAGAAGGAAAAAGAGAGAGGACGTACGACGAACTCCTGATAGAAGGTGAACATAACAATCAACTTGATCGACAAGAACTTCGCGAGCGGTCTTCTCCCCTTGAGCTCTTCCCTCGTCAATCCATAGAAGAGAATGAGACCGTACAGCGCGATTCTGTATGCCCAACCATACACATACAATGCGAGGGAGACTATGAGAAACGGAACGCGGAGGAGAACGAAAAGGGAAGGAAGGGAAGAGACGTACGTGATGCTGATGAAGTCGATGATGGAGAGGTAGACGCTCGCGAACCGGAAGTTGTATGACTCGGAGGAGCAAAGGACGTTATACGCCTGGCAGACGATGCCCGCAATCGAGACCACTACCACCGAAGATGGCCGTCAGCAACCAGATGAAAAATCCCAAAGACGGGGTGCGGAAGTAAGAGTTGAATACGCACATGGACGGATAAGGACATATTGCAGCACAGACCACTATCATACGGAGAGTAAAATGAAACAAGGGACGGATATAAGTATTAGATGTCATGGAATAGAGGAAGACACGGCAGCTGAATGCAGCGAAGGAAGATGATGGCGGCCAAAAGCACGCACCTTGACGGTATACATAAAATACGCCTTCGTGGGTCTGTACCTCCAACAGCAAAATGGGATCGGCAACGACTGCTTATCCTTCCTCACCAGCGCCTCTTCAGCCACATGTCGCGACGCCGTCGAGGCGACGTATTCGATGAGCAGGAGTCTTTTATTGAACAATTTTCAGTGATGAATGAACAAACGGACAAAATGGTGTGGGTCAGGATCGTCTTGGACATATTGGGAAGCGGGAGTAAGTGAGACGTAACGTACAGGAATGCACTGAGCGTGACGGCCTATTCGACCATAGTCCACAAAGGTAAATGGTTTTAGCAAATACCGAACCGTGAGATGAATATCGAAAGGGGACGGATACGGTCGTCTTACCTCGTACACTGTGAACAGCCAAAGCCAAAAATAGAACAGAGATAGTCAGCACGAGCCACGGGCACATAGAAAGACACAGGAGACGAGAGGCAATGGGTGGAGAGGACGCAGAACGGGGATGATAGCAATGGAATGTAAGGATGGGTACGGGCATGGAACGGAATTGGAATGGACGTGAGGTGAGGTGATCAAGGCGAGGGATGAGCGTGGACTGAACACCCGTCGGTGCAAAGGTATAGAGTTGTCGAAATGAAGTAGGAAAAAAAAGAGGAAGAGAAATACGCACTGGATTCGATGAGGGAGTAATATGTGTATGATCGGAAGTAGCGGTATGAGAAGAAAGAGATGACGGCGTATACGGGTGGCATGTACAATACTCGGAGTCTGCACCATATCCAAGAAAAAGGGAATCAGCCGGTCAGTCAATCGATAATTCAGGACGTCCTGTCAAGAAAGCTCCGTGCTCAACCGTGCACCAATTCTCTGATCGACGAGAGTCATAACGCCAGCCATAATGCGTGAATACGCCACATACGACTGTGGCGCGCCACAACCACCTGTTTCTACGTCTGTCGTGCGCAATGCGCAGCAGAGGTAGCGGGATAAGACCATTCCGTGTGGTATATTTTCGGCGCATTGGTCCTTATCGACATCTGTAGCAATGGAGAAAGGCGACAGCAAGAGTGCAGTGTCATCATGCTTTGACCGTTCGGCCCTTCTCTCGGTGATGCCGGTGCTATACTTGTGCCTTTCGAGGGAACAAGGACAAGGTGTACAGCCCACATGAGAGGTGATCATCCCGCACCATGGGGGTAATGAGAGGGGAAACCCGTTTGGGGCCTTGATCTCTCCGAACCAGGCAAATCATGGCAGGCAGGACACGGGGTGGAGGGATGGGATGGAGTTGGAAGTGGAGTTGTGATGAACGCGTACTCACATTTGTCGTTGTTCGGCAGGATTTGTGTAATTTCTGGAGGGTTTTGTGGTTCATGTTAGTACGCCGTATAAACCGACAGGAAGAAGAGGATGCTATGAGAGACTGACCGACAATGCTTCAACACGGTGACGATGGATACGAGGACGGTCTAATAAGTCCGCCACACAGAAATCCAGTTTCGTCACATACCCGCAGAGACAAGGCAATATGAGATCAGCTATGACCCGTTTTCAGTAAAAGTCAAAACGAAAAAGAACTGACGACGGCTGCACAACCGCCTGCAATTGCCCATCCTATCCTATGTGCGTCCCAGTTAAGATCGCCATTACTCCAGAAGCTGGACTGGTCAACTGCGGCTTGGTTGTCGCTCGGACAAGTGGGCATGGCGGTGGTGTTGGTGTTGGTAGTAGTCTACAAAAATACCCAGCACGGGATAGGCGAGGGCGAGGGTAGCGAGATGGAGAGCAGTTTGGTTGTTAGCTAAGACGGAAGCTCAAGGGTATTCGTCTTAGTATTCGGTTCCAGTTCGAAATCCGGAGTATTTACTGTTCTCTGCTGTTTGATTGTGAGGGTCGTGAGGGTCAGAAAAGACGAGAGTATGGAGGGCGTGAAAGTGGAGGGAACGAAGGACGGTTGCTGGAAGAATAAGAAGAAGAGGACCGTCGTTCGGCTCGCGCTACTGGGCGTCTACCGCACCGCCACAACTGACAGCATCTCTCCGCAGGCGCTGCTGATCTAATATCCATCCCATTTTCTTTCATCGTCCACGAACAAGACAAATTCACCCACTCAGGCTGGCTTCGTGACGTCCACTTGACCCATTCTTTCCTCCTACTTGACGAGCGCTTTGAATGGGTCTTCATTGCTGTGCTATCCGTGGCATTCTCGGTCTTTGTGCATGTTGGAACTGAGAGCCGTCTGACCCGAATCCTGGTTTGTTCCACTTTACTGCGCTGGCTTAGCTCTCTGCCGTTAGGCCGCTGTGCGAGCCGACCTGTACAGGATATCGTCCATCCAGACCTCGAACAGCCTCGAGATGGGCACTATGCAGAACTTCGGTCTCTTAGTCGTTATGTTTCAAAAAAATGAAACGGCAAATCCCCCTAATTGCGGTACATCATCCTCTTACCGAACACGCTTCTCCTCATTCTCCGTCCTCACCCGTAACACGACGCTGGCACCATGTCTTTCTTTCGTCTGTCTCGAACAGGGACCCATTTGTGCACCCTCACATATGACTCTCGACGGTTTCTGGACAGCCTTCATCTGACTTAGGCTTCAGTCCACGGAGGATATCGTCGTCTGTCTAAGTTGACTCAAAAACTATGGAATCTTAGCTCGAGCCTGCTCGAGCTACGTTCGCTTCAGTTCTTTTATGTCACGGTCGCCTCCATGGGGACGGGCCCTGACCGTACACTGTGTTTTGTGTACGTGCAAACACCTATAGGGTATACTCGTGACGTTCCAATATTTTATTTTACCTGTGGCGGAGACGCCAGCATCAAGCAATGCTACGAACATGCCCTAATAGTGTGGTATTCATGAGGCGTTATATATGATATGTTGACTAACGCTCGTCTATCATGATTCCTGAAGGCAACACTCTCGCGCTGCCCTTGACCTTCGTTCCTTACCAATCTTGCATGCTTTCTCAAGACTACCTCAAGGATATAGCGAGACGCTTGCCGCACCATAAGTCCGACCGAAGTGTTCCGTCGACAAGAATACACCAGTATGGGCGATTGACGATACATTTCCCTTTCTTTCCCCATCCCAAAAAATGACCAGAGTGAGGAGCTGAACCATCCTTCTATCCCAGACGAAAGACGAATTTTCGACCGAGTCGTACTAGTCGCTCATGGTCTCTTTCCTATGCCCATCTCAGTTCGAGCAGGCATCACGCAGTTAACCGCCCTCGTAAACTCGAAAGACACATCTGTACAAATTACAATCATGCGATTTCGAACCATCAACAAGCCGACCATCGACATTCTTCGGGGCGCCATCTACTCTTCTACATCTCTGTCCTCTACAGCATTCGTCACTCATCGCTCAGGCGCCCTCACAACATTCTCAACAAACACATCACTTCCTCTGCGGACTCTTGTTGCCACCAACAGGTGCGCCAGCCCCTGCACCAGCACCCGCACCAGCGCCGGTACGACGATCGGCGGTAGCCTGGGCGCGCGAGGGGAACGACTTGTTGCCTACGTCCTTCCCGGCTTTTGCCTGCAATATCCATCACCGTCAAACGTCAGTCAGTCGACGGGGTGCTGGACGAGGTGGACAATGCGGACGTACCTGAGTGGACTGGATCCTAGCGGAGTCGGCTTTGGTCATTGGGTTTCGTCCGCCTTGGCCTGCGTTCTCTGTATGAGGAGAGTGGGGTGAGATAATGTGGAGTCAGTCGCTAGTATTTCGACGAAGGATGATTCAAAGAAAAACTAGCGCGGATGGGAGGGAGAGAGGGAGAGAAACGGAATCAGAAGGTCGAACTGACTAGACATTATGGTTCGACTGGAGGAGTAAAGGTTGGTGGTGGTACGCGGGTAGATGGGTGGGTCCTGAGGTCGAAAGGTAAGCCGTCGACCAACGACAATTTATACCTCTCTCTCCACACTGCCCAACCCAATAATAACTTCCCCTCCGCCCCCATACTCAGATTCATAGCCGCAACTTACTTCTGGCCAAACCTTCTCGTGCGTGCGAAGGCCCGAGTCTCAGCCGTCGAGCGACATTCGCCCGCGTCCCAAACTTGAACTCTGTTAGTGTCTCCCGCCACAAGAACCTATCGACGTTCAAAAGGCGGGCTGCTCGACTCCCCGTCGAGCTGTTTAAGGACGCCCAGATACGAAAACGGGTCGACATGTCCCATTCCTCTCTTCCGTCTCTTCTTCCTCACCAAAAATAACAACCAACCGCTATATACTCTCTCCATCTATATAAGTTTCATCGTTTCATCGACACCTCCTGTATGGGATAGGCTTACACGAACCATTGAGTCTCCTTCGGACGAACCAAAGCCGAGCTATCCTTGGTCACATAGTAACTTATTAGACTCAAACCACCGCTAGAACCGCTCCATCTTGATGCATCGTCCTATTTAGTGCCAGTACGCCCACAACCCGAGACATATGGCCGGATAGAGTTGCCTCTGGAAGTGTTCTAAGGTGGAGAGTCGAGTTGAGGTTGGGTTCGCTATGCCCGGTCAGTTCCTACTACACTGATTTGAAAGTCTCACCCTCGTTATCGCCCTGAGTGGCTCTTCTATCCTTAGGTCCAGATAGAGTATGCATCGCGTCGAGGGGAATCCCGAAGATTTATTGACTCAAGCTATTGTCTTCTCGCGCTCTGGCTGTCCTGTGGTCTCCATTTGTGCATACCTTCCTCGAACTACGCTCTTCGTGCTGTACACTCATCCTTATGCTATCTGAGTTGACAGTGTTCCAAAAAGCTTATTGACGAGCTGTTTCTCGCTTTCGTTGGAGATCGACTCAGCGGTCATACCTACTGCTTGTTCTCGTTTGCCATTAGCCAGCGCGTCAAAGCATCGATGCACAAGAAAACAACCACACTATTCATGCGCCCCGTACACAATCACCGTCGTATTCGTACAACCTACAACAACTTGCTATCCTCATCCAGGCCGCACCCATGCTCTACTCCTCCAACAACCTACCACAATCGTCGAGCACTGAGGTTCAAGACCGGGTAGAACACCCTGTATCTTCCGCGTCGAGTCAGACTCTGCCTCCAACCCCATCCGAATGTATCCTAAGCTCCTTACCGGTATCACAGACCCCCTACTTCTTCTGCGGTGCATTCGCAGACCCGGTGTTCGTGTTCGAAGGCGTAACAGTCTTAGGACCCCCGTCTGGCTTGTTCGTGGCGTTCTCGCGCTGGTTGATGGCGTTCTCGACACGGTCTAGGAAACCGTCTGTGTTATCCTGTTATCGGGTTCAACGGTTCGTTACGGGTCAGTATGCTTACGCGACAAGGCATTGGATGATGGGGTCCGCGGTAAGTACGTACCTGGGTGGGCTTGACCCTGTCGAAATCTTTTCTGGTCCACTGGTTTTTCCCGGCTAGGTTTCCTGCGTTGTCTGTATCGTCGGGCAGAATTAGTAACATAGAGTTAGTATGGTCCAGGGGAGAAAATAGCGGAGAGGGAGTAGGTGGAACAGCGGGGTTTTGGTGAGGGGAAAGACTGACCAGACATTGTTGATGATGGAGTGGGCGAAAGAGCTTTGAGATGCAGAGGTGAATATCGTTGGTATGGAATGGGGCTTTGAATCGTTGGACGCGGACAACTTTTATATCTCACAATGTCCATCGTCTTGGGGCGGATCACGACGATACTCCTCGCGAGCCTGTCAACTCCCGCCACAAGAACCCACGACGACTACTCTAACCTAGTGCATGACGATCCAACTGCATTCAAATGCTTACCTATTTCCTCAGAATTCACATCCTAGACCCACACAACTCGACGTGACCGTAGTCCTTGTCGACACTCGACGCACATATGATGCAGGGTAGTCGAACGGTTGTGCTCCTAGTTGTATGTTTGTTTGGTCCCCGCGAATTTTTTTACACGCAACGCCACTGAAACTGGTCTTCTGTGTCAGGTATAGTGTGCGATGGTCACGAGAGGACCGCAAAAATCTCATACAATTGAGCAAACGCAGATACAGAGAAAATACAAGACCCCGAGGCTGATGCATGTGTTGTCTATGAGCTAATCACCGCTGCATTTTAGACCATAGAAAGACCCGTCCAGGCACACGGAACTTACGCATCGGATGGATTGTGCGTCTTGGTGATCAGAAATATATTTGAGGGAACAGGGGGAGAAAAAGACAAAATGGCAACAAGAAAGGCAGTATAACAAGGAACGTCACGCTCTCTTCACGCTTTAGACTCCGCTTTCGCTAACTGCTCGACTCACCGTTGGATGAGGATTGGGGGGCTGTCAGGCGTGAACCAGCGGCTAGATGGATGAGGAACGACCTGATGACGACAACGTTGGTGGCAAGGATGGTACCATGAGTGGATAGGAACCTACCTCTCACAACGACAGGAGTGATCCTCGATGGAATAACTAAAGTCACTAAAGTCCGAGATCCAGCTCTTCCACCCGTGCATGCGCGACCCTCAACTCCTCCTCCAGAGACCGTATTCTTGACCCGAAAAACTTCTCCTTGTCTTCCTTGACCCTATTCATTAGCTCCAGCGCCCGCCCCACATTACGCCAAAACTCTACCGCCTCCCTTATCTTATCCCTCGATTTTGTCTCCCACCACTCCGGTTCCCATACGTGGGTGTATTCATCGCAGTCCTCGTCCAGAGAGGATAGCACCTGGAAACCTCTAGGAAGTAAAGGGAACAGGAGCCAGCTGACGTTCTCTACGTCACACCGGATGGTGGAGTACCCAATGCAAAGTTGGGCGAGATGGTGGAAATGCTCGCCGATAGAAGGTGGGATATTGATCGAGGTCGTGCGCAAGTACAGCCTCAATTTAGTGATTCTGGGGCAGTGGCGAGCGAATTGGATGATGGCGCGCAGAGTAAGGGTGGACTCGGGAGTGAACATGGGGTATGCGTTCAACACCAGCTCTTCCAAATGCGGAAGACCAGCCGCAAGAGATTCGATTTGGTAGTCCGTGATGTCGATAGGCTGGACGTAGCGAATAGTGAACGTTTTCAAGTGGCGAAGGCGGATAATAGAGCAAATGTCCGCGAACGTGTATATAGGAGAATCTCGGGCGTCCTGTATACTCATTCGAAGGTTGTCGATCTCGGTCATGTAGAGCTCGAGACGTTCCAGGCCACGACATGAATCCGTTAGAGCGTTGAGATGTTCTTGAAGGTGTGAAGGTGTCCTCTGGTGTGGTAGAGGGACGTTTAGGAAGATAGAAATCAGAGAAGATGTTGGGAAATTTGGTGTGGTGAAAAATTGCCGAGCATGAGCCAGAGAAGCTCCGAATGTGATGGATTGCAACGACGGGAATGCACCAGCTTCCAGAGAAGCCTGAAAGTTTGGAGGTGCTTTCGCCCATTCCGTATTCTGAGACGACAGTACCCGAAGCGAGTGAATGGTAGATAGAGGGTTGATGATGGACGGAAAGAAAAGAGTGGGTGACAGGATGACATCGCGAAGATGTCGAAGTGCTTCGAAAAGATGGCAGAGTTCTTTTCTGTCTGCTCGTCAGGAGCGGGGATGTCAAGGTCAAGGGTCGTGAGATTGGGCATTCTCTCAGCTATGTGGGGACATAATGCTTTGAAATCCATTGACATCGAACGAACAGACCCGTGGCGTATATTGATTTTGAGTGCAGAAATCGAGTGGTGCATAATGAGGGCTCCAAATTGGGGACCTGTGCGGGTGCCTATTCGAAGGGATTGAAGATTCGGAAATAATATGGAAAGAGGTCGAGTGGACATGATCTCAAACATGGCCCCCTCAGACCAACGTATGTGTGAGGCCGTCCCGTCGATGGAGCGAACTCGGTGTGAATTGCTGAGGAAACGGTCCCAGATGCTCTTGCTCAGAGGAGGCGCAAAGCTCTGATACAATTTGTCAGGAGTCCTCTAATCCAAGTTCTTGTATGAAACGCACCATTTTCCGAGTGTTAGGGTCTGATACCGTACCTGCCAACGAGGCAAGAGCGCTTGTCCAATCGTACAAGTCTCGCCACACCTCGTTAAGGGCACCATCCGTCCATGCCTTGCACACTCGAGCATTTCGGGCATTCGAGTCATAGTCGAGCTGCAAGAAGATACGATGAAGCAATTCTTGGGGAAAGTTTTGTGCATGAGGCGTCGTCATTCCGGGCACAAGTACGCCGGGGAGGAACTGAGATGACGACTAGTGCTGCACACGGCGTTTCAGTGGTAGTTCGTGGCCGATAACGCACGTAGCTGAGTAATTGGTAGTAAGTAGCAGCCTGAACGACTCACATAGAGCACCTCAAGGCCTCAAGGCCGTCACCTGCAGCGAGCGTCTTTTTTTTAACGTTGGAGTTGACGCGTTCAACTTCAAACGCCGTGACTTTGCCGTTGCCATCCCGGGGAATATTAATAATGGACACGAGGGGCAAGGAAGGACCGTGGCGTGACCCCTGTCTTTTGTTTGTTCCCAGCGCCACATTGTACGTACCACCACTCTCACCTGGAATCTTTCGTATGATATGAGGGTACTTCTACACTAGAAAAGAACCACCATGGCGTTGGACAGCAGCAGGCGCCACGACGTGAAAGAGGAGAAGAATGAATGACCGGCGAAGTCCGAGCTCTCAGCTGATGACAGAAACAGTGGAAGGAGTCAGCTGGGAACGGGAGCCATGACGGTGTGTAACGAACGACGGAGAATCAGTCCACTGGGCAGTTACGATCTTTCTCTTCCGTAACAGTGAGAATACAACTACCTCCAAACGTTATAGTCTCACCGCCGAAACCGATTCGAACATGGTACGAACTATATCTTCTCAACATCCAGCCAATTCTCTCTGACCCTCCGATCATACAGAACGGAACGGACTCCAGCCAAACATCCCCTGGCACAGCGTCTCACCTCCCAAAAGAAACGCTAGATTTCGCACATCGGATGTTTGATGCGGCGAGGACGGGAAATTCAGAGTTGTTGCTCGCAGCTGTGGATGCTGGGCTTCCGGTGGATATGATGAACGACGACGGTGCGCCCTTCTCTTTCAATCGGGATACATAACCCGTGCTCACAACCATCGTACGGACTCAAAAATCTGATCAGGCAACACCCTCCTCATGCTCGCCGCCTACTCCGGACATCACACCCTCGTCCAATCTCTACTCACCCGCAAAGCGAACCCAAACAAACTGAACGACCGCGGTCAATCCCCCCTCGCCGGCGCGGTCTTCAAGGGCGAAGACGAGGTCGTGAAAGTGTTGGTCGAGGGGGGTGCGGATCCGAGGTTGGGGACGCCGAATGCGATTGAGAGTGCGAGGATGTTTGGGAAGGAGGGGATGTTGAGGTTGTTTGGGGCGGGGGAGGGAGAGGGCGCGGGTGCGCTGTTGCCGGTGGGTGAGCGGTGATGAGGACGGGCCATTTTCGTCGCACTACGGATCGGACGAAACGCGATTTTTCGCCCAAAATTCGTCGCATCAGGATGGGACCTCCGTCAGCATACGCAGGGGTCCTTGATGTCGATGAGGGGTGACGACAAATATATATCATTGTACGAATTGTACGAATGAGAACTGTCCCCAGTGTATTTTTAGCTGTTGTTTGTCGTCGAGAATGTTACCTTGCTTGCAAGGTCTCTCCCACCCCGGTAATTGTGGCTGAGCGACTTTTTCGCACACAAAGCCAAACAGTTTGCGTAAGCTTTTCTCACATTTCTGTGGCACCCCTCACCCAACAGCAATCGCGTACTTGATTACCACCATCAGGACGGAGCAATTTCTATCTGCCCTGGATATACAGATTTTGTACACACCCAGCATGTTCCGCGAAAGTATGCTCGATGTCTGCACGCACAACGCGCTCAGGCCTGAAGGGCTATCGACGCCACAATGCATCAAGCCGATGCTTCTCCTGAGGCCTACGTACGCTTCGAGGCGCTGCTGCGGTCAGCGAAGCAAGCAACCTGACATCAGTGGCCATCGGAACGTGGATGTATTGTGCAGATTTAAAGGCTGCCTCTAATACGGGTTTGCGAGCCAAGAAGAACCATCTGTGGCGCGACTCTTGCGTGATCATCCAGAAGTAATTTCCGGTACTGAATACTCTGCAGTATCGCTAACAAAGTTGCTACTGCAAATAAAGTGCACAGAAATATTGAGCATTGGTAGATATGCCATTGTCAGAAGAGGTCTCTCAAGCAAGGTCAGTGCCACAGCATGTGGAGCTTCCCTAGTCATGGTTCTACTGGGATTGTGTGGCCCATCTGTATGTAAACGATCTGTTCTCTTTCGCCACGCTTCCCACGGATGCTACGCTTTGAGTTTACATCAATGATTTTGAAATGGAGGGTCGAAAGTGCCGAAAGGCGCTGCGATGCCCCTGTATCCTGCCAACGTCGCTTCGCCAAGGCCTTCCCATCTGATTCTACTCTTGCTTCATCTTCAGCTTTCAACCCTTCTTGCTCCTGACCATCACTATCCAAACGTCGACGTCCAACACGTCGTCGAACAGCGCGCTTTGAATTCTTGATTTATACCAGATATTTGACAAGGAATAGTAGAAGATAGTCATGGCGTCTTTCTTGCACAAGGTTTTCGACAAGGCGGAGGAGGGCATTCAGAGGACTGGCGATACTCTCACCGGTGCGTTCCTCATCTCCCTATCACTCTGGTACACAAGACAGTCCTGACCGACCGACCCTCCAAACCAGGTATCTTCAACCCCGACCGTACGTATCCTCTCACCTCCTTCACCTCTCACCTTTCCCCAACCAGACTCACTCACTTTGCTACGTAATCGTATGCGTTGTACACAACAGGCCGTCACGACGACCCGATCGAGAAAGAGCACGATGCGATACGTACTGAGATCGCGGAGAGCCATCGTTTTCAGTCGTTCGCTGACGAGAGGGAGAACAACTTCGTGAAATGGTGGGTTCAAAAAATCATTTCTTCCCCTTTCCTTCCCTCTCTCCCTCCTCCGTCTCTTGTGTTGCCTTCCGCACCAACCCATCCATCCATCCATCTATGAAATGCACCGCTGACGATCCATCTTTGTTCCGCCCCTATGTCCACCCATCTTTCTATATATTTATATTTATATCGTTTTCGGATGTGGTGTCCCCAATGGTGGTATAGGCACATCGACGGGCACGACTACTTCTACGCTCTTTCAGAGATGCTCGAGAGCGCGAAAGAATGTATCTTCATCTTGGTACGCTTTTCTATCCCATCCTCTCTTGTTTCCTTACTCCATAAAAATCTTTCCCTTCTCCTTCTTTTCTTTGTCTCTCTGTTTGTGGTCTGCTTCGAGACGTCGGTGCTGCGCTTCCTCCGAGGATCCATGTAGTGTTTCCCCCAAGGATCTACGTGCGCACGGACTTCGAACTGGCGTGGTGGCGATAAGTAAGATCTGAACTGCAGCTGCGGATGACGATGACGCCGTTCGTTGCTTGTCCTAGTTTGCGTACCTGGGAGCTTGGTCCTGAGTGCATTTTCGGGTTTTTGCATATCGCCTGGTGGCGCTAGCGATTTCGTTGTGGAGCCCCAAGGGGTCCCGAACTGGCGTCCATACGTTCATACCGCCCGGGTTTTGGATTTGTTTGTGTAAATAAACGGAGATAACACCAGATTGCGGTCCCTCCGCCCCTATATTTCACAGTCTAGTTTCAACCATACCCCCCTCTCCCTCCTTTCCCTTTCTACTCTTTCCTGTACTCCATCTTCAACCGTTCCATGATCTCCACAATATTTTTCCTCGGCTCTTTGATCTTATCGGCGCTGACAGCCGGATTGGCCTTTTGTTTATTTTCTGCGTGGATAACAGGATTGGTGGCTCACCCCGGAACTGTACCTCCGCCGCCCGCCGGCGTATAACGAAGAATGGCGCCTCGATAGGGTGTTGCAGAGGAAAGCGGAGCAGGGTGTGAAGATTTATGTTATTGTGTACAAGGAGGTGTGTGTCCCTTTTCCTAATTCGCCAGCCTGTCTTTGAGCATTTTGGTGGTTTACTGACCGCTCACGACCTCCTTGCGAATGCCGATAGGTCACGCAAACGATGAGCATGAGCTCGCACCATACGAAGGTCGCGCTGGAGGCTTTGCACCCTGAGATCGCGTGTATGCGTCACCCGGATCATATCGGGTCGAAAGGTAGGTTTTTCCTGCAAGTATTCGTACGCTTGGGTAAATTAATGTATGTTTCGTCCATGAATCACAGACGACGTCGAGTTCTGGTCTCACCACGAGAAGGTACATCCTCCATCTCCTCTCCCTCTCCCCTCCTCTCCCTCTAACCAACGCACCATCCACCTTCCCCCGCATCACACATAGGTCGTAGTCGTAGACAACCACCGCGCCTGCATCGGCGGTCTCGACATCTGCTTCGGCCGCTGGGACACAAACACGCATCCTCTCGCCGACGCGCACCCTACCGATTTCAGCAAGACGCTCTTCCCCGGCCAGGACTACAATAATGCGCGGATCAGCGATTTCCAGGATGTGATGAATTATGTTAGTGGGACTATTAGTGTGGCGGAGAGTCCGAGGATGCCGTGGCATGATGTGAGTGTGCTTTTTTTGTTGTGCAGGGAGGGTGGAGGGAGGGTGGAGGGATGGAAGGAGAAGTGCTGATGAGGCTTTTTGTGTGATGTGTGGTGTAGGTCCATATGACGCTTTCGGGCCCGGTCGTGCTCGATATCGTGCAGCATTTCGTGGAGAGGTGGAATGAAGTCAAGACTCGCAAGGTCCGTCTCTTCTCTTATCCACTCTCAATCCCATACTCATACTCTCCCCACATCACAAATCCCCTCCACAGTATAAAGCCGACGCCCGCTACGACTGGCTCGCCCTCCCGCACAACATAACCTTCGCCCCCAACGAAGCCGTCGTCCGTCACCCGCACCGCGAGCGCTGGCACGGCATGGGCCGCCAATTCCGTCAGAGGTTCCATATGGAGCCGGAGGAAGAGGAACTGGAGGAGCATGAGCCGAAGAGGCCGTGGGGGAGCTGTAGGGTGCAGTGTGTGAGGAGTGTGAGCGATTGGAGTCATGGGGTGTTGACGGAGCATAGTATTCAGAATGCTTGTGAGTGGGCCTTTTTCTTGTTGAGTTTTGAGTTTTGAGTCGTGGGTGGTGGGGGGCGGATTGCTGAGTGGATTCAATGCGGGTTTTTAGACATTCAGATGATCAGGGAGGCGAACCATTTCGTCTACATCGGTGTGTCTTTCTTTTTTTTTTTTTAGCTCGATTGAGCATGATCCGATCGCTGACGACTTTACAACCACAGAGAACCAGTTCTTGTGAGTGTCTTATTTGTGAGGATTGTGCCGGGAAAAGGTATCTAACGCTGCATGTATATTACAGCATCTCCAACACGAAGAAAGATGGTCCCGTTGTGAACCAGATCGCCGCCGCCCTCGTCGAGCGTATCGTCCAAGCCGCTCAGGCCGGCCAGAAGTTCAAGGTAATACGCCTTCGCAGCCTCAGATGTATTCCGGATCGCTGACAGTTGGGTCGTGCAATGTGTGGTTTGTTTTAGGTTGTCGTCATCATCCCCGAGCTGCCCGCGTTCTCTGGAGACGTAAAAGACGAAACGGCGCTGAAGACGATCATGGCGGCTCAGTACAGGACCATCAACCGTGGCGGGAGCAGTATCTATGAGGAGATCAGGAAGGCCGGATATGAGCCGTGAGTCCACTGGCAACATGGTCGTTCACAGAAACACGAACGAAGCTTACGGATTATGTTTCTAGGATGGATTACATCCGATTCTACCATCTTCGTGTTTATGACCGTATCAACGCTCCCCTCTGTGAGTCACATTCATTCTACGCGCTCCATCTCCGTGTCATCGAACTAAACTCGCTCTCGTCTAATCCCATCGTGAACAGCCACCTTCATCGCCAAGGCCGAAGAAGACTCCGGCGTGAAATTCAACGAAGCCCAAGTCGCCCTCGCCCGCCAATGGGTCGGCGACTCCGCCGACACCTCCTCCGACGGCCAGCCCAAAGAAGTGACCATCAAGCTCGCGGAGCCCACCACGGAGGGCATGGTCGTGTCGAAGAAGACGGACGTGAAGACGGAGAAGTTCCCGTTGCCGACGAGTAAGGCCGAGGCTGTGGAGAAGATCGAGAGGTTCGAGAGGGCGGCGAAGAGGTTGAGGGGGGACGCGCATGTTAGTGATACGGTGGGGCAGCATGCGTTGAAAGATAGGACGGAGTTGGCGGAGGAGCAGTGGTTGGGGAGTGAGGAGGAGGAGTTGGCCTCGTGAGTTTGCGGTGTTGGTTTATTGGCCGCTGGGTGCTAGTGCTGATTTGTTTTGTTTTAAGATATGTATCTGAGTTGTCCTACATCCACACGAAGTTGATGATCGTTGACGATCGTCGTGTTATCGTACGTCTTTGCTCTAAGTCCTGGTTGCTCTAAGTCCTGGATTTCATTAGTGACTGACGCTTATAATTCTATCCGCCTATAGATGGGCTCCGCCAACCTCAATGACCGTAGCCAGAAGGTTAGCCCTTATCGTTACAGCATTTTCTCATCAGTATATATAAAGCTAATCCATCGATGTACTACAGGGTGACGGTGACTCCGAGATTGCGCTCGTGGTCGAAGACGGCGACATGATCCAGAGCACCATGGATGGCAAGCCCTTCATGGCCGCCCGCTTCGCTGCCTCCCTCCGCCGCAGGCTCTTCAGGCGTACGTCCCTTTCTCATTTTCCTCCTACCGCCAACATCAGGACAACCTTCTCACCTACCCCACATGACATCTATTATCTCCATTACAGAGCACCTCGGCTACATCCCTCCGCAGATCTGCCAAGACCGTGACGAGCACGTCACTGAATTCATGCGTCCCGCGCCCGTGGCGAACCCAGACGAGTTCGGCACTGCCGACGACGAGATCATGGCCGATCCACTCTCGGATGAGATGGTTGAGCTGTGGCAGAAGACGGCGAAGGTGAACAGGGAGGTGTTCACGGAGTTGTTCAGGCCTGTGCCGACGAACTTGGTTAGGGATTGGGATGCGTATAACGTGCGTTTTTGGGCATCGGTTTCTTACATTTCCAGGTTTTCGATGTTGACGAATATGTATGAAATGTAGAACTATGTCCCGAAGGTCAAGACGGGTCACGTCGCGCCTGATGTGCCTCTCGAGCGGGTCAAGGCCCGTCTCGCGGACGTCCGCGGTGCGCTTGTTGAAGCCCCTATCGTACGTCTCCCAGTCTTCTTCGCTTTTCTGGCGTAAAACGCCACTTCTAACGTTGCATGACTGCCATCCGTCATACAGGACTTCCTCATCGACGAGAAGGACTTCGCCGAGGGCCCCGAGTGGCACGGACTGAACCCTACGTTGCCGATCTACATCTAGATGATATAACGCGTTGTAGTCTGCTTTTGGTGGCTGAAGTGGAAGGACGGATAGAAGATCTGAATGAACTCTGAACCGTTACGAATGTACTGATACATGCTACCAAATGTCCACGAAGAATGATGTCAATAAATGTGCTTATATTGCTGCAGACGGTGATAGTGTCTTTGCATTGTAGATGATCCCATAATTCGGGAGGCATAGTAGATGATGACCACTGAGAAAGTCTTGGGAGATAAAAATGTCTCCAGCGACAATCACTTTGTAATTCAATACCCTCTTTTGCGAACGAGATAGTGTTCAACATGCTATGTAGTCACAGAACTGAGGAAGACTTTGATATTGTGTTCCAGTACAGTGGCGCGCCACACCATCGAGGTCTTCGGCTGTTCCCGATGGCGTACAATCTCGTGAAGTAGAGCGCGTCAGCCCTTTCAACAAAGACGCCTCCCTAACAGTCTTTGAGGACTGGATGTGAGTAATCTTCCTACTATTTACTCTAATTTATTCACAGATCCCGAACAACCAACGGAACATCATATCCATTACTAACCATCATCTCAGTTCCAACTCACCGACAGAATGACGACGTCTTATGCGCAAGACCTTCCTCAAGAATTGCTTCTTCGCATCTTTGTATTACTCGACTATCGCTCGAATGCTCGAAATGCTCGAGTGTGCAAGGCGTGGAAGGACGGAGCCCTTGATGAGGTGTGGCAACATTTGTCTGATTGGACAAGCGCTCTGGCTTCGTTGGCAGGTACGGCCCCGGACCCTGACACTCAGAGGATAGTACGTCCTTTAAGTTACATTCAACCTCCGAGCATCCCTGACAGACTAGATCAGAGCTTCCTGTCTCCTCTCAGCAATAACATATGGGACCGTTTCTTCAGCAATGCATGTCGTGTCCGCTACATCGACGGGACCAACAGGCCGGCCTCACACATACGTTGGTCTGAGAGGGCTATGATCGAGATCATGGCCACTCGGCCTCTCGCTATACTATTTCCGAATCTTCAATCCCTTCGAATAGGTGCATGCTCAGGCCCCCAATTTGGAGCCATCATCATGCACGACTCCGTTTCTGCGCTCACCATAGATATGCGCCTCACGCCCGCTCGCTCAACGCCAATAGATTTCACAACATTGTGTCTGCATGTATCTGAGAGAATGCCCAGGCTCACGACTCTTGAGCTTGATATCGCTGCTCCTGACGACCAGACAGAGCACGCTCTCTGCCTTCTTTTCGAAAGACTTCCGTACCTTCGCGATGTCACCCTATCACCCATGCTCTTCTTTCCATCCATCATAAACCCTCTCTCCACGATCCACTCGCTTCGCGCACTGATGTCCCAATCAGCTCATATCGAATGGGTCAAAGCGCCTCGAAACTTTCAGGCCCCCCTGGAAGCTGGTGCATTTCCGTCATTGCAATCCATCACTTTCGGGTCTTCCCTTGATCATGCTCGACAGTTCTTCACAGCGCCAAATTTCCCAACGTCTTCTTTGATTTATATCTTCTTATACGTCCCTCTTCCGCACCACAAGACATCTTCGCACCTTCAACAACTTCTCATCTCTCTCGCAGATTCGTGTCGTAGCCTGGAACGTCTCGAACTCTACATGACCGAGATCGATAATCTTCGGATGAGCATACAGGACGCCCGAAACTCTCCTGTATACACGTTCGCGGACATCTGCCCTATTCTCCGTCTTCAAAACTTGAAGGTATTCATTATTCGATACGTCCACCCTATATTTATCACAGACGACGAAATCGAGTCTCTTGCGGCTAGTCTTCCACACTTGGAAGAGTTGGTGCTGAACGCATACCCCATGATCACCCCGAAGCCCACCCTCACTCTGCGCGCCATCATCCCATTCGCTCGCCACTGCCCCAGACTCACGAAACTGGCGTTGTATTTGCGCTGCACCCTGGACAATGTCCCCCCTTCTCTCGGCACCCATTTGGTCCACCTCGCCCAACTCTGCATCGGGTGCTCCACCGTCTTGTGCAACGTAGAGACCGTCAGCTGGTTCCTGTTTCCATTACTTCCTAGAGGTTGCGAGGTGCTAGCCTCTGTGGATGAGGACTGCGACGAATTTCTCTACGTGGCAGAATCGGCGTGGTGGGAGACAGAACCGAAGGTTCTGAGAGATCATGCGATAAGGTTTTGGCAGAATGTGGGGCGGGCGTTGGAACTGATGCATAAGGTCAAGGAAGATGGGGAGAGGCCTCTCAGGTCGAGAATAGGAGCTCTGGAGGAGGAATTGCGGGTCGCGCATGCACGGCTGGAGGAGTTGGAGTCCTGATCTTTGTCGATGCCTTGTAATCGTCCAATTGAAGGCCACTTCTACCATTCTTCGAGGTAGGGTACTACTTATTTTGGGCAACCTTGTTCGCTGATTGGAGAGTGTGCTCGTAGCGCGCGTTCAATAATGTTAGTCACTATGATCATATAAATCTCCTCGACACCATGCCTCTGCAACCCATTTCCGCCAGCTCCGTATCATCACGTCGTTCCTCACCGATCTCGTAGCTGAAACACGCCGGACCGTCTTCCAATTCTCATCCAACGGTACCTACCAGAGGCTGGAGGACCAGGTGCTGGAAGTGGTCGGGGCGACCCAGGTGGAGGACGTCGTGTCCTGGGGCAATCCTGGGGTCGAGTCGAGCAGTTGGCGGGGCGTCTCAGTCGGAGCATGAAGAGAGCGTGTGGCCTTCCTTGTTTTCTCGTTACTATTTTGTCTTTCCATCTTCCTGCTCTTTCAGATCTATTCCTAGTCATTGAGTCCATAAATGTGTAAGATTTGTATATGTCCGAATTGATTTCGCTATGCTGAAGTTCTGCCATTGTAACACTCTTTCGGGCTCCGAGCTATAGCTACCAATTCGGATCTTGTGGTGATTTAGGAGCTGTGAGATTTGATGGATGCTTTGCGCAAGAGATGTAATGATACAACAAAACTTGAACTCGTCCAGTCGAAGTAAGTAAATTATACTCGTACCACCGAGGATGGACAATGAGCCTAGGTGGAGGTGAGGTAAGTATCGTGGACAAGTGACATTCGGTTTCCCTAAGGATGTTGCTCATGAGAAATGCACTTTGGCCTCCAGGGGAGGCGTATATTATTACCTGGATAACTTGCAGCCCTGTGGCTCTCTTTACTTTTACGCTACAACATTGGTCGCCACCGAGTGGCGCAAGTTGGTCTCGGAACTGGCCCGATGGGCCCGGGCTGGCGGCTATGAGGTACTAGATGACGTAAAAACGAGAGTCAGCGTCGTTGCGGCGTGCACAGGCGGTTTCGTCCTTGACGCCTTCCACCACCGGCCAGCGTCTCCTCGCCAGACCCCCTTCTTTCTTCACAACCACCATCGTCTAACATTCTCGACTGTGTTGAGGGTCGTACCAGTCAGGATTCCGCTTTATCTCCCGAATTTTGACTCGGAGATCTTGCTACAATGGCTTCATCAAATGCGACCAGGTTGGTCGCCACATTGGGGCTGTTAGAACAGTGATCAGGGACTTACCCCGGCTCTTTGATGATCGTACAGCAACCATGAGAGGAACATTAGGATCACAGGTGCGTACTCTCGTGTATATAGATACAGCTTTTCCGGGTTCCCGTCGTGCAGACTGATTTATGACTATTCGGGTTTTCGCTGTAAACAGTACTGGCTGCGAATGATCTCGTCAAGCGTGATCTCTTTTCTCTCCCGAACCCGTTCACCACCATATCGGTGGACGATGTACATATGCAGCAGACCTCAGTACTGAAGAAGACTTTGTCTCCGTACTGGAATGAGACGTTCGACGTGTACGTTGCTTTCCTCTTTTCCTACAGGCTCGGAGGACATCCGGGAGCATGCTATCGCAGCTCCATCTCCGTGCGGATTCTCTGTGTACATGGGAGCACACCATATGTGCTGGCGAGCGACAAAAAACTGGACCTTTCTATGTTTACGCTTCCATCATCCTTCTCGCTGACTGGACAAAGTCGAGCGCTTGTGACGAGCGCCGAGGTATGCCAACCCGACCGAATCGGTCTGCTCAGGGGTTTGTAGCGGGCTATGCAGCAGTGCTTACTAGCAGCCCAGTATTGCTAACGCGTATTCTGGTGTTTCCCCATCTTCCATGACGATGCGATTCAAAGCTCTTGCGTTGCACTATAAATACATCTATGCTAGAGTTTCCTTCTTGGAACGACGGCATGTCATGGATACCTCTATTAGGGTACTGATTAACGTTCCTGTTCCTGTGCAGTGCTGTGCGACCGTCATCGACCCTTTCCCTCCAGATTTTCGACCATCGCAAGTTCTCCCGAGTAGACCGAGGTTTCCTAGGTGCTGTACAAGTCCAAGTCGAAGACATACTTAACAGTAGCAATGGTACATATCCACACTGCTTTCCCCCATAGTCGAACCTCATAACTATGTTCCTCTCGGTCCCTCCAAAACAAACTGACAAATATTCTGTTCTGTTTCTCCCTTCTACTACCTTGCGGTCACACAGTGCAGCAGACTATGAACCTCAAGCCCGGACCAGGCGACCAATTTGTCTCTGGAAAAGTCATGTTTTCGATTGCCGCGGACGCCCCATCCATCCCTTCCGCACCTCGTGCACCGCACCATCAAGCCCTCGACGCTAACTTATCACGATCTGTATCGGATTTACGTCTACTCGCACGGTCATCCGCGACCGACTCTAACTCACCATCCACGTCGTCCCAACTCGGCAGAAGCGCTACCGCCCGCCCATCGCCGGCTGATCCTCATCAGAAACCGACACCATCGCTCTCCTTCCTCTCACCCACGTTGCAACCCACCTCCACCTCTTCATCTCGTCTTTCATCGTCCCGTTCGCATTCGAATCTTAGGATTAGGCCAAGTACGGCGGACTCTGCCATCCCATCATTGCGATCCGCGCCTGGAATGTCTACCCCCACTTCTGCCCGTGATCGTATCTCGATGCCCATCCCATCTCCTGCCCTGCCACCTACCGCCCCCACACCTGCTCCAGAGCAGACTACGACGACTTCCCAGGCACAAGCTGAGGTCGAAGACGCCTTACCTCAGGGATGGGAGCGTCGCTCCGACGCTCGCGGGAGGACGTACTATGTCAACCATAACGAGCGCACAACGACGTGGAACCGCCCGTTGTTCACCTCCAACGCAGGCGCCCAAGCAGTCGTTACCCCAGCTTCAGGCTCAGGACCATCTAGGACATCATCGCAGCAACGTCGTGCGCAACCTCCACAATCTCAGCCCCAGCCTCAGCAACCACACCAGAGCGACAGTCGATACGTCGACGTCCCTCTTCCTCTGGGCTGGGAAGAGCGTCGTGCGCCCGATGGTCGTCCATATTTCGTCGATCATCATTCGCGCACTACGACATGGGAAGACCCGCGTCGACCCGTGTTTTCTGCCTCTTCCGCCGCTAGTGCCAGTGCCGTCCCCGGCGACGGCAGCTCTCCTCACCCATCAGCGGAAGCCCTCGCTACCACACGCGCGGCCCTCGGTCCATTGCCTAGTGGTTGGGAGATGCGGATGACGAGCACGCAGAGGGTGTACTTCGTCGATCATAACACGAAGACGACGACGTGGGACGATCCGAGGTTGCCTTCTGAGGTCGAGGAAGGAGCGCCGAAGTATAAGAGGGATTATAGAAGGAAGGTCGTTTATTTCAGGAGTCAGCCGGATATGAGGATTATGGATGGGACCGCGCCGGGTGCGAGCGGCGGGAAGGCGGAGATCAGGTTGAGGAGGGGGATGGTGTTTGAGGATTCGTTTAGGGCGGTTATGAGGTTGAAGAAGGAGGATTTGAGGAAGAGGCTGGTCGTTAGGTTTGAGGGTGAGGATGGATTGGATTATGGAGGTGTTTCGAGGTATGGTTTCCCTTCTTTTTCAGTTTCCTTCACCCGTGGTAATCGTGGCTGATGTGTTTCCGTACGTTGTGTAGGGAATGGTTCTTCCTCCTCTCGCACGAGATGTTTAACCCGTCCTACGGCCTCTTCGAATACTCCGCCCACGACAACTACACGCTCCAGATCAATCCCTTCTCCGGTATCAACCCCGAACATCTCGACTACTTCAAGTTCATTGGTCGGTGTCTTGGGTTGGCGGTGTTCCACCATCGGTTCTTGGATGCGTATTTCGTGCCGAGCTTCTATAAAATGATTTTGGGCAAGAAAGTGACGATGAAGGATTTGGAGGCGGTGGATTATGAGCTCTGGAGAGGTTTGAGCTGGATGTTGTACGTGTCTCTACCGCCTGACTTCGTCTCATATTTTGTTTACTCAGACCATAATTTGATACAGGGACAACGATATCACCGACGTCCTCGACGAAACATTCTCCACCACCGAAGACAACTTCGGCCAACTGCTCACCATCCCCCTCAGGCCCAACGGAGAAGACATCCCCGTCACCGAGGTCAACAAGGCAGAGTACGTCGAGTTGCTGGTCGATTATAGGATCAGGAGGAGGGTGGAGGAGCAGTTCGCTGCGTTCATGGAGGGATTCGGCGAGGTTGTGCCGTTGGAGCTTATCAAGGTGTTTGATGAGAATGAGGTAGAGCTGTTGATCGGGGGAATGTCAGAGATCGATATGTGCGTTTCTCGTCCTCATTGTCATCCTTTCCCTGCATTGTGGCCGGTGCTGACGGTATCACGAACGAAACGAATCTAGGGACGACTGGACGAAGTTCACGGACTATCGCGGCTACGCCAAGACCGACCAAGTCATTTCCTGGTTCTGGGAGATCCTCCGTTCCTGGCCAACAGAGCGCAAAGCTCGTCTCCTCCAGTTCACGACCGGTACCTCGCGTGTGCCCGTCAATGGGTTCAAGGACCTGCAAGGCAGCGATGGACCGAGGAGGTTCACGATTGAAAAAAGCGGAGATGTGAATGGGTTGCCGAGGAGCCATACGTGCTTCAATAGGTTGGATTTGCCGGAGTATAAGGAGAAGGAGAAGTTGGAGGAGAGGCTGAGGTTCGCGATCGAGTGAGTCCTTTGAATTATTGGTGGTGTCCGATATGTCCGCTGACCACGCGATGAAATTGCAGGGAGACTGAAGGGTTCGGTGTCGAGTAGGTGCCGCCGCCACGGCAATTCTCCTTCGGCTCAATTATCACATACACGCTCTATCCGGTTCTGTTCCCTGCATTCTCTCCCTCTAAGGCTTTGTACTCCATAATAATACCTCCGATCTCCTTGGCTGTCTCTATAGAACTCTGTCTCCACCATCTATCTTCTTTGTATCATACACCCGTCGTTCCCTCATTATGGTCCCTTTCGTCTAAGGACAATTATATCAGTCCCCTTTCGTCTTTATACTCGTGCTGGTATTTGCTTTATTACAATCCATTTTAATTATCTCTTTATCCTGCTTCAGTCTTCGCTCCAGGTCGGCGCCTTCGCCCCTTTTATCCTACTTGTTTCACGATCTGCTGCTCTGTAGCCCGGCTCCCTTTGAAAGGCCCCTTTCTTTTATTCCTTTGCGCGCCTGCTACAGGTTGCCTATGTGTCCCGTTCATGTCGCGTTCATGCGTGCCCACATTTCATTCTATCGCGTTTTCGTTTTGTTTTGCTTCGCCGCATCTTCGCTGCTTCCTCCTTTTTTTTTTGCTTGCTCTCTTTCATCTTTCTCCTCTCGCTCTCGGCCTGTGTACTGTCTTACTCTGCCTTCTGTCTCGTGTGATGTTATTGGTGCGAATATAGGCTCGCTTTCTGTTTAGCCGGGGATTGTCGTGTGACGCTGGGCGCAGTTGTGCCAACGTTGATCGGGTTTACTTGCTATGATCCTAATCATAGACCTGAGCATCAACGGGCCTTGCTAGCTGCCACTCACGCGGATCCCTATTTACAGACGTGTCTCAACTCAGTTCCTATTCGCACTTTTGCAAAGCTATGGGCTCTAGGTAAGGTAAGGTAAGGGAGATGTCGAGAATAGGAGGGACGGATACCGAGGTCTCATTTTGGACTGCCGGCGAGATGGAGCAACACAACTATGAGAGTATTGGGAAGGAAGGAAGGAAGGAAGGAAGGAAGAAAGAAATATGTTATGACGATTATCATTGGAAGGGTGTTACGAAGGCTGCTTGCAAACGTCAAAAGAGTGTGCCACAGACGACAGTAGATACTCAGCAGCACATAACTGCTCAGGTAGTTGGCAATGCTGCCGAACGAAATGGTGTCAGGCATCTTACTGCGCTGGCGAAGTTGTCTCCAATGGGAACAATTCCATGTCACGGACGCGATCTCGACTCCAGCTCTAACCGTGCTCTCGCAACCCTCAGCTCCTCCTGTAAAGTTTGTTTCTCCGATTTGAATGCCTTCTCCGCATCCTCTCTTGCGTGATTCATCAGTCCAATCGTCCGCTCCACACCGCGCCACAAATCTGTCGCCTTCACTCTATCTTCCTCGTCTTCCGTCTCCCACCGTGTTGGGTCGCGTATATAATTACATTCCTCGCAGCATTCGTCGACGGTGGCCATTATTTCACATTTCCGCGGGAGTAGGGGGTATAGAAACCGGCATATTTTCTCTATATCCCCACTGGGGTCCGAATATCCAACCCAAAGGTGCGCAAGGTGATTAAATCGGGCGTCGGCGGATGGTAGGAGAGCGATGCCTGAGGTGCGCAAGTACAATGCCAACTTTTTCATATTGGGGCAGTGCAGGGCGAGCGAAATGATACTGGGTAAGGTGAGCGTGGGCTTGGGTGTGAACATAGGGTATGCGGTGAGCACCAGCTCCTCTAATTGCGGAAGACTTGCAGCGAGAGACTCGAGTTGGTCGTCCGTTATCGTGATAGGACGGAAGTAGCGAATCGTGAGTGCCTTCAAATGTCGAAGACGCAGGACAGGGCTGATATCTATGAAGTCGAAGACAGGCAAGGGCTGGGCCAATTCTTCAGTATGGATGTCGACCATGGAAAATCCGAGGCGTTGTAGGGAATGGAAGGAGTCCGCGAGAGACTGCAGGATTTCCCTGAGACGTGAAGGGGTTTCTCTGAGAGGGCAAGGGACATTCAAGATAATAGATGTCATAGACGACGCCGGGAAATGGGGCTCTTCGAGGAGTCTCCGAGCTTCAGAGAGGGAAGCCCCGAACGAGATGGATTGCAGCGACGGGAATGCTCCTTCTTCCAAAGGGACATAAAAGCTGTCAGGACAGTCGACCCATCCATCATTATCAGAGATCGAGGACGACAGTACTCGGAGCGAGTTGAGGGCGGCGAGGGGCTCAATGATAGAGGAAGAGAACATGGTGGGCGATAAAGTGACCTCTTGAAGACGTGGGAGGTTTTCGAGAAAATGGAGAAGGTTTTCTTGCATCCTGGCTTCGACAACGGGGATATCAAGGTCAAGAGTCGTAAGATTTGGCATTCTCTCAGATACATGCAGCGCTAATTCTTCGAAATTCATTTGTGGGGGTGAGTGAGGGGAGCTGAAGGTGACAGTGAGCGCAGAGATCGAGTGATGCATGACGATAGGACCAAATTGAGGCCCTGAGTATGAATCTATCTTAAGTGATAGAAGCCTTGGAAATAACACTGAAGGAGGCCGAGTGGACATGATCTGAATCATTGCACTCCTAGACCAACGTATCGTCGTGTTGCTACCGTCGATGTGGCGAACACGATGGGAATTGCTCACGATGCAATCCCAGACATCTTTGGTTAGAGTAGACGAAAAGCTCTATATCTGATTTTTTAGGGATGTTCTGAAAAAATCTCCAGTATATAACTCACCATTTTTCGAGTAACAGGGTCTGAGACCGTATCTGCGAACGAAGCCAAAGCACTTGTCCAATCGTGCAATTCTCGCCACACTTCGTCAAGAGCCCCCTCCCTCCACGCCTTGCATACTCCAGCATTCCGGGCATTTGACCGACGGTCAAGCAACATAAAGACGCGAAGAAGTAATTCCTGTGGCAAATTTTGGGCATGAGAGGTCGCCATGCTTGTTGTCCAGTTGAAGTGGTCAGCGGTGAGATGGTTGGTGACGCTCGGAGACGGAGAGTGATGCCACGTTGAACGTCCTATCTTCAACACCAAGGTCTGCCTGTGTGAGACTAGAGAGTGATAGAAACAAGGAAACAGTTGTATTTGGGAAGCTGGACACGCGAAAAACGCACGGCCGTTGCCGAGATGGTAAGAAATTCAACGCTTCAGCTTCAACATTCAACGTTCAACACCAGTGTCGGTGCCACACCTCGACGTTCACACACCGCTTTCATTGCAAAAACCAACCAACACAACTGGTACAAACAAGAAAGCTCAAACAAAAGAAGAGGCGTATCAAGGGTATATACCACCTTCCCTACTGGCAACTCAACCCACTCTGGATACTCCACCCATGGAACCCGATCACTGAGGCAGAAGACCGCGCGAGTATGGACTATGGACAATGAGAAGCGAGTCGACGGGAAGGTAACAGAAAGTAAGTTCCAAAACAAGAGACAAGGGGATAAAAAGGGGTGGTATAGCATCTAGCACACTACCTGTCGAATTGAGACTATCGCTATAACTATAGGTATAGGTATGTGATAGCTCAGAGCTGTGCAAATATCGGAACATCGACACCGACACAAACAAAAGGATAGAGTATAGAGGGATTGGGTGGAGCGATCGACACCAGACACCAGAAGAGGGGGGACAGCAAGCGACCCTTATAGCTACTTCTGTGGAAAGCTGAAACCGCGATAAACAAAACACAGGTATAGTATAATAGAATAGAGGTGCAATATGTGGAGCTGAGCACTGTGATCGTGAGTGCTAGCGCTATTGCTAGTGTGCAATGCGGAATACACGGAAGGAGGCCAAGCCAGGGGATTATTTCGAGGAAGAAGGAAGAAGGGAATCACATCCAGGAAACCACGGGGGAAAGCGAAGGGAAAGGAGGGGAGGAAGAGGGAAGGGAAAGGAGGGGAGGAAGAGGGAAGGGAAAGGAGAGGGAGGAAGAGGGAAGGGATACCCGAGTCGAGGCGAAGAACCAATCAATATACACTATAGACAACTGAACACCGAAAAGGACAGAGAGGCAGGGATAGATATAACCTTGGTGCTGACGCAAGTCGACCGATCGGCGTAGGACGACCGGCCAGCGAGCGAGCATCGACGGAGGTATATAATCGATAACAATAAAGCAGATAAGCCGGACCAAAAACCGTTGAAGACCGAGGGAACTGAGGAGGGCGAGTGGTTGAAGTTACAAGACCGGAGGAGTGGTCGAAGGACTAGTGAGTGGACATATGGTGAGTGCATAGCTCGGCGGATAGGTGTGTGGATGGACGGATGTGCAAGCAGCCGCGAGGCTTGTTTTCATCACCTTCACCCAGTCCTCACCTCCTCACACTCAATCATTCCTCAACCCATTATACGCAGCCGGTGGACTCGCCAACCCAGAACTGGCCCCCAACGCAGGCGACCCAGTCCTCCTCTCCGCATACGCCTTCAACATATCGTCCGGCGACGAGAAGCTCGCCAGGGACTGCATCGGCATGAACGCCTGCGTAGGGCTTGACACGGTTTGCGTCGGGAACGCCGAGGTGGGAGACGCGAAGGACGCGAAAGCTTCGGTGGGAGACGCGACGGTCGGGATAGTTGCGTGTATGGGGGGAGGCGAGGCCGGCAGTTGGTAGGACATAGAGAGACGCGACGGGTTGGACGGGGTACGGGTCATGCTGTAGGCATGATTATGGCTGACGGTGGCGTTGACGGAGCCTGAGTCGTACGAGGCAACATCGTCTTGAGAGTAGTTATTCGCCATCACTAGAATCACAGTCACGACAAATGAGTACAAAAACTTTACGGAAAACCGCGTAAAGAGATAAAACTCACTCTGCAACGCCGGTCCTACATCACCCTCCTCCGACGCACTCATTCCCCCATTCCCACCCACAACCGACAACCTTGCATTAATATCCTCCACACTCAACGCCACCGGCCCACTCCTCTGCGTCGGGCTCAACACCGACATCTCCGCCGAATCCTGCCTCTGCGGCACAGGCGGCACGACAACGCTCGTATGGAACGCTCTACTCGCTATGCTCTTCCTGCTCGTATATTCCGAGCTCGGCCTCACGTCCGCCGCGAACGACACCCTCGACATCCTCTCGCCGCTCGTCGGGTTCGCCGTCCTGAGACCCGTACCCGGCCGGAGCTGCGACATCGACTTCTTGTTCGCGTGCATGCCGCCGAGACCGGTCCCGTTGCTGAAGGAGGTGAAGGAAGGCGCTTGGCCGTTGCTAGGGTCCGTACCGAACGAATCGCGAAGTGTGGTTCCATCGGCGTCGAACGTGCTCGGCGGACGAATAGCGCCGAACGAGAACGACGAGGCGCGGTTGCCCGGGACGGCCATGCTGTTGCGGATAGCGGCCTGAGCACCAGAGGGGGTCATCGATTTCCAGTCGGTCGAGATCGTGGACATGCGCTTGTCGATGTGTTCGCCGTACGCTCTGTGTTTCTCCTTGTGGCGCGCGCGGAAGAGCTTGAACCAGGCGAGGAAGATGAGGGCGCCGACGACGAGGAGGGGCATGATCACGGCTGCTGCGATCTTGCCGCCAGAGAGACCGCTAGAAGTGGTCGGTGCGTTGTTGACCTTCGTCACCGTCGAGTCGCCGCTCGTGACAGCAGCCGCGGAGGGGGTCGAGCCAGATGCCGATGCAGTATAGGTGCCTGTGAAGACAGGACCGGCGGGGAGAGTGGCCATGGCTGGGAGGGTGCCGGACTCAACGATGGTGAGCTGGAGGGAAACGGAGGAGGTCGAATTCCACCATTTCGGCTCGAGGTAGGTCTCGTAGTAGCCGTAGGAGTTGTAGACATCGGTCCACTTGTAGATCTGGGCGGTGTCGGCGGCGGGAGCGTTGAGATAGATGTCGACGTTGGTGCTGTCGAGGCAGGTGGTGTCCCAGGAGATGTTGAGAGCCGAAGTGTATTCGATGGTGTCGCCCGAGGAGGGTGAGAGGTAGAAGCCGCCGGTGGAACAAGCTGGGAACCGAGGTGTTAGGTTGTGAAGTGCAGGAAATGGGATAGACAAAATGGAACAGGCAAGACACTGTAAATTCCCGCACACCGATAGATCCATATGCCATCAAGTTATGTTCGTCAAAAATCGATCATGTCAATCTGTCTCACTGAGACTGATGAACCCTTGCAGGGTTGAAACGTAGAATGCATCATGGGATACTCTCTCTGCGTTGCCCAAGAAACTGAGAACAGCAGCAGATAATAATACCATTTCGCAACTCTGGATGATGAGGTGGAGCAGGGTACACACTAGTGCTGATTTGTGTGATCAGTGACAAACGGCGAAAATAGCCGCAGGTTCCCGTCGGGATAAGCGAGCATTCGGGCGCAGGTGCGAGCGACGATGTAGAGTACGAACTCACAGAGCCCGCCGGTCGCTCTTCTCACTGGATCTCCTAAAGATGTTACACCACCATGTGCACATCGACATAATAGACGTCCGACCAGATTTAAACGCATTGAGATGGAATATCACTCACAGGAGTCAGCCCTTTTTACTTTACGGTGGGTACCACCAGCATGTCCTATCCTGAACCCCGAGAATGCAGAAGATCCGGTCATTTTTCCTCTGGTATTCTGCGAGTTTGGTCAAATGGCTTGGCGGTATTGGGAGGTAGGAGATGATGGTCGTCGTCCGAGTTCTTGTGTTGGGTGATGATAGGTAGTCGTACAGATCCGAGAGTGAGAGAGATAGTCTTGAAAAGAACGTGTCCGCGAGGAGGGCGCGGCGGAGGTTGGGAATGAATGGGGTGTAAAAACAGCAAGAAATTCGGAGGACGGGGGCGACAGGGAGGAGGGGAGCGGAGGCGACGGTGGGGAAGGCGACGGGGCGAACGAAATCCGTTTGGGGAACGTCCCCGCCGACGACCCACCATCTTCCCACGCTAGTAGCGCCTTGGCACTCCTAATGGTGTTGGGCAACCCGGCGGTATGGGAGCGTGGTGTTTGGCCTTATTTGGCTACCACCAAGTTGGGCTGCGAAATGTTGTCCGTCAGTCGAGCTCGCTTTTCGGACGGTATATCAAGCTCTCAACACGACCGTCGTTAGGGTATTGATATACAACTTCATGACTGTGTTTCGGTGGAAGGGATTTTCGAGGGCCTCAGTGGAAGTTCAGAAATTGAAAATCTGCCGCCCCAGTAGTCCAAAATATTCAGCAAGACAAATGGAAGAAAATGCTTCCACCTAAACATCCACGAGAGCATGATGTCAAGACTTCATGCAAAGGATAAGTGCTCTGCTCTCTTCGAACGCAGAAAAGCGATCTCGACTGGAGGCTGTGGTTTGGGTGGCGGGACTTGCTTAGTCAGCGTCAGGAGCGTCTCACGCGTTTTCGACATCGCGTTTCTCGCTTTCACAGCGCCTGCGTACATCAACGAGGACGTCCATGTCATTTCTCTGCACTGGTCGACATTTACCAGTATGTAATTGACATGGTGACGTTCGAAATCTTGAGGCTACTGCATTGTACGGCTTGCTACGAGGCTGGCATGTAGCGGCTCTCACCTTCTTCCCCTCCTCACTTGACGGTCGCCGCGACCTCAGGCGAGTGCGTTAACGTAGCATACTAGTGAACGTCCTGTGGGTAGGCTTGTTGTGCAAGTCTTTGGTGCGTAGTATCAGTCTTATTTCCACTATTTCTCTCACCATCTTCCTACATCAGTGTTTGAAACATCACTGTCCTTGAAACTATCTCCAGTAGGTTCTAAGCAGTTTTTGTGAAGCCTGGATACATCTTCTTCATGGAAAGAAGTGTCAATCTTGGTCCGAATGTGAGTAAACTAATCCGTTGCTTATAGGTTTAATCCGTCCATCACCCGTCCGCCTTTCCTTGCGTACCGTAACCTTTGTTTTTGCGTCGCTACTATGGGTAGTAAAGTCCGTACCCAGAAGGCTTCCATGCTTCATCGCCGCCCCACGAAGCGCCAACGTGAGCACACGGCGTCGCTATCTGCGGCAAAACTCCATTCGAAATCCCCCCTCTCTATCGTTTCCTCACCGACGCCACATCCATTGGCACCGACGCCACACTCTTTCCGTGTTGCACCGAGGTCTTCGTGTTCTGAAGCTACTTCACCCCCTCCTACCATCGTAAATCATGTGCATTTCACTCGTCTGTCGGACCTTATGCATCAGAATTCCTCGCTTCTGGAGCAGGTCAATTCACTGAGCTCTGAGAATGCTGGTCTTCGCGGCCGGTTTCTGAATGAGAGTCGCGAGGTCACCATACGAGACCAGGCTGTCCAACGGCTTCAGCGGTCACGTTTAGCAGATCGCCGTGCTCACGACTACCTCCTGCTTCGCCAAACCTTGCTACACAACCTGTTGCGGAATGAGCACCGTAGGTTTTGTCGTCTAAAGGAGCGGAAGTTGAATAGTGAAGAGATAATATCTCAACTACAGGAAAAGCTTGCTGTTCAAGATACTGTACTCGATGCTGTTGACCAGCTCCGATTGGAAGTAGCTGAACGTGCCCGCCTTGATGCCGCACAATCCACCCATGCACTTTCCGAGGCGCGGTCCACAATTATTGACCTACGTGACCGTATACAACGCAAGGACCAACAACTCAAGGCTCTCCGAATGAAGGTGTTGCGTTGCGGTGATCGCAGGGCCACATCTCGAGTTACTGCCCCAGTGTGGATATTATGGAAGAACGGGCACTACACATACACCAGCCGTCGTCTGATACGGTCAATGACAGATGCCGGCTGCGCTCAGAATCGTGTTGGTCCCCTAATGCGAGATTTTGCACACGCAGCAAAGATTCTCATTCAGGGCAGAGTTCCCAGTCGTCGTACAGTTGGACGTGTTCTCATTGAGGGTGGTGTAATGGCCAAAATTCAATTAGCATTCGAGATCCGAAATAGCCCTAGTAACACCATCAGTTCGGATGGCACATCTGATCACGGCCTTGAATACCTGATACATTTTATTGTTGTTTATGCACCGGAGTCATACTCTCATCCTGGTGCTCCACTCCATCATCTTAATCGCATGGCAGGGTTTGGTTCTATTCTGAATAAATCCAGTGACACCCAGCTGAGTGCATGGAAACGACTTCTCTCGGACATGTTTGATACCCTGGATCGCTCTCCCCTTGGTCGTCCCGAGGCTCGGCGTTTTTGTGTTACTGAATTCCTTCGCCACCTGAAAGGGATGCTGTCCGATCATGCGGCAGATCAGAAGAGACTATACCGTCTACTTGCTGCATGGAAGGCTGAGGTCACTCGTGTTGATCTTGGGTGGAATGTGATTCATGAACTTGAGCTCTTGCAAGTAATGACACTGTTCTCGGATATCCAAGAACAAATGGTTAATGCAGTTGGCGGTCAAAGTGCCTGGGACTCTTTGTCACCGTCTGTCCGCGATGAGCATATTTCATCTGGACTGGACTCACTTGCTTTCAAACTAGGCTCTGAGCTCTACCCTAATTTGCCAGCCGATGAGAGGCATGAGATGGAGCTGATGTTTTGGGCGGGCTGCTCTATGCACAAAGAATTGAATGCTGTGAGTGGTGCTGATCAAGCTATACAGGCTTACTGGTCCAAGGCAGGTGTCACCGGACCCATTTTATTAGCAAACAGAGACAATGCAGCGACCATTCGGATCGCTTCACAAGCTCGCGGTGACACTGTTTCAGCAGAGGCGGCCAGACATGCTATTGATGCCTCTTCTCGTGGTGCATGCAAGGCCGGTGCTTTATTTGGTGCATACTGCAACCACAGCAATAGCAAAGACGGCGTACAAGACAATCATCGGGATCATTTCCAGTTTCTGACTGGTATACCTCGACGCTTCCCCGACACCAGTAACATCCGTTATCAGTGTTATCTTGACTCTTCATGTGAACTGTTAGCCCGACGCTTCCAGTATCAAACATTCCTTGAGCTCATGCGTGACAGAAAGACTCATCCTGGGTTCACAAATCTCGAGCAGAATTGTTACAACTCCATTGTTGACATTCCCACTCTTACAGAAATGGCGGCACTGGTTGTACTTGGGAATGCTGTCTGCTACCCCTTCATGCATTATGTTCGTGACCCAGGATCGGAGAAGCTAAATGTCCTTAGCCTCGGTCCAATTCATACTAAGGTCAAAGCCCATCTGCGCAAGCTTATTGCAGATCCTTCACTTGTACTCAACCCTAATGCATCATGGAAAATAGGATGTCTCAATTCTCGGGAGTGGGAGCATGAGGATGCGATGAATGCAGTTTGGGAGCTGGCGCCACAAGCACCACATCTTACTCCAGTAACTGTTCGGTGCCTTCAAGGTGCCCTCGAGACTTGGGAAAGATTCTCTGAGGAATTCAATGAGGGTGGCTTGATTGCTGGCGCGACAGGTGAAGAGCGAGAATTGGGTTTCATGCCATCCACCAACGATCACTCTGAGGGTGGTCTAGGCGAGTTTCGCCGGTGGGCACGAGAAGTGACAAACCACACGGTTGCGCACTTCACCTACCAGGCCATGTATTGGCGCAACAGCACTGAGAATTTTGCTGATGCCAAACTGTGCAATAAACAAGCTCAGACCTTTGTCCGTGGGGAAGCACGTGCCATTGATGCCAGGCATGATGAACGGGAGCGACGACGTGAGCATGTCAAAGAAGCAGAGAGAAGGGCACTTATTGCACGAGCCAACAAGGAGAAGCGAGTCAAGCTAGCTGCAGAAAGACTGGCAAAGTTGAACGCTCTGAAGATAGAGACAAATCTAGATGTTCTTCTACAGATGAAAGGAGCGGACCTCGCTAACCAGTATGCCAAACAACTTCATGTTGGTGGTCTTGATGGTTTTATATATGATGTCAACAACCCTGAAGCAAAGCTACCGATGAAGACAATCTTTGCAAGACGTGGTATTGTGGAGAAGAGAGAGATCTTACGGCGGATGGTTGAATACAGGGCTTCTCGAGAGATTGATGTTGAAGGGTCAAGTATAGACACAGATACCTATCTTTCTGCAGCAGTAGAGAGGAACCTTACTATCAATGACCTGTAGATATCCGCACTCTCCATAGATACTATTTTATCATGTGAAGCCAAGTAACCTGGATGATCACTGAGCTTGAAAACTAGGCGCTGAGAGGTAGGTGTTACAGTCACCAGGAGCAGATTAAACTCCCTCGGAGTTTTTACAGTGCTCTCATGTAGGTATTAACTTAATAGTACAAGTACCCTAGTGCCCTTCCGAGCTCTTGGTTTTGAGTAATAAATGTTGGTAGGGGTGTACCATCAGAAGTGGCGCGTGAGGCGGAGACCAAACAAGACCAAACACCACGCTCCCACGCGCGGGGTTGCCCATCACCACTCCTAAGTGCCACATACCCCGAACATCTTCCGTGGGCCACAATATCGTTTGGATCAAGTCAACCTTGGTTCTTGACCCGCACAACCGCCATCTTACATTAAGCTCTCGTGCATTAAACCTCAGGCCTCGTGAGAGGTTGTTCGGTCACGGAAACTGTGGAATATTCATCGGCTTTATGCTGTCCGCGACCTCCTCCGTTCTACAGCCTTGCAACACACACAATATATCCCCTTAGGATCATCAGCGTCCTCGCTTTGCAGTGATTCATTTTAGCGACGTCAGTTATTGAAGAAGGCACAGAAAGAAAGGGACTATGAGAGAGAGTTCAGACTGTCTGATTGATCGGACTCGCAGTGTGTTATACAACTTCGATACGGCCATATACTGTACATTCCTACACACGTCTGAGGCTTGCTGTGATATACCATACCAATTCTCTTCAAAGCATGCTAAATCGCTACTGACCCACGAACACAGACATGGGCATCATCATCCCAATCTAGAACCGCAATCATGAGAAAACCTCCCAGCTACGGTAGGAGAGACGAGACGTACCACGTAGTTCGGCATGTCAACCTGCATGTAGGTAAAATATCAGGACACGGTTCGAACGCAGCATGTATAACAATGACGCACAACTTCATGCATCCTAAGGTCACCAGCGACGCTGCAAAGCATATATGCCTCTTCCCTCGTCAATTCTTTCTCTGCACAAAGGAACTGGACCATATTCCTCGTCGCTGCTCGGGTGGCTTCTTTGATATCTGCAGCCATGCAAACATCGGTATGTTAGCCCAGCCAATATGCACTCTCGTCCTGGACCACCAGTCCTGGGGAGAACGGAAATGAAAGCGGCTCACCTGAGTCGACACCAGTAGTACAGTAGTACTCTTCGTTATCCGTTCCAGGGACTTTCGACGTCTGGAAGTGTGGCGTCTTCGTGTAGGATTTCGACTTGAGGACGGTGAAACGAAGGGTTATTTTTATGGGCGTTTCGATCGCCGTCCCTACGTTTTAGCAATGCTAAAGTGAGCGCATGACCGTATAACTTTCTTCCTCGAAAGCGATTGGGGGCAGAGTTTCGTACCGCAGACCTCTAGCAGTGCCGAGAGAAAATCAGCCTTTCAACTTTGACATGTAGGAGAATTCGGGCCAAAAGACTCACCTCCATCCCCTTGAGCAGCATGTCCATCCTATCGCACAATCCACACCATTGAGAGACATCCAGCGCTTAGCAACTCCTAGACTCACCCCGACCGAAAACAAAGCTCCTTCCACCTCGACCGGCAAGAACAACTTCGACCCCACCGTAACATGTCTCGTATCAATATTTCCCCCAGTATTATACGGCGGAATCGTCGAAAACGCCCCATCCACGCCCCTCGCCACACCCATCTCACCCATAAACGGCCTCAACCTCACTCTCACTCCCTTCTCCTTACTGAACCACGCATATCCTTCTTCGAGCCCCTCGTCCCTTGAATGCAAATCCCATATCTTGAGCGCGGGGTCGGGGAACTCGTCCCCCAATAGTCCAAACCCTGGAAATATTCCCGTCCAGCCCCAGGGTGCCGTCTGGAGCTCGAGAACCTCGATTTGGAGCGTATCGCCTGGAAGAGCGTCGGCGATGTGGATAGGTCCGGAGACTTGATCGAGGTGGGAGAAGTTGAGGGTTGGGAGGAGGGTGGCGACGGATTGGGGGGTGACTTGGCCGTTGGAGGCGTCGAGACAGTCGAAGGTGACGGTCTCGCCGGATTGGATGCGTAAGATGGGTGGAATGCTGGGGATTGTGAGTGGATTGATAAGTAGGAGATGTCACTGAGGAGTAATGGGAGGCGCGGACCTGTTATCCCAGGCTAGATGGTGTTGATGAGGTTCGACGCTGTGGATCGAGTTAGGCATTGGAAGAGCAATTATGATAGCAAGATGAAATCGAAGAGCTTTGGGAATGGAAGAGAACGAGCGACCTCGATATCGGCCACAGAAGAGGTTCAGATCGTGAGAGCATTTTATGCACGGGTAGCATACTAACGTGCAAACTCCGATACTTATCGGAATGCCGAAGATCCCAGACGTTCGGCCCCTGTCCTCTGGTCAAAGAGAAAAGCTCAAGCATCATGGGAGCTCTGAGCGCTGAGCACGCGTGTGGCAGATCGCACGATAAACCCTTAGCAGTGCACTGCTCCCGGTTCAGGAACGATAATGTGGATGTACCATTCAAAACGGTCAGCACAATGGAATTCGAAGAACAGAGCAGATCACTACAACACAAGCGAACAAGAACAAAGCACACCGTCAGCATCAATGCATCACGACAAGACGACCCGGAACGGATCGGAACCCCCGTTCTCCAGCCCCGCCAAGAACGCCACACGTAAGGCCTCGAGATATCCCTTGAGACCTCGTCCTGCTCCGTCGTAATCAAAGGCATCGGCGACTCCATATCTTGCATCGGCGACGATGTTGGCTAGTTCGAGTGCGTGCTTCACGTTTCTATTATGAAACGCAAGAAAAAAGTTAGGAAAACGTTCGAAAGAACTCATAGAAGGATCATACTCTGGGATCCGTGACCGCGAGTCGAGCAGCAGATGATGTAGACGAACGATCATCTCTGGAACGTAGATAGCTCGGATCCTCTTCAACTCTTGCAGGCGTAAATGACGCTCGGGCGATAATGACACTGCGCGACCGAGAAGTCAATAACTCGAGCGCCTTTCATACGGAGAAAGAGAGTACACATACTGCCAGAAACCTCCGCATCCACGTCCGAGCCCGAAAGTAACCAATCTGTCGTCAACAACGTGATGAGCTGTTCCCGCGCCTGCGTGATCATGTTCTGTTTTCGGGCGACAGGAAAGGAATAGTTAAGCACGGCTCTTTCAGAAAGCATCAAAGAGCGCAATACCTTATAACTATTCAACCAAGCTGCCTTCGATTCCCTACTCAATGTAGGCTCAGCTGCAGCCGTTTCCGCGATCCTATCCAAGGTATCCCAGATGAGGAAGAACTGGCTGTAGTCTTGATACTCCGTTGCTACTTCTTCGGGTTCGCTGATGGTCATAAATTCTTGAGGGAGAGAATCGAGAGTGTGTCGAGCCAGCTTTGTCCGTCCCGCTCCTGGAGAACAGAGCACAGTCGTGTTCAGTTGCACATCATCAAGCGAAGATGAAACAAGCGGCGGGGATGGTAGGGTGAAAGAGAATACAATACTCACCCAGGAAATACCTTAACACAATACACGCATGGCCTAACGCTACGCCAAACGTATCTGCCTGAGCGGTACTCCACTCTAAAGCCCTCGCCAGCGTCCTCTCCCAATCGTTCGGCACAGGCTCTTGTGTCCCTAACATTGAAGGCGACGGTAATGGCAGCCTGATCAACGGAGGTAGCGCGTCCAGCGTATTTTTGATCGTCTCATTAGCTGTGATCACGGCTACGTGTACCGGATCCAGTCCATGCTCGTAAGCACGAGATAGCGCTTGACGGCGTTCGTCTTCTGTGGTGTTTAGATCGAGGGAGGTGAGGAAGGCGGCATAACGGGAAGTTGCGTTGTCACCGAGGGCGGACGCGTATAGAGCGATGAGGTCTCTCTGACCGGCGGCCTGTTATGGATAGATTTTAGATACAGAGGCCAGGAGTGTCCGAAGCAACAAGTGTGACGCACCTCGAGAACTTGGAGATAGGCTTCGAGAATGATTTGGACAGCGTCTGGGGAGACGGAGATGTCGATCATCTGGAGAAAGAGGCATAGGTGGGCGAAGAAGCGGGTCATGGTGGAGTAACTGCAATGCAATCCATGAGAGATGCGCTCTGGGTCGTTTATTGAAGAACTTACTCGGCAGCGTTGGGATCATATGCACCATCGCTCAAATTCTCCGCAAAATGGTCTAGCATCGAACCGGTCTGATCAAGCATGATCCGCAATTGTACTCGATGGAACGGATGGTCCGCTTTCACCCTGAACAGGAGGTGAACATTAACAAGCCTTTCTAGGGCAAAACGACAGATCACAAAAGAAGAAAGCTTACCCATCCTGAACAGGTGCAGTTGACAGTACGGCCAATGACCTCACCATCTCGTCCCTCCACTTCTCATCCAAGAACTCTTCGTCCGACGTATCCATATCCTCGTCTCCCCCGCTCTCCGCTTCCCTGTCACTTTTCTCCACCGCCGCAAGCCCATCTTCCCAAAATCCACCACCACCCAACACCCGTATAGCTTCGTTCTGCTTCTCCTCGAAAAGCACGGAGACTTGAGCCCATACGACGTCTTCCCATGTTCGGCATGCGCTGGTTAAGAGGATGGAGGCGGTCTCGAGTGTAGGACAAAGGGCGGCATAGACTATACGTTCAGCTTCGGTCAGGTGAGGCTGCAAAGGAATGAAGGTTAACACATGCGATATTTAGAGGTGGACAAAAAGACCGTACGTCGTGGGCTGCGCGGATACATGTGGCTTTCCACAGCTTCCTCCGTCTGTTGCCATTCCACATATCATCCTTTGGTGTGTCCAGGTCCATCCCGTCGTTGGAATCATACTCGTCTGCACGCTTCTTCTTCATCGCTGCGTAAATGGGTATCGTCAATGACCCATTTGCGAAAGAGCGAAAAATATCGACAACTCACTTAGAGCGTTCCACTCGAAGGCGATAGAACCACGGATACTTGCTGCTCTCCAGGGTTGATGAGCCTTTTCACAGAGCTCAATCGCCTGCATAGTAGCTCCTGCTCGTATACAAGCATAAATCGCTTGAGACAGCGCTTTCTCGTGACTCTGTGCATGTCACCATCAATATGGCACCAGAGCTAGGAAGACCACAACGGTCCACATACCGCATCGTCTGCTGCCAATGTTTTACCTTCCGTATCTTCCCTCACAGGCGCATCCGGATCCATCTCTGTTACAACGCCACCTGCCGCACCAGCACTACCTGTCCTCAAATCCTGCAAGACCCTATGCTTCGTGAACTTCCAATAACCTGTCGTAGCTTCTGAATATGATGGTGATGGAGCAGAATCTTGCAGCCATTCACGAATGATGTTAAGTTCGGTGAGGGTAGGAGAACATTTCATGATGGCATCGCCGAGGACTTGGGTGGGCGTGTAGGGGTTTTCGGAGAGCAAGGTGCGGGCGGAGGGGGGGTTCGTGACCGGGGTGACTTTGCGTTGACTAGGAAATAATAAAGTGGCATTTTAAGGATACGAATCTTCCGGAACAGTCGATGTGGTCTCTGGTTTCGACATCAAGGGGAGAGTTGGGTGCTCGGGAGGGAGAAACGCACGTCATAAGCTCTTGCAATAACCACCATGTATTCCTTTCCAGCAGTAGAGCACTTGCTTCTTCTGGATCAGCATCCACCCTTTCTCGGAGTTGCTCAAGCCTAATGTTCATTGGCGTACCAACGCACTCCGGTTCGTCAATCGACCTGAACCAACGATACTAAGAGAGGAATTTACGCACTGTTCTTCGCACAGCTTTTGCATGCGTGGCGCAAACCCTCGCTTAGGGGCGAGTAGTTCGAACAAGTCTCCATCTCGAGACTGACCGAACGAAAGGACATCAGCACTAGCCTTGTAGAAATAACCCCAGTCGGACATTGTCCAACGTCGTGAGCGAGATGGTGTCTTGCTCCGCCGGTTTTCCTGAGGGTGTGGAATGGTAGCCTCTTCCTCAGCATATGAACTGGTACCCTCTTCCATAACACTATTGACCGAGAATAGAGAGCGATCTACCGCGAAATATCAGGTCGGTCGAGGGGATAATGTGGCGAGAGGGGATGGTGGATGTCAGGAAACAAAACGCGCTCGCCACAGACGCGTCTTGTTGACTTTGCTTACATAACCATGCCCCCAAGTCCACGTGCGTGCCACAATAAGCAGTTCTCAGCGACATTGTGGCCCAATAGTTGGTAGCTCGTCGACTTCAACTTCAAGGCGAAGGCGAACGTACGATAATGACTCCGTAAAATTTATATCTGGTGACACTTGATAACATACATATAGTATATTCGATACAGGTAGGACATCAGAGAGCACGAAATATTCAACAAAACGAGGAATGGTGGGGATTGTTTATACACGAGAATGGGGAGAAACATTGGAAAATGTAGCCATACTTAGTTCGGCTTCAATCAATCTGAATCCTCGTGTTCTTCGTAGTCGCCGAGGAATTCCTTCCAAGGTGAGATCGCTTCACCGGGGATGGGAGGAGCATCGCTCTTCGTATGCTTCAAAATCCATTCATGCAGCATAGTATTGATCCTGTAACGATCAGACCATCACTTCTCGTCAGTTTTCCGTGCCAGTAGATGCGGTCAAAGGGATGAAGAAAGGGAGAGACTCACTCGCTCGCTGCCGTAATGCACGCATAATGCGTTGCCCGGGGGATCTGCATAAGTTCCGCATCCACACCTTCCTTCGTCAAAAGATCCACCACACGCTCCGATAACTCCAAAGGATACGCAATATCGTTCTGTCCATGGATTATTTTGCTTGGGGTGCCCCTCATTTTCGCAATCTGTTCAGGCGTAAAGGCTTTACTATTTGCGAAGAACGAGATGCAGGTGTTCCAGTATGCGTCGAACTTCCCGGGGCCCCACTGGACGATGGCCGGTGGAATTGCAGTCTTCCATAGCCTACTAGGTTGTACCATACAAAGCAACGGAGGGATTCAGCGCTCGTGGCAGAGTGAGATACGAGGAGTACATGGCAATTCTGAGGATCGAATTGAACCATGGAGGGCGGAATTAAGACAGGGACGTACGTCGACATGAGAGGACTATCAAGGTTATTGAAGGCGAGCTGGAGTGCGCCATAGACGGCATCCTGGACCGCGGCCTCGTCGACGTTTTCCGGGTCCGCAAATCCTTGCACCCAGCACTCGTAGATTTCCTTTCTTCCAGCTATCACGTCTTCGTCCTACAGATGAGTGGCGCAGGGGCCGATAGGCAAGATGAATACCGACGGCTCAGAGAATAATAAGGTACAAAGACGCCGTGGGGGAATTTGAACGAGCTGGGTAACGTATACACATACCTCGTGGTCGGGAACAGGGGAGATGAAGAACTGCGAGAGGACCATCTCCGGATATAACACAGTGAAATGAGCCGCAGACAACGTGTGCATCGACATTGATACAAAATGGCAAGGCGGAAGCTTGACTTTTTGCTATTCGCATTCACCGTTCGAGATGCAGAACAAAAAAAGGAGTACCGGCAAGACACGCAATTAAGTTATTCGAAGATTGAGTGCGATAGCTTCAGAGAACTCACCATAAAACAATATATGTCCTCCGCACAGGCCGTTGGACTCCATGTCGTTGGTACGGGCCCTGAGGTTTCACCGTGGCCGCGTGAATCGATCGCGACAAGGTTGAATCTTCTAAGTTTGGGGTCCTTGAACTGGACTGCATGAGCAAACCAGTCCGGATGAGATTCGTATAGGCTCGGTGTAAATAGAGAGGATACGTACGTTCATATATCTGTTGTCCGAGGTAGATGGCGTGGAGGAAGAGGACCGTGGGCAGGCTCTCATCGATAGCGTCTGCGCTCGGGTTGCTCGGAGTAGAGATGGTGTAGTGCATACTCAGCGGACCAGAGGATGACTGGAGGTCGATGAAAGGCATGACTATGAATCGATCTTGGGAGGGCAGAGGGAGAAGAGATAATTAAATAAAGGAAGAAGGCGAAGACAGAATTCTGAGCAAGGGCAGGGCGGGGAGGACGGGTCGCAAGGTGTCCGCGGGAATCACTCATTCTTATATTTATAAGGATGTCCCATGCTATGACAGCGTGCCATGCAAGCGAATGTCCACACCGAGCTAAAAAGAACATCGGGAGAAGGCTGTATAGTAGCGGAGCCACAAGTCTCTTGTCTGTTAATAACCTGCCATCATCCGAGCAGAGAAAGTACTACCGCAGCCTTGTACTTCAAATGAGCGTAAGTCAAGAGAACAAAGCGAAAATCTCGATCCTCGCCTTCTTTCCATAGAAGTCGTCAATTAAACTGGGCTTTTCAACATCCAGCGAGGTCTGGAAGGAACCTTCCTTCTATCCCGAGGCTCAGATCGTCGATTCGCGTCGGCTCGATGTGCGGCTCGTATTTGTTCCACGGCGTTGGCCCGTCATAATCGCCTTTTCCTGACATCAGTTGATGCTGGATGCTGCCAACCACGGGAGAAGGAAACATCCTGCTCTATGCCGAATGCGGCACGGACTTCAATAAGCATGGGGGTGTTCCCCATCGTGTTGACTATTGGCCAGTTCAACTCTGGTCGGCATCCGCTGGGACCGGCATCGCATTTTACTACGCATGAGTCCTAGATGGTCCGAGAGGTAAGCTCAGCAAACTACTTAGCGAAAGAAAGCTGAGCTCGTCGAAGAATATAATGACTTCAGAGGCAGGTGATGGTCCGAGCGCGAGTCTGCGCGAGTGCGATCTATCGACCGGAGTGACTCGGAAGGACCCGGGCGCCTAACGTACTGGAAACCGCGCGACCATAGAGGGCCACCCATTGTGTCACAATGGAGGACTTATTCGAGCCCAACCCATTGCAGTGGGATTGAAGCTCGACAACTGAGTCCACGTCAAGAAAGGGTTGATAAAGTTCGTAAAAGTCGTGTCTGGTCATAAGTGGGGACATATGTACGGTATATAAAATGCAATGTGGACACATAGGCTTAGAAGGGCCGCGGAGGTCTGTTTCTACATGTGAGGAAGGAAAAGCGATGAAGATAAGAAGTCGAAATGAAACATGCCACAAAGTTACAGTTCTAATCTAATCAATCAGTATCTTCGTCCTCTTCGTAGTCTCCGAGGAAGTCTTTCCACGGCGAGACGGCTTCGTCGGGGATTGGGGGTTCGCCCTTTGTGTGTTTCAATATCCATTCGTGCAGCATACTGTTGATCCTGTAAGGTTCAAGCCAGCCACTTCTCGTCAGTTTCACTCTTTGGAGGGCGCATGAGACCATGAAAGAACAAGACGAAGCGAACTTGAACTCACTCCTCCGCCGCCGTAACACACGCATAATGCGTCGCCCCCGGAATCTCCACAAGTTCTGCATCCACACCGCCCTTCTTCAAAATTTCTACTACACGCTTCGACAGCTCCAAAGGATATGCAACGTCGTTCTGGCCATGGATGACCTTGGTTGGCGTATTCGCCATTTTCGTGATTTGCTCGACTGTGAAGGACTTGCTGTTGGCGAAGAAGGAGATGTTGGTGTTATAATACTCGTCGAACTTTCCGGAGGCACTGCTTCCCCATTGGACGATGGCCGGTGGAATGGCTGTTTTCCATAACCTATATGAGGTCACAAGACACAAATTCAATGAAGATGTTGAGCGCTCAGGTAGGGTGAGATGAAAACAAGTAGATGAATGATTTGGAGGACTGGATGGTATGTGGGATGGAGTCGATAGAAAGACGTACGCAGTCATGAGAGGGTTTTCAAGGTTGTTGAATGCAAGTTGGAGTGCACCCCAGACTGAGTCCAGAACCGCGCTCTCATCGACGTTATCTGGATCCGCGAATCCTTGTGCCCAGCATTCGTAGATCTCCTGTCTTCCGGAGATCACATCTTCGCTCTGTGCACACAAATAAGTAGCGAAGAATGCCAATTAGCATGGGTCCGAAGGATGGTTGAGGATAACAAAGTGTGGCACAGGACGTCAGGAAGAGAAAATGGCGCCGAGGTGGGATTGGTAGGAAGACGCTGAAAAGGATGACTGGATGGCGTACGTACCTCCTGATCGGGAACAGGGGAGATCAAGAACTGTGAAAGAATCATCTCCGGATACATAACGTTGAAGTGAGTAGCAGTCAAAGTGTGCATTGACATCGATACGAAATGACAAGGCGGGAGGTTGAGCTTTTGCTGTCATTCAGTCGTGCGTGACGAAGGATGCATACGATTGAACACTTTGCAGTTGACAGAGACGAAGATAAGGAGCTCACCATGAAGCAATAAAGATCCTCGGCAGAAGCTGCCGGACTCCATGTCGGGGGTATGGGCCCCTGACTTTCACCATGACCTCGTGAGTCGATCGCAACGAGGTTGAATCTTCTCAGCCTCGGGTCTCGAAATTGAACTATAGCCGGAAGATAAATATGCAGTCGGAATATTGAGGCTGGACGCAAAATGATATGGGGAAGGTTGTGGCTGAGGAGTACACATACGTTCGAAAATTTGTTGTCCTAGGTAGATGGCATGAAGAAAAAGGATAGTAGGGAGGGTCTCGTCGATCGCGTCCGCGCTTGGATTGGTCGGGGTGGCAATGTTGTAATGCATACGAAGGGGCCCAGAGGATGACTCGAAGTCGACGAAAGACATAGTGATGTATTGGCCTTGGTGGGCGGGGGGAGAAGAGAGGAACCTCTGAGAAAAGCAGGAGAGGATGTAGATCCACACAAGGGACGAAGAAGAAGACGGCTAGATTGGATCCGGCTTTCATCGTCGTATATATATAACGTCGCCCAAGATTCCGACGGCATGCGCTGAAAGATGAGCGTTGGGCAAGCGAGTGCCCAAGACAAGTTAAGTAAAAAGGAGATGTACGCCGATAGTAGTAGGCCGCACAATAGCTCTAGCGCCAATTGCGCCACAAGGGACTGCTTAGTAATGGCTTGCCATCAGGGCAGATGGAAGCGCGCAGCCTTGTGGCCTTGTTCGTCTCACCTTGAATAAGCACTACCCAGCCGAACAAAGCGATTCTGCACACGGACGACGAACATTTATCCTTTTGTTCAATATCGACCTTCGTTCATCGAAGCATTCGAAGATGGACCGACCTCAGATCACATGCCGCTCACACCTGCGGACTTTCAGCAGACTCAGATCGATAATCGGCTGGAGCGTTGCATAGTAAAGGTGTCACTGGCTCTTGGTATATCTTTTAGATGGTTTCCTCATTGTACTCACCTATATTCATCGGATCAGTTGACGCTGCCTAAAACCGCGGATGAAGAGAGTGCCCTGCTCCTGCTCACTGCCGAGTGCATGGCTACTTCGGTATCGACTCTGATTTTGGCACGGGCGGTGTCTGCCGCGGCTGCTTCTGCCGTTGACAAACCTTTCTTCCTTCCGCCGCGCAAGTTGCTAGGGCGCGTCCGGGCGGAGGAATGGAGACATCGTCTGGTTCGAAAGCCATTACCTACCTGCCTAGTGTGAGGAAGACACTTGCGATTTAAGAGCTGAGTGCATAGCAACTTTTGAAGATGCCCACTTCGTCAATCTAGACGCTCAGGAACATTCTCAACCTCGAGCACTCTTGGCATCGAGGTAGTTGTGTAGGGCGAGGGAAAGATGGTGACCCATAAGAGACCCGTATGGAGGGGTGATTTTGGTATTTATACGGCCGTCATACTGTCTTGCAATATCAGGAGGGGTCTGATCTATCGGGAGTAATATATCATGGCAGAGGGGCTTACTAGTACAATCGTGCAACTCTACATGGAATGCTCGCGAAAAGATCTATCTGCTTATTAGTACGTGTCACAACTGAGCGCAAAGAGACACCCACCTTATGCAGCCCAGCCAAACGCCCTTACCGGAGCCCCATCACACTTTGAAAGCTTCAAAGGCATCAAACTAACCATAACTGTCTTCGTCAGGTCCAACTCCTGTAGATCTTTCAGAGCTCCCAGATTCGTCAGATTTTCTGCGATTATGCAGCCCGCTCCCAATACGACTTCATGTGATCCATAACAGGACCCCCGATAATAGGTGGGAAGGGCTCTCCAAGATTCGGGGAATTTTTGAGATTTCGGACCCTGAGGCCACCCACTTTTTCGGGTGAAAATGGGCCTTTCGGAGGTGAAGGCCACCCCGGAAATTCGGGAGATTTTGGTCCACGAGTGGTTAGGCCTCTCTGGAAGTCGGTCATTTCGAGGAAATGTGGTGTGAATTGGGCGGATCATGTCAATTCTTTCACATAACCTCAACTTTCACATAACCTAACCTAGCCTAATCTAGGGGATAAATCACCAAACGGTGGTCAATCATGTCAATTCTTTCACATAACCTCAACTTCCCCTAACCTAATCTAAGCTTGGCTATCAAACGGGCGCTTGGGAACGAGCTCGAGGTGGTAGGCTAGGTCAGGTTATGATTAGGTTAGGTTAAGTTGAGGTTATGTGAAAGTTGAGGTTATGTAGGGGGTAAATGGCAGATGTGGGTAGGGTAGGTTAGGTTATTGACATGATGGCAGGACACATGCGTGCTTCCTCGCAGCATCTGAGCCGTGAGAGCTTCCAGGAATATTTTAGCCTATTTATGGCGATTTTTGAGGCCTCTCCAGCGATTCGGGAAATTTTGGAGATTTCCCCTAAGGCCTCTCCGAATTCGGGGCAAAATGGCGAAATCTGACCATTTCCCGAGCCGGCAATTTTGGCCAAATCCTGGACCTTCCAGAGAGGCCTTCCCACCTATTATCGGGGGTCCTACGGCGACTGATCCGGACTCATAGTATCGGTCCCCAGGATCTTCACGCCTCGCTTCAGCAGCTCCTGAGCGGCATCTTTCTCGATCCAAGGATGATCGAAGTACTTATTCGAGCCCCAATGTTGATCCCATCCGGTACGGATAAGGAGGGCGATTCCTTTCTCCATTTTACTTTCGAATGGAGCGAGGTCATCCGCCCAGTTGATACTCTCTCGGGCTTTTTTATGAGATAAGTCAATAACAAAAGCCGGGCGGACGAAGGTGCCTAGTGAGAGGGAGTCGATGGTCTGGAGGTGAGGGAAGAAGTGGGAGGGCGCGTCGATGTGAGTTCCGGCGTGAGATGAACATGAGAGTGCATGAACGCTGATTCCGTCGATAGTCAGGGCTTCCAGCCTGAAAGCGGGGTCGCCGGGATAGACGGGGACACGATCGTCCAAAGTGTGGGTCAGGTCTACGAATGGGCCGATGTTTGTGTGTTGCATGATGTTCTAATAAGAACGTCGGCTGAATGAGAGGACAAAAACGTATAAAAAAATAACTCAACCACGTTATGGGGTGGGGGTGTATCGGTGAGCTACAATCGGCTCTATTGGGAAGTCGGGAAGACTGGGTGCCACAAGGCTCTTTGCAATGTCAAATTTACTATTAACCAGGCTGAGATACGCGGGGCGCAGCCAGTACTCTTGCTGAAAAATGGACCACCTCAAGCAAAGGGGACGACAGAAGAGGACAGATGCGACGCTTACGATGATGGGAGGTCTTCAAGATTCAACGCGGCAGGTAAACAAGGAACAACAAAGGCGACGCGACCTGACGCGACACGGTCCACGTGCCACACAATCACAGTCTTCCATCACGGAAATCTGCCGAGTCCTACAAGCTCATATATTTCGTTCGCAAGGTCATATATGTGATCCAATTGCTGAAATACTACTGCAACAAGTAAATTGGGTTATTGTGCTCATTTACATATTGCAAGGTCTATAGCGGAGGTGCCCAAGTTACTACAGGCCCTCGAAATCTGTCCATGGGCTCATTTCTTCAGCTCATTTTGCACTTTTGGGTATCTATTCTGACAGCATAGTCGAGCAACAAGGGGACCGCGGACAACAGCATCATGTATTGAGGGAGCCCACGGGATAGACTGACGCACATGTATATACAGCGGAAAGAGGGCGATACATAAAGCGTACAGGGAGTGGCATACAGGTCGGGGAAGGAACGAAAGTGAATAATTACAGAAAATGTAGTAGACCAGCCATGGTACATGAGCATGCGTAGAGCCGCATGCGAGATGACGACAAGACGGAGTAACACGAGCATCGAGGACATCAATGTCGCGGAGTCCTGAAGAATTTGCCGCATACCACGACGCGTCGCGTGCGACAACATTCGCGCTGCACCCTGATGATATCAACCCCTAGTGCAAAGACGAAGCACAGTGTCTGCTTCGTCTTATGCGGAGGGGATGTAGAAAAAGACCAGAGCATGTACGAAGCGAGAGGCTAACAGAACGACACTGACCGACATCGCCCCATATCTACCGCCGTTTCCGTCGACACACGCTCTTCTCGCTGCCAATCCAAGGACATCGTGTAGCGCCATGTGAAATAAAAAGGCCTTGGGGAGCGTGAGTAGAGGATGATGGTGAAGACGAAGGGGGACCAGCGAATTCTTCAACCTTGGGAGAAGAGCGGATGATTGCGGTACTCGATCGCGAAAGGGATTCAGCTCGAAAATAATGAGTGCGCTGGCTGCTGCCAAGTCCCACGCTGAGTCCCAAACTGCACCTTCTTTGGTGACGCATCGATTCCAGCCGAACTCGGCGGGTCTGGATATGGGTCTCCTGCCAAGCTAATCCAACATTCCGTACGTATCTAAGCTTTAACAACCTGTTTCAGCGCAAATAAGTGTTTTCAGGTGCGATATAACCGCAGGTAACCCACGGCCACCTTATGCCACCATTTATTCGGTGCAATTGATTGTAAGCGTCGGCGGGAATCCGTGATGTCGCTGGCACATCGTCCACGGAAGCAAAACTCGAAGTAGGTGTCCAACTACCAGTACACATCCTGGCTTTTACTAAAGGGTTTTTAGCAGTCATTAATTTCACCGACATATATATCCACTATGCTCAAAAAAACTGCCACACCCAAATCCTTCCAGGAATTTCGCGACCCCGCCTCTCGTCGTGACGCGTCTGGTCGTCTCGTCTCCGTAGCTATTGAAATCGTGGTCAGTGGCACCTCGTCAACAGACCGCCAAGAGCGTATTTTGGAGGTGGATTACTTGATTCCAGTGCCTGAGGGTGTAAATTGGAGGCCTGGTATGACGACCAACGAGGCGAAAGCCTTCCTGAATAACTTTCTTTTGGGACACATGCAGGACGTAAGTATCCAGCTGTGACGCTACGAGATGGGCACAGTATCATTTTTCTACGTTATTCCAGATTGTCCATGATGCAAAACATAGCCAGAAGTGGCACTGCAAGTATTGCGGTTCGTCCCTATCTTCATAACGCGTAGTTTTCCTAGTACTGACCTATAGGGTTCGTGATTCAGAGAAGCCTGCAAGAGAGACGTCCTTGAATGTCATTCCTATCTTTCAGAGCGAATACTCTATGCTCTATCTTCACGTATGCGACTCCTAAATATACACATCACCTCTCAGACCTCGCCGATTTTTTCCCCCGACTGACACCTGTGGGCTCTATTCAGCTTCACCAATTATGTTCCATGGATCCTGGACCCTGTCTAGAAGCCTGCCGACAAGAGAGCCGCGAACTTGCGGAAGGATTCGGTCAAGATCCAAGCATGGGCGATCCACACCGTCGTACAGCTGAAGACGAGTTTGTTGGTCTGTCAGGTAGCTGTGCGTACTGCGAGGACGACGAAACGGCTATGGGCGAGAAGGAGTTGGCACGTTGTGCAGGATGTAGTATTGTCCGGTATGTACAAACTTGGATCTATACACCTTTAGGTTTTTATAAGGTGTCCTCCTGATTATTCGACTGTAGGTACTGTGGGTGAGTGCTTCTATCGTGGTCCCGAACGGCTGGATCTGGCCTTTTATAACAGTTCTGTTCTTCATTCAGGAGGGAGTGTCAAAAAGATGACTGGAAGAGGCACAAGCCACATTGCAAAGCAGTTTGTGCCGTTGACTGGACTTGGCCTTGAATGGGTCCGTGATCGTCGTCGCACTGTGGTACGGTCCTTTTGCAGGGCAGAGGTCTTGCAGAAGTCCGCTGTTCGGCTCTAGTATATTTGCAGAGGGGTATTCCTCTTTCAACACTTGGCCCTCCTTGTCATGGCCCTATATCTCCCTTGTGTCGCAATTTTTACGTCTGTACCATACTTCTCTTTGCATCTGTATATAATGTGGCCCAAAGTCTGAGTGGCACCAGCGCGGGAATTCACGCTGCCCTGGCCCAACTGGAAAGAGTTGGATACCCTACCGACAACTATGATCATCTTTACTCATCGCTGAGCATTGCAAGGTCTGCATCTCCATGCTTATCCTTCATTCCCGAGCCCTTAAGACCTTCAGGTGTTATCGGGTTATCAGCAAGGTCGAATGTATAATACACTTCACACCGCCGACGGATGGGAATTTCGGATTCCCAAAGCTGATTGACGTTTCCTCTTGCTCATTTTCTCCAGAACAAGACACTCGTACCTTAACATCAATCATCTAACTTGAACCCCACTCTGTTCCACCATGCCCAACACCCACTCCACCCCACCAGCCGGCTACGAAGGTGACTGGATTACCCCCTCAGATCCCTCATACACCGAATCCATCGCTCGGTGGGCCGCCAATGCGGTTCGTAAAGCTTCGGTGGTCGCCTTCGTCAAAACCACATCCGATGTGATTCTAGCACTCTCCTACGCCAAGGCGAACGCGTTACCTATCGCCATCCGTGGAGGTGGCCATAGTCCTGCAGGGGCATCGAGCGTTGAAGGTGGTTTAGTCGTGGATTTGTCAAGGTATTTGGCGGGGGTACGTGTTGATGAGAAGGAGAAGGTGGCCTATGTTGGTGGAGGAGCCGTTTGGGAGACGGTTGACAAGGAGGCAATAAAGTTCGGTCTTGCTACGGTTGGAGGAACTGTCAATCACGTATGTCTCTTCATTATACAAAAGCAATTTTCGTATCGTCTGAAACAAAACTTCTATGAAAGACTGGCGTGGGCGGGTGAGATTCTCAAGCCTTGATCATGCCGCTGTGTGTTGATGTCCTCGTCTTACAGACTCGTCCTCGGAGGCGGCTACGGCTTTCTCACAGGCCAACACGGTCTCTCAATCGATAACCTAGTTCAGGTAAGTTAACTCACGTCCTCGTCTTCTTTCCACTATCTCCACCCCTTACCTGCCTAGGCGACTATAGTGACCTCCTCCGGCGAAGTCCTCACCGCATCTGCAACCGAACATCCCGACCTCTTCTGGGCTATACGTGGCGGTGGCTCCAACTTCGGGATTGTCACCGAGTTCGTGTTGCGACTCCACTCTCAGCGGAAGACGGTGTTTGCAGGTATTGTCGTGTATGAGGGGAGCAAGGCGGAGGCGTTGACGCAGGTCGTGAAAGAGTGGTGGGAGGCTGGGCCAGATGGGAGGGATACGATCTTTCAGGGGTTTACAACGGGTCCGGACGGAAATGTGCGTACTCTGGCCATTATCTTTCGTTCGAACGATAGACTCAGGGATACTTGTGTAGCCTTGTGTGATTCTGGTCATGTTTTGGAACGGCTCGGAAGAAGAGGGAAGAGCGCATTTCAAGAAGTTCTTAGATTTGGGTGAGTTGCTTTCCATTCCGCGTACATTCGACGTGCGATCACACTGAAACTATATCGAACCACAGGGCCGATCGTTGATGGCACTGGTGAAATACCATACGAAAAGCTTAATTCTCTCCAGGTGAGTGCTCCCTCCTTAAACTTCATTCTCCTAACCGCTCATTCCACGCTTCGTTCATGACGCAACGTCAACACAGAACGCAAACGTGCACCATGGCTCCTCCTACTACCTCAAGTCCACCTTCCTCTCCACGCCCCAGCCCTCCATCTCTTCCACCCTCCTCTCCACTCTCCACCTCGCCACCAAATCGCATAATCTCCGCATCACCTACTTCTACGAATTCTTCCCCATCGGCAAAGTCCTGTCCGTTCCTCAAGGCGAGACCGCATATTGGAGGGGAGAAAGGGTGAGCACGATGGTGTTTATAGCGTGGGATGCGCCGAAGGACGTTAGTGAGAAGGAGAAGGCGGAGAATTTGAATAAGGTCAGAGAGGTTGCGACGAGGTTGACGGATATTGTATTGAGTGGGGAGAAGAAGGTGTCGCCGGAAGAGAATACGGGTTATGGAAACTATGGTGCGTCGATGTCTCTCTCTCTCTCTCGAATCTACTTGTTTGAATCCCTTATAACTTATTGATTCACTGTTCCAATGATGTGATGGTACAGAGAGCGAAGAGCTTGTGCCGGTCTCGAACAGTGGATTGAGTAAAGCGCAAGCGTTGTTTGGCGGGAACTATGCGAAGCTCAGGGAGCTAAAGCAGAAATATGATCCGGAGATGATCTTTTCGAGATGGTTTGCTATTCCCCCCCGCCACAGCTTAGAGGGTTTGACCCAGTCATGAATACGAATTTGTAAGAATATTTGTTGTACATCGCCATGCGCCAGAATCATGCAGACTTGTCACCACTGTTTATAGACTCCCGCAATATTCTATCCGCTTCTACTCCATGGAATTCGATAGCCGGAACATCCTTCGCCACATCACCTCCAGATCGCATGTCCCCCCTTTGAGACGCATCATCAGTCAAGCCGGCTCTAATCCACAGAAACAATTCCTCGAAGCATCATGGACTTGAAATGCCGCATAGATAATCCTGCGTCGAGCAATCATATCCAATAAGATGGGTTACAATCGAACACCTGAGCCTCCACTCATGTGTCCTCTTCCACACCACACAGCTGCCTCGCTTCTCATACAATTAATCTCGTCGAGTATTAAGGGTTAGACAGCATTGAGGCATTCGCGCTCCGCGATCGTAAGGAACTTGACCCAAGAAGTGCCGCCATGACTTTGAGACCCATTGATAGTTGATCAATCCGACTTCCTGCCCATGGCATCTAATTTTCCCCAATCCACCTTTCGATTCATTCGTCTCTCCTTTCTCCGAATGAAGATGTCATTCAGGTCAGTGAGATGAGCGACGGTCGGCCTTCCATCTGGGCAGACCAATGGTTCGTCTGTCTTGCCAAGATTCCATACGAGCTGCATCGTCACGGGTGTAAGTACAGCTATGAGGATAAGACATAGTGAAAAATGAGAGCGGCGCACATGGTTCATGATACTTTCAGGTAAAGGTTGGCCCTGCTTTATACTGACTCTTTTCGCCCTAACGAATATTTTCTCTTTCTCGTGCTCAGGTACTTCAGGCGCCACACTACACGCCACGCGAGAAAACGATAGGAATGTAGGCATTAGCGAAACACGAAGATTGATGTTGAGACGAAGATTCTACGTACTTGGCTGTATGTCCATTCCCACTCGAACTTGTCTCTGCTTGACTCTGCCTCTGCAAAGCCTTCTGCTCATTCCTCATCATCCTCTCATACTCAAATCTGAAGGTCGCATTATGCTGTTCTACGATCCATAGTGAATCCTTCTTGCGCCTCGAATCTCGTGCTCCGCGACGTTTAGAACTAGATTCCTTCGCATTTAGACGTTGCCCGTCAGGTCGTAGACGAGCCACGACGAATCGTCGATCCAGATGGGCCACAGCAGTCATCTCGCCCCAGTCTTTCTTGTCGATTGTTCGAGAGTACCCAACGAAACCAACACTGCTGCTTGCACTATCCTGTACGAATTACGAAGTCAGCACACATGGAGCTGCCTGCTAAAGCATGACGTAGAACACACCTCAGCTTGTGACGCCGCCGCCACCTCACACCTTACCCTCTCCATATCCTTTGCGCCCTCTTTGACCACCAGCTTAGTCTCACTCCCATCTGAGCCACCTCCTGATATCCTCTTCTTCCGCCTCCTCCACCTTCTGTTCATCCCCTTCAAGTCAAGCTTCAACATCCTCGTCCTTCCTGCACCCGCGTCCTTTTCGTCCACAACATCGACATTGTGCACCCGCTGTTCTATCGATGCCATCGAGGCTAGAGAGCCCATCGAATTCAAGCTCCGAGTTCGTGCCGTCGTGGCTGGACCGAGGAGAGAGGGAGCAGCAGGGACAACGAGCGAGGTTGAGCTGTGAGGGTGCCCAGCGCCAGAATCGGAGTGTACAATAATCCCAGGACGACAAGAGGATCTCGAGTCCTGAACAGGTCTAGAACCGAGACGATGCGCATTCGAAGGCAGGCCGGCGCCGCGCTCGTCGAGGGATAATCTCGAAGCTTCCGAGTCCTCGGCGATGCTCGAGCTCGCGAACGTATTCGAACCACGTTCATAGGTGTTGTGGTGCGGTAAGACGAATGTGTCGCGCCTTTCGAGGGGAGAGAATGGGTATGCAGGATCTGCGCGGCTGAGGAGATGATCTGTCGTTATGCGAGTTGGAGACGGTGGAGACAGTGGATTAGGGTGAGTGGATGAGGCTGCAGAAGAGACGAAAGAAGAGGACGACGAAGAGATGAGGAGAGAGCGTGGTTGCGGTGTTTCGGGGACGATGGTATCCGCATCGCTATGTGCATCTGGCGGAGGTGAATAGTTATTATCGTTATCATGGGTCGAGTTGGCTGCTGGGATGGAATGCCAATCATGGACAGGAATAGCGGAGAACAGGGAAGCGTCAAGAATATATGAAGCACCAGAGCCCCGTTGGGCAAGAGGAAGGGAGAGGATAGGTTTATCCTCAGAGGAGGCACAATGACTTGCATAAGATCCCGTTCGTGCTCTTTTGGGAGTGGGTCTCTCTGTGATGGGTTCCACACATGATCGTTTAGCGCCAGGCGTACTGAAGCAAGGAGAGGGTAGAGAAGCAATGAGAACAGCAGGAGCAATAGCGGGGTGAGCATCCCGAGAAGATGTAGGAATAGAGCTCCGCGCGATCTGCTCTGATCTGGGTGTTACGGCGCGAGGGCTAGAAGGGATGCAGACATCGACCCTTTCCTCGTGATTTACAGGTGATGAGGACATAGACGGAGGGAAAGATACAGGAGTCATCACAGCTCGGACAGATGAAGGGCGAGGAGCTATAGCAGTAGATGGGTGGGGTCGAGAAGAAGGTAACAATTCGTCTTCCTCTGTCTCAGAATCTGAGTCGTGAGAGTCTCGAGAAGGAGAACCACCAGGAAAGATTTGTGCTTCCATAGTGAGGAGGGAGGCGTTTCGTTGTGAATCGATACCATAGCTAAGTTGATGCCGCGTTATATGAGTCTGAGGTGAATTTGAATGTGAAGGAGTTGAGTGTTGTTCGTCGTTTGGGGATTGCATTATTGGCACGAGTTTGGCATGGCATGCAGATGTTTGTTCAAGAGTAAGGCATGCCTTAGTGTGAGCGAGTGTCGAGGAGTGGTCCCTAGACAGGACAGGAGAGAGATCTAGAGAAGGTCCAGACAAAAGCGGAAGGTTGGGGACAGCAGAAGAGGACGTAGGTTCTGCGAGATGGTGACTGGGGCCTTGTACAAGCCGGGTCCTCCCATCACGAACACGACTTGGGCGTGCACTTGTATGGCCGCGCTTGTGGGCTCGGGAGTTGTTGTCTCTGCCTACGTTACTCTGTAGACCTGTTACGAGCCAAGTTGTTTGGAAAGTGCAAACGAGTAAGGAAAAAAAGGACATGGATGTTGAACACGGTGCGGTGGTGTTGCAGCCACGGAAACCGTACCTTCATGTTGCCCGCCCACATCCAATGGATCGCTCGCCAGCTGGTCTTCCTCTTCCATCCAGCCTCCAAGCTCATCGTCATCCATAATATCCATCAAATCTGACTGAGATTGAGATTGAGACTCGGGAGCAGCGGGAAGCGTTGCGACTGGAGGCATTTCTGCGACTGTTGAATATGGACTGAGTTCGACGTTCAATAGCCCGCTAGAACACGGCGAAAGCTTTGTATCTATGCCTTCTGACGATAAGTCGGTAATAAGCATGGTAAGTGCAGCCGCGAGCAGGTGAAGAGTGGTAGAGAACTCCGAAGAGACTGTTCATCGGTCGAGGACAGGGGCCGTGGCGGACGGAGGGGCCGTGGCGGACGGAGAGCCTGATTCCAGGGAAGAGGTTGCCTAAAAACGCCACGGTGGCACTGCCATTCTGCTCTCGCTCAACTCGCTCCCTCAATTGCATTGGTAAAAAACATACAAACCAATGCTGTAGTGTTTTTAGCCAACTTCATGAACGAAGTAGAAACGAACTCGTAATGGTGAGTTTTGAGCATGCCTGCACTCTTAAGTATTGTGGCGGTGGAACCAGTACTCCGTCGGCCCGGAACTTCCCGTTGATCTCATACAGTCAGTCCAGGTCATGGACGTCGTTGATCACGACGAGCAGCTGCATGTCTTCGCCCTCACCTCCTTCAAAGCGCATCAGGCTCGACTCTAGCAGCGTTTCTCCACCTTCCGCGTCCCCAAAAGCTGAACAACACGATGAGGAAATAGTCGCAGATATAGAAGAGGTCCAGGAAGAGGAAGAGGACAACTGTGCTATCTGCTTGCAGTCAAAGGCAGACCGTACGGTCCTCCCGAGTTGTTCGCACGAATTCTGCTTTGAGTGTATCGTGGTGTGGTGCGGTAAGAACTTTGGGTTGTCCTTTCACTTCTAATACTGATCACCCCATATAGAGCAATCACGACGCTGCCCACTTTGCTCATGTCTAATCACCACCCACCTCATACACCACGTCCGTTCGAAGTATGATTACCAAAAGTACTTCTTGCCTCCTCTGAAATCTAGTACGTCTGCTCTTGATCTTCGGCCACTCTCTGCCACTGCCGCTTCCACTTCACAAAACAGGAGGCCTGCTAGAAGAGAGCGAGATTGGGGCAGGAGAGAAAGGGCAGATAGGGATAGGGAACGGGCTGCGAGAGAGGAGAGGGATGCATTGGAGAGGGCGATCGACTGGAGGCGGTGGGTGTATAGGCATGATTTATATGCGAAGGTTCGTCCCAGGTTCTTTCCCTATACCAAGGAGACACGAGTGATTGTTCGTAAAATGCACTGGATCGACCACGAGCGCTTCTCGTGATGAATGATACTTGATTGGCAACCTATGTGTCGTTCATACCTATGTTCGACAGCCTGGAGTTGGGTCTCGACTCAGTCGAATGTAGGTCATCGACGAACGATCGGTATATATGATTCACACAGCTGTCGAGCACCCGCAATACGCTCGAGAATCTGTCCTTGTTTTAAAGCATGATATATCGTATTGTGCATGTCTTGTATTTGCTCTTCTTTCCTGGTCGATGGTGTGGTTTCTGGGACGAATTATGCTTACTCCTCTCTTCACACAGCACGTAGCGTCCAACTCTTACACCCGTTTCCGCTCCCCTCCAACGCCCGCCCAATTCTCTGCATCCCCCGATTACATCCGTCGAGCGACTATATTCCTCAGACGCGAACTACAAGTGTGGCCCGGTCTGGATGTCGAGGTGAGATTTTTGTCTCCTCAATGTGACTATATTTCTCGTTGCTGAACTTGCGGACCCCGCTTTTTCGCTATTCTTTGGATGGCTTGTTGCAGTTCTTGACGACGTTCACCGTCTCACTCATGAAATCCATCGACATACGAGCGGAATCCGCCATCAAGCTTCTCGCAGAATTCTTAGACATGGATACTCCATACGTCGACGGAGGCAGGCACACCAATGCAGAACATTTCGCGCATGGTAAACTAAACTCCTTTCTTGAATGCGGTCCCTATCACTCACCGAGACACTGGTGGATCGACAGAGCTCTATTCCTACCTCCGATCACCGTTCAATGACCTCACAGTATACGACTCAGTCGTCCAAGTAAGTCCACTCCCTTTCCTTTCTCATCTAGCTCGTTTATTAGTATCGTGAGCTAAAACTCTAACGCCGCACTTCTTATCTTACTTCTTACGTTACAGTACGATAGTCCACCAAATGCACCTCCGCCTCATCAAAACCACGGCCAAACGACTCGCGCTCGTTCATCGCGACGGCGCGCATCTCCCTCCCGGTCACGGTCACGTACTCGAGAATCATCTCCCGTCCCCCAAGCATCAAGTTCACGTCGACGTCTGCGTTCTCCCTCCCCACGACCTCGTCGGCGATCTCCTCCCCATCATTCTCATTATACGAACGGTCGGCAACTACCACTACCTCAACGCGACACCCTAGTCTGTCCGCCGAGGTCTCCATCCCCCGAATCGCCGCGATACAAGAGAGATGGGTCGAGTGAGTCGGATATCGATATGGAGAGGTTGGAGGAGGAGTTGGAGCAGTTACCTCCTAGTCACGGCCATGGCCGTGGACGTGTGGATGGATATGAGGATGGCAGGGTAACGGATAAAAGGAAAGGAAAGGAGAAGGAGGACGTGATAGACTTGGATGATGCGAGACATGGAAGACGAAGAGCTGGAGAGTCGAAGGAAAGTAGAGGGGGTAGGAACGAATATCGAGGACGAAGTCGGAGTAGGGAGAGGGATGCTAGGCGACGTCATTCGAGAAGTAAGAGTCGAAGTGGGGATCAGAGAAGGGCGAAGGGCCATAGTAGGAGCAGAAGCCAAGACACGGAGCAGAGGGGTGATGTGGAGAAGCATGCCGGTCACGTCAAAGCAGGAATGAAGGCTAAGGGGAAGGAAAAGGAGCGTGCACCAAATATCGACGACCGGAAAGATGTCGATGACACAGACATGGGGAAAGATGGACGCCGATCCCCTTCTCCATTGCCTGGCGAAAACCAATCGCCACTCACAATACATAATATGGATGAGGGAAAGGGCAAGGTTCCGTCCAGCGTTAAAATCGAGCGGGTCGGAACTACTAATAATGTTGAGGTGCAAGGTATGTGATGTTTTGCCTGTATGATGTCTTGTCTTTGATGTGTTTTTGGCGTTCGAAGATGTCGAGCCACGGCCTTTAGGGCTCTCTATCAAAGGCCAGGCTGGTGTCGACGCGAAATCGAGTGGAAGAACTTCAGAGTCAAACATTCGAGGTAAGGGCATCATACTTTGTTTCTGCTTCTTTGTGTTTGAGAGTCAACCACGATTGAACTGGACTAACGAATCGTTTCATATGTCAGAATCTGGTACCACTCTTCCGCTCTCCGAACGCATACGATCCGAAATCGAAGTGCGCCTATCGACGAATAGACCCGCCACTCGTACCATCACTCGTGCAAGGCCTCAGTCTCTCCTAGCCTCTGTGCAAGCGCATCTAGGGAAAGCTTCACAGCCCCAGCGACCGTCAAAGTCAGTCGAGTCCGCGGCTAGTCCTTCCGCTAGTGCTACCTCACGGAGAGCAGTCTCTCGCACGGTTACGAGTGAGGGGGACAATATTCCTTCACTCCTCCTTCGCATGTCCGACGACGTCCCCGATATTCTAACGCCCTCACAGAAAGACACCCCGTCTGCACCATCGACACCGGTCATCGAAACCGAGCGCATACGAATGTCTGCTCCCTCGATTATGGCACGCACGCGAGCACGACTAGGGCAAATGCGCGCGACTCCCCCAGCCCCCTCTAAACATCAGCACCCTCCTACGACCTCCAACGCCACTCAATCGGCGACTACTTCTTCGAATCAACTTGGCAACCACGACAGCACGGAAGTAGGAGTTGTCGTTACGCCGGATCTAAGCCCTACCCCGAAAGGTATCGAGGCTATCGAATTGTCTTCTCCGTCTACCCAATTCGGTGGCATCAATGACGATATCCATCCGCTTCCCTCGGAAAACATGGACGCCCATAGTACCATCGATGAAGGTGAAAAGTCGGATGCAGAAATGGCTCATGATGATGATGATGATGTCAATCCAGATCGTCGTTCGGATATGTATACCACCTTGCATCCAGATGGTGGTTATAACCATGGTAAGGGTGGTTCTCCGTGTCTTCAAAGTTTCATTCGTTGTGTTTTCAACCATCACGGCGTACGAAAGGGCCTTCGAGGTGGATGTTGAACGGGTCAGACGGGTACGACGGGTAACTAGGTAGTCGTCGTCCTTTGCCGCTACCGAGCTTCGATGGTCTCCGAGTCTACCATGACATGCATCTCATCCTCGACTTGCGCTAGTTCCCATTGTCTACCTCGGCATCTCTCTGATTTGCTTCGAGCGCTCAGATCTGGTGGCCGAAGGTTGTAATACCTGTGATTGTCGGGCGCGCATTGCGTAGTCAGGTTCGAATGGGGAGTTGTTCAACATTCAGCCGTTCCAGTATTCATTCATCTTCCGTGCAATGATGTGCGGCGGGATGGCGGCCGAATGGCGTTCTGTTGCATCGGTAGCAGTTTTGTCATCCGGCGGATGCTACTGGGACTCTGTGCATCCGCGCTGCGATCCCGAACTTTATTGACCGTTCACTGTGGCAACGGCGTTCTAACAAACCTACCTTGGCGACAATATACCCAGTTATGGAGCATTCGCTCTTCAAGACTGGTGCTGTCTCTGAATGTCGACAATCAATCGAAGTGCTTCTCTTCTCCCTCATCCTTGTCGACCATAAAGTTCAATTGTGCACAATTGTCGCCAGGTTACTCCTCAATTAAGCACGGGATCAATTGCCGATGTATACACTTTACTGACTGCTTGATCGGTGTCCTTTCTTCTTTTTGCAGAGCCTACGTCACCGCATTCAGCGCCGAACTCAACGTCGTTGAACTTAGTTCATGTCGGCAGCACACACTCATCATCAAGCTTAACGTCTGCAGCCACGACTCACAGAACACATATCGAGTCTCACCCTCATCATGCATCCAAAGACTATCGCACCCGGCTCCTCGCCAAATTAGCTGCAGAACGCCAAACCATCCCATCTCCTTACACGAATGCTCACGATCCGACATCACCTACACCTCTATCTCCGTCTGCATCTTCTTCCCCATATTCTTATCCTTCAGAACCTGCTTCTCAAAGGTCATCCACATCGACACGAGTAGGCCTCGACCGAGGCGAGACTTCGGGAAGCGGTCGAAGCTCTCATGATGCCTTCGGCGAGACGGGGGGTCAGAGCATGGGACCTGTTTCTATGGGTACCGCGCCCGACGGCGTTGGCACTAATAATGAGGCGCGAAAGGATCGTCTTCATCCAAGCTGTCATGGACTCTCTACCGGAACTCCGAGCCTTATAGAGGACGGTCCTGGTGCGAATACGAATAATAAGGTAGAGAGGAGATTAAGGGCGCAAGCCCAGTTGAGGGTTAGACTTGAGGCTGCGAAACGTGCAGCTAACGCCAATGCTGTAGCTGGTCACGAGCCACAGCCGAGGAGTTATACCGACAGTCGTGTTGAAGATGAAGAAATTAGGAGCACACGGGAAGGAAAACTGCGGGAGGCGCTGTTAGCACGGAACAGAAGTGGGGAGACGATACGTAGCTAAAACTGGAGGCCGTCCGCAGAAATGTAACTACTGCCGCGCACAGCTGTGCTGGTTTACTTGTCAATGGGGGAGAAGATGTTCATAGATATCAACGAAGGTGACCTCGGATGTGTCAAGATGATTGGATATCTCTATCACCTCAAATGCAACCGTCGCAGTTTAGGTAGGATAGGCGCAGTGGGAGGCTGTGATACCTACGACAGAAGAGCAAACTCGCGGAGCCTTAGGGAGGTCATTGACGCTTTGTGAACTCGGGATGTTTGCGGGTCTGAAGTAGCTGACGAAGGACAGGTTTGTCTTCATCGACTGATATATACTCGTCCACTGGCACGTACTTTTTGGGCCACAGGGGCAACACTAGCTGAACGCTTTGGACGCCACCCGGGAGACGAAAGTGTATAGGACTCGTTACGACAGAGATTCGGGGCTTTTAGCATTCCGTTGTTCTATTAATCACTCGACGTAGTACGAACAAAGTGACAGCTTCGAAGGAACGTCAAGGCACTGATAGATCTCATCACGTTCAAGAGTCACAATGACTTACACAGACTGCGTTGGAACTCGGAAGAGTCGATGGCGATAAAGCTCAGAGGACTGAGCGCACGGGATGAGTCAAATTTAGTTGCGATGATGGACCGATAAATAGTATTATAGAACAAAGCAGTGAGTGAGGTGGAATTACGTATTGTATACAGAGAAGGCGATGAATTGTACGCAAAGTGGCAATACAGCAATGTTCAACTTCAGGCGAAATCCAACGGTAGAGAACACAGGGATCATTAGGGTATGTCGGCAATAGCTGTGCAAGTCGACGGGCCACCGAACAAAGCAACACGGAGTTTGGGGAGAGGAAGGGAAGGATATGATGCCAAAGGACGGACGTGTGAAAGAATGTGGCGAACGGAAATTAAGGAATTACTGGTAAACAGTTGGTGTTCAACGTGCAGCGGATAAGGTACTTGGCCATACGGCCATTATATGATGTAGCGTAGGAATTATAAATGGAGTCCAGGAGTCTGACGTCAGCGGTGGAAAGACAGTGAGGATATAGAACGGGAAGACGGTGGAAGGGAAGTAGGGATATGGACAGAGGGAATTATGGATGTGGGGATAATGATAACGACGACAGAAATAGTAGTAAAGAGCGGGGAGTCTGGATGCATGGAAAAAGAGTGGCATACATACAGAGACGAACGGCAACAGAAAAAACTTGAACACGAATCAGTATAATAACGTCCCGAAGTGGGAGAAAAGAGCGTATTAAGTCCAAAGACGGGATTAGGGATGACAAGGCAAAGAACGGAAGTGAGAATACTATTATACCAGAACAGATAGAGACGGCGGCAGAGGCGGCGGGCTCGATTATTCATGTTAGATGGCATGGAATAACGTTCTCGTCGTAAATAAGGCGTGAGCGAGCGGGTTGTATGAGGGTGCGTAGAGGGTGCAACGTGTAGACGTTCTAAGTGTCGCAGAGGTGCCTGGCTCGTTCGTCAAGGGGCATGAGGTTGTTGATCTCGGTCATGAGCATCGTCGTCGCCTTCGCCGGCCCGGGGAGTCGGGGAGCCTGTGGAGGGCCTTTCTTCACCTGTACCAACGCTGGAGGGGCCGGAAACAGCGTCGTTCGCAGTTTGTGCATCGCGCACAGGGTCAAAGCGCGTCGTGCGAGCGGGAGGGGAAGGTACACGTGGATCATACACATTCGAGCCGGGATCACGGAACGTGTATGTGGAAGGCCCAGCGGAAAGGGGAGGAGAGGGCGCTCGCCATCCGATGGGCGAGTCTGTCGGACGAAATCGTGCTAGCTCTAGTGCAGATCCTGAGCCTGGTGGGGTAGGCAAGGAGTTAGACGCGTACTGTAAGGAAGCGATAGGGGAGAACGAAGACGCTCCCAGCTGAGAGCCAGACGTGTGCGAGTACGATGGAGGAATATGGAGACGAGGGAGAGTGCGTGACGTGTGGGAGGAAGAGCCTGGCAGCGAAAGGGAGCCGCTTCCAGGAGGGTGATGTGTGAAGGGAGAATCGTAGGGGTGATGCATCGCGGACGGCGTGGAGGGAAGTGTATGAGCGGGCAAAGGCGGAAAGCCAGAACTGGCTCTTCGGCGGTGCGCCATTGACTCGTCGAAGACCAACGGGGGTAAATGAATGGGGTATTCCTGTGAGGGTGGATGCATTCCAAAGCCTCTACCGGCATGCGGGCTGAGACTCTGTCCGCGACCGCGACTGGAACCAGAGCTTCTCCTTTCGTGAGGCGACCATCCTTCAACATTCCATGGGGCAGCCAAGGGTCCGGCTTGCGCTGGACTATGGGAAGTGGGGGAATGATAAAAGAGGGATTGGAGCTGCGTGGAGGGCCCAGGGACGCCAGGTCCGGAGAGATACGCACTAGACTCAGGACGCGAGGTGGGGTCTAAGAGCTGTGACGCTCGTTCGGGATCGGGGTTGGGATGTTGGCTACCCGACTGGGTAAAGGAGAACGAACCGAAGTGGGAAGGCCCTGCTGCGAACTGAGAGCCGCTCGGATCCGTTGTGGAAGGTGCTGAAGAGTAAGGGCCGTACTGAGGAGGCCGTGCAAGAGGCGTTGCTGTACTCTGGCTGCGCGGACGACGGGCTTTCTGGCGCTGATTCTGAAATAGTTCAAGCAGCTGTGGTTAGCCTCACTCAAAAAAACGTCGGAAATCCACAGGTAGCGCCACTCGCCTGGAACCAGACCTAACAGAGTTGTTAGAGGCAATCGCAGACAGCATGAAGCACGAGGACATACCTGAACCTTACGAGCACTCAACCCGATTGAGCGGCCGACTTCTTCGCGCATAGCAGTCGTCGGAAAACGAGACTTAAAGGGTGTGGCGCGACTTGTGAGATTCATGAACCTCACTGTCGAGAAGAACAACTTACCTGGGCAAGTAAAGCGTGCAAAACGGCAGATTGGTGAGGTGTCGTTAGTGTACGCGTCCTTTTCTTCTTCGGTGGCGATGGCACATCCTCCTGTTGATGTTCGGCCTGGCGAGGTGGGACCTGACTGGGGCCGGCTGGAGGCTGACCACGCCCGGTGTCGGTCTCAGTATCGGCCATGCCTCCCTCCCCGTGAGATGAGGACCCAGAGGGGCTTGAATGAGTGTCCTTTTCTTCGTCCGAGTGTCGTCTCTTCATTTTCGATGCGTCGATTGGTGGGTATCGTCTCGTATTTCCCAAATGCGAAGCTGACCTCCGAAGCGTGGAGGGGACGTTGTGTTGGTGAAAGCGCGTCAGTTTGACTGTCGTAGGATGGGGACTGTGGCGTGAATTAGGGTGTACAGGCCGCGCGCGGAGTGGGGTGATAATTCGTCTGAGAGTGATCGTAAGTGCTGCTAGGTGAGTTGCTACCAAGGAGAGTGAAGTAAGATAGGTTCGAGATTAAGACTCAAGCGGAGACATCCAAGAGGCAAAAGAACGAGTACAGGGCGACGTGCGGAGTCGGGTCCACACGTCGAGGAAGGGAAAGGGAAAGGGAGAAAGGCTGTGGGAGGAAGGAAAAAGAAAAGGTGGAGGGATATGCGGGATAGACTCCGGGCTGGACCAAGGCGACGGAGGGCGACTGCCGCATCGCATTAAACAGTCATGGTGGTATGCGAGGAACCACGACAACCGCAATATAGATCGCACCAACAGGCGCCAAAATCTAAAGGATACGCTCCTAAAGTTGGAGTAATCGGTGAGTGGGGCCAAGTAGCCGTTTCCGCTTTGCAGGTCCAGCCTCGACGAATCAAGGGACACGAGGATTTATGACACGCGTCAATAGTTTCCCCTGACGAGAACATGAGACGAAATGAAAACTCTTCCCGAGTGCAAGGGCGTTGCAGGAAGCAGCACCGAGAGGAACCGGTCGGCAGGGCCGCTGTGGCAACCAAACAACTTAACCTAATCAAGACATATCGAGCGCTGGAAAGTGCCTGAAAGCCTTCGCTCAACCACTGCTCAACCAAAATATGGCGTCCTCTAATCCAAAGGATCCCGACTCTTGAAGCATGACTTGCTCTGATGTCTTAAATATGGACAATGGTCGTCCCTCTTCGCTGCAAGCTTCGCCGAGGAAAGGCGCCATATTTTCTTTTTACTGACAAATGACCACGAGTTGACCGAACTTCGCGGACTTCCAAATATGCTAGGGTTTGGTTTCCTTGGTGAACATATCCGGACCTATTACCGTATTAGGCGCCGAGTAATCTACGCTGCTGAAGCCGATCGTCCCAGATGCAACCGAGATGTGAAGAGTTCAACAGTGCCGGCGAGACGTCGGTCAAGCTGTGCGAAGCAATGCGGCTGGAAATTTTTGGGAAAAGGGATCTATGAAATGTGCTTCGCTCGCCGTTGCCGCCTGAAACAATTCAAAGCGTACGGGGCCGCATGGTCAAAGATTGAGAGCGGGGTATTACAATTCTTACTCTGCAAACCATCCTAAATGGCGTAGTCCGCGACAACCTGTCAACCCTTCATGACGCTATATCGAAGTTGACGTCGAGACTATGTACCGTCGGTAAAGTCAGTCAAAATGAACGGATTTCAATAATGCCAGACTCACACGTCGCCGACACCGTCACCGCTGTAAAGTCGGCTATCTCGGAACACGTTGGCAACTGACTATTGCGTTGATTCGAAGGAAGGCTCGTCGCAAGTCAGCCGCAAGGACGGGGCAACGGATACGAGCTGGTATCTCTGAACCTGCGGAACATACCAAGTAGCCATCCAAAATATTGGGATGTCTCGTCTGAGGAAGTGCTACGGAAGCCATGACCACAGAAATTCATCAGCGAGCGATCGAAGTGTGGTTCAATACTCTTTGAGGGCGGCTTGGTGATCGCGGACAATTGATGAATCTTCGGGACGCTCGGGACTGTGCTTCCTCTGATGCAATCTGGTGGGGCACCGAGGTTCAAATCACGGGGAAACAGCTTGCGTCCTACAGAGCATGAGATTCATCGCCGATAGAGAACCGGGACACAGAGGAAGTGTAATTGCGGTCCCGTTGCAATCGAGATATGTTCATTTTTCTCCACCCGATCTACATAGCAGTTCGCTCCGAAGAAAAGTCATAGTAAGTGACATGATCGAGAGAGCAAATACGCCTGTCAAATGAAGATAAAAGATAATTTCACCCGGTAGAGAGACCAAATAGTGAGTACTTACCGGCATAAAAGTCCCGCGTCGAGGGTCTTGCCACGCACATGGCAGAAACATCCGACCATGGTGGACTATGCTCATTCATTCCCGGTGGAAATATTGTGAACTTCCGTTCATCGAGATTTCCGGTGTAATAAGGATCGGGACGACGGATCACTCATGGTTACCGCCTTTAGGAACTTCACTGGTAAGGTTGGCCGGCGGACATGCCTTGATACCATGCCGTACTCGCCACAGCAGAGCCTGTCGCCAGCGACCGCGGCGTAATCTGATATCCACTTCTCCGCTGTGTCTCGGCGGGCTTGGGTGGTTGATAGAAGACCTCAGCATCAATTATAGTAGTAAACGTACGCGACCTTACCACGGTGAAAACCATTGTTATGGTCTACTGCCATGAGGCGAAGGCGAATTGCATAAGATTGGCAGCTTGAAGCCTGGATATAGATAATTGCATAGGAAACATCAATGAAGCACGCCCACCGGAAAGCGTAGAAGAAAGCGGGCACAGCGCCTGCCCTGCAAAAAAATCTCTTCGTACAAGGTTAGAGTTGGACACAGCCCAGAGTTTCATCCCGAGGAGGCATAGGCGTACGCCGCATCATTGTGCACGCTCATGTTAGAAAAGAATCAATCACTACTGCGTCCTGTGAGCTTTTTTCTTGCGTCGAGGCAAAAGTCCCTGCAGCGCTCACACAGACCTTTACCTTGTCAGTGTAACGTGGATATCAGTTTACCAACGGAGGATGCACGGGATGCCACGCGCCACCACCGACCGGAAGAGTTGTCTACCCTGTCTTCTTCCCGTCGCTGCGAGAAGTAACAAAAATAGTGACGTCCGAGGTTCGCACTTGTGATGTTCAAGGGCAGCAAACACGAGGCCCCGATGCTGATGCAATTTCATTGCGAGAGCCATGCCCGATATGCCGAGGTCGGACCTGGTTAGACACATGGGCAAAGTGGGGCGCTTGCCATAGCAGGAGACGGGACGGAGTGCCACGGGCGCGATGAAGGGCGCACTGTAACTCAAAGCGCAAAGCTATCATTGGGGTGTCGAACCAAAGGAGAATACTGTAGACCCCCTGGAGTAGAGTTTAGCGAGGGCAAAGATACGATAGTGGTATCAGGCCCGAGGGTGGTGCTCACCCGCTGAGGCTGAAAAACTTTACACGCTGTTAACGCGTAGGGACCATACTCCTTCGTAAACTCTACGACGTTTGCGGGTAAGAATTTGGGCCTGTGAACCATCTTGTATCTTGCAGAAATAAATTACCGATTGGCCGGACATCTACGGACTTCTGCGGGAAATCGTGGAGCTCTGATGACAGTCTTTTGTGTGACATTTTGAGCGGACGAGCCGGTTGGGTCAACTAGGACTGGGAAATTTGGTCAATTAAATGGATCTGTCAACAGCATCGGCCTCAAGCAGAGAGGGGGCAGAGAAGTAATGTACCAGAGACAGATAACTTCCAGCTCCGGCGCCACTAATTGCGCAAATTCCCAGGACGGAGCGCGGCACCAGGAACAACCTAGCTAAAGGAACAAGGATTCAAAGCGCAAGAACATGGCTTCGTAATGCCAAGGGCCTAAATTGGGACTTGAAACGGTGCTGATCACGCCGAACCCGTCAACAAGATTCAGCATGATAGCTGCTCCTGTGACCATCCAGCGGGAACGGTGGTGGAAAGGTTACGTTTTAGAGAAGAGGTTTCCTCCCCGGAGGTTCCGAAAGTAAACTTCTCGTCTCACAGAGGAGGTCAGACAATAAGCCGCTGTTCTCAGCTATTGTAGGAGAGGGGATTGGTGGCTGAAGAAGATGATCAGAACAGCTTGTTATGTCGACACATGGAAGCAATATGAAACAGTCTCAGAAATGATACTGGAACTATACTCCTCCTGGGCCTATGTCCTGTTTGTCACATCGTCCATCGCCGCGCATCCTATCGATGTATATAGAGAGTCTGGAACATCGCATTACTGCATCTCATCCAACCTTCCATAGTAAAGGTATGGTCGGAGGCGAGGACCGTTGACTTATCAGGCGCAATCAGAAAAGTAAGAACCTTTGCCCCAAGTAGAGTGGGTGAAGGTGCGGGAAACAAGAAGCAGAAATGACACGAAAGAATCAGGCGTTTAATCGAGACCGGACTCAGTATAGGCCGTATGGAAGCATCGCATTGCTTGCTCTCGACACACACGGCCAACTTGTCTCCATTTCCTGTCAAACTCCAGGAAAGTGCACGTCGCTATCTCTTTTCATCGAATGACAGTCGAATGCAGCAAACTGCGTTCCGATGGGCTGCCTTGTCAGCGAAACCCAATGATATTTTACCGCAAGGTTGAAAAGCCAAATCGCACAACTTGGATCAAGCAGCATGCGCGATTTTCGACATGCGGTAGCATGGTCGCTCTATACAGTGATACAACGGCAGGCTGTCGAACAGGGAGGGATGAAGATCAATGGGTGTACCAATGTACCATACTTGTCTTTGAAAAGGCGCCATAGAAATAGAGGCGCCAGAACCAGGAAATATGAATGTGCAACGAAAGACTATAGGAACGGCCACTTCGCATTCAACGCAATAAGTACACAAGAAAGAGGTCAATGTCTCTAGGAACCGTGACTTATTCTCGACGTATACGCGGGCACATTAGATGCACTGGACTACCGGTGTGGCCTGTCCGACATCGTTATCGAACGGACTTCAATTCAAGACCGTATACGACAACATGACACGCAAAGAAAAGAACGTAGCAAGTAGTCCTCACCTAGAAGTGCCCCTGGCGAAACTTTAGGCCAAGGTCGTCGGTGGTACACAACATGTGTCAACAGAATTTCCGAGGTAGAGGGCTACACATCTAGTTTTTCAAAATCTAAGACATCAGATACCTCAAAAAAGTGTGAAAATAAGTGGCAAAAACATTTCAGTGAGTGCGTACCGGACTTTAAGATATTTTTTTCGTGACAAGAAGATTGGTTTCGGTGAACGAGAAAGATGTTGAAAGGGAGGAGGCAGAAGTGGCGATTCCCACGCTTAAGTCGCTCTGTGGGAACCGATCCACGTGTCTCCGGCGCCACGACACAACAGCGCCACGCTAGCACCTGCTAGCACCAATTCAACTCAACAGCTACCACCATGTCCTTACCGCCAGAAGTCCAGAGACTCATAGAGGGGAAGATTGTAATCATTATTTCATCCTGGTCATATACGTGTTTTGATTGTGATCACTTTTCAGGACTTTGAGGGCCAGAAGCTTGTCGAGCAGGTCTCCCGCAATGCCCTTCTCGCGATCACAGTACGCACCATCAATCCTCTCAACGCAGCTCACCTTACTGACGATTGACGCATTGAATTTGTTCATCAGTCCCTTTCGTATATTATTGGCCTTGTGTCCCAATCACTAACCTTGACATTCGGCTCGTTCGGTGTCGGAACATTGATACTACTCGTTGTACGTGCAACATCGCGGGTTTTCTCCACTACTTTCCTCTGAGCTCTGTTCACTCCTCAGGTTGCTCTTCCACAATGGCCCATGTACAACCGGAATCCGGTACAATGGCTTCCTCCAGTTGATACGAAGAAGAAACAATGAGATACAACCTTGGGGCTGAGTCTTCCTGCCACGACTACGCGAGTGCGCCGTATGCACTTGAGCCTACAACGCCGAACTCGACTCCTCTCGGAATGGTTGATTAAGGCGATAAAAATGTGTCCCAGTGAATGCATATCTTTGAAACGGCTTGGTTTGCTGATAAGTCGTTCGTCGATGTCCAGTTCCTTTCTGTTTGGATTCATATGATGGCACAGGCTCAAATCTCGCAGCGCATTTCTCAGCCCCATCGTCTGTATCGCTGCCAACCCTGAATTAATATCTTCCATCTACGCCATATTCATCTTTTGGAACTCTCGCGTGAGATCAATACTTGGCCCGCATTTCTAGGCGACCGACTCAACGACCCGGACATCGTGCTATTTATCCATTCCCATTTCTTCGCCATTATATCTCATCGGGATTGATACTAAACCGCGACGTTTTCTTGGATTCGATGGCTCGTGTCAAGGGCTGTTATCTACATTCCCCACCTTGTGGTGATGTGCGAGGCTGTCGCTTGTCATACAGTCTCATAAGACTTGTGCCAATGAAACAGATCGCTCCGATGTCTTCGATCCCAGGGAATGACGGGTTGACACCCATCCATGTTCTCGAGGGCTGACTACCTCAACACGTTCTCAACCTTGGGATACCTAGCTCAGCAAGGTAGCTTGTTATCCCTTCTGCTTTCGCTATTCATTGATCGTCACACCACGCTAAGAATATGCCGATGTCGTTGAACACTAACCGCGTCGCTTAGCTTTCATTCTTCGTCTAGATCCAGAATCAACATCAGCAGCCGCCTCAACTTCTTAGTCGACATACTTCTTCCTGCAAGTTTGGTTCCGCCATTCCCATCATCTGTCCTCGTTTCTCTCGGGTCTCATGCGCACGCCGCCGTCCTGGCATCCAAGGAATTCTATCTCGAGTCTAGTACTGCCGCCGAATCCAAACATACTCACCATCGGAGGCTTTGCGTCGTTACGGATCAAAATTCACTTCTCACTAGCATAACTGCCGTACGAATCAGAAGTCTGCGTCTCGTACAGCAGCTGATGACACGGTCCTAATCGTCACCTTTGTGAGCATTCCAGGCTTGTTTGTCTTCCCGTGATCTATGCTTACGATGCCATGAATATCTTGCGTCGAGACGGATCCGTCTTGTTGATCTCCGTAAGTGTCTTACCAGTTGACGATGGGTTTACCATGATGGTGTGCTACTTCTGTCAAAACGTTCTTCAGAGATCTTGCGTTACATACCATACGTCAAGTTCTGAATTTCACAATCAGGGTCTCAGACGAGTGCATACGCTCTTTCCCGTTCCGTTCATTCCTAACGATCCGTGGTCATCGAGGTCGTACCGTGACTATTAGCTCCACGTTTCAGGCTACATCTCAATCAACTGCCATTTAACGCTTGTTCTCGAAAATGAAGGAGCGTGGAGCAAAGTGTGGATCAAGGGTATTGCAAGACACTCTGACAGACCTGTACAACTCGACTGCTCGTTGACCCTTCTTCGGGACGAAGGGGTGTCCGCGAATGTCATCATTCGTCTCCTTCGGGATACGTACGTTCGTTCTCGGACGGTGCTTGGACAGGCGACTCCGTTAACAATCCACCTGTCCTCTCCGACGCGCATCCACACAGTCGCTCCAAGCTTGTGCCCGAAATTTGTGAAACATCACGTATCATGCGCTTGTAGGACTCGAGGTGAGCTTCATCTCAAACTCCTTTCTCATGCCACATCGAAACCTCCACTCACCGTTGCGTGTCCTTTTTATCACCAGAGATCACTTCTCGTCCCCACATCCCATCGTGATGGTCGGTACATCCATTCCGAGTACAATCACGCACCCGCACTCACCATCGCGATCTTCTCAACATCGCGGCTTGTCTTCGTTGAACTCGAGTTTAATGTGGCCTAGCCTTTGGAGTCTTTCGCCTTCATGCGTAGGTTTCATACCTTAGCAAGCTCACAAGCCCTCATATAGGAATTTCAGGAAACCTTCGTAACCTTTCGCTATCGACCCCACCATAACGGAATGGTGCTCGGTTTTGACTTCTACGGCTCACCTCACCTTCACTTTTTCAGGGGTTCATAAACACGAGTCATCCCGGCGCTCATCATCACTTCAAATCGTCTCCTCGGTCTCAAATGACATAAGCCGGTTTGTTCTGAATCCTCTTCCTTGGCTTCGCTCATCGATATCAGCATGTCATCTTGACCCTCGTCGAACTCGGTCGAGAGATCCGTTCGTTCGTAAAACTGCAGCGCCCAGTATTGGCGCTCATAGTCCAGGACCATCCGAGTTCTGTTCTGCTGTATGTGTGTAGGGCAACTGATATCGATATGAGTCCTCGGTGAGCACTAGGCTTGACTATGACTGATGCTCTGAACCTGTGTACACTGGCGCTGATGTTCTGTTTTTTTTTATTTGTTCGCAGAAGACTATGCTTTCTTCCGACGTACCAGATGAGCCCAAATTGCTCATAACATACATAGAACATAGACAGAAGATACTGCTCTATTCGTCGCTTGCCCGTGTTTGCATCAGATCACACTCGAAGGGCTTGCTTGTTCGTGTCCGCCACCGCCTCGCCACTGACCAGTGTTTTTTCTTCTCTCGAAAGAAATCTCTTTTGTGTATGCTGATCCGACGGACTCGACAAGCAGGCAACACTCTGTTCACCTTCGCCGTATCCCCGTCACACCCAAATCTCAAAGGTCCTGAAGTCGCATGCTCGTGTCCCGCCACCCTACGTCGTATGACTCCTCCCAAAAGCGCATATGACCACGAGCTCGGTGTGAAGACATGCCTCCCATCACTTCTCCACCCAGAACATCATATGTGGATACGACATCGAGAAGGCAATTGAAGAAGTCTACAGCTAGCGTTCGTTATATTTGGGTTCTTCGGGCTGGCGCTATGTTATCTGTCCGTTCATGCAGATCTTCAATCCCGAGGAGTTCATCGCGCCACTGAGTCGAGTCAAGTTTGAGATCTCAGCGCTCGACCTTCGAGATCCTCTATGTCCGCCACCCACCCAGTCACCTCGACCGTCCATCAAAACCAGCGTAAGTTACCACCCGAAATGCTCAAGATCAAGCATGAGTTGATGTATGCTTAGGGTACAGTAGATTGGATCGCCATGATGCGCGACCCTCTCCTCGAAGGCGAGCGTTTAGGTTCTGAGTCCTCACACTAATAGCCGCATCTATTCTAGCGATGTCCCTCGACTCAGTGGTAGTACGTGATGCATTCGATTTCTCTTACTTGCTTTTTTTTTCTTCTGAATCTCTACCACTGAGTGGGATCCTTCTCCAGGGATGGTTCTGGACAAGAATGACCTCCAGACTGCTCCGCTGAGTTATTCGGGATTCTATGCAGTGATTGGTGGTGATATGTTGAGACTCTTTTGGGCCACGGGCCTCGCCACAATAACCCCTCTTCTCGAGCCCAAGATCCCAGCGCTCGACCTTCAAGATTCTCAATGTCCGCCACCCACTCAGTCACCTCGACCGCGAGCGTGAATCGAACCCTGCGTATGTTACCACCGGAAGCGCTAAAGGAAAAGCCTTAGTTGACGTATGCGCAGGGTTCAGTAGATTGGATCGTCACGATACACTACCCTCTCCTCGAAGGCGAGCTTTAGGTTCGGAGTCCTCACACTCAATACCGGCTTCCACGCTAGCGCTCTCCTGTTCCGTCCTTCCTGTTCTGTTTGATTCAGTAGTGCGTGATGCATTCTATCTCTCCTCCTTCCTTCCTCTTACTTCTGAATATCTGTCCACCACTGGACTAGATGGGACCCTTCGGAAGGAACGCTTTCCTGGCTGGTTCCTTCGGGCTTCTGGGCTTCTGCAACGCAAATGTGGCGCAGCCTGTGCGTTACCTCTTGTTTCCCTGTGGTCTTCGACATTCGACGTTCAACAACTACCGAAATTAAACTTTTCTTCAGACACAAAACTTGAGTTTTCGATATTGCCCAACGAGCCGCCACGGTCTCGCCACAATAACCCTTTCCTCCCCTCCCTTCTCCTCTCCCTCCTCTCCTGGAACCTTGGACCTACGCTCTTGCTCTTGCCAATAATCATACAGAACCTAAACTTCGATGTTCACAGCTAGCGCCGCATCTACGTCTACTGTCTTCGCCTCCTCATCACCTTCCTTCCTCTCTTCCTTTCTTCCACCCTTCCTCCCTTCTCCCTCCGGGTCATTGCACTTCGTCGAGACTCGATGAATCAAGATAAGCTTGGATGGATGGACCTTTTACGCCTTCCAGGACGCTAAACTTGGTCGAGACTCGTTTAGGACATTGACAGCAGCGAAGCCCAACCAAACGAGTTCGCCTTCTCCTCTTACAACGAGTAAATTCTCACTGTACTTCCCTACGAGCTGGTACTCATTTGACTTTCGTGCTTTTATCTCTGGCATCCCCGCCTCATCGCAGCATCTTATTATTCTGTGCTGTGAAACTTTTGACTGTGACTATTCTTCTGATACAGCACATGTCCTCGCATTCGTTCGAGAACTCGAAGGCAGGACAAGTTAAACGAACCAACGCCACGCCACGTCACGATTTCCATGTCGCTAGTACCCTCTCCTAGAGCGCAAAGTACCTGAAGTTCAACGATCAACGTCCACCGTTCAACTCACAGCTAGCGTCGCATCATACATAACACTTTCGGCTCCTCGAGCTCATCAATCGTTTCCTCCCTTTCGAGACTCGACGAAACGAGATAAGGTTGGATGGAGCGACTCTTTTGGGACGGTAGTGTCGCCCAATCAAAATATACAAGGTTCGAGTTCTCTTATTCTTCTCAGCCACCACCACCGCTGCCGCCACTAAAGGAGAGGACGTACATATCCCGCGTTTATATTCCTGATGACCCTCATTGCTTCTGGACTTGAATCTGAATTTAAATGGGGCCCGTCGATGACAGTGTTAGTGTTAGTGGCACAGTATTAATACGTCTATGCTCTTATGCAGCCATGGCCCGTAGCGCTTTGACTATTCTTTGATTACAGACTTACAGTGCACGCAGTTCCGAGAAGGCCCTCTTGCCCATTTGGATTGATCCAGATGCGAACATCTGAATCATTTGGACTTTTATAGGACGAAACGGAGTTGGGTATTTATGCACTTGTTCAATTGTAACTGTTCTGCAATTGAAAACATGATGTCTCATCCAAGTGTCCCTTTCGCAACAGGTCCGAATCAGACATCACCCTTCGACTGTTTTGAATCTACAACAGTGGAGGAGTCGTAACGGGCTCGACGGTCAACATTTGTTCTTGTTCGCCCTACATAGAGTAGGACAGCGGTGTGCTGTATGATGTATGATGGAAAGCTGTATCAGTATCACGCTACACATATAGCTTCGATATACTTCGCGACGTTTGGGACAAACTCGGACTCGAGATTCGAGATTCGTTTCCATTCCAAATCCCGGTTTAGTCCGGGCTATTGTGCTGACGACTGACTACTGTGGTCCTTGGTTTGCTGTGATGGAAGACCCTTAGCTATTAGATGTATAGTTGAAGTTCGGGGTCCGGGATGGGGGGATACAGATGAACATGGGAAGTGTTCGGATGTGGGTGACACTGTATGCGAGGCAGGTGGCGGTATGTTTATTTGTATACATACAACAGAATTTAGATAAAGCCACTAGAACAAGCGGTCATAAGGACATAACGGCACTGTATCGACATCAACATGCATACGATTACAACTACAATTACACATCCTCCAGTTCTAGCTACAGGCGTAAACGAGTAACAGTCCACCGTCCGCCACCCTGCGTAAGTTGAAGTTCTAATGATAGGATCCACAGCGGTCCACACAAACCCATATACGTCCACTCAGTCTCCTCGGAACACGAGTAGTGTATATTGTAAGGCTTCTTCTGGATCACTTCCCATCTTGAGCCATCATCAAGGGGCAAGCAAATCATTCTCGGCGTCGCGAGATAGGTGCGGTCTCACGCCTCACCTCTCCATCCATGCCTGTCGTTCACACAAGCTCAGCTCGCTTCGTCACGAACCCACAGCTTTGAGCACAGAGAAACTGCGCCCTCAAGGCCTCAGTGTCCACTGGCCGGGCCACCGAATGGCACACCGTCCTTTGTTCACTTCCTGGACATTGAAACAATGCGCACGCGGAATGAACCCTCCGAAACTTGAATGGACACTGTAACCGACAATACAGACCTCCAGGGCAACGTACAACGAAGAACAGGAATCGAAGGCAAGATGGTACCGCTCTCAGGGAATCACGCTTCCGGCCGCTTTTATTTACGTACTGAAAGGGGATCGAATCTGTCTCACTTGCTGACCAGACACCGTCAAACCTTGACTGGTGCCTCCTTTTTTCCTTGCACTATAAAGGCCCTCGCCTTGTTCGCTTCGGTCCCCTTTCTTGATCCTGCATGTCCTGACGCTCACGTCCTCTCAGTCTGCGTCTCTTATAGGACTAGGGCTAAGACTAAACTAGACTAGACTAGACTAGACTCGTCTTCGCTGGTGCTTCTGCTTCACTTCGCTGAGCCTGCCTTGCCTTGCATACAGAACACGACGTTTCCTCATGGCACAACACATCACTTCATTCTACCCCCCACAGCGTCCAAAATCGGCCGCCTCCAACTCAAGCTGGGGCTCCACGCAAACCCTCGTCCCGCACGCGTCATGGCCTGGCTCGTTCACTTCTACACCTCCCCCGTGGTCTTCAAGTTCAACTTCAATGTCAACGACGTCGATGTTGAAACCTCAGGCGCATTTGAGCAGCGTATTGGCTGCTAGTCCGCCTGCTCCGGGGCTGATGAATTCAGCACGGAGCGCGAGCCCTTATTATCCCCAACCGGTCCAATATCATCCTCATTCGCAACAGCACCACCAGCACCACAAACAGCGCTCGTCCACGTCCGCATCAGACTCAATACCCATCCCCAATGGCGTCCCCATCCCACCCAACGCACCCCAACTCCCACCCCAAATCCCACCAAACGCAATCCCCGCACCCATTCCACCTCAACTCCCAATCCCCGAAACCAACAACACCTATCTCACGCGCGACAACCTCCCCTCCATCCTCACGCACCTCTCCACCCGCATCCAAGTCCACTTCGGCTTTCACGTCCGGCTCGTCGTGCATGGAGGTTTCGTCGCTGTTTTTCATCAGAGTTTGAAATCGAGGAGGTCGACGAGGGATATCGATTTTTTGATGAGGGCGTTTGTAAAAGAATATGGGTGCGTTGGGCCGGCAGGAGGAGGACATAGGGTTCCGGATGCGGAGGCGAGGTTGTTGAGGTGTATAGAGGAGACGGCGCGGAAGTTTGGGTTGGGGAAAGACTGGATGAACTCGCATGCGGACGTAGCGCTGCCTATGGCGTACGAGTACGTCGCGTTCATTTTGTTTCCATCTTCAACTGCATCTCAATCTTTCATTACTCTTTCCTTCTACTCCTACGTCTCCCGCTCGTCGTCTCATCTCACCTTACCCCCGTGCCCCATCATCGCAATCACAACCCCCCACCCCATCCACAGCCCCTCCGGCGCCCTCTACGACCCCATCCACACCTCCGCCCTCTCACCCTCCAACATCCAAACAAACACACTCTTCACCTCTCCCTCCCTCACCCTCATCTCGACAACCTGGCCCTGGTCCATCGCGCTCAAACTCGTGCGTTTCCAGAAAGACGACCCGCGCGATATCGCAGCCATGTTGAAGCTCGGGTTCTGGAAGGCGGGCATCAGGTGGGACGAGGGAAGGTTGGAGGGATGGATTAGGGAGTGTTGTCCGGAGGTGGGACCGGCGTTGGGGTTTAGTGATATTGGAGTGGGAGGGAATGGAAGGGATAGGGTGTATTGGCCGAAGAATCAGTGGGCGATGTGGCAACAGGAGAGTAAGAAGATGGAGGTCAGGAATAATATGGTTCTTGCGTTGGATATGGCGTATGGAGGGAAGGATGCGAGGGCGTATGCGAAGCATACGGAGATGGTGCATGGGTATTCGCCGCAGCCACAACAACCACCACAACAACAACAATCACCTCCACAGCAGCAGCCATTGCAACTGCAACTGCAGCAGCAGCAACAGTCGCAACAACAGCTAGTTGTGCCCCCGCCGCCGTCTATGGCTGTATGTTATCCACCGACGCAGGTGAAGTATGGTCAGCCGCAAGCGCAGCTGCAGCCGTCGAGGACGAGGATATGGTAGGCATTCTTTTTGCAATTGCAATTGGGAGTCTTGCTTGTCGTCGTTGTCGGTGGCCCGTCCATGAACCTGCACTTCCCTCCTTCCTACGCCACATCACTATACACCTTCGCGTCCGTCGCTTCCATCCATTCCTGGCTCCATCGTCCGTATCAATGCATGCTCCGCTTTCAAGCTATCGTTATTCGCTTTCGCGCTGTACATATCTCAACCCTTCATCTACATTGGTTCCATATCCATATCTGCTCGCTGTTGTCGTCATCGTACTGTATATTATATCTTGTTTATTTTTTTCTTCGGGCGTCTCTTCCTCTTCGAATCCCTCTTCTTCGTTTGTGTTTGTGTTGAGGCTTGTGCTTGCCGTCCTCCTTGCCCCTCGCCCCTCGCCCTTGCCTTCGTTACTGTTAATGCTGTTCTCAGACTATCCCCCATCCCTCTCTGCATCCCTCTCACGGCTCGAGAGCTCGATACCTCGCATCCCATGGACCCGTTCCCCATTCTTGATACCACCTCCACCCTGACGATACACGACTTTTTACGATAGAACGACCGGAGTTCATTTCTATTACGGTTGGATTGTGATGTGTGTTGTGTCCTTGGACTGTTATGTGCCACACTTTACGCTTTATGCTTTAGTTACGCTTCGTGTTTCATGCTTGACGCTCTACTTACGCTTCACGTTCATGTTTATTTTGATACTTGACGACCTTCGGCATTTTGATTTTGGATTTGCTTTCTCTTGGATTTGCTTTTCTTAGGATTCCTGCCATCTAATACGTATCTCACTAGTACTTCGCTCATGCCCTCTGCTATACTGGCCCAGGTCAATCACACTCAAAAGTAGCGTACATTCTAGTCTGTATACTGTTACGCTTTGCTTATGCTTACGGTTGTTGTGCTTTACGGTACCAGTGTGATACTCCGGTTTTGGTTTTGTGTCAATGATGAGTTTTAAACCATTTTTGTGACTACCCCTCCACACAACTGTTCCGTCTACCTCTGGGTGACTTTCTATAGCAGTCTACTAGGAATGTTTCTAGACGCACAGATGCACAAATACGAGGCTCTAAGCCAATCAAAAATGGTCCTGAGCCTCTTTTCAGTGTTCTATGTCTCTAGAACGTGCACAAACCCCCTACGGAAAGTCACCCTCTCCCACAACAAACACCATTTCCGTGCCGCTCGGTTCGGTGGTGGTGAACAAAGCGGAAGATAAGCCACGTGGCAAGTTTCAGCTTCCGCTTAGTCTCCGTCCCGGAGGAGCTCTGAGGTCGTCGTTTTCCTTTTGTTTTCCTTCGTTCTTCGGCTTGGAACGTATTTCCTCCTGCTTTAATGAATTATACGCCCTTTGATCTTTGCGAGTCAGAAACGCTCTTGCTTATCCTCGGCAGTCCCAATCGGAATGCGTCGATCTAGCCTGCCGAGAGGACTAAACACTGTTGTCTATTCTCCACGTAGTCCCCCACTGGCCTGTATCTCTAAGAGCTCCCTTAAGTACTGTGCATCAATTATTTGTCTTGGAACCAACACCTAACGATGACTCTGGACTCCGGTATCTCTCATGCTAAACACGTCTAGTACGCGTGCCCGGATTTCTCGCGCCACCGAAACTCTCTTTAGACTGATAAAGCTGCGAGTCTCAAGCGATCGTCTCATCCTGCTTGTCCCCACTCACTCCAGCTTAGATCGTCTGTCGAATGGTGTGTATTTCCTTTCATCTTTCAAGCCATTTTTGTTCATGTTCTCTGTCGCACCCCTCGGACCAGAACGCCACCTCGAGCGAGTCAGACTTCGAAGACATGGCAGGCATTTCATCCACGATCTCATCCCTCTATACCGCCGAACGATCCATGCCTCCTTCCCCCGTTGACCCTTCTGTCGAGCTTTTTGCTTCCCTCGAGTCCCCTCTCGCGAGCTCTACACTCTCCCCGAAGTCATCGAGTGATAACACTGGTATCCCTCCTACGCAGTTTCCTCGGCACGAAAGGTTCTGGTTCCGTGATGGTAGCGTGATATTCGTCGTGAGCTTTCTGTCTCTTCCGCCCCCACTTCCGCTTGGAGCAGCCTTTACGTCCGGTTAACGCTCGTAACACAGGTGAAGAACACGTCGTACCGCCTACATCTCTACCTGTTCGAATTGCATTCCACGAAATTCGCGAAGACTTTCCTACTTGATCATACCGATATCAACGAGCCGATCGTGCTGGAAGGCATCGATGAAGAAGATTTCGATGCCTTTCTGAACGTATTGTACCGCATGTGAGCCCTCCCTGCCCATCGAACATGCCCTTTCCACACTATCTGACTTTGGGCCACTCTCTTCTTCGCTCAGTTCCTACACCTCGAACCCGTCCCAAAGCGCCAAAGCCTGGGCGTCCGTCCTCCATCTTGCCTCGATCTGGGAGTTCCCTTCTATCCGCCAGCTCGCTATCGAAAGCTTTGAGCCCTCCGCTACGGACGTCGACAAGGTCGTGCTGGGACATAAGTATGGTCATCATGAGTGGCTTCTTCCGGGGTACTCTGGCCTGGTTGCACGCGAAGAGCCTCTCACTATCGAGGAGGGCACGCGGCTTGGGGTGAGGGATGTCGTTGATATCAATAATGCAAGGGAGAAGATCCGAGCGTTGAGTACGCTACTTAGTAAGATTGAGATGACCTAGAGCTTTCGATGCTCAGCAGGCCATATGAACAACTACACCTTCGACAGCACAATGACCACCATCAAATGCACGAACTGTAACAACCACCTATATCTTCCTTCATTCACGACTACCATACCCCCTGCTCGGATTCTTCCTGCGATGTCCATCATCACGGACCAGGTGAAGAAGCTCATTCCTCGCTCAAATCCTGTACTGGTATCGCCTATCGGCATTAAACCCCGACCAACATCAACACGTAATCCACGGAAGGAAGGAAGTTACAAGTAGGCCAAGTGTAACCTCTCAATGGTCGAGCATAGCGCTCTGGGGAGGAGGGGAGGTCTTGATTGTGTAGAGTGACGAGGGTGTTTGTTTGGTTGCAAATGCCGGGTTTACGCAGACGCATATCGGAATATACTCTGAGGAGTGACGGAAGGGGTGGACATTTCAGAGACAGGAGGATGTGTGTTCATGCCACCAGTGCTTCGTAAATCGATTAATTGTTTCTATCAGATACACCTTCTGTATCAATGGCAATATGCAAGACAGGCGAACATATCTCACAAAGAGTGAAAGTCGCTGAGGAAACTATGCAAGTACAAGGTCCACAAAGCGGGACTCGATGCGGTAATTCGCGGAGAACGACCAAGAAGCAACATCTCGCTTCAATCGATGATGCCCAATATTATGACGATGGATGGCTCGGTACGGGGAATAGAAGGATTAGAACGCAGATTTCATGATTTATGGATTCAAACAGGTTGTACAGACTTCGGACACAGATACTTCTACTTGCTTGCAACATACACGAACCCCCACCACGCAGCCAAACGCTCCCCAAGTATCTCCACCGACACACACTCCACCCCCAACCAGCCCAAGAAAACCGCCATCGGCGCTCATCCACCCATCCACCCATCCACCCATCCACCCATCCACCCATCCACCCATCCACCCATCCACCCATCCACCCATCCACCCATCCACCCATCCACCCATCCACCCATCCACCCATCCACCCATCCACCCACTCAATCCAAAGTCGGCACCACCCCCCTCAAATGCTCCGGCAACAGCTCCTTCCTCATCTTCGCGATCATATCCAACGGCGCCCTCTTCGCCAACGCGATCAAATTCAACCTCAACTCCTGCTCCAACTCCGCTCTCTCCTTCTCCTTCGCTTGCTCTTTCTGTCCCATCACCACACCCTGTCGCATTCGAATCAACTTCGTGAGCGACTCCGACGCCCGCTCGAGTCCTCTGACGAGTTTCTCCCGCTCGCTCTCCGGTGGTCCCGCTCTAGTCGCCGTCTTTCCTGCCCCTGTCGCTCGAGGGCCGAAGATCCCCAGATCGGCCTCGTAGAGCTCCTCCGGCGCCGTCACCAACGCTCCCAGATCGATCTTCTGCGACGAGAGCTCGTACAACAAGGTGAGGATGGGCAAGAGCCGGGTCGAGAGCGAGATGGAGTCTCGGACTTTGGAGGCGAGGTGTTGGGCGTGGGTGGGTGTGTTGATGTTTGCGGTTTGGGCGTTTGGTTGGTTCGACAAGAGGGGTTGGGATTGGGGATGGGGAGGAGGGGCCGATTGCGAGGACGGAGAGGTGGAGGAGATGTGAGGAGATAGGAAATGTGGGTTTGTATGCGAGGGTGGAGACGAGGTGATTGAGGGGTGTAGGAGCTGATACGACGCTACACGGATGAAGGAGTGTAGGTTGGAGGTTAGAGGGTCGATTATAGTACGCTCGATGTATTGAGGGAGAGGTTCGCCGAGCGGGTAGTGCACATATGTCTTCTTCTCTTCCGCTACATTTCGATGTCGATGAGCATCTAAATCTCTAAGAGGCTGAGGCCGAGAATCGGAGTCGACCTCCATCTATACGTACTCAAGATCAACAAACACGAACAATGACACGAAGACGAAGACCCAAAACATACCTTAACATCCTCCTCCCGATCAACGACCATATCGTCCCCATCCCTCTCTTCGCCATTCACCCCTGCCTCCTCACCCACATCCATCTCTTCATCGTCCTCCTCGACCTCGAATCTCCCAGCAGGACCCACAAACTCCGCCAAACTCCTAACCAGCGCAAGACCGTCCACACCTCCATACACCACCTCGCTCAACCACGCCTGCGCATCTCTCGCCCGCCTCTCGTTCCAATATCCCGCTTCCGTCCCGAGTTGGACGTCCATAGCGGTTTCCTGCCCCGCTTGTCCGGCATTGGGTCCTCCGTACTGAGGGTTGGACTTGGAGTTGGGTTGAGCAGCAGCAGTAGCGGGAGTCGCGCCCGTCCCGTTCGTGGCGGCATCGACGACCGACTTGCGAATGGCATCGAACAGCTTCGCCTGTGTATCCAACACATCCTGCGACGGCCCGCTCCCGCTCCGCCCTCCATTCACCCTCCCATTCTTGTTCCCATTCCCGTTCGCAAACACCTCCGCCTTCAATCTATCCTCCAACGCAACAAACCCTCCCCAATCCGTCGCAACCAGCACTCTCTCCCCTCCTTCCCCTCCTTCTCCCGGTCCTCCTACCGCACCAGCACCACCCTCCGCACCCTCCCTCTCTTCCGTCTCAACCGCCTTCGCAAAATACGCATTCGGATGCGCACCCCCATTCCACGCCCAAACCCCCTCCCCATAAAACTCCCTCTCCCGATCTTTCTTCGTCCGCGACGGCGCGTGCCTTGTTATCGCCCAGTGCGCGTATCGAGGCGGTTTGGTGGCGTAGGTGGGTTGTGTGATCGTTGGCGTGGCGGAGGTTGAGGTGGTGGTGGTGACGGGGGTGGGATTGAGGGCAGTGGTAGTGATGTTGGAGGTGGAAGCTGTGGGATTGGGAGTGGACGACTTGGAGGGCGAGGCGGTATTAGGTGCGACGGGGAGCGTATAAGTGGACGCTGACGAGGTCGGCACGTTCGCGTCGACGGCAGCGGCGGCCTCGACCTCCTTCGGAAACGGAAGCACGAACGTCCTCGGCGTGCGATACTTCGACCTAGGAATCTCAGGAACGGGGACATGAACGCGCGACGGGAGGTTTTCCGTCACTGTGCTCGCGATGGGCAAGACATCGCCCACGGTTGGAATCTGCGCTTGAGCGGATGGTTGTTGTTGTTGTGTTGGCGCTTGCTGAGATTGAGGTTGCACTTGTGACTGTGGTGGTTGATACTGAGGCGCAGAGACTAGTTGAGGCTGAGCTAATGATGCCGTCTGGAATGCAGCAGGCGGCAAAGCCTGTACCGGCGCAACCGGCGTCGCAGTCTGGCTCGTCACCGCCGACGGTGCTTGCGTCGGCACATGAAACTGCTGTTGTTGCTGCTGCTGCTGCTGCTGCTGGGTCTGTTGTTGTTGCCATGCATACTTCGGCTGCGTCGTAAACGGCGACTGTGGCGGCGGCACGCTCGTCGTCCTCGACGCTCCACCGCTCCCACTCGCGTTCGTGGGGGCCGGGGCGGAGGTTGGTGTGGGCCCGGAGGCGAGTTGTGGGATGTGGATGGGGGTGAGCGCGGGGATTGAGAGGCGGGGTGGGGGGACGAAGACGGAGAGGATGGAGAATGGGTCGTCGACTGTGATCGATATGAATGATGAGATACGGCGGATGTGTTGGTTAGGAAAAAAGGAGGAGTGGTGAAGGAATGAGTACGCACGTTCCGCATACGCTAGACTCCCATCCGGGGCTAACGGCGGTCCTCCCCTCTCCATCCGCATTCTCTCCTTCTTCGTCCTATATTTCTTGCCTGTCGATACACATAAGCACAAGTGATCAGCCATCGCGCATTATCCCATATCGAGAGAGAAAAACGGGCGAAACAAAGGGGTGGTTCGAAACAAAAACGGAGGAAGAACCGAAGGAAAGGATCGCATGTGGAGAAAAGACTACACGCCGCCAGACCGAGCAAAAAGTGAATGAAATAGAAACGTACCCCTCATCTTCATCTCCAAAACCACCCTCGCCCACTCACTCCCACTCGGAAACCTCCCCACCCCCTCCTTCCACCCCGGCATCCTCCCCCCCTCCTCCAACCCCTCCGCTAACATTGCCGCACCTGGCCCCCCTGCACCCTTCTTCCCTCCTCCTCCTCCTCCTCCTCCCCCTCCTGCACCTCCTCCAACGCCGCCGCCTCCAACGCCAACGCCAAGTCGATCTCGGTCGGTATAGTGGTGAGAAGAGGAAGAAGGATACGCATGATGCGAAGGCGTAAACGCATCTTTCGCAGAGAGCGTGAGCGCCGCATCGGCATTCATGGCTGCTCGTCGTCGGCCGTATCCTGTCGTTCCCGTCCCTGATCCTGAGCCCAAAATTGGAGTTCCGGCCATGGCAGACGCAGAGGTGGGAGCGGGGGAGCCAAAGCCAGCGCTCATACCCCGCCCTACGCTCGCTCTCATACTCTCCCTGCCTGCTCCCCCACCCATCCCATCTGCAATAAAATCCTCTCCATCCACATCAACCTCATCCGCCCTTCCTCCCAAACCGGTCGAATGTCCATTGAAAGCAGCAGGCGAAGGCTCCACATCCCTCTCCACATCGACCTCCCACTCCGTTTCGAACTCAATCACCGTTCCCCTCGCCCTACTTATCGCCTCATTCCCCCACGCGCCTATGCGTTCCGCTTCGGAGTGATAGAGCGTTCCGGGGGGGTTGAAGGTTTTTGCGTTTTGGAGGGTTAGGTTGAAGTCTTGCTGTTTTTTTTGTGGGTTTGTGTTTGTAGGGTGGAGGGAGGAGGGTTTGTGAGTTAGTGAGTTGGACGAGACCGAGAGGAAGTGGGGAGTTAGTTAGTGCCGAGGGAAGGATATGACAACGAAGCGAAAGAGGCAGAAGGATGGTATGCGTATGTAGTGTGTGCGAGATGTGGACTTGGGACGCACCGAAAACTCATCCAAACTCCTATACCGTCCCCTCTCCACCTTAACCCCCATCGTCCCGAAATCCATAGGATGCGCTATCGCGTCGCGATAGCCCGGGACGAGGTCGGGGTTGACGGGTTCGAGGAAGAAGGCGTACGAGTCTTTTCTGTTTTATTGTTGCACGCACCGTTAGTATACGCACGCATATATCAAGCGTTCCCGCGCGACGAGAGGACGAGAGGAAGAAAACCATCAAACGCACTTCTTAATCTTCCCAATCAACCCCCCCAACACCTCCCTCAACGGCTTCAACTTAATCGGCCTCGGCACCTTCTGCTGCTGCGCCTTCCTCCTCGCATCCTGCAACGTGCTTCCTTTTTTCGCTTTTAGCTCCTTGAGGGTTTTTAGGGAGGGGATTGTGAGGCGGAGGCCGGAGCCGGTTCCGGAGGGTGCGGTGAGGATGGAGGGTGTGCTGGTGGGGCCAGGGATGGAGGGTGTACCGGTGTGGCCAGGGATGGAGGGCGTATGCGTAGCGGCGGGTGGACTGGATGCAGATGCGGAGTAGGACGCTGGAGTCCCGAACTGAGAATGGGAATGGGAGGAAGGACCGGCTTGGGGAGTTGAGGGGGGTGAGTAGTCCATCCTGGTGGGTGGTAGGATTAGCCGAGGTAGACACTGTAGAAGTTCAAACGTTCAAGTACGGACTTAGTTCAGTTCGGAGCGGATACAATGGATGTCTCTATATCTGGGTTGATGGTGATAAGTCGATGAATATATACCCACGCCCAGAAAAACAGGGCGGGAGAGATGTGGCCCAGTGTTTCGTGATAGGTCGGGTGTTCGTATACTTTCTTCTGCCTCTGTTTATGTCGATGTCAGAGATTTCTCATACGTGGAAACTTTTATCGACGAGAAAGCGAAAGCTTCGACCATTACCGTAAAGACCGTTCAAAAAAAAAATCGCTGAGCAGATCAGCTCACCTCTCGAGCAGTCCGAGCCTCCGTATAGAACTCAGCCCTAGCTCTCGTAGTCTAAAAATCATAGAAAGAGACTGTATAAGCATGCTGTATGCGTTTCTGGCTACAATCGGTGGTGAGAGAAGGGAGAAAAGACGGACCTGGGGAGGACGAGGGCGATTTCGAGGTGTGATGTCGTGCAGGCGAAAGCTCGGGAAGTCCCGGGGGGCCACGCCCGGTTCATTTGCGCGTGCCGGTGCTCCGGGTGGCGTTTCCTTGGTGGTTGCCACTCCGATGTGTGCAGTGTGGCCCACCGTCATCATCATCGATTCTCCGTCGTTCCTCGTTGCCCTGTTTCGTGGCTGTTCTTCGTTCCTGTGGTGCAGTCATCGTGCGTTCCTTGTCCAGCAGAAATACGTACGCTGTGCTCTGTGCTGCCGTCGCTTGCAAAGTCTAGTGCAGAACGTGTGTGCAGGACGTCCGACACCGCGTCCGTTCCTTCTGTCATTCGAAGGCTCAGGCTATGTCCAGCACTTCATGGCCGCACTCGCCAAGCTTAGAGGACCATCGATGATCGAGAGCTTAGCTTGGACAACGTTCAGACCCTCTTTCAGACTCTCCACCTTACCCCTTGCCGCATCCGTCCATGCCCTTGCCCTCGTCATCCAGCCCTCCTCCACGGCGATCCCCTTCTCGAGCCTTTTCGACGTGAATGCATGGCCGTATGAGATCATACCAGGACCTCATCTGACTGCTGACCGTTCCTCTTGTTCCTTTCACCCTCGATATTCAATACCCCGATGACGTTCGTGCCGTGCCCTTTTCTCTTGCGGCCTCTTGTGGATCCTTGGTCCTTTCTTTCTCCAGAGATGTCCCGCAAAACGTGATGGGACCATACCGGTGACGCCCAGCATTCATGATGCAGACCTCAGGCCTCAGACGTCAGCCCCTATCTTCGCTTCGACGCACGTATATAAACCTTCGATTTCTCGTCTTCAGTCTCCCCACCAACACCTCACATCCATCCATCTCATCTCCAAAGCTCTTCATCACATCCCAAACTCATTAATTCAGCAATGACTCAGATTCAATCGGGCCAAGTATACACGCTCGTGAACGCTATGAGCGGTACCGCCCTTGATCTCTCTGGGGGCGACAACACCTCCATCATCGGCTTCAACTTCCACGGTGGAGGTAACCAGAAGGTTCGTCTATTATCCTCTCTTCCATGTTCCCCAACCTCCATCCCTCCCTCCACCCCCCTCCTTCCCTCCTTTATGCTCCTCGCGCGACCGAACTAACCACCCCTCCCCACTATAGTGGATGTTCGAACAAACCTCGCAAGGACCCTGGACCATCCGCTCCCTCGAGACCGGCAAATACCTCAACATCGAAGGCCCGCCGTCCGATGGCGCCAAGGTCGTGGCGATCGATAACCCCCAGAACTGGGATATTTGGCATGATGAGCAGGATGGGAGTGTTTTCAGGTGAGTTTGCCTTGACCACTTTCCACTTCCCACATAACGCGGGTAGGTAGTTGAGGTAGAGTGTGTGTGTGCTGACGGTGGCGCGATGCGATGCGACGACAGACTCTTCATCCCCGGAACGACGTTCAACATCGACATGTCCGACCACGGGAACGCGACGCCCGGCACGCCCGTCACGCTCTGGGGGAAATGGGAGGGCAAGAACCAGACGTGGAGGATCGAGCCTGGTATGTTTTCTTCTCCTCTCTTCTCCGTCTTTTCCTCGTTTTCCCCGTCCTTCTTCTCCTTGTTTGGGTCATTGTTTGCTTTCTTGTTCTTGTTTATGTTTTCGTTCAATCTGCGTGATCGTGCTGCTGACGATGCACCTTGTACTTGACAGCTCAAAACTAAACGAACACGAACGCTGTAGTGGTTTCATGACATGACGTGACTGGACTATCGTGTTCTGTAGGAAGAAAAGTGTTGTTGTACCAGTACCTCATACATAATTCATATCGCAATCAACCAATGGATTTTTCTCGAGCATTCCGTCGTTGTCTTTGACATCATTCATTCTCTGGTGTGGTGTGGTGTGATTGAGATGGTGGGGGGATGAATATTGAATGATAAACTAAGTCGTGAACCGAACAGGCTTTGCTGGGAGGGATAAAGAGAGGCGTAAATAGGGCCCGGGATCGCTAATGACCGTAATTCAAGTTGTCAACGCCGCATCTAGATTCGTACGGACTGAAGAGAAACCATCCGGGTCCACCATTCGTTACACTTACAGTTGTCGGGATTCAATATTCAACGTTCAACGCTGCGCCGTGTCAGGCCATGATTCAGATATTCGTCACGAATCTCCCAAGATTTCAGAAAGCTTTGAAAGAATCACCGTCGCCCGGTATCACTATCGATATCACCACCGACCCCGCCCAAACTCCTCATCAGTATTCCTCCTGGGCCTCAGCCCCATGCGCAGAGGGCGATATTCCTTTCTCCGTCCTCCCCCAGCCTTCCCCATTACTGTTATAGTATGTCAATGGAAACAAATAACAGAAACAAAGTTGAAAGCCACACCGCTACCTCAAGTAACACACACCCAAACCTCCAAAGCTGCGCCGTGTCAGCGCCAGATTATTGCAGTGAAACTGACGAGTCACTCGTGAATTGAACTGAGTCTAAGTTAACGTTACATGTGTACTCGTCCATGTAGAGTACATCACTATCGTCTTCCTGGACCAGGGCGACCACCACCACCACCACCGTCGACCACGCCCACGCTCAACCTGCAGACGATCCTCAGCTTCAGCCTAAGACGGCGACCTTCCTCACCGTCAATGGTCATATGCCAACGGAAACAAACGCCACACCGCCCCACTTCTCCTCACGCCACACCGCTACCTCAAGTAAAGCGCACCGCTACCGCATTGCGCTCGGCGATCGTAACCGTACCTGCAATCGAGCATCGCTTCGAATTTGGACTTCTCCAAGTGGTGCACAGTGACACGGTGTAAGTATTGGCATATGATAATAATTATGCATGGTACGTGGAGGTTCGGCGAGTCTTGCCAATGAGGACGTCAAGAATCGAGTCTGATGCGCACTTCACTTCAGTACTCAGTTCGGGTGGCGGATCATCATGAGGCGTCGTGTTTGAATCGACGGTAATGTGCCTCGAGATGCTGTACGATACATAAGTTAGCTCGTAAGGGCTCGCCCGAAGGGGGAGTTGATGTAGGTTGATGTTCGTTCGATAAGCCTGAGTGTAACGGAGAGTATCGGATTGCAAGGAGGATTCGGCGGTCTACTGGCATGCGTTATCCACGCGGAGATGAACCGGAGCTTCAGCGTACGTACATACTTACCCTGCGCACCACTGCCTGCACGCACGATGGGCAGGATGGAAGATGGGTGACAAGCGATGAACGATGGGCGAAGGAAGGCCCGAGCGGAGAATGGAGAGTCTGAGGAGGTAAGGTGTCGAGTGTAAGACTTGCCGACCGGTGTTTCATTCGTGTCACTAGACTGTTATGTAGTGGTGTCAACTTGTTAGATGAATGAGCGGAGGGAGTGGAGGTTTGGACGGATGATAGGGGATGATGGACATTCTAGAAATGAGGGTAAGTGCTGAGGGGCATCTACTGAGAGGACGAAGAGGAGGATGATACATACCGTAGAAAGTTCTTCGCCACACTCCTGAGCACCGGGTGCCCGAAGCCTTCGCCTTCCCATTCGCCCCATCTCCACCAATGGTCACCAGTTATTAGTAGCAAACCCACAAGCAGCCGACTGCGCACGGGCTTCAGCGATCAACCTCACCCTCAACCCTTCCGGGCTCCATACTTACTGTATCACAAGAGTAGTCACTCGCGATGTTGTATGTAAGTTAAGCAAAGGATGCACGCAAGTCTCGCCTCACACACGCACGATTACTTACACACTTGTGATGCGCCCGAATCAGCTCGACTTGTCCTCGCCGTGCACAGCTCCAATCGCCCTCCCTCGTCCGCCTGTATCATGATACTTACTCACTGACCCACTGGCTCACTGGCTCCGCCCCTCGGTCCGCCGGGCATTAGGGTCCCTTTTTCATTTCCAGCAATCGCACAAAAGACGCACCTCGAAAGCTTGCGCAGGCCATAATCGATCTGTACCACAACCACAACCGCGACCAGCACAACCTGACACTCACCTTCTTACTTCTTCCTGTACCTCTTATTCTCCTATTGTGCTATCGGCCTCCGCGTTTGATACGTTTGATTGGTCGCTGCTGCGTTTCATATACATACCTATATAACCTATCGTTGAACACGAACCCGTAAGTCCTCTTTTTGGTCCCTCGAAGCGTTCTCTCCTTGCTGAAACTCGTTCGTCTCGTTTGACCGTCTAGTACCCACTTCCGACCATCTTCCTCCTCGACTTTACACTCTTCCTTTACCTTCCCCGCACCTCTTCCTCCTCCCCAACCACATCTTCACCCACAAAGCCTCATAATCCCAATCCACATTCCCGAAGAGCTCCAAACCACAAACCACCACCCACAATGGGAAACACATCCTCCTCCTCCCGCCGCTCCCCCAAAGCCTCCCGCTCCAACTCCCGCATCTCCCTCCCCATCCCCGGCAGCGTCCCCAACACCACCTCCGCCCCCGGCTCCGCCATCCCTCTCATTGTAGGAAGCCGGCGCGACTCCTCCAGCCCTACCGCACATCAAGACACCCAGACCCAGAACAGGAATAGAAATGAGGAACAGGAGCGGGAAGTGAAGGGCGTGAGAGTCCCGGAGAGCACGCAGCAGGTTATTAGGGATGTCGTCCATGATACGAATGCGGAGCGAGAGAGCGAGGGCGAGAGGGTTAATGGGCATGGATATGGTGGAGCTGTTACGTTTGGAGATAGACCGATTTCGGAGGCGTTGATGAGGATGATGCCTGGTGCGATGAAGAGCACGCCTCCGTCTGGTTCGCCTCCCAAGTCGCCTCAGCCCCAGCCAGAGCCAGAGCCAGAGCCAGAGATTGCGATCCCATCTCCATTGCCTTCATTATCCCCATCCCCATCACCTTACCAGCCTGAACCGACACCCCAGCCCTTGACCTCCGAGACCACCCCCGGCTCAGAAGTAGAATCCCAACCCCAACCGCAACGCCGACCATCACCCACCCGAGCAGTCACCGCGAACGAATGGAACGAAGAAGAGCGAGAGAGCGAAGAAGGAGAAGAGGAGGAGAGTGATACGGAGCAGAGGAGGACGAGCGCTACGATTGGGGATATGCAGGATATGTTGAAGAGGGCGGAGAGGGAAGCATTAGCGACGAGGGGCAAGGGTGGTTTGAGGTGGGATGGTGATGTCGACTCAGAGGACGCTAAGACTGTAGCTGAAGCACCCGGTGCGTTTCCCATTGGCGAGGAGAGTAAGGCCTGGGCGGAGCATGAAGTTGAGAAGGATGTCTCTGAGCGAAATGAGGTCGAGCAGGATCAAGAGCAGGAGGAGGTTCCGAGAGCGGTGAAGCGCAAGCGAGGGGACGATACGCCTGTCGATGATACTCGTATGACGTTCAGGCCTAGGAGCGAGGTCGAAGCCGAAGAGTCCTCCAGTGGCGAGTCTGACTCCGAATCCAGCTCGCCACACGACGAAGAAAGTTCAGTAAGTTCCGACTCTGTTGAGGAACAGGATCTCGGAGAACGTCGCGTCGGGAGTGACGAGGACGTCCCCATCCCTCACGGTCCCTTCGAGTCCGTCTACTACGAGCCCACCTCTGCCACCTCTTCCCCCACATCCTCTTCTTCCGGCGAGCTCAATTCCGTCTTCTCTCCCCCTCACTTCGACAAAGAGAGCGAGGTCGCGGTTCATCACGGACCGACGATCGCTACTTCCAGGTCTCGGTCGCCTTCGCCCTCGAGTTCTCCAAACCCATATGCGATCGCTCTCCCGCAGACGCCACAGCAACGCACGCCACACACTCCAGTTTCCGCTATTCACCTCCCCAGCGCGGGCCACTTCCTCCCGCTCGCCTACTCCAGTCGCCATCCCTCGTACTCGCCCGACCACGGCCACGAGCATGAGCATGAGCACGAACACCTCCACCCCAACGACTCGAAACCATCGCCCTCGCCCTCGCCCCAAGTCCACGCTGCCCCCTTCCCTCTCCCTCCACCCATCGTCAGCACTGACATCATCTCGGTAGCAGCTCCGATCCCTCCAGCACGTCCAGCACGTCCCGCTCATGCTCGCGAGAACACGGTTTACTACCCTGCCGAACCCGAACTGCACGTCGACAGCGTGGTCGAGGAGATGATGACCGCTGCTCCAGTCCCCACTCTCGACCCTTCACTCACAATCGACGAGGACTCCTCATTGTCACCCTCACTCCCAATCGATCAGGATCCTTACGGCGATCTGGCGCACACGCCCATTCGTCCCCATGCCACGGATAAGGACGGCCACCACGTCGACATGTTTCATTTCTTCACGGGAGCGACGGAGCAGTCACAATTGCCTTCGCCTACAAGTAGCAATGAGTTCCTCGACCATCAGGACCAGCAGGACCGCGACCGCGAGGCGGAGTTCGACCGTTACTCTCTTCCGGACTTTTATCGAGAGGTCGAGGAGGGCAGCGAGGCTAAGCTTAGTCCCAGTTACGGAGAATTGGCGGAGAGACTTCAGCTCAGCAGGAGTCAAGTCTCGGTCGGTAGATCTCCGTCACTTGCGCCGCCACAACTTCCCGAGCAGCATCCTTCGCCGTCTGCCGTTCTCGAGCAAAGTTTCCGTTTGGAGTCCAAGGTCCAGGAGCCGGAGCCGGTCGTAGTCGTCGAGCCTCAGCAGCCACCGTCGCCTGCGTTGTCGGGGAGGTCGCCTGACCAGCTCCCAATCGTTTCACCGCCAATTATCAGTCCAGTTCCGGAACCTAAGGAGAGAAGTATGGACGTTCTCGAGGCGGGAGTGTATCTTATGTCGGACGAGAGGTGGGATACGTCCGTCGACCTTCACGGTGGCGATCATAGATCCGCCATCGCCTTCGGCCACCATGGCGGCGACAATCAACAGGTCAGCAGTCTTCCCCTTCCTCAATATATGAGACGACGTACTAAATCACGATGTTTCTGATTTTCAGTGGGAGTTCGTTCCACTCGGCGAAGGATTTGCGATTCGTAGCCTGAAGAACTCGACTTGGATGTGCGTGGAAGGCGAGGTTGTCCAGAATGCGGCGGTGGTGACGTCGAAGTTCCCTGTAGCCTGGGATGTGGAGGTCGTTGAGAGCAGCGAGGAGGACGAGGATGTCGTGGTCAAGTACGTTCATATGTCCTGCCATTGTTTTCTCTCTGGTCCGAACTGACGAGCGGATCTCCGTAGGATTCATTGGCCAAACTCCAACCTACTGTTCGGATTAGCGGACACGAAGCCTGGAACACAGGTCAGTAGATAGTGTTATCGGTGCATATGCGGAGACGAACTGACCGGTCTGGTGGGATCCGCACAACAGGTACGGCTCACGAACATCATGCAGCACGACGTGAGCAAATGCTGGCGCTTGCGTCCTCGGGTCTCTTCTGGCCAGGTGGTCTCCTCGTTCGAGACGCAGCAGCAGAGACAGGACGAAGATGCGATGACTGTCACGACAACTACGACGACTACGACGGTGAAGACGGTTACGAAAGTCATGAGAAAGGGAACGTACTAATTATGGAGGGTATACGATATGGCGAAGTATTCTCATTTATGTTCGGGCTAGGATGGCGTCCGTATACGCACGGAAGCGAAGAAGGCGCTGGTGTCGTCATTGGTATTCGGCTCTATTGCATAACTTATGATCTGTCAGTGTTGCTGTATCGCATATAACGCTCGTTTTGTATCTGTCTATGAAAATTCACCATGTCTCACTTCCTTTCTTCGAAACGCTCTTCTCTAAACCCACCTATCATGCTGCAAACCGGAGTATACACCATTACCGATGCGACTTGGAATACCGCGATGGATCTGTCTGGAAAGGACAACAAGTCCGTTATTTCCTACACAAAGCACGGGATGGATAATCAGTTGGTCAGCCAACTGCAGCACTCGGATTGACTTATACCTGGAAACTCACGATATTTCACGACTGTAGTGGGAGATTATTCCCCTCGGTGCAGGTTACGCCATACGCAGCATTAGGAAAGGAACCTATATCACAGTCGACAATGCGCTAGAGGAGGAATCGTTTGTCATCGCCACCGATTTCCCCGTAGCCTGGGACATTGAAGTCTCACGGGTGGTGGCGGATAGGAAAGACGATGAGGGCGTCACTGTCAGGTCGGTGAATATGACCGTTATGTTGGATATTCGTCTCAAATCCAGTCCTGCTATGGCGATCTAGTATCAAGTGGCCGGGTAGCAAGCTGAGCATAGGTCTGAAGGAAAAGGATGCGAATACACCGGTAAGCCGCGGTGTATAAAATAATGCAGTACTAACTGACGTCTATCTGTCAGGCAACTCTCGTGAGCGAATCGACCCAGGGCCCAAGCCAGCAGTGGAACTTGTCGCTTAAAAGATTAGGCACTCCTTAAGGCGATGATGCAGGACGGATTGTAAGAGTTCTAGATATAGAGTGCATTGGCGTCCTCGAGATGGGAGATAGAATGGCTATGAATGCAATGTCTAGAAAACTATCACGATGGTCGTGAGTATGAAAGCTGTGACGAGGACGGAGAAGGCTGGCTACTAGTCTCGAACCCGTGAAAGACGAAGAGCTTGATTCGCCACCTGTTGTTTGTTTTAGTATTCTATTGTTTGATAGGTGGGATATTCTCGCATGCATCGATAAGGAAGAGGCTATGCTTTGTATAAGCATGATCACAGGTCTGCCTGAGTATAAGAAGCGCACCTCAGGTATGACCTCCGCTGTCTTCCAACCACCACCTCAGGCCCAACTCAGCGCGCCACCCATGATAGAACCTGGCGTGTATACCCTCACCGATGCGACGTGGAGTATGGCTATGGATCTATCGGGGAAAGACAGTAAATCGCTCATTTCTTACACGAAGCATAGCCTAGACAATCAGATGGTTAGTCCTAATTTTGCTTTTGGCATAGTACGTCACTTTAGAGATGTTTACTCACGCTTGATTTGGCCACAGTGGCAGATCATTCCACTCGGCGCAGGCTACTGTATTCGTAACGTCAAGTCCGGGTTGTATGTGACTGTTGACAACAGCCTTCAAGAGGACACTACTCTTGTTGCTACGAAATATCCTGTGAGCTGGGATATAATTGTGAAGGGGGGGATAACGCAGAGAAGTGAGGATGGGGTCACTGTGGTGTCAGTCTGGAGATCTTTTATCGTTCAAACCCATAGTATGCTTACCTCAGTGGTTTACCTTTCCGAATATCTAGTGTCAAGTGGCCCGAGAGCGACCTATTTATAGGAAGTAAAGATAAGACGCTGAACACCAAGGTACGGACTTTCACTTGGAATAAAAACGAAGCTCGAGGTTGACGAATACATCAATGGCAGTTGACGCTGATGAAGGCAGCATCGCAGAAGACTGCTAGTACGCAGTGGAAACTTGCACTGAAGAGACTCGGGTCTCCTTAACCGTCAGCGGGAAACATTTCTTGCAAGGAGGGTCACAGGCATATGCGGCTATGTGGCCCGTCGAGCTTAGACGAGTGAAGTGTTCCTGCAAGCTACCAATTAGACAGGGATGAGAATATATTCCAGAATTCAAATCTTTCCAGAATATCGTCAATACCTCCTGTTAGAATACTGCTGTTTGACGTACCTTTTCGTATGCGATTTCGACCTCTGGTTCAGCCGTTTCATCTTTTACTACCACCGCCATTTCCTTTGCAGTTGCCTTGCCGTACTCTGGCACCCTCGTTCCATTGGCGTAGGCCAATTCACCTCTGAGATCCTCATAGAACTCTTTTGTCATTCCCGCCTTCTCCCTAGCCTCCTCGTTGAATGGTCCTTTGATCTCCCCCGTCCATCCTTTCCGAACCTCCTCTCTAAACGTACTTACTGGATCTACCCCGTCCTTCGCACAGACCCATGTAAACCACCTATGACCCGTTGTGACGTGCGTTACTTCGTCTGCGTGGATAATCTCGAGAGACTTGACGCTCTCTTCGTCTCCTGAACGGGCAAACTTGGCAATGGTAGCGGGATTGACATCGAGCCCTCGTGCTTCATGTACGAGGTGAATGATAGCAAGTCTGGAACGAAGGGATGGGAAAGTTATCCGGGCAGATTCCCAGAGGGAGGCGTGAACGGGAAGTGATCCGTAGGCCGTGCCCATGGAGGCGAGACGGGCGGTCAGGAGAGAGAAGTGTTTGGATTCGTCGAGAGCCATCTTCGAGAAATCGGAGAAAAAAGCAGGCGGTATGTCAGGATGGTCCGGCCCAAAGCGCGCTATTATATCCCATCTAAAAAGCCGCGTCAGCGTACGAAGAATCGGTGACTGTTGATGTTACACTTACGCTAGGTCAATGCTGGCGAAGAGTGTGAGTATATAGTCCGTGATTATACGCAGGTGAAAGTACTTACGCCCACTGCTCGATGTTCGCCAACGCGTGCAACATTCCTACACGATTCTTACGCTTCCCGGCCTTTGAACGATGGACCATGCTCCTTTGCCAAGCTTCATCTCGAGGAGGTATATCTGGCGGTCGAGGTGCATTCTTCGACCGGTGCCCTATTGATTTAAGCTTCCCTGTCCTGAACTGATGCACTGCGTGGCGTGTACGCTCTACCTAGGCAAAGTCAGCGAAAAGTGGAATTTCCGCACAAAGTAAAGTCCACCTTCAGAGTTGGATGTGGAGTATTCAGGATAAGGACCGCCCATTCCATGAGTGTTGTCGGTGGGTTCTCAGCTGGAACGACTGGTTCCATCTCAGTCTCAACATCCTCGATCGATAGACCGGAGATGTCGACAGGAGCAGGAGGTGGATCGGCAAACTCTGCCAAAAGTTCGGACAACCGTCATACAGTAAATTTTCCCGCGGAAAAAGAGAGGCAAGTACCTTCCGAGACTGGTCGACACTCAACAAGCCGCCAATTGCGTCCTTCCGTAGGGGCCTCCACCCATACCTTTTCGACATCGTCGGTGGGGTCTGTTCGCACCTCTACCGTGTAAGTGCAAGCTCGCAGTCCAGTATCGCTGTGGCCTGTCTCTAGATCGAAGTCGTATCTATTCTATCGCGTTAACTCCGTGCCACACCCTTGAACATCAACGGCCGATTCACCTACCTATGCCACGGACAAACAGCTACAAGGCTAGTCTCAGATTCTTCGATATCGGCATGAGACATATCAGCACCGAGATGCGGACACGTTGATTCCATTGCATAGAGTTGGTTGTAAGCCTGGTTCACTATTTCCCCGGAAATATCGTTTGGGGTGGCAAAATTCGGCTCGCCGTTGGCGAGGGCGAGTCCTTCTTGAGGTGTTGATAGGCGGAATAAGATGAGAGAATGGTAGCGTCCTTCTTGAGATCGCAGGTTGAGAAAGTATCGGAAGTGGGTGAGGAGCTGCTTGTAGGGTGCCACCCTAGTAGGTGAGCTATCAGAAATTTCGTACTTGTAAAAACGACGAAAGAAGTCCTTACTCGATGAAGTCTCTCGATGGACTAGTAGAAGACATGTAGCGCAAATTTTCCACGTAGTCCGTATTGAGAATAACAGGAGAGGTAACTCTGTAGATGTTTCGACGGAGAGTGAAGCTAGCACGATGACGGCAGGTCAAGGTAAAATTTCGTCCTAATATTCCGAGGCGAGAAGAAAGCACTATCATGAAAGCAGTGAAGCCAGCTCGCAGTCAAGAGATTCCAAAGATAAACTGCAAGGCCTGGGTGAAGTATCCTTAGATCGCTGTTAGTACTAGTGTGAAGATGAGATGGCGGTCGTTGAGAGCGAGGTTGTTGTGGCGCTCACTGGAGTCTTGCCACATTTTCCGAATCCATCCGGTTCTCTCCGGCTGATCCGGCTTGACTTGAGGTTGGAAGTTGGAGGCTGCACAAAAGCTGCACCGCGTCGGCCATGCACATTATAATTACACATGGCTCAGGAAGGGACTTTGGATTCGACGCTCGTATATAAGAACACTATCAACAGGAGATCAATTCAACAGACAGATAGATGTCGCCGGAGCGACACAATCCGTCAATACACTAGTACTACATGCGATCATACAGGCAAACTCAAGCTGAACCACGCTAACATGCAACTGAAACGCTAGCATGAATGGAGCTATACGACTACTAGTACGCCGTACATCTGTTTATTGCTGGACAGGAATAGGGACTTCAGCCATCGCTGCCAAACGGAAGATGTGACGAGGCTCCGCCCCACCCTCTCCAACGTAGTCCACGACGGCCGTATCTGTGGAGAAAATATCAGTTAAGAGCAAGATGACAGCTAGCTAACCCAAGTCACTCACGCAAAGTACTACGATTATCGAAGATGACCACAGTCTTTGGCTGCCAATGGACCCTCGCCTGAAAGTCATGTCCCGTAACAATATGCTGCCAGAGAAAGTCGGATAACACGCGAAACTCCGCGTCCTTCATACCCTCGAAACCGGTGATGAACTCGTTGTTGATAAAGAGGCATTCCGACTTCGTGACGGGGTGAATGCGAATGAGAGGGTGGACGGATGTGACAGGGTCCTTGCGGACGAGACCGCCGACAGCGCGAGTGTGGGCGATCATGTTGTTGGAGGAGTGGATGGCTTTGACTTTGTCTAGCATAGACCGGAAGGTAGGGGAGAGGCGTCTGGAACAAAACAACGTACGAGTGAGCATGATACTCATACATGGTGAGAGAGTGGTAACCGCTCGAATATGGAAGGAAGAGGCGTACTTGTAGGCTTCGTCAGTAGCTGCAAAGACGGTATCGCCCCCGACCTTGGGTCCCTGCAAGAGCCCAAGCATAACATACCCAGGCGGCTGCCTCTCATAGCTTACGTCCTGATGCCACAAACAAGATGTCGTCTTCTGCATGAAGAACCTGTCGAGCTCGTCCTTGTTCCCATCACGATGAATGATGTGAAAGCCAGGATGACCTTTCAAGGAGCCGGAAACGGGCTGGTAGTTCGGCTTGCCGAAGTAATTCATGAATTGTTGTTGAGCGCCCGGGCCGATGTCTAGGAAAGCGTCCTGAGCGGGCAATACGACGATCTTGCGCTCGGAGACGAGGAGGGCAAGTTCGTCCTTGCCGGTATTGTCGAGCTTGGAGAGGTCGATGCCGTCAAGGATGGTGCCCATGCGAGGTGTGATCTCGGTCTGCTTCACGTTACCCGTGAGAAGGTGGGGTTTGGAGGGATCGGCGCGCAGCGCTGGATCCTCGAAGGGGAAGGGAGGGAGAGGGTCGAACCAGACTTTGTCGAAAGTGGGGAGGTACTTGGGGTACGGCGTGCCCGCCTCGATCCTGGTCTGCTCCTCCTGGGAGACTGAGGTGTAGGGGAGGTTAATGTCGTAGCTGAGAGGTTTGTCGGATAGGGTTACGGTGACGGTCGAGGACATGATGGTGATTGATCTACAGAGGCGAAAACAAGACCTTGAGTAATTGGCTGTCGCAGGAGGCTGAGAAACATACCGTCGTCTAGGACAAAGAGTGGAGTGCTAACCACCAAGAGTACGCTATTGTGAATTTATATACGCTTGGATGCAGGGTCGACAGGAGTGGGGAATCTGACTAAGTTCATCCAGGGATCAAAGTGTTTAATTCTCGTGTGAGTGAGGTCACGATTTTGACACGGATTTTGCTGAGTAAACCAGCTTCGAACCCTTTTGTAGCTACCTGGCGGAGGTATCAGCTCGCCTCGCTTATACTTAGGTGGAGCATATATTTTGAGTTGCGCCAGAGCATTCAAGACGGCGAACAAAAGGTATCCACAGATATTTTCTTGACCGAAGACCCATGAAACCAGAGGGTAGGAGACTGTAAGGCAGTCTGCAATACACCCACAGGTTATCCTAAGTCGGGTTTCCTTCGAAGCCATGCAGGATCAGCTTTGGTACTAGTTGCAAGAGTGACGGAGTGGTAGCCCTCGAACCATACAGTGGATGTTCTCGCGGATCGTATCAATATTTGTAAGGAGCTATCATATGACGTGCCTTTCTTTCCGTAGACATTCTCACCAGGAGATAAGTGGCCAGGTAGCCCGACAGTGTCCTCGAGGAATAAGCCTTGTCAAGAGACGGATCCAAGGGACAGGGATCGCCACGGAAATGACGGGATGTGTGGGAAGGTGATGGGACCAAGGCAAGAAAGAAAGATCATACAACTGGATGAGTCTGCCGATCTTTCACAGCGCCCTCTATGTAGGATCGCGGATTTCCCAGTCAATAGGCACACAAGCGATAAAGTGTCCATACTTTAGGGAGTCGAGTGAAACGCACCAGACTATTACAAGGCCGTGGATGGGGCAATGACCAGTGACCACAATCTCTGCTCGTCGCAGCAAATCTAATGCGTGAAGATTCCACTCGTAGGCTTGGAAACGACCTTGCGGCAGGATATTAATAGCATTGGCAGTCTATGGTTCAACGAGACAATGATGCGAAATGATACACGAATGTAGGACGGAACTTCGTGAGCATCACCTGGTACCTACACGCATGAACAGCAGTTCTATCTGTATCGGGTCTTGAGGAAGCAGAACATACGTTCCTCGACCCGTTGAGCAGTCTCAATGCAAGGGATTGGCAACTTTATCGACGGTCAAAGGCAGGGTAAAACACCTCGGAAATGAGAGGTAAACGACCAGGCCCCAAGAAGCTCGAAAGATCGACGTTGGTAGTGGCTATCAGCAGGTTGAAGATGAGTAAATACTCGAGAGCGACAATAGTTGTACGAGGTGGCCCGAGTCGAAGTGGTCGAAAGAAAAGAAAGAAAATGCGCTGACTAAGCAATCAATAAACGCGAGTCACGTTGAGCGCCACAAGCGCGAAGTTCATTGTTCTCTCCCTCCATCCATGCGTCGTGTCGCGTACTATTCTCTACAGAGCTGTAGACAGACTATTGTTTGAGAACAAAATTCTACCAGCTGCTAGGCCTTCAACTCACCCGTCGCTACTGGTACCGACGAGGACAGCAAATAACACAGCTGAGACTTATGACCCACCAGAAATCCACGCAGCAGAGCACGTCCAGGGGTATCGGTGCTATTGATTCGCACTCCGTTCATCGTATTACATCTGGACAGGTTGTCATAGACCTTCAGACAGCAGTCAAAGAGCTCGTGGAAAACAGCCTTGATGCCGACTCGACGAGTATTGGTATGTGGTTTGTCCGTGGGGAAAGGACAATGATAATCAACGATTTTTATGGGTGAAACTGCCTCGATATACAGAGGTTCGCTTCAAAAATTACGGTTTGAAGAGTATCGAGGTCATTGACAACGGAAGTGGGATCAAACCCGAGGACTACGATGCTGTCGGTGAGTAGCCATCACGTTTAGGACTCCCACAGCTCCAGACTACAGCTACATTCTCTAGCTCTCAAGCACCATACGTCGAAATTGTCCCAGTTCGCCGACCTTACATCCATCCATACATTTGGTTTCCGTGGCGAAGCTCTGTCCTCCCTCTGCGCCCTCTCCGAATCTGTTACCGTCGTAACCGCCTTGCAGGACCAAGCCCCCATGGGTACTATCCTTGAATTTGACGCTACCGGACGTCTGTCTAGTAAGACAGGGAAAACTGCAAGGCAGGTGCGTTTCACTCACCCCTTTGGCCGCCCTCCTTTTCCTTCACACTCATCATATTCGTGACTTAAGACTCAGTGTCACTGATTTGTGTCCCGAAAGACAGAGAGGAACTACAGTCACTATAAATAACCTGTTCAAGCCTTTGCCCGTACGGCTGACAGAACTAAAGCGAAACATCAAACGCGAATACACCAAAGCTCTTAACCTCCTCATTGCCTATGCTCTCGTCCCTTGTTCCCCATCTCTACAGTCCCCAGGTGTTCGTCTGACTGTTTCGAATCATCCAGATGGCGGGTACGTTCTTCATGGTTCTTATTTCTCAGAGTTAGCGTTGTTGAGTGATGGTGTGTTAAACCATCTGGTGCTCTGAACAGACGCAAAACCATCCAGCTGCGAACGGAAGGCCCAGCGAGCGGCAATGCTAGTACCTCAACGTTAGATGCCAGGACTTCGCTCCGAACCGCCGTGTCGTCCGTCTGGGGGCCAAAGGCTCTCGAGAATATCGTCGATTTTGAACTGTCGTTCGACGTCGAGCCGGAGAAAAGTATGCTCAGACGTCGTGCACTTGCAGCAGCTGATGACGGCGATGATACAGATGCTAGGTCAGTGCTACTTTCACCTGATATATGTGCAGGAACCAGAGGTGACCTAGAACTTTGATCTTCGCAGGCACCGGATTCAAGTCCGAGGTTTGGTATCTAAGTTCGCACCTTCGTGTGGACGGAGTGGGACGGACAGACAATTCTTCTATATCAACGGTCGACCGTGTAATCCTGTCAAGGTCCGTTGTTCCGGGCAAAAAAAGATCTGACCGTATCGCTAATCTTTGAGTGTGTTTGTCGCAGGTGCAAAAGGCGTTCAATGAAGTATACAAGACTTTCAATGCGACTCAGAGCCCATTCGTCATGGCTGACTTCATCATTCCTACCGGTAGGCCCGCGCTCTAATCGTCTACCTGTGCATGCTTTTTGTTCTGATGCCCTTTCCTTCTGTGATCCAAGACTCATGCGATATCAACGTCTCCCCGGATAAACGGACTATTCTCCTGCACAGTGAAGGTCACCTAGTCGAAGCCCTGAAGGTTCGAACGACTCACTTCTATCCTATACCTCGCCTTGTGATGTTCTAACGACCTATATCTAATGCAGAACGCGCTCAACGAATTTTTCGCCCCCACACGCTCTACCTTCGACCTATCCTCAACACAAACGCAAACTCAAAGCAAACTCGATCTCAAGATCAAACCCAAAGCTACCGAACACGCACCTTCGGACGATGTCACAGGGGCGCAGGATACGGAGGATGTGGAGATGGCAGATGAGACGCTTGGTCTAGACACCGCTGAGACTTCGACATCGACTCCAAGGTCCATTGGCTCCATGCCGTCCTCGCAGTCACAGTCGCAGTCAATTGGGAGGCCGTCGTCGTCTCGACAATCTCAAGTTGCAAGTGCGCCTGACAGCGACGTAAAAGCTACACCCGAACCCTCGCATTTGCAGCCTAATAAGGAGACTCCACTCTCGAAGGATAGTGATGACGATGCATCAAGCCATCCTCACGTCGACGCGACCCCGCCTACTCCTAGTCTCGCACAGACTCGCCCTACCGTTCCACAGCGTCAGCTCACGGCATCGACCTCGACAACGTCCAACTCATCATCTCCCCAATCGACCCTCGGTCTAAAATACACCAGCACATCTGTCAATTCTCGCCATGAGCAGACGATTTCACGGATAATCGCAGGCGCAGACGACGGTTCCGAATCTGCTTCTCTGTCTCGGTCTCGCTCCCAATCGAAGTCGGGTGGCGGTGGCGGTAGTTCGAATGGCGTGGACGTTGGTGGCGGAGCTCGTGGAGTTGGATCTGGGGTCATTGTCATGGGAGTAGACACGGGAAGAGGAGGTGAGAGCCGGAATGGGAAGGGAAAGCAACAACAGATGACGTTGGACGGAGCGGGTGTGACCTGGAGCTTGAAGAAGAAACAGTCGGTGGAGGAAGAAGAGGATAAGAGCGAGGATGGAACAGATAGCCCACCGAAGAAGAAAGCTAAATTCAGCGTCGAGCCAAGGACGTTGACTGCCACCGAGAAAGGCAAAGGCAAGGAGAAAGATGCCCCGGTGGTAACCATGAATAATGGGATAGGGAGTGCGAGGGACAAGTTGAGGGACAAGTTGAAGGGGATGGGGCTTGGAGGGGTAGGTCCTGCTGGAGGTGGTGACGATGAAAGGAGGAATGTCACGCTTGACGCAGAAGAGGACTTAGAGGAGGAGATGGACGTTGATGCGGACGAGGGAAGTGAGATGGATGGCCAAAATAAGGCCGGTGATGACTCAGCGACCGACGAAGAGGATGTGGATATGGAAGATGCCCCTTCATCTGCATCCGGTCCTGCCAAAAACTCACGTTCAGTCTCGGAATCAAAGCCCACCATACCCGGACGTTCCTCCAGAACACAATCGCAGACACCCGCTTCCTCTCAGATTATTGACTTGACATTCAGCGACGATACGCCATCCGAACCGTCCACGTCGAATCACAGGCCCGACCGCGTACGGGAGACCGATGAGGGAACTGCTCCACTCCAGAACTCGTCTGATCTAGGCCGCCCGTCCCAACTATCCACTAACACCACGCCTCTCTTTTCCTCCGACGATGCCCCACGACCTGAAATTGAGCGTACCTCCTCACTATCCGTCACAGACACCCCGACACTCTCTTTTGACCTCTCGCGTGTAACCAGCAAATGGAAAGCCCTCCGTTCACGCCTAACGAAGGCGCGAGAAACTACCACCGCCCAAGCCTCGTCTCAGTCACAATCCAATGTCAATGCATCTGAGGAGGTAGCAGGGGCAGGGATCACATGTACGGACGGCTCGAAAGCGGACGAGGTCCTAACACGAGTTCTACATAAAGAGGATTTCGGTATCATGGAGGTCGTAGGACAGTTCAACCTTGGGTTTATCGTAGCGAGGAGGCGCAAGGGTGGGCAGGGCGCGAAGAATGGAGAACAGTTGGACGATCTGTTCATCATTGATCAGCACGCAGCGGACGAGAAATATAAATTCGAGACGTTGCAGCAGACGACGAAGATTGAGAGTCAGAGGTTGTTTAGGTACGCGTTATTCATCCTTCCTTACTGTTCAACGTCGTGAAAGCTAATGGTCAACGCCTCAGACCACGGGAGTTGGAATTGACCGCGGCGGACGAGTTGGTGGCCATGGAAAATATTTCGGTCCTCAAGCAGAATGGCTTTGAGATCCTCGTCGAAGATGATGAGAAGCCTATTAGTGGAGTTGGCGACACTGATATCCCCCTAGCTCAGGCGAACGAACGAGCTGAGCTTGGTATGGCCGTTTACAACGACGAGGAAGGCTACGAAGGATCGGCCTCGCTCGAAGGTTCATCTGGAAGCAGGAGGAGGGTCAAACTAGTGGCGCAGCCGATCAGCGGGAATACCGTCTTCGATGTCGAAGGTCCGTCAGCACTCTCGTTTGAACCATGGCTGGGCTTCAATGCTTATGTTTTCTGTCTTCTCAATAGACTTCGAAGAGCTGCTGCACAAGATGCGCGACCTTCCGACTGGCACCATGGTACGTTGCTCTAAAGCGCGAGCAATGTTTGCCAGTCGTGCTTGCAGAAAAAGCATCATGGTTGGTATGGCCCTGGAAAATAAACAGATGACTTCGGTGCGTTCTCCCTGGCGCCTTTCAAATAATGGTCCACATGAACTGACGTTTACCTTGTGTGGTGTCTAGGTGGTACGCCACATGGGTACCATGGAACAACCATGGAACTGCCCTCACGGGCGTCCCACGATGAGACACTTGACGGATGTAAAGGCTGTGAAGAAAACCAAGAAGGATCGTAAGATTGATTGGACCGGTTTCGGGATGGTTTGATTGTTGACGATCTGTGGTTTCGAGAATCTGAATTGCTGATCTACTGGTACATTTCCGTGGACTATCTTGACAGATTGACAACTGCTACTTGCTACATATCTCAGGCTAGACTGACACAGAAATGCTCCTATTGCGCGACTATCCCTTCGCCTCGTTCAACTCATGCGCCAGTTTGACAACATCATTCTACGCAAGCCAGTCAATCAGACGAACAATCTTTCAACACAGCGGACAATAAATACTCACCCCATCACGAGAGATCTTCACGGCGGGATCGCCCTCTTTAGCGTTTCTAGTGATGGTGTTACCCTGCGCAACGACAGACATCGATGTCAACTCCCTAGGTCTACGAGCGTAGGCCGGACGCTGAAACTCACTTTGTTGCTTGTGACCTGGGCCTTGCCTTCCTCGGCGATCTCTGCGACCTTCCCAGACGCCTGACCCCCTCCCCACTTCCACCTGTTCGTGCGATATATTCGACTAGTCAATATCGTCTCAGGTCAGGGGTGGATGGAGAAAGGTAGTACTCACGTGACGTCCTGGCCTTCTTCAAGTTTGTCTGCCATTATTCTGCAGATAATGCTATAAATTGGTGGTGGTGGAGAGGAGCGTGGAGGAGCAATGGAACAGGGTAGGCGAAGGATTCGGCGAGCAAGACTGAAGTACTCAATTCTGAATCTTCCGATCTCGAGCGGATAATGACGCACAAAAAGTCAGTGACTGATACTTTGGAACTACTCTGCGTCATCGAACAGATTGTCCGATTTGTACTGGTTCAGAAATCGATATTAGACTGCTATATATGGCTCCGACGAGGTTCCAAAGACAGGGTGGCGGTCAGAGAGAAACAAGGATGGTGTGGCGCAGATCAAACGCCGCCAGCGGAGTTCGAATCGAATCATTTGTGTGGCGCGGAGCCGGGCTCTGACTCTGGTTCCATTCATAGTTCTGACTTGGTTCTGACTCTTCTGCCTCTCCGTCTACATAGCTTGACACAACCACGACCGTCAACTCTCCTACAGAATCGTACTGAACGTCTCCGCACAAATGGCGTCTCGCGAACCTGCCAACTTGGCGACTCTTCCGACCGAGCTTATACATGTCATCTGCGTGCAGGCTTTGGTCGCCGCGAAGCCTCTACCGTCCACAGAGTTTGTGGGGAAACAGGGGAAGAGAGCCGAAATCGTGTGTTTCTAGTAATGCTCTACACTCATCCCGACCTTACCAACCTTTTAAAGCCTATAGCCTGCCGCTACCGAGAGTGGACGCTCGGCCTTCGGCTAATCTGTCGCACCATGAACGCAGTGCTTGAGCCTCTAGTCCTGAACCGTCTCACTCTGAACAGGGAGGATCTACTGTCGGGAGCATCTGGCATCCACGAGATGCTTGAGACGATCGCATCTGGGACTGCTTCTCCAATCGCAAAATACACGAAGAGCCTGTTCATTGGCTCGCTTCATGATGTGTCCTCCGCCGCTGATTCCGATGAATCGGACATGGCTGGAGGTCCGATTTATCCAGAGGAATATGAAACTCACAATTATGATGAAGAGGTCGAGAACGACGGCGAAGATGAGGGAGATCCGTCCTTGTATGGTTCACGGCATGATTTGGGTCAGCATATCCAGGGCATATTCAGCTATCTTGAGGATGTCGAGGATGTCGCAGCGGAGGATGATCTAGCCAACTTCCAAGACGACGATGCGGAAACGATATTGCGAGTTTCTCGTCTCATACGAGACGCTCTCATCAAATTCTCCACCCTGGAATCGTTCAGGTACGATGTCTTCGGTTTCTGAACCACGACAGTACTAACCTTTGCTCATCCAGATGGAACATCAGAGCTGCCAGCCATAAGACTCATGTCTTTTCCGCTGTCACAGAAGCCCTTTCAACCCTTCCATCATTGTCCAATGTAGCCTTCGGTATCCACCGAGAACGACTTAACCTTCCAGCTCTTCCGACCTTCCCGAACACGGAAAGTCTGTCACTGTGTATATATGGCCTTGGATGCTGTCACAGAAGCTCTGTGGAGATGTCCGAGCTCATCTCTACTATGGCGAAGACCCTTCCGGCATTCCCAGCTGTCGAAAACTTATCAGTCCACAGCTATAGCTACGAAGACCCCACCATCAAGGACGTCCTATCTTACTGCTCTCCCGAACGCGCACCGCTATTGAAATCTCTTAACCTGCTGAACGTCCCCTTCGTCGTGGACGATACCACGATCCCCTACCTCCGACACTTGGAGACTCTTTCCACTATCTTCATGATAAACTCGGGAGGAGCGACCGCTTCCAAAGGAACGTTGCCCGCAGACCGCCACGGATCGACAAGTTTACGGTCCCTCACCGTAGATAGTTACTGCGACAGTTCAGCCTTCTCCATCGTTCCTCCCTCCGGTCTACGCCACTTATCACTCCTAAGGATGTCTACATGGGGCAATGCCGACATGCCATTCACCCGAGTCATGTTCGACAACCTTTTGACAGGAAATGCTGAAACGCTGGAGAGCCTGGCGGTATTGCCATCGGACGATGTCTCGGATCCCGAGGCTCGAAGCTGGACTTACGATGACTCTATGATGGCTATGATGGCCAGATGCCGCAAGCTCCAGCATTTGGCCGTCATTATCGCTGTCGGACAGAATAGCGCTGCCGACGCTTTAATTGTGGTGCGTCATACAGGTCTCCCTGACTCGCTCTTTATTACATTAGCCTTTATTGACAACAAACTGATCGAACACCCTCTCCCCCTTGCATCAGAGGAAGGTCGTTGCCTCTGTTTGTGAACTTGATCAGCCCCTGCGTACACTCGCACTTGATCTTTACGATACTAGCATCAGCCCTTATACCGGTTTACGCTACAGTCGACTGCGTCCCACTGTCGTCCGGGAGTTCATCAAACAACTCGAGTCCATCGTCATTCCTGACCCTGAAAGCACGGATGCTAATCCTCATCACTATCCTACCTTCATACGCATCGGCGATCGCACCGCTTCTTATCGCCTTAGTCGGTCGGGTGTAGGTGATGTTCGATACGTGCGAATGGAGTGGGACGAAGTGGAAAGTTTGGTGTCGACGTTGCCTGGAGGAGAGAGCGCACGCCTCTGGTGAAGTAAAACTGACCTATCTACGGTATTCCTTGGTTTTCATATCGCTCCATCGTGTTTTGATTTGCATGCTTTCGTTGACCTTTGTTGTTTCTGCTTTCACGACGTTGTTACTTGCTTGTTTTCATGCCACGTCCCATAAAATCTGTGTTGCCGCCTCTGATATGTTTTGGATCGTTTACCGTTATTCACACTAAGTATGTGTCATGGTCTACTCGAATTTTCCATCAAAAGCAGGAGACAGATTATCATCACATTTGCGGAGAGTGATTATTACATACATGCAGTTCATCTCCGGCACCAGAATTGTAGCCTGTTGTAGCTTGGTGAATTAATACTCCTCCATTCGCGTTGTGGCCCCAAGGCCCTGGTCGCGGGTGGCACTTTTTCAACTCCGATGTGGAACATCCCGCAACTCTGACACAGTCAAGGGTTCGACTTGTTCTTCGTCCCTCGTCGACTATCTTATCCTGGCACTTTTACTTTTGCCTTTGGAACTTCTTGGATCTCGACGCAGCTGCTTTTCCGTCAGCCTCTTTTGCGCACTACAAACACTCGACTTTGGGCTTTACCAGAGAGAAGTCCAGCCTGCCGAAGGCTCTTCGTCCGAATCACTGTTGCTTTTGTTCGTGCTGGCCCAGGCCCATTCACGTCCAACATTATCTCCATCTACGGCACTAAAAATCTCGTCCATCAAAAGGCTACTACTCTACCCCAGATTGGAATCGATCACATCACTCTACTCTTATCATGAAGTGCGCCGCTGGCCCCGACACGCTTGACGAGCAGCCATCCAATCAGCTAAACTCCACGGATTGGACTGCTAACGTGTCTGCTACGAACGTCACGGAGTGCTTTGCTCACTCAGCCTCGACTTCCACCACAATGAAACGTCCTTCAGAATACTCCCCTGACGAGCGCGATCCCAAACGTTCTAAGATGGCCAGCATCGCCGAGGATGAGCCTGCTCGTGATTCGGCGCCTACGATCCTTCTTCACCATCGGAGTGGACCTGCTATACGTGGTTTAAAGAACGATTGGATCAAGGCAGAGGGAGATCCTGCTGATTATGCCAAGGAGGTTATGCGAAGCGGTCTATACCGCGGCTTTACTCGTGTTTTAGTTCAATGTGACGTGGTCTCACTGTGGCAGTTTGATCGCATGGGGGTCATGCACTCTCGCAGGTTTTTTTGTGCCCGAGGAAGACGGCAGATACTCTTTTATCTCGCTGTCGCTATCGTCCATTCCGGGTTCAATAAGTTTAGCTTTCAGCTGATGGTAGATTACGCTAACCGCGACGCCTTCAAGTTTCCTCCCTTCATCGATGCGTATCTATGGCCCGAAGCACATGACAAACTTCGCGAGCAGGATTTCTTCGCTCAGATTCGATTTCTCTATGATTACCCGTCTTCGTACGAGGCTCTTCTGTTCAATTATAATGACACCGTTCTTTGTGTGGACCACGATCTCCAAGTTTCCTCGAGCTGGCCTTTCGAGACCGAGCCCGCCCATTCCTCGACGAAGGACACGGCTCCTTCCTCAGCAGATGACGCGTCTCCTGCCCCGACGAGTAACAGCTCTCCTCTTTCGACAAACGATACATCTCCTCCACACTCCTCTCTCACAACCAGCTTTGCGATTACTGGACGACCAATCTACGCCCAGCCTGGTGTTACGGGACGGGGCACCGTTGTATATCCGCTTTCCCCTCCCCAAGGTGTGGTCGACTATGATCCCAAGGAACCCCTGGTCGCGAAACTCAGCTGGCAACCTTCGGGTCGTGCGGCTGAAGCGAGAATTATACGTTACATCCGTAAGGCGATCCCAGACCGCTGGAGAAACCATGTCACAGACGTCAAGTGCTCCAAACAGGTGGCCGCGAAGGCGATGGCTCTGCCCAGGCTGAAGTTGATGAGGAATATGACTGAGAGTGTGAAGAAGAGGTTGGAGGTTCCAGAGGTTGCACAAATGAAGAAGTGGGCGAAACGCAGGAGAGAACTGCGATTCGAACAGGAGTGGAAAGATGTTTTTGATGCCTTCGAAGAGCGCGACTTCCACGCTATAGTCACTACGCGTTACTTGCCGTTGAAAGAGGTGAAGAATGCGGACGAGTTCATGACGGTCTTCAAGGATGTCGTGAAAGGTGTGTGTATCCGCCCTGTTCGTTTTCTTCTTGCGATACTCACTTGGTGGGTTGAATTTTTTAGTGCACTACGTTATCTATAAGACGACTGGGATTCTCCACCGAGACTTGAGCGTCAACAACGTTATGTTCATCCGCTGTAACGACCGTGTGTTCGGCATACTCAACGACTGGGACCTCGCAGTTCCCGAAGCCCAATCCTCTCCGCCGACTGTCTCTCACCGCATGGGTACCGCCGCTTACATGGCCCTCAATCTTCTCAAGAGCCCCGATAATTCTGTCCCACACCTATACTGCTACGACCTCGAATCATTTGCTTGGATTCTCATATGGTGCGCATACGTGCTCCTCTTTAACGGGAAGGAGGTGCCCTTCAATGAGCGCGAAAAAGACATTCAGAAATGGACTGACAACGGAGAGTGGCGGATGATCAGATGCGTCAAATTCGCGTTCATCATAGAAGAAGATCCACCGACAGACTCCATTACCCCAGGCATGAAAGGTCTTCTCGCGAGCTGGATCTCCCCAGTAATGGAGGGGATACACGATACATTCGTGCGCCGTTTGATTGCGCGGAAGAACCGATCTCTCCGGTGCCCTTTGGTCGAAAATGATTTCTTCGTGTTCTCCACTTTCATGAGGGTATTGGAACCAGATGTACCGAACCCAGAGGAGGCCGTATGGGCCACCGATGAGGGCGTTGACAGTTTTCTTCTTTCATTGGCGCCACACTGTATGTTGTCTTCTATTCGTTCAATATCTCTCCCGTGTTGACGTTATGTATGGCTCCCAGAGTTCGATCAGAGTTCAGTTTCATGTTTACCACCCCAACCACTCTAACTGAACGCTGAGTACTTGATATAAGTACACTCCAAGTACACTCGCTGCCGGAATGTGGGGCCGTCTAGGTGTATTCGTACTCGTTAGTGTCCAATCGTCCTTGCTAGAGCCTTTTGTATTCCTGCATTATTTCCCTCCTGTTTACGATAAAAGTGGAATTACGCCAAAGTTTTTCTCGGTTGCGCGTGGCCCTGCCAGTGATCACAGAGGTGGCAAAGAGGCGGCACTTTCGATCGGTTCCTTGGTCCGGCCTTGGATTCATATCGTCACTCCGGTCATGTACGACTGCATTCGTTGAGATAATTTATGATTAGGTGCAGTGGGAGCGTTGTGTAACGACCGACGAATGTCCTCCATTCGTAGAATATCGTCTGAACTGTTAGCCAGCCCTTTGTCCAGCCTTCGTTCGTGTTGTCGCCCAGGCGGTGTCAGAACGTTTGTGGCGCTTTCCAACTCCGCTCGAAATTTGTTGATCAGTGCCAGCCAACCGTGACACGCTCTTTGTTCTTGCCTCCTGGCGGCCTCCACGCATACCATTTATTCACTTTGATCGTGTATCCTTCGCTCAATCATCTGGGATCCCGATTCCTGATCTCAACGGTTCTTCTCCAATCTGGCTCAGACACTGTTTCTATGGTGCTCAAGTCGAACGCTGACTACCGTTTGCACAGCGAACTGGAAGAAGTTTGCACATTCATTACAAGCTCGCTAGTCTGTGGTGATGGAGCGTCGTGCTGATCCAGACGTTCTGTGCGACGAGCCGTGTCTAAAGCGAGCCCCTCCGACGACAGAGCCAATACCGTATGCCCGTGCAGCACGACGCGAGTCTCCTCCATCCCCTCTCGTATCTTCTTCTGCTCCCTCTTGTTTCTTGGTCACTGGCCCTCTCCTTCGTGCACAAAAGGGTGTCCTCGACGAGCGCGGCACTATCGTCATTCCGCTCGCCTACCCTCGTTCCAATGACCCAGCTCAACCTGGCTGCTCCTCGATTGACGAACGCCTGGTCCCCAAAATGAGTTGGCGACCCTCAAATCGATTACCGGAGGATATCACACTACGTTTCATCCAGAGAAAAATACCTACGCACTGGAGAAAATACGTCACTGATCTCAAGTGCTCTGTGAGTCATCGGAGTGATGAGCTTGGTTTACCTAGGAAAAAGATCACAGCTCTAGTGAAGGAGGTCCGGCAGGAAGGTACCGGTCCGAAAGGAGAGGCGAAGTTTCGAGGTGCAATGACTGTGGATGGGACTCAGGATCGTGTCTTTCGTGTCTTGGTGTCCCAGCGATACCTGCCGCTGAACCAGGTCAAGGATAGAGAGGAGTTCAAGACCGTCTTCAAGGACGTTGTCAAAGGTGCGTCCGTTCGCGTTAACGCTTAGTTTCTGATCCTTATAAGCTGGATACTTTCCTAGGACACTACGTTATTTATAAGAAGACGGGGATTCTCCATCGTGACTTGAGCGTCAGCAACATCATGTTCCTCCGTCGTAGTGGCCGTATCATCGGAGCGCTCAACGACTGGGACCTCTCAGCTTCCGAGGTCCGATCCTCCCCGCCGACTGCTCTTCACCGTACTGGTACCGCCGCTTTCATGGCTCTCAATCTTCTCAAGAGACCCGATGGTTCCGTCCCACACCTCTATTGCTACGACCTCGAATCGTTTGCCTGGATTCTCGTATGGTGCGCATACGTGCTCCTCTTCAACGGGAAGGAGGTGAGTTACGACGAGCGCGAAGAAGACGTTCAGGAATGGACTAAGGACGGAAATTGGAAGACCCTCAGTAGCCTCAAATTTGAGTTTATCACGGAAAATCCACCGACAGACACCATTACTGCAAGCATGAAAGGTCTTCTTGAAAGCTGTATCTCCCCAGTCATGAAGGCGATGCGCAATACACTCCTGCGGCGCCGTATGAATGACCGGTCTCCCTCGGAGTCCCCCTTGGTCGAAAATGATTTCTTCATGTTTTCCAATTTCATGAGAGTGTTAGAACCAGCTGTACCGAGCGCAGAGGAGGCCGTATTTGCGGACTGAGGAGGGGGTTTGCAGTTTTCTTCTTTCATTGACGCCAGGTTTTATGCTGTCTTATGTCCTTTCAATATTTTCCTCCCAGTTACGCTACACATGGCTTCTAGCGTTGTTATTCATGTTCACCACAACAACTTTGCTTAGCCTTTTGTTTTTCTGAACCATTTTCCTCCTGTCTACGATAAAAGTGGGATGATACCAAATTTTTCTCATTCCGGGCGCTACTCGATGGCCAGTGCCACTCGTTCGTTGAATGGTGTCTGAATGACGTCATTGTCATAACTTGAAACTTTGCCGACTTCGAACATTCGTTGGTTGTTCGCGATGTTGGTCCTTCCTACGCGTCGCTCGGTCTACCGCGTGTTGCCGACCTCCTTGTTTGACTTACTCTTTCCCTCCATCTGCTCTCGCGAGTTCGACCCTGTAGACCATCGTGAGCTCTTCCTTCTTGTCACTGTTGCTCTTGCTCGTGCTGATCTCCGACGTCTTTGGTTCGACCCTATAATCGTGGCCGGGACGAACACGTTGCCTTTACCTATGCCAGACTATCACGAATTGAGGGAAAAACTGGACCTGCTCGGAGAACAAACGCGTTTTGTCGACCTTCGAGAGCTCTATGGATCCCCCTCAGGATACGAAATCCCATTATCGACATGGAAAGACAGCGTTCTTCGTCTCACCTGTGAACTGGACGGTCTCGATATTCTTGCTTCTGACTCTGGCGATTCGTCTACACAGGTCTACACCAGGCGGCGATCGACCTCCTCCTACCGCCGAGTCGCGACAGAGTACTACCATAGACTTCCCGATCACCGATTCCCTCTCCACGTCCAGGCCGGCGCTACGGGACGTGGCACGATTGTTCTCCCTCTAGCTTGTCCCGATGATAATGCGAGCCTCCAAGCAAGGGATGTTCTTTTGGCGAAAATGAGTTGGCAGCCCGTGAATCGTATGGCTGAGGATGAGACTCTGCGCATCATCCGGAGAAAAATTCCGAAGGCTTGGATGAAGCACGTTACAGATCTCAAGTGTTCGACGACGCTCAACGGCGACACCTTAAACCTACCCAGGAAGGACCTGATGGTTTTTATTGAGGCGCGCGTGAATGCCGTCGCTGCTCTCAGGAAGCCGAAACGAAGAGGGCGTGTTGACAAACACGAGGACTTTTTGGAGATGGCCGATGCGTTCATAGGCCAGGACTACAAGGAGCGCGTCCTTCGAGTTCTAGTCACCCCCAGATATCTGCCGTTGTGTGAAGTCAATAACTTGACGGAGTTCAAGACCGTCTTCAGGGATGTCGCGAAAGGTAAGATTTGGTTGTATCTATATGATGTTCCGTACATCTGACGACACCGCTACTCATACAGTTCACTACGTTATCTACACGAGCTGCAACATTCTTCACCGTGATCTGAGCGTCAACAACATCATGTTCACGCGTCATGACGAGCAAGTTGTCGGAATTTTGAACGATTGGGATCTTGCCGCCTCGACGTCACCGAAGGACGAGGCTACATCCAAGCACCCTCCCGGCACAGTACCCTTTATGGCTCTCGATCTTCTCTGGAACGCTGGGAACGGGAAGCCTCAACCGCACGAGTACCACCACGACCTACAGTCCTTTCTGTGGATCCTGATATGGTGCGCGTTCTCCCTTCGCTTTAACGCGAATCAAGTCGAATCGGCGAAGCTGCCCGATATGATCCAAGAGTGGGCGGCAACAGACGCTTCAAGTTGGAGGACGATCGCAACCACCAAGTGGACCTTCGCGGGGATGGGCGAGAGCTATTTGACGTTTATGACACCTGAGATGAAACCTTTGAGGAAATCTTGGATTCGTCCAGTCCTCCGCCAATTGCGTGCTTTCGCCTGGTCTAACACGAATGTTGTTCATTCCGAGTCCGAGGAGGAATCTGGTCCTGATTCAGATCGAGCAGAGGAAGATACGGATACAGGGAAGAAGGACGTCGGCTTCACTTTCGTGAATATCATGAAGGTCCTGGAGCGCGAGATGGAGAAGCCAGACGTTACTGTGTGGGACCATGGACCTCCCGTCCCGACTGTTGATTGACAATAAATATTACTGTAAACTCTCACATCTCGTTTGTACCACCACAGTTATGCGATCCCGTCTCTGTTCCATAATAGACGTTCGTGTGCCTTTGAATAAAATATCGTTCCTTCCATCTTGCTTGGTCGATTTCTTACGACGGCTCGATACTGCCCGATTACTTATAGTCGTGTCTGTTGTCCGTTTTTGCGCCTGACTTCTTTCTTCGCAATCTTTGCCTTTTGTTTTCTTTCTATCCATTTCGCGATTAGTTCATCCTCAAAGGTGTTGCGGTAGTGTGACCTGTTCCAACCATTGAGTAGTAGCGTCTACCACAAATTAATATAAACTCCCATCCCATGTATCTACCCTGCTGCTGCTGCTGTCCACCATCAGCCAGAACTGTCAGTGGGAATCAAGGCTGTAACTCAAACTGCGCTGCACGATCACCGCAATCATTTCACCAAACTGCGCCGCACCTAGCTTCTGAATCCTTTCTGCATGCTGTAGGCTAGCAGCAGCCGGCTGCGCTTTTCTTTCCTCCTCCGGGGCCCGGAACCACGCAGGTTTCGTGGATGACTGCGCTACCTCGACACGGACAGGCGTGACTACGGTGCACGAGCAGGGTCAGGTCCAAATCGGGGTCGGACTTGCTCCTCCGCCTGCGGCCGCGCCTTTCCGGGGTCTCACTTGTCTCCTTCGTTGTTGAATGTGGCTGTCACGCTAGCTTAAATACCACTCGCCTACGACCAGCATCTACTATGTCTTTGGTCAGCAGACCAGGAACGACATCCCTCGTATCATTGCTCATCAACTGCTGCATCTGTTCTTGTCAAGCGTTGTTTCTCTATGGGTTTTTTATCACGCTTTTCCGTACAATCGTCAATTCTGGTTCTCATCGGCATCTTCGACTGTGCGGAGGCGTTGCGTATTCTCTGAATTGGATCTTCTACATGCACCGATACTTTATTCGACCTCGGAAAGAGATTGGTGAGTAATCAACACTTGCACGGCCGCCCTGTGCGCTTTGTTCCCTTTTAAATATACTTGTCCCTAACAGCCGCTTAGTACTGATACGGGGCAACCTGTACTACTTTATTGCGTAGATACTGGGAGATCATTCTTCAGTATCTGGCTCCAGGTCGTACACAAGCATGTCTGAGGGCTGTTGTGTTGACGACGTTGGAACTCCCATCCATTTCATGTTCCAGGTATTATTCTGGCGGCCATTCTTCTTTCTTGAACCAGCAGAATGCGACAGCGGATTGATATTGTCACTCTCAGGTTCACTTAGACCAAGGCAAGCCTCGCGTGTGTCACTTGTTGAGCCCGATGAGCTGCTACTAAGGGAAGTCAGCAATCTTTGGCCTTGTTCTTTTTATGGTTTCAAATCAACTCGAGCTCGATACCAGCCAAATTCAGCCCAATGTCATTGCATCTTTTATTTGCCTATCACTGCCTGAGATGTGTGCAGGTCATATCCTAGATAATTAATGATATACAAGTTTGTCTCACTGTTTGATTTGTGCTTGTCATCCGACTCCATCGCTGAGCCTTTCCCTCAGTCCATCATCCATAATTCTCACAAAGATTACAAGTGAGACATTGATACCGTCCCTGTTCTCAATAGTGTGACACACGACTGACAGTCCAAGGACTTGATTCTTGGATGCTCCAATACTTCAGAGACCTTCAGATGAGCTCGAGCTTTTCAATTTACTAGGTGATGGAGGAATGGTAGTGAGTCCAAAGGAAAGAACTGTGGCGCCACAGAAATTGTCTCTACTATCATAGGATTCACACTTAAATGAGAAGATCATCCTACATTATACTGCGTCGGAGAGGAGGACAGGTCACAGCGTGCGGTACCCATCGCGGAGTTCCAGGACCCCATGAACCGCCGCGGAAGTTCGCTCGCCTTCCCGATTTGGACCTGACCCTGCTCGTGCTCCGTACGTGACGCTTATTTTGATACGAAATTGGAACAAGGATTAACCTGATTCGGAGGGAAGCATGATATCTCAAGGCCGTCCTCGCCAGCACCGTTGACTCGGAACTCTCGAGCATGCGCATGAGCATCCAAATCGTACATGTAGGGTTGGGTTGTAGGCAGCTTCTGCCAGTGGAAGATAGGTCAGATAGATTCAGAACCAGATAGATATATAGCAAAATACAAGCGTCGATCCCAATAAGTTACACAACAACGTTAACAGCCAAGTGCCAAGTCGGAAGAGAATTTTATGGTTCAAGTGACGGGAATAAGCAATATGGCGCGGGAGGGGGGTGAGGGGAGGTGAAGGCGTGATAATAGGACAGAGCACTGGGCTGTGACCAGGAAGTAAGAAGGCGATGTAAGGGATGTGGGTGTGTATGCGTCGTTATCAATACGAAGCAAACGAAAAAAAAAACCGGGAATGGCGATAAATGAACGGCGGACGTCACTGACGCCCTACAGCTGAACGTGAATATGTTTGTTAATGGGGATGGGGATGGGGATGGGTGAGGGTGTGGACGGTGAGGCGTAAAGATACCTAACCAACCAACCAACCAACTCGAAGACCAAGATCGTCCGATACCGTCTATCGTGCTTCGTCACACCACCTTTTTCTCCTCCTCGTGCTCCTATCCCCCCTCGTCAATCATCATCTCCACCTCCACCACCTCCCGACTGCCCATGACCATCCCCCACTCCGGACGGGCCGCGCACCCGTCCTGCGGGTAGCATGCGCAGCTGGGATCGTCTGAACGAATTGATGTCGATGTCCTTCTGCCACTGCCACTGACACGCCATACCATGTGTATGCGAACCACCACCGATACTCATACATCGTACATCCTCCGCACCCCACAACGGTCCACCCGATCCTCTTCTCTCTTCTAAGGGCCCCACCCTCTAATACACGGAAAGGCACCGAACGACGTCACCACCACCACCCATCACCGTCTGAGCCCGAGCACACCGGTACGCCACGCCACGTCATGTCGAAGAAGGAAACAGAAACGGAGTTCGGTGGGAGGTGGTTTATGATTCCATGAGACGTTCCCAGCGGGCGAGACATGAGTACGTGTCCCAATCTATTGAGCGAAAGACGAGAAGTCAGTGATCGTTGAAAGCGTGAATGGTTGTCTCAAATCGCGGCCTAAGAAACGCAAAGAAAAGAAAAAACTCACCAAACGTCTTCTCCGGATTACAACTACACCTCCCCCTCCTCCACAGATCCTCCTCCTGCGGACAATGATTAAACGGATTATGCTCGTACCCAATCTCTCTGAAAAAGTGAATCTGGTCCTTCCTGAGGAACAGCGCGGCCGCGATCGAGTGCACGGGCGCGTCGCCCCAGCGCTCGTAGTAGAACCCGCCTTTCGAGTCGAGGTAGTCGAAGAACTTGGTGTAGGCTTCGGAGCGCCAGAAATCCATGTCGGCGATTTCGAAGTTGGACCAGACTGGAGGGGCGGGGGGATGGGCGGGTTGGAGATAGGGGTGAGGAAGTGTGAGTGAGGGAAGAGAGTGGGGGAGGGAGGGAGGAAGAACGTACAATGACAAAGGTTATATTTCGAACCACCATTATCCGAGACGAAATCCATAGAGTTATCCTCCGCGACGTATTCTGGATGTTGATTCGTGAATTCTGTAGTCATCACATTTAACCGTCAGTAAACGTCCCTGTCTCACTCTCGAGAATACGATTAAAAGATGTGTGTGGCGAGGAAGGGAAAGGGAGGATGAATGTCGAGATGTCGGATTGCACCAAAGGAGCATAACGACCGCGAACGTTTTTTTTTCTTTTTCTTTTTCCTTCTCTCGCACCCGAATAACAAAACAAATACAGGAAGAAAAGTCGACTCACCTCGGACAGTAGACCAGAGCGTCGTGATCGTCGCCTCGAACTCGAACATGGAGATCGTGAAACCTAGGAGACGGGGAAAAACACAATGACAGTCCAGTCAGTCAGGCGATCAATCAGTCAATCAGCCATCCAAAGGACAGTCAGTGGGAGAAAGCGATCCGAGATGTCCATCTCGTCGTAATCCCAGAACGCAGGGCATCACTTTCACCAACACCACCGTAGACGACGGCGACGAGTACGAGTCTCCTTCAGTGGAGACATGATGCGGTGATGTGGCGGTGTCTATAATGTGATGCACGAAAAGAGGGTACGACCCGGAGATGACCTGGGTGCTATGTGTTGCAGGGAGATGTGTGGTCTGCGACGCGTATCATGTCATGATCATACATTGCACGGGCGCCAGCCAGCGCATACTTATGCACGAAAACGAATGGGGGCACGGACATAACGCGGTTGGGGGTGGCGCAACGCACTACCAGACGTAGACGCTCGCATGCAGGAAGGTGCGCAGTGGGCGATAGAAGAAGAAACGCAGAGTGGAAGGAAGCAATTGCTCACCATAAGTCTTATTCTGCGCCTGCATGTACACGAACGGGTCAAAGTCGATGTCGCAGTGGAAGTGGATGTCGGGCTCGACGCGCCAGTACCAGCGGTATTGCTGGAGGAACTCGTGTTTGAAGAAGAACTGTTATCCGTTGAAAGGCGGGTCAGCACGTATGCGTCAAAATCGAACAGTAACGAATAGTGACTGGAAGAAAGGAAGGGAGAGGGAGGGAGGTTCGACATAGGATAGGAGAAGAAACGTACGCCGGAGTTGAACCGACACATGTTACGGTACGAGACGCTACCACCATAGATGATATTCTTCATGACCATCTTATTCCGCCCGTCCGTCGCTCTCGCTTCGTCGATCCATTCTGGCTGATACCAGTGGTCGTGTGGAATTTGCAAGAACGTTACCGGTGATTGAATGAGAATCGACACGCGCCTGTTCAGATACCAGTTAGCATCTCGCAAAGAGCACAAGATAGGAAGACAAAAAGGCGCACTTTTTGAAATCCTCAGAGAACGGCTCCTCATTCATAAACACCCAAGGATACCCAAACTTCCTATTAAACCTATCCTCCACATCCCTCACACTCGACACCGCGCCATCCACGTCCGAATTCCTCGCCAACATCAACAACGTCGCGTTCGCCCTTTCATGCAACGTCGTCGACGCCGGGAGGGGCGATATCGCGGACGCAGAGGTTCCGGCGTCGACGGCGGTCACGGACGTCTCTTCCGAGTCAAAGTCGTAGTAGAACGAGTCGGGGACGGAGGACGGGGCGGGTTTTCCGTTGGCGGTGTTGAAGTATTTGGAGAGGGAGTCGAGGTGGGAGGAGGAGGAGGCGGAGGAGGTCGTGGAGAGGCGGAGGATGGAGATGAGTGCGATCTGGAGGGTGTTATTCGATGTGCTTTGAAGTGAGAGGGAGAATGACGTACGGTGGCAACGACGACGATGCCGGCAAAGCGGACTGTCCTGCTCGAGGGAGCCATGACAATTAAATGGCCGTTTAGCCTTTCGTGTTCGTGGACGGCGGGGACGATGACCAGAGGGTTGAGCAGGCCGGAGAGAACGATGAGGGAGAGGGAGGAGGTAGCGAGGAGGGAAAGGTGGAGAAGGAGGGTGGCTTTGGGGGCGAAGATATATAGAGATCTGCTGCTGCGGTGCCTATTCATCCTTCTTGCGGCACCGATCCAGCGCGTGCGAGCCAGTCTCCGTCCACCCCGCAGCGCTCTTCCTCAATTATTTTATTTATCGTCTATCGGCGCAGTAACAAGGTCGGTCTCGCCAGCACAGCCAGCGCTCTTCACTCGTGTATTTTTGGGTCTTCTCGCTGGGCTTACAAGAGAGGTCTGTTGTCATTCGAATTCAAACGTATCGAGCTTCGAGTCCCAAGACGATGTGAAACGTCGAACAAATGCAACCTGTTTGCCTTCGGAATACACTGGGAGCACTTGCCAGATTTCCCTGTTCAAGTCTGCCGGATGTCCCAGACGGAATTTCTCTTCGCTTGTTGTTCGTTCGCACCCCCGTTTCGAGCTCGAGCGTCGGCGTCTGCATCTACGGTCGACGACACTGATCAGGTCACCTTTCGACCTCTCACGATCAGTCCAGCCCAAAAACTCTGCCCCAAGCGCTATTTTCACGAGAGCTAAGTCGACATTTAGCGCCCAAATGACAGATTCTGTCGAAGTTTCTTCCAATTCAGGAGATATTGGGTCGCGTCGCCCTACTTCCTGGGAACAGTTGTGAGCATAACGAGTATTCGCCGCTCAAAAATGAGATGGCAGATGTCGACGAGACTCGGAGCTGTGCAGCCCAGCCTATGCCGGATTTAATCCGGTTCAGAACAACTCAGGATCTCTGAGCTTTCGTGGCTGAGTCCTTCCTGGCAGGTCACATAATTCACATTCTTAGGTGTTGGATCACGTATGAATATGAAAAACTAACAAAAACAGGTGTAAAAACAAAGTAAAAGTAGGCCAAAGGGGCCACCGCTACCAGCCCTGGACGAGCGCTGACGATTGAAGCTTATTATGACAGACATCTGACAGGTGCCCGTCCGCCGGTGGGCATGGCTGGAGTGCTCGACGTGTCGACGCAGGTCGAAAGGTGACCTGATCAGTGTCGTCGACCGTAGCATCGCATCAAGCTTCTCGTCGGTCTCCTGTTCCCTCGATATCTTGTAAATGCCACCGGCATGTGTAACTATCGGTGCTGGCGATGAATGATGTGTGTGAGCCTGAGCTCGACACAGATGGCGGAAACAAAGGCCAAAAGACGTCACCCACCGCTCGGAAACGTCCGGTGTGAAATTGATCCGGAGGCCCCACAAACACACGGTTATCTCTGTTCTATTTTTAGCGACTATCCCGGTCTCTTTTCATTTATTTCTGCAGAGGGCGGCGTGCGAGGGTCGATCTTGAACGCCGTCATATTGTGAATAACGCAGGCGTAAGGCCGGTGAACGGCAGGTCCCGCTACTTATCTTTGCTCCAAATGTAAGTACCAGTCTAACATATTGGCCACGAGCAGCATAAGATGTTCAATTGATCTCATAATTTCGAATTGCGAGTCAGCGATTGAAGAACAACTAGCAACGTCCGAAGAGTATGCATGACTCGGACGTGCTACTGCTCGAGCAAGTGAGGGGTCACTGCCGCTGCAGGGCTTCGCCCAGCAGCTTCGTGACCCAAACATAGTACACGTGTGTCACACTTCACACCTTGCTGAGGTTACGATCTAAAAACATGAACAGAAATGAATACTCTAGAAACAATTCTGTCATGACTTGGACTACTTAACAGTAGATTGACAAAACGGACGTTCACGAAGTGTGGCGAACTCAGGCGGGATAGCTGAGTCAGAAATTGGTCAGCATCTACCATATAGGGAAGGTCGTCGCATTACAAGCCAAAAACCGAACGATACTTCCTGTAAGACCCACTACTAAAGTAGCGGGAATTTTTGGATATGGATGCTGAAGAGGTAGTTGTGCTGCCTGAAAACGTATGCTTCGTTCTGAAACCTCTCACCTTTTTTCTTTCGTTGTTTGCTTGTCGACTGCTGCGCTCCCATAGCACAGTCGATCAGCCCGAGTCCTCCGGCGCGCACCATCGGTCTACCAGTCTTTCGGAATACTGCAGACTTCTACGTTCAACTCGCAAGAGGTGCGTAGCAATGAAAGCGATGCTGATGATGGTCCCAGCGAAGATGGTTGCCATTGGGCCACAATCTAATACCGTTTTACTTTGGATCATGTCTCGTTGGCCAATCACGTCTTCTCACGAAGCACTACACCCGCCCATCATCTCCTCTGACGTCCCTCATAGTTCCTGCAATGTCAATCCCTGCTACAGCTATAGCACCACTAAAACTCTCGCGTCTCTTCACGCCCACCTACGCGTCGCTCATCAATTCCCAGCTCGTCTTCCCAGCCTTGTCTCTCGTCGTCAAGCCGAATGAGCTGCACTCTGCGTTAGCTCGCCCACTGCATGTGTTGAGATATGAACCTGAGAGATCTGGCTATTACCTGGGTGCGAGTCTGGCGTATGGAATCATCAACGGTTGGTGGTAGCCAAGACTTTATCGTCGACGTCGTGTTGCTAATTATTCATCTCGAATTCGTCCTGTATTGAAGGGCATCCGTTTATGGACGGTAACAAACGCACTGGTAGGTCTCTTGCCATGGCTCGCATATCAGTTCAAGTTCATTCTCATTCTCACACATACTTAAGACTCTGAACGACCCCAGCATTCTTCCTCTACAATGCATACCTTCGAGCCCAGTCGCTGCCTGGTCTTACGGACCAAATAGCCATCGATGACCACGAAAACCTCACGAAGCTGGCGGACAAGTTCATCCAGGCCACGTGCGGAAAATTGGACGTCGAAGGACTGGCAGCAGACGATTCGAGGTCAGTAGATTCATTAAATATTAAGGACTGCCTCGCAGTTTCGCAGCTACTCGCTAGTCACTGACCCAACATTTTCGAAAGAGAGTCCCCTCTGGTCACCCTCGACGCGTCTCAATCTCCACCTCAGGATGAACTTGAACACAATCAGACTCACCTCGACACCGTCACGCAAGATAAGTTGAATCCGTCACTGAGCGAGGACGAGCTTCAGACCATTCGAAACGGCGACACCGTCTACCTCGACGATAATCGTGCCCGACTCCAGCTTGGGTGGAGCCCACTGGATGGCACTGGCATGAGCAGTCAGGTTAACGTCGTTCACAAGTTCAAGTTGGCTGATGGTACGAAACTAATATTGAGTGTCAATGGGGAGGCTCCTCGTTACTTCCCTGTCACTCGAGTTGGATCAGATGCTGGTATGTGGGCACTTATACTACGATGCTCTAAAGTATAACTAAGAATGACACTCACGGCGGCCTCAATGCTCATAACTTAACAAATAGGCCGGCTAGCTCGTGCGACGGTAGAGAGTTTGCTGGACCCGAAGGTACATTATATTTTAGAGTACCTCAGAGAGCGTTGAGCTTCGAGAGTCAATACTTTGGATGAAGGAGATATAAAAAGATCAGACATACCGAGACGTTGCCGTCAAGCCGTGCAGGAAGGCAGGTGTGCTCCGGCTGGTCGTGATCCTACGGGGTCACTCGGCGTGACAGGCAGTATTTATTTCTGTTTGAGTTCTATATCCGTCCTACCATCTTTCATCAACTCATCCTCATCGACGAGTTACTTGCGCTTTCTTACGACCACCTCTCGTGCACTCTTACTACAACTTTTCGTGAACTGTTCTCTTCCGCCATGGATCCAGACAAAAGTCAGTGGCGTCCGTTGTTCCCCTTCCTTACGAGTGCTGATTGTTTCCCGCAGTGATTGTCGATATGACTGACCAGGAGCTCATTGCCCGCGGTTTTGTGGAAGATAGTGAGCCCTTCTGTCATTACAAACGCTATTCCTCACTCGTTTGACCCTTCGACCTCGTAGATGCCGTTTTTGCTTCCGTCATGGAATTGGATCCAAACAAGAGTGAGAGTGGCTCCATCGATCCCCTTCCTTACGAGTGCTGATTGTTTCCCGCAGTGATTGTCGACATGACTGATGAGGAGCTCATTGTCCTCGGTTTCTTGGGTGACAGTGAGCCCTTCTGTCATTACAATCGTCCATGCCTCACTCGTTTGACCCTTTGACATCGTAGACGCCCCTGCTGAGGTCAAACATGTCGTCGAGGCAGTGAGAGCTAACCCTATTCACCTTCGCGGTAAGTCTTCCTACGTTCTTTTTTGCACCTTTCATCTCCCATTTACTCATACTTCCTTTCGTTTTCAGGCGTGAATTGCTTTGCAATTGACTGCGTCAAGCGCAGCGCTGCCAACCTTTCCCGACAAGACGACACGACTACTCAGCCAAACTCTCCTACCTCTCCCACCCTCAACGATGCTGAGACCACCTTCTCGAAACTCATCACCAACCCAGACTCCCGCATCGTTGTCCCCCCCAACTTAATCTCCGAGTACGAGGTCAACTTTTACTACCACGGCATCTCGAGTAACCCTCCCAAGCTCTTATGGCGTTCCGATCTCGAGTCCAACCCCTTCCCTTTTCCCCCTGTTGGCACCGACTTTCACAAGATCCCCAAGAAGAGTCCCCGACCCGTCTTCAACACACCGCTTAACCCCATGTGGGACACCGTCGCTCCTCAGATCCTGGAGTCGATAAAGGCCCGAGGCCTCCTGTACTCCGCGCTGAAGACGGCTAAGTTCTTAATCGTCGCAGACGGCGAGGAGAGAACTGGTCCTATTGTCATCTGGATTGCCGTCCGTCCCAACACCACCAACGCTGGAGCCGTTCGTGATGCCACTCCGGACATTCTCGACGTCCTCACTCGCGCCCAGATCACCGGTGTCGTCGTGGAGTGGTATGAGGGGTCGGTCGTTCGCCTAGGTGCTCGGCTACCTCCAAAAGTTTTCTCTCTCGCGCCATTTGGCGTCCACTGCCCGATCACTCCCGTAGGTGTGCCCATCGCCAGGGAGTCCGACGACGCTCAGGGTACCCTCACGTTCATGTTCAAAGAGGTGAAGACCAAGACAGGCGAACCCAGCAACAGGATTCTTGCCCTCACCAACAAACACGTCGCTTCCTTCGACATCACTACTGATTACGAGCTCGACGAGGCTGACCGTCAACACATCCGAGTCTATAGCAATCGTCAACTCGATCGTGCTATCACCAAGATCCGGGACAACATCGCCAGAGTCGCTCGCGAACTGGCGAACACACCACAGGATGATATGTCAGTTCTGGTATCGGAAATGGCTGCTCTCCAGCTCAGACTTAACGCGGTCGACGCCGAATTGAAAAACACCAACGGTCGGAGGTTCAGTGTCGTTGACTGGGCTCCCCAAATCTCCGTCAGGGTCGACGACCGCCACTACACTCGCGACATCGCCACGCTTGCAGTCCATGACAACCGGTACGGATTGGACAGTTCGAACAACCAAATTAACTTCAGTGCGTTTTGTTCCGTTTGCTCTCTTCGTCCCCATCTCGTTTCCTCACATCCAACTCAGACGAATTAGGCCCACAATATACCGCTGCTGAGCTCACTGATACCTTCTGGCCTCTCGCTTCCGTTCGTAAGGGCAGAAGTATTCACCCCTGGCTCCACATCCGTGGTGCTCTTCCTCATGAACGTGTCATCAATCCCGATACGGAGGACGAGAACGGCGAACCCCTCTGTATCGTTGCCAAGTACGGCAGCGCGACAAGGCTTACATTTGGTCGGTACTCAGAAATGGGTGCCTGTATTCGTACCGACTTCGGAGAGTCCAGGGAGGTCGTCGTGTATAACTACACCGAGAAACCGGATAACTTTGCGGACCGTGGAGATTCGGGTGCACTTATTTTCACGGGCGAGGGAGACGCGCTTGCCATCTTGCACGCGGGCATGGATGAAACACGTCATGCTACCTACGGTACACCCATCTGGTGGGTTATCGAGCAGATCCTCATCAAGTATCCCGACGCCGAGTTCTTCAATCCCGAATATTACAAACCCAAACCCTCTACCCCTGTATATCGTGAGGCTGCCAGGGATCCTGATGACTTCATCAATGAAGGAGCAGAGATCAGACCCCGAAGCGGCTTAGTCACTGGCGTCTTCTATCGCGTCCCCACTCAGAATGCCAGCTCAAAAACCCTTTTCCGTGAACTCCTCTTAAACCCTACATGGGCTAAAATCACCTTCACACGACACCCTATCCTCTGCAAGTCATCCGCCAAATATGGAATGTTTTTCGTCGAGTTCAAGTCTAGTAAGATTTTCGTGTCAGGCACCTCCGAGCCCTTTGTACATTTACCCAATCTCGTTTGCCTTAATGATAAGCTATGCCACTGGGTCCTCATCGACGCCATCGACGACTAGTAGAAGCCTCCGATGTCATGACTGTCCTGATATGGCCCACTTTTTTTTTCTTCATTTCTCTATTTCCTCCCTCTTGTCACATGTGGTCTGGTTCACTCCCCTTCCCCTTTCCGTCTGTTCACCTCTTATGGACAACAGTTACATTTATATGTGCTTACACATACACCCTATGCCTTCCTTATCATCCTCTGCTCTATAATGCCATGCACCGTCCGCATTCCTTGCCACGATTTGTTGACTACTTATAGGCCATAAAAACACTGGAGATATCAGCGATTCCTGTGCAAGAAGTTGTCGATGCTGCGTGACATTGCGGATATTTTATGGCTATGAATATCCATGGGCCGTTCGGTAAATTTCTGGGATGGCCAGTGCATACTCGCCACTCGGAAATGGGTGCCACAAGTTGCCACAAAGGTTCGGTAGACGCCCACGGCCCGGAAGCGCCCGTGATACTAAATTTACACATCATTTACGTGCCACACGTCCGATGGCGTCGGCTACAGTGCTTATGCTCAACGTCGACATTGTGTTCAACAGAACAAACGCTTGCTCCTTTACAGATCAGACTTATACCTCTTGTTTTGTCTTCTTTTACCGTGGACTTTCTCAAACTTTGTTGCTACGGACAGCCTAGCATACAGGCCCAGGGATGAGCTCCCTCGCTTTCCTCGTAACCGAACTCCAAGTACGCCTCTTGCTGCTCTCCCTTCGACGCCACACAACCGCTCATGGCATGTATACTATATGCCTTAGTCCCTCTCCAGCGAGACAAGACGGAAACATCCAGATGTTCGCGAGGTCAGTCTTTCCTCGTTCCTGTTTCCATCCATCCATACACACTGCGGGCTATGCATTGCGCGTCTCCGGAGTGTGTTGCCAGGACCTACATCGCTGACGGTTGGACTGGACTGGAATGGGAATGGGAATGATTGGGTCGACGCACTGCCTTGATGCTTTGCTGGTCGTCGTTGCTGCTTGGTCAATTCGGACGGAATGGACAATGAATGTAGGCCGCAGACAAGTCGTTAGCTATTCTTCGCGCTTCCCCTGAGCAGGCAACACTCAACCTCGCAAGCGGTACGTTTCATTATCATACTACTGTCGCCAACATACCAGAATTGATAACCCGCCCTTCCTACTGTTCAACTCTTTCCACCAACCACATGCTTCTCAATCCCCGCTCTCCCTCCATCTACCAATCCAACCCATCCCACCTCACCCCAACTCAACCCAACTCAACCCAAAGATGGCCCCCACTCCGAAGACCTCCTCCGCCCCGTCTTCATGGGCTGCTCCACCAAATCCGCTAAAATCGTCGGAATCTCCCTCGGCTCCCTGCAACGCCTCATCGCCCTCTCCGCCGTGCCCCTCTCCGCCGTGCCGAAGATAGTGCAGACGATGGGCGAGTGCATGAACCAGGGCGTGGATATACAGCTCAAGATATTGCAGACGTTACTGAGTCTGGTGACGAATTTTGGGAGGGTGCATGGGGAGTTGTTGGGTGATGTGAGTCGTTTTTTGTTTTGTTTTTTGTTATTGGGTTGGTTCTTGTTGTTCTTGGTTTGGATATTGGATTGGATAAGGTCGAGGTCTCGATTTAAGAGTTTGGGGTATTGCGTGCGATTTCTCATCCTCTACATGGAAGTGGGATGTCGATGGGATCGTAACGCGTCTGCGTCTATACGTAACGACAGCCCCCCGCAGCTCCATGCTTGATGCTCCTTATAGCCTGAGACTCTGTTAAGAGGCTCAGAATCCTTCGACAGCACATCTAACACATAACACATTCTCAGTGTGATTTACCTCCATTGATCCTCGCAAGTCGAGTGGCGTAAGGGCACCCAAGCGCATAGTGAAAAGCGTCAGGTCTGAAGGAAAAATATATACATGTGTCGGGACCTAACCACAGACAGAAAACAGCGCTAACATTTCATCATTTTTACTTCACACCATCCAGGCCCTCCTCCTCTGTTTCAAACTCCAAGAATCCCGCATCGCCGTCGTCTCCTCCACCGCCGCCGCCACACTCCGTCAACTCGTCATGTTCGTCGTCGACAAAGTCGTAGACGAAGACCGCCGCCTCTCCGATGCCTCTTCTATTCTCTCAGCCAACTCCACCTCCACCTCCCCCCCACAACAGGACCTGGAGCTCGTGGACACGACGCTTCCGGACGGGACGGTCAAGGCGCTGGGCCCGTCCGCGAGGGACGCGTTCGCGATATTCGAGGATCTGTGTCTGTTAGCTAATTCGGAGAGACCGAAGTTGTTGAAGTTGGAGTTTTTGCATAAGACGTTTGCGTTGGAGTTGATCGAGAGCGTGTTGACGAATTATCATGATTTGTTTAGGAGGGTGCGTATCCACTCCCTACTTTTCATCGCGCGTGCATAACATGAGCATTGGACTGACTGGACTGACTTTTTGCGTGGATTTGTGTGGGTTTGTGTGTAGCATTCCGAGCTTCTGCTACTATTACAGCATCACCTTTGTCCCCTCCTCCTCAAATCCCTCTCCGAGCGCCCGATTTTCCCACTCACACTCCGCTCCACCCGAGTCGTCTTTCTCCTCCTCAAGCAGTTCTCGCTAGAACTCAAGACGGAGGCCGAGGTCTTCCTGATGCTGTTGATTCGGACCATCGGCGGCGACGTGGACGGTTCTGGATCGGACTCGGGGAACGGTGGAATGGGGAGTGGTGGCAGTGCGAGGCCGGGATGGATGAGGGTGTTGGCGATGGAGATCATGAGAGGGTATGTGCGCTCTGTTATCTTTATATTATTATCCAGATCATATCAATTTGACGTTATGTTGATATTTTTGCCCATCACAGTCTTTGCAGCCACGCCGAGTTCATGCGCAACGTCTGGGAACGGTACGACGCCCAATCCTCCGAGTCAGGCTCGAACTCGAAAGTCTTCACGTCGCTCATCACGGCGCTTAAACGCCTCGTTACCGAAAGACCGTCCCTGCTCGGCGTGAGCCATCAGATGATGGGTGTCGGTGGGACCCATGGCACCGATGCTGGTGGGATGGGTATGGGAGGAGGGGGCGGAGGAGCTGGAGGCGGTGGTAGGACGGGTGGAGGAGGGAGTGTGGCGGGGATGGTGGCTACTGCGGCTAGTGCGACTGTTTCGGGGGTTGTGGGGATGATGGGGAGTGAGGCTGGATTGAGTTTGCATTCGAGTGCTATGAAACTGCAATGGTACGCTCCTTTCCTTCCCTTTTCATACGCACCACTCCTTCACTATTTCTAATGGCTAAAATCACCTATAACTAGCATCGACCAACTAGACAAAGCAGACGCTCCGCCGATTCCAGAATCCTACATTTACCTCCTCGGCACCCAATGTCTCGTCTCCCTCTGCGAAGGCCTAGCCTCCTACGCCGCCCCCCTCTACACCTCCCTAATGATCCAAAAACCCCGCTCAGCAGGCGACTCCCTCATCCGCGCTCCCTCCGCTCTCGACCCCACCACCCTCCCCTCCAACACCCCCTCCGAAGCCTCCACGCGCGCAGGACTGATAGCAGTCCGGGACATGGTCCAAGCAGGCTGGCCCGCCTTACTCGCTGCGCTTAGTTTCCTGATCAGCACAAATCTGAGTGACGAGTTGTTCGTGGATGTGTTGGCGAGCTATCAGGCGCTGATGAACGTCGCGGGCATGTTGGGATTGAATACCCCACGAGACGCATTCCTCACCTCGCTCTCGAAATCAGCGATCCCGTCCCGCGTCGTGTCGAGTCTCGAATCATACATCGAGCCGCCCACGCCGCGGACCGCGTCCTCGTTCTCTGAAGGTCTCGGCGCGTTGGCTGGGACTGTCACGGGTGCGGGTGGAGGAGGAGGGGAGGGAGGAACGCCGGGGTTATCGGAGAGGAATATGGCGTGTTTGAAGGTGTTAGTGCAGAGTGGGATGTTCCTCGCCGGGAGCTGGGGAGAGAGCTGGTTCGATGTGCTCGAGGCGTTGCAGAATGCGGATTATGTCCTCACCGCGAAGGGAGCGAGACCGGTTTCGGTGGTCATGCCTGTGAAGAGGTCAGCTTCGGGGCATGGGGCGCAGAAGTCGGTGGCACAATCTGGGGCGGCAGGAGGTGCGGGGTCGGCGGGGAGTCCACAGCAGGGACAGGGACAGACGGTGGCGAGACATCCGTTGTTGATGGATTTGGATGCGGAGAGCGTGCAGCTTGCGATCCAGCGATTGTTTGACGCGTCGAAGAATCTCGAGGATGCGGCGTTCCGCGATTTCGTGAATGCGTTGTGTAGGCTTAGTGGAGAGATGGTGGGTATGCAGGCATCGCAGTCATCAGAGTTAGGTTTGGGCGGTGGGTCAACGTCGTTCCCCGGTAGTGGGAGTATCCCGGAGAATGAGTCGGTGGACGATGTGACGGTGGGTGGGGGTAGCTCGGTCAGTTTGAGCACGACGCTGTCGCAGGGCACAGGACAGGGGACGTCGAGGCCGGAGTATGCGAGTCGGAGGAGGGTTAGTGGGATTCATTTGCCGAGGACCTTGGTGTGTCTTTTCTTTTTTGACCCCCTGGCTTTGGGTATGAGGTGCTGATATATCCTTGTATATGCAGCGTTCTGGAGACTTTGGGATCAACAAGCTTGGGGGCGTCGCTGTACTCAATATACACAGGCTCATCTATCGCTCCCCGGACATCGCCTGGGACACGATCACCAGCCATCTGCTCTCAGTCATTCGTCTCTCAACAGCCCCGCAGTCCGTTCGCCTACAAGCTGCTCATATTCTCGATGACATCGTCGCCGTAGTTCCTCGAAACCTCACCACCGCCGGCGAACTGCAAGCCGCAGTCCAACGACGCATGCTTGATGTCCTCGCACAACAGATCATGCTCGATACCTCGAATGGCGCAGGCTCATCTTCCACCAGCGTCGAACTTCGTCGTCTTGGGCTAGAGACGCTGCACAAGATCTTGCAGGCTTCGGGCCACACGCTCGTAGTGGGCTGGGAGACGATCTTCGAGATATTGAGCAGCGTATGTAAGCCTGCTCAGTTGCCCGCGTCGACCTCAGGAGACGCTTTACGCTCAATCGAGTCCTCGCCGATGTCGATGAGAGCGAAACCTCTTCCGCTGGGATATGTCAACGAGAAGGGCTACGCGACGCTGATCAAGATCGCTTTCCAGTCGCTGACTCTGGTCTGTGACTCTCTCTCTGTTCTCTCCCCCGAACATCTCCGGATGTGCATCAGCACGCTAGGCCACTTCGGAAGACAAGCGGATACGAATATCGCCCTTACCGCCGCCGAAAGTCTTTTCTGGGGCGTTTCCGACTCCATCCAAGCAAAGAGGAAGGACGCAGAGAAGGAGCCGGAGTATAGCGCGCTTTGGATGTTCCTCTTGCTCGAGATTCTTAGACTTTGTACCGATGCTAGGCCGGAGGTCAGGATGGGCGCTATCCAGACTCTGTTCAGGACATTACAGCTCTATGGCGCCACGCTGAGTCTGGAGACATGGGACGAGTGTATATGGAAAGTCACGTTCCCGTTGCTCGATTCTCTCACGGCTGCTATTCGCCAACAAGGTCAAGGACCTTTGTCGCCGTCACCATCAACGCCTACAGCTGCGGATTATTCGTCGCTCACTGCTATAGGACAAGACCCGGCGATCGCGGATGCGGCCTGGGACGAGTCGAAGGTGGTCGCATTGCAATCTGTCGGATCTATATTCCACGATTTCCTGGTGTCGAAGATCATGCGTCTCGAATCGTTCCCAAAAGCATGGGACGTCTTCGTCATGCACATCCGCGACTCTTTCCTCCTCGATAACCGAATCGTCACCGCTCCCGCCCTCCGATGTCTGGAGAAAGCGCTCAAAGCGTCGGCTGCGGGCGCGGCGGATGAAGGGCTGAAGACGCAGGTGGTGGAAGCTTGGGAGAAGGCGTGGACGGTGTGTGATGAGATGGGGGAGGTGGTGGTGAAGAGAGCGAGCGCGCGGGGAGAGTTGGCTGGCGTGCATAAGCCGTTCACCCAGGAGAGTCTGGTGGCGTTCGTGGATGTTATAGTGGCTACGAGAGGGGTTAGCAGGACCATCGAGGACGTGGAATGGCCGTTGGAGAGGTTGTCGAAGTTGATGGTCATTTTGAAAGGTCAGCCGGAGTTCCAACTTTTTCTGACCCGCGGTTTTGATACGTATGAGCTAATTGGATGGTCCTCGTATACAGGTGTCTTGACGTATCCTAATTCTCCAGATTATCGACCAGATGTGGATGCACTCACACCCGTACAGGTGATTTCCAAAATATTCCACGAATCTTCCTTCATTCCTGACCCTCCTGCAATAGACCGTCGTGATGGAAGCAGTCAGCAGTATTACCCTCACAGCGCCTGGTGTTCCTTCATTAGTCCTACGCGACCTCTCCGAATATGTCACCCTACCATTCCTCGCCGCTTTCGACGTCCCCGATGCATCAACATCCTCCGGTACACTCTCAATCACCTCATCCCCAGCCGCCAAGAGACCTACACTGTCATCAGCACCCAAGAAACGAATCACCTACATCGGCATGTCAAAGAAATGCATGCCCATGCTCGTCGAGCTCTTCCTGCGTTTCAAAGACGAACCTGCTATCTATGTCGATGGGACGTTGGAGGCGATCCTGTCTGCATATTCGATCCCGATCAAAATGAAGTATGATTGTCCGGCGCCCTCGAAGTTTGGGAAGGATCAGCCGTTGTGGAAGACTGCGACGACGAGCTTTTTGAGGATTGTCAGGGAGATTGCAGCGCAAATCCGGGTATTAGGGAGTGGTGCGTACTGTGTCTTCTACGCTTGCCTTTTCTTTCGGATATGCGAGTCCTGATGCGACTCTCAAATAGTTATCTCGGATGAGCGCGTGGAAGGAATATGGAGGCAGACTATCGACGTATTCCGCGGGGCTATACTCGCCGATTGGTATGTTTTACCTGTATTCAATATATTACACTCTAATTATGATACAGTTCCGCCGCCGAATCTTTCTCATTCGACGAACAAGAAGCAGAGGAGAATTTTGACCTGGCTCTTATCGCCTCTCTGGAGATTGACGTCGTCCCACACCTCGGTGACACACGCGTACCAGACTACCTCATCAGCCATCTGTCGAAGGTACTACAACAAGGCAGTCAACTACGTCACGACGAAGACGAGGAGGAGCAGATGCTGACACCTCCCCATTCGGCCAAGAACGAAGACTGGAGCGATATGGAAAAGAGCGATCGCTTAAATGGGGCAGTCAGGAATGGCGGCGGCATATTCAGGGAGAGGTTCTCGTATTGGTGCTTTGATTTGCTATTTTTGATTTGTTCGGATACATCTCGAGGTAAGTGTCTTGATCCATTCATTATGGCTCGAATATCTAGGCTGACTGGACCTAGATCAAGAGGTTTCGAGAAAGCGAGTGGCGGCGCTATGTTTGTCGTCTTTGCTGAACAGGTGTAGAACGACATTGGTCAACTTCGTCGCGGATGAGAGTCTGAGAGGCAATTTGCCCTTCCCAAGGTCAGTCCGGTGGCGAAGCTTTGGAACAATCCAACTGATAACGTATGTAGGGTACGTGAGGAGGAACTTCTGTATGCGCTACAGAAGATGCAAGAACTTCGGCTGTGGCCTGGGTCACTATGGGCTGCCCTTTCAGATAGACCATCGGAGTATTCTTCCACTCAGCCCCGTACGCGCCGTCCTAATCTCGTGGTTCTCTTCACCGAATTGACTTTCTGTTCTGTTAGCTATCGACGCAACGCTGTCGCCGTCAAAGCTGATCGCAGATTCAGTCCAACGCTCGACGAAAGCCCATCTGTTCCACTTCTACTCAGTCTTATGCGAGATCGCCTCCGTGCCTCGTAAAGTTCCGGCTGCATGGGTTGTGCCGAGACAGTTGCTCTCGCCACCCGATTCTCCTCCCGTTAAGGGTTCATCAGTGGAACCAGGGACGCATGAGAGTCGGATAGCAGCTAATGGGGTGAGAACGAGTGTCAGTACGAAGCCGGTCGATGCTAGATCGTTGGCTAGGGAGTGCTTGAAGGAGATGGGAAGAGAGTTGGGTGTTTCGATGTAGGCCTGAGACTACAGTTTCTGATAGGGTTTTCGAGGATTCAGTATACTGTGTACTTCTGCTTTGCACGCTATATGCTTCGATACGTCGTTTGTGGACAACGGTTTACTTCGTGTTGTGCATGACGAGAGCACCTCGCCGGTCTACAGTAGGTGAGGCTTTACGGGCTCGAAGCGCGACACGAAAGCTAACAGAACGCAAACCACGGACGAGGTTGAGAGAAACGATCCTAGAGAGATGTGCATTCCATGGTGGACACTAATTCAAAAAAACAAGATGGGTAACCAGACGACATCAATGCATATCAGTAACATATTATTTAGGGTTCGGGAGTAAACAGAAGCAGTAGGTAATACGATCTATCCTATGTGTTAGAGCAAATGATGAAGATAGCTTACACCAGCACAATACTTTCGAGAACGATTCAGAAGTAAACAATCGGGCAATTTCTAGCCATCGTAAGAAATCAACCAAGTAATGTGGAAGGTGCAAATACTTTATTCAAAGGCATACAGACGTCATTTCAGTTACATAGCGATGAAGGATTGCATGATGGTGGCCCAAACGAGACCTGAACGTCTACAGTAACATCGTTCTCAGGGAACAATGAGGTCAGGAGATCCATACTTCCGCACAGCATCCTCCGGCGTCTTCGTCGAGGGCTCTAAGACCTTCATGACGCGCTGAAAGGTAAAGAAGCCAGGGCCGTTCCTTTCAGTCATCTCAACCCTAGCGTGTGCCGAACCATTAGGACTAGATTCCTCCTCCTTCTCCTCCTCCTCCTCTTCCTCAGAGAAATGACTCATGCTGCGCGCGACGATAGTGTACGCCGTTTTGCGGATAACCGGTTGGATCCAAGGTTTCTTCAGGCCCTTCATCTCTGGTGTCATGAGCTCCAGGTAATCCCCGCATCTCGTCACAAACCCCAATTTGCAAGATGCGATCGTCTCCCAATCGTGTGTTGCCGTCCACTGTCTGATTTTACCGGGTTGCTTTGCCCATTCGACCTGATTTCCGTCGAAGCGAAGCACGAATGCGCACCATAGCAAGATCCACACAAAGGACTCTAGGTCATGGTGATACTCATGCAGTAGAGGCTTCCCAGCGTTCTCGAGAAGATCGAGAGCCATAAAGGCTGCTGTGCCGGTTCGGTGCTTGCAGGTCGCCGTCTCCTTCGGTATCGTCGAGGCGGCAAGATCCCAATCGTTCAAAATTCCGACGACATGCTCGTCATGACGCGTGAACATAATGTTGTTGACGCTCAAATCACGGTGAAGAATATTGCAGCTCGTGTAGATAACGTAGTGGACTGGAGGAACAACGATCTCGTCAGATGCGAGGGACATCATATATAGGCAGAGATCTTACCTTTCACGACATCCGTAAAGACGGTCTTGAACTCCCCTAAGTCCTTTACCTCGCACAATGGCAGATAGCGGGGAGTAACTATAACTCGAAGGACGCGCTCCTCGTACTCCGGACCAATGAACGCGTCGGCCAACTCTAAAATGTCACTGTCTTCATCAACACGCGTCTTTTGTTTTGCCCCTCGTTTCGGCTTTGGTGTCGGCTTCCCGAGAACAGCGACGGCCTTTACACGCGTCTCAACGAAGGCCATCAAGACCTTCCTGGGTAGGTTCAGAGCGTCTTCGTCGAGCGTCGTAGAACACTTGAGTTCTGTGACGTGCTTCATCCATGGTTCAGGAATTTTCCCCCGAATAGTGCGCAGAATCTCGTCCTCGCCCATGCGATTCACGGGCTGCCAACTCATCTTCGCCACAAGACTCAGACCGTCCCTCGCCTGTAGGCTCGAGATGTCACTGGGACAAGCTAGAGGGAGAACAGTCGTGCCACGTCCGATAGCGCCGGGCTGGACGTGCAGAGGGGAAGCGGTGATCGGGAAGTCTATGGTAGTGCTCTGTCGCGACTCTGCGGAAGAAGATGGTCGATCGCCCCCCGACGTCGACGAATCGCCAGAGCCCGAAGCAGGAATATCGGGAACGTCGAGTTCACAGGTGAGACGAAGAATACTGTCTTTCCAATTGGATAATGGAACTTCGTACGCGGAGGGTGATCCATAGAGCTCTCGAAGGTCCGCGAAGCGTGTTTGTTCGCCGTAGGTGGTCATTTTGTCCCTCAACTCATGGTAGTCCGGCAGAGGTGGGGGCAAGGTGCCCGCTCCAGCCACAATCATGGGCTCTACCCAAGACGTTGGAGATTAGCACGAGCAAGAGCAACGGTGACGAGGAGGAGGAGCTGAGGATGGCCCACAGGGTCGAACTCGCGAGAGCAGATGGAGGGAAAGAGTAAGTCAATCAAAGAGGCCGACAACACGCGGTAGACCGAGCGGCGCGTAGGAAGGACCAGCGTCGCGAACAACCAACGAGATGGCCGAAAAAGGAATGCTCGAAGTCGGCAAAGTATCGAGTTGTGACAATGACGTCACTCAGATACCGTTCAACACGAGTGGCACAGACAGAAGTCGAGCACTCTTGTATACTTACTACTAGATAGTTCACAATCAGAGCAACTCTGGAAGACGTGGCTCAGGGATTTTAACAAGCGTGAGTACTGAATGGATCCCTGATTTCAGCACTATCCGTGGCACTGCTCCATACTCAAGTTCCATAGTCTGCGGTGGCCGATCGAGAGGCTGGCCATCGTGTGGCGTCCAGAATGAGAAAAAATCGTTGTGATTCTACTTTTATCGTAGACAAAAAGAGAATGGTCCAGGAAAATGAAAGGCTAAGCAAACTCAAGGTAGTAATCATGGATAACAACGCCAGAAGCCATGCGTAACATAACTGGGAGAGGAATAGGAATATTGAAAGGACACAAGACAGCATACAGCCTGGCGCTAATGAAAGAGAAAACTACGAACTCCTTCCTCAGTTCGCAAATACGGCCTCCTCTGGGTTCGGTACATCTGGTTCCAACACTCTCATGAAAGTGGAGAACACGAAGAAATCATCCTTGACCAAAGGGTAACTGGGAGATTGTTCCTCCCCCGGAGCACGACGGCGGTGGAATGTATCATGCATTGCCGCTATTACTGGGGAGATACAGCTCGCGAGAAGACCTTTCATGCCTGGAGTAACGCTGTCCGTCGATGGACTCGGACCGCGACGTTTTTTTGTGATGAACGTATATTTGCTGTCACTGATGGCCTCCCACCGCCCGTCCTCAGTCCATTCCTGAATCTTTTCGGGGCGCTTGTTGTGGGTCACCTCCTTCCCGTTGAAGAGGAGCACGTATGCGCACCATACGAGAATCCAGGCAAATGATTCGAGGTCGTAGCAATAGAGGTGTGGGACGGAACCATCGGGACTGTCGAGAAGATTGAGAGCCATGAAAGCGGCGGTACCCGTGCGGTGAAAGGCAGTCGGCGGAGAAGATCGAACCTCGGGAGCTGCGAGGTCCCAGTCGTTGAGCACGCCAAAGACACGGCCGTTACGGCGGATAAACATAACGTTATTGACGCTCAAATCTCGGTGGAGGATTCCAGTCGTCTTATAGATGACGTAGTGCACTGGGAGAGCAAAGCAAGATCAAAGCATCAGGTGAGTGTCGCAAACAAATAGAACAAGGCAACTACACATACCTTTCACGACGTCCTTGAAAACTGTCATGAACTCATTCGCATCCTTGACCTCTTTCAATGGCAGGTAACGCGTAGAGACTAAAGCGTGGAAGTCGCGCTCTTCGATATTCGTGCCTATGAAAGCATCGCGAACCTCCTCGTAGCCATCTTCCTCCGGTTCTCCCTTTTCTTTCCCCTGCTTTTTCGTCTCGGCATCCTCCAAAATCTCCATCCTCCTCTTCACACGTATCTCAGTATCCTCCATCAAGGCTACCCTGGGCAGACCCGTCGCCTTCGCGGCCACATGTTTGGAGCACCTGACGTCTGTGACGTGGTTTCTCCAGCGGGCTGGAATCATCTTCCGGATGTAACGCAGAATTCTCGCTTCAGCCGCGCGACCCGAAGGTTGCCAGCTGAATTTCGCGACGAGGGGTTCCTTGGGATCATATCCATCGACATTTTTCGGAGGGGCAAGGGGATATACGACAGTGCCCCGTCCGACACCGCCTGGCTGGGCGTGGATCGGTGGACCGGTGATTGGGAAGCTGATTGTGAGGGAAGACTGTGGAGCCAAAGGAGGAGAAGTATCGATCGTCGAGGCAGGGAAGGTGCTCGTGGGGGAAAGAGATGGGTCATCTACCGATGGAGGAACGATGTCGTTCGCGGAGGGAGGAGCCTTGTCGTTCGCCGAGGGAGGGGCCTTGTCGTTCGCCGAGGGAGGGGCCTTGTCGTTCGCCGAGGGATGAGGGATATCGTTTGCCGAGGGAGGAGCGATGTCGTTTGCAGAAGGAGGAGCCTTGTTACTCGCCGAGAGTGGGGCGGGCTCGGTGTCGAAAGGCCAGCTCTCAGAGACTTGGGGAGTGTGCTCAATGCGAAGGACGTTGTCCTTCCACTCGAGCAGAGGAGCCTCGTAGGAAGATGTGGAGCTGTAGAGGTTTCGAAGTCGAGCGAAGAGGTCCTGCTCTCGAAGTTCGTCCTGTTTATTGGGCCATTGATAAGTGCCGACGGGACGAGGAAAGGTGGAGCCCTCAGCGGGAACTATCATCGGCTCAAAGCCAAAATCTTTGAGACTGGCACGAGCAATGGCGACAGCGATATAAAGAATAAATTCAGGGTATTCACTGATACGGAACCCGCGAGAGCGTATGGCCCCCATGCGATCAAAGTACCACAGCGTGATAAAGTCGTCCTTGATGAAAACACAGGTAAAATAGCGGTATAGACCACTTCGCATGGCCTCTGCGGCATAGTCAGCAGGCTGTGCCTCATCCAGAACGAGAGATGTCTTCAAAGTATCCCCTGGAGGTCCACTCCGATCGTAGCGAAAGGCAGCAGGCACCGAGTCATGGGAAGGCTCGCCCTCGGCGATGACGGTCATCTTGGGTCGCTTGGGATTGCGCTCGTCAGTGGAACCTCCGGAGCGACGTTTCCCTTTGGCAGGCATCGGGGCAGAGAAAGGAAAGCCCTCCACGCTGTTTGTAACAGGTGCCTTGCTTCTCTGCATAAGATAGTTCCTTTCGAACTTGAATTCGATGGCTGTGTGCGGATGACCCCAGATGAATTGGTCGGAATTTCTTTTACGAACCCCCTCGTTGACTTCTCTCACGTGCTGGAAAAGCGCATGACCAACCTCGCTCGTTACGAACACGTCCGGCTTGCGTTTGATGCCGCCAGAACCATAGATTTCTTCGTAGCCACGCAGAGCGTCGAAGTAAATGCCGCAAGGAAAGTGGACGTCGACTCCAAGGTCCTTCATGGCGTCGACATAATCGAGAACGGCCTGCATCAGCATACAGGCGAAGGGCCGATAGTGTGGCGTTTCGAGTGCGCATTGGACGTAGGCATCGAGATGAGGTTGGGAAAGGGAGAAAGGTCGGTTCCACTCTTCGAGACGGAGGTCCTTTATGTCAAATCCGAAGACGGCCTTGAGCCAAACGTCAACGGGAACACCAGAGACGATCGCGTTATCCATTTCGACTTTATGCTGGCGATAGATCTCGTCGGCGTGGTGCGGGCTAGGACCGTTGCCTGAGTAATGTGCACGTTGGCTTCCAATCGTCTTCGCGATGGGCGTATTATCGACTACAAACAAAATAGGATAACTGTCAATGTAATGAAGAGATGATAGGTGTCAGCTGGGCGCACCTGCGGGTTGAGCCTTGGAAGACGGAGGTGTCGTCTGTGGTCGGACGGGAGTGGGGTCAGCCATAGCGAGGATAGCGATGTGGAGGGGAGGAAAAGGACGAAGAACCACTGACCCTGAGCCTGCGGTTCTTTATACGCTCGAATTTGGAAGCGTGTCAGAGCTATGCAATCGCGATTGCAATCTTCACGTTGCGGGACTAGGTATATGCAAGACGACGTCCTAAATCAGGACGTGTCAGGGAACTTCAACTCGGAGTTTGAATTTGACACGTGGACGGGCGGTTACTTTCGGTGTCCGGGTGGCACCCACGACGTCGGTCTCCGGGTCGCCACACTCACAGTGCAGCGTAAATATTCCATGCCCCAAACCTGAGGCATTAAATATCACAACTCTCGACTCCTTCGATTTCTAGGGAATATATCTGTATTTTTCTGGCCGTGATGTGAATATGATATTCTCTTTCTTTTTATTCACGTCTATCAATGATCTGCAGGGGCGCCTGGGTCCAAAGAGGCTATCCATCATCGAGTCACGGTCTAGGCGGCTAGAAGCTCTTCGAGGCGATACAATGCACATGTATTCGTTCCGCGCGAGTCATAGCTACATTGCTCGCAACAAAGGAGGAGCCGATCGAAAGTGCCATCCCTTTGCCACCTCTGCGATCACTGGGCCACGACGCGAACGAAAACAAAATCACCAGGTTACGATCTTGGCACAGACAGGCAACAGCATGTAAGGAAACACCCACTTGTTGCCATCCACGAATGTGCTGATATTTTGTATCTCGAACGAACAAGGACGTAAAAGCTCTGCTGATCGCATTGAAAGCCCAATACAACGTAGTATATGTACAGATAAGGCGAGACCAAGGGAAGAATGGTTCAGGCAGTAACAAAACCTATGCGGCCGTGGAATCGTCGTCATCCAATTCAGCAACCTTCATTTCTGGCTCCAATACCTTCATGAAGGTCTCGAACTCGAAGAGATCGCCTTCGATGGGGCCATCCGCGCATTGCACAAGTCGCTGAAAGTTGTTAATCATCATGTTCGTGATGACCGGGGCGATCCAGCATGCCTTCAGAGATTCCATAGGGGTGGTAACATGTTCGAGAAGCTTGGGGAGTTGCGTGGCCAAGAAATCAGTCTTTGAGCTCCGGATAGCGGCCCAATTGGCAGCCTGAGTCCAGGTTTGAATCGTCTCTGGTCGTTTGTCGAACCTCACCTCGCCGCCGTCGAAACAGAACACGAAAGCACACCATATCAGAATCGAGGCAAAGGACTCGAAGTCGTAGCAATAGAGGCGTGGGACTGAACCATCGGGGCTGTCGAGAAGATGGAGAGCCATGAAAACGCGGTACCCGTGCGGTGAAAGGCAGTCGGCGGAGAGGATCGGACATCGGGAGTTGCGAGGTCCCAATCGTTGAGCACTCCGATAACACGATCGCTACGACGGAAGAACATGATGTTATTGACGCTCAAGTCGCGATGAAGAAATCCCGTCTTCTTATAAATGACGTAGTGGACTAGGAAATATCCAGCTTATAAGAATCAGAAACAAAGCGATAACGCGATGGGACGCACCTTTGACGACGTCCTTGAACACGGTCTTGAACTCCTCTGCATCCTTGACCTGATTCAGAGGCGAATATCGCGAGCACACCAAGACACGAAAGACACGATCCTGCATCCGATCCACCCTCAACACCTTACGAAGCTTTGCCTCTCCATTTGTGCCAGTCCCTTCCTGCCGAACCTCATTAACCGGATCCACGATCATCTTCCTAGGTAAGCCCAACTCGTCGCACCGAAGACTCACAGAGCACATGAGATCGGTAACGTGTTTTCTCCAATGCGTAGGGATTTTCTTCCGGGTAAGACGTAGCGTAATATCCTCCGCAAATCGGTTCGAGAGTTGCCAACTCATTTTGGCGACTAGGCGTTCGGAAATCGAGGAGGATCCAGGGCCAGGTTGTGGGTCATTGGGGTGAGAGTAGGCGAGTGGGATGACGATAGTGCCGCGGTTGAGAAAACCACCCTTCTGTGCATAAAGGGGAGGACCAGTGACCAGGAAACACCAGGGAGGAGAAGAATTGGCAGTGAGAGAGGAGTTGGGTGGAGGAGACTCGTGTCGTACTGCACGAGCATGTGGTGATGGCTCTGGCCACGGAGGGACTCGCTTTAGACACGGATCATCATTAAGAATTTTCGAGTCGGCGGGGCGCTTCATCGCAAACTAGCGAGCTTGGGATGACTGTGCAGAGTTCTTCCAGTTCGTTGTGTGTAAACGGCAGTCAAAGTTCGACTTCAACAACAAATTTTGGACGCCGATGAAGACCGCGTCTGCGCAAGACGAGAGTAGACCGTTGAGATCGGGCTTCGAGAACTTCAATGGACAAGACTATTACAGAAGATCAAGCAAGGGATGTGCAATCAAAGTGAACAAAGAACATGCGCGGAGGCAAGAACAAAAGCGTGTCACGATCGGCTGGCGGCCCGGATGACAGATGTTGAACCCAAATTTCGAGCGGAGTCGGAAAGTGCCACCACTTGGCGCTGACGCGGACATCAGTTAAGCCACAGTGACATTGCGCACTTCGAACGTTCTTGCAATTGTTTTTACCCATAGCGGCGGGAGATGTTCAAGGTAACCAAAGAATTTGGTCGATTGTAGGCTAAGTACTTTGGACGAAGACCGTGACCTATTTAATAAGACGACCGCTGGTGCTCATTGGTTTTTGCCTCTTTCTTCGATGTGCGCTTCGACGTCACAAAAGTTTACTACTATAAAATATGACAGCAAAGATGGAAAAGCTTCAGAGCGTGTATGAGGGAGAAGCAGACCGAGAATGGGCGACTTGCAGATGATGGGAGAAGAGAGGGATGATCATGCGATCGAACAGGATGAACGGCTCAGAATAGAACGGAGACAAGCATGAGCGTAAAATGATTGTTCAAGGACACGAACGACTCAACGGAAAATAATGGACCGGGGTGCACTCATCGTGTTTATCAGGTGTAATGTCCACCGTCGACGACGTGTAATGTCCCGTTAGGTGAAAGCGGAGGATAAGCGAGTCTTCACTGCTGCAAAACTTCGGCGTGCGGATATTTGGCCCGTCTTCTTCCCGTATCAAGCTGTGCGAACGGCCCTCGGTCAAGTCGTGCGCCCCCTGGTTGATCATGAACTACGACCAGTGTTCTGAACAGAACGAAATAAAATCAATCCCATCATCGACATCCCTGCGATTCTCAAGCGATACTAGTACTTTGAGGTTACCGCACGGGCTCAACGAGAGTGAAAAAAGCCGCCATGGCCCATCGGACATATCGAGACTCAGAGCGTGTGAGCTTCATTGACACCCATAGCGATGATGGGTATTTGTGCCACGACTGGCCATGGACTCCGAAAAACACGAGTATTGAGAGAGAATATCACATTGCTGATACACACGTCGGAAGGCCGAAGTTAAGTACTATGTTAGTGACCGGTCGAGTCTCGTCGCGGCGAAGGGTTCAATCTCGAGCTGGCTAGGTCGACATCCCAGCCTGAAGGGATGCGGTGATAGCCTGGAAGTGACGCTGCCAGATTCAGGCTTCGGAACAGTGAAGATGTCCCGGAGACGCAATTCGCCGTGGTCCGGCCGAAGTAGCACTAGAATGGAAGGTGGAACAAAGGGCTCGCTCTTGTCGTCCGACGTCGAAGTCCCCGCCAATCACGATCGTGGGAATTCTAAGTATAGAACATGAGAACATGAGATTAATATTAAGATTGAGGCAAGGTGAGTATGGAGGCCGTGTCCTTGTAAGCACGGATGTTTAGTCAAACAATACGCAGGCAGCGGAAAATGCAGAGCAAATGAAGGATGACCTTGGTCAGAAGAGATGCAGATACAATGGGCCGTGGCCCATCCCATGAATGGAATGTAACACCCATACATCTCAATGCTCAGCAAAATTGGACCCACTCCAAGAGAGCGCCAGACACCACGTTCGTTGGGCACAAAAGGAAGAACACACCTCGAATGTGGGTAGGTTATGTGGGCGGGTGGCGCTCGGTTGCCACATTATGCAAGAGATGATGAGCAGACGTCGACGTTTCCCCAGTGAGCAAGTCAGGCTATGAATAACTTGGAAGAGTTGCCAAGACGGAACACTGTGTGAAGCTTATCCTGCGGAATATGCCTTGCCTTGTGAGACGTACGAGAAGGCAAGGATCGTGCTAGCCATAGTTCGTCTACGTCAAGGACAAAGGTAGTCAGAGTAAAGCCGGGTAAGGGACGTGTGGGAGAGAAAGGAAGGGTGGATAGCGTAAATGATGGGGGAATAGAACGGGGGCGTGTGAAATGTGGTTTGGGAGGACGTTTGGACGAAAGGAGGCGACGTTGGACGCTCCACGGCCGCCAGCATCCCATCTCCTGTCCGTGACGTCGACAAAGAGCACGAGCACGACGAGCACGACGACGAGCAAGCCGGAGTTTAGTAGTATATGGTCGACTACGCGCCCTCGCATTATCCCACCAAGCTCGCTGCGGAGGTCGAACCGGGGGCGATCACACCCTCGCACGGCGGCATAGTCGGTGGCCACGAGTTTGACCTTCCCATCCAACAACCCTCCGTCGCAAACCGCGACGTCCTCCAACACTCCCCCGTCGCCGTCTCCCGCCAGCCCTCCCTCGCTCGTCATCACCAGCAACAGCAGCAAGCGCTCCTCCAGCACCATCAGCAACAGCAGCAGCAGCAGCAGCAACTGTACCGCCCCGAGCAGACGCCGCCGGTCAGCCCGCACCCGCTTCCGGTTCCTACCCCGCGCTCCTCGACCTCGCAGCGTCCACGACCGGCCTCGATGCCCCCTCAGGCGTTCAACAACAGCTCGACAGGCGCATCTTCGGATCGCGATCGTTCAAGCAGGAACCATGTACAAGACGAGCGCGCTCAGAACGGCGGCAGCTCCAGGCATCGCCCCGATGGCTCCTCAAAGCCCCGCACGACGAATCGCATCCTTGGCGACTATACCCTCACCAAGACGCTCGGTGCTGGGTCTATGGGCAAGGTCAAGCTAGCCCACCATAATATCACTGGCGAGAAGGTCCGTCTTTTTCGCTGCGTTGTGCTCGGTATCGGGTCGTGCTTAGTCTTGCTCTTCTCCTATGCTTCATCCCCGTTCCCAGCTCGCCGTCAAGATCCTACCACGCGTCAACCCCGCCGCCCCGAATCCCAATGCCCCCAACGCAGAGGCTGCGGCCAAGCAGGCCTCTAAAGATGCTTCCAAGGAGACTCGAACGATTCGGGAGGCCGCTCTTTCCCAACTGCTTTACCACCCTTACATATGCGGCATGCGTGAGATGATCATCCACCAGCACCACTACTACATGGTGTCCGAGTATGTGAGCGGTGGACAGATGCTCGACTATATCATCTCCCATGGACGGCTGCGCGAACGGGTCGCTCGAAAATTCGCGAGACAGATAGGGAGTGCGCTTGAGTATTGTCATAGGAATAATGTCGTGCATAGGGGTGAGTTTCTCGCTCTTTTTTCTTTTTTCTTTTTTCTTTTGCTGCATTCTGTCATTTCGTGCGTAAATTTCCGTCGTTTTCGCCGGGCTGTGGGTCGCGTATGCGAGTTCCTGAGTATGTTCACACCCTTGACCCCGCTCCACCCCGGCGAACATGGCTATGCACACTCGACGCGAATGTGGAAGGTGGCGTGGCGTGGCGGCCTCCCACATTCACTTTCCCGTGATAGCGTTCAAAGCCCACTGCGCACGTTCGGTTGGCTTGATATATCAGCATGCTGCCTTACGAGATGCTGAGAGCAGAAATAGCCATTGATTGGAGCAGAAAAGTCTTTGGAGGCTGTACATGTGTGCAGAGCAGAAAATGGATATTGGGCAATTTGCCCTGGCGACTTGTACGTGTACCCGATTCTCAAATATCGATGATGCGTATGATGATGGCTGGTAGGTCTGGGGTATCGCTATCGGGCCTATATGGCCGATTTGATTCGGGTTTTGGTTCAGACGTCATGGAGGTACCTGTTCGCTGTACCCTCGTATCCATGTTTTGTGTGGATCTTGCATGAGTTTGCGGATAGTCTCTTCGTCGAGGTTCTGGCTTCAGTGTTTGAGGCACTCAATCGTCACTTTTCCAATATGCTGTATTTACCTATTCGGACTTTTCACGTCCTCTGTCTTGTTCCACTCCTCGAACCATTCGGGCTCGTCCCCTCCCTCTACCACCAATAATATTCATCCCCACCCATCTTCTTCTCCCTACCCCGTCCTCTAGACCTCAAAATCGAGAACATCCTCATCTCCCAGTCCGGCAACATCAAAATCATCGACTTTGGTCTCTCCAACCTCTTCGACCCCATCGCGCACCTCTCCACCTTCTGCGGCTCGCTCTACTTCGCCGCGCCCGAGCTCCTGAACGCGAAGGTGTACACGGGCCCGGAGGTCGATGTGTGGAGTTTCGGCGTCGTGCTTTATGTGTTGGTTTGTGGGAAGGTGCCGTTTGACGATCAGAGCATGCCGGCTCTGCATGCGAAGATCAAGAGAGGCCTGGTGGAGTATCCGGTTTGGTTAAGTGCCGGTGAGTGCTTTTCATCCTTTTTTTTCTTTTTCACATACCTTTCGTGCGGTTTTTTTCTGGTCTTCTCTTCGCGGTGGCCTGTTTGTTGATCTTGATTTTGTGACGTCGGATTTGGGACGCACGAAATCGTAGAGTGCAAACATATCCTCTCCCGAATGCTCGTCACGAACCCGTCCGCCCGCGCCCAACTGACCGAAGTCCTCAATCACCCCTGGATGACCCGCGGCTTCAACGGGCCCCCCGAGGCGCACCTCCTCCGACGCGAACCCCTCCGCTCCGACGAGCTCGACCGACAGGTCATCCGCGGCATGGCAGGGTTCGAGTTCGGGACGGAAGAAGAGATCGAACATAAGTTGACGGAGATATTGGACTCGGAGGCCTATATACGCGCGGTGCAGTACTGGGAGCGGAAGAAGAACGGGAGGCATTGGGGGGAGTCGCTCAGTAACTCCAGTCTGGCGATCTCGTCGTATGATGGGGGAGGGATCAGCGGTGGATTGGGCGGAGCGGGGACGAATGGGACGAGTCACCCGGATCATAGTGGGAGTAGGATGATGGTGGACGCCCCGCTCACGCCTTCGTCGCCGTCCGCGTCCGCGACGCAGAAGAAGAAGAATAGGTTCTCCGGGTTCGATTTTTATCGCCGGAAACTGTTCTCGCCGTCTTCGTCGCCACCTTCCTCGCCGTTCGCGCAGAGCCCACACGCGAGCGCGAGTCACCTCTCCCACTCTTCGCTCTCGGATATGAGGGAACCGCCGGATCCGACGAGGGGATATCATCCGCTCGTGTCGATGTATTACCTCGCCAGGGAGAAGCTCGAGCGCGATAGAGTGTACGGACCAGGACACTTCGCGTCCTCCCAGCTCTCTCTCAACCCCACCGTCCTCCCCACCACCAACGACGACTCTGCCACCGCCGTTGCCTCTTCCACCACCTCGCCCACACCCACTGTTACCGGAAAACCAAGCATCCAGCTCACCGCGCCCTCCCCCGCGAAACAGACGGGTAAACCGGACTATAGTATGGCCCTCCCTAGACTTCCAGCGCCAGAAACGTCGCATTATTCGGGCATGTCGTATGATCAGCCTTCGACGCTCGCGTCGCCGTCGCCCACCGCGAATTCGTTCCAGCACGCGAACGCTCCACAGCCGAGGGCGCGCGATGCGGGGTTGCCCGTTCCGGCAGGGAATGGTGCGGGTGCGGGTGCGGGTGCGGGTGGGATGGGCGCGCCGGGAGGAGGGCAGGGGCAGAATGTGCCGAAGACGGCGATGCCGAGGGCGCCGCCTGCGAGTACGCATAGGAGGAGTCATAGTCTGTCCCAGAGACCGACGGTGCCTACTATCGCCAGGGGATGGACGGGTATGTTTGGTGGGGGTGGACATGGTGGGCAACCAGCGGTGGCGAACGAGCATGGGAAGTTGATGATGGACGGACAGGAGGTGCCGAGGACGGCGGGGCCGGAGCTGACGTCGTTCGCGGAGAAGATGTTGCCGAGTCGGGATGCGCCGGTGTTGAGTCAGGTGCAGGAGAGGGGGGAGAAGGAGGAGTTGGAACAGGCGGAGATGGCTGAACCACAGCAGCCGAGAAGGAACTCGGATTCGGCGACGACGAGGCCGGATGTGACGATCGTGCCCGCTTCGCCTTCGTCGCCTGTTGCACCACCACAGACGCCGAGTGCGGGAGCGACGCTGGTGAGGAAGTTTGGGAGCTTGCTCGTTGGGGGTGGGGGCGGCGGTGCGGGAGGCGGGAGTGTGAGGGAGGGTAAAGGGCATCATCAGCCTGGGAGGCGGACGAGCATTCTGGGAGGGTTTGGGGCGGGATCGCCCAGGCCTTCGACGGAGGTGGAGGGTGGGGCGGAGAGGAGGGAGGAGGCCATGAGGGCTGGGGAGAAGGAGAGGACGAATCTCGCGGAGACGCCGGTGACGACGAATGGGACGGAGGCCCAGAACCTGAATATGAACGAGAAGCATGCGCAAATGGGCTCCGCCGTCCCCGTGGTGTCGGAGACGCCAGCGACGCCGGTCGAGAAGCTGAAGAAGGAGGCAGGAGATATCAGGAGAAGCTCGAGTATGAGCACTAATAATAGCGGGACGGCGACGGGGCATCTGCAGGCGACGGCGGGGCTGGGACATAGTCAGACGATATCGGGCGGACATACGCATAGGAGGGCGGCGACGATATTGGACCCTGCGGCGAGGGCGACGAGGCACGAGAGGAGGAGCAGCACGGGGGCGTCGATCTTGCCTGGGGGGACGATGGGGAGACATAGGAGACCGTCGACGGGGAATGGGACGTTTAGCGGACGGGGGCCGGCGGGGAGGTTTGGGAGGACGGATGAGGAGGAGCCGGGGGATGAGGATGAGGATGAGATGGAGGCGAATGAGCAGGGGAGGATGAATGGGCATGATGAAGACGACAGGAGCGGGACGGAGAAGGACTTCAAGCCTGTGTTCTTGAAGGGATTGTTCAGGTGCGTTCAAGTCGTCTTTTTTTGAGGTTGAGTGTTTGTGAGTTGAGGTCTAACGGAACGGTGTGGCGTAGTGTGGCGACGACTTCCACGAAGCCACCGTCTGCGATCAAGTCAGACATACGGCGAGTATTGGATCGGATGCAGGTCCAGTACCGCGAGACGAAGACGGGCTTCGAGTGCATCCATCTACCTTCCATCGACATCTCGTCCGTGCAGCCGGATCCAAGTGCCACGCCTACAGTACGAGGACGCCATCGCAAACAAGGCTCGGGCGGCTCGACCGAATCCAGTCCAGCCAAGTCCGTCGTTCGCAAGGCGTCAAAGCTGTCGTTCGGGGTGGGAAGGAAGGATAAGGACGGTGGCTCGCAGAGGGAGAAGGAGCTTCCCGGTCGACCATCAGGTGGGACAACCTTCACACAGACGCCGAGTAGCGGCTCATCGTCGTTCTTCAATGTCTCGTCCACTACGCATACAGTCACTGGCGACGAGCCATCCCAGCATCAGCAGAGAAGGGCAACTATGGACGATGCGGCGACGACGTCAACCGGTCTGCCGGACGATATCCCGCGGTCGCAGTCGCCGGCTGCGATTAAGACTCTCCCGCCTATACCACGCGATATGGCGTCGACTCCGACGCCGTCGTTGTTTATGCCTACGGGCGAGGTGAACAGGGAGTTGTTCGAGCATATGGGTGAGAATACCTTGTCCGTTAGGTTTGAAATTAATATCGTCAAGGTGCGTTTCCTTCTACGCCTCGTGTCGCACTTTTACTGAATGTTTGGTCATTTCATCCAGGTCCCTTGGCTGCCATTACACGGTATCCAGTTCCGACGAGCAAGTGGTGACGGGTGGCAGTACCAAATGCTGGCTCGTCGGGTACTCACCGAATTGAAACTATGACGAACGCTCCCTATCTTCGCTTCCCCGTTTGTGCTCCCAAATATAAATCTACATTACCTTTTTATTCTCCTCTTTGTCAATCGTGCGTCTGCGTCTACGGTCTCTCATTCCTTCCATCTCGTCCTCTCCTGATCTTTGTTTATTCCCCTCTCTCTTCTGCCTACCCGTTACTGCGATATTATAACTCGTCTCTTTCACTCTCACTCTCGTGCTCTCTGACGGCAACACAAACAACGTATAGTACATACCACCAACTCAGCTTAGGATCCTGACTTACTAGTATTCCCCTCTCTTTCTGTTCTTCGCTCTCTCTTTTCTTTCTTCTTTCTTCTCACTTCGTTTTCCTACACCCTCGTTCCACCTCTGTTTCTGCTCCTCTGCCTCTGTTTCCATCTTTTTTTTTTGGCTCAGTCTTCGTGTCTGATGTATATGGGTCTTCATTTACGTGCGCCCTCTGTTCCCTTGTTCTTTGCCCTTTGGCCCCCACATGCGCTACCAGTATACACATTAGTTTGCTTTTTAAGTATTATGCCAAACAACGATTCGGTCTGCTCGTTTGCTTCGCTGCTGCGTGTCCCTCTGTGTGATGTGACTGAGAATTATTTCAAGCATCCCTCCAGTGGAATTATTGTGGGGCTCTTGTTTGAACTTGTAACTTACCAGTCGTCTAGCGTCGGGATCTCAAGTTGTGGCGTGGCAGTTTGAACTCCGCATAAGCGAGTCAGACGGCCCGGGGAGATCCGAAATCCAACCGTGACACAACCCTGACACAACGCTTTGTTCAGCCAACATTCGACGCTCGTCGGTCACCAGCTGCGATCATCTCTACATCTGTGCTCGATCGTTTCACGAAGAAGCTTATCCCATCGATCTTGCTCTTTACTTGCTCTTTACTGGCCCAGGCCCATTCACGTCCAACATTGTCTCCATCGACGGCAGTACAAATCTTGTCCATTCAAAGGCCACTACTCTACCGCAGATTGGAATCGATTTCGTCACTCTGTCATGAAGCGCACCGCTAGCTCAGACACACTTGACGAACAGCCATCCAGCCAGCTAAACTCCACGGATCGGACCACCAAAGTGTCTACTACGAACGACTTTGCTCACTCGGCCCCGAATCCCGCTACAAACAAACGTCCATCCGGAGATTCCACTGACGAGCACGATCCCAAACGTTCTAAGATGGCCAGCATCGTCGAGGATGAGGCTGCTCGTGATTCGGCGCCTATGATCCTTCTTCACCATCGGAGTGGACCTGCTATGCATGGTTTAAAGAGTGATTTCATCAAGGCAGAGGGGGATCCTGCTGATTATTCCACGGAATTCATGCGAAGCGGTCTATATCGTGGTTTTACTCGTGTTTTAATTCAAGGCGATGTAGTCTCACTGTGGCAGTTTGATCGCATGGGGGTCATGCGCTCTCGTAGGTTTTTTTGTGACCGGGGAAGACGGCAGATACTCCTTTATCTCGCTGTCGCTATCGTTCATTCCGGGTTCAATAAGTTGAGCTTTCAGCTGATGGTAGATTACGCTAACCGCAACGCCTTCGAGTTACCTCCCTTCATCGACGCGTATCTATGGCCTGAAGCACAAGACAAACTTCGCGAGCAGGATTTCTTCGCTCAGATTCGATTCCTCTATGATTACCCGTCCTCGTACGAGGCTCTTCTGTTCGATTGTAATGATACCGTTCTTTGTGTGGACCACGGTCTCCAAGTTTCCTCGAGCTGGCCTTTCGAGACCGAGCCCGCCCATTCCTCGACGAAGGCCACGGCCCCTCCCTCGGTAGATGACGCGTCTCCTGCCCCGACGAGCAACAGCTCCCCTCCTTCGATAAACGATACTTCTCCTCCTTCGGTGCCACACTCCTCTCTCACAACCAGCTTTGCGATTACTGGAAGACCAATCTACGCCCAGCCTGGTGTTACTGGACGGGGCACCGTCGTATATCCGCTTGCTCCTCCCAAAGATGCGGACGACTATGATCCCAAGGAACTCCTGGTTGCGAAACTCAGCTGGCAACCTTCGGGTCGTGCGGCTGAAGCGAGAATTATACGTTGCATCCGCAAGGCGATCCCAGATCGCTGGAGAAACCATGTCACAGACGTCAAGTGCTCCAAACAGGTGACCGCGAAGGCGATGGCTCTGCCCAGGGTGAAGTTGATGGGGAATATTACGGAGAGTATGAAGAAGAAGGAGGAGGTTTCAGAGGCTGCACAGATGAAAAGGTGGGCGAAATGCAGGAGAGAACTGCGATTCGAACAAGAGTGCGAAGGGGTCTATGATGCTTTCGAAGAGCGCGACTTCCGCGTTATAGTCACTACGCGTTACTTGCCGTTGCAAGAGGTGAAGAATGCGGACGAGTTCGTGACGGTCTTCAAGGATGTCGTGAAAGGTGTGTGTATCCGCCCTGTCCGTTTTCTTCTTGCGATACTCACTTGGTGGGTTGAATTTTCAGTGCACTACGTTATCTATAAGACGACTGGAATTCTCCACCGAGACTTGAGCGTCAACAACGTTATGTTTATCCGCCGTGACGATCGTGTCTTCGGCGTGCTCAACGACTGGGACCTCGCGGGTCCCGAGGTCCGAGCCTCTCCGCCGACTGCCTCTCACCGCATGGGTACCGCCGCTTACATGGCTCTCAATCTTCTCCACAGTCCCGATGGCTCCATCCCACACCTCTATTGCTACGACCTCGAATCATTTGCTTGGATTCTCATATGGTGCGCATACGTGCCCCTCTTCAACGGGAACGAGGTGCTCTTCAATGAGCGCGAAAAAGACATTCAGAAATGGACTGACAACGGAGAGTGGCGGATGATCAGATGCGTCAAACTTTCGTTTATCACGGAAGACCCACCGAAAGACACCATTACTGCAGGCATGAAAGGTCTTCTCGCGAGCTTGATCTCCCCAATAATGAAGGGGATGCGCGATACAATCCTGCGGCGCCTTTTGGAGAGACGATCTCCCCGGTCTCCCTTGGTCGAAAATGATCTCTTCGTGTTCTCCACTTTCATGAGGGTATTGGAACCAGATGTACCGAACCCAGAGGAGGCCGTATGGGTGGACTGATGAGGGCGTTGGCAGTTTCTTCCTTCTTTGGTGCCAACTGTATGTTGTCTTCTACTTATCCGTTCAATACTTCTCTCGTGTTAATTTGCTGGATCATGTAAATATATGTTCTTCACGACGTGTAACTGACGCGATACTATACCAAATACTAATCTTTATTCTTTTCATTGCGGTCTCATCAAAGACAGCGGGGAAAAGAAAAGAGCACACAGCAGATCGAAGGTGGCATTGTGGCCCAGCTGGTGTCCGTGTGGCACGTGCGGCGTCAGCGGTGGCACTTTCCGACTCCGCTCGAAATTTTGTTCAACATCCGGGCCGGGGCCAGCCGCTCGTGACACGCTTTTTGTTCTCGCCTTCGTGCATGTTCTTTGTTCGCATTGATTGCGCATCTCTCGCTCAATCGTCTGATAACAGTTACAAATCAAGCTCTAGCTCTCGATCTCAACGAGGCTCTCGTCTGCCTTCGTCTGCCTGAGACGCTGTCTTCATCGACGTTAGAATTCGTTACTCAAGCCGAACCTTGGTCGAATCCCGACTACCGTCTGCACAACAATCTGGATCCACTCTGCACTCTCAGACAAAGTTCGAGTCGCTGCAAAATACTAGTCTACAATGAATCTCCCCGCCTCGGATCTAGACCTTCCGAGCGACGAGCCTTGTCTAAAGCGAGTCCCTCCGTCGCCAGAGCCAACACCAGATGCCCGTGCAGTTCGGCACGAATCTCCTCCACCCAGCTCCTCTCTCATTGGCACTTCTTCACATGCCTGGTGTTCCTCGATCGCTGGCCCTCCCCTTTATGCACAGAAGGGTGGCCTCCTCGACCGCGGCACGCTCGTCGTTCCGCTCACCTACCCGCGCTCTCAAGACCCCGTTCAACCTGGCTGCTCCTCGATTGACGAACGTCTGGTCGCCAAAATTAGTTGGCAGCCCTCAAATCAATTGCCGGAGGATATCACGCTACGTCTCATCCAGAGAAAAATACCTACGGACTGGAGCAAACACGTCACTGATCTCAAGTGCTCTATGAGTCTTCGGAGCGACGAGCTTGGTTTGCCTAGGAAGAAGATCGTGGCTCTTGTGGAGGAGGATCGACGGGATGGGACTTGTTCAGAAGGAGAGGCGAAGTTTCGAGAGGCGTTGAGGGTGGATCGGACGCTGGATCGTGTCCTTCGTGTCTTGGTGTGCTCGCGATACTCGCCTCTAAATCAGGTCAAGGACGCAGAGGAGTTCAAGACCGTCTTCAAGGACGTTGTTAAATGTGAGTCCGTTCGCGTTGGCCCTTCGTTTCTGATTCTCATAAGCTGGATGCCTTCGTAGTACACTACGTTATCTATAGGAAGACAGGGATTCTTCATCGCGACTTGAGCGTCAGCAACATCATGTTCTTCCGTTGTAGTGGCCGTGTCATCGGAGTACTCAACGATTGGGACCTAGCAGCTCCGGAGGCCAGACCTTCGTCAAGGACATCCGAACAGCGTATCGGTACTGCCGTGTATATGGCCATGGACCTCCTCGACAACCCCGATGGATCTGTTCAGTATCAGTACTGCTACGATCTCGAGTCGTTTGCCTGGATCCTGCTGTGGTGCGCTTTTGTGTTGGGTTTCGACGGCGATGAGGTGAGGTTGGACGAACTACCAGAGAGGATTCAGACTTGGACTGCAGGGAACTACTGGGAGGCTATCCGGGATGCAAAGTCTATGTTCTTGTGCACAAAAATCGGCAAAAATCTCGAACACATCACCACCTCTATGAAATCTCTGAAGAAATGCTGGATCGCCCCCGTCCTCAGGAGCATGATGATTAACATCTTTCACCGAGGTATGCAAGAAACACGGTATGGCCCCATCGAAGGTGATTTTTTCGAGTTCGAGGCTTTCATGAAGGTATCGGAGCCAGAGGTGGAGTTTCCTGAAAGGGCTGTGTGTGGCGACGAGGATTCCACGTCCACATAAGCTTCGTTACATTGCGTTGAGCTCCCTGAACCATTTTTCCCTTAGTCTCGCCTTGTCTGTACATGTACTACGTTGTATTGGGCTTTCAATACGATCACTATAGCTATTACGTCCTTGTTCGTTCGAGATACAAAATATCAGCACGTTAGTGAATGGCAACAATTGAGTGCTTACTTATTACTTACATGCTGCTGCCTGTCTGTGCCATGATCGTAATAATTTTTTTTGTCCGCATCGTGGCCCAGTGATCGCAGAGGTGGCAAAGGGATGGCACTTTCGATCGGCTGCTCCTTGGTTGCGAGCAATGTAACTATGACTCGCGCGGAATGAATACATGTGCATAGTATCGCCTCGAAGGGCTTCTGGCCGCCTAGACCGTGACTCGATGATCGATAGCCTCTTTGGACCCAGGCGCCCCTGCAGATCATTGATAGACGTGAATAAAAAGAAAGAGAATATAATATTCACATCACGGACAGAAAAATACAGATATATTCAATAGAAATTCAAGGGGTTGAGAGTTGCGATAATTGACGCCTCAGGCTAGGAGCACAGGATCTTTGCGCTGCATTTTGAATGTGGCGACCCGGAGACTGACAGCGCGGGTGCCACCCGGACACCGAAAGTAACCGCGCGTCCACGTGTCAAATTCAAACTCCGAGTTGAACTTCCCAGACACGTCCTGATTTAGGACGTCGTCTTGCATATACCGAATCATCGTCGTTCCCGCAACGTGACGATTGCAATCGCGATTGCATAGCTCTGACACGCTTACAAATTTGCGCCTATAAAGAACCGGAATCTCAGGGTCAGTGATTCTTCGTCCTCTTCCTTCCTACCACATCTCTATCCTCATCATGGCTGCTGACCCGGTTCCCGTACGCGCACAGACTCCTCCACAAGACAATAAGGGAAAACCAAGTGCGTCTTGTTTGCATGCTCTGATCAATTATTCATGACTAAACCTAGGATCTCCGGTCTACAGTCCCAGACACCCCAATTTCTCAAACAACTGGCAGTTTGCGCGACCAATACTCCGTCCCTACCGCTCCTAAACCTCCCTTGGCCGACGCGATCCACCATCAGCTCCAGATCGATATGGCCGATACTCTTGTCTCAGGAGTCCCTGTCGACTCCTTCGTAGCCGCTGTTTACGGGTTCAAGTTCGAAGAACTACGTCTCGACGAGTGGTCCTTTTCCTTAGCCCCCGATCTCCTCAAGGTCTACCGCGAGTCCATACCCGAGACCAAACATTACAGGCCGTTCATGAACATGATGATGCAGCTTCTCCTCGACTATGTCAATAACATGAAACGACTTGACCCGGAATCAGATATCATCTTTCCATGCGGTTTCTATTTCGATGCGATCAGCGGCGATGAGACCATCTACGGGAGCGACGGAAAGCACACGCGTAAGCCAGACGGGTCTTTGACCGCTGACGCTGGACATATGTGCTACCAACGCCTGCGAGAGAAGGCGGCGAAGGTGAACCCAGACGATCCTGACTTTAAACTCTACTGGGACAACCTCATGGCGTGGTTCGAGTTCAAGTTCAGCGACGCCTACAAGAAGAAAAACGGGATCGTGTCGCAATCGGTGGAGGCTGGAGGCTATCCTGCCTCCGAACCAGTTATGCAGGCAGCTATTAAGCCCAAGGCGCGAAGGGGCAAGAAGTCTTCAAGGGGTCGAAAACGTTCTGCTGACTCCGACCCTGACGCACCAGGCGCCAAGCGGCTCAAGTCGGGCCTCGCTGCCATTCCTGAGTCATCCGTTGTCCTCTCGGAGCCTCAGCATCACGGAAAGCCAGTCGATTATTCGCGAGGGCGAGCAGCCAGCTGTCCGAAGATGGATATGCTCTTGGTGGAAGCACAGGCGGCGGACTACGCTGCTGAGTCTCTCCGTACTGGTCGTCGTCGCTACTCGACCGGTGTCTTCATCCATGACGGTAGAGTTTCGCTTTGGTATTACGATCGCATGGGACCCATTTGCTCTCGCGAGTTCGACCCTGTGGAACACCCCCAGCTCCTCCTTCTTGTCGCCGTTGCTCTTGCTCGTGCTGATCTCCAAAGTCTCGGGTACGAGCCCATGATCGTGGCTGGGACGAACACGATACCTTCGGTTATGCCGTCTTATGCTGATTTGAGGGACAAGTCGAAGGAATACGGTGAACAGGACCGTTTTGCCGAACTCCGAAAGCTCTACGGGCCTTCCTCGGCATGCGCGCCATTTCTCGACTGGAAACACAACATCCTTCGTCTCAGTTGCGAACTCGACGATCCACGTCCTGACTTTAACGAGGGGCCATCATTCAACGACGATCAGTCACCGTCTGCTACCGACACATCTCCACATACCACAATCATAGACTTCCCGATCACCGATCGCCCTCTTCACGTCCAACCCGGCGCTCTCGGACGCGGAACGGTTGTCCTTCCTCTAGCCTCTCCCCCGAACATCGAAAGCTTGCAAGCACCGGATGGCCTGGTCGCTAAAATGAGCTGGCAGCCCAAGGGACGGATGCGAGAAGACGCAACTTTACGGGTTATTCGCAAGAAGATAGAGGCGTGGACAGACCACGTTACAGATCTGAGATGTTCGACGACGCTTGACAGCGACACCTTGAAGCTGCCTAGGAAGAAGCTGATGACGCTTATCGAGGCACGTGTGGAACTGGTCGCTGCTCTCAGAGAGGGGGCGGCGAAAGATCCTGATGACGAAGACTTTTTGGAGATGGTTGACGCCTTCATCGGGGACATGTATGAGGAGCGCGTCCTCGTGGTTTTGGTCTCGCCACGCTACCAGCCGCTGAAGGCCGTGAGGAACATGGACGAGTTCAGGACCGTTTTCAAGGATGTCGTGCAAGGTAAGCTTCGGTTCCTCTCTGGTGTTCCCTCCACGTCTGACTAAACGGTCCTTGGCGCAGTTCACTACGTTATCTACCTTAAGTGCGGAATCCTGCACCGAGATCTGAGCGTCAACAACATCATGTTCACGCGTCGTGATGGGCGTATTATCGGCATTCTAAACGATTGGGATCTTGCGGCCTACACGAAGTCCAGGGGCAAGGCTACCTCCACTCATCGTACCGGCACGGCAGCCTACATGGCGACAGATCTTCTCAACAGCGCTAACTCAGATAAGCCGCTAGCTCATGAATATCAGCACGACCTGGAATCCTTTTTATGGATCCTCATCTGGTGTGCATTCGTACTTCGCTTCAATGGAAGGCAGATAGAATGGGCGAAGCAGTACACCAAAATCAAAGAATGGACCGACACGACTCCGTGGCCAACGATCGCAAACTCCAAGAGGGTCTTTTTGAACGCTTACTCATTGCATCTGCCGTTTGTGACGCCCGAGATGCAAAGCTTGAAGGCCACTTGGATTGCCGAAGTTTGTTACTTCATGTGGCTGACTTTCCTTGCGCGCGCCAAGCCTCCTCTCCCGGAGCGTTTGAAGAACAGAAGGGATGTTGAGACGGAATACGACTTCTTCACCTTTGAAAACGTTATGGGTGTCTTGGACCCGGAGATGACGGACCCGAAGGAGGATGTGTTGAAGTATGGAAAGTCTCTCTGATCAAGTCTTTTGGCGTTCGTACTGTCTTATCTCGAGCTCCTTTATACATTGATAGATCCATATTTCCCCCATGGCCAGGTAGCTTGCTCATCCTCTTATGTATGCTAGCGTCGAAGTCGACGATACGAAGTTTGCGTTGTTTTGTTTTGTTTTATTGGAAACCTTTTTACGATACAGGCGGCCGGCTTGAATACTTAGCGCTCCAGTCCAATTATGCTCTCTATCCCTTCCTTCCTACCAATTTACAGAGTCGTTTTCACGCAGACCCAGAATGACTATCTATGAATATTCAATTTCCTTGCTTGAAGCTTAGACGTCAGGCCTTAGGCTCTAGGGCTCGCCGTGTCGGTCAAAAATGCAATGACACCAATACGCTGTACGTGTACCGTCTGCTTACTACGAAGGTGGTTTCTCTTTCTCTGTAGTCGGCAAATCGTATCAGCGACACCAACGACCGCCAAGTACACACTAGAAAGGGTCGGATAGAAGGACATGATACAATTGCTGGTCGAATGTTTGGATTCGTTCACTTCATTCAATATGAGACACTGACGGCTTCACGGGGACAGATGCTAAAAGCGCCAGGAAGATAGACACGCAAGAATGGAGAAGGGAAAGCGGGAGAGAAAGGAAAAGGGAAGAAAGATGTCGATAGCGAGATGAATAAGGGTCAAGATAGGGGTGAGAGGATGAGAGGCGGGTGAGAGGTAGAAAAGTAGAGGAACGACGCTGGAGGCTACTGGAATGGGATCTCAGCGACCGCCGACCTCTGGGAGCGGCAGATGGACATTAGTGTTCGGATGAGTTTCAGGTGCGAAATATCAAGCTACTCACGTTCTACCATCACATCGATCGTGTCTGCATGCAGGAGAGAGAGAACTCGTGAGGACAGCCAGGAGAGATTATTGGAAAGAGTGAGAGAGGACATACCATTATCCTCCATATCCAACGATGTCGGCGTGTCGTCATCGTTTATTCTTGTCCCGTCGTACAAAAATCTACACCCAAACACCGTCAGTAATAGTGCCATCACATTTCAGGCGCAAAGCAGATAATGTCTTTGCTCATCCTCTTGCGCTCCTCGCACGGCCCTTCCGGGCGCTCGAGAGCACATAAAGAAAAGAGGGGTTGTTTGAATTGAACTCACCGAATGCTGGTGACATCTTTCCCGACCTTGGCTGCGTATGCTCCCTGAAGCTTGCTCAGCTTCGTGTTCCGCTTGATCTTGAAGAAGACCTCTTCTCCGGTCGCAGAGATGACCTGAAGGACCCACATCGACACCGCACAAGATCATGGCCACGGCAACGCCAGGCGCACGCATACGCCACCGCAAGATCAGACAGTGTCGTCGAAGAGTGGGTCATTCGAGAGACAAAGACAATGGTTCAGGGTATAAAGGGAGCAATAGGTCGGTCCATGACGATAGATTCAGAACATCGCGTCGAGAATGAGGGTCAAAACACAAACAGTCAAAGTCAGCACATCGCCCGTACGCCAATGCATAAAACGAGAAAAAAATCGCACCTTGACGTTAATCGGCGCGTTCCCATCCTCTGCCTTCACCTCTGCCTGAGTCTGCTGTGCCTCTGCCTCTGCTTCAGACATATTCAACAAAAACGGTCGATCTGAACGCGAGAGCAGTCCGTGAGTGGCCACTTTTCTACGCAAATAAGGTCTAGACGAGTCAAAAGTGGACTTACGCGATCTGTGAGTAGTACAGATGGGTGATGGATGTCAAAAACGACGATGAGCACAGCGGTGCGATGAGACGGTGGTGGTCGAAGACGGCGATGTTGGGCCAAACGGACGAGCGTGCGGGTCGTCGGCGAGATCGCGACTGATTTGTCGTTGTTTGGCCTCCCCTTTCGCAGTGTCATTGTGGATCAGACTTTCTTGCGCCACATTCAGTCGCCACTCTGTTTCCTTACCTATTCGCAGAGATGAATTGCACAGATCTCCAGTGGATTGTTCTAGCATATAACCGTATATACTGTAAATTGTACCAATGAGAGTTGAGTGAGAATCCGGGGCCACTGGCAGGCTACAAAGCCGACTTGAGTTGAAACGAACCCGTGTCCGAAGCCAGAGGCGATACATACCGAACAGACACCGAAGTTCATCACGACACAGACACTAAGATTGTGCCTAGAATATCATCAGACACAATAGAGTACTGCTACTCGATAGGGACGGGGATAATTGAAGACGAAATGTTCTAAAACAAAACAACAGAAATAGAACGCGAACGACCGTAATGTACACATATGATACGGACAGGAAACAGATAAACGGTGACTGAGGATATACATGTAGACGAGGCACAGATATCCGGGGATAATGATGAACAAGGGACGAGGACAGTCGTATATGGGAGAAACGAATGACGAAGGATTGGCTATAGACGCTAAGATCGGAAAGACCGTGATGTGCGTATATACAATGGAGACCGGTATGCAATAGAAGGAGATGAACAAGGAGATGAAGATAGGAGGGTACAACCCAGTTGAAAACCACAAATCAAAGACGAACGAGACCGAAAAAAACGATGAAGAAAACCTGATATCATCCACCCCTCCCACCAAGCTCACGACGTCAACCCTCAAACCTTATGTATCTTCCTACCAACCTTCCTCAACAGCGCCCTCGCCCTCCTATACTCCACATCCTCATCGCTCGAATCCTCCCACACATCCTTCTCCTCCTTCTCTCTGCCCTGCGTCCCACCACGCATCTCCCACGCACCCCCGTTCGCATGTCCGTTGTTCCCAACACTCCCGTGGCCCCAAGGCTCCGCCGTCGCCTCGTCGTCCTCGATCGCAGGCGGCGTAGGCGAGAACGTAGGCTGCAGCGACATCCTCACGCTCTTCCTCCTCACGGGCGCCGTACCAGTAGGACCATCCGAGCCTTGCGCATTGCCCGAGGTATTGGGATTGTTGGAATGAGGATTCGCATCAACAGTGGACTGCGACACGTCCGAGCCTCCCTCCTCGTCCTTCGCAGGAACCTTAGGCGCCTCTTCCTCATCATCATAGAACATCTCATGCCCCGTCTCATACGATGATATCGAGTCCTCATCGCTATCCTTCTTCTTATCCTCCATCGACGCAGACAAAGGTCTCGGTGCCGTCGGGATCACGATCGGTGGCGCGACAGACATGGGAATGGGGACAGGCGAAGCAACTCTCGGTATGGGCGCTGACGCGAGGGAAGAAGAAGGAGGTGAGGATGAAGAGGTGGATGTGCTGGCGGGAGGAAGGGGGGAAGGAGACCGAGACCGGAGCGCAGATTTGAGCGGGGTTTTGACTTGGCCTGGTTGGTGCATCGTGTCGTTTGGGCTGAGGCTCATATCGGGGGATGCGGGTGCATTGGTACGGGGAGAGGAAGGGGCAGAGGCTGCAGAAAGGCTATTCGCCCTAACAGGTTTCGGTGTAGCCACCACCTCCGATCCACGCGCAGGCTTCGTCGTCGCCGTCGTCGTGGACATAGATCTCGAAAGCTGGGCGTTACCACCTCTGGGAGAATCGAAAACGCTCCCCGGCGCCGTCACACTCTCCATCCTCCCTCCCGGTACCTCTGCTCCCGTTCCTACACTCCTCCCCGCATCAAACATCGCCAAATCCTCCCTCCCCACCCTCGGCGGCGCCTTCACGCCCACCAACCCCCCGGTCATCGTCGCCCCTCCCGTTCCGGTGCTGCGCGCGCTCGTCAACGGCGCATCAGGCGACGAAACGTCTGCATCCCAAGCCCTCTGCATCCACCCCTCCCTATTCGCCTTCGTCACGCCCTCGACGATGGACATGAGTGACGTCTGTCCGGGTGCCGTCACGGACGTCGTCGCCCCACGGGAGTGATGTGGGCTTGGAGACGACGACGACGACCAGGTAGCGGAATGTGCGGAGGTGCCGGATTTGGGCGCGGGAGGCGAAGAGGCTCGTTTCGGTTTATTGCTACCCGTTACGGTCATGGATGTGGACGAAGTCAGATTCGTCGCCGAAGCAGACCCAGATCTCGATCTCGTATGCGTATGCATATTCGTCGATTTCGACCTCGCGTGTCCGTACGGAGAGGAAGAAACGACAGGTGCGGACGAAGCACTGGTGACGCTCCCGCTCCTCGTCAACGTGCCTTTCTTCTTCAATGTCGATCCATTTCCACTATCGGCGTTGGCCTTGGGACCAGTGATAGTGGTGGTAGAAGCGTTGGTGTTGTTGGCGGCTGCGGCGGAAGAAGGAGCCTTCGCACTCGCCCTCGGCGTCGACGTCCCACTCTCCACCCCGTCAAGCGACACCGCACTCCCATTCCCACTTCTCATACCTGTCGTCGTTGTCGTCGAAGGCCCCACATCCGAACTCGACGCCTTCCTCCCCCTACCCTTCGCCCTGACAGTGTCCTCCCCTCCACCCTCACCACCCATATCCTTCCCAAACCCAGAACCAGAACCAGAAGCACCGGGACGATTTTTCCTCGTCACGGTAGCAGTCGCGCCCCCATCGGTCATCCATCCCGCTTCCTGGACCGACGCCCCAGACCCAGATGCCACTCTCAGATTTTTCTTCTTCAATTTACTCGTGCCCGCGCTTGTCCCCGCCACACCAGCACCACTAGCACCAGGAAGAGCACCCTCGTCTGCAGACTCCCTTCGTTTAAACCTGAACCGTCTCGGCGAAGGCGAACCACCACTTCCGCTCGCTCCCACATCTCCACCTGCTCTCGCCCCCGGACCGGCAAACGCACTCGACGCCGGCAACCCCTCTTCCTCCGAATCACTCTCCCCACCCCCACCCCTTGCCCTCCTCAAATTCGCCTCCGTCCTCGTCGCCCACTTGCCTCCCTTCCCACCCTTCGCCCTCGCATACGGACTCCCACCACCCGTGTCGCTCCCACCATATCCACCTTCTTCCTTATCTTTATACCCCCTCGAAAACAATCCCGCCAACCCTCCAAAAAATCCCGACCCGCTCGTCTTTCGTTCCCTCGCTCTCTCCCTCGCCGATCCTGATCCCGATCCTGAGGCTATATGAGTATCTGACCCACCACCACCACCGTGCAGGGAGCCAAAGAACCGCGAACGAGAGGGTGCAGACTGCGACGCCGCGATGGACACGGAGGATGTCGAATCTTCTCGTTTATGTGTTTGGGAAGGACGCCGGATGGAGAACTTGCGACCCATGTGGGTCGGGGGTTTGGTTGGTGCGGTGCCGTTGGTAGTGGGTAAGTCGGTCTTGGATGGCGACGTCTGCAGGTTGGTCTTGGACGTCCGCAGGTCGGTTTTCGATGCGGAATGGGTGGTATTGGGTTTCCCGAACGGATTATTCTCGACCACTCGGACTTCCCGACCCTCCATCATCTCATCTTCCTCGTCTGAACTAGGCGGGGGCTCGTCGACTTCTGTTATCCGTCTTTCGAACGTCGGTGGGTGATTATGTCCCGCACGTTGTCCTTGGCCTTGGGACGAGTTCAGATTCATGTGCGACTGGGCCTGGGACTGAGACTGAGGCTGCGACGAAGGAATCATATCGTATTCCGAGATAGAATGCGCGGGTCCAATGGAAAGACGGAGCGTATCCGGATCTTCGAGTGGGAGTTGGGATCGTGAGCCTGTTTGTTGGTGGTGGTGGAGGGGGAGGGAGAGAGGGGAGGATGGGAGGGCGATTTGGGAGGGGGAGAGGGGGCGGGAGGGGCTGTTCGGTATTTGATGTTTCGATGAGGCATGAGGTGAATCGAGTTGTGAGACGTGGAGATGCCAGATATGTGAAGGAGAGTCAGTAATTCGGTGTATACAATTGATTCAACGAAAAAAAAGAGGGCAAGTAAACCGTGAAGCAGAACGCAGCAGGAGACGTGCAATGGCGGACGAGCATCCCAGCCACCCAGTCATCCCAACCATACAAAAAAGACACTCACCCATCAGCCCACCCATTCATTCCACCGCCCCCTCCACCCGCACCCGCACCTCCATCCACCCCAATCTGACTCGCAGACTGATTCGGACCTATCGACGACAAATCAGACCCACCACCACCACTTGTCCCATTCGCACGGTCATGAGTGTATGTCGATTGCGTACCGGCGGAGTCGCCCGGAGTTGGGATAGGGAGGGGTTTGTATTCTGTTGAGGGGTCGGGGGCTGGAGGGGTTCGTTGTCATGTGGCGAGGGTTGTTGTGGTTGGTTGAAGTTGCAGTTGTGGGTTGTGGCGCGATAGGGGTACACGGGTGGCGTGTGTATTGAGTAGGTCATGTCGTCGATCGCGAGCAAGGGATCAACACAACATTATTCAACGAATCGCGTATGGGTTCGATTTCGAAAGAGGGAAGAAGGGCAACTCGGTCAGTATGATGATCACATGCACACAACACAAGAGAGGAATTGAAATCCGAATGAGGCAGAAAACAAATGGGACGACCCAAGTGCAGTTAGACGACATAAGCGCAAGTCGATGCGAAAAGGTCGGAAGTCGAAAAGGTCAGAAGTCGAGAAGAAAGTGGAAGGCGAAGTGGAGCGATGGGGGCGGGAGATCGCGAGGCTATACTAGCGCGATTGTGGCCCCGCGAGAGGACTCGTCGAGCAGACACAACGAATATGGCGCACAGTGCAGACTCTGCGGTGAACAGAACCAAAAACGAAAACGAAAGAAAATCCAACGAAAACAAATAACTCACCATACCCATTCCTCCCTCCCTCCCCGCCCACCCCACCCATCTCCTCCAACGCCCTTAATCCCTCCTTACCCATCTCCCCCAGAACCCACCCACACTCCCCCAAAGCCGCACACCTGACCCTCAACCCGTCCCTAATCACGCTTATCCGCATCGCGTCCAGCTCTCTTTCTTTTGCTGCGAGTTGTGTTTCGCAGGCTTGGAGTTCGGCTTGGGCGGCCGTTAGTTTCGTGTTCGTGTTGGATGGGGAGGGATTGTAAGTTGTCGAGAGGGGGTTGTGGTATTGCGAGTGGGAATGAGGGGAAGAGGAAGAGGAGAGGGAGGTTTGGGAGAGAGAGCCGGGGAGGGAGGAGAGGTTCATGAATGAATCTCGTGTAGATTTCGTGTTTTTCGAGGCTTTGATCAGTCGTGTTACTCTATAACATATTCCACGCACATACATACAAATACAACATGAGCAAATGATGGCACAAAAAAAGCCAGAGTAAAAACGCAAGACGCACAGAATCTCCCGATCCCGCATCACATTCCCCACCTCGTCCTCCATCTCCCTCAACCGCTCCAACCCCTCCCTCCACGCCTCCACCGCCCCCGCATACCTCCTCATTGCCTCATCCGCGCCCGCGAGCGCACCGCCGACCGCGAGGACGGTGCGCGCGATGAGCGGGGAGGACGCGGAGGCGTAGGCTGAGAAGGACGAGAGCGAGAGCTGGGTGGCGGAGGAGAGGGAGGCGAGCGATTTGGAGTAGTCTTTTTCGTGCGAGATGAGGTTGGAGAGGAGGCGGGAGTCGGCTGGGCGGTGGACCATTGGGTGTTGGACGTTGACGTTGGGGTGCTGTTAGATGTTGAGGTGCTAAGGCTGAAGGATAGCAGGCCTGGTTGATGGGATGTTGTTATTGAGATGGTAAAGTAAGACAAGAATGTGGTGCGAAGGAAAGACTATAGCTTTAATGAGCTGAAGGAAAGCTGGGAAGAAGGGGCGGACAGGGCGAAGCAGAGATGAAGGGAAGGAGGAAGCCAAGTCGCGGTTCGCGCTGATGAACACGCTGTGCAGCCGCGATCCAGAACACACGTAATTCCTTCTTTCTCATCTTCCGTTTAGTTCGCCGCGTGCCGGATGACGACGATCTCCTCTGACGGTGTTTTCAGTCGAGTGGGGAACAAAGCTAAAGGCTTGTATATTTATTTTCTTAACAATGTTGTGGACAGATTTAGAGGACAGAAAGCCTCAACATCGGGTAGTAGCAGGCTCCAAACTTCAACAACACCCGGAAGCTTTCAATAATGATTGCCGCATAAGAAGCGCATCCGCCTCGTCGTCATCGACCAATAATTATATACGTCCAGTCCGGCTTCCAAGTGAACTGGCTGGAGCATGGTGTGGCCCACAATCGTGACGTGCCGACCAGATAATACTTTGGACCTATCACAAATACTCAATAAACCAGCAAAAAGTCCCAACACAGTCCACAAAAAAACCAATCCGCCCAGCAACATAATTTTCTCTCTCGTTAGACCGTCAGTGGCCCCGATCCAACCACCACGATCGTAAAACCGCTCCGCCCAGGCGATCCCCCTCCACAATTATATTGCAGAGTTTATTGGGAGGGTTCTTTAGGGCAGGCCTCGCGCCGGCGTCGATTTGCAATTCTTGATTCGTAATTAGGCAATTCCTTTTCGAGCCCATTTGATTTCGCATCTTGTCCCCGCGTCCCCACAGCTCAGACAATTCCTCAGCAGCTCGCCCTTTCTCTCTTCCGAACTCTTTCTCTGCATTTTTTCTTGAGTGCTTGCTGGGGCTAGAATCTTAGAGTAATAGTCCAAAGAACAGAAAACTTAGAAAGCTTGAACCCATCTAAATTTGGACGCGCTCGCTCTACGCTTTGAATATCAACCCCGTTTCGACGTAGCACTTGAAGCAGCTTGCTATTGTTCTTGTTCTTGTCTCGTACAAGGGCGGACGCGACACGTACACGAATCGAACCGACCAGAAACGCGTGATCTTGTTCGCTCTTGACGCGACGCGCATTTGGCCTTCCGACGCGACTCTCCTGAATCACCTCGCGACGCGACGCACATCAGCTTTATAAAGCGTCTTGTAATCTCTCATCCACACAACTCAGTTCTCGAACCCGCACGCATACCACCACCGACCACGAAATCACAAATGTCCTCAGCCCCAACAACCCCACACTCCCTCTCCGCGACACTCACCCCTTTCGACCCCGCCTCGTCCCGCGTCATGAGCACCGTCGCGTCTTCGCCGCCTGATACTTCTATCGCCGGGGATGATGACCAGAGCAAGGATGACGAAGAGGACGAGGAAAAGCAAGGGGACGACGGAGACCATGCGAATGATGCGGATTATGAGGTGCCTGTGGATGATGATGTTATGGTGAGTTCAGTTTTTGGTTTCGGTCTTAGTTTTATGGGCGAAAAGGGGATGTGCTAACGGATGTGATGTGATGTAGACGACGAAGACGAAGACGATCGCGGACGAAGTACGTCTTTCTCTCACTCTCTGCCTCCCTCCTCCTCTCTGCCTCCCTCCTCCTCTCTGCCTCCCTCCTCCTCTCTGCCTCCCTTCCTTCCTCCTATCCTCTCCCCTCCTCCTCCCCCCCTACTCCTTCTTCCACGCATCAATGCCGCACCACATCACTATCACTAACCCCACCCAACCCAACCACAGGACCCAACAGCCCGCCTCCGCCGCCTCGACTACCTCCTCCAAAAATCCTCCGCCTATTCCCAGATGCTCTCCACCCAGATGGAAGCCGTCCGCGCTAATGCTGCTCTTCAAGCCCAAGCTCAATCCAGCCAGTCTAAGCCCGTCGCCAAGGCGGTGGGCAAGAAGACAAACGCGAAAGTGAAGAAAGGACCACGAAAATCCACGCGCGGAAAGGGACGCGGGAAACGCGCGCTCGAGACAGACGACTCAGACTCAGACTCAGCGGAGGTGACGAGTTCCAAGCGCGCCAAAGTCGAGGAAGATGGCGCAAGGGATGAGGAGGAGAAGGATAAGGAGAAGGCGGCGGCGGCGTTCGTGCAGCCGGAATTGTTGAGCGGCGCGACGTTGAAGGATTATCAGCTCGAGGGCGTCGCTTGGATGTGGAGTTTGTTCGATCAGGGGATTTCGGGGATATTGGGTCAGTCTCCATTCGCTTTCTGGTTGGGTGGCAATACTGACGAGATATCGTGTATTTGTGTTTTTCGGAAATTGTGAATCCAGCGGACGAGATGGGGCTCGGAAAGGTTCGTTTTGACCCTCTTGCATTCACTCAGGGACTGGGACTGATCAATCACTTGTTTTGCTACGTATAGACGATCCAAACTATCGCGTTTCTCGCACACCTCCGCGGTCGTGTCGGTGGGCTGTCACTGGTCGTTTGTCCGCTGAGCGTGCTGCATAATTGGGTGGAGGAGTTTACGAAGTTCGCGCCTGAGGTACGTTGACTTCAAAATCAATCGCGCATCGAACACCAAAAATAAAAGCTAATATGCTCTCCTCCATCTGCTCCATTTCATTCCTCTCCAGATCCCAATATGCATGTATCACGGCACGCCCGACGAACGCGCCGAGCTCCGACGCACCGTCATGCCCCTCAATGAAGAGAACATGGCATCGAAGCCTGAACCGGCCGCTCCTCAGCATTCTCGTCATGGACACGGGCATGGAGATGATGACGAGTACGAGCACGGTCATGGACAGGGAAAGTCTGGACGAGGCCGAGGTGCTCGAGGTAGGGGAAGGCCAAGGGGAAGAGGGAGAGGGAGAGGTGGTAGGGCTACGGATGCGACTAGTACGAGGAAGAGCGCGAGGAGTAGTACGAGGACGAAAGGGATGGATGTCGATGAGGAGGAGGACACAAAGCCTTCCACTTCCACCTCTGCCACCAAGTCTGGAAAATCAGCGCAACCGACTCTGAGAGATTATTTCGGTGCTAAACCTTCCGCCTCCAAGACCAAGGCTCAGACTACGGATACCTCCAAGGACGACGATTCCGATTCCGAGCCCGCCGAAGACAAAGTCAAAACCGAAGTCAAAGCTGAAGCTAAAGAAGAAGCAGATCCGTTCCCCCTGCCTCATCAAGTGACTTCGTTCCCCGTCGTGATCACGACGTATGAGATGATCATCAAGGATAGGATACATCTGTCGAAATATAAGTGGGGCCAGGTGGGTTTTGATTTCCATACTTTTTTCCTTATATTTCATTTCGCTTCGTCGAGAAGAACTGGAAATGCTGATTCTGACTTTCGCAGGTGATCGTGGACGAGGGCCATAGGCTGAAGAATATGGACTGTAGGCTTATGCAGGAGGTGAAGAGGTATGAGAGCGCGTGGAGGATGGTGTTGAGCGGGACGCCGTTGCAGGTTCGGTTTCTTTTCTAGCTTTCCGTCCATAATATCATCCATCTTAGACACGATGCTGAGCTGTCTGCCTTTCGTATAGAATAATTTGGCGGAGCTCTGGTCCCTGCTCAACTTCATCCTTCCCGATATCTTCAACGACCTTGATTCTTTCCAGGAATGGTACGTCCCTACCACCCTTCTCTTTTACTCCACTCACTAATCATCTCCGTCACCGACCAGGTTTAACCTCCCCACGCTCTCTTCCACGATTTCCACCTCCCAATCCACACAACTCCTCTCCACGCTCCACAACATCCTCAAACCCTTCCTCCTCCGCCGTCTCAAAGTCGATGTGGAGAAGTCCTTACCGCCGAAGAAAGAGTACGTGCTCTACGCGCCGTTGAGTGAGCGGCAGAGGGAGGTGTATGATGCGATCGTGAAGGGGGGATTGAGGGGGATGCTGGTCGGACGGCAGCATCTTGCTGATGATGCGACGCAGGGAGGAGAGGAGAAGGAGGCGGTGGATGAGGGAAGGAAGTTGAGGAAGAAGCAGAAGAGGAAGTATGATGTCGATGGGAGCGATAAGAAGTATTTCCAGAGTTTGGAGAGGGGGGAGGTGCAGCTCAGACCTGGGGAGGGAAGTGCGCATAGGCGGGACGAGGGCAAGACGGTGGAGGAGTTGGGGAGGAAGGCTGTTTATGATGCGAAGTGTACGTTCCTTCTTTCTTCCCTCTTCACCTCCAAATAGTTACGATAGCTGACTTTGGATCGGCACAAACAGTGAAGAAGATAAACAATCTTCACCTGCAGAACGCAGTGATGCAGCTCCGCAAAGTATGCTCCCACCCCTTCTTGTTCGACTGGCCGCTCGACGAAAGGACGAATCAGCTGGTGATCAACCATGAGCTCGTGAATGCGAGCGGGAAGATGATGGTCCTAGAGAGGTTGTTGGATGAGCTGTTCGAGAGGGGACATAAGGTGTTGGTGTTTAGTCAGTTTGTGACGATGTTGGACGTTATTGAGGTGAGCGTTCCCTCTATTCTCTTCTTCCCTTGTTCCTTCTTCTTCCTTGGTGTTACGTCTTCGAGTCTCATACTGACCTTTCGTTCGATCTAGGACTGGGCGACTGAATTCAAGGGCTGGCCGTTGTGCCGCATCGACGGCTCGACGAACGCGCTCGATCGTAGAGCAGAGATGAACAGGTTCCAGACTGGTGGCGATAAACCTGACGCGCCGAGATTGTTTTTGCTCAGTACAAGAGCGGGAGGCTTGGGTATCACGTTGACCGCGGCGGATACGGTCATCTTTTATGATCAGGACTGGGTGCATATTGGCTTTATCCCTCTCCTTCACTCTTGGCTCACCCGATACTGACGCGACTTCGATATATAGAACCCGCAAATGGACCTCCAAGCCCAGGACCGTGCACACAGGATAGGACAGACGAGGCCCGTGTTGGTGTTCCGACTCGTGAGCAAGCATACGATCGAGAGTAAGATCATGGAGCGGGCTTCGGAGAAGAGACAGCTCGAAGCCATGGTCATCGCGAAAGGTACGCATTCTCATCATGGTTCCTCTACGTCGTGATATCTGACCACCTTCCTCTTCCCTTCTACTCTGCCCGTTTCTTTGTTACATTACAGGCAAATTCAAAATGCCTGTTGGACCTGCATCAGCCGCCGCAGAGAAACGAGAGACGATGGCGGAGATGGCGGCGTCGCTTCTCGCTCTCGAAGGTGAGAAGATCGAGGTCGTTCCCGATACCGAGGCGGGGAAGAAGAGTATCATGAGCGATGCGGACCTCGACGCGTTGCTCGATAGGCGTAAAGAGGTCTTCGAGGGCCGGGGAGCGGGATGGACTTCTGCTACTGCTGGTGCGGAGAAGGCTGGGAAGGGAGGGAAAGGTGGTAAGAAGGCGAAGGATGAGGATGGAAAGGATGGGGAGGGCGATAGGAAGGGATTGTTCGAGGTCTATGAGGCGCCGAAGGATGAGGGGAATGAGGCGTTAGCGAGGATGATGGCTGAGGACGAGCCGGCTGAGTTTTGAGGATTAGCGACGTCTCGCTGGATTCGAGTGACTCGGTTGGGATGTGGTCATTTCTCCATGGGTCGTTCTTGTCCTCGAGGGTCGTGTCGGTGGGTATAGTATAGAGGATACTGCTTGCACGATCCTTGGGGGGTTCACGTCGTTGTACATTTGTACATATCTTTATCGCATACTAGTATTGTCGTTTAGCTTTCGTCTCGTTTTCGCGTTGTTTATCGTCGTCTACTACTGTAATATACTTAGATCATCTTCTATCGCAGGAATATAATGTCAATGTCCTCGTCCCAACTGTTCGATTCAGATCTTGCGAATGGGATGTGAAAGGTATATTCTATGCCTATCATTATAGAATGGCCTATGCTAGTGTCCAGCTTCTGGTGTCCCAAGAATAAAGGATGATATAGGTAACATCGCAATCCGCCCAGGGCGATCCAGATATTGTTTGTAGCAAAGTGATTGTACAGAGGGACGAAAGAACACAGTAAATAAAAGTCAAACATCGTATTAGATGTAGCACAATAGCGTGTAGAGAGAAGGAAAGGCTATGGGTGACGATGTACAAGACCCACGAAGATCAATATTCGATGTAAAGCACAGCAGACAAGGAAGTAGTAGTAACAGTAAGCATAAACGAGCGAAAAGAAAAAGAATTACAGGTAACAAAGCAGTAATCATCGGGCCTCAGCGATCATTGGTCACCCCCAAGAGCACGTACATAGTGGAACTCCTCATCATCTCCCCTCCCAATCTCTCCCAAAAGTCTCCTCGACTCTATTCAACGCACCCTTCCTCTTCGCATACCTCTGCGCTGGCGACGCGACTCCCAACGCAGGCGTTCTGCCATATTCCGACCCCAAGCCAGGGGTGTAGTTAGATTCTGCATATCGTCTATGTGTGGCAACGAGTGCAGAGACCGAAGTCTCGTTCGAATCAGAGTAGGCGCTTGACTGGGTCGTGGTGCGCGACATGTCGGGTCTGGGAGCTGGGATACGACTTGACGTTGAGGCGGAACGCGAACGTGTGGTTTTCGACTTGGTTGTGGGCGTGCGAGCGAGGTTAGGGGTGTCGTCGGATGGCCCCTTGAGCGAGACCTTGTACTCGTTTTGATTCGGGATGGAAGATTCCTTGGTAAACTTGCTCGGATACGGAAGGGACGAAGGAGTACTGGTGCCATGCTCGCTAGAGGTGGTCGTACGTGTCGATTTCGTGGATTTGCGACGATCGACAGCAGCGCCGGTAGTGCGAGGATGATTGCGAGCGACGGCAGCGGAACCGAGAGCCATCGACAAGGACTTCGGGCTGAAGAGTAACGCAGAGTCGAGTTGTGGTGAGCGGATAAGAGGAGGGCTGGAGGGTAACATTGAAGAGTCGACACGGCGCGGTCCTGACTTGCCAGCACGGGTCTGGTGAGCAGGTTTTCCTGCCCTAGTCTTCTTGTCGACATTCACATGCAGGGGAGCCGTAGGAGTAGAGGACTTTTGCTTGGTGACGTGAGAGGCGGTGGCACCGTCGTTACTGGTCTCAATCTCCGCCCTCACTGGCCTGACCGACGTCTGACTTCTCTGACTCTTACTCCTCCTTCCCAGAGACTTCCTCTCCGGCATCGGCGTATACCTGTCCTCTTTCCCTCCTTCCCCACTTCCACCAACGCCCTCCACCCAAGACTTGGTCCAAGCCATCCAGCCTTCCTGAGACTTTTTCTCCACAGCCTGGGGAACGGGCTCCTCGGCCTCAAGATCCTCTTCGACAATCCTGAAACCGACGCCAGGCATCCAATCAGTGAGGTCAGCTCCTGCGTCTGCGTCATCGTCGAGGAGGAACGGAGTCGTAGCCGCCGACTCAATCCGACGTCCTCGCCCATCACCGTCGATATCCAATTCTGTGGCAGCAGGAGTCGAAAGCGCAGAATAAGCCGGTCCAGATCTCAACGACGCACACCTCCCATCCCTCGGCAACTTTGCGGCCCTGCGTCCGGACTTTGCACGTATACGATCGAGAAGATGTCGACTTTTTGACTGTACGACGTCTACCTCTTCATCGTCGTCCTCACTCAGGAGATTCAACGTGTCCGGAGAGAACGGACGTGCAGGTTTCGGTTTCGGTTTCGGTGTAGGGCCGTACTGACTAGCCGCAGAGGCAGAGTAGGATGACAAACCGCGGGTGGGAGAGAGCGCTGGCGTCTCGGCGAGCTCGTGTCTGTGTTCGTAGCGAGGGGTGGAGAACGGAGGTCTTGCGGAACGGGTGCCACTGAGGAGTGCGGACCCGAGGGAGCGTATGCTGTTACCGCTCTTCCTAGAGGCAGCAGTGGGATTCCGATAGACGGAGCCGTGACGAGTGGATTTGCTTGGGGTGCCAACGTCGGTTAAGTAGAGTGGTGCCTTTTTGTCGTCTCTATGGCTATGGAATAGGGACGCATCCGGATCCTCAGTCTCCGAGACCTCGTACTTCCCACCGCTCAGCAACCTCGATCCATCACCACCTTTCTCAATGCCAGAGCCACTTGTTCGCCCATCGATACCGCGGCTTCGTCTCCAGTGTCTATGTGCGAGCCATGCTACGACCACACCCAATATGATTGCGGCAACAGCAACGACGGGTATAAGCACGCGGAGTTCGACGGACAATTTCGATGTGTTCGACGAGGTAGAATTTGAATCGTGAAGGGAGGGAATATTGGTGCTTGACGGCGGGAGGGCCGTTATTTGGATGAGGGAGGCCGATGGTGCCGCCGATTCCGATGTTGTTATTGGCGCAGAGGTTGATGTCGTTAGGGTGTTGCTGGTAGTCATTGTTGTGGGAGCAGCAGTGGTCGAGGGAAGAGGGACCGTCGGTGGAGACGGCGTGACGGATGGAGGAAGTGAAAGTATGGCAAGGGACGGGTCTGGTGTGGTGGTCACGGGTGGCGTATAATACAATATCGTAGGCGTAGGGGCCGATGGGATGGATACAGATGTCGTGGTGCTGGCGCCGTAAGCAGGATAGGGCCACCAGTTGAAACTTGACGTCGAGGCGGGTATATCTCCCACTTGTCTCGCCTCTATCCCGCTCTCTTCTGTCTCTCGTTGATGATGCTCAGCATCTATATAATTATCCATATACAATCGATTAATAGGGCGCGGCCGAGAACTTCGACTAGGGTGACGGATCTGGGACACCATCGGGTAGTGATGAAGTCGAGAGTTACGAGGGAGGAAGAATGACGAGGCCGATTCTTGATTCAACACCGAGTGCAGAGAGGTCGGCTCTGGGTCGATCGAGGTCAAGGCCTGCGGCGATGAATGTCGAGCGTCGAATGAGGTGCGATGATGGAGAGTAGGAGGACGAAGTCACGCCCGAACGAGTGGTGTGGCGCCAAAAGGTCTTTGGACGGACTGTGGCGTGTGCGTCGCATGGAACATGAGCGAGAAGAAGAGGAAAATTTAACAAAAGAAAGGAGTAACGCACAAAGAGGTGGCGGAGGTTTGATCAGCTCAGGTTCTCCTCTGCTCCTGGCGTAGTTTACGCCTCGCGTACGTGGTGTCCTCGGACTCAACACTGGCTGCTCAAATACGTCGACACTACCTCTCCGATTCGTGTATCTAGTCGTCGTAGGCGGGGCGGACGACGGACGTTGTCCCAAAGAAGGTCGTCTCCTCGGTGGCCTGGACGTAAAGGTATTGGTAGGTGGCGAGAGGTGAGTGTCGTCGACTACGTGCTGGGGTTGTGGTGCGTGCGGTCGTAGTTCTGCGGGAGGAGAGTGGGGATCAGATGAGGACGATGTAGGCGAGTTTAGGTCTTCCGTTGAAAGTGTGACCATCGGTGTTGCGGTGAACTGGCTCGATCGATGTTGGAAGGTGAAACCGAGACCGAGACTGGTGGACTGAGTCGGGAAGAGGGCATTGGGGGCATGCAAAACGGTGAGGTCGGTCATAATGAGTATGTTTGGGGTACTGGATAGAAAAGAATGGGGCTTCGAAGGGAGTGGTGGTCCTCGCAGAGGATGTGTGCGTTGGAATCAGCGGGTGTTGTGGAGTCAGTGGCGAAGTCTGTTTTGGCGAACAGTTACAACTCAAAGGCAAAGATATTGTCTTGATAAAGCGACCGCTCAGATACCGAGGGAAGTTGGAATACTGCTCCAAGTGGATCGGATTCTAAAGATCACGGCCAAAGCAGAAGAGACCAGAATTACTGGATATATTAACTCTGCCCGTGCGTTCTAAGTCGTAAAGCAGAGATAGAGCGTAGTACGCGATAGAACAACGAACGTTAGAGACTGTGAACCAAGCTAGTTGGGGTCAAAGAAAGCAATTGTTGATCGCCTCGTCGTCGTCGTCGCCTATAATGCACAGTTGCCTGCAGGAGACCGTGCGTTGTCGAAGCGGCGGGCCACTCAGACCGTTTTGGCTTCCCACGCTCTCCTTGTATACATGTGGCCGCGTCCGACCTTCGTGCCACTTCTTTGTACATGTGAGAAGGAAGCAAACTCTAATCCTTCTATCGTTTGCTGAGGTCCTTTCGCATTTCACAACCTTTGAAGGAGCGTATTTATGTATTGCATCCCATTGAAAAGAGCGACAAAGGAGATGATGACGACAGGTACAGACTATCATGATGTGGCACACAATAACCCAAAGACAGCCAACTTCCCCTACGACCAGTACGAATTCGGAACGTAAAGCGGCATCGAATCCTCCCAAATCCCGTTCGTCAATACCACCTTATTCGCACCATCATAATCCATCGACATAATCTGTCCATACTGCTGGAACGTGTCATCGTAAATAGCCGCCTCATCCTGGAACCCAAACTCTCCCGTCGAATACAGGATCTTGGTTCCATCTCCATTCCATACAGCATGCGCGTCGTTCGCCAAAGAAGTGGTGAGGACCTTGTAATTCGTGCCGTCGCTGTTGATGGTGCAGACATCGTAATTGTCTTCGTACTCGTTCTCATTTGGAACGGAGGTACGACGGGTGAAAAGGATGAGGTCGCCGCCGGGTTGCCAGTGCGGGAGGTTGTCCCAGCCGGTGGTGAGCGTGGTGATGTTCCTCGTCTCGAGGTCCATAATGCGCAGACCGCGTGGGCCGTTCTGAACGTCCCAGGAGCGGTAGACGAGCTTGCTGCCGTCAGGAGAGTAGCTTGGGAAACCGTCATTGTAAGTACCGTCCGTGAGCTCCTCGTATACGGAACCGTTGGCAGTAACACTATTTCAAGTCAAAGCCAGGTCAGCCAGCGCCCAAAATAAAATAATCAGAAGAGGAGAGACAAAACGCACCGGTAAAGCCACGCCGTCCCAACCGAGCGTTCGAAGAACCAGTTACCCAACCCAAACGCAAGCCACTCCCCATCCGTCGTCCAATCCGGCTGGAAAGCCCCCGCCAAGCCCTGCAACGACACTGAATTCTCGATCTGACCCGTCTGATAGGTATCAAAAATGAGTGCCAGATCGTCTCCCGATGGCTGCATAGTGACGATCGAGGCGTTTCCAAGCTGCTTTTGCGTGATAGCGAGCTGGCCTTGGAGCGAAAGCGTGGGGAATACGTCGGAGAAACGGTACTCCCAGTTGTCGTCCCAGCTGTAGATGACCTTGTCTTGGGCGCGAATAGGCGACCACTCCGTCTTCTCGTATACGACCTGGGTACCGTCGGGCGACCAAGCGGGAGAGCGTGCAGTTATCTCGACGGCAGTGAGGTTGGTGGTGCCGTTTACGAAGGCGCTGGTGTAGTTCAAGCCCTGCGCATCCGTGCCGTTCGTTTTGTGGAGGAAACCGATGGTGTTCGCGTCGAGGTATTGGGGGAAGAGTTTGACGCCGACGTCAGAGGTGTGCTCGAGCCGGTCACCGCCAGTGGCAAAATCGACGGAAACAATCTGCGAGCTCGTGATGTCCACGTCCTCCGGACGACGAGCGCCCCAAGTATCCTCGGTGGTGATCTCGTAGTAAACGACGCGCGAACTATCAGGAGAGAATTTCGGCGAACCAAGACAGTATCCGGTCTTGTTCGCAACGAGGTGGTAGTCGGAGCCGTTGGGACGAATGGCGTAGATGGATAACTCCTGCGTATGCTCCCAACCAGACCCGTTCCCGTGTCCACGCCAGAGCGTGTCCTTGTCGGACGAGAAGACGATCCACTCGCCGTCGGGAGACCATGCTGGACGGAAATGGCCATCAGGGAGACTCGAGTTGCCGGCGATTTCGGTCGTGTTGGTGATGTTCCACGAGGAGCCGGTGGTGAGGTCGAGGAGCCAGATATTGCTTTTGTAATTGACGGCGGTGGATTGGAAAGCGACGATTGTGCCGTTAGGAGACACGGAGGCTGCTGTCTCGACGGCTGAGGTAGCGATGACTTGTTCGAGGCCGGTACCGTCTGGGTGAACACGCCAGAGGTCTGGGTTACCGTCACCGTTCCGTTCACTGAAGACCAAGGTAAGTAAGATATGGTGGTCCGGAAATGTCATAACAAGACGTACGAGGTGAAGATGATCCACTGGCCGTCTGGGGACCATTGCGCGTGGTAGTCGAAGGAAGAGCTATTGCCGAGGAGAAGAGTCTCGTTTGTGCCGTCAGCATTGGCGATGTAGAGCTCAGATATGGATGGTGCAATGCGGTTCATGAAGAAGACGCCTTCCTTTCCATCGGCGGGGGCGTCACGCGCGATAGGAGTCGACGGCTGGTCGCGCGCGGCATTGGCATACGGGCAGCTCGAGGAGGAACTCGTCTTCGGCTGAGAGGCATAAGGGCAGGAAGCAGCTGCTGCTAGACTGAAGAAGAGAGGAAATATAGAGAGCAGCATCGTGCTGGTTCACTATAAGGAAACCTGGTGGGCGTTCGGGTAGAAGAGAAAAATGAGATGCAAGCGGTTGGAAGCCCCACATTTGTATGACGCCTGGTTGGCTGCGAGACAGTCAATCGGAAACAGTTCACGCGACGCGACGCAGTCGCCTGCATGCTCGGATGAAATTCCGCGTCGGTCTTGCAAGGATTCTCTTGGCGCATGTGTATCCAAAAACGTGTGAGTAAAGCAGAACAAACTCACCGGGGTCACCATCGGAAGAATGACCGCCAGACCACCGTCCCTCGGTTGCAGTTGGTTGCCGGATAGGCTTTTTAAAGTCTCTTCTCTAATAAGGTTCCTTGTCGTGTCTGTTCCGTTTCAGTACCGATGCGAACGAGTCCTTCGAAGGTATGCCACATGCGTTCAGTCTTCCGGGTCATCGCAGGTCATTATACGGCATACATATCCTTGCCGAACATACCGACCACAGCGCAAAAGAAGTTCTACCAACCATTAACAGAGTCCGTATTGGGAGACGCTGAAAACTGGGGACGGTTGGCCATTTGCTAAAGCGAAGTGTGAGACGTTTCGACGCGTCACAGGACAAATTCGGGCGATGCGCAGCAGCAACACCACCAGGACTGATTAGATTAGACATCACCGATTTCGAGAACGGAAGGAAAGACGGAGGAATCAGAGGCCGAACTGACAATGAGCGAGAGATTTCAGAGAGCAAGCATGGTGACGAGCGTATTCGGGACCGCTCGGGCGATCCTTTGTAGTCGGAAAAACAAGTTTAGTTGACGCATAAAGAGAACAGCACGGAAAAAGTCCAGGGAGCGAGGCTGAGGAAGAAACAATCAGAAGTTTTGCAAGTTGAGAAGTATGTCAAAGCTGAGGCGTACACGCAGGGATATTTGAGCGAGTGCCAGTGTCTGTCTTCCTTCATAGCAGCCGGAGGCACAGGGTCTGAGGAAGAAGCGTATAAAGTCTTCGAAATTTTGGAAGACTGTCCAATATGCAAGGCACAACGCACTTAGCAATATCCGAGCGGTAGACGGTGCCTTTGATGAACGTGTGGATCGTTCAAAGCGAAGCTTTTGAGCTCCAGGGCAGTCGGAGAAGTATTTGTGACGAAGCCGAGTTGTTCCCGCAAAACATGGGATTCGGTCGAGTGATGCTACGGAGAGGCCAAAAATCCCGCCTGTATCGTTGGCACACATTTCGTGGATGGGGTCTGTAGACATGGCGGTGATGTGGTGACAGTCATCGAGCACAAGCGAAGCGTTACACCGTAGGGGTTCGAAGGGCTGCTGGAACCACTTGATAAATGTGTTTCGTGACCTTCGATATCCTAGTAAGTACCGCCAGATGAAAGTCAAAGGCATGTCGCATGTTCTAAGCTCTTAGACGAATATCAGTTACGTCGTGGTGAACGATGTGCACAGTACATACTACATAGGGATTCGTAGGCACAGAGGCCTTTGCCGACGAGTACATACCGCTGGACTGATTGAGTTAGAGAGCCCATCATGATGTTCGCAGGCAACTTTCTACCGAAATCAATGATCAAATGCTTAAAGACAAAGGTTAATTTACTGACCCGCACCTATGCTATGAGTGTACGGTGACTGAGGAGCGTGGCGAACAATCAACAAACTCCATTCGATCCATTTAATCCAAGCCTAGACTTAACGGAGTTCCAGTTGTGAGCATCGCAGAGGCGACTATCGACCTGGTGCTTTGAATGGACGTAGGTATACCTTGTCCGAGTCCCAGGCATCAGGAACCCCTAGAGAAAGAACAAGTTGTTGAAGAAGTTCAAACACGTACATACACGGTCTTGCCTGGAGCTCAGCGCTCAGGTTAGGGTCTGTGGGCCACACCGCAACGGTCAGGCGGTGCCACATATTTTGTCCCGCATTCCAGCATGGTCCGTGCATCATAATTATTGCACCATCCGACTAAGCCTTGATAAGGCCTCCTAAGTTTTGCCCAGAGCTCGCTGTAATGGCTAGTCCTGAGCACAGGAATTTTTTGCGCTTTTTCCCCTCATTTTTCTGCCGTCGACTTTTGCCTACGATCGCGCTGTCAAACGGCCGCCATCTGCTTCGACAGCGAGCGCAGGCCACTGTGATGCATCCACGCCGTATCTCTCCCGGTCCACGATGTCGCTCACAGGTTGCCTAGGCACGTCCATAAGGAGCACGCCATATCTACTTTGCTTGCGCACTCCCAAGTGACCCTTCGCGATCTCGAGGCTATCATATCTCGTTTGTTGGAGTGACGCTAGTGTTTTTGATGGGGCCCTAAGAACCTTACTCAAATAGTCCCCTTCTCTGATTTGCGCGCTGGTTGTCTTTTCCCTCACGACCTCCACAATCTAGTGCTTGAGCGCTTGTCCTTCTATCACGGTCTCTACGTCGTTTCACTCGGGCGGCGTTTTCTTTTAGACCTTGACCGGCCCAGGACGAAACGTCTCTAATTCAGTTACATTCATCATGAAGGAGGACGGTACCATGGCTTCTACAGATGCAAAGGAGTTGACAGGAGATGTCGAGAATCAAAAGCTGGCGTCATCAGGCCCGGGAAGCTTCATCAGTACTTCTTCGAATGATGCCAGTGTGGGCATGCAGATAGCACTGGAGAGCGAACACCAAATCAAGTATAGGACTTGCTCATGGCAGAAGGTGTGTTCCCTACCTCACACTCGATATTGTCCGCTGTACTCGCTTCAAAGCGGTCCACCAACAACTTTGCTTGGCCTGATAGACGGCGGCCTTGCTGTTTTCGGAGTACATTTGCCTCGCTATCATGTCTTTTCCATGGTACGCCTAGTCTGTTCTTCACCACTGTTCAAAATATATCTCAATTGCATTGGCACACATCAATCAGGTCGTTCTCAATCCTTGGAATGGTCCCAGGAGTAATCGTCACTCTGGCCGTCGCGGCATCCGTCCAATATACGTCACTGATTCTCTGGCGCTTTTGCCTCAAACATCCCGAAATCCGGGACGTCTGCGATATCGGTCAGATGCTATTTGGCGGATCAAAAGTTGCGTATAACGCCACCGCGGTGTTCTTCATCTTGAACAACACTTTCATCCAAGGTACGTTCCCGCCTCTGTATTCTCGTCTGTCTGTCTTCTTCCCTGGGATCATTTCGTCACTTCGTAGCGTTGCTCTGCTTTCGTCTGTTCCAGTACTGACCTTGTAATTATCTAGCACTACACTGTCTCGTCGGTGCCGAACTGCTCAATACCCTCGCTGGAGATTCAACCTGCAGCATCGTCTTCTCCGTCGTCACAGCCATAATCTGCTTCTTCATCACCCTCCCACGTACACTCTCCGGCCTCTCGGGTCTTGGGACATTCAGCGCCGTGACCATGGGAATTGCCGTCTTGTTGGCTATCGTGTTCAGTGGCGTGCAAGATCATCCATTTGGCTATGTGGAAGGTAGTGCGCCGATTGTGACAGCGATACCGATAAAGGGGACGACCTTCGTTAGCGGTGAGTGGATATATCATCTTCACTTTCGAATCAAAGGGCGTGAGGAGGGCTCAAGAACCGGGGAATACGGGTAACTGATGTGGCGATGGCCCATAAATTACAGGCATGTCTGCGTTCTTGAACATCACGTACACTTTCGTCGGTCAAATCACGCTTCCTTCGGTGCGCTCCCTTTGATTCTCCTTTCACTTTCACGTAACACCCTCTTACCACCTATTTGCTCCTATGAGTAGTTCATCGCGGAGATGAAGAACCCGAAAGACTTTCCCAAAGGTGTGTGCAGTATACAACCTCTTTCACTTCCAATCGCGGCTGAGAGACGGAGACTGATGCATCCGTGTTGGCCGCTATAGCACTTTGGGCCGTTACCATTGCTGAGATGATCGTCTTCACACTCTGTGGAGCTATCATGTATCACTTCGTCGGTACGTCTCTCCACCAGTCCTCCAGGTATAAATACTCACCCGACTCTACAGGCAACCAGTATATGATCGCACCTGCCTTTGGATCCCTCACGCCGACGTACAAGAAGATCGCGTTCTCGTTCGCGATTCCGACCATCGTATTCCTTGGATCGCTTTATTCTGTACGTTTATAAATTTTATTTATCCAATCGCGCCACACCACAGCCACGACCATTCAACTTCCCACCACTCTCAATTCATCCATACTCCTTGTTCCTTCCCCCCGCTATCGTTTCTTCTCTTCAATTTCCACCACGTTCCTTCTTGTTGACTGACTGTCGCTCATGACTCGTCTCACCCATCACTAACCTCTGCTCATCTACACGCACAGTCCGTGTCCACTCGCTTCGTCTTCTTCCGCATCTTCAACCGCGACTCGCGTCACCGACACTCCAACACAGTCCTCGGCTGGGCGACCTGGGCGGCGATCATTGCCGTGACATGGGTCGTGGCGTTCATCATCGCGGAAGTCATTCCGTTCTTCTCAGACATGCTGAGTTTGATGAGTTCGTTGTTTGGTGCGTAACTACTTCTCGTCCACTCCTCCCCAGACTCCGATGGCTGACGTTGTCCGGTTTGTTTGGTCAGATTGCTGGTTCGGCTTCATCTTCTGGGGCATGGCCTACCTCACGCTCTACCCGGGCGCCAAAAAGTGGGCGGGCGTAGGTCGCTCGTTAGAGACCGCGTTCAATTACTTCCTCATCGTGTTCGGGGCGTATGTCCTCGTCGCGGGAACCTATGTGCGTATTCCCCTACCTGGTCCTCTGTGCCACCATGCCCCACATTTCTATCCACGTCGTTCCCTCATCACTGATTTCTTGGCAATATAGACGTCAATACAAAGTATCATCGACAGCTATAATGCGGGAACGGTGGGGCCACCGTTTAGCTGTGCCAGTCGGGGGATCTAACGCTCGTCGTTCGAGAAGGAGGAGGTTAACTTATATCGGCCGTGGTTAGTTGTCCATAAACTTCCGTCGAGGGGACACTGCGGGCTGGATGGGGGGACGTACGGAGGCGTGTACGATTTTGTTGGTTGTTGCGATGACTTACGACTCGATGACGGGGATCGTGTGCTTAGACTTTATTCAGGCTCTGCTTTATTTGCTGAACACACCCTTCCTGCGAGCAAAACTGCCCGACCGTGCAACCCAAAGCGCTGTTGTGCTTGGACCCTATTCGCGCGGGACGTATGAGAGGAGTATAAATACTGGGATCTTATTATGAAATGACACCGTCGAATGGTACAAAAGTATGAAGAGAATCCAAAGATGTCAAGATTGTAAACGACACAATTCCACTTCAATTATAGGACGGTAACGATGCACGGGGAAAGGGGGTCATAGTGGGCAAACGGCAGACGAAGGAGCATAGGTCGAAGGGTATGCATGCAGGTAATAGCTGATCCGGACAGAGAAGAACCAAAAACGTATGGAGAACGGTAGTCTAATGCGATCTAGTGCGCTGCAACTCCAAAACTTCGACGTGATTATTCTTATCATGGGGGAGCAAGACATCCATGAAATGATCGAAAGTGAAGAAAAATTCGGGTTCGGGTACCTTCTCCTGGTTGTCATCGTCATCGCTCGACATACCAGGAAGAAGTTCCGCGTCGGGCGGGTCAACATCGTCCTCATCCTCCTCATCATCGTCTTCGGATTCACCGTGCACTTTTTTGTTTTCATGATAAAGAGTGTCCGACATGCCGTCAAAGACCTTCCTAATCCACCTGTTCGCGAGCGGTGCCATGGCCTTCGTAATCTTGCTGCGATGCGCCTTCATGCGCTTCGTCACAAAGTCGAACTTCCGGGATTTGAGTTGGGCCCATTGGACGGTGTCGGTCCACTCCTGGATAGGCGTATAGAGTTTCTTGAATCCTACGAGTTTCCCCTGGAATTGTAGCACAAAGGTGCACCAGATCAGAATCCACGCGAAAGACTCAAGGTCATGACGGTATTCGTGTTTGATCGGGATACCCTCATTAGCAAGAAGCTCGAGCGCCATAAAAGCTGCCGTCCCAGTGCGGTGCTTTGACGAAGGGCCAGGCAGGGCATATGGTTCAAGGGGTATGGCTAGATCCCAGTCGTTTAAAACACCAATGACTTCACCGTTCTCGCGTCTGAACATGATATTGCCCACGCTGAGGTCGCGATGCAGAATGTGGGCCTCTGTGTAGACAACGTAGTGTGCTAGAATATGCGCCAACGTCAGACAAGGGTTCGGAACAAGAAAGCACAGGAAACACACCCTGCACCACGTCCAGGAATACCTTCGCAAACTCTTGGCAGTTTCGCACTTCTTGCAACGGAATATAGCGCACGCAGATCAGGGTGCGGAAGACGCGGTTCTCGTGAGCATCGCCGATGAACGCGTTATAGAGCTGGGCGTCCTCGAGTTCGTCAGCGGTGAGATTGCCATTTTGGGTCCTTACGTCGGCCTTCCATCTCTCTATCTCACGCCTCGCAATATCGGTGAGGTTCTTTCTAGGAGATTTCACATCCTTCATCGTCTGGGTAAGCGAGCCCCGGACGTCTGGTATGTGTTTCTTCCAACGCGGGGTGATTAGACTCCGGATATGCGCGATGATAACGTCCTCGCCCAAACGATCCTCCGGCGGCCAACTTCTCTTAGCAACGAGCTCTTGAGGAAGACCCTTGTACTTCGGGTCTGAGGGAGGTTCCACAGGAAGCACCGATGTACCACGGCCGATGACTCCGGGCTGCAAGTGGAGAGGATCAGCTTGGATGGTAAACGTGATGATTGCCGGAGGAGTCGTTTCAGGACTTGACGTGAGTGAAGATGTCGTGTCGGCGGGAGAAGATGTGATATCAGCGGGAGAAGACGTTGTGTCAGCGGGAGGAGACGTTATGTCAGTGGAAGAGACGGGCTGTGACGATTCGGAAGTAGACGTGAGGGGAAGGGGCTTGTCCTCCGCGTCGATGTGGATAGGGAGTCGGAGAACGAGGTCTGTCCACGCTAAATCAGTGAATGCGCAGGAGTCCGAGGCCTCGTATATTCCTTGTAACTTGTCGAACCGCTCCTGTTGCAGACGTTCGGCAGAGTCCGTCTTCAACTTCGTCTTGTAATCGTATTCCACAAAGGGATCTGTCGGGGGGGTGTTGGCAGGTTGGATGGCGGGGTCGAATCCAAACTGTTCGAGGGAGGCGCTCGCAATGGCGACGGCGGTGAGGAGGAATAGTGTTGGGTCATGCCTGAAGTCGATGGTATTGGAACAGATGGCGCCCATACGGTCGATGAACCACAGAGACATCTCGAATTTATCGACGAAGACCCCAGTCGACCAGAGGCGTCGACCGGTTCGAAGCGTTTCATGGGCGTATTCTACGGCCTGGACCTCGTCGCCCGTGAGCTGGACCTTCTGCTTCATGCGATACGCCGGGGGTTGCGTTCGTTCGGGAGGGGAGCTTTTACTCGCTGCTTTGACCCTTGACCGCTTGCGTACGGGCTCTCTGTCATCGTCTGGAGCAGGGCGTTTGCTGGAGGAGCGAGTGCTCGGATAGCGTCCAGAGGCAGATGACCCTCCTATCGTCTCGGTATCTGCGGGAGATGAGGGTGCACCTTTGATCGCGACGGCGTTGCCCTTGTTGGGCTTCTTCTCGTCATACTTGAACTCGAGCCAGGCTAGGACGTGACACCAGAACAGCTTTAGGAAGCGAAAGTGATTTTTGTCTATGCTGTTAGGGACGTTCCGCTTGTCCTGAAAGATATGGTGTCCCGCCACTGAGGTAATAGACCCATCAGGCTTGCGCTCGATATCACCGTCGCCGGTGACTATATCGTTCCCGGCTCGAGCATCGAAGAAAACACCGCATGGAAAATCGACCTCGTCGCTCTTCTTCAGATCCTTCATTGCGCTATCATAACTCAGAACAGCCTCCATGAGCATATTCATGTAGGGGAAGTAGTGCTGCGTCTCTGTCTTGCACCTATCGTACTCGGCCAACAGTCGCGCATCGAGCTCAAATGGTTTGTCTTTCTTCCATTCGGAGAGATGAAGGCGATCGATGTCGAAACCCCAAGTCTCGCGAACGAAGTCGGCAAATGGAATGCACGATATCAGAGATCCTTCCATATCTTTGGCGATCTGAGGACGAACGACTTCTGGTTGCGCCTTCTTATGAGAGTTTCCTGAAAAGTGTCCACTGAAACTGCTGACTTTTACGCTCAGAGGAGTGCTGTACGTCGGTGTCTTATTCTCTTCAATATAGGTCATGGTGTCAGCTTCATAGAAAATCGAGTAGAAAAATTGACGCACCTTTCTTTCCAGAACTTGGAGTGCTAGGCCCAGTGGTCAGATCTGATTTGGGCAGAGATTGCTTGGGATCGGCAGTCTGTTCAGGAGGGGTGACCGGTCGCAAGTCAGACATGATGGAGGCTCGACGAAGAGAGATGGAGGGGGAGAGCAATGTGGAGGGGAGAATGCGGACGAAGAATTACTGACCCTGAGCCTGCGGTTCTTTATACGCGCGAATTTGTAAGCGTGTCAGAGCTATGCAATCGCGATTGCAATCGTCACGTTGCGGGAACGACAATGATTCGGTATATGCACGACGACGTCCTAAATCAGGACGTGTCAGGGAAGTTCAACTCGGAGTTTGGATTTGACACGTGGACGTGCGGTTACTTTCGGTGTCCGGGTGGCACCCGCGCTGTCAGTCTCCGGGTCGCCACATTCAAAATGCAGCGCAAAGATCCTGTGCTCCTAGCCTGAGGCGTCAATTATCGCAACTCTCAACCCCTTGAATTTCTATTGAATATATCTGTATTTTTCTGTCCGTGATGTGAATATTATATTCTCTTTCTTTTTATTCACGTCTATCAATGATCTGCAGGGGCGCCTGGGTCCAAAGAGGCTATCGATCATCGAGTCACGGTCTAGGCGGCCAGAAGCTCTTCGAGACAATACAATGCACAAGTATTCTTTCCGCGCGAGTCATAGTTACATTGCTCGCAACAAAGGAGGAGCCGATCGAATGTGCCATCCCTTTGCCACCTCTGTGATCATTGGGCCACGACGCGAACGAGAGACAAAATTACCAAGTTACGATCACAGACAGGCAACAGCATGTAAGTAACCACCGACTTGTTGCCATCTACGAACGTGCTGATACTTTGTATCTCGGACGAACAAGGACGTAATAGCTCTGATGATCGTATTGAAAGCCCAATACAACGTACTAGTACATGTACAGACAAGGCGAGACTAAGGGAAAAATGGTTCAGGGAGCTCAACGCAATGTAACGAAGCTCATGTGGACGTGGAATCCTCGTCACTCCACACAGCCCTGTCAGGGAACTCCACCTCGGGCTCCAATACCTTCATGAAGGTCGCGAACTCGAAAAAATCGCCTTCGATGGGGCCGTGCGTCTCTCGCATACCTCTGTGAAAGGTGTTGATCATCATGCTCCTGAGGACTGGGACGATCCAGCATTTCTTCAGAGATTTCATAGAGGTGGTGATGTGTTCGAGATTCAAGTTTTTGCCGATTTTGGTGCACAAGAACATAGACTTTGTATCCCGGATAGCCTCCCAGTAGTTCCCTGCAGTCCAAGTCTGAATCCTCTCTGGTAGTTCGTCCAACCTCACCGTGACCTCATCGCCGTCGAAACCCAACACAAAAGCGCACCACAGCAGGGTCCAGGCAAACGACTCGAGATCGTAGCAGTACTGATACTGAACAGACCCATCGGGGTTGTCGAGGAGGTCCATGGCCATATACGCGGCAGTACCGATACGCTGTTCGGAAGTCCTCGAGGAAGGTCTGGCCTCCGGAGCTGCTAGGTCCCAATCGTTGAGTACTCCGATGACACGGCCACTACAACGGAAGAACATGATGTTGCTGACGCTCAAGTCGCGATGAAGAATCCCTGTCTTCCTATAGATAACGTAGTGTACTACGAAGGCATCCAGCTTATGAGGATCAGAAACGAAGGGCCAACGCGAACGGACTCACATTTAACAACGTCCTTGAAGACGGTCTTGAACTCCTCTGCGTCCTTGACCTGATTCAGAGGCGAGTATCGCGAACACACCAAGACACGAAGGATACGATCCAGCGTCCGATCCACCCTCAAAGCCTCTCGAAACTTCGCCTCTCCTTCCGAACATGTCCCATCCCGTCGAACCTCCTTACAAGAGCCATGATCTTCTTCCTAGGTAAATCAAGCTCGTCACCCCTTAGACTCACAGAGCACTTGAGATTGGTAACCTGTTTCCTCCAGTACAGGGGTATTTTTCTCCGGATGAGACGTAGCGTGATATCCTCCGGGAGTCTGTCTGTGGGTTGCCAACTCATTTTTGCGACCAGGCGTTCGTCAATCGAGTAGCGGCGAGGGCCAGGTTGAATTGGGTCGTTGGAGTGAGGGTAGGCGAGCGGAACGACGACAGTGCCGCGGTCGAGGAGGCCTAGCCCACCCTTTCGTACATGAAGGGGAGGGCCAGTGACCAAGAAACAAGAGGGAGGAAGAGAAGCGGTGAGTGAGGAGCTGTATGGGGGAGGTTCGTCATGTCGTGCTGCACGAGCGTGTGGTATTGGTTCTGGTTCTGGAGCGACTCGCTTTAGACATGGCGAGTCATCGCTCATAACGTCTGAATTGGCAGGGCGCATCATCGTAGACTAGATACTTGTAACGATTCGAGCTTTGGATGAGTGTCTAGAGTTGTTCTGGTCCGTTGTGCAGGCGGTAGTCCAATTTGTAGTCAGAGTTCGACTTGAGCATGAAAATGTAACGCCGATGAAGATAGCGTCTGCGCCAGACGAGAGTAGAACCGTTGAGATCGGAATTCGAGAACTTGTTTGATTCTGCCAGAAGATTGAGCGAGGGATACGCAATCAAAATAAACAAAGAACACGCGCGAAGGTGAGAACAAAAAGCGTGTCACGATCGGCTGGCGGCCCGGATGTTCATTGTTGAACCAAATTCAAATTGGCTCATCTACACGCACAGTCCGTGTCCACTCGCTTCGTCTTCTTCCCCATCTTCAACCGCGACTCGCGTCACCGACACTCCAACACAGTCCTCGGCTGGGCGACCTGGGCAGCGATCACCGTAACGTGGGTCGCGGCGTTCATCATCGCGGAAGTCATTCCGTTCTTCTCAGACATGCTGAGTTTGATGAGTTCGTTGTTTGGTGCGGAGGACATACGTAGTCTTGCAGGATGAGGAAGTAATTGAACGCGGTCTCTAACGAGCGACCTACGCCCGCCCACCTTTTGGCGCCCGGGTAGGGCGTGAGGTACTGCACTTTTTCGCGCACAAGTTCACGCCACCGCCCCTCGGCCGTTGCCGAGATGACATAATCCGTTTGTGTCCCGGTTCGCAAGCAGACCGGGACAAGGGACAATGTTCGTGAACATCGCCACTCTTTCAGGAGTACGGCCTTTCATAACTGCTCAACAGCCATTCATCCTCTAAATTTGTGTGGAAGAGCCTTCCCAGCAGTAAAATCCAGCCCAAAGTGTGCAGTGCGGGTCTTCCTGAGGACAATTTAGGAGCCTAGAATATATCCGCATTTTCGTTAAGTTTTCGTCAAATATTGGTTTGTCCCATTTACAAGTTCAGTGCACATCAATGGGGTGGGACTGTCCAGCGGCACAAGTTCGTTCACGGCTCCCATGGGACACGGGACACGAACTTGTGCGCGAAAAACTACAGTAGGTCATGCCCCAGAAGATGAAGCCGAACCAGCAATCTGACCAAACAAACCGGACAACGTCAGCCATCGGGGTCTGGGGAGGAGTGGACGAGGAGTAATTAGTCGCAGGAACCTATGTGCGTATCTCCCGGTTTGGTCCTCAGTGCCTCCGTTCTCCACATACCCATCCACGTCGTTTCCTGATCATCGTCGGTTTCTTGGCACTATAGACGTCAATACAAAGTATCATCGACAGCTATAATGCGGGAACGGTGGGGCCACCGTTTAGCTGTGCCAGTCGGGGGATCTAACGCTCGTCGTTCGAGAAGGAGGAGTTTAACTTATATCGGCCCTGGTTAATTGTCCATAAACTTCTGTCGAGAGGACACTGACGTACGGAGGCGTGTATGATTTTGTTGGTTGTTGCGACGACTTACGACTCGATGACGGGGATCACATACTTAGACTCTATTCAGGCTCTGCTTTATTTGCTGAACACACCCTTCCTGCGAGCAAAACTGCCCGACCGTGCAACCCAAAGCGCTGTTGTGCTTGAACCCTATTCGCGCGGGACGTATGAGAGTATAAATACTGGGATCTTATTATGAAATGACACCGTCGAATGGTACAAACGTATGAAGAGAATCCAAAGATATCAAGACTGTAAACGACACGATTCCACTTCGATTATAGAATGGTAACGATGCACGGGGAAAGAGGGTCATAGTGGGCAAACGGCAGACGCAGGAGCAGTGGTCGAAGGGTATGCATGCAGGTAATAGCTGATCCGGACAGAGAAGAAGCGAAAACGTATGGAGAACGGTAGTCTAATGCGATCTAGTGCGCTGCAACTTCAAAACTTCGACGTGATTATTCTTATCATGGGGGCGCAAGACATCCATGAAATGATCGAAAGTGAAGAAAAAATTGGGTCCCGGTACGTCGTCATCATCATCGCTCGACATTGGGTTGCCAGGAAGGGTTTCCGCGTCGGACGCATCAAAATCCTCCTCTTCGGATTCATCGCGGACTTCGGTTTCATATGCAAGAGTCTTCCCCATGCCGCGGAAAACCTTCTTAGTCCACCTTTTCGTGAGCGGTGCCATGGCCTTCGTAATCTTGCGGCGATGCGCCTTTACGCCCTTCATCACAAACTCGAGCTTCCGGGATTTGAGTTTGGCCCATTCGACGGTGTCGGTCCACTCCTGGATAGGCGGATAGAGTTCCTTGAATGGTACGACTTTCCCCTCAAAGTTCAGCATAAAGGTGCACCAGATCAGAATCCACCCGAAAGACTCAAGGTCATGACGGTATTCGTGTTTGATCGGGGCACCCTCATTACCAAGAAGCTCGAGCGCCATAAAAGCTGCCGTCCCAGTGCGGTGCTTTGACGAAGGGTCAGGCAGGGCATATGGTTCAAGGGGTATGGCTAGATCCCAGTCGATCAAAACACCAATGACTTCACCGTTCTCGCGTCTGAACATGATATTGCCCACGCTGAGGTCGCGATGCAGAATGTGGGCCTCTGTGTAGACAACGTAGTGTGCTAGAATATGCGCCAACATCAGACAAGGGTTCGGAACAAGAAAGCACAGGAAACACACCCTGCACCACGTCCAAGAATACCTTCGTAAACTCTTGGCAGTTTCGCACTTGTCGCAACGGAATATTGCGCACACAGATCAAAGTGCGAAAAACGCGAATATCGAGAGCTTCGCCGACGAACGCACGATAGAACTGGGCGTCCCTGAACTCGTTCGCGGTGGCTTTGGGGCCATTCTGGGCCCTTGGATCGGCCTTCCATCTCTCGATTTCGCGCCTCGCAATATCCGTCAGATTCTTTCGAGGGAATTTCAGATCCTCCATCGTCTGAGTCACCGAGCCCCTGACGTCTGATACGTGTTTCTCCGAGTGCGGGATGATTAGACTCCGGATATGCGCGATGATAACGTCCTCGCCCAAGCGATCGTTCGACTGCCAACTTCTCTTCACCACCAGCTCTCCAGGAAGATCCTTCGACTTCGGGTCGGAAGGAGGTTTCACAGGGAGCACTGAAGTACAGCGACCGATGGTTCCGGGCTGTAAGTACAGAGAACCAGCTTGGCAAGGAAATGTGACGATCGCTGGAGGACTGGTGTCAGGACTCGACAGAGGAGAGGTCATGTCAGTAGAAGCGACAGGCTGAACTTGAAGGGATTCGGCAGAGGAAGCGAGGGGAAGGGGCGAGTCCTCCGCGTCGAAGCGGATAGTAAGTCGGAGACCGAAGTCTGTCCATGATAAATCGGTAGCGGTGTAGGAGCCCATGGCGTCGTAGGAAAAGTCTGATTGGGGCAAAGATTGCCTGGGATCAGCAGTCTGGTTGCGAGGAGTGGTTGCGAGCGAGCGAAGAGAGACAGCGCGGCGATGGAGGGAAGAGTCAAGCGATGATACTGTGATGTCCAAAAGTAATGCAGCACCTGTCTGTTTTGCATTCTCTCGTGAATAGCTCGGGTTTCTTACTTCCTTTTCCTGCTATGATGCTTTACTGTAATAGTGTCCTGTCTATGTTACAAACTTGCAAAAGAAGTAGTTTTGTATTGGCTCGAAATGCAGAAAGAAGGCACTCTTTCGGAGGGAGTGCCACTGTGGCCCAAACCAAGATCCCCATGGATGCAAAAGAAATTATGTTCACCAGCAAACCACAAGAGGAAAAAATTAGATAAAATATGTGATACATTCAGTACTTTGTATACCACCCCCTCGCCTTAATCAAAGCCTGAACCCGTCGTGGTGCACTCTCATACAAATTCTCCAAATAATCCTTCCCCAACTTCCCCCATTCCTCCTGAAGTGCAGCCCATAACTGCTCCAAATTTGCCGGTTGCGGAACACGAGCACGTACACGATCATTAAGCTGGTCCCAGGGATGCTCGATGATATTCATGTCCGGTGATTTTGATGGCCAAGGCAGTAACTCGATCCCCTTCTCAGAGAACCATGCTCTTGCCCGCTTGGAGACGTGCTTGCGATCATTGTCTTGTTGGAAAATGATGTCGGAGGGAGAAAGGAAGTGGTCTTCGAGAGTGGGGAGAAGTCCTTCTTCAAGTACAGCCACGTACTTTTCCGCATTCATTTTTCCTTCAATCCGTACCAGCCTCCCAAACCCAAATCTCGTCATGCATCCCCACACCATAACATGTCCACCCCCGTGCTTCTCCTGCATAGCAACATGCCGTGGGTTAAACTCCTGCCCAGGCTCCCTCCAGCACCAACGATTCCCATCCGGACCATAGAGATTGAATTTGGACTCATCTGAGTAGACGATGCGCTTGAATTGTTCCACTGTCCAGTCCTTCCTCTCCTCAGCCCACTTCCTCCGTGCTACTGCATGCTCCTTCGTCAATGCAAACTTCTTCCTCTTCTTATATGCCTTCAATCCTTCCATCCTCAATGCACGACTGACCGTTTGGCGCGAAATGTCCGGGAATAGCTGCCGTTTGACTTGTGAAGCAGTTGATGCCCGGCCCGAGCGGATCTCATAGGCAGCGCGGCGGCGAGAGCGTGGGGAGATCAGGGGATGTCGACCACATTTTGGGCTATTATAGTAAAGAGAGTGTCGTTTCTTGGCCACCTTGTCGTAGATACGACCGACGGTGGTGGGGTGGATGGTCTTTCCGAGGCGAGCAAGACTGCGAGCAATCTCTCGAGTAGAGTACCCATGTTCAACCATCAAGACACAGCGAGCACGGGTTGTTGGGGTGGTATAAGGCATTGTAAGGGTCAAGCGAGAGTAGAAAGACGCGATATTGTGAAGCTTGCGCGTGATTAGGAGATAAACGCAGAAAGAAGGAGACGCGTCGAACGCGTCGACGCGTGCCATTACATAAGCATGTCCGTTACGCCGGGACCTCTCTCGCCAGATACTTACTGTCTAACCTCGTTCTTTTGTGCGGTGAGTACATTACATGTTGGGCAGCATACCAACATATTTTCGTTATTTTATAGCCCTCAAGTTTCTACATAGGGACTAATAATATGTCCATGAACGGGGTGCTGCATTACATTTGGACAGCACAGTATCAATACAGTTCACCAGAGAGCAGCGAAGTATAGCATGCAGGACCAGAGACACGCGATAGAAGGCCTCAGCGATGCGTAGGACCAACTTGGCGAACGTCAACGAGCTGGCCCGAAAGAGAATGTTGAAAGTCGGCGGAGTTCTAATCTGCCACAATGATGTCATTTTCACAGGGGTGAGGAGTATGAGCTGTGGCGTCTGTGTGGCGAACAACGCCGTCGACTATTTGGATGTTTAGGGTTCGAGCTAGATATCAAGAAAACATCTTCCATCAACAATTATAAACGAATGACCTGCACCGCGCAACGTCGACACGGGAAAACAATCAGTAAAGAGAGTGACTAAAGCAAGATATATAAAGAGCAGTAAGTAGTTTGGGTAGGATGACAAGCAGGCAGCTGGGTGGTCATACAGATAGATGGCGAAGGGCGAGTACGAGTACAGTATACGCTATAGGTATACAAAAACGTGAGCAGCCCACAGGCACGCGATATATATACAGTATGAAAAGCGCGAAAAGATCAACGGTGTCGCATCCTGCGCTGCAGCCTGCACTGTCGACTCGGGAAAAAGATGGTAACTTCAAGCACCCTGATCTCGCCACCTGGGCCACACATAGCACATATTCACAAATTAAGAGCACAATCGTAACTCACAACTCGGACTCCACGGCTCCAGGCCTCTGCTTGCCCTCACCATCCCGAACAAGTCACAAAACCTCCTTCAAGCACCTCACAGCACCATAACCGCCCCACTCACCATCCCCAAAACTGCCACAGCCCAAACACCCATCCCACCAAGCCCGAGCTCTACTCTCGTCGCCCAACTAGTGCTAGCACTGCCCGTCGGAGCCGTACTCGCAGTGACCGTACTTTCCACACTCGTCGTCGAAGGTCCCGTCGCACTTGTCGAAGCCGGAACAGTCGACTGTACCGTAGTCAAGCTCGTCACTGGTCCTCCAGGGTCAGAGCTCGACAGGGCCGAAGACGCAGATGATGCCGACGAGGCTGCTGAAGAAGCAGACGAAAGTATCGACGAGTCGGAGGAAGCGACGGAGTCGGAGGAGGCCGTTGCGCTTGAGGAAGCGGAGGGTGCGGAAGAGATTGAGGTGATAGAGAGGGATGGGGACGCGAGGGATGCTGAGGACGACCCGGATGGAAGGAGGGTGGAGACGGAGGCAGGGATGGACGCGGTGGTCAGAGGATCGGTGACTGAAGCGGTGATGCTACTGGTCTCAGAGCTTCCGACAGTGGAGATAATCGAGAGAGGGTTGGATATAGGGATGCTGAGGCCGTCAGTCTGCGATGCGGAAGCAGCCGAGGAGGTGGAGGTTTCGTCGTCGGTGGATGTCGTGAGGAGGACGCCAGTCGCAGTGAGAAGAGCCGTGTCTGTGACCTGTCGAGCAACTAAATCCACTGCATCGACTCTACGACGGCCCTCAGGCGCTGCGAGGACAACTACAAGGTAGCAAAAAAAAAATCGATCAATATCTAAAACAAAAGCAAATCATAAGAACAGACGTACCTCCGCAGGCGACCAAAGTCGCGATGAAGAACACTTTATGCATCATGACGAGTGTACAAAGTCGATACGACTACCAGAGCAGGGATTCTGTCGTCTTCTTTGGCTTTTCTCGAAGCCGAGGGATCGTGAAGAGATATAACAAAAACCCGTGTGCTAGAGTGATAAAGCTCTCGGACGGGTCTTTTCTGTCTCGATATGGCTGAGCGTCTGTAGCGACAACAAAAAGCGACTCGAAATTGTGTGTCGAGCGTGCTCTTCGAAGGCCGTTAGAGGATATGAGACAGAGAGAGGGAGGATGGTGTTGCGCGTGGATGACGGGGGCGGAAAAGGTGGAAAAGCGGCAGTGCCGCGATGGTGGTGATTCATTTATAGTGCCACGACATAGCCGAGTGGAGTTGTCCCGCTCCTCCGCGTGAATCGTTCAAACTTCTCATCTTCGTTTTGGCACGAATAAAACGCTTTGACATGAGGGTGACACCAGTTTGACACGAGGGAAGAAGCAACCCCGCATGCTAGCTTGATGTGGAGCGACTACTGCGTTGGCAAGTGGCACAATTTGAGTGTGGCGACTGATGCGATGTTCGCTCGTAGGTTTATTGTACAGTGAGGTTATGAAGAGGTTCAAATATGGATTGGGAATGGTGAAGTACAAGCAGCTCATAGCTATGTCATAGTAGAACCATGGGAGGAGGAAGAAGTAATTTTGATCCACTGAGCGACTCGAACATCGCTCAGCTCACCTTTGATCGAAGATGCATTCGGAGTGTTATACACGGACACTCTTCATGGGTGTACACATCGTAAAAAAGCATACTATATTGGACAGTTATCGCCCTACTCGGACCTACAACTTCGCCGCAGTTTCCGCCCTCACGACCTTGAACCCATGCCTAGGCGCATGAACCCTAACAAATATGTCGTTCTCGCTCTTCTTCTCAATCACGATCTCTTCCTCATCTAACCAGACCAGTTTACCCACATCTTTATGGCTCGCCCCCGAATCTGTCGGCGACAAACGAACCTCGTCTCCCACCTTCAATCCACTAGGCTCGTCCTCTCCCATTTTCACGCCAGCACCAGAACCGGCGGCAACTTTGGCATCGACAAAATCAGAGGAGAGGATGCGTTTGGCTGCGTCTAGGCCTGCGAGGGAGGATGTTGAAACGAGGGACTTTTGGGCGGACTTGACGAGTTTGTCAAAGCGGGAGATCCAGGCGAAGGTTTTGGGGAACCGTTTAGGCGAGATGAGAGCAGGAGGAAGGGCTCCGGGCATAGTATTCAGCCAGTGGAATGGCCATACAGCTGCGAAAAATCCCAATGAGTCAGTCTACATAGCAGACGGTTTGAAGCCACACGCCACACGAGCATGCAGGACGCAAATAATATGATCGCTTACCTTCGATATCCCCGATGCTCACATCCTTTGTCCCTAGAACCCACTCCCTCCCATCTCCGAACAAACCCTCCAGGAACTGAAATCCTGCCAATATTTCCGGCACCGCCTGCGCCCTCCCCGTCTCCATATCCTCCTTCTTCCAACTCCTCCCAGTCAACCCCTCCCTATCCTTCATGAACTTCGGATCCTTGAACACCGGCGAACTCGCCGGAATACACGCCGATGCAGCCGCGAAGATGCCCGAGTCAATAGTCCAACGGGATAAGAGAGCACTGAGTGCGCGTTGGTCGGGCGTCAAATTTGGCGTTGGGGTGAGGAGTGGTGAGGAGGCGGTGCGGACGGAAGGGAATGCTGTGGAGTATGGGAAGTGTGTTTCGAGTTTGGATATGATGAGACGGGTGTCGAGGTAGATGTCGCGACCGAGAGTGAGGACGGGGATGCGGCGGTAGTTGACGCCTAACAGGTTGAGGTCTGGGCGAGGTAGAAGGGGCGGTTGCATCTGTATGGCCAATGAAAACTGTGTCAGTTTCTGAGAGTCAATAAAGGTATGGAGAAATGAGGGCGCGTACACATTGCGCATACGAGATGCCTCGTAATGCTAAATACCACACCACCCTACGAGCGTACGGCGAGAAACTGTAATGGTACAAGACGATTCCGTTGTCGTTTCCGGATGACATTCTGGCAGGAGTTGTCGTAATCACAAAGTCGTTTCTCGAGATAATCAAGCAGAGCAAGAGAAGAAATGCCGATACTGTGAAGAGAGAGAACAGGAGACGCAATGTCAAGAGTTAGGCTCCCGGCTATGGCGGAAAATCGCGAGCCGGAAACATCTTCAACTTCACTCAGTATCTCACCCTCGGCTGATGGTGGGGCACTCAGAAGTACTCTTCGGGTCTATGTTCAAGGCAGCTCTAAATGTATAGTATAAAAGGCATACCAGACAAGCAAAGCGAGAGTGAACGATGAACAATAGGATTTGGTCCAGAATCAGAGGGAGAAAGAGCGATGTCGGAGCATGTCGGAGCTCGAAATGCAGGGACAAAGCTGTGCGTTGATGCTTTGCTGAACGCTACCACCTTGAAGTCGAACTACTATCTGGACAAAGTTCGTCTCCCGGAATTCTGTCCCCTTACTGATCTCTCACGCTCTCTACAGAGCAACGGCAATATGGGATCCCTCGTGTCTTCTGGGCCCCCTATTATCGACACATTACCAGACGAACTCCTTATCCTGATATTCTTCGAGGTACTGGGCGCCTCAGATTCCACGAACCTACATATTGCGATGTTACTCTCGTATGTGTGCTCCCGATGGCGTCGAATTCTCTTACAACATCCTTTGTTCTGGGCCTCTATCACGGTCCCGTCAGTGGCAGGTGCGAAGCTATGTCTTCTCCCTCTGACTGAATACCCAAGGCTCATCACTAATTCATCAGATCTCGGCCGGCTCAGATTACCGCTCCCTGACCTCTTGGATCGCTCGGCCATGATGCCACTCGATGTCTGTGTAGCTCCCAAGCTTTACAAAAGCTACGCCGAAAAGGGACACGATCATTCGCAGTACTTTTCTGCTTTAGACTACGCTGTCTCTCGCGCTCGTCATCTTCACTTCGACTTGGGTGAAGCTCACCTCCTCCTCCTCCATGCCCTGCCCCGTCCTCCTCGTTTCACCCACCTGCTCGACAACTTTTTTCGGTCACGGCCAGACAAGTACTGGCTGTCCGCGCCATGGCTCGAAGAGCTGACCGTTAGAGTCGCAGCGGATAGCGGAAAACTCCGATCTGCTCGCTCCTATCTTCTGCACGATATCCTCTCAAAGCTAGAAGCACCACAGTTGCGATACTGCGACGTTGAAGGATTTTGCGTCGGCCCTAGTATCAGCTTAAGAACCTTCGAGACCTTAACAACATTAGTTTTGAAGGATTGCTTTTTATTTCCATCGTTCGAATTCGGGACACATTTCGTCTGTTTCCCTAATCTCGAACATCTCGCGATACGATCCCCAAAACTAGAGGGAATAACATTCCTGGGCGTACCCACTTCCACCATTCAGTTTACTTTATCCCACCTCAAGATGATGGAGATACAATGTAATGGAAACGATCTCGCACTTGTCTCCCGTATCCTGCACCGCCTATCCGTACCGCCAACCGCGGTCGTCATGCTCTTTGTCGCGTCTGATTCGCTCGATTTTCCATCTACAAGGAAAACCCTCAAACGGATCGCGCGTCACTTTCATACTTCCCTCGGCAGTGTTCCGACCACACAGAATGGACACTACACGGTCTACGATATCTCCGTAGATGCCAATCCGCAGATAGACGTTCCTCAGAGCATTTTCTTGCAGTTGTGAGCATCACTGCTACTTATACTTTGTTTACTGCCCCGTCGTCCTTGCTTTATTACCTCTATCATGCCACAGATCCCTGCTAGTGCCACGACGGTTGTTCAGTAATCATGAAGTCACTCCCTGAATCTGATGCACCATTATCGTGGTTCCCTTTGCTAGCACCTTTGTTGATTTTTTGTACATTGTCTTATATCCCTACTAGTGCTATAACGTCCGATCATATACATAGCTTCATCTTTAGCTATGCCCTTTCCAATTGCTTTCCAACGTCGTCTTCGACTCCTTTGTCTTCCTTATACGGTCCATCTTCTCGTTCTCTGTACAGTATATAACTCCCCACCTCACGTTACCGCCACACGTCCAGACATATTTACAGGCACATTATCTGGAATTCGTAAGAATTCCAAGGCTGCGTAAACAACAACTAACTTGAACAAGGGGGGTCGAAAACGATTCCGAGTAACACTATGTGTCGGAGCTCGAAGTGAACCGGACATAAGCGGGAGCATTGAATCCCAAACTCGGACATATGATCGACGGTCGTCGTACTTCTTCCATCGCATTTATCACAGTCCAATCTAGGCTCGATTGTATACTACATAGGCTGCCCGTCATGGAAACTTCTATCTTCAGCGAACTCCGCGCAGAGAACATTGCCGCTGCCAGCACATACAATTCTTCTGAACGAAAATCATCTATCGGTCACCAGAACGATGATGAAGTTCATTCGACTTCTATCGACAGCCTCCCCAACGAGCTGCTTTGCTACATCTTTATAGAGACGTTGGAGACCACTTCTACCCCTTTCGGCCACCGCCTAGACACCGACAAGGTTGTTGTCCTTTCTCATGTCTGCAGTCGATGGCGCCGAGTTCTCCTTTATAATCCGTCGTTCTGGAAGTCTATCACGGTCATTTCTCAACCAATCAATTTTGACACTGCCACTGGTGAGTGCTCAATATAATCACTGTTTTATCAGCCTTTAACATATCCGTTGCGCATTCAGATGGTTTTTGTCGCCTCACTCTCTCTGAACTGGCGAGCCGGTCGCAAGGCGCCCCCCTCGACGTCGTCGTGGCGATGGAGGAAGAGTCACGGCCGGTGCAACGCGCCCACGCAGACCAGAGTGCTCTCTTTTCGACATTCGAGCGCGAGGTACACCGCATGCGTAAACTCTATATTGATATCGGGGTAGGCCGTCCTTCTATATTCGGCAGACTCTTGTGCGAGTTTTTCCAATCCGATTTATCCACTTGCTCGTGGTCCGCTCCGCTGCTCGAAGACCTCACGCTCGAAACAAACAACGCAGACGGAGATAGTCGGATTTTATTTCATCGTGTCTTATTGAAGCTCAAAGCCCTATCATTGCGATCGCTCGACGTCTACGGAGTAACGTTCAGCAAGATTCGGGGCCATATCGACTACGAAGCTCTCACACGTTTGATTCTGCGAGGTTGCATTGTCCGCAGTACTTTGCACAACTTCATTGCACCACTGGGTTGGTTTCCACAGTTGGAATGTCTCGCAATCCAGGATCTTGATTGTCATCTATGTCCCTCCCGGTCCATAATCACGACACGCATTACTCCCCAACATCTCATATCTCTCCCGCGTCTCAAAACCATGGAGATTGACTGTGAGCCACGAGAACTCTCCTTTTTCTCAAGCTTTATGCACCATATCACGATACCTCGTTCGGCAACTGTCATAATCCTCCTCGAGTTCTATTCCCTTCGGGCGTCTGCTTTGATGAAGCTGGAGGAGATTGCGGGTCGCATCGGTGTTTCGCTCGGTGACGTTCCCACTCGTGTATCCCACCAAAGGACAATCTACGTGATATCTGCGGATCAGACTCACAGTATGAGGAAGACGGGCGACATATCAGACCTTCCAGCCGGTCTTCTACTACTGTGAGACTGTTGCCCTCGCCCTCAAAACATATATCGAACACTTCCATTGCTACTCATGATACATACTGTACGTTGAATCTCCTCAGCATCTCTTGAGCAATTGAAAACTCATAGCTTTATTCTGTCCTCTCCTTCAGACACATCCTCTGGTTTTGTCGCCGTTCATCGACAGGGAGTCTCGCCAAAGAAGTGCGTTTATAGGCGAGAAATATAACTGGTCCTCCGACTCCGTGGTAAATTATAGCGACCTCGAGATCCGAGTTTATCCGAGGTCGTCTTTCATCTTTACTTTTCATCTGTGAAGTGTAATACGTCGAACCCCTCTCCATAACCATCCTCCCATACAAACGACGACTCTCTATTCTCCCTACCGAATGCTGCGATGAGCTTCTCCGCCTCTTCACCTCCATTCATAACCGGCCTCGCTTCTTCTTTCGACTTCCCTTTAGCACCTTGCCCATAGATCTTCATACCCCCACACACTTCCGTATCCGGACCCAAACTCCCTGGGTTCTCTGCACTCGTGTCTATGGTCCCGTCTGAACATTTTGATGGCATCAGAAAAGTACCGATATGCCGAAATGTCAAACTTATTCGTTCCCCGTTCTGGAATTGTTCGACGGGTGATTTGAGCTTAAGTGGTCGCTTGTCGGTGTGGATACTGTGCGTCCATCGTGCGTTCGTGGCGAGTCCCAGTACGAACATCGAATTATGGGGCAGTGGGACGCGTTGTGTCGATCTTGCGGTTGTGGTTGAGATCGAGGTAAGTGTTTTCGATGCAGATAGAGTCTCCTTGTTGGGTGCCTCGGAAGAGCCGGAAGGTGGAAGTGGCGACCTGTCTTTCTTCGTCCTCAGTGTCATTACTCTCTGTGCGCCCAGACTTATGTTGACGATGCTAGACCCCTGAACAATATCGATTGTCTTGTCTGAGTGTTCTGAAATATAATCTGCGCCGGTGCGATAGAATTGTATGAGGACATGGTTGACGGGATGGCCGAGGATTTGTTCGACATGACGCCGAATGAGGGACACAGTGGGCGAGAAAGGTAGCAGAGGTGGCGAGGAGTCAGATGGGTGGCGATAAATTGGGAAGGTTCCTATGAACAAATGGGAGTAATTAGGCCTAAGCATGTCGGAGAAACTGACACGATGGACATGACGATGGAACCAACCGTCTGACTCAACCTCTCCTTCGACTGCGACCAATCTTGGAACCTCTCCGCCTGATATGAGCAACCACAAGCCGTCAGCATAGCAACTAAACCTGAGTTCGAGAAGCCTACCTCGATGAAACATTTTACTCCACTTGACTTCCGCCTTCAACCTCTCGAACGCAACGTCACCTAGCTCTTCAGGCAGGATGTTTTCCACAAGATACGTATCTCCTTCAGCAATCGCTTCGACAGGTCCAAGAAACGACACCGACGAGTCTTCAGGCCTTCGTTTTGGAGGCAGAAGTGTCCCACCCTCCACATTATTACTTGAAGCCGATATAAGCATGTCGTGAGACTCGTCGCCTCCTCCAAAATTATGACGAGCGAATTCCTGAGATGGCTCTTGAGTTTCAACTATTAGGGAAGCGACAAAGCATCGCAAATGCGAACAGGCCAGGGTTCTGCACAAATGTATGAAGCTTTGGCCGTTACGAGTCGTGCGGAGTGCGTAACAATTTGGCGCCCGTCTCGTGTTTGCGATTGTTTGCCGTTGCTTCCACCGCACTTCCAGGCACTTCCTTTTTACCTCCGCCACAACATCCGAGTCTCTTATCCACTTCCTTCCTTCCTTCTTTCCACAACTTTCGTCTCGTCTGTAGCTTATATTTGATTCGAAAACAGGATTCTAACATGTGAGTTCAAGAGAATATCCTAACATGTTCACTCAGGCTCACTCTGATTGTACCGGTAGACGCTTTCTCCTCTGTTGAATATCGCTTTTCCTCGAATGGCGCTCTTCCTCCCAATCGAGATTACCACAAAGATTTTCAGATTATGCTCGCAATCTGAATTCCTTGCTCTCTGTCGTACAAACAAGACATTTCGTGACATCGCTGAACCTCTTACGTACCGCGATATCCGCATCTCGTTTCGAGATGTCAAAACTCAAGCTCAAATAAACAAGGCGTACCATCGTGTAGTTTGTTTATATGAGGCATTGAAGAATGACACGACGAAGGCGGCGATGGTCAACAGGCTGGAAGTGGCGGAGCTTACGTGCGTATCAGGAATATTCGAGCCAACTGCGCGGCTGCATTTCAATGGCGACTAATTCCTCTGTAAAACCTGGTTCTTTTTGTAGTGATCACAAGCCTTCCAGCGGTTGCGCTGCGATAGAGTTCACTCCAGTGTGCTACATGCCACCCAGCGAGTTCACTGGCGCAGAGGAGACCCGTTGCGGACTCACCAAGCTCCCCACGGCCATCGCCGCTGTTTTATCACTGTAACCCGATCTTACCATCTTCCACTGTTCAGGCCGCCAGGAAAAACGCAGTTCCATCACTTTACTTACACTTCTGGAGCATGTTTCAGCTCCCTCACTTCATGAGTTCAAGCTCGACATCACAGAGGATATCTTGAATGTTCGTATCGACCACCAGTGGGCTGGCCGGTATACCGCTTACACCCCTCGAGCCCCGTTGCCCTATTTCCTTCAACGGCATCTCCACCTCAGGCGTGTTGTCTTGCGGATAGAAGACACGATGCCAGACAATCATCTCGAGAACTTCGCTCTGAGCATGCCGAAGCTGGAGCAGTTCGAGGCGCCGGAAATATATTTTCGTTCCCTCACGAAGGATACACCGTTGAAACTTGCCTCCATTAGCCTCATAAACGTTAACCTGTCCCAGCCATTTCATATGCGATTGGATGAAGTCCTAGCTAGGTTCCAGTCCTATGTAGAGTTGAAGTCATTGACTTTGAGGATGGAAAACTTCGACCACGAGACTATCAAGATCATCGCCCGGCGACTACCTGACTTAGATCAGTTGGAGATCTGTCACGAGCTCTACATGTATAGATTACCGACATCGACGGTGAGTATTTCTGCTATCACACATTCTTCAATTTCCCTCAGGCTAATTGTGCTACACACACGTCGACTCACAACGCCTACAGGACGGCATTTCGGACATGGCAAAAGCTTTGTCAAAATTCACGGGCCTTCGCCATATCACCTTTCTCTGGGTCCTCCGCAATTCCATTGGGACGGTAGATGACAGAAACCAGGACGTGGACCAGGAAACGGTATCTAGCTGGGGAGAAGCTTGTTCTACTTTAGCCTGTTGCTCGATATGTGAGTGCGCCTGGTTTCCTTTGATGGCGTACTTACTGATATCTTGTCTTCCAGACGGGAGTGTATGGAAGAGAACGGGATATGGAGATGTATGGACCTGTTCATCCCGTTCGCAAAGCGATTGAATACAAATAGCGGTCGGTCTTAGTGTATGAAAAACGAGCAACGCATGAGATCTATTCGTATGGCGCCGAAGGCACCAGGCTGGACGAACATAAACCAGCGTGGCGCACCTCAAAACGGTGGCGCGAGACCCGAAGAGGAGCAAGTCAAGGGTGCCTGCAAAATGGGGAGATACAACGAGAGAGTGAAGCCTGAACAGTTTCTTATCGAGCATACGGTGAGACCAGTCGTATGCCTATGCTTCGAAAGACGCCTGCTGAATAAGTCGAGAGAGAGAAATCATGATGACCATTCGGGACTCGGGAGTACTCGGAGCGCCATAACGTCGACGTGGATCGTACTTCGGAACCTCCCCGCGCACCCTACGCCGACTCGTCACTATACCAGTTTACACGGCCTGTCGAAGCGTCTGCGAGGCTTGCTTGGTGAGACGCGGCGTTATGGGTGGTTGGGCGTAGCACCGATGGAACTCCAGCGTCACTAGGTTGGAAGCAGCATAGGCAAGGTGCACTACGCTTGAGTGCATTCAAACCGAGGGACCTAATGACGACAGAGAGAATAGTATAAGAAGTCGGAAGACCGAGTCAAACCTTCACTCACCTCAACCTCAATTTCTATCGTGTAAACCTAAGCTAGTATATCAATAATGTCGACCATTGCGACGGGATCGGAGAGCACCCTGGATTGGCTCACAGAGGTCAGTTCAGACGGAGGGTTTCTTCAGTCTTCACATGATGGTTGATGTTCTCGTTTATTGATTGTATGGTGACCCGGCAGTTCTACGCAGCGTCAGACACGCGCGACGCGTCTCTCTGGGTGGACGCTTTCTTCACAGACGATGCGGCGATCGACTTCGGGAATCATCCCACCGTACGAGGCAAAGAAAACATTCGACCTGTCAGTCTTCCTTATCACTCTTACCATAGTTTGAAGCTGACCTAGTCAACCTACGGCTCAGTGGGTGGGCGAACAGTTCCCATACATATCACTGATCAAACACGAAATCCTTGAATTCCGTGAGTGGCTCATATAATCAAAGGTTCTACAGAAGAGACTCACCGAGCGCCGTTGCCGCATCACCGCACATGCCTACGTAGACGAGGCAAACAACAGCATATATCACAGCCTGAGGATCTCCTATCGCGTCAAGGACGATCCGGAGGACCAAGTGATCCCTATTCGTGCGTTCGCGATCGCTCATAGACGACTGGTCGATTCAGGATTGGTAGTGACCGAGCCACTTCAAGGTGGCGAGAAACCTTGTGGGGGACTGAGAGTTGACAAGTTCGAGGTGTGGCTAGATAAGAGTCCAGTAGCGGAAAGGATCTCGTGGGTGTCGAAGATGTTGGGGAAACAAACTTGACGTGAATATGAGAACTGTAGAAATATTGGTCAGGATGTGCATAGCAGTAACGTAGAATGGACGCTCTCTGGCTCACCTATGCAAGCCCATAAGATTGTTCGCTGTAAGACTGCACATAAGACCAAACGAAGAAAACTTTCACGTTCGATAGTCACTCGTATGCAAGTGAAGCAAGCTGTGGCCTGAAAACTGCCAGGAATGAAAGCATAACTCTTCATGGCGGTGCATTATGGATTATTTTTAGCACGACCTATCGCAGAATTACATCCACGATCAATTACTGACCCATTACAATACCTTTGTCCATCCCTCGACCCCGAACGTCCAACAATCCACCGCTTCTCACCCACCTACCCATCCACGCACACCCATCCACCCCATCTCACCATACACATCACATCCCTCACGCCCCACCTCCAGGCCTCCTCCCAAACATCCCTCCAACCTTGCCCACAACCCTCCCCACACCCACCCAAACCCCCACCACAACCCCAAGATCTACAACAGCCACCTCCACCGCCCCCGCCATATACCTCGGCGCAAACACCTTCCAAACCATCAAATGTCTCCTCAGCGCCGCCGCGCCCACCGCGCTCCCCGTCACCAACACCGCAAAATAACACATCGTCCCCAATCCCGCCCGCACCGCATTCAAGCCCACCGTCCCCGCGGCCGAAAGCGGCGACGGCGAACCGGGCGTGGACGTGATGAGCGGCGAGACGTTCCAGAGCGCGAGGAGGGGCGCGGAGAGTGCGAGGAGGAAGATGGGGCCGAATGTGTTTAGGAGGACGAGGAGGGGGGAGGACGGGTAGGTTACGGTTGAGGAGAGGATGAAGGCGGATTTCCATTGGATGGAGGGGATGGTGGATTGGTGACCTGTCGTGTAGAATGCCTGCAGTGCGAGGAGGGCGATCGGGACGATGTCGGAGAAGGAGACGCGGGCGGGGGAGGAGGAGAGGCTTGCGGCGGAGGCGGAGTTTCCGGCTTGGGATTGGAGGAGCTCGAGTGCGGCGGACGGGTTGGTTTCGAAGGCGGATTGGAGGGCTTTGGTGTCTCGGACACTGTCGAGGATTTCGAGATGGGAAAGTAGAGCGATGGTGGCGAGGCCGATTGTCAGTTGTCCGGTCAATTGGGTGGTAAACCAGACGAGGCCGAGGGATATACACCAGAATATAAAGTAGGGTGATCCAAACGCGTTGGCGAAGCCCATAACGATGACCTGTGATTTCGGAGGCTCGTTCGGGTCGTCGTCATGGCTCGGTGGAAGACGTTCCTTGACGATCTGCAAGCAGACTGGGACGATGGCCCATAGGACACCTCCAAACACGAGACTCCCACCCATCGCACACCAGGACAAGACCGTCCTCATCAACCTCAAATTGACATCAGGTCCCCACATCTCCGTGCTATCCATCCATTCCATCAACCAATACGCGGTTCCGGAGAGTAAAGTCGGCGTAAGGATATATGGCAGGAAAATCGCCGCGACGCCCCTGTCCGACTTCGAAATCGCCAGGATCCTCCGGATGATGATGGGAAGAAGGATGCATGTCGGCAAGACGAGGTATAAAGTCGACGTTGGAGGCTCAGCGACGGTGCCTCCTGCGAAGAACGTGATGCTGCACCAAGGATGCTGTTCCTCCCTGCATACCGTACTAATTCCCATAAGCCGTACACAAACGGCGAACAAGGCCGAGAAGAACAATATTCGACGGCGGAGATGCGAAGTCGGTGCGTGGAAGGCCGTCAGGAACGCGGGGATAAGGGTAGTGAGCAGGAAGAACGGGACGACACGATCTTCCCAGAAGGTAAACGAGTTGGATAGGAAGGCGAGCGGATGTAGCACCAGCGGGATTAGCGACCACGAGAGTTGGAACCGGGGTGGTGCTGCGAATACGATGCCCAGGCCTGAGCCCAGCGATATACCGAAAAGGGCCATTTGCAAGAACGATACGCCGTCCAATATTCCTGAAGCTTGGAGTGGCATGTAACTGACGACGGCCAATGAAGCGCCGGCGGCACCAGCTATGACATATCGTCGTGTAAGCTCTACGACCCACGCATCCCATTGTTCCGCCGTCCTATTACTGTGCTGGAACAGTCCCCAGCCCACGAGCAAACTGAGTACCAGCGTTGTCAATCCGAATGCCATCAGCACGACGTTGAACTGCGCCCACAACGACCGACAGGTCTCCAGCACGAGCCGAGTATACGCGATCGAGGCCGTCAACCTGTCTGTCGAAGTCGCCGTGACGGACCACTGCGTTTGGAGATGGTTCCATACAGAGTCGAGTTCGCCGCCGGAGGAGCTATTGCGGTATGCGGAAAGATAGGTGTTCACCTGGCGGGTATTGAGTTCCAAGGCGCGGACGTACTCCGCACCCTTCTTGTCTCGCCAGAAAAGCTCGGGTATGACGGTTCCTAGATTGTTGAAGGGGATAGGAAGACCCAGAAGGAGCGAAAGCGACGAAACCAGGTCGATTTGCTGGATCCAACGATGTGGCACCGTCGCACCAGGGAACGTCGTCGTCCGTTTAAGACTGTCTGGGATGTACGAATCTCCGACGGACAGAGCGGGACCCTTGGAGTAGATCCACATCGCGGATGAGACTTCCAGATCGCCATCGCCACCATGATCGCCCTTCCTATCCATTCCATGGTCGCCCAAAACGACCAAAAGCGTATCATCGTCCAACTTGTCCACGACACGCGTGAGAACGTCGTTCATCTGCTCCTGCTTTGCCCTCATTGTGGGATGGTCCGGTCCTACGCGATGCCCTACGTGATCTACACCGAGAAAATGCCCAATGAGGAAGTCCCACTTGTTTGCGTGCGGAGAGTCTGTGAGGAGAGGGAAGAGGTTGTCGATGACGCCATTATCGACAGTGTGTAGGTCCTCGACGTTGAAGGAGTCAAAGTCGTGAGTTATATCAGGGTGGAAGGAGTCTGGGAAGACGGAGAGCCAGGTGTCGTCACCCATGAAGGCTACCTAAGCAAGCTGGTGTAAATATTGAGATGCAAGCGCACAGGAACCAGCATGGAATACAAGAGGGAGGTAGTGAAGGAAAGAGCAAACATACACTTTTGTTGGCCATGCGAAGCTGCTTCACGATCGAATCCTCATCAATCGACGATCCTCCAAAATTGTGGCCCATATCGACGAAAGTCGGTAATGAACCCGTAACGAGCCCTTTAATCCTCTGAAGCGTCGTTGTTGGTGGGTCTGAATACGCATTAAATAGGAATGAGTTCTTCGGGTACTTTTCCGTGAGTTCACGAGGAAGCGTCAATATATTATGATGGTAAGGTGATTGTGGCTCCGGTGGGTTCGGTGAGAGGAAATCGAAGCGGAGAGCGTCGATGATGAGTAATACGGCTCGTTTGTGCGTTGGCGTGAGAGTGCATGGGTCGGATGGGGAGCAGGTTGTGACGGTGGGGAGGGAGAGCCGGGAGAGGAGGAAGCCTTGAGTGAAGAGGTATATTCCGGCGAGGTGGAGGAAGAAGAGGTATAGCAGGACTGAGGGCGCTTTGAACGACATTCTGTAGAGACATAATAAATTGATGTTCTAAGGAAGAATATGGCAGACGTAACGCACTTGAGGAGCTTGGCCGTCCTTTGTACCCTGACTGTTGTTTAACACGTCAACGAGTGGGTTGTGTCTTGCGCAAGTAGAGACAAACTGGGCAGTCCCGATGCGTCCCGAGTCGAAAGGCCCTATGCCAGGGCCTCTGTGAAAGACCGATAATAGATGGTCTACACAGGTAGTAGATCAGTGAGCTTGGGTGGTATATACGAAGTCAAGGTATCGTTGTGAATATGTCTGTTCCTGTCTGTTCGTTCGCAGAGAGCCTGTACACTGCCACAGTACGGCGTGATCGTGGTTTTATCTGCAGACACAAAAAGTCTAATATGGCGAAGAAAGGAGTGAGCTTCGAAGGTATTCCAAGGGGACCAAGAGTTTCGAGGTCGATGGTGGAGGAGACTCGGAGCGCGTCGCGTGGCTCAACTCTGGCGCGTCGGAAGTGGTTGGGCCACACTTTCTTTCGCCACTCTACTTCCTCACGCTTTCCTTCCTTGATCCGATCCCGCAAGCAGAGTCGTCCGTCCTGTCTTTTCTTGAATGAAACCCTTAGGAACGGATGGAATTGAGTACACAAGGATCACTGAAATTGAGAGCTATACATCCAATCCCAACTCGACTGAATTATCCAAGAAGTGGGTAGAAAAGGTCACTGAAAACAAGACGTAGGCGAGCGAAAGCAAAAAATGAATAAGCAAGAAAAGGCTACAATGAGATTCAGATCCAGCACCAGCGGGTATACTTATACAAAATGTTCCAAACCCTCCATTCCGAAAACACATTCAACAACTAGACACACAATTCGTGCCCTCCTTTCGCCCGTACAGTGTTCGTCCGCAGAATAGGTTGAAGGTCCTTAATCGTCCATGGAGTAATCGACGTACTTCCGCCGCTCCATAATATCCCTGAGAGGACCCAAGAGTCGGTTGAAGGTCACTGCGTCCAGCGCGGCGACCTTTAGCTTTGGGAGTTGGGAGCCAGGTTCTCTGGTCACAGCTTTAACGGTGGCTGCACGGGGTGCGAGCTTCAGAAGCGCCAGCTCTACGTGATCATCAACATATGAGTTGTCAGTCTCGGCACACAGAAGAAAGGGGAAGTGACAAAAAGAAAGACGCACCTCCGAAATAGTCTCCCTTCTCCCGATAATGTCCTACCTGAATCTCTCTCTGCTCCCCATCCTCCCCATCCTTCTGAATCTTCGTCACAATCGCCTCCCCATCCTCCACAAAATAAAACTTATCTCCCAACTCTCCCTCCTTCACCACCGCCTGTCCATCCTCATAAACCGTGCTCACCAGCGCATCCGCGACCTTACTCCTCTCCTCGGGCGAAAGCGCGCTCAACAACGGCACCATGCTCACGAAATGCTCATACATCGTCCTCCGCCTAAACGCAGCCTTGAGTATAATCGTCCTGAACGTCTCCCGATCGAGCACCCAGAGCGTCGAATCCTCCCGGGCGACGACGCTAGCCGCGCGCGCATGTCCATACATCAACGCCAACTCGCCGAATGAACTCCCAGCCCCACAATCAATCATCCACTCCCCGAACACCTTATGTCCCTTTCCCCTCCCCTCCTCCTCGGAGTAGAACTCATCGTCCGACGTGAAATGTGTAGACCTGTCCGAAGGTTGCAACCAAGGATCCTTCACCTTCTTCTTCTCGTCTTTATACACTGTACAGAGCCCGCTCTCCACCACGTAGAACTCCGTCCCATTCTCGCCTTGTAGGATCACAATCTCGTTCTTCTTCACTTTCTTCTCCTGCATCGCGTTCAGCACGCCCGTGAGCTGTTCCTCGTCTAGCCCGCTGAACAGAAAGTTTTCGCCCGAGATGGAGGCTTTGATGCGTGAGAGTTGGTCTGGCGATTTTGGATGGACAGGGAGTGGGGCTGAGGATTCGTCGTCGTCCGAGAGGGAGATGGGTTCTGCGCTGACGGACATCCGACGGTCGAGAATAGTAGGCGTTCCGAACGCGGCGTTCAGATGATAATTCTGATCGATGATGGGGACCGGGACGGGGGACACGCTCGGCGTAGCATGCATGTCATATGCGATAGTATTGAACGGGGACGCGTTATTGAAGATGGAATGCGGGTTGGGGTTGTTGAATCCGCCGGGTGGCACGGGTGGCATTGGTGGTGTGTTCGTGCGCCCGAGTCCGATGTTCATATTGCTGCTGGTCGTATGAGGATCAGGAGTTCCGTCGATAGAGAAGTTAGCTGCGCCATCACGAGCGAAACGAGCGCGAAGGGCAGAGTTGCTTCGGGTCGTGTGCATGGGATGCATAGACGCGCGACGGGACGGCGCATTCGTCGACCAGGGGTTCGTGAACTCCGTACCCTGCGAAGACGACTGTTGTTCAAGACTAGCACCGGTCGGGAACGGGTTCGTGAAAGTTGCGGGGCCACCTTGGAGTGGAGAGGCGGTTCGCTGCTGCTGTTGACCGACGGAATACGACGTGGGATTGACGCCCGACATGGGATTGACGCCCGACATGAGGGGTACGGTGTGTGGGTTGTCGATGAAGTGATCTGGGGGAAGAGCGGCGGCAAGGGATGGACGGTGGGCGAGTATATCACGGATGCGGGTGCGTTGTTCTTCGAGACGGGATTGGAACCAGGATGAACAGAATTGGAGAGCGTCTTTTGGCTGGACGCGGTGGAAATCCTTCGTGAGGTCCGCGACGAGCGCGTCGAAGGTGGACATGGTGTCTTAGTTCTTACAAGACTAGTATGGCAGGTTTGTGGCAGTCAGGGTATTGTTCTGCCGCCCCGTAGGTTAGCTTCCATCTCACATGGTAAGATTGTTCGAAGAAAGGATCATGAGATTTGTCCTCACTTTTATATATGGACTGTGAAGTAACGGATTAGAGGGTACATTTGAGCAGATTTTTCGCTAGAGATTAGCTGATTGCTCACCTAGGTTGTTGGTGTCGTGATGGTGGCGGGGGAAGAGAAAGACGCGAAACTCGAAGGGTGGGTTTGTTTTCTATAAAGGGACGCGTTGTAGTGGATTACGTCATCTCCATATCTTTGGTCTATTGTTTCGCTAAAACGGGCAGTCTCTGGACCTTCCCAATACCGTCAAGAAGGTCCTTGTTCAACTGTAGGATGCAGCGATTTTATCGACTTTTTTTTGTACGGTGTGGCGATAGTGAGCTCGAGAACGCCACACCGACGGAAGTAAATTAGACTTCCGAACCGACGTCAACACGGCAGGCCAGCCTCAAGGCTCGCAATCATCATGTTTGACGAGGCATCCTCCTTGCTCTCGCCTTCATCCATACCGGCCAGCTCTAAACTGCTCCAACCATCTCGCTCGAAATACCTTCTGCCAATATAAACCTGCCTGCTGTTGATAGGCAGTATTATCATTCGGCAACATTTTGTAAACCTCGGGGCTGAAGAATGTCCTTCTCTTCGTTCAGCTCTCTCTCTAGCTTCACTGAACTCGAATCAACCAGCTTTGTCTCAACTAGCCTTACTGAAGACAGGCGCCGCAATCGTACTAAGCATCGTGAGACACGTAGATCCCGTTCACGTTCACGCTCTCGCACACGAACCGAACCTTCAACTTCTTCACGACGAGAAACAAGCAGCCGTCATACTTCGGATACGAATGGACGTGCCCATACCTCGCGCAAGTCCCATCGACGACACAGGGATGGAAAATCACCCTCCAAACGCACAACCGGCAGTGCTACCAATGCTACCAGTGACCGACGTAAACATCGCCATACTTCCCGCTCTCGCTCTCGCGACCACACTCGTAGAACCGGACATTCCAGCAGGCGCCACACTCGCCACTCGTATCCAGAATCCAGTCTTCCACCAGAGTCTCCGTCGATCTCTAGCTTTACGGAGGGGGTCCTGGTAGACCTCGATCCTGAGCCGTCATCGTTCTCGGAGTTGGATTTGAGCGAGTTACCACCGGGTTCAGGGCATGCGTATGTTCAAGAAGAGGGACCCAAAATCTGCAAACACTGTCGTGCGTCCCCTTCTGTATCATCATCATACATCTTACTGCGCACATCTAACATCAATTACGTGCAGACCGATCGCCATACCAGATCCACGGCCGCACAGACGTCCTCCCCGCCCTCCAACTAGACCCCTACTCAGCCTACCTCGCCGCCTACCGCCTCACCCACCTCAACTACACCCGTCCTCCCTCGCCATCACCCATCTCACCCGACGATCTCTACCCAGAACTCACCCAACCCCTCCCCTTACACCTCCTTCCCGCCCTCTCCCCGGTCGATCACCGCGCCCGTCGTCTCGCACTCGCTCTCGACTCCGATTGCACCGTGCTATCTGACTGGGCGACCGAAGAATACGTCAAACTTGGCCCAGCCGGCCGTCGACTCGTTCGGTCAGGTGTTTTTGAGGTGAAGTTACCTGGTGCGGATTATGACGATGGTGTGGATCTGGGGAGGGAAGAGAGGGAGGAAGAGAGAATGGAATATGAGTGGGCTAAGAGTGTGTTTGAGGAGGGAAGAAGAAGAGGGGATGGGTATAGAGAGGTCGATGAGATGTTTAGGAGGGCGGCGGGGGTATTAAATGATCTTTTGGAGTGGCAGGAGTTGAGGGAGAGGGGGAGGTTGGAGTTGGGGGATGAGAGCAGGGATTTGAGTGACTGGGTGGCGGGCGATGGGATGGAGGTGCCTTTCGATGGCCTGGATGTGAATAGGGAAGTGGATACAAGGCTGAGGAATGAACTGCCAGAGATTTTGGAGGAAAGCGATGGGTTCGATCGATTGTCGAATGAGACGTTGGGGAGGGCAAGGGAGTTTGACCAGGCTTCTCGATCACCTTCGCGGTCTCCGTCTATACGAGGTCATCGGAACCGTCGCTCACCGTCCCCTGAACCTCCCACCCCCATCACAGAAAGCTCAATCGACACCCTTGATACTCTCGAATCTTCATCAATGAGTCCCGCCTCCGATATGCCCTACGGTATCGAAATCGCCGGTTTCTCTCCCTCTATAGCACCCACGCCCATATCACCAGAATTACCTGTTCCGCCTCCCATATCAAGTTGGAGGGCCGAACTTGTTGGCGAACCGACTCATATTACCCAGGCTCAGACTCGGAATCGATCAACCACTCCCGTACCCATTCCTCCTGCTTCCACTCCTGTGCCTACTCCTGCCCCATCTGCCCCAGTGCCTGCGCCCTCCTCTCTCCATCGTCCTCGTACCCCTCAAGCTGAACCTCCACAGACGGATGCAGTTTCGGTTCACCCAAACAGTGTACCACGCTCTTCAGTTCCGTCTCCAGCTCCACCACCTCAACCAGTGGCTAAGACCCGTTCAGCGCGTAATTCGACTCCAGCATCTCGACCATCACCGGCATCAACACCGCAACCAGTATCGGTGTCCGCTCCTGCACCGTCTCCACCGATAGCGCCTAAGGCTCGTTCAGCTCGTACCTCTGGCCCAGCATCTCGACTATCGCCCGTTCCAACACTCAAATCAGCGCCAGCGCCTACACCGTCTCCCCCGACAGCACCTCTCGTCCGTCCACCCCTCGTATCGTCCTCTCGAGCTTCGCCACTTGGAATTTCATCCTCTCGAGCCTCTCCACCTGTCATTACATCCGCTCAAGCTTCTCTACCCATGATTCCGTCCTACCAGACGTCCCCTTCTCCGCCTCCGCCCCGCTACACCTCCCGCGCCCCTCAATCCCGCTACATTCCCCAAGCTCAATATAGTTCCTTCACTTACCCCCGCACAGCAAGCGTCCACAACTCCGCACACGACGAAAACGAAGATATCGCCGTTCCTTCCGATCTCGAGGGGTCCGATGGTGGGCTCACGACTCCTGGAGGCTCACCTCGCTCACGTGCGATGTCTATCCTTAGTGGTGGCAGCGCAGGAGGGGGAGGAAGGAGAAGAAGAGGGTATAGGCGTGGAGTGGGGTCTGGACTGACGACGCCCGATCGGAGTCGGTCGCCTGTTTCTCGCTCAAGGCTTGGGACGGACGTGGGAGGTGGTACTGCCACGGGGACAGGCACGGAGACGGAGACGACTATGCCTCCGATACCGGTACTTGCGAGAGGAGGTCAGGAAGGGGTATTCAGGCTACGTGGAGGTGCGACGCGTGCGTCTGAGATCGATATGGTTTCGGATATAGACGCGGAGGCGGACGTTGAGGATGAGTTCGAGGCAGAGTCTGGTTTCTATCAAAACGATGTTCGCGGACGATCTCAAGATGAAGAAATTTCGGGATCGATGTCGCCCCCAGAATCGGATATGGATACGGAAGTGAAGATGGAAGTTGAAGTGGATATGACACCCTGCCCGCCACCTCCCTCGCCTGAACCTTCCTTCTTCTCACCCACGCCCCGCATCCCAACCAACATCCCAATTATCCCTCCACTTCCTTCACCTCCACCTTCAGCAGCATTAGAACTGGACGATCAACCACCCCTACCACCTATCCAGTTCTGGCTCCCGACCTACCCTTCATTCGACTCCGCCTCCATGCCCCATCGCCACTCCAAATCCTCAGCGCACAAGTCCTCTTCCCGCAGGACCAAGGACAAGAACAAGACCGAGCGACCTATAGATCCCCTCGGGAACGCACCTCCGCCCGTCTTTATCGCCCTTGGTGCTAGGCGCGCTTGCATCCCTTATACACCTGCTTTCCAGGGCTTGGATCTGCGGGTGGTCAGGCCTGTGAGTGCGAGGGAGAAATTGGTGGTGAGAGACGCGGTGGAGATATTGGGTCGGTTGGGAGCGAAGGTGAAAGGGATGGGCATAGGGATGGACGGAGAGGAGGGGCAGGAGGGTGTTGTTAGTAGGAAGGGTGAGATGTGGAGCTTGAGTTACGTTGGGTGGTAGGGGCGAAGCAGGAAGGAGCAGGAAGATGATAGGTCATCACTTTGCTTTTGTTGATGTTTCTACTGTGACTTGCGTTCTCGCTATCATCTCATTCGCGGAAGTAGCATGAGATTGATGACCTGCGTGCTGAATCTTATACATTGTGATACTAAGCAACTACGACTCATTTACGCTAAAGGATAGTCCACTCTGCGAACGGACCGAAAATAATGCGGAAGAGGATCAGAACGTCGGCCCAACCTGCGAAGTGTCCCTCTCCGCTGGTTCACGCGGAGACCAACAACTATCCGGCTCGTCCGCCTCCGCCTCCGCCGTTTCCCCTTCCTTCTTCTCTTTCTTCTCTCCCTCATCCTTTGGCTTGATGATCTGCTTCGACAGTTTCTCGATCTGTTCGAAGAGCAGGTCGTCCACGGAGGTGGCATGGTTCTTGTTGGACCGACTATGGGCGACGGAGAGGAGGAATGAAACGAACCTGGCGAAAGGGCGACCAATCAGTAACAGGCAGGTTCAAAGTAGGGGGAATATTATACTCACAGTTCCTTCAAGAACGCAAAACTAAACCCCTCGGTCATCTCTGCCACCTTCGTCGCGATGTCCTCCTTCTCCATCGCAAACTTGACTCCCTTCGCCCTCGTCACCGGTTTCGTGTCATCTTTATCCTCCTTCTTCTCCCCGCTCCCACCGAACTTTTCGATCCATTTCTTCGCGAACGCTTTCCTCAACTCGATGTCCGGAAGAGCAAAATTATACTTTACATCGAATCTTGACGGACGGTTGACGATGGCGTCGTCGATTCGTTCTGGGTGGTTCGTTGTAGCGATCGTAAGAATGCCGGCGTTGGCAGCGAGACCGTCCAGCTCATTGAGGAAGAAGCTGCGGACTTTTGGGACAACCATGGCGTCGAGGTCTTCGAGGACGAGGATACAAGGCGCGCTGTGGCGGGCTTTTTTGAAAATGGTTCGGACGCCATATTCGGGGCCCTATCATAAATTCTCAGATCAATGTCGGGAAAGGCTCGAGATTGCAGAGGCGGAAACTCACATATGGAGTGGTAAACGATTTTACGTAGAGAGCGGGGTATTGCGTCTCTTTCAAAAGCGCTTTGATAGATTCGGTCTTTCCGTTTCCCGGAGGACCCAAGAGTAGGATACCCCTGTAGATGAATAGATGAGTAACTTTCAGAGCAAGATATGCAAAAAAAGAGCACGAGATCTAACCTCTTCCATACAGTCCCCAGATCGTCATAAATATCCTTACTCTCGAAGAATCCCTGTGTGTCCCTCCTCAATCCATCTTTGAAAGAATCATCAAGGATCACGTCGTTCCAATTCGCAGCCTGGATAGCCTGATAGAGCTGCTTATTCGCCGTCCACCTCCCACTCTGGTACACCCATATCTCTTCTCGCAACGTCTCGCCGTAAACATACACTTTTTGCGCAAGATCCTTCCCCGCATCCTCCGAGTCAGCGACGAGGTCATAGAAGTATATTTCGCTGCCGTCCGGAGTCGCCCAGGTAGCTTTGTAGGCCGTGAAGAAGGTCCCGTTGTAACTGAATGTCGAACAGCCAGCAATGACACTTGGAAATACGCGTTTTGACTTGTCGTCGAACAAGTACATCAGATATGTATCGCCGGCGAGGCGGGGAGGCTCTCCCTCTACGGGCAGAAAGTGCGACTGAATATTCACGGCGACCTCTTGGCTTTCAAGATAGCGGGATAATGGAAATGTGCTGTCTGTGCTCTCGATCAGGGGGACGTGTGCGGAAGTCGGATGAGCATCGTAGAGGCGACGAAGAAGGGTGAGACTCTCGTGTGAGCGAGGTTGCCCCAGAGTCTGGGAGATGATGTTTCTGTAGGAGCCGGGCTGGGGAGTGACTGTTTGAGTGGAAGACATCGGGGTGAAGGTGTTTGGATGGGCTAAGCGAGAGACAATCCATCTCTTTATACTGCGATAGTTCACCAAAGCGAGCGTCTGTGACTCCAAAAACGTTCGATCAAATCATGCAGCGCATAGCATCTGGGCGTTTACCGATGGTGTGACTCGAACTTCTATCTTCCAATATACTCACCACGATGTTGAAAAAAAGTTGTATCGCGTCACTGCCAGGCGCATAGTACTATCTGCGACATCATCGCATAAATTTTCGTCCACAGGCAGCATCATTGCTCACTGTACACGACGATTCCAGAAGTCGGCATAGGTCGACATATGAAATTTCTTGGGACGAGCCGGTACACTATAGGACTTCAAGCTCTGTGCAATGACGGTATGTAAGGATGCTGTGACGCGCGTTGGAACCGGAAGCGGGATGACTCACTGGAGTTCACTGGTCCAGATAGGGTGGATGTGCACCCTACCCAGTACAGCGTGTAGGGCTACCTCATTAATGTGCTTCTTTCGGTAACAGAGATATGACAGTCACCGACGCCGCTTTGCAGTCAGAAGGGGGCCATGGCATTGATGGGTTCAGGGCTCTGCTCACAAAGCGGCTACTCAAGCGGCAATGCCGATCGTCTGCATCTTGCAGCTGAACGGCACAGCTCCTGGTGCCTAGAGGATACATGGATGAAGGTTGGATGAGGGTTATGCATAAGGAGACACAGAGAGTGGTCTCAAGGCGACTAAAACCGTCGAACTTGTATGGGAATGAACAGTTAAGCGGGAAGGAGTGTGCACAGACGAGCTCTGCAGAAACCAAGACGAGCTACGCATTGGACGATATAGCCTCAAGATGATCATTAATTGAACATGAGACGTTTGGTCGTGAGAACGACGGCAAGCACAGTATGCGTGGTAGGAGAAAGTAGAAAGAGAATGGACCAGCACGCGCCTTGAGAGCAACGGGACTTGGAGCCTGTGCGGATGCGGAACTGTATATTCCTTCACTTGTGCGCTCGCTATGTGATATCAAATTCCTCATTATTGTACAAAGCTTGATGCATGAGAACAAGAGAATACTACCAGTAAAAGGTCAAACACCTTTTCTAGAACGAAGGACCGACCTGCGAACTATCCTTCGCCTTCGGTTCAGGCGGACACCAACTACTGTCTGGCTCATCCGCCGCCTCTCCTTCCTTATTCTCCTTCTTCTCACCCTCGTCTTGTGGCTTGATGATCTGCTTGGATAGTTTCTCGATCTGTTGAAAGAGGATATTGTCCACGGATGTCGAGTTGATTTCATTGGACCGACTATGGGCCAGCGATAGGAGGAAGGAAACAAATCTGATGAACGGGGCGAGTGTCAAGTGTCAGTAAGTTGATGGACTCCGCTGGTGGAGATGCACGCACAGCTCCTTCAAGAAAGCGAAACTGAACCCTTCCGTCATACCCGCAATCTTCGCCGCAATCTCGTCCTGACCCATCTCGAATTTGACACCCTTCGCCCTGGTCACGGGCTCTGCGCCTCCATTCCCCTCTTTCGTCCCACTACCACCGAACTTTCCGACCCACTTCCTCGCGAAAGCCTTCCTCAGCTCGACATCCGGCAACGAAAAATTGTACTTCACGTCAAACCTTGACGGTCTGTTCACAATCGCATCGTCGATCCTCTCCGGATGGTTCGTAGTAGCGATGGTGAGGATTCCAGCATTGGCAGCAAGACCATCCAGCTCGTTGAGGAAGAAGCTACGAACTTTTGGGACGACCATGGCATCGAGGTCTTCGAGGACAAGAATGCAGGGCGCATGGCGGCGGGCATGGTCGAAGATGGTTCGAACACCGTACTCGGGGCCCTTATACGATCAAGCGATCCTGAGAATCAGACCACTGCATTGATGGAGGGGAGCGTGATAAATAACATACGTATGGAGTAGTAAACGATTTGACGTAGAGCGCTGGATAGTCCGTCTCTTTCAGGAGGGCCTTGATAGACTCGGTCTTACCGTTACCTGGAGGACCCAAGAGCAGGATACCCCTGCGAAGGAAGAAAAAAGTCAGCGTCGTATAAGATACGATTGCAGAATTCATGAAGACTAGCCTCTTCCAGATCGTCTCCAAGTCTTCATAGATATCCTTGCTTTCGAAGAATCCCTTTGTGTCCCTCCTCAGGCCCTCTTTGAACGCGTCCTCAAGGACGACATCTTCCCAGCTCGCCGCCTGCACCGCCTTATAGAGCTGCTTATTCGCTGTCCACATCCCGCTCTGATACACCCATATCTCCTCCCTCAGCGTCGCACCGTAGACATAAACACTCTCTGCCAGCTCCTTGGTAATACCTTCCAAGTCGGAGACGAGGTCATAGAAGTAGGAGGTGCAGCGATCTTTGGTCCAGACACATTTATAGGCAACGAAGGAGATACTCTTGTAGGAGAAACGAGAGCGACCTGCGACGACTGTGGGGAAGAGTCGTTCCGCTTTATCATCGTAATCGTATACGAGATACGTATCACCCGTGAGGCGAGCTTGCTTTCCTAGATGCTCCGGACCAGTGGAGTGCGAATCGATGGAAACGGTGACGCCTTGACTCTCTAGGTAGCGAGAGAGGGGGAAGGTGGTGTCTGAGCCCTCGACTATAGAAATGTGATGTGAGGTGGGATGGGTCTCGTAAAGACGGCGGAGTAAGTTGAGAGTTTCGTGAGTGTGAGACTGCCCAAACGTCCCACTAAGCACGTCTCGATAGGATCCGGGAATGGGAGCGTCTGTGTTCGTTTGTGTGGGTGACATTGAGGTTGGGGAAGGGTTGAGTTGGGTAGAATCAGGAGTAGACGAGCGATCCTTTTGTATCGACGAGAGAAAAGCGCTGGAATCGATCATCCGGCCCCCCAAGAACTGATAATCTGTGAAGTGATACAGGGGTACCAAAAACCGTATGTCGATTTCCTGATCCAACGATGTGCGACTGAGAATGAGTCGTAGTTGGCCAGGGGGTCACATAACTCGAGCCTGTGGACGTTATACTGCGCGTCAATTCCAAGTACACAGGTGTACGCAGTACGTTATCTGCCCACCACGATGGTACTCCACATATATACCCAAGTATACCCATCCTGGGGCGAACCGGTGGAGTCAATGGCGGAATCAAGCTGCGTCGCGGGACCCATGATACTGGAGACTACTCTTAGAACGCACGGTTAGCATTTGTACATAGCGCAGAACTAGCTTGGAATCAAAAGTGACTGACTAAGTGCAGCGGCTGGATGGACTAGCTGGGTGATACGTTGCGAACAACGCGATTTAGGGGCATCAGAGTGCTCGAAGTGTACTCTTTTCTTCAGAAACGTGTAGAGCAACCTGATGAGTACTCGTGGCTCGATGTTTGCCAAGGGAGGTAAGGACTACGGAAAGAGGGAGGTGAAGACGGACACACGGACCTCTGACGTGCTGTCAACATCTGTACACCGGAGATAATGCCTCGCTGTGGAGAAATGCTGTAAATTCCTGGACCATCCCCTTACCAGAAGAGGTACAAAGACTTTCTATCTCCATCTCCTGACTCGCATCGATAATTGGGAACGGCAGCGCCCAACCTTTGATTAGTTTTGGGCCGCTGAAATGTAGACAGCTCCAGCGTCAATCATTCAGGAGTAAGAACCGCCCTTGCAAGTGACGCTTCGTGCAAGAGCCGGACGTAAGATGAACAGATAAAAGCGGGATGTCACTGCACAGGTTCAGCACTACTCAAGCCAAGATACATGTAAGGAGTATGATCATCGATGAGATGACGGAAGACTATGGTGCACAAGGTGAGTGATGGGCTGCCACAGTCGAATGGTATCAGAGATAGAGCATGCCGTCAGAGACAAGTTTGCGTTTTCGTCGCGGAAAACATCGAGAACCATGATGTCCGAACATGTGCTCGGGCGAAGATTGTCATTGATAATGTTGAGTTACTGTGATAGAGATGGTCGCAAGTATATCACTATAGAACGCGAAGGAAATAGTCATCTTCGTTGATGTACGGTGGACAAGCCGGGGAAGGTTGTGCTCACCATATTGTGACAGTTTGCGCTTTTCGTCGAAACGCGCTGCAGTATACGTCAGGCCTTCCTCGGCAAAGCACTCCACCTCTTCCTCAATCCCATCTTCTCAATGAGCTCCGCAGGCATGCAATACACGGGGTCCAAGTCAATCAGTCCAGGGTATCCGAGTAACGAAAGACCAGCGACACCGAAGAGCGTGTGAAAGACATCGGCCATATCTCCTGGCCGATCGGCAATCCCGCCTGCGTCGGGGTCCTGCACCGTGAAACGGAATGTGAGTTCAATTGAGAACGGAGAGCATGAAGATGATGATGAACCTGGGCCGAAAGAATGAAAGAAGTGAGCTGGTCTGCGTCTATCCATTCGAGTTTCTCGACGATTGAGAGAGCTGAGAGCACCCAAAAGCTGTAGCAAACCTAGGTGTCATACACGACATTAGCACTGCGGTATGGAGCGAAAATGAGGCTGGACGCACATCCTCAAGCTTCTCTGGGCGGCCGTTCAGCCCACCATTAGGAAGCTGCCTCTCTGCAAGCCACCATGCTAGCATCGGCTCGTCCACCACGTCCAGACGATCAAGGATGGCTAAAGCAGCCGTACAGACAAACACTATCCCGACAAACATTAGTCTTGCACGTCCGCGCATCAAGGAAAAGGGCCTCCGACCAACCACCTTGCGCAGCATGACTCTCCGCATCAATGACGCCCCCAAACCCACCATCGAAGTTCTTACATCGCCTAATATACTCGACCAGTCGCTCCTTCCTGTCTGCGTCAAGCTTATCGAGTTGACCAAGGAGGGATAGGGCATTGACGGCGATGTAGGAGAAGCGAGTGTCTATCTCGCCAAAAGAATCTCCAGCAAATACGCCAGATGGTTGTTGTAGGGACAATATGACTATAAATTCAATGAGTTCGGTTCAGCAGAGCCACAGATTTGTTCGACAATCGGTCAGGGACTGGTGATCGGAGAAGGATAAGGGTGCCATTTCAGGAGGAACGGAACGCACATTGAACTAGTCTGTCCACATCTGCTCTATCTAGAGCATCCTGCATGACCAAAATTTGGATTGCGCTCAGCGTCGAGAGAATGTGCGCGTCATGTCCTGGGTGTGCACCAAACGCGCCTGCCTCCACGTCCGTCGACGCATCAGCCGCTCGATTCAATCGCCTCTGAAGATGGTGTAGCACCTGCCTCATCGTCCCAACAACTCATCACATACTCTATCATCTCCCCCTTATCTAGCGCGTCCTTCGCACCCATGATACATAGAGCAGTGAGTCCCCAGTAGACTGCATTCATGCGGAGGTGGGCGGTCGTATGGTAGGCTAGGTCATCTTTGTTCTGAGTGAGGATAATCTCGTTAGTGGAACACCATAAATGGACTCAATAACGCATACAGCGCCAAGGTTTTGAATGTACTTGATATGTGCTGGTACGATCAGAGTAGAAGCCATGATCAAGATACAAAGCAAGTGGCTGATTCGGGCTAGAGGAGGCTGGAGGACGAAAGTGGCGAGAAAACATCCCGGGCCGGCCGCCTCGGGACGCCACAAAGCTGAGAAAGGAGCCTGTGGCCCAACTCAACTCAATTGCAAACCACCACAGCCGATTCCATCTCTTCGCCAGCAAGTCTCTCGAGGTCCCCGCCGTGATTCTCTGTCGATACTCTCTAATTATGGCCAGCCACTTCGTGAAAACTTTTGTCCAGAGCAGTGGCTTTTCTGCCAATGTTATTAGACTCGGAACGCGCCAGCAATTTTTCGCTGACCTGGACCCCACAGTACTAACTCTTTCTCGTAGACAGTCGAGGCTATCTTGCTTTTCCACTATGAGGTCAACGAAAGGGTCCCAATGGCTGGACAACACTATTCATTGAACTTAGTCTGGCTCAGCCTCTTGTGGACGATCTTTGTGCAGGGTATGCTTAACTACGAGGGTTTTGTTCTACTCTCATGGATGTTTGATGGGCTCAGCCTTCTTTTGAACGGCTCTGCTGCAAGTTTTTTTGACGGATAGTGACTACCAAGTAGCCTCGCTGACATGAAGGGCTCTCACTCGACATACTCCGCACTTCGCACCGCTGAATACAGCCTCGATAGCGGCGCACAATCTTCCTCGACAGGCCAAGCCAGCGCATCAACAAACATTGTCGATCCTATCTGGCTCGACGAAGTCTAGGCTCGACTAGTCACTTACGGCTTTTGAGTGGGTGGAACGTATCAATCTCTGCACGACTGGCCCATCTCCTATCGAGTCCTACGCTGTGAAAACAAGAGCCCTCTTTGGTGAGCAAGTTGCGTCTGTAGCTCCTATCCGTGCGCGACTATATCATGTGTAGCACTATTCAGAAGCGTAAAGGGTACGCCTCACACGCTTCTCTCTTCCCCGAGAACAACGACGGTGCTTGTAGACATGGTACGCTGTTCCTATGCCCTCCGACAACAATAATATCTCTGTACGAAATTCACTCGGTTTTACGAAGACCGCACTTGAAGATACACAGCAGCCTAGCCTTCAACGAACAAACCCTTCCCCTGATAATCAAGAGCTGGCAGAGCAACTCGGGCGCCTCCAACTGGTCACACAGGTGCGAATCAACACTTCATTCCAGGTTTGAACGCACTGTTAACTGAGAGATCGAAGCCTGACAGCCTTCCAGAGTCCCAGGATGTGATTGAGGGCAGTAAATCAGAGGTCATTTCCAGTTTTGTCGTCAATGATGCCCATAATACTCAGTCAATTGGATAGGCTCGGGTGGGCATGCTGTTGGGCGTAACGACGACCTTATCCTCTGCGCCTTCGGAGCGTCTGAATCTCGCTGGCCATCACGGGACGGCAACGACGGTGAGCGGTGGCTCTGCTAATACTGCGAGCACTCCCTTGGGTCAACACTTCCCTCGCACTGCACCTCCGAACAACCGTCCTCCGAAGACTGGCGTTGGAAAGGGGAGTGATTTTGCCGGAGATCGCGGGGACTTGGATATTGATAGAGATGCTTTCGACGAGTTCTCGAGCTGGGTATCGGGCGAGCTATCAAACCCGACGACGAAGTGAGTATGAGCCCATTCTGTCGGCGGGACCGAAGGAGGGAAGACAGGAAGGAAGGAATAGATTAGAGGTCCAAAATCCTTGTCCGTAGACGTAGATAATTGTAGGTTTGTTAGGATAACAATAGGGCGCAAAATTTTGTTCTCTCAGTACGGAGACCATTAGTCGACGGTGAAGGCGTCAAGCAGCCGCGAATGCAGGACCGACAAATGTCATTTAGGCCTCTGATTGAAAGAATAACATCGTGAGTACAGGAAAAATTAACGGTTTCATACAGACGCTCGAGTGTCGGAGCAGCTTGGCAGGTCGCTTGGAGTCTTCTGTAGCACCACTGCACGGCAATACTACAACGGCGGAGTAAAGTGAACTCAGTACAACAATACAAAGGAAGATGAGTTCGTCCTGCAATACACTTGAAACTCACTATGCACTAAACGTTTACTTTCACCGTCCAGAATACATCACATCATCGCCTTGTTCTCTAAACGTGATTCTCAGCCCCGTCCATCATGACGCATAGACATGTAGACTCACCGTTCATTTCGAACACCAACTTCCTTACAAATCGTTCGCGTTCCTCCCTCAGTCGCTTCACGCTTAACCTCCCACGCTGCCCAAAAGGGGTCCACAGTTGGCCAACGTTCCAGCATATATACATACTCCAGCTCGGGTGTGAGACCATCAACTAGCACCCGGACACGATCACCCAATGTCTCACGAAACCTCTGCGCACGATCACGTTCTTCGTTTGTCGCCCTAACACCAGGAATCGATGCGCCATCCATGTCGATGTGGATGTAAAGTCTCCGTAGCCCCCTCAGAAGAGAGAGGGCATGTGCGATGGAGTCCTAGACGAATCAGAATATGTGCACAGTGTCTTGAATGAGGTACGTCGCAGGACTTACGATGTCAACAGAAGCGCTACTGGATGATCGATACCGGAATATCTTGAGGGTGCGTAGAGCGGGAAAGACGCGGGCTATCTGGAGTAAGACGTCATTCCCACTGGAATTTGCCTCGTAGACCAACTCGAGACTCTCTAGGTCGGGGAAGTGGCAACGACGGAGTATTTTCAAAAGTTCTGGAGATGTCAAGACAGGTGAGGTCCACCCCTGACACATGTAGCTGTAATTCTGATCTACTCGGAGATAGTGACGTGGCCAGTCGGTGAGGGACAATTGGCGCAATGATCGAGGCAGGCGCTCGAAGATGGCATCCTCGGGAGAGGGGAAGGCTATGTCCAAAACCTGGAGAGAGTCGAGTGCGGGACACGGTCCAGAAGTTGAAGGCCGCAGAAGACATATCCTCGACGAGTCTGCGGACTGAGGCATATGAACTCTGAAGACACGGAGAGACGGTATATTGGAGAGAAGTGAGGAGAAATCCATGTCAATAGCTAGACTCGCGGGGGGGCGTTGTCCCGTGATTGATATTTCGATAAGAGAGGGCCAGGGAGACGATAGAAGGGAATGATAGCAGAGTGACTCTACAGGAAGATGCAGTACCCGCAGAGTAGATCGTATGCGTGGGATGATTGACAAGAAGACGGTCGCCTCCTGGCGGAAGTCAGCATCGCTGACCTCCTGCCAGATGGAGCGCGTCCACGTAAACTCCTGGATGTAAGACGGAGTAACAGGGTGATCTCCAGGGAGAAAGCCATCCGTCTTCGGCCAGTGATCGTGGCCTTCAACATGAATCACTCTCAATCGTGGCGCTAGGATTACGGCCTCGAAGAAGTAAGACGGGACGCCTCCATCAAGGGCGACGAAGCGCACTTCTTCCAAAGCAGTGAGTCGAGGCATGACTTGCGCAAGATATTCTTCAGAGGGGTAGGCTCCGTCGTAGTCGTCAAAGTTATAGAACTGCCCTGAGAAGGTGATGACGCTGTAAATCAAACATGAGATCGGCCAACGACATGATAGAGAGCTCCATACCGGACATATAACCACAAATTATCTGGAATGAAACAATTCCTCTGATGGAACAGAGGAGCGATGCAACGAGAGAATATGATTGGCAGACTGAGCCGTCGATAGCGGCGGGCTATGGCAGAGAATTGCCAGAGAGAGATATGCGCTCTGCTAAGTTCAACGCCACGGGTAACCAACAGATGCAGTTCGTCCATTACGAGGCGTATGCAGTCGTCATTTAGGTCGGATAGTCTAGAAATTGGAGAATGATTATACACTCTCAGCATATTATCAGATGAACTACCCACGAAGCCGGTTCAACACGGAGGAGTGCCATTTCCTATTACAACGTTAGCCTACTGACGATTGATTCTTGAATGTTGCGTACCAATGCCTATGAAAGTATGAAGCAGCACCGATTGAGTACCGAGGTCACTACTGGTGAGGAAGAGTGGAAGAGTTGACGAGTGCGGCAACGACTGCTGTAAGCTACGCTAATTGTGTTTCGGCAAGGGCCGTTCATGAGCACTTCCCACACATGAATGAAAGGTCCTTCACACCGTCACCATCACCCTCAACTCAGTACAACGCTGGCTGTCTCTCCCCGAACAGTGTACCTTCTGGATGAGTTTGATCTAGATTCTGGGTCAATTGCCACCATGCGACATCCGAACCTTGTCGGCATCCGAGTCGCTCTTGGGCTGGTTTGATCGACGACAAGGAGAACCTGAGCACATTATTGTGTTCAGGGTGTTCACCTCTTTCAACAAGAGCGCATAGGCTGCAGATCCCTTCAGAGCTGATATCGGCTCCTATTCATATGTGTCAAACCTCGGGTAGACATGGACTTAGGAATTCAGTATTCGACATTGTGGAGCGGCTTTGAATTGGAGTGTGTCTACGCTTTCCCCCAAGTTACCTCTACATCTGTTCTAATAACTTCTCTTCAGGCCAGTCTCACTTATTTTGTTCTTCCCCATGGGCCCTCAATCTACCTGCTTTTCTGGCGCTGTCCCTGCGACCAGTGCTTCGTCTAAGGCGCGTCAGTTGGCTCTTTCTGTGGCTCTCTCCCGCTCATCATTGTTTTACCTCTCGTTGGTCGTAGGACAATATGAGGACCATCGTGGCATCCTTACCGCCCTCTGAAGGACAAATGGCTCAGGTGAAATAGGCCAAAGCTACGCTTCTGTCCTCTTAGCGACACAATGCCCGACATCGCATGTCCTTTGCTTGCCTGTTCGATGCCTTGGCCCTCGGGGGTGATATGCTTGCTGTAGACAGCTTCGTTAGCGAAACTTCATCTGATGACGCTCCCTGTAAGTTGCGTCTCCCATATTATCATTTTACGACACATCCTGACTACGATCTCAGCTGGCACAGACACTGTGACAATCACTGCAGAAGACAAACAAGAATCGGGGAAAGGTTTACTCTTTCTTTGTCAATGTTCCAAGTCGTCTAGCCACGGATTCATGCTGTTGCTTTTCAAACGGTGTAGACCCAGTCGAGGACTTGCCTTCCCCCCGAGAACGTTGTGAATGTCACCAGTGAGCGTGACCGTTCTTCCCTGACGAGGGGTCGCATGGCGCTCAAATTGTTGTACTGTCAGTTGCGTCCCGTCTTGACCCTATCATTCTCGAGGAAAAATGCAGATCTGGGCTCAAGACACCGCCGCGCAGGGAAACCGCAAGGGACGGTGAGCTCATCACTGCTTGCTGCCTCTAACCACTCCCCAACTCACTTCTGGCTCGATGCATAGTGCGGTGGAGAATGCCTTGGCGGACTTGTGAGTCTTTCTGCGACGATGCTTGACCTATCTTTCGCACTGATGTATATCTGCTGGCAGGAATGCGGCTGCTGCTCCTGATGCGATGGACCTCGCTGTCGCTCTGGCAGACGTTCGTGGTCGAAACTATCATCTCAGTAATTCGAACTTCAACGCGGGCGAGATTTTTCGTTGAGCCCAGCGTGGTTTCATGAGCCCCTTCGTGGTCAAAGGCTCGGGCCCTACAGCTGACGGTACTGTCCTCAGTTTCATTTTCCTGCATCACATGCTCGATGTATTTACATTCACGTCATTGCCTCCTCGAGCTTGCTGAGTCACCGTCCCGCTCTTGCGTGGGGGTGTGGCGTGTTGTGAATCTCACGGTTCCTGCTTACCGGTCACTTACGACAAGTGTTTGAGGAGCACAACTGTCGCTTTGACCTTCACATTGAAGCGCTACGCCATCAGCTCCAAGGGTTCGGATTCCTCTGCCGGCACGGACTTATATGTTGCAGATGTCGTCAACATCCGCGTTCTGAAGGCTCCTGCTCCTCGCATTCTGGAGGCGTATGCGAGGAAGAGGTTGCTTAAGAAGGATGACGATTCATTTGTTCCAAGGAAGGTGGCGCGTATGGCGTAGGTTGGGCGTAAGAGATGAGGCTGGTCACGGTGTTGTCAGATCGCGCATTGAGCGTGAGTAGTACTAAAAATATATTTATCATTTCTCACCTTGTTTCCTCTCGTTCAATATTTTACCGTGTTCACCTTCGTTCGGATGGTGAAGTGGAGGTTCCTTGAGGAGTCTCACTGTACACTCGTTCCTGTCCGGTGGTCACTTAGAGACTTGCGGCATGGTCTAATTGATCTAGATATTCTGTCCCCAGACCGAATGGTGCCTTGCAGTCTTTCTAACAGTGTTGTACAAATCAATTATCAACCTTGTAGTACCTAGTAGTCACCCCGACCATATCCAAGTTCAAACTAGCTTTATTTACAGACGGACCCATAAAACTGTGCAATCCTTTGTCCATCAGCATACAGAGTATCGTCTTCGAGGGTATTGAGTACTCTTGAGAGTACAAAGATTTAATACAATGCCAAAGTAAAGGTATACAGTAACGTTTAGGCTTGGGGAGGAGGGATATCGCCGTAGGCCGTATATAGGGCAAGCAGCGAGCTTTTGATGGGAGCAAAAGATCGAAACGGCCAAGTAACGGAGACAAATTGCGACGAATGGGTTGTCCCGCCGCACATATGACTCTCACGTCTTGAGAGTTATGTGAGGCTTGAGCACATAGACGCACCTTAAGCAAAGGGCGAGGAGAACATTCAGAAGGGCAAGTACTGAGAAAGTTCAAGAAGGTGTGGCGCCGATGAAAAGTGTGCCGAATCCGGTCGATCCCGATGGGCTGACACATGCAAACCGACCGAGCGCTCCACAGCCCGACCTCTTCTGCTTTCCGCATCCACATCAGTCGACCGATATCGCTTCACATCCCAGATACAAGTACGTGCTACTCAGCGGTGAAGGCATAAACATACTAATGTTGTAACCTAGATGGTGGCACTCGAACACGCTACTCGTGGGAACGTTTCGTAAGTGTATCATTCAACGGTTGCTTACAAGGACCACATACCTACCCTTATAATCTAGTTTGTCTGTATTGAACGACGACTGCATACGTCTCATAGTCGACAAATTGCGCCTCATAGTGATTCGTGACGACAGATGGGATACTGCCCACTCTCTGAAGCACTTTTCTGTGGTCGCACGCCGATATCGACAGCTCGCAGTCCCTATTTTATTCTCTCGCTGCCGTGTTTCTCTGTACCATCCGAAGCGCCTCTTCATCCCTGAGAACTTGTGGTCATATGTCCGGTATGTTCATATTCTTCTCCATCATCGACTGAGCTCAGACTAGTTGCAGCACAATCACCTTCTTCGGAGATTTTTATCCCTACGACTTTTATGGGAAATACCCCGCCGAAGAATATCTAATCTCCGTCATGCCCCGACTAACCTCCTTGGAAGTAGTGCGCTTTGTCGGGAGTGATGGAGGAGTCCCAGCATACTTTTTTGAGGCCATAATTCTCGCACCGCGGCTCAGGGCGATCCACGTAGAGGATCACACTCATTGGCCGGTATCTGACCGTGCATGGTCGATGCGTGTTGGACATCTCCCCGAAGACACACCCGTAGTCCCGCTCCACGTGCAGGAATTTACATGGACACGTCATATCTGGAGAGATGTCGGCAGTTATTACTTTCCCAAAGAAATGGTATTCTTCTCGTCGTTCATCTCGCGCATGCGACCTACGCTGCGTAGACTACATCTTACCGCGGAATCATTCTGTCATCGGGAGCTTTGTTCATACCCGTGGCCTTCTCTTGTCGAACTCTCGATCACTGGACAACATCCTCTGCAATCCACTATCGGTCTAGATTTCTCACCACTTTTTAACAATATCCCCTCCCTTCAAACTTTCAGTCTCAGTACGCCCCAGTCTGCAGATTCGTCGCGAATCTTTCTTCTACAACCCACCAACACCAGTTCACATATTGGCCTGACCTCGCTCCAGAGTGTCAGTATATCCTTCCCCGACCCGGATGACGCCATCTTTGGCTTCCTTTCTCGGTCACTGCGCCATTTGTCTCTGACCGACTGGCCACGTCATTATCTTCGAGTTGACGAGAACGATTGTGTACTTCGTCGAGGATGGACTTCTCCCATATTAACGTCGAGAGAGCTCCTTAATATAGTCCGCCGTTGTCACCTTCCCGAGTTGGAAAGTCTCGAGGTTGTGTACCAGGCGGACCCCAGCGACACAGTTGATGTCTTACTTCACATCGCTCAGGCGTTTTCTGCTCTACACACGCTCAAACTTTTCCGGTATCGGTCGTCTAGCAGTGACCCTGTTCATGAGGTCAGTCTCCTAGATCCTCTCATTGTATCTCTGCTCACGTACTTTTCGGTACGTTTAGAAATCTATCATTTGTTGTCTTTCTCATTTGAAGGAGCTGCGGAAGCTTTACATTCACATCGATATGGATGGCGCTAGAGTTCCTCCCCCATGGGAAACAGAGGAAATTGAACGCGCCGACAGGTTTCGTGAGACACAGGGCGATCGTGTACGGATGCTGGCAGAGGGACTCACCCAAGAACTGGAGGAGATATACATGCTTGAACGCCGGGGTGGGAGCAGAACACTATGGGCCGCATGGGACATCAGGCGTGAAGTGGGGGAGAAAAGAATAGAGACGATCTGTACGAGAGTCCGGGACCGAGATATACAGTGAGTCTGCATCTGTTTGCACCTTCATAACTGGCTAAATTCATTGTGTAGGGAGCAAGACGACGGTTCGCGGTGGTGACTTCGCGTTGAAAGTTAACGCTGAGTAGTGTACGCTGAGTTTTAGTAGAGGTATCGCAGGCGGACGCAACTTCGGTGTGCTGTCATGTAATTTACACGGACTGCCGTGTGACCATGAAGCACAAGTCCTCAGGTATTCTTTGTGCCGGCTTACTCGAATGTATTCGGCCTGTTACGCCGTGCTACATGATAGTGCTTATACGTGCAGTCTTGATGTACGGACATGACTCAACAGAATATCATCCTAACCTTCCTCATCGTCGGGTTCGATAGCTCGTCCGATACCCAGCTCGAGAACTCGCCGAAAGCATCGTTATCAATATCTAAGTCCCCGAGATCTCTGACAAAACAACTCTCCTTTCCAACGCCAGTCTTCGGAGGACGGTCGTTCGGAGGTGCAGTGCGAGGAAGGTAGCGACCCAAGGGAGTGCCAACGGAGGGGAGGCGACGAGAGGACCAAAGGCCGACGACTTTATGTACGTCGCTTGAGCGCACCGGCGCATGAATCATGTTGTTGTCGTTCTCTGATGTCATCGTGTTGAGCTCAAGGAAGTGGGTGGTCGTGAATGTGGGAGATGAAGCTTTGAGGAGGAGAAGAGAAGGAGAGTTGGTGAACGAAATGATGAGGATGACAATGAAGAAGACGACATTGAAGAGGAGGAAGAGGGAGGCGGTGAGGACGAAGAGATGGCCGAGGAAGAAGATGAGGACGAGTATGAGGATGATCGCGAGGTTGGAGAAGACGAGGATGAGAGCTTTGATGAAGTCGAGGACAGCGGCTATTATTACGAGGATGACGGCGAGAACGACGAGGGTGAGGTGAACATCGATGTTGCCGTAGATTTCCAGACAAACACGCCGTGCAAACCCCAAAGGACGAAGGAACAGGATATCAACATCGGAGGGCAACAAGTCGAAAACCATCTAGTCGATGTGGACAGATGAAATACTGGTGTTGGCACAGATTCTAGGTCAAACGATACAATGACCGCTCCACGAACCTGTATCCTCGCACGGTGACGCGCTGCTGTCGCTCCCAAGATTGAAACGCTCGCCACTAGGGCCCGCCAACGCACGCTGGAACACGGTCATGTAGATCTACAGACACGATACGGTGAGCAAGGCAGTCAATGGGATACCCACAACAAAATGGAACAGATGTTTGAAGTAACGGGGCACATACGTTACCTTCATTCACGACAACCCGTTGAGTCGATGTCTTGTCATTGTCATTGTCTTCTTCTTCCTCGTCTACCAACGCGCTCTTCTCTCTACCACTCCTTCCATCCGCACTAGCCGTATTCGCCCTTGCCGTCAACGGAAACCTCCTCCTAACCGCATCCATCGATCGCTATCTCCGCGTCGAATTTCGCCATCTCCATGACCCTCACCGGCTCCTCAAACCCTCCACCTCCAGCGAAACTCTCACAATCCGAGGAGGCTGTGCCGCTCCTAGTCGTCGTCCCTTGCACACAAGGTCCCTCTCAACGACACAATCCCGCACTAAGCAACGCCGCCGTCTGCGCATTCACACCCGCCGTAATCACACGACCACATCGCCCCACGCCCACTCCCACCACTCCCGCTCGCACTCCTACCCTCAGACGACACGATTTGCACGACCAATTGGATCGTCCTCCAGTTGCTTTTCAGGATGGGGAGGGGGAGATGGCGTGAATGGTAGAGGCGTAAGTTTCGGATTGCCTGGAGGGAGGAGAGGGGCCGGAGGCAGTACATATTGCTGGTTTGCGGACGCTCGGCAGATAAGCGCTATATACGAGCCAGCGCAAATTAGCGTGTGGCGCTAGCTTGAAGCTTAGCTTGTGCGCCACACTACGGCTGCCTTAATGGTTCTTAGCGTGCATGGTTTGGCTGAGCTAGCTTGCGTCTAGGTTGACCTCTCTGTCGCAATTCCCTGCTCTCTAGCTGGCCGCTTCTCATTAATCAGGTCATATGGTTGCTCATCACCACCTGCGGCTTTGTTTTCTGCATCTTAACTGTCAAGATCTCCGTCACAGCGACGACGGCTTGCAGTACTGCCCGGTGTGGAGGTACGAAACTGATTGGAGGAGGAGGGGATCGGGACGTGGTCGCTCGGTCTACAGAGGTAGAACGGAGGCCGATCAAGCGAGTGGAAATGGGAGGAGAATTAGAGTAACAATGTACGCACCCAATTAATGAATGCGAACACCTGTAGGGTCTTGAGAGGTTTCGAGTTCCCTAAGGATAAGGCGAAACGTAGTCGAGAAATGAGACGAAGGTAGAGAATAGGAGGAGACAGAGCAAATGAGGGTATTGAGGCAAGATGAGTGGAGGAGAAATAGAGAGAGCGAAGGTGATGGCGGCGAGAGGCAGATGATGATGTTGGCGAGTCAGACAGACGGACGATTGGCAGACAGACGGGCAGACGGAGACGTTTGAGTTCACGGGGTGAGGGGGGACCTGCGTTCGAGAGGTGGCAGGACACCGGTATAAGTGACAAGAGAACATTGCTTCCCGACCAGCCGCGCGTGCTCATGCGCCGTCGGGAAAGCTACAAGTGCATCGGAACACTGGAAAACGCAATCAGAAATCCTGAGAGATAAAGAGAGTGTCCGGGAAATGAATGGGGAGGCTAAGTGAGATTCAGTATCGTAAAATCGAGGACAAATAGTAGTGAGTGTTCCATGTTCATGTTTAAAGAGGAAGAAGTCAAACGATGTTATTTACTATCCAAGAGTGTTCCGGGATCGAAACCTGCAGCTACTGACGAACGCGAGCGATGTGGAGGTCCTCTGTGGCCCTCACACAGAGTGGCAGACTTGGGTGCCCAATCCAATCGCCCAGACTCGTCCACATGCTGCAGCGCAAGGTTACGATCCAAAAGACACTCCATTCAAGCCAATAAACCGCCGACGCGATAGGGATTGGTGGTGGAAATTAAAAGAAGCATGAAAAACAAATAAAATTCTGAAAAAGCGTACTAATATTGAAGCCCAGAGTGAAGGAGTCGCCCAGAGAGAACCAGAGAAGACTCGTACTAGAAAACAATTTGCTGGTAAAGGCTAGACATAGTTGAAGTGCTGTACAAAGTTTCGAGGCAAACGGGGGAGGGGAAGTGCTAGCAATAAATCGAACAAAGTGGAAGGAGAGGCGAAGTGTGACTGAACCCGAGGCCGCGCGTTCCGTTCCTAGTCCCGGGCGGATGGCTCCGGTCCTTCGTCCACTAGTAATGTCGATTTAGCGTGCCGTGATCGCTACTACTTGAAAACTATTGCTCCGAGTGTTGGAAGCGATACCTGAGATTCCCTAGAAGTGCTCAAACGGGACAGTTCAGTAGTCCAAGGAAAAACGAAGACAAAAGCGAATAAAAAGCCGTAATTGTGCAGAACGGGGTCAACCGGGAATTGAAAGTCCGGCGGAACGAGCGTTCGTACGTTCCCAAGTCGCTACTCTAACTCCGTTTTCTTCTCATATGGGGGAGTACACGAGTACGCCCGTGTGCTCCTCCACACCGGCTATCTGTTCTCTAGTACTATCTAATTATCGTTCTTGACCCGTGAGAATAGCGAAACTTCAAACAAGTTGTCCCAGTGTGGAGTACTTAATTGTGGTGAAGACTGATGCAATACGAGCCAGCAAATGTACGCTTGCACATTCTTCAATTGTCTCTTGTGTTTCATTGTTACACTGATGACCCGCTATTGGTATTGACTTCCAGTGACATCTTTACTTAACGGTTTCTAGCGTGCGTTACTTGGCTAAGCTAGCTTGTGGCTAGCTTACGAGTCAGCGCAAATCAGCTTGTGCCTTAGCATTCAGCTTCAAGTGCCTTAGTAGCTTGCGCGCCACACACGCTAGACTGTGGCTAACTAGCTTGTGTCGACTCATGCTGGCTTGCACTCGCTTAGCACGATGTGTCCCAATTAACCCCGTATACAACGTGTGAACCGTCGTCTCCACCCGTCGGTGCGCTGGTAAACATCGGTTGGTATGGTCTGGTGGCACTTCCAAGGTATTTATTGCTGCTTGTCTCGAGAACTTTCCCCTCGAGGTATAATCGTTCTGCTCTTTTGCCTAAGCTTGAGGTTATGTGAAATCAACGCTATAACTCACTCTACCGGCATAGCAAACCATCGAGTATTTGTTCATCGTCGGTAAAAAAAACTTGCTTGTACTACAATCCACTCCAAGGTCGAACCTACTGGCCTGGGTCTACGCTGATGATCAGACTCAGGAACGAGATGACGATACAGTAGGCGACCTGAGAACAAAATACAAACACACATTTCTTGGGCCACAAAGGCGAGGAGTGTGTGCTATATTCTCGAGCACAAGATTAACGCCCGGGAACATAGTGTCATATTTCTGGCTTCTAAGTATGACAAATGCTGATGCTGTTTGACCGTGTTCACGTCGATCTTGATCCAATAGCATTATATGAAGTCCAAATTATCTTCCATGACTGATTCGGATTATCGACCCCAAGTACATCAACGTGAATTTAAGCCAAAAAAAAATAATGTCAAGACACGAGGTGAGAAGCCACAGTATCTGAAGTTACTAAACATTTCAAAGCGCCTCAGTCTCAAGGAGATCAAACTGCCTTGTCGAGACTTGGGACCCAAGCTGGATGGTAGGCATGTCCTTCAGTTCAGTGTTGAGACGAACTGCAAATGTTTGAAAGAAATTCTATGACAGATCTCAGTTTGGTTATTCCAATATTAACTAAGAAACATACCAGGCCCAGAACACCTTTATCGTTGCGACGCTCTTGACGAACATAACTCTCGTACCCCCCTCCCTTGACTATAGATAGTTCGGCTCGGCCACCAGTGAAAAAAGACTTTGCCCTTCCCCAGACGACATCGGTCTCTCCACCCCTCATCTTGAATTTGAAGCCGATCCTCTTATGTTCGAGATCGTCGAGACCTGCGGGTATACACGGAATGACAACGACGCCATCTGGAGACGTAGGCTGTCTTCCATATACCTGAAAAACCTTCTCGATACTGCCCTGTAAAAAAACATTCACGACATTTGGCAGCCAGGTGTGGTGCGATCCTGCGCAAAATGAGGAATACAGCATCAATGGTTGTTCAAGTGAACATTACCGTCTGTAAACGTACCTGTGTCTAAGGAAACCCTCAGTGGTTTTTCCAGGTCAAGGGCATCAATAGGTTTATCCAAGTCGTTGTCATCTGCGATCACTATCTGGGTCATCAAAATGGCCCAATCGTGTAGGGGCGCTCCTAGGGCCACCCTTACGACCGGAATGAGCTTGGACCATCGTGGAGTGAAAGGACCGTGCCACTGTTTGCCGAAACTGACGTAGCTGAATCTGTCGAGTAAGAAGTAGAATGACAATGTTAGCAGGGTTCTTATGCATAAAATTTTGTGAAGCATACGTCGCCCCAGGATCTTCAGCTTTATAATCCTCCGCAAGGATTCGTATTGTGATGGAAGAATCCTGTAGTTCGTGACGGTTATGCCTGCCGGTCAGCGCTTGAATCCTAAACATCGAACGAGAAAATCATCTACTCTATTAATAATGCCCTTCGACTTGAGACTGGGGAAAAAGGTCTGGAAAAGGAGAGACACGAGTTAGAAACACAGTGAGTTGCATGCTAAATATCATACCTGAACGGCATGGTTGGGTGGCGCATAGCTATGGCGGCAATGTAAGCAGTTGGCACATCGTACTTAGATGATACAGCTCGACACTTACTCTCCTAGGGATAACCCAAGAGCACCATGGTAGTCCTCCTTAGGCTGATAAATCATTCTCAAATTTGCCGCAACTGCAATGCCAAATTGGAACTCTATTGGGACATGACGCATCCCCGGAGTGACACCATCGGTATGCGGGCTGGTCTGAAAGTTCATCCTACTTCCCTTAGAAGTTAGATAGATGACTATACCACGGCACTGATCAGCAATTTTCACATAATGAGCGATTGAGCGGCTGCAAGGGCGTACGAGCATCGGTCTTGTCGCTAAAGGCTAATAAGATAGGCTGCTTTCCCTCCTTCAACTTCTTGAGATCGTGGCTAATCCCTTGAGGAAAGTGAAGCAAGGGGTACTTGTCCAGGTCCCATTTTCCCAAGGGGGTGGCAAGCGTAAAATTCTGTACCGGATCTTACCTTTCGCGTTTAAGGCCTCACCCCCCTCCCCCCCTCCCCCCCTCGAATATTTAAATGATTTTAAAATGATTTATTTAATACTTTCACACAACATAAAAGATCAAAACGGAGGGTTATTGTGGTATCAACTCATTGCTTTGATGAATGTCGGTGTAACCTAGCCTAAGGCTAGGGGGAGGGGATGACCGACGTCGACCGTAGCTTAACCTAGCCTAGGCTAGGGGAGGGGA